TAATCGGAGTATGATACTTCATGTATGTACCACCTTAACCTACCACCCTAACCTGCTACCCCTCCCGCCCCACCGCCGGCTGTACCACGGAGAGCCTATCTTAAGCTTTTGACCAGATGAGTCGCCGCCAGGCTAGTATGTACTGAGACTTGGGGGAGGGGGGGGACTATTCCTGTACTCCCGTGTGTGCAATGTGTGTGTGTGTATTCGGCTGCCAGCTGATGGGTGATGGCCCTGGGTGATCATCGCAAGGGAGCCTTGCGCTGAATGTTCAACGGGCGGACTGTACTCGGGGCCTGGTCGCTACCGCCGTTGATGTCCGCCGGCTGCTGCTGTGGTATGTATTATGGATGTATGAATGGATGTATGGATGTATGGATGTATCATGTATGTCGAAGGGTGGTGGTGCGGATCCCCTGGATTAATCATTACACAGTTGACAGTTGTTGGAAGTTGGGTTTGCGGCGTGCGCCCCACTTCTGCACGGCGGCGGCGGCAGCGGTGGATGGATAGTATATGGATAGAATCTTCATGGATGGATGGATGGATGAATAGATGGATGGATGAAATACGTAGATCCTTCTCGTCCACTGTCCGACCGAAAGGGAAAGGGCTGGTCCTTGTATGCCTATTCACCAACTAACCGTAGCTAAAGTGTAGTTGGGTGGTGTGCGGCCATTGGACCGCAGGATTTACGATTCTTCAGGACTTGAAGCTAGGTAGTAAGTAGCTTCCTGATGATCTGATCCGATCGTTTGCATGATGGGTAGTTTGCAATGTGCATGATGTGTAGAGTAGTGTGGTGGATGGAGTGTGGTGGATGGAGTGGAGATGCGCACCACCCCTCACACTCACAGTCACGGTCACGGCCACAGCCACACTAGACTACTACATGAGCGGGGCGGGGCATCGGAGATTGTGATGAATGGAGAATCGAGAATGGGGGGAGAATGGGGGGGAGCCATCCAGCCCGTTGTGCAGAGCAGGAGTCAGGACATTGATCGGACCGTTTCCCCGACTCCCCACGCTTGCCGCGCTTCTGGTCTGCGGAGTGCGGACTAGTAGACACCAGAGCCGTGTTCTTGCTGCTGCTGCTGCTGCTCCTAGCTGCTCCTGTATCGCTCCTCGACTAACAGCTCCACCATGGCCTCCGTCAGCCTTTTTTCTTCCTTTTCCCTTTCGTCTCGTCGAGACTTTCGAGCTATGTAGGGAGAAGATGGCGGTTTTGTCCAGACTCCAGTGCAGAGTGCAGCGGTACAGAGTTCAGCGAGTGATACTGTGTGCGTTTCCATCCCGCACGCACGGAAAACTCTTCTCACCACTGTCTTCATGCCACACACATATCTCCCTCCTCCTACTAAGCCTTTCGTTCATCATACCAACCAACCACCTCCGCTCGACTTACATACAATACACATAAGAGCATCCATCCAGTTAGTTCCAGTCAAGTTAACTCCAGTTAGCTCCAGCGGGGCCCCGGGCCGTCCGACAGGCAGGATTCGATTCGAAATTCGATTTCAAAATTCAAAAAGAAACGAGACGAGACGAGACGAGACGAGACGAGACGGGACGGGACGAGACGAGACGAGACGAGACGAGACGAGACGAGACGAGACGGGACGGGACGAGACGAGACGAGCCCAAAGAATGCGGGGAAGTCAAAAGGAAAGAAAATATCTAACGGCTGCCACCCGCTGGCTCTGCTGGCGATTCAGAGGCGCGAACGGGATCGAGATTTCTTTCGCGTTTCACCACCACTAGCAGCAGCAGCGCCTGAAAAGAAAAGAAAAGGAAAAAGAGGGAGAAACAGCACACACGCACGAACATGCACACGAACATGCACATGCAGTGACCGCGGATTCTTCCGGCAAAATGCAAACCACAACACCCACCCACCCACACAGCGACAGGTGGAGCTTTGCCGGTACAGCACTGCACACTGCACACTGCACACATGCCATAGTTTGCCATAGTTTGCCATAGTTTGCCATATGTAGTTCGCAATGCAGCTCCTGGCATGCGGCACGCTGGCAGATGTGGCCGCTGCTGCTGCTGGTGGTGCTGGTGCTGGTGCTGGTGCTGGTGCTGGTGCTGGTGCTGGTGCTGGTGCTGGAGCAACGCAGGGCGGAGGTTAAACCGTTCGTTAGCCCTGGACGCACGAGCTCCGCACCGCACTGCACCGGACAGAGAAACGGCGCTGCTGCACGCGCACCACCACCACCACGATAGTGGTGCGTGAACTCCTGTATGAAGTATGTACTGAGCAGTGGGTGCTGAGTGCTAGCTGGCTGGCTGGCGGTGGGCTGCGTAACACAGTAACACTCAGCTCCCTCTCCCTCTCTCTTTGATCGCCCCAGTCGACCGCCTCCCTCCCTCCCTCCCTTTCCTCGCTGAATGCCTAGAATGCACGGAATGCACAGTCAGTGGGACGGCAGGAAGATGGAGGGGATGACAGATATACCATGCCACTTCCAAGTCCACTTCGAAATTCGCATATAGCGAGTACATACCAGCTTGCTTGCAGGTTTCGAACTAGACCTATCACTCACAGACTCGCAGTATTCAGACCAAAAAGGGGGTAAGGAAACGTCGCATCGACAAGTCGGGACTCGGGCTGGCTGGCTGGCTGAGTTTTTTTTTGTTTCCCGGCGCAGATCTAGTTCGGTATTTTTCTTTTCTTTCTTTTCTTTCTTTTCTTCCTTTCTTTCCAGAGTTAGCGTCAGATGTGTCAAAATCCGGTGGGTGGAACCATGGTTTTTTAAAAACAAAAATACATCTCTCGGTTGATCGAATTGGTTGAGCGAATGATTTCTGCCGAGAGTCGTACTTCTCATATAGAGTACTGCCGCTCTTCTTTACCGATTCCCTCGGTTTTTCTGTCCCCCGGGGGCCCCGCGCCCAAGGTTGCCCTGCCCGTACACTCTACGGAACACCTCCGACCCCAACTCCGACTCCGACTTCGGCGTCAATGGAGCAGTGGAGCAGTGATTCGTGAAGCCCGAGTTGAAACTCGGACAGTGTCGGAGTTTTTTATACACGCCCTTGGCAGTAGTAATTACTAGGTAGGCTATGTGCTAGCGCCCAGCGGCCTGGAAAAGGAACCGGCCGCTACACATGTACCACCTGGCCTGTCACCGTTGTATTACTCTAGCGGCCTCTCGCTTGGCGGTGGCAGCCGCTGAAACTTGCAGCCAGTACTACATATAATAGACATCGGTCTTGGCCACGCCCATGATCAGTCTGTCAGCCTGTCAGATGAACCTTAATCCCCCCCCTCCTTCCCTTCCCTCTGGGCCCTCTCCTCTCCAGAGCAATGAGTTATGAGTTATGTACGCCGGAGGGAACGTAGAGTATTTCCTTGCTGCAGCTGTTCGGACGAACAGACAGACGAACAGACGAACGGACGGCCCAGGTGTTAAGTTGGCCAGTTAGTTACGTAAACTCGCCAGCACGACGCTGTCGCCCGGCGGGGCGGCCCATAGTAGGCAGAATACACTTCGGCGCGGACTCGCGGAGTTTATATCCGTGGGTTCTACAAATCGTTGATGCAGCAGCACAAAATTGAACACACACGCTACATACCGTGCTTTATGTGTACTGTATTGTACATACAGCGCTAGGGTGAGGAGCAGGACGAGGAGCAGGAGAAGCAGGAGGTGGAGGTGGAGGAAGGGGGTGATATATCATGACCCGACTCGGACTCCCCCCCCCCCCCAACCGGTGGCACCCCCTGAGTAGGTATTTGGAATACACACCTACCTACCTCCTTATGCCATGCGCAGTATCCTTCCGCCCGCTGCGGCTAGGGATGAAATCTGTTGAGACGTTTTGATTGATTGCTAACTTTTCCAACTTTGCTTGTCAGGCAGGCAGGCAGGCGATAGGGTTTGGGGCTATATGCCGAGGCTCCTAAGTATCCATCCCTTTCGGTAGATGCAGATGCAGAATTCAGATCCCCACAGGGGGGAGGGACGGTGGGGGGCGGAGCTCACCTCGTCTTGCTTTGCCTCGTCTTGCTTATTCATGGAGGACGAGGTGAAGTAAGGGTGAGACTAATCAGTGATGACTGTGTATCATATGAGATCACTCGGTTAACCTGAGATCCCGATTCTTGGAATTGAGAGAAGAACTTGGCTTGACTAATGAGATGAATGAGTAAGACGAGAAGAGAAACTGCTCTTGAGGGGTAAACAACGAACTGAAGGGATGAAGTTTCAGACAGAGACTGCGACGATAGCCGTCGCCCGGGCTGGGGGCTTCAGGAGGCTTATTCTAGTGAGAAGCCAGGGACAATGTTGAGAAGCCACAAAGGCCATAATGGCTGCTTATACGACGATTCAAAAGGACAAAGAGCAGAAAAAAGAACCAGTGACACCGGAATAGACATACCAAGAGGCATGATACAAACAGATCCTGATTCCCGACACGGCCCCCCGAAACAGAGAGACTGATGTTTGTCGTATGTACGTCTGTACTGATGTGGCACAGGTGCTTCGGAGTACCGTGGTTTGGAGCATTGTGGTTCGGAGTACCGTGGGTATGTATGCAGTAGACGATTGGATGGTATTAATGTTGCTGCCGGCTGCTTTGTAAGCCGAACCCGGGCGTCGGGGAAAGCGGCCGATAGGTTTAGGTGTTCGATGGTAAGCAAGTAGACTTATTTGGACTGCTAATGTACCCCGCGACTTGGTTCTACTTCGTGTAGGATTGCTGATTACATATGCACAATGGTATGGGACGATGATTAGCGACTACAATTGCCGGGATGTCATACAGTGCTTAGTATTCAGGGAGCTGTTTGATGATCCGTAGTGGTTCCATCCTTGTTCCCGACGCGCATATCGACATTTGTCGGTACAAGATCTTCGTACGGGCATACACGCTGGTTGCGCCATCGATTGCATTGCACTCGAAATGTTCGTAATCATAGAATACCCCGCCTCGAGCACGCAAGCCAAGAGACCATGATACCTACTGGATCGATGACAGCTCCTTGCATCCCGCTGGATGATCGAACGGCGTCGTTCTGTATAAAAGGGCTCTCCGAGGCGTTCATTCAGCAATAGTTAGTACACAACACATTAATAACTTCTTCGGCTTCCATTCAGCAGTAGTCCACAACACATCAATAACGTCTACAGCTTCACCCCACGCACACACAGTTCTCATGGCACCCAAGTTTTTCCTGTCGGTCCAAGTTCGTCTCCTGCTTCTACGATCTACATACTGACATCCCCTCCAGCACCGGCGTAACCGGCTACATCGGCGGCAGCGTCTTTGCCCGCCTTGCCTCCACCCACCCAGAATACGAAATCACCGTTCTCCTGCGCAGCGTGCCCGACGGTTTCAAGGAGAAATATCCCAACGTCAAAATCGTCAAGGGCGACTTTGATAGCGCCGACATCATCACCGCGGCAGCCGAAAATGCCGATATCGTGATCCGTATGTACTCCCCCTCCATTTCCATCAGGTGGACAAAGGCTGACCTTCTCGCAGACGCCGGCAACTCAGACCACGTTGCCGCCAACGCCGCCATCCTGGCCGGCCTCTCCAAGAGCAAGACACCCACCTACCTCCTGCACCTCAGCGGCACAGGTACGGTAGCGGACTTCACGTCGCCCGACTTCGTCCCGGGAGCGCCCAACCCCAAGATCTGGAGCGACGTATCGGACCTTCCCACGATCAGCACGTTCCCTTTGTCCTTCCTCCACCGGCCCGTCGACAGCAAGATCCTCTCAGCGGCATCCACTCTGGGCGGCGGTGGCAACATCCGCACGGCGATCGTCGCACCGCCAGCCGTGTACGGGCGCGGCTCGGGCCCGCGCGTCACGCAGAGCTTCGCGATCCCGTTCTTTGTCGAGGACGTCCAGAAGTTCGGCGGGCGCACGTTCTACATCGGCGATGGCGCCAACGAGGCCGCCGTCGCGCACATCGACGATGTTGCCGCGGTGTTTGTCAAGTTGGCCGAGATCGCTGTCGCCGGTGGTGAAGGCGCGGATTGGAACGAGAAGGTACGCGCACAACCACCCCCCGGGATCGATTGAAAATTTGTTCGTCGCTGACACGCATAGGGCTACTACTTTGTTCCCGTTCACCAGCCCGGTATCACCTGGAAGTCCGTCGCTGCCGCGGTGGGAAAGAGCCTGAAGGCTCGAGGCATCATCAAGAACGCCGAGCCGATCTCGGTCGGGCCCGAGGACACCGACAAGATGATTGACGGTTCGCAGATAGGACTCTACATCTACGGATCGAATTCAAAGATCCGCGCGGATCGCGCAACGACCCTGCTGGGTCTTGAAGCAAAGGCTCCAGGGTTCTTTGAGGTGTTGGAGGAGGATTTGGATGATGCGTTGAACGATAAACAAAGGGATTCAGCGCAAATGAGAGCGTTGACCGGGACGAAGTAGCGAAAGAATGGAAGAATGTATGGATCTATTACATAGGAAGCGGGGAAACAAAAAAATGGAGGACTTGGGAATCGAACCCAAGACCTTCTCAAGTCACGATGATGCGAATGAGACGTTATACCCCTAAACCAGACCCCCATGTGATACTAAACATGTTTAATAGTATGATAATATATGAAAACCCAAAATCAACCACCAGCTAGCGACCATTTCATCCAATTTCTTCACGCGTGCCTACCTTCTGGAACCCGGCGATCACAACAACCAAGTACTCATATGCATAAATGTTGCCCGCATAAAATCAAACTACAGGATTCAAGTTCCGAAATAATATTTACGCCACTTCCAACGAGTGGTACCTAGCATGCTTACAACGCACCATCCTTCTGGCCAAAGTTGCAGCCACCTGAAGATCTTACCACGCAGCCCCACCAACGTCCGAACTCACCACACAGCCCGCGAAAAGAAGAAAAAAACGATATCTCACTACCATTGGTCAAATTCCGCATATGGACCTTCGGGGATATACAAAAACAAAACGAATGGAGAACTAGGGAATCGAACCCTAGACCTTCTCAAACTATGACATTTTGCCAATGCAAATGAGACGTTATACCACTAAACCAGATCCCCACAACGATGATGATGACGAAAACTACGCAATTTGATACTATAATCTAACCGATATTATGCTAGATCGTGGCAAAAGTTTACAACACGTCCGTCCTACAGTGTCATACTGGGATGTAGTCCCCTCATAGGTAATAATCCATCTAGAATTGCGCCACTATGTCCACATTTGCAACCGGTATATCATCAACAGCACACCTACCGCCCACTCCAGCCGAAATATAACAGCACAACGTTTATAAGAACGTCTGTCGTATGGGTGACGATTCGACGAACCGAAGGGCTCGTGCACTATCGCATCACCATCAACCTTTCCAAGCTCTATCGACATCTTGGAATGCTAGGCTCGTCCTCTTTGTCTACCATCAGCGAGCCACTTGACCATCAGCTTACATTCCAGTCCGCGCTAACCACAGCAAGCCTATCTCGTCATTGATCATCACCCTCATCAGGTGACCAACACGTTATGCCATCACATTTACCACATACTCCTCACCGTTCCTTTGAGTACGACTATGCTGTCGTAAAATATTCCGGGCCTATCGATTCAAGGCGATATTACTTGAATTACCGCGAATCTCCAAGAGGTTGACAAAGAATCGAGTGACTCAGTGTGCATTCGGGCCTTCTGGGTGCCTCCAGCTAGACAACTGTACAGGCGGCAGATGGCTATAAAACTCTGGAGAATTTGCATGGAGATAGTACCACCCGACCATACGAATCTCTTAATCGGCTAGGTCATTCACACTGTCATGTTAGTCCTCCAAACGAGACAAAACAAAACAACAGATCAATGAAAGAGCGGTTTTATAGAGCAGTCTACAAATCGAGTGTGGCGAGCCCCTCACCAAACCCCTCAACAACGTCCCTCCTGACCAACCCGTCCCCCCACTCCTTCACTTTCGCCGACCAGAACTCCTTTCCATCAGCACCATACCACGCGCCCGCAATACCACCATAAACCGCGGCGACGGTATCTGCATCATCCCCCAAATTTACCACATCAATCGCGCCCTCCTCAAAGCTATCCGTCCTAAAAAACACCCAAAGTGCCGCCTCCAGAGTATGGACCACATACCCGGAGGAACTAATCTTCGCCTCCTCCTTCGCGACCCACTTTCCATCCGCAAACGTCGCCGAAAGCTCATCCGTCTGCCATTCCCACTTATTCACCATCCCCAGCAACTCCGACTTCTTCATCCCCCTCCCCTCTGCCGCCCTCCTCAGAATCTCGACGACCAACGAAACATACAGCGCGCACGCCTCCTGACAGACACTGTGTGGATGCGTGACCGCGGAGCTTCTCCTCGCCAACGCCTTCGCGTTCTCCGCATCGCGCCAGTACGCGAGCGCCACCGGCAGCACGCGCATCAGCGATCCATTGCCGCATCTATTCTTATGGTCCAGACTCTTTTTTATCTCCTGGAGCCCTCTGCCGCTGCGCCAGATATCCACCGCCACCCTTGTGGCCATCCCGGCATCGAAGAACGTGCCGGTCGCGGAAAGGTAGCCTTCGTCAACCCACCGGACGTAGCGCGATCCTTGGTCGGCTTCCGAGAAGCCCTCGCGGGAGTTGATCAGCGAGTCGGCGAGGCACAACGCCATCGATGTGTCGTCGGTCCAGCACCCCGCGGGAAGGCCGAAGTTGTTGTTGGGGACGAAGGAGGTGATGTGCGGGAAGGTGCCCCGCCGGTGGAATTCGGCGGGGCCGCCGAGCGCATCACAGATGGCGACGGAGAGCAGGGATATGTGGATCTTAGTCGCGATGGGCGCTGGAACAAGGGGTGTGGTGGAGGTCATGGTGGGATAGCGGGTGGATATCGAGTTTGTAACGATATGTATACACAAGTAGCGGTCGGTACGTCTTGTATCATATACCTTTGCGGGGCGATGGGCTGAGCTGGTTGGGGAAGCTGAGGCCTGAGGGCGTTACACCACGGCTTACAGGGATTGCTAATTCGATACCAACAGGGTTAGATGGGGCTGAGTGAGTCAGTGTGACTCATGCAGCTGCAATGCGAGTGAGTGTAATCTGGAAACCCAGAGACTTCAGTGTGGCGAGGTAGATAGATACTCTACACACCAGATTTAACATGAAAAAAAACACGCGGGTTTCCATTCCGCTCATTCGTGCTATACAGTCACTGCCGTCTACGGTATGTAGATACAGATCACTCTTTTTCCCCATGGTAGTTGGGCGGTGGTTCGTTTAGAAATTGCTGCGCCCTAGAAGAATTGCTGGACACGGAGTTGAAAAGGCCGAGTGAGGTCCATGACTACGAGTGATTCTTCTATCGATCGAGTCTAACCCTATGAGACCTAGCGTCGATGCATGAAGTTCGGCATCTACCGGCCATATAGCGAACAAGAACTTCGACATCCACCACCAGCGATGCCGCCCCTCCATCTTCCGCCCCGCTTCTTGCTCCCATCAGGAACTACCCGCCGGGGATTGCTACACTTCTGCCGAAACTACAGCGCATCTAGTTCCCCGCGCCCCTCTCCCACCGACAAAAGCATACGCACCCATGCCCCATCTTCAAATCTCCACTAACGAGCTGCACAGTCTTTATCGCGCTATCCTCGGGCATCGATAGCACCGTCACGACATCACTGCTACTCCGCCACCACCCACGCGAGAACCTGCACCCGATCTACCTAGCGAACTGGGAGCCCTCTCAGCACCCGACTTCATCTGCGCCCAAGCTCGGCCCCTACGGAAAACCTCTCTCCGCCGATGCCGCTTCGCCCCAGCCGGAGAAGCAGAAATGCGTCGACCGGGAGTTCTCACGCGTGCAGCAGATCTGTGAGCACTTCGGACTGCCGAACAAACCGCTGAGGCTCAGCTTTGAGAAGGAGTACTGGAACGATGTTTTCGAGCCGATGCTAAACGCGTACGCTAGCGGCGTCACGCCGAATCCGGACATAGGCTGTAATCGCGAGGTGAAGTTTGGCGCGCTCGCGAAAACTCTAAGTGATATGGCCGGCGGTCGGAATTGGTGGCTGGCGACGGGACATTATGCCCGTGCCGATGCGGCGGGCAGGCTCTATAGGAGCGCGGATAAAAGGAAGGATCAGACTTATTTCCTGTCCACGGTGACCGCTGAGGTGCTGAAGCACTGTCTTTTCCCGCTGGGTGCAGAGGGGTTGTTGAAGACGGAGGTTAAGGAGCAGGCGAAGAAGCTCGCAGTTCCGGGATGGCGCGAAGGGGAGGAGACCGGGGAGTCCTTTGGGCTATGTTTCGTTGAGCCTGCGGGCGGCAGGAATTCCGGGTTTCGAAGGTTCCTGGGAGAATATCTTCAGCCGGACCCGGGGTACTTCGTGGTGGGCGAATCGCGGGAGTCCTGGCCGAGTGGAGAGAAGATTAACATGCCGAGTGCCGGGTCCGTGGTGGGAACACATGAGGGGCTGTGGCATGCTACGATCGGTGAGAAGGCACGCCTGGAGCTGCCGCAAGGTTTGCCAATGTTTCAAGGCCGATGGTTCGTCAGCCGGAAGGATCGGAGGCGAAACACCATCGAGATTGTCAAGGGCGGCGATAATCGCGCGCTGTTTTCGAAGTCAATGGTGATCGATGATTGGTATTGGCACGGTAATGACGCGGAGGCAGCTGCCACGCGGCATCAACCACGGCCGGCGGAGACGGCGGAAGGAGAAACTTGGGAGAAGGGACTTGTGACACAATTCCGGCATATGCAGAGGCCGATTCGAGTCCGGGAGGTTAGGGTATTGGGCGAGGGCAGGAAGATGGGAACGAAGAGGATCATGATCTCGTTCGACACGCCGCAGAAGTCGGTGGCGGAGGGACAGAATGCAGCCTTGTGGGACGGTGAGAGGTGCTTGGGTGGTGGGGTCATCGAGGAAATGGAGGCAGTGTGATCTTATAAAACTATGTCCGACTGTGTTTATCTCCGCTCTGCGCCATATCTGACCTCAGCACGGCCATTCGATCTCATCGCAATGTGTTCGTTGAGCGTATGATTCTCTTGTGCATTATCACCCGCTCAACAGTAAGGCGCTCTCGAAACATCCATAATGTACGTAACGAATATGACGATTAAACAAAAGAGAAAAACTGATATTAGCGCTTTTGGTCGGAGACGAGTGTCATTCCATGCACCGCCGGTTTCAAACCCACGGCAAAAGCAAAAACCATCACCACCCCCGGTGGGGTGGCTTGGAAACCCCAAGAGCGGAAAGATATATTTTTCACCCGGGTTGGAGCCCGGAACTTTCTCTCCACTCCCCTCGCCGATTGCATGTCCCAGACCACTGGACCACGCGGAGGTTTTTTCCGCGATGGGAACTCGGATTTGAAAACTATGAACCCGTGATATAAGTGCTCCGAGATGGACTCGGCTTGCCTGCAGGTAGCCCCGCTCCCTCCCTCCCCCTACCTCCAGCTTCCAAGTTAGCTGTTCCATTCTCTGCTCGAGCAATACAAATTTAAACGGAATCAATGCTACTCAGCTACATACACGGCCATTCAGTTCCACTGACATGCAAAACCGGTACATACGGCCATCTACTATACACAGGCATCTGGCTACGCAATTACCCCGGCATGCAGTTTCATACGTTCGTCGATCCATCCTGATAGATTAAACCCCACTTCTGTAGTTTCTTTTATTTCCCATCAGGCAGTCATTTTTCCTTAACTGGCGGACTACTGGTGGTGGTATGTACATAATACCTATGTTTGACGGTCTTGCTCACTATCCTTAGGATCGCGGGGCCTACATCTTTCGCTCCACACACGCTTATGGAGGCTGAGCAGCTTTCATGTCCCTTAAAGGCGAGGCATGAGAGTGTGTAATCGCCGCACAACCCCCCATGCGGTACTTTCCTTATAACACCAGCAGCCTCTCCGCGGCACTGATGAACCACCTCCCACCCTTCGCCGATCCGCCTTCCAGCCGACCAGGTACTTCCAAATGCCGCCGTCGGAATCGCCTCGCTCCATCCCAGCCGGTAAGTAGGCAAGAACCGACACCCATCCCCTCCCATCCTCTCATACACGAACTCACGCACAAGCATTCTGTTCTCATCCTTCTCATCCAACTAATCAAGTCTTCTTCTAACTACATTTCAACATGGGGCCATAACCGTCAGTCGAGTGACACATTATGGCTACTATCCTTGGTATGTACCAGAAATCATCAGGATACGAGATGATATTAGGTAACTAAGGGTGAGTGCTACTGCCATACGAGAAATAAATGATCCTCAATAATAGAACGTATAGATCGAAGCAGAACCGACGCTCCCTAAAATTCCGTTTTTTTTGAACAGCAAAGCGAACGGAATTCCGAACAGCCTGCGCGGAGTGGACCGCGAATTACTCGCATGTCTTTGTTCGACCGGGACTCAGATTTCCGATCGCAGGAAAATAAAGCTACAGCGGCGATACCGTACCTATCTGCTTATATCTAATTCAGAAAATATTCTCCCACCCCCACGCGTCCGTTCTCTGTGATTCGCCTAACCATCGCGCGACCAATTCTGTGCGATCGCAAAATCTCCCAACGATGGGGATCTGGTTTAGTGGTATAACGTCTCATTTGCATTGCCGTTTCTTCACCAAAAGAGCGGCGCGATTTGAGAAGGTCTAGGGTTCGATTCCCTAGTTCTCCATACCTTTTATCCCAGCCCGGAACAGTGAGTGCTCCTTGTTACTCTGTTGGCAGGGTGGACTAGTGAAAGAAGGAGCTTGGAAGTGTTCGGACACTGGTGCCTGGAAGGAAAATAGCCGAGGGCCTGTGAAAACAGTGATGATAATAACCCTTGTCTGGAATTCTTCCCACTGGCCCGGACACGGTTAATTTTGTTAGAGCAAAGCAAATCTCGGATACGTCGTTCGAAATTCTCGTATATATGTTGGAGCTCGCATCATCGACAAGAGTTCCATACGGTATCGATCCCGTTGCCAAGTTCCAACATACAGTTTTCGGCTAGGTGGGCATTCTTGACGGCGAAACACCCATGCCCGCCACCGCCAGCGGCCATAATGAATAATTTGTCGACCGGCCCATTTCTTGTGGAAACGGCTTCGAGGGGGGTGTCGCATACCTACTCAGATGCACATTGATTTTCTTGCCATTTGGCAATTTTCTTGAGAGTCGTTTGACCGCTTTTCCTCCTGAGACCTCCAGCGGCCGCTTCCGGTGGATTTCGGCCCCCAGTGTCCACTGTCTGGATACCTACCTAATGTACTTGCTTGTGCGTATTCTTGCTTACGAGTATTCAGCCTGTGGAGAGGCTTATGTACGCCGCCCAGTGGTGGGGGTTCAGCATAGGCATAAGGTATGTACGGTAGGTACCTGCTTATGTCTCGGCCGGTGAGGAACAGCCTCCCCCGTACCGAACAGCAGTGCGGTGGGGGGGATGAAGTCTGGCCGAGCAGTGACCGGTCTCCTCCCTCAAGCCAGTACGAACCACTCCCCATGGTTCGCATTCTCTATCAGCGGCGTATGCATCTTCCGTATCTTCCGTATCTTCCATATCCTCCGTTTCCTCCGTTTCCTCCGTTTCCGGTGGCGACGTTGAAACCGCTACATAATCCCGGCCGCCTGCCCGCCGGCATGTACGGTAGAGTACTCTACACAACCCCGGACTTCCCCGGATCCATCATCGCCCCCGGGCCCCAACCCGCATCCCGCTAGTGCCACTGCTCTGCCGCACCACGGAAATTCCAGGATCAGCACTAGAGTAGTTAACTAAACCCCAAGTATCTAACGCTTTTTCGAGTCTCGATCACAAACCTCCTAATTCCCGCATCGGGGCTTTATCCGGCGCTGGACGGGGCATGCTCTACTATCTATACTATAGAGTCTACACATTCGTGGGAGTGGGTACGTACGCCGGCCGCCGCACGGATACATAAATCCCCAATGCCCCCTCGCCCCGCGCGGCGAGCGCCCATCACTACCACCACTCACCACGACCACCACGACCACCGCGCACTCACCACCACCCTCACCCTCACCCTCACCTTCACCCTCACCTCTTCCACCCCCCCCCTCACCACCCAACACACACAAACAGCAATGCCCCCCCGCCGCCGCACCCTAACCCTCTCAACCTCGGCGCGGCAGGCGCGCATAGAGCTGATCCAGCGGTGCACGGACGACGCGCAGCTTCGCGGGATGTTCGAGAGCTCGTACGACCTGTACGAGCGCAACCGCAAAATGTTTCCCGCCGAGGAGCGGTACGGAACGTTTCGTGGGTGGTTGGTTGGGATTTATGCTGCCCCGCAGTCGTGAGGGCCTGGGGAGGGAGGGGGAGGGGGGAGGGGAGGGGGGAGGGGTGAAAGGGGTGGGGTGGGGTGGAGGTGGAGGAAGACAGGAGGAATTTTGGGAGGCGAGTTCTGTGGATGGTGGATGGTGGATCAGGGGGGGTGGGGGCGGGGAGCTACTTACGCGGCGATACGATAATGGGGGTGGAGGTGGTGGAGATGATGGAGGTGGAGATGATGTGTACGATATATGCCGCCTGAGCTCGGGCTCGCGGAAGAATGGCTCCCTGTTCTGCTGTGCAGACGGTGAGAAGAAGATTACGGAAAATAATCCATCTATTAGCAGCACGGCACGATATTTGCGAGTGATATCGCGTGCTTCAATCTGTGCACTGGAGGAATGCGGAAAGGCAAACCGCGGTTGATACAGTACAGCTGCGAGCTGCATACGAGGATAGGCACCACTGAATAGTAGAGAGAGAGATATCTTCAGTTTATTTCGCATGCAGTCTATCTAGACTGTGGCAAAAACACTGTGTGGTAGGGTTGGAAAGTGGCTTGCCAAATAATGCGCGACGCGAGTGATGGGAACCGGATGGCAGCCGGTGCACGGCACACAGTCTAGTCTCGGCACCACTCCAATGCGGTACAACAATCTTCTAGACCGACTTTCGGCGACGGAAGAAGTGTAGTAATCCCGCCTAGACCAAAGCCGGGGTGGGCGGATCGGGGTTTTCTGTTTTCTTTTTTTTGTTTCATAATTCTTCATACCATATTCGACCTGATCCGGCCAGAATGGAACAGCCTTTTTTTTTGTTCACTCATTGATCGGGCAGGACAGCCGGGACGCTCTCAGCGAATGGCGAATGATATTTGATGTTTTTTTTTTGACTTTAGAAGGTATTCTCATGTATGTAGCATGTGCAGACTTTTGATATCAATTCCTAATTCACCACTGCCGCCCACCAGTCCACAGCACCGAGACTTGTATATCCCACAGCCCTCCATCTACCAGGTAAAAACATAGGTATTGCACTTACCCACCGCACCAAACAAACAGAACGTATTGTACATAACCCCCATCAAACAACCCACAAACGCAAACTCAACGCCGAACCCGCAGCCGTAAAACACAATCCATTCACCCAATCCCCCACCTAATCCCCCACCAGCACCTACGCCATCTCAGCCACCATCGTCTCCGCCGCAGGCGCGGCCTTAGTCCCAACGGCCTCCTCTAGCAGCCCGGCGACGCCGACGACCCTCTCGACCCTCCCCCCGAGGGCCTTAACCAGCTCCCTCCTGGTATCTCTCGCAAACTCCTTCCCAAAGACAGCGACATTGACTTCCTGGGACGTATACCAACTCGCTCTGTCACCGTTCGCACTGCCAAGCACCGTGATCTCCGCGTCGAAAATCATGGCCTTGACGTGGCTCTGCACTGCGTCCTCGGCGGGGTGGGCCGGTGGCGACCGGCTCGTCGATGCGCCCGTGTAGTACCATATCCCCAGCAGGCCTTTGGATACGCGTTGCTGCCGCGCGACGTAGCCGCGCCCCGCGCGCAGGGATTCGTCAGCCTTGATGAGGGAGCGCATGCACCCCTCGGTTGTGGCGGTGCCCGCCGTCGTCACTAGCTGCTCGATGAACATCATGCCCCGGCACGTGACGATGTCGATGTTTACGCCGCGGGCGAGAGCGGCCTCGAGCGCGTGCAGGAGCGGTTGGGATGTTAGGTTCGGGGTGTGTAAGTAGACGTTGGTGGTGGCGCAGTTCAGGGCGTGGAGGAGGAAGGTGTTTTGAGGGGTGCTGGGTGGGAGTGGCGGTGGAGCGCTGGGGAAGCAGAGGGCTTTTAGGGGGAGCGAAGGGCGGAACGAGGGGTTTCGGTGGTGTGGATGTGGGAGGAAGATGGTTGGGTAGGTTTTTGATGTTGGTGGAGGGGGATCGGGGGAGTCTGCTGGTGGTGGGAGCGCGAGTACGTTCGAGCCCGCCCAGATCTGCTGCCAGAATTGCGTGAATGCGGTAACGATGGGGCCGGTGAGTGTTGTGCACTGTTCCAGCCATGTTTCCCAGCTGATATTGGCCGAGGGCAGAAACAACGTGTGGCCGTCGACGATGCAAAATTTGCTGTGGAGCACACTGAACGGAAGGAAGAATATGCTCTTCACGCTCATATCCAGTCCCAGCAACTCCTCTGGCCCAGGCAATCCCATGGTGGCCCACGTACTTGGCAGATGCGTTTTCCCTTGTGGAGAGCTGGTGTGGAATAACTTCTGTGCGGCGGACGAAGACGAGAAGCCGATTCTCACCACTACCTTCCTCCCCGCGATATTCGCCAAGGCCCGGTGCGAGAGGTCCCGCAGCGCCTCGGCCAGCACCTCGCGGCTTTGCGATTCGGCCCAGAAGCATGTACTGAAGAGAACAGAGTGTTTTGCGTTAGCTATAGCGGCGGCGATGGTCTTCGTGACCGTGAGCCCCGTGCCAACGTGGAAAGCGGTTGGTGTGCTCATCGTGAGCAGATCTGCGGGTGGAAGGACAGTCTCTGACAGGTTGTCGCATGCCACCAGCGTCGACAGGAAACCAGTGATGATCTCGCGGTGGTGCTCGGTCAGCCCGAGGTTGTGCGAGGACAGTGCCGAGATGTATTTGTCCATCACCACGGACACGATGGAGGATGTGCGAGTTTTCGGCCGCATCATGGGATGACGCAGGGGGTCCATCGGATTCAGCGTATGCGTATACGTGTACGTTCGCAGCTGCGCGGGCGTGATGGGGATGTTAAAGACCAGCGATGCGATGAAGGCGAGAGTTTTCAGCAGCTCTGCGTGCTCGCTTCGAGCCCAAAGTGGCGAGACCAACTGCACTCGCCGGAACGGCCGGTCAGCTACATGCGCATGCACTATATCTTGCGAAGTTCCACAACCTCGAATCTAGGTATGTAGGACTCACAACAGCGGAGGTGACAATGGCCGTTGAGATGCGTTGCATGGAATGCGCTGATATGGGCCCACGGTTCCCTGGGCCAGGCACAGGTTTGGCTAGGCCACGTCAGGAAACTGGCCTTCCCTTCGACGTCGATGGTGAAATTGTAGCGACCGACGGGTGGAGTGATCTTTGCGTTCGTTCCTGCCTTGCTCGCTTCGGGGTGCCTGGGGACACGTGAAGTGAATTGGCGAGAACGGACCCGGGACAGGGCAGGGGGACGGAGTGACTTGACGAGGACGAATCCGGGCAGGGGGACGTGACGTCGCCATGATCCTAGCCCTTAGTCTTGGTTGGCGTGCCGGACCGTTGGCGCTCGGGTATCTCCGCGGGTGACACGCCATGTTGGCGCGGAGATCCACCACCGCAGTACCGCACCGCAGCGCACCGCTTCGTCGCTGCCGCCGCCGTTTCGATCGTTATGCTTTTTCTGACAGCCCCGAAGATCGAGCTAAATCACCCGTCAAACCCCGTAAGAATGCCCCGTGGAAGCGTCGTGGAACAGAAAATATTTTCCTGTGGCGTGGCAGCATGCAAACGCTCAGGGGCACGCCTATTTCCAGAAACCAGGTTACCACCGTTTCGAGTTCCGGTGGATTCGTATCCAGCATCCCACGGACGTAGGGTTCCCCCAGGAATGAACTGAGCGAAAATGAGCATCAAGGAGTCGATCATACCAGGAAGCCCTATACACCAAGCGCGAGTAGTATATGCTAGCAAGAGTGAAGAGGTGAATCACCCTACCGTATCACTCCTCCTCGCCTCATCCCCCATTCAAATGTAAACCCAATCCTAATCCCGAACCACCATCACCGAGAATTTATCACGCCTCTCAGCTCTGTAGCTGAAGCTTGATCCCAGAGCAGAGAGCAGAGAGCAGAGTATACGAAACCACACTCAGCGTCTGTGTCATTATCCGCCGTGAACACCGTTTCCCGAAGGCTGACATTAGTCCATTGGTGGAAAGCTGCAGAGGCAAGCTCCCCGCCGGGGCTGCTTTAGTCTTCGGGGGCTCGGAAGATCTATCCAGCCGACACTTCCGTGGATCCCACCTGCCTATGTTTTTAGGCCAGCACCTTACGGGTTGCTTTTGGATTAGTCGGCACTTTCGAATAAGTTACGATACCGTACAATGCTAGGGTAAGTAATCCCAGGGGGCGTGGGGTTCAGGTTGGTTCTCGGTGAGGCGACCACTCGTACCGTGGAAAGGCTGTGGGCCAAGAGGACAAGGGATTTTGAGGCGTGATGCTCGATGGAGTGCCCGCGTTGGAACACCTTGTGGCCAGATACCCCAACAATCTCGAAACGAAATCTGCATGACAACCAAAGAACCAAGTCGGCGATACCGAAGTACCCCTCGAAGTACATTCATCCCTGGCCTCAAAAGTAAGATATAACTTCCAAGCCTGCTTGGAATCACGCATGCGGATTCAGGCGCATACACAGGGTATCACTCGAGTTTCCAACGCAACCCAGAACCGCAAGAGCCAACTTATGCGCCAGAATCAATTGAGTGATATAAGAGTGAGTTACGTACAAAGCCATGGTCTTTTATCTTCCAAGCCCCACACTCAAGCACCAGCCACAATCACTCCTCGCCGCGATCGATTCATAGATCTAGGTCGATACTGTGGGCCTCATGACGCCAGACCCGATTCTGTCGGCCCCAACAATGAGATGTTGCTGGATACATACTTTTTATGTTCGTCTGGTCGGTTGGTCAACACACACACAACCATCATAGACCTTATCACCCCTCATTCATCATTGCTTTTCATCTTTGCGTTCATCACCTGAACAACACGGGTGGCTCTTTTCTTTCATTGTCGTTTCTCTCTCTAGTAAAATACGATCGGTCTCCTATGTATCTTCTTTTTAAAGTTGTCTAAGGGTCATCTCGTCCCCAGTGCTTCAATCCATACCCACCATACCTATTCCATCAAAAACAACCAGCCCAAATCTTCTTCCCAGCTTTCTCTCTTTTCAAGCCGGCCCTCTTTCACCCTTTCCAAGCCCGCCCTCGACCCCTCACTCATCCCACCCCCCCTCCACCAAACCCCAACCCTTTACCAGACCCATTGAAGCCACACAACAAAAGAATGGAGGACTTGGGAATCGAACCCAAGACCTTCTCAAGTCACGATCTATCAAAGATGCGAATGAGACGTTATACCCCTAAACCAGACCCCCATAGATGGCTAGTTTGTATGGCATTGGTTTGAAACCTAATTAAAGCAGAATTGACGAGCAGTGAGTATTAGGCGGGTAAGGCGGGTGATAGCGCACGCATGCACGTAAGCCGGTCTCCATGGTGAAAGGCGGCTGGGCTGGTCGGTAGGTGGATTCCAGGTGGTTTTCAGGTGGTGTTGTGTGGGTATGGGTGCTGGGTGTGGTTTTGGGTTGGTCGGAACTCGGAAGTGTAGACGAAGCATATGATGGTTTGTTCATGGGATGTGATTCGCTTTGTCCGTTCGCCTCGTAGATATTAGAAAACTACAACCGTCGTCTCTAGTTTGACTTCCCCCCAAGTACTGTAATGGGTAGGATTGAAGGCGGACGACAAGGGTGGAAGAAAACGAGTAGTGGAAGGAAATGGGGGTGGAAGGAACAAGAGGATGAGAAATGTAGGTAGGTAACTTGCGTTTGTTATTGCACCTTTCCATCCGGGAGAGTGATGGCAGAACCCATTAAGGGCGGAGTTAACCGATGCCGTTCATCGTGAATACCACTCACACAGTTTGGTTTACGTCTGATGGTCAAGACCAATAGCCCTTCGAGGCAACAACCATGATCCTCGTAGTTACCAGGAGTGTCGTGAATATCAATATTTGTACTTGACATCAGTTTCCTCATTCACTGCATGCAGCCACCCTACTTCACTTACGGGTGATGTAGGTGACTATAAGAGTTCAAAAGTTCCAAGAGTTGGAGTTGACAGGCCATGATTAAGAATACACACGGCTATGACCATTTTAATGATAGTGCCAGCCCCCTCGCCCCCCCTCGCCCTGCAGTACGCATTCTCCAACCCCCCCGCTTACAAAAGACCAAACCAAGGTATCATCATCACATCACATCGTATCATATCAATCACTCCCCTTCGCCCTCACTATCACCGTCACTGCGCGGTCATATGCGTCGCCATCCAGGCGCCAAACGCGGTCGGATTCCTGGTCTGGATGAAGACGGTTCCCGGGCCCGTAAACCTACACACCAGGCCCTCAGCAGACGCCATGCCCGAGAGCACGCCTCCACTGGCGATACGCTCGATGGTGTACTTCGAGTTCCACGCGACGAGGTGCTCGTTGTCGACGATGTACTGTTCTCCTGGTGCCATCTATTTATCGTCAGTAATGGGCGAGTGGGGGGGAGGAGGCGCGGGGCGCGGGACTGACATTTTTCTGGATGATTGCGCCGAGCGAGGTGACGAATAGGACTCCCTGCCCGAAGATCTTGTAGACGAACAGCCCCTCGCCCGAGAACATGGCCTTGCCCAGTCCCTGAGTCTTGTAGTCCTTCTGTACGCCCTGGGTGCATGCCAGAAACGCGTCACGGCCCACATTCCACGTCTGCTGGCCGTCGAGTCTGATCGGAACGATATCGCCCAGCGCCGCTGGGGCGAGCAGCAGCTCTCCCGGGCCAGTGTAGGTCGACTGCGCGAAATCACCCCCGGCGATGAGCTTTTTGAACGAGAATTTCACCTGGCCCTTGAGCGTGACTGAGGGCGACATGGCCACCATCGCGCCGGGCTTGGCCTGGATGGGACATCCGTGGGCGAGCTGGAGTGTGAGAAGCGTGTTGGTGTCTCGGTGGTCGATGCGGTAGCTGCCGCCGTTAAAGCTGCCGATTGTGTCCGTGACCGTGTTGTTTCCCTGCGCGGGCGTCTGTTGCGGTGCTGGTGGAGGAATGGCGGAGTGCGAGGGGTCAAAGGCGGTTTTCGTAATCGACGGAGGGTGGGAGATCGGTGCGGCGCCTGTGTTGGGGGGCGGAGGATACTGGCCTTGCTGCGGCTGTGGAGGTGGCGGGTATTGGCCCTGTTGGGGGGACTGTGGCTGCTGAGGTGGGGGAGGATAGTAGCCTTGCTGTGGCTGCTGATGGACTGGCGTGCCAGGCGGCGGTGGGTATTGCTGTTGCTGCTGGCCGTATTGCGCCTTTTCGGGGGGTGCTAGATGAAGCTGTCAGCTACATGCGTGGGCGGGGAGCTTCCGGGTAGCTCACGGGGGTAGTAGTTTCCTTGCGGAGGTGGGGGGGATCCGGCGAAGCCCGACATCTTGCGATTGTATTAAAGCGATTGTTCCGTGGAGCTGCCCATTGGTTAGCAAGTGGTCGATACCTTCACTTCACGTCGCTGCACGCCCATCCCAAGCCATGCGTAGCCAAGTAGCGGCTGCGTTCATGGACAGGCTGCGAAGCAACTACCCCGCATAACTAACAGGGATGTGTGGGTGGAATGGGGAAACTTACAGAAAGATGTGTGTTGCAACGAGAAGCTGGGAGACGTTTATCTTAAACGGATGGAATCGCGGCTTGGTGAAGTAGGGGATTTATGTGAGAGATGAGGAGAAGTGAGGAGGAGGCGGAGGAAGAGGAGGGGGGGAGCAGGATGGCTCATATTATAGCTGTGCGACGTGACACAGCGGCTGAAAGTCCGGGTGTGGTATTTTTGGGTACTGGCCTAACTGATGGCTTTGGCGTCAACGTAACTCGTCTGCGGATGGTTGCATAGCCCAGCGCCTCACGAAACAACGGTTGTTGAAGCAGGAAGGTGGTGAAAATTAGTCGTATGTGCAAGGCGAGTGATGACATATGCCGCATTGCATTAGATTTAAATTCCTCAACCGATCTGACGAGAGATACATAGCGCAGTCCCAATATCTGGCGATAGTATGCGCATGCAGAATTCGATAGTTACTATCACTCAGGCCGTCGCTACTTAGTGTCCGTTCCGATATGGCTTCGATTTGACGAGTTGCCAGCATTTACCGCACTTTGCCACCACTTGCACTCAAAACTAAAGTTTTAACGAGATAGAAACCGTTAGATATCAACGAAGGGTTTTGAGCACATAAATTTTTCGGCACTTCAGGTTGGAGCTGATTTTTGTCCGGTGGTCTATGTAGGTGTTGTAATCTCATTGGGCCGAGAAAGCAGTATTGAAGATGACATGGAAAGATCGGATTTTGTTGTTTAATCATTGATTGCATACGACTTGGTATCTAGATCATGGCAATATACACCCATATATACAATGTATACACTCCGTTTCCACTCCCACTTCCCAATCCGATTTTCATCGAGCGGCCCGATGTGGCTTCTCTGGCCTTTCCCGACGATATACCTTCTTCGCCAGCCCGGGCTGAGTCCGGTACTGGTATCCGTCCGTCTGGCAACCTCAGTAGCGACAACTTCAAGTAAGAAAGTCCAAGGCTGCCGGTCTAACTACGTGACCGTACCTCTCGCCCGCAAAGCGATCATCCACGCACTTACGAGCCCTCCCCGCCGAAACTTTTGCCCACAGGATCTTCAGCTGGCTTTTGCATCCGCAGCAGAACTTAAGTCTTGATTCTTGACTCGGAGGTGCTCCCGCCAGACCTGGGTTTTGTACTACCTAGAAGTGGCATCATCAGGCATCCGCCGCGGGCGTCTGCGCGGCTCTTTCTCCTACTGAATGTGTGTATACCGGTGAGGCAGTGCCGCAGTGCCCTGTCTTCAGCTGATCTGTAGAACCTTTTACCTTCAGGCCCGACGCATGCCCAGACGCTTGGCGTGTTATGGTCGGGATCGGGTCCGCATTCTGCCTTTTTCAGGGCAGTGGGGGGCGTCCGTCCGTCATCTGCATGTCATGTCAGCAGAGCTGACGAGTGATACTGCGTGCGGTTGCATTTCTTCGCCGATGCTTTGTCGTTTCAACATTCAAGAACTCGACGCGGTGATAGCTTGTAATAGGTGGCCACTATTTTGGAACGCAGTCAATTTCTACGGTCCAGACTCCAGAGACTCCAGCCTCTAGACGATAGTGATACTCGGAGATACGTCCAACGAAAAAAAAGTTTTTGATTCCTCCCGTCTTAATTAACCCACTACCGCATTTACAACCCACAATCCACCGCATCAACCCTCCTCCCCCAACCTCTTCAACTCGCCATTCACAAACGACTCGGCATTGATGAGTTCCGTGCTTCCATAGACGACCTTGCGCCTGATGCCCGCGCCGCTCTGTCCGACCCTACGGCTCCACTCCTGCAGATTCCCGTACTCCTCCATATTCCCGCCGCCGACGGTGAACACGACCGCCTCCGCAAAGCCCTGCCGTCGCTGGCCGAACGTGGGTCCGCCCGCAACCGGACGGCCATCGGGCCCCAGCCGCGCGACGCCCGCAGGATTCCCCGTGGTGCCGCGCGCGGACGACGAGCGCGGGTCAAAGAATAGGTAGCTCTCTGTTTTGCCCAGGGCAGAGGTCGAGGACGACGTCGGGTCCATGAGTGACTCCACAATTTTGGTGATCGTGAGGTCTTTGTTCACCGGAAGGAAGTTCTTGACACCCGAGATCAGGTTTTCGAACCCGCCGCCAAGGGCGCCCGCATCTTTCAGCCGGTCGGTGAGCTGTGGCGAGGAGGTTAACCAACACTCTGCCAAAATCTGATCGCGAGGCACATACCCTGTTACTGATGGAGCTGAATCCCCTGAACAGATCACCAGTTGTCGTTTGCGCCGCCGCCTGCTGTTGTGAAGGCGCCGAAGCCATCATTGTCATTCGGGTGATTTCGCGAACCCTGTAATACGCATTAGTCATCACGAATACCGAAATCAGTCATGAGCTTTTACTTCTTGACGTAGGCCAACGCCGCCATATCGCAGCCGGCCTCTCGCAACGCGGTTTCGTAGTCGTTCATATCGGCCTTGCTGGGGTCTTGTTCCGAGTTCAGATACCTACAACCTTGGTAAGCAACCATTTCGTTTCGGAAACACGACTGTAGCCGTTGTACCAAATTATGAAGGCCCTCATCTTGTCTGTAGCGTTCTTCTTTTCCGGATCGTTGATAACTTCCAAGATCTGCGCCTTGTTCTGCCTTGTAATGTTTTCCTCGATCTGATAGAAATTGTCAAGTTGGCGCTCTTTGATTCCCTTCAGCAACGCCGTAGCAATGTTCATATGCATGTCGAGAATCGCTTTCCGATCCCGCAGTTCAGGCAACTGTGTAATTGCCGCCTTGAGGTGAGCCGCCGAAGCTCCGACGTCACTACGGATGGGGTCAGCGCTGGATCACGTGAAAAACATGGTTGGATTGTCGAGCGAACGAACTTTTGAAGATCCTCCAGAGAGCTAGCACCCGTCTTCCTCGTGATCTCGGCGACATCCTCCTTGTATTTGGTCAGCTCCGCATCGATGTCCTCCGCAACCTGCGGGAAGGGAACACCGGCGTTTTTGGCCCAGAAGAAGTCGTTCGAGTTCAAGTCATAGCTCTTTTTGCTAACTTTCCCTCCGTCCTCGACAGTTTCCACGGTGATGCGGTTCAATCGCATGCCTAGCACGTCATGCACCAGTGCTTGATACGTCCACGAGTGCGAGAGCATCGGCACCAGATCGATGTTACGGTCAACAATGATAAGAACCGGGCGGGTCTGCGAACTGGCCGACGAAGAAGAAGAGTGCGAGGAAAACAGGTTGTTGTCACGGGAGTTCAGAACGTGGTCGCGGAGCTTTCGGTCAAGCTTCTGAGCTATTATTTCAGCGGCGTTGCCTTTGGGACATCGGATGATGGGGATGGAGCCTGTATCGCATCACAATCAGTAACCAAACATACAGTTGTCGTTCTTCCGCGGCAAGCAGTTGTGCCAACGGCGGGAAAGGCGCAAGCAATGAATCCTCACCCATTGTCACCACCACGGAAAACAAGCCGCCTACGACCTTGTCGATGGTATGCTCGATAGCGCTATCGGCAGCTTGCGCTGAGTTTAAGGTGTAGTAGGCGTCCTTGAGGTGTAAACTGAAAAGATCCGGTTCCGAGACCACGAAATTGAGGTACTGGTCGAAGACCTGGGCGATTTTCTCCGAGGTGTTGTTCTCCGCCGTCATTGCCGCGAAGTCCTCCAGCAAGGGTCTCGGTACCGACGAAAGAAAGTTCACATAGGCGGTCTCGTAGAGGTTTTTGGACAAGTCCGCTGCGATGGCGGCAACATTCTCGGACGTCGGCTCGACCAGATAGACGACGGGAACATCGGGGATCGGATGGCGGGGCGAATGGAGGTTCAAATGGATGGTCACGCCGAAGTTGCGAAGGTCCTGAACTCGAAGCACCGACGAGATCACATCGCGGCCCAAGTTGTCGAAGACCAACACCTTCCATATGGGTTCGCCGTCTTCGTTCAAGAGCGGTTTCGCGGCGGGAACGAGGCCATTGGCATCGGGCTCGGGCTTGGGCTGGTCATGATTGAGGTTGAGTATCTTCTCGATCGAAGCTGTGCAATGGTCGGGCCAGTCAGCGGGGCTGGAGTTCTCGCGGCACCGGGGGAGCAGAGTACACACCTACCCACTTGACGATCTCGTAGAGTTTGGCGATGCGTAGCCATCGTTGGAATCGGTTCCTGTGGTTTCTCGGGAATCGGAGCTCGCAGAGAGCAGGTGGATCGGGGGTGACGAGAGAGCGGGAGTTGGTTGGTGGGTGGGAGGGAGCTCTATGGTCTGTTTCGCTCCGGCAAGCAGCTGATCTTTCGCTTTCTCTCTGTGTGCGCTTGGTGGTACGTGTTTGGATCTGAAGAGTTCTGTCGTTCGGAGCTAGAGTAGAGGCAGTTCGAAGCCGAACACTCAGTTCCGCTGTCTGTTTCCGTGAGGGTCTGATGCTTTTCTGGCTCTGTATGCTTGGCGAGTTCGGTGGGGGGCAGAGTGACGACGGAGTGTACGGAGTATGCGTAACGGTGGATGTCTCGTCGTTGTCCGGATGCAATGTAGCTTTGACGGGCCTTGACTAAGCTCTCTCCGCCCATCATCATCGGCATCATCGTCGTGTCCTATTCATGGCGCCATGCCAAGCCACCGCCGCAGCAGCAACAGCAGCAGCAACTCTACACACTCTACATATGACTTGTTCTGCCTCTTTCCTTCCTCTCCCTCCTTCTTTGCCTTTCGCTCGCGCTCTCTATCTCTCAACGTTGCGGTGCGCTGTTGTTCAAGTTGCCGCGGGTCATTTCAAGTGGCACGGGCAGAGACTGAGCTTCAACGTTCAAAACGCAGGCAAGCCATTTCACCCTCCCCCTCTTCTCTTACCTACACCCGACGTTTCCTCTCTCCCTTCCACATACTCTCCCCCCTTTCCCACAACCACTCCCCCACATCCTTCTTCCTCAACATCCACTCTACACCCACCATCAAACCGCCATCATCGCTGCAGAATCACCACATATAATTCACTGTTGGAGCCGTCAGTGACAGCGCCACCGACACCAAGGGGACTGACTCTCGCCTGCGCCTAATATTCATCACCAGGGTAAGCAGAAAATCGAGCGCGCAAAGAAGAGAAGACGCGATAAACCGCTGTCCTGACTCCTGCCGCGCTTCTTCCCATCATCATCATCCACTTGTTTTTGCTGCACGGGAGATTTGGATTTTCCTTTTTATTGTAAGAACCTTTGAAGTTTGGCAGTGTTCTCTGCGTGGCGATAGGTTTCCTCTACCTGGTCAAACCAGAAGAGACCTCCGAGAACGGAGGGGGGAGAAGAAGAAGCAGAGCAGAGGTATCTAAAAAGACAGGGCCGTGATCGACAGAGTCGAGCGACACGAACTGCTTGAGAGAGATCATCGCTCCTTCGCTTTTCCCCTTTCCATCGTGCCCCCCTCCCCCCTCCCCACTCTTCCACTCCCGTTCCTTCTCGCAGACCCAGGTCGTTGCCACAGTGACGACGGTCAGCCGGCTTCTGAAGTGGCGGCTCTTCCACTCCCTTGCTCTCTCCCTCTGTCACCGTCATCGTGCGTATAGACAATCGGAGAAGACGAAGAAGAAGAAGAAGCAGCAGAAGCCGAAGGAGGGACGTGAAGAGACGATAGACTCGACTCCCTTCGATCCATCTACCCCGTTGCACTCCTCCCATCCATCCTCTATTCCCCATTCCTCTTCGCCGAGTTGCTCTGTCCTGTTCATCCGGGCTCATTTTGCCGACGAAGCCACAGACACGGCGACAGAAGCGGGACCAGACCGCATCCGATCCCAAAGACCCTTAATACCCCTCCAATCGGCAATTCCGCTGTCCGTCTTTGCGGCAAATTGTGTGTTTCGTTCGTCCTTTTCTTTTTCTTGCACTCCTCACGTACGGTCGCACACGGCCACGCCGTTCGTCGCCGCCGAGCCATCGCCATCATTTCTTTCCCCTTGATTTTGCCACACAATCGCACCCCAACGCTCAACGCTCGCACTCACTGCATCGGGATTAGCGCTAATGTAGAGTGCAGAGACACAGCGCAATCTGCAGGACACACCACCGAAGGACCGATCCCAGCCCCCCAACCGTTTCTCTTGCTCGAGTCTCGGCATCCCCCAGCCCGACGCTGACAACATTTCTTTCTTCGCATCTCGGCACCCAACTCGCAGCCAAGCCAATTCGACTCAAGCCAAGCCAACGTCAAAAGCCAAGCCCTCTCGAACCTAATTCCGTACGACCACAAATACTTCTCTTCGCGTCTTCTTTCTCCTCACACATCTAAACTTCACTCAACTCACGCACAACCGAAGTAGCATCAACGGAAAAAAGAAAGAAACACAGAGGAACGGTGCATCGCGGTAAGATAAGAGCAGAAACTTTAAAAAGAAAAACCCCAAAAAAGCAGACACACTTGAGAGACAGTGTGAGAGAGAGAGGTCTTGTTCTGTTCCGCACTGAATTTGCCGTGTTGTCTGGGGACGAAGAAGAAGGGATCTTCTTGCCCAAACTGTCTTCTCTGGCAGTCTCCATGATGTCAAATCTGGGAGACCCTGCGCGTTTGCGCTCTGGGGCCTCGGAAGGGATGCAACACCATCTCGCCGTCTCGCCGTCGGCAGCGGCACAGGGTGACTTCGGCAATGCTTTGTACGCGCCCCATCACCAGCTCCCGAATCACCTCCAAAGTAGCCAATTCCTCTACGGCAATGGCGATCTCGCAGCCCTCCAATCCTCGCAGTACCCCGCCACAGACCTTTTCGGCCATAGCGATCTCCATTGGCAACCCCAGCATCAGCAGCAGTCGTTGCAACTGCAACTACAGCAGCACCACCAGCAGCAGCAACACCAGCAACACCAGCAGCAGCAGCAGCAACACCAGCACCGGCAACAACACCAACAACACCAGCACCAGAACCAGCCCATGCTCCAGCATCTCCAACACCATCCGCTCGCGGCTCAGAATTTCCAGCCTCAACAGCAGCAATTCAGCCAGACCGCCACGCCGTTGCCGGAACATCATACCTACCAGCAGTTTGGAAACCAATTGGCCTGGCAATCGACCGTCGGCGGTGTTAGCGATTCTGTCGCTGCTGTCGCGTTCCCGCAGCAGCACGAGAGCATCAGCTTGCCAACTCGGATTTCGTCCCCTTTCGTGAACGGCACGCCTGCCCCCAGCAATGATCTACCAGTCGCTCAGTCGAATACTTTCTCGCACACAACGCAGCAAGAGCCTCGATTACAACAGGACAGCCAGATGGTTGATTACGCAAATTCACCGCAACCCCGCACGGTTGGCGCGATCGCGGCGACGGTCACGATGCTTGGCGGTACTCCATACGTGAGCGTTCACAACAGCGATGAATTCCCCGATACATTTGGTTAGTTTCCTTCCTTTGAACGTTATCCCTCTGTCTTCCCAATGTGTTCTTTTCTCTCTCTCTACACGTGACAGCGGCATAACTGACTTTTTTCCAGCTGCCATCGAAGCGATGGGTTATCTAGGACTACCAGAGCCAGTGGCACCAGCAACGACAACCGCTTTCGCGAACAAAAAGCCTAGACTCTCTACCCCCGTTTCGGTACCTTCACCCGCTGCAACAGCGTCACCGGCTCCGGCTACCCCTGTTCCCGCTCCTGCTCCCGCCCCTGCTCCCGCTGTCAACAACGCCGTCACCACTAAAGCCGCTCCAAAACCAGCTGCTCCTGCCCCAACTCCAAAGAGCAAGGTGCCCACAGAACCCGCCGCAAGACTAAGGTACCTTCTTACGGAATGCCTCGAAGAGGAGGAGGAGGAAGCTCGTGACCTCGCTTTGAAAGCGTGGGGAATTGTGTCAGAAATCACCCCAGAGCAGACCGAATTGGTCACGCTCGCTGTGAACACAATCTTGAAGACTGCCGATGACCAGACACTCGTATGCATGGGCAAGATCTTGCAGTTTACTATGAGGCTCCGAAAGTGGATCGTTCACGAGCATAACAAAGAAAAGAAGAGTCCTTTAATACCGAAAATGCTCAAGGTAAGTCTTTGGATAGACAACATCAATCGCCTCCCATGACTCCGTTGCTGCCCAATCACGCCAGCCGTTGCTGATAATCTGGTGTGTAGCTTCTCTCACAGATCCGCCTACCGCTTGACATGTACGAGAAACAGCAATGGGAGAAAGTGCTCAACAACATTCAAAGAAAATCCGAACTCGACAAATCCCGAGAGTTCGCTAACCAAATCATGACCCGCTTCCAACACCTTGATCGAGATAGGTCTCGTACTGAGCGCGATGCGAAGAAGGCTGCAGGTACTAATAATGCCGATAAACCAAAGACAGTGGCATCTTCTGGGGTGGTGAAGAAGGATGCGAGTAGTAGTCTTAATGCTGGTGTCAAGAGGACCATCGATGAGGTTGGAAAGGGTCCGCCAACGAGTGCTGCGAAGAAGGTCTCAATTGGCGATGTGCGGAATCCAATGCCAAATCCCAATCCTCCTCCTAAATCTGCGGCACCCTCTGTGCCCGCGAGAAATGGACCATCTTCCAGCGTTGGTGAAAAGAAGTCTGCAACTACGTCAAGTGTGGGAATATCCACCACCGGCCCACCACCAACAAGCACGACGGCTACGGCCACCGCGAAGAAGCCGGCGAGCTCGGGGTTCTTCAAATCCCTGAGCAAACCGGCTGAGGCTGCAAAGGCCCCCACAAAGTTCGTGCTCCCTGAATCCCATCCAATGATATTTTCCTTCGCGACTATCCAGTCAGAATTGCCGAGGCTAACCACGGTCACGTGATTTTAGGGTGCCGGAGAAAAAGGCACCTACCCCCGCGCCAGCAGCTTCGACTACTTCGTTCACGAGTATATTCGCCCAGTTGCAACAGAGGCAGAAGGAACAGGACCGCGAGAAAAAGGATGCCGCAAACAAGGCTGCCGACGCCGCTAAGATCACGGAAGAGGACAAGAAGAAGAAGAAGAAGTCCGTGAAGTGGAAGACAGGTGACGATCTTGTTAAGGTACAGATCATTGAGTGGTTAGAACCCGAGGGCGAGTACTACGGCGGCGGAAGCGGTATGGCCCAATGGGGTGATTCCGCGGGCGAGGGGGAGGCCCTTAAGAACCGAGACTTCATCGAGGAGGAGGAGGACCTGAGGGAATGGTACCAGCCGAAACGTGAGTTCATATTATGCTGCTCAGTCCCGTTTCAATGCTAAGCTGCTGGATAGTTATCGATTTCGAGTCCCTGTATCGGAGGACACCCAAGCTGAAGGAGAACCCGGAGAAGCGTGGAGGTCAGACCGTCATCGAGACGGAGGAAGCCAAAGTGCAGAAGCAGCGTGAGCTTGTTACTCTCGCCACTTTCTACAGTTCGCCGAGAGATATTCCCACGTCACCAATGGAACCCGACGAGAGTGTTGTCGTCTTGCAAGAGGCACCCACGGAGATTCCTCTTCCTGACGATGTGAAGCTACGTCTCGGTATGCCGATTGCGTCTGCCGTGCCTGCTCCTGCCGCCATGGCTGTACCTGCCGCCATATCTCAGAACGATCTGTCTATGATGTTTTCCGCGCTGCAGCAACAGCCGCAACAGGCTCAGGTCAACCCGGCCCAGAACCTCATGGCCACGCTTCAGGCATTTGGGCAGATGCAGAACTCGCCGCAACAGCCACAGCCCCAGCAGCAAGCCATGCCAGCTGCCATGCCAGCTGCCGCGCCCCAGTTGGACATCGCAGCACTGATCTCGATGATCGGTGGCCAGGCCCAGCCTCAACAGCAGCAGTTCCAACAGCAACCCACGAACTTCCTGCAAAACTTCCTCCAGCCACAGGTACAGGCGGGACAGGATCCTAACGCTGCTGTGGCCGGCCTCCTCTCGCAGTTGACCACTGGTCTTGCTGCCGCCAACCCTCAAGCCGCATTCGCTCAGCAGGGATTGTTCGGACTCTTCCCGCAGCAGCAGCAGCAGCCTCAGCAGGGCCAACAATTCCAGCAGCAGCAGCAGCAACAGCCGCCTACCACCCCCAAGGCGTGGAATGAAGGTTTCAACAACAACCAGGCTGGTTACACGGCCCAGCAGGACGAGAGGAACTCTGCGCGCGATGTCCGCCGCGAACTCCGCGATGCTGTTGGCTGGAGTGATAACGATGCGAAGGAGAACGGGCCCCCGCCGCAGCAACAGCAACAGCAACAGCAACAGCAACAGCAACAGCAACAGCAACAGCAACAGCAGCAGCAGCAGCAGCAGCACCAGGGCGGAAACGGCACCGGTGGTGGTAAATGGGGTAAGAAAAATAAGGTACGTCGAAACAATTAGTCGTCCAGAGAGAATACAAGCTAACAGCCCCAACAGAAGGATAAGAAGAAGAACCAGGCGGATACTAAGAACACCGTCCTCTGTCTTTTCTATCAGAAGGGAAACTGCAAGCACGGCGATAGCTGCAGGTTCTCTCATGATCCGTCTCTCAGTGCCAGCAGCAACAGCGGCGGAAACGCAGCTACGGGCGGCAATGCCAATGGAAACAACAACAACCATGGCAATGGCAACAACAACGGCGGAGGAAACAACAATGGAGGAGGAGGAGGCGGCGGCGGTGGCGGTGGAGGCGGCGGCGGCTGGAAGTCCAAGAAGCGCCATGGCCATGTCTCCCGCGGCGTAGACCAGGGAGCAAGCGCCAGCGCCGTGGGCTGGCCGGGAGCTGGAGAGCTGGAGTACTAGGCTACTGGTACTAGGAGGCCGAAACGAGGAGAAAAAAAAGTGCGGGCGTTCGTTTTGTGTTTCATTTCATTTTTAATCTTCTATGATTCTATAGTTGGAAGGGAGGACTGTGGGGGAAATGCGGAGTTTTCTGTATAATGATTTTTTTCATTTTTTCTAGGTGTTCACATTATGGTTTTTTTTCTTGTTTTTCTGTTGCGTTCGTTCTATAGAGAGGGCTCAGGGAAGTGGGTTGTGGGTTGTGGGTTTGTAGCATATTCGTGTTTTTTTTCTTCCCCTTATTTTGTTTTCTTTGCCTTGGTCTGTGCTGGGCTTGTTTGTACTAGGCTTGTTTGTGCTGTGCTGGACTTGGGTGGGGCTACTCTGTCTTTTTAGTTACATTGCTTTTACCTTGCGAGGCGTACATTGATTGTTTTCATTTCATCTTTTCATCTTTTCTTTTCATTGCACTTTTTTTACTTGCTTGCTTGCTTGCTTGTTTACGGATGCACCGGACGGGATGCACGGGATGGGACGCACGGGATTGGATTGGATTGGACGGAATTCACGCTTTGTAGATGGGATGGGATGGGATGGGATGGAATGGGTTGGGATGGGATGGAGTTACGGATGACCTGTGCAGGGTTGGATGAAAGGGGGTTAATATCATCATTGGTTCCAACCATTCAAGTTGCGTTCGCAAGTGAGGCGGTATGTATGATAAGAAGTAGCGGTTTGATGTGCAATTTCTGTGAATGCTGTTGGATGGATGGGATGGGGAACAGACTTTTGTCACTCGTGTGGGACCTGGGTGGTGCGGGGGGAAGAGCGGTGGTCAGGAAGTCTCACTCGTCGCGTCTCGTCTCGCTGCCGATTTGCTTGTTGAACTGTTTTTCCTTCCCACGTATGTAATTCCCTTGGACACTGGATACGCAATGAAGGAGACGCTGGACGGACAGCACTGGGGAGGCCACATCCAGCCAGCAGCCAGCGGTGGAGCCGGAACAGGTTATGTTATGTAACTGCCATGATCTAATAGGTATAATAATGTCGAATGCAACAATGCTTAAACAAAACCTATGCTACTTTATCACCAAACTCCAAACTCGCCAAATACCACTGCTGATACCTCTTCTCGTATTCCTTCTCGAGCGGCACCCGCTGTGCCCCCACTTTCCTCGCCGCCGCATCCTCCTCCTCTCCGCACCTCGCCTCAACCCAGTTCTCAACCCCTCCCCAGCCGTTTAATCGCCCCCAGCAGCATCTCATCATCCTCCGGATTCGCGAGGCGGGCATGTTCCCGCCAGTATCTATGTGCATAATCCATGAGCGGCCGCTTCTCAATCTCATTCTCATGCTCTGTATCCTCTGTATTCTCTGTATCCTCGGATCCGAGAATCGAGACGCAGACGAGCGTCAAGATGCGATGCGACTCCACGGGGTGGAAAGAGTGCTTCCACACCCCCTGTGTCTGCGCGGGCGAGATTGTGGCCACAGGGTGGCAGAGGAAGTCTTTTGCGGTGTGGTGGATGAGGTGGACGCGCGAGTCGATGATAAGGATGAAGTGGCTGCAGAGCTGGCGGATCTGGATTGCGTGGGGTGGGGATGTGTGCGGCGATAGTGCGGGTGCCCGGTCGGAAGGCTGGGTGGTGGTGAATGCAGCGTGAAGCTCCTCGAGCGAAAGAGGCCGCTTAGCCGCCGAGATTATGTGCAGCAGCCTGCGTGTAGCGGCGGCATTGGAGCTGGAGGATAGGATCCGCTCGTAGACGGCGTCCAGCGTAGCCGGCGGCTTGTCGACGATCGCGCGCAGAGCTTCTGCCGACTCCCGCGCGCTGTCCGCGATCAGGCCCAGAACTAGATCCACCCAGAGGAAGTTTCCCTGCGCGTTGCGGACAAGCTTGTCCTCGATCTCAGTCCTGGACGCATCGTCGAGTCCGAGTCCGGGCCCGCGGAACTCGGGAACGCCCTCCATCCGACACCTGATCAGCGCTGCGATATCCTTCCGAGTGGACTCGACCTCGGCCTTCAGCCGGATCTTCGGGAAGGAAAAGAAATGACGTTCTATCGTGCGAGAGGGCCGGCTCGTCAGCAGGAATTTTAAAGATCCGGGGCCCGCTGTGGCTGCTGTGGCTATCGTGTACCACTTGACGAGTGCTTCGATCAACTCCGTCTGCGACGCCTCCTCGCACTCGTCCAGTCCGTCCAGGACGCACAGAACATCGCCACACAGCGGATCATTCACAGCGTCCAGGAGTACATTCCACAGCGCTGCGAACTCCCTGGGGAAGCGACCACTCCGGTTCCGGTCCTGGCCCTGGAGCGCAGCGTGTCGGCTCAGCCGCGGATTCGCCGTGAACAGCTGGTGAAGCACAGCGCACATGGCGCGGTCCGCGCTCCGCTGCTGCGAATCGGAGTCTTGGAAGAAAAAGTAGCACACTGTCTCTGCCGCGTCTCCGCCGCCGGGGACAGTTTGCTGAAGCTCGTCGATAAGGAATGCCGCGAGCGTGGATTTTCCACTCCCGGGGTAGCCGGATAGCCATAGGAGACTGGAGCTTTGCCGCTGGCGCTTCCACGCTTGGAACGTCTGGTGCCGCAGGAGCCATTCGCATGTGCGAGGTGCTCGCGGTGTGTACCGCGAATGCTGCGTGGCGTGCGAGGAGATATACAGCTCCTTCATGATGCTCTGGTGTTCTTCTGAGGAAATGGGTGTATCCTGGAGTATGTCAGACGCGCCTCCTGATTCTTACGGGCAGGCGGTTATACGTACCTCCAGTGGTGCTACTTGTGCTCCACCCGGGCCTTCCCCCCGTACATCTGAGGAAGCAGAGTCCAGCGAGTGTTCTTGATCCCCGAGCTGCTCGCAATCGTGGTCGCCACGTTTCTTCGAGCCCCGTAGCTTCCTCAACCACCCCATTATATCGATAGGCCGGCCGTCCGCGACTGAGACTGTGTATGATAGGAGATGGAAGTTGGGAAAAGATGGGCATCTCGCAGCTGGAATATATGTATTGGGATGGCTGAGAGGGTCTTGCCGAGAACCACATCATCCGTGGTGTCTCATGGCAGATCAGTCGTCGTTGACTGGCCAATGGGTTCCTCTAGCGTGTAGCTCTGCGCAGGTGTGCATGCCGTGCATGAAGGGGGGGGGGGGGCGGTGTAGAACGTGATTCGCTCAGAGTTTGCCGAACCATAGAGAAAAGGTTGGTGTTGATACAGCTATATACGTACACCAGAGTGGATCGTGTCGTCGAGATGGCGGGATGGACGAACGGGAGGGCGGGCGGGAGGGACGGGCGGAGGCAGAGCGAGGTACGATCGAAAGTCAGCCCTGTCGTGTTTACATAGGTCCGCTTGATGCGATGTTGGTGGATGAATCTCCCCTCATAGTGTTTGGATTGAACTGTGGAGTTACAAAAGTAGATGTAGAGCAGATAAAAAGTAAATAGCACCAAGTCCACCGCCGCGGTCCAAAACTACTCAATAACAAAAGCCAATTCCCTCCTCCCCAGCACCGTATATAGATAGGTACATACGCATACAAAACACCGTGGGTATAGTATTGACCATTCACATTCAACCTCCATCAACTACACTCTAAACATCGAATATCCTGCCGACCGATCCCTCCCCCTCATCCCACTTGCCCTGCCCTTGGTCACGGACATTCCAGTACTCGCCGCCATCCACCGTCTCCTCGCCCTTGATGCGCCACACCTCTTCGTCCGCGTACTCTCGCACCTTGGTGAACCAGCGGGGAGTCCAGTTTTCGCCGACATCTTCCATATCCTTCCTCCTGGCCCGCTGCGCCTCTTCGAGGCGGCCCTTGATCTCCTCGGCGTCGTCAAGATCGCCGTTCTCGACCATTCGCTGGTCGGGCCGGAGACGCGAGTCAGTGGCAGGGAGACGGTTCTTCTCGATAGCTGTGACTTCGTTGAGTTGAGCTGCGAACCGTGTGAAGCCATAGCGGGCCGGAGCACCATCGACAGCAGCACTAACACGCCAAACCTCGCGTGGTGGCTCCTCAGAGTCTACATCGGAGAGCAGGAGGCTTTCGGTCCACTTTCCGGCGAGAGAGGTGGGGTAGGGGGAGCCGTTCGCGTTGAAGGCTTGGATTGAAACTTCTTCTGAGCGGCCGGCGAACATCCCCTTGTTTTGTTTGAACGTCACCACGGCCTTTTCGCCGGTCGTCTCGTTATGCACATGCATGTGGCCTGTGGGCTCGACATACTTCTCGCCGGCAATGATATTGCGCAGGAAGCTGGTTGCTACCGTGTAGGAGTACCGGTCGTTGGTGGACGGGATGTAGATGCGCACGCGCCCGGAGGTGATGAGTTCCGCGGACTTGCCCCAGAATTTTTGTGTGGGCTGAGGGGATTGGGAGAACGTCCAGAGCGCGGAGTCGGCGTGGCAGGCCATGATGACGGGGCGGTGGCATACCTTCTCCGCGATGAAGCGGAAGCCTTTGTCTTCGCGCACCAGTTCGAACGTCTCGCCGAGCATCGGGTTGAAGGGCTTGCGGATTGCACGCTCCTTGACGCGAGCGTTCGAGAACGAGCTGACGGCAAAGGCAGCGATGAGGAGGATACGCTCGCCGGTCTCTGCGGGTGCCGTAGCCGCCTGATCCAGCAGTTCGGAGTACTCCAGTTGTTCCGATACGCGCTGCAGGAGGGAGAGCGGTTCGTTTGCGGAAACGGGCATGGCGATCGTGGACAGATCTTTTCCTACGTTCTTTCTCAGGAATCCGATCAAGCTGGGTGGTAGCTGTTTCGCCTCAGGTACGGTGGTCCGTCGATTGACCGGCTCGATGGGCAACGGCTTAAGCTCCCGCTTCTCGTTACTCGGTCCTTTGGGAGCATCCAGGCTTCCCGGTGTCGCTTGAGGTGCATCATTGAAGCTGCCGCCGTCCTCTGGATCACTCTCTTCGTCGTCCGTCGCTTCGTCTTCTGCCGTACCCCCGTCCCCTCTTTGATCGTCGTCTTCATCATTGTTCAACATCACGACTCGGTCCCTATCGTCCATTGCATCTTCTGCATCAAAGAATTCATCGCTGGCGGTGGATTCCATACTCATTCGCGACGATCGTTCATGCAAGGGCTGTTGGGTGCTCGCTCTGTGGTGCAGCCATCTCCTCTGCTTATTCTCCTGCACGAGGGACGAAAAATCCGTCACGACCGAGTCGAGATCCGTCAACAACGCATGAAGGTTGAGACTGATATCCTGGTGTCCGCCAGCTGGTGGGGAGAACGGCCGTGCAACAGCTCCTGCAGTCGTAGAGCCAAGCATTCCCACCGCTTGGCCGACAGATTTCCGGTGCTCCCGGTTTGTCGATGCTAAGGTTGGAACGGACGCCGGCGCGGACGTCTTGCGTTTCCAAAAGCCCCGTTTCGCGGCGGCAGCAGCCCTGTCATCTTGGGAAATGATAGAAGCAGAGGAGGAAGCCGCCTCCGATCCCGCCATACCGGCAAGTGTTGGTGCTTCCGCGGCTTGGTACGCTAGACGCCTAACGGCATCGCGAACTCCGGCGACCCGGCCGACTAGGGCTTCCACGTGGGCCCAACCTCGCTCCTCCATGATCACATTTCGACTATCAACCACCCCCGGCTCGGAGTGATCCTCGGGAGGACGCAGTGAAGCTCTACCTCCGGTGCTAGCCTTCGCAGCTTCCGTTGCCGCACGCTCGAGCGCGGTCTTCCACGTCTCCCAGTCCTTGTCGTTATTGGCCCTGAGATGCCACACCTCGGCACCGGAGTCGATGCAGATCTCTCTATCTTTCTGACTCGCACTGATGGCAGCCAGCGATAACGGAATCGCGCCACGCAGCGCAGAGGACTCCCGGTTGAGGTAGTAGGACAATGTCGAGCTAGTGAAATCCAGCGAGAAGTACCGACGAGCGTAGCCCTGATGCCGCTTGCGCTTGCGCTTCTTCAGCACACCGGTTTGGAATCCCACTGGCGTCGAGAGTTCGTCTCGATTTCCATCATGGTGGCTATAGATCGATATCGTTTCTGCGGACCGTGACGACGGTGCAAGCGTGTTCCGGGTTAACGTGTGCGATAGAGCTGTGTTCGAGTCGGCGTGATGAAGCGCGTGCGATGCAGGGGGGGGTTGGTTGGAGGGGTAGGTGAGCAAGACAAATGTCGCCGTTTTTGCGACCTGTTTCGAGAACGTGTTGTCGAAGACCTAATCGCGTCCCACTCAGCTTCCGCAGCTCTCCATCTCACCATCTCACCAAGATCTGTATATACCAACGCAAACATTCCTCCCTGACTCTTCACTTGGTACGTCCCTGTGGTGACCTTCTCAGCCTCACACTTGCCGTGCCAGTAGACATCGAGCAGCCCCGCCGCGTGAATCTTCTCGATGGCATCGCTCTGGCCGTTTCCGGCTCGCGATGATCTCCTATCCCTGACGGTGGACGCCGATGACTCTTCGGAACGCGCTGTAGAAGGTGGGTTTATCGATACCGCGGACGAGGAGTTGCTACCAGGGTGCCGAAACAGCCCAAAGTTCCTGCGCACCAGAAAGCTGTCAGGGTCCAGTCTATTACAGAAGCCGAATCATCTGCTCTCCCTTACAATGACTTCTTGTGGGGCTTGATCGACCAGTGGATGGTGTTGCCAGGCGCACATTCTACCCAGCGAATGATGTAGGACTAAATGTATACACCCCCTGATAAGCGTGGTGCTCTTATGGCCGAAGTGGGTCGGGAGGATGGGATGCCGCCCGTCTAACTCACCCTGCTGGGAACCTCAAGCTGTTCCATAGCCATCTCTGACTTTCTTGCTTGATATAACTTTCCGACCGAGACGAGAGGGGACGAGGGTGAAGCTGGAGTCTGAACGAGGGTGAAGCTGAGCTCTGGGCGAGCGGACGAGCTGGGGCTGAACTGGTGCAATTGTACTGATGCGATGCGATGGCGATGGGGGGGAATGGATGCAACTTGAATGGAGGGGGTATATAATCCGTGTAACTGTCGGTGTGTCAATCTCACGTTTATCCCTCCCCCGACGTAAGCTTCCAAAGACAGGGCTAACTCTATGATGAGACGGGATGCGGATATCCGAGTTCAGGGTACTTTAAGGTACCAGCTAAGCGGAATTGGCGAGTGCGGTGCGGAAACTTGGCACGGCACGGGAACTCAAAGATCTTCAATTGTGTGGGCACACTCTTGCGATGACGGCCCCCCTTCATACGGCGGCAGAGGCTGATTAAGTAGTTCTCGCCGATGGTATCTCGGTCGCTTTACCCTTTGTGTCAGAAGCTATTCTTTGTGGTAGACGTGTCCTCAATTTTCGTGACGGCTGCCTTGTCTTGCCGTTGTGATCCCGAGGCAACCACCGTAGATGTCATCAGTGCATCCCCACGTCACATTTGGCGGCACATTTGAATTTTGGACTGGGGAGTTAGTAAGCACTCAACCGACCGAGATGATTACCGCACGGTACTCCGGCATGGTACGATCCTTCGGAGTGGAGCGCGGTGTATTTCGTTTGCAGGTTTCTAGCGCCTCGTTAGGCGGTGGTGGGCCATGAGTTCGAAGAGTCACGGACTCGAGTACGGGGCAGCATGAATTCGAAGAGTCACGAACGCGAGTACGGAGCCTCGCGTCCAGGGACACGAGTACGATCACGTACCGAGCTTCGCATCTAGGGACACGGGTACGATCACGGACAATACCGCACTCCTCCCCGTCTAGACGGCCTAACCACCAAATCTCTAGTCTTCACATCTTCCATCATGACAACCCTTCTTTCACCGGACCCTCCTCTAAACCCACCTCCTCGTCGTCTGCTTTGCCCGGCACTCTCAACCATAGGCGTTACCCAACATTCACCATCCTGCTTCACACTCCTCGGACTGCGTGAGGATCGCTTTTAGCTACCTGTAGCGGCCCTAAGAGTGACGCGTTGGCAGGGCAGTTGCGTGGGACAGAGACCGCTAGCGCAATGGAAGGCTTCACAGATATCACTCGTGCAATCGGGCTCTCTACGGAAATGATTAGATCAATCACTCGAACTGTCGACACGGATATGTACATTGTAGTATGTAAACAGCCGTGATCATTTAGGTTGAATAAGACACTCGCACCAGTATGAACCGCCTTGTGCTGGGTACTTCGTAACTGAGGCGTGAGTCGACCATAACCCCGAAGTCGCCCTACTCCCCTTCCCAAAATCGCAATAGACTCATTCAACAGCACCTACGTAACTCATTCATTCATCACTCATCCCGTCCACACGCCCCAGCGGATCCATCCATCAACCAACTACAATCTACTCATCCCCATCCCCCTCCTCTTGACACACACCGCAATATCCTCCGCCAACCCCGCCGTAACCGGCAACATCTCCCTCCCCGCCTCCTTCTTCAACGGCAATACCCTATACTTCTGCACGCCAGGGCCCCTAACGCACTCCGTGACGGGGGGATCATGCATGCGTCTTTCGAGGACGTTCAAGTCTATCTCCGCGCCGGCCTGTCGGGCCTTCTCGACGAACGCCGTGATATCGGGGAGAAACAGCTCTGCTCCGCCAGCGAGGACGTGGGTTCTCTGTGGGAGAACCGAGGAAAGGTCGTGGGAGGTGTGCACGAACTCGGTGTATTTCTGCAGTGTGGCGTCGGTGGCGGGAGTGGTCCCGCGGAAGGACGAGGCGAAACTCTCGAGTCCCGCCGGTGGGATAAAGTCTACTAAAGCGTTGGAGGTGTAGCTGCTCCGCATTGCGTGCAGTGATACCCATGGCGAGATGAGGATCGCGAGTGATGGCTTCGCGAGGCGCGTGGTGGGGTTGGGGATTATGGAGGGGTGGGGGGAGGCGAGGTGCGTAAGAAGGCTGAGACTCAGGTTTGCTGGTACATAGATGTTAGCAGTGTGCGCAGGTGTGTAGGCGGGGAGATACCTATATGTACATACCTCCAGCCGAATCCCCCATGACCGCAATCTTCGCCGGCTCGATTCCCAACTCCTCAACGAGGTACTGATACCCTCTAGCGGCCTGCTCCAGCTGCGCAGGAAACGCAGCTTCAGGCGCGAGCGTATAGTCCAGGGCGAAGATGGAAACCTTCACGCCGCGCAGCAGCAATGCTTCGGCCAGGCGCAGCTGGAACACCAAGAAGTGGCCTGGCTGGTAAATGCAGTACGCGCCGCCGTGGAGGTAATACAACACCAGCTCCGACTCCGTCGGCGACGTTGGTTCGCTGAGCGAATTCCGCATGATCCAGTAGCCGAGCATGTTTGCGCGCCGGACGGGCTGGTATAGATGCTGCTTTACGCCGGCGAATCGCGGTACCGAGAGGACCTTTGCTGCGGCGGCATCCCCGGAGCCGTGGAAGCTGCGGATCTGCCGGCTGGAGAGGAGGGCCGTTGATCTGGCGGTTTATTAGAGCTGTGGGGATAAGAGGGGTAGAGGGACGAACGTTCGCATAGAATCCAGTCTCAAATCGAGACTGAGCGGGAGATGTGTAGGCCCAATCCCTACCTGGCGTCGAAGGATGACTTTGGGCACCGTGATACCTTTTGTCCAGTTAGCTAACCAGCCCATCTTCATACCATCCTTCTAATCCATTAACCAAGTACTCACCGTACAAATACAGCGGAAGAAACTTGACGGAAAGTCTCTCCCAGAACGTGAGCTGCCCATAATCGGGATTGGTGTCGAAATTTGAAGTATCTCTCTCTGCCATGATATGATCGTCTGGGTGTATGTTCAATACGAAAATTCAAAGATCCATGAAGAGCAAGTAAAGATGGCAGTTATTTCAATTCAAGAACGCGACGAGCCTGAGCTCGGCGGGCCGACTCTATGCCGAGGCATCATTGACACCCAGTGGAGTCGTTAGTCTCGTCCTGTCGGCAGTGGTTCCATTGCCTGAACCACAAACAAAGTGAGAGACAGACAACAACTGATTTACAGCATGGATGTATGTACGTAATGTACGTACCTATGTGTGGGTGCTAAAGTTTAAACAAAGCTACTCCACATTCTCAGGTATCCAGAGAGATGGCATATGGGTGATGGCCACTGGCCAGGCGGGCCCAGGGTTAGGTCTGGCGATGTATTCCCAAGTCATTCACTCTACCGACGGCTCAGAAAAACGTGATCCTCAGCACGGAGGTTTTGAAAGAAGGCAACAGGAATTGAAAATTCCTCGGATCACCCCACGAAACTCCGCCATACAAGAAGCTAACAAACTCCGCCATACAAGAAGCTGACGTAAGACTCAATATCTAACTCAACACCCATTCTCACTCGCTCCGCACAACCATATTCGTAATCAATAACAGTGGAGATCAACTCTGTAGATATATCCGTCAGTCCAAATCTCATGAATCAAAAGGGGGCGGGGGTAACATGCCTACAATCGCAGCAGCCGCTGCTGATTTTAATAAAACAAGACTCCTTTCATAACAATGTGTGGGGTATCGATGAATGAAAGGTAAAAGAACATTTCAGATCCTGGAGAATGCACACCACAAGAAGCCTGAAATCAGTCAGACCAATACCTTGTCTGTGTCCATATCAATCTTCATCTCCGTATCGATCGGGGGTAACGGAACAAAAGTTTGAATGTCCATCTTTGTCTCCGTGTTAGTGTCCATCTTCGTCTCCGTATCGGTCAGCGGTGATGGAACAGAAGTGACAATGTCCATTTTCGCCTCCGTCTCGGTCGGCAGTGACGGAACAGATGCGTCAGTGTCCATCTTGGTCTCCGTGTCGGTCGACGGCAATGAAACAGAAGTGTCCGTAGCTTCAACCACAGTCTCGGTAGCAGCTTCCGTGGAGTCGGTAGCACTCCCTCCATTCCATTCGGTCCAGTTTCGCTCGAATTTCCACAGGCTCTCGTCTTCAGGAAGAGATACGCATGTTATTGTAGCTGGCAGACGAGGAGATGGACACGGCCTCGAATAAGCTGGCCAATGGTGCGATCCGGAGTACGGAGACCTGCCGGTGTATTCAGGCCCTGCGTAATATATCGCTTCCAGTGGTGCTGTGTTGGTACTTAGTTCAATGTGATGTGAAGATGGCTCGATTGAGAGGACATACCGAGAGTAGAAGTCTGAGTACAAGTAACACTCTCTTCGTCAATCCGGAAGAGAGTAGCCGGACCGTCTCTATCTCCCAAGGTTGTATCCGTCGAAGGCCGTTTGTTGTACGTCGAACTCGAACCGGTGTTTACAGTCTGTCCTGAACGGTGGGCTACAAGAAGCGTGTCAGCGGAATCAAACGTAGTGGGAACCCCAGCTGAAGGCCTGAACTTACACGAGGACAGAGAATTACGAGCCGATCGATCCTTATTCTCACCAACCATCTCGTTTCCAGCCGCCTCTTCACTATCACTGGCTCGACAGCCGCGGCAGCTAGCACAAAAGCTCACCAGGAACAACACCACTGTCGAAGTGATGATAAACGTCGAACTGGAAAGCACCCAGAGGTATACCCGTGTGCTGGATCCTCTGAGGTTGGGCAGGAATGAGATTCCGAATAGACAGCCGGAGAGGAGGAAAAGAAGGATCAGGATGCTGTAGCAAGCATTCTTTTCCCGCCTGCATGAGAGTCTCTTGTGTTTTGGGGGTTGAGTCATTGAGAAAGGGATTCGACAGCGATGGCTATCACGAAAGACTTGAACAGAGGAGTTGGAGTTGAAGGTAGAAGTGATGGTGGTGGTGAAAGGAGTGCAATGGTAGTGATGGCCGTTGGTTTTTGTGAGTCTAGAGCTGCATCAAGTCGAATTCAGTCGCATAAAGCTCAACCAGTGTACTACCCCACCACTGGCAGGTTTGGCCATAGCTCGTAAGCACAGATGGAAAACCCAGGTACTTTAGGTACATGTAATATCGTTTGTCAATGACAGCAAATTCAATTCTTGAGTATTTCGACGTGAAATGTTTGGCCAACGAAATTCGGCCTAGCTGAAAGATGTCTAGCTCCGGGGAATGTTCGTTAATGGTATTTACGGATCCCAGCTACGATCACCTCGCAACGGTCTTCCTCATGATGATATCTCTGCCCTCAACCTTGAGTCTTTTTCAATTCCGCCCTCACCATCGTCCTCACTTCCTCGGCGGTAAGGCCTTCACTCGCCATCAAGCACCTTCCAATCATCAACGTCGTCGCGACATCCCCCGAGTCAACCCACGCCTTCCCGTTTCTCCCGATAGCACACTCGAACGCTATACTCTTTCCCAGCTCTTCCAGCAGCTCGACGCCACTGCCACCTTCCCATTTCTCGCCCGCCCTCGTGGCAGCCTGCAGCATCTTTTTTCCGTCGCCCAGCAGCCGCCTGGCAAGTCCAAGGCTGATGGAAAAAATCATCCCTCCCTTTAACTCTCCGAAACCAGATCCCTTCCCCGTCTCGGCATCGTAGCATTCCAGCTCGGGGTCCATGTGTTTGTTTGCCAGTGAGATGCGCGCATACACCGTCGCGCCGGGGTGGAAAATGGGGCGTGTCTTTTTCGTAGCGTTGGGGAAAGCGAGGTGCGGAAGCGTAGCCTGTACGCTGGAAGGTGCGGGCGAGGTGGAGGAGGGAATGGCGCAGATGTAAGCGTCGGCCGAGGAGCGAAGGATAGTTGCTACGACGGCATCTTGGGGGTAAGGAATATACTATCACTCGTTAGCCGGGACATAAAGAATTATGGCACGGGATCAGTACGCGGCGGGAGTTGCTTTCTATCCACAACGCATGTTTCCGGGCATCAACTACCAGTTCACCAGCTTTGTGAGCGGTGATGGTGGTGGGCGGAGTATGGATGAGGCCAGGTCCAAGCTTGAGGGTGGCGTTAGCTTTCTGTGGCGCCGGGAGGTCGGCGACCGTGTCGCCAGGGAAAAGGAGAGGCATGGTTTTGGAGTTTGGAGTTTGGAGGTTGGTGGTGGATTATGAAGTCGTGATTATCGCGAAGAACAAAAGCTGCATGGATAGAGAGCGCGACGGCATGTCCCGGCTTGGCTAGTGTGCGGCTCTCAGTTGAACTTAAACCCTCCCACTTATGTAATGACAATAAGCGCTCTTCACAACACATTTCCGCCCACTTCTGTTCACGATACCCTTCGCCACTTGGCTGTATATAGCCAGCCAACCTACCCAATAATTCTTCGGTAGTCCGAGGATACAGCAAGACGGCCAAAATGGGGTCACAAGAGGCCAGATCACGGGGGTGTAGTTAGGTACCTCGCACTGGAAAACCGCCCATGTAAGGACACCCCAAGAAAGACCGTGTAATCGCACGCAACTAGTTCAAGATATTACGAGATAATGATGTCCACTCTTCAATTACTGGCGCTTCCGGGAAAATTCATCCATGATAAAGAGCTGAAGTTCGATCGAAGAAATGCACTTCATGCGCAGCGTTGGGGGAAGTAATGAATTTTGCGCGGCAGTGGCGGCACGCTCAAGTGGCTGTACTTTTGCGTTGGATGGCAGTGAATGACGACAGTGCTCCCCCATGCGCCGTTTCCATTACCTACTCAGCGTAACGGGGCAGGAAGGACAGCAGGAGCTCGTGGGGCATCAAACTCTCCCAGCATAAGCCGTTTCAGCGATGAACTCCCTTATGTCGATCTAACTGTATGTACCAACAGTTGACTGCGGGACCGTAATGGAGTCTGTGGCACAGGAAAGCGCTCTGTCGGTCTTCAAACCCCGTATCATAGTGAGTGATAGTTCATGAAGCGACGACAATCCACCAGTCAGGCCCATAAAACCGCTTCGAGCTCTGCCTAAAATCCAGCTCTGCCTAAAATCCAGCTCGAATGCCGCCAACGTTGCCGCACATTCGATTAAAACTTTTGCGGTCTGAATTTGATATATATTTTAGAATTTCCTTGCATACCTCTGGGGGCGGGTTGAGGATGGGTTTGAGATAAATGGTGTGGGGTACTTCACACCATCACAGAGTCATGCGTTCCACTCACGAATCCGACCTTGAGCTCCTCCATCTACCATACCTGCACTAACATCAAATCTCAAGCTCAACCAACCGTTTTCCGAGCCTAAGGGTGATTCGTGACTAACGTTCTCTAGCCGCGCGGTTTGCCTGACCCCCGCGATGTTTCGGTCGCAAGGGGCCTAGCCGATTCGCGACACCAGAACTCGCCATACTTCTTGTACGATTACCTGCAGCGCTGCGTCATCTCATTCATCTAGGTGGTCTGTTGAACCTCGTCTTTCATGTCTCACCACACACGCAATCGGTAGAAGAGCGAGTCTCCCGACGCAGGTTGGGTACCCATCGTTCTTGATGGTGGAAACCAAACGACCGGACAAGGCGGAGCTCGAGGTGTCGGAAGGTATACCCGTGGCGCTTCCGGACGAACCTGACCTCACTGCTAGGCTAGACTTGGACAAAGGAGAATCGTATGTACCTATTCCGAAATTATTCTATCATACGGCTGTTTTTACGCATCCATTCTAGATCTCGACTGTGCGAATGTACTATGGAGGGGGCTTGAACCTATATTCTCGAGTTCTTGAATGTTGGTACCTACATCTGACACCACCTCTCCTGTTGTACCAAAAAGTTTGCTATGCCTGCGTCGACATCTCGAGCGGGGAAACAAATACAAAGGCAGGTGTCGGTTTTTAAACCCCAACTGATGGAGGCTCGCTTCAGCCGTTCGTCGCACGTGGATGGAAAGTTCCGGATATCTTTTCCATTCAGTCCAGGCGTCATGAGCCCTTTGGAGTCTCCGGTTGCACTTTCTGGCCCAGGACATGGCCCACCAGTGTTTCGCCGTCATTTCGACGGAGTGACCGGTCATGATTGGAACATTTGCACGATGCATCCACGGCAGAGTATGCCGAGTGCAGGAAGCCACGTAATGTTTCGATGCAAGCCTGCATAACAAGCTGAACATAATCTTCAGGTTCCCCGCGGTATGTATTGTACATATATGCTCTGGCTGGAGCGGTTGCATATCGCCGCGTGTGTAGCGGGTAGGGCATGCTGACATGCACATGCAACATCTAGAGGAGCACACAAAAGAAAGGAAACCACCTCCGTTCGCCTGGCGCCAGATTTATACCGAACCACAATCGAGATTGACTGGTCCAAAAGGGTGTCACAGAATGGGGGCTGACAAGGCCCTGCCTCATATTTTCGTGTGCAAACGGCCTTGTTTTTGTGTAATATCTTCCGTGAGCATTCTTTCTGTGAGAACTCGATCCTCCGCACACGTATGCGTCCCCCAGGCTTTGTGCACCCAAGTACTAGGGCTGGTCGAGGGCTTCAAGGTATCCATTCCTAGCTTTGTTTGGCATTCACACCAAGATTCGAGAGTGAGGCTGATGACTGTTATCGTAGAACTCTCGTCATCCCAACGTTACCGAATCAAAACACCCTTCCGAAGTGATAAGCAAACCGCCACGGTCAATTCAAGCTGCCCTCGTCGATGAAAAACATTCCCCCTCCTCCCCGGCGCTCCTTCTGGAGGAATGCACAAAGAATTGTAAACCGAAAAAATCCCGAACGAGTTTCAGCAGCCCACTCCCCCCTGCGCCGACAAGTGGTTCGAATTCACCAACATGGCTTTGAGTGGTAATTAATAGCGGTAATATCGTAGCGCGGTTATGCAGGTGCACCACCATTAAGCACCCATTAAACCCGCAGCAGCAGACTTGAGCCCCGCACACCCCTCCATTTGAACTCGATCCCGATCCCAACCTTCCTTCCCTTCCCTCTCCCTCTTCCCCTTCTCCTCCTCTTTACACCTTCACCACTAGCTCCACTCAATCTCCCACGCCCGTTAAACCGCTTTTATCCCTCGTTCGACTGCGGTTTCGTCCCCGTTAGACGGAAAGAAAGAAAGGAAAGCGCCATCTTCTGCCATCGGCGAAACGAACTCCGGAGTACGCATCATCCGTCGGCCATCTAGCTACCTTGGCCATCCACCCGTACTGAGCCACGCAGTCTTAGCTATCCCTCTACAGGGACCTTATAAATCCCGACCTCTGTCGGATCGAGCTTCATTCTGCACCTCCATCTCCAACCCACCCACCATCGGCACGCCTTTGTAAATTGTCCTTGGCCCATTTTGCGCCCTCGGAATAGGCATCAAATCTATCCCAGCCCCGTCCCATTCAATCGCATCATCTGCTTTCGAAAGACTTCTTTTTTCTCTCTCTTTCGGACTGCGACCTCATCTAGTTACCCGCAATCTTGACGGCTGAGTGCACATTCCCAACTCCGCAATAATACAACGCGACACAACCAACACACTACACTACCTACTGCTACCCCCCGGCAAACCCAAACACCTACGTCATGGCTCTCGATGGTGCAATGGTTGGACGAAAGTCCTTCAAGGTCTTCAACCAGGACTTCGTCGTCGATGAACGTTACGTAGTCACGAAGGAGCTCGGACAGGGAGCCTACGGTATTGTCTGGTACGTCGTCGCGTGTGGATCGAAGCTCAGGTGTGACGTGGGGGGAAAGGGAGGGGAAACACTGAGATTGGGGGGGACTTCTGGCGTCTAGAGGGAGGGGGAGCATGTGGAGATGCGGAAGCTGACATTCGACGGGATCGTACAGCGCCGCGACCAATACAGCCAATGGAGAGGGTGTTGCCATCAAGAAAGTCACCAACGTGTTCTCCAAGAAGATTCTTGCGAAGCGAGCTCTGCGTGAGCTGAAGCTATTGCAGCATTTCAGAGGTATGCCTTCTTGGTGTGCGCGCGACGAGCTGCGACGTGTTTCCGAGAACTTTTACTGACAGTGCTTTTTGATCTTAGGGCATCGTAATGTTTGTTCTACATTCTCATACTCGTCACATATCCTCTGTGTATAATATTCGTTCTTGGAAAGGATGCTTGCTGACCGCTCTACCCCGCATCTGTAGATAACATGTCTGTTCGACATGGATATTCCCAAGCCTGACAACTTCAATGAGGTTTATCTTTACGAGGGTGTGTGTCTCTTGCTTTACGGGAGAGACGGGAAGCTGATTTTGACGCCGCACAGAGCTCATGGAGTGTGATTTGGCCGCTATTATCCGAAGGTACGAGCTTCCCCCCACCCCCACCCCCAGTGGGCGGCAAACTCCGGATACCCGGCGCTAAACTATCACAGTGGCCAGCCCTTGACGGATGCCCATTTCCAGTCGTTCATCTACCAGATCTTGTGCGGTCTGAAATATATCCATTCGGCGAATGTTCTCCACCGAGATTTGAAACCTGGCAATCTGCTCGTGAATGCCGACTGCGAGCTCAAGATTTGCGATTTCGGTCTCGCCAGAGGATTCTCGGTTGACCCGGAGGAGAATGCGGGGTACATGACTGAGTACGTCGCTACAAGATGGTACAGAGCTCCTGAGATTATGTTGAGCTTCTTGAGTTACACCAAAGCCAGTATGTTCCCTTTCCCCTCGCGCCCGCCATTATGCATCATGCACAACACATCATTTAATCACCTGCATTCGCATAACTGACGGCTTCTCCCCCGCGCAGTTGACGTCTGGTCAGTCGGCTGTATCTTGGCCGAACTCCTCGGTGGCCGGCCATTCTTCAAGGGTCGCGACTACGTCGACCAATTGAACCAAATCCTCCACTACCTCGGCACGCCGAACGAAGAGACTCTCTCCCGAATCGGCTCCCCGCGAGCACAGGACTACGTGCGCAATCTCCCGTTCATGCCCAAGGTCCCCTTCAACCGTCTCTTCCCCAACGCAAACGCGGACGCCCTGGACCTGTTGGACCAGATGCTCGCGTTCGACCCCAGCTCGCGCGTCTCGGTCGAGAAAGCGCTCGACCACCGCTACCTGGGAATCTGGCACGACGCCTCGGACGAGCCCGCGTGCCCGACTACCTTCGACTTCTCGTTCGAAGTCGTCGAGGAGGTCCCGCAGATGCGGCAGATGATCCTGCAGGAGGTGATCAAATTCCGCCACGAGGTCCGCCGGCAGCCCCTGCCGACCAACCTCGTCGACCCCAATATCCGGAAGGACTCCGTCGGCATCCCGGATCATCAGTGGTCCAAGCAGCAGAGGGATGATGCCCCGCGCCCGCATGAGGCGCATTCGCAGAGCGGCGAACTCGAGGATGTGCTCGCTGGTGGGCTGGATGCTATGCACCATTAAATTCATCTTCCCATAGCCAGCCATATGTAGCTGCGGGGATGTGGGCGTTTTCTTGTAATACAAATCCTCCTCATGTCTTTCTGTTTTTTTTCTTCCACATTTTCATGTTGCAGGGCGGTGGGCGGGTGGGGGGAATCTGAGTTGGTATGATATACCTATTGCGTTTCTAAATAGGGGGCCATGGCATGGGATACCTATGAAAAAGCGGTTTGTATGGATTGTTTTTGTTTTGATTTCGCATTATTTTTTTCTCTTCTGGTGTGTTGTGTTTTTTTTTCTTTCCTACCAGCTTGCTCAGATATCCCCTAGCTAGTAAAGTCAAGTCAAGTCAAGTCGTATGATCAAGATTGAACATGAACATGAACATGAATGCTCGCTCGCTCGACGCTCGGGCTACTCGGGCTATGTAAAGGCCTGTTTATTTTATGTATCCATCCATCCTCACCGTCCACCAGAAAGAAAAAACAAGGGAAAAAAACGCCAACCCAAATCTTGCAGTAAGTAATACGAAACACAACGGAACAGAAGAACGAGAACACAGAGAACAGAGAAACCTAAGAATAATTTGACACAAACACAAAATATCTGACCGTACAGTAGGCAGGTAGGATTACATAACACAACACAACACAACACATTTTGCTCATTTTTTCTTGCTCTTGCTGGCGGCGGTAGCTTTGGACGTGCTGGTGGTGGAGGGCTTGGTGTCGACGCTGCTGGCTCGGCTCGTGGCGGTGCTAGTGCCGCGGCTCTCGGGTGCACTGGCTCCGCCCTTCTTGGCTTGTTCTAGGGCTTTGTTCTGTTTTCTTGTTGTTAGACGGAGGATCATGGGTGGGGGTGGGTGGGAGGAGGGAGATATACCTTGGGTTTTCCATTCGTCACGGCGGCGGCGGCGGCAGTGGTGGAGGCAGTACTCTTTCCCTTCTTCGCAGGGGGGGCGTCGCCATTATCCTCCTCTTCGTCGTCGCGGGCGTGAGTCCCCTTCTTCTTCAGCACGCCGATTCCGGGGATAGGGATCTGGTTCTCCTCGAACTCGCGCTGCACCGTGAGGATGAGGGTGTTGCACCTCCTTGAGATCTCGAGCGACGTGCGGGACAGGAAGAACCAGTCGAAGCGGAACAGCGGGCTCTCGCGAATCTCGTCCCGAATGATCTCGTGCAGGTTCTCGCAGTCGAGGCCGTACTTGTCGAGCATCACCAGGAGGAAGCGGTCCTCTTCCTCCGTGTAGATCTTCTTGTTGGTGGTGGAGACGGAGTAGTTGAGCTTCATCTGCTGCAGCGGGACACGGTACATCTCGAGTTTCTTGCGGAGCATCTTCTTCTGCTGCGAGATCTTGGCCGCCTTCTCCTCGCCTGCTTCGATCTGGTTGATGTACTTCTCCCAGTTCGGCATTTCCTCGTAGCGAGTCCAGAAGACTTTGGCGTAGTCCCTAACTTCCTTTTCGGTCTTGCTCTCAAGATCGGTGGCGATGGCGCCTGTGGCTTTGCGGCCGTACTTGGCTGACAGAGACACAAACGAGAGGAAGTCCTTGCGAGTCCAGTTCGAGAATCCCTGTTCACCGAGTTGGAGCTTCTCCTCCATCTCAGCCTCAGTGAGTGGCTCGGCCTCATCGATGATGCGCTGGTCCTCGTCGCGCTGAGCTTCCCGCTCCGCCTGGTCCTCGTCGCCATCCGGAAGCGGTACCTTGTAGTTCTGCTGCTTGCGGAAATAGGCGGTCTCACGCTCCTGGAGCTCGAGCAATCTTGGCGGGTAGAACTGGTGCTCCAAGACGTTGACCTGCTTGGGTGCACGGGGAGCCTTCGGCTTGTTATCCGCCTGCTTGTTGCCTTGAGCGAGAACGTTGCGGTAGTAGCTGTCGATGCCGTAGCTCTGCTCCTTCCTCTCACGTTTCGCGGGATTGATCCAGTTCTGGATGATACTCTTTTTGGCCGGAGCCGCGAAGTTCTCACCGTTCCATTCGTACGCCGAGTCGGAACTGAACTTCTGCAGATCGTCCAATCCAAGGGCCGAGTACTTTGCATTTAGCTGGGCGGTTCGCTCTTCTCCGTGTCTCAACAGCGCATCGATAGCCGCATCGTCGATATCGGCCTCAATCTTGCCCTCGCTCTTGAACACCTTGTCGGCACCGTGTTGGATCATTGACAAAAGCTCATCCTTGTTGGCGGCGGCTTTCGCAGCAGTCTGGGCTCGCCCTTGCTGGATGACAAGCTGGTCAAGACGCAACTTCTGCGCAGCACGTTCCAAAACCTTCTCTTCAATGGCATTCTCGGTGACGAACCGGTAGACAACGACCTGCTTAGTCTGTCCGATACGATGGGCGCGATCCATCGCCTGCAGATCTGCCTGAGGGTTCCAGTCCGAGTCGTAGAGCACGACGATGTCGGCACTCGTCAAATTGATACCCAAACCACCGGCACGAGTGGTCAGCAAGAAGATGAATTTCTCACTGTCAGGCTTATTGTACTCGTCGATGGCAGCAATACGGTCCTCGTGAGCGGTCGAACCATCGATCCGACAGTATTGGTATTCCCTGAAGACGCAGTAGTCCTCGAGGATGTCCAGGAGACGCGACATCTGCGAGAAGATCAGTACTCGCGAGCCCTGGATCTTCATCCGCTTCAGGAGCTTGTCGAGCATGATCATCTTTCCAGAATTGAAAACCAGATGCTCATCGGTAGTGTAGGGAGGTCCTGGTTCCGCACCCTCGAAGAGATATGGGTGGTTACAACACTTCCTGAGCTGCATGACGATGTTAAGCAGGCGAGTCTTCGACTCACGCTTGCCCGCAGCACCGTTGACAGCATCAATATCCTTCTCGAGAATTTTCTTGTACCACTTGATCTGCATATCGGACATGCCAATGTACAGATTAACCTCTTTCTTAGGCAGCAAGCTCTTCTCGACATCGCTCTTGACGCGACGGAGCAAGAAAGGTCGCAAGACCTTGTGGAGTTGCTGCACAACGACGTCCTGGTCTCCACCTTGGCCCTCGAACCACGAGTCGAAAGCCTGCGAGTTCGAAAAGACATCAGGAAGCAAGAAGTTCAGCAGGGCCCAGAGCTCATGGAGGTTGTTCTGCAGAGGGGTTCCGGTGATGAGTAATCGGTTCCTGGAGTTGAAAATACGGATGATCTGTGCCAGTGTCGATTCTTCGTTCTTGATGCGGTGCGCTTCGTCGACGATGATGTACTCCCAGGCGAACTTCTTGAGGTGGGCCTTCTCACGCAGAATCATCTCGTAACTGGTGATCAGGACATCAAAGTCCTGGTTGAGCACGCGGTCGTTGATGAGCTGGTGGCGCTCCTCCTTGGCTCCCTGCAACACCAACACGTTGACATCGGGAGTCCATTTCTGAAACTCACGCTTCCAATTGTCGAGCGTGGATTTTGGCACCGTGATAAGATGAGGACCGGTAGTTCCGGCAATGTAGCGAAGATATCCAAGAAACTTCCCCGCCAAGTCAGCAAAACGTCACCTCCCGGGGACCACGAGTAAAAAAACCACGTACTGAGATTGTTTGCAGAGTCTTTCCCAGTCCCATCTCGTCGGCTAAGATACCAGAGATACCGTTCTCGTGGAGAGAGATCAGCCAGTTCAGGCCGGCAACCTGGTAGTCTCTCATCTCGCCTCCTTTGATGTACTTTGGCGACTCAGTGAATATGGTGCGGGCCTCGGGGTCGCCTTCTTCGTCCTGTAGTAGTTCGGCATCCTCTTCCTGCTCGGTCCGCCGCCGCCGGTTCTCTGCTGCGGTCTTCTTCTTGCCCTTCTTGCTCATCCGCTTCTCTTCCTCTTCAGCAAGAACACGCTGGTAGTCGGGATTGTTACTCATGAAATGGCGGAAAAGGTCTTGAAACGTCAGCACGGTGCGACTCGCAAGATAGCAGGGTCGCCGTCGACGTACCTGTCAATCCCAACAAGTACTTGATCCGTTTTGTCGAATCGTTGTCCTGCGCAACCACGCCGTCAATGCCCGACAATCATGCATTAGCAACGAGAGTGACTACCTTCTGCTGGTTCAAGCTCTCGTTCTTGCGACCGAACGCCTGCTTCCGCTCGTTGGTGACGACCGACCGTCGCCGACGCCCATCAGGCCGGTCTGCGTCGTCCTCATCGTCATCCTCGTCGCCCGAGTCGTCGTCCGCGCCCTCGTCTTGTGCACCGTCATCTTCCTAGCCAGCCGTTAGACGCATTGCTCGACAGCGCAAACGCGTATCGTTCGAGTGGTGGAAACTTACGACTTCGGCATCCTGAACGAGAAACATATCACGCGTTAGCGAATCGCCGCAATGCCTCGCACGCACGCGCAAAGAGCAAATACCAGAGACAGGCCACTCACATCCATCTGGACATCGTCCTGTTCCGGAGAGCCCTCGGGAGAAGTGGGGGGGTTGCTCTCGTCGGCCATCTCGGAGTCGGACGCTCTGTTCTTGACCATAGCTCCTGTCTTGATACTATACGCGGGTGGGCCGGGGAAGGGTGTTGGGGTAGGGTGTAAGAAGCACTGGGAGGTGGAGAGCGATTCTGTGGTGATGGGTGGTCGTGTGTAGGTGGATGGAACAAGGGTTTTGTGGGAGTGAATGCTGGTTGACGACGTCGATGGCGGTCGGAGTCGGTTGAGGTTCAAGAAGGCGCGTTCTACAAAATTGGAACGCGAAAACGGATAGCGTCTTTTTTAGGCTTAGGGCACCAGCTACTTATGCCGACGCGGAAGGGCACCATCATGATATCCCACTCGGCCCGAGCTTCGAGCCGCCGAGCCCTAGTTACTAACAGACTCGAACCTTTATTGCCATGATCTAGATACATGGTCGCACGCAATCAATGAATGAACAAAAAAAAGAATCCACAGACTCGAAGACTGCTGAGCCGCCATAGAGACTCCAAGACCCGGGCGTGTCCCCTCGCCGCCGAATCCATACATGCGAAGCGAGCCCGCCCGACGGCCTCACAGCCCCTCACTCGTCTACTCGCGCTAGCGCACATGGCTGCCTTTGGTAATGCCAAGCCGCAGAGGTCGCCATTAAAGTCGCCCAAGCCACAACAAGACAAATGCGCCGCACGCTGCCCCAGTTGTCGTCTGTCCGCTGTCGACCTGTCGACCACACTAACGGGAAAGAGTGAAAGAGAACGAACGAAGAAAGAGAAAGAGCGAGCGAGAGCGAGAGGATCTCTTTCTCCCATCCCTCCCGCCGCCGCCCTCAAACAAACCTTCCCCCCCACCCCCACTAGCAGTAATTCCCTTTGCTTCCTAACGCTAACGCCCAGCGAAACATCATCGTCACCTTCGCACAACACAGGGGACGGCGACATATCTCGCTTCCACCCACACACAAATACCTCCACCAGCCGACGACAGCGACTCCACGACCAGCCGACGACAACCCCTCCACACTTCGAGTCGAGTATCTACCACCATCAGCAAGCACAGCAACAGCAGTAGTAGCAGCATCAGCAATCCCGGTCGTTGATACTGCCGTGTGTGTGTGTGTGTGTGCTGTGCTACCCTGTCACCACCCCATCCGCCGCCGGCGCTGCCGCTGCTCTCGCCACATAAGGGTGGTATGGATTTGACGTCTCTTTCATCAAACCTCCCCCGCAACAACTCGGCACACCCGGAGGACCCCACCGAAGACGAAGACCGTTCGTCGTCGACCGTTCTGATGTCGGCATTCAAGCAGGCGGCATACTCGGTTACGGCCCTGTACAAGCAGGCCAACGAGCAGGTGGACCGTGCTCGTCGGGACGGCCAGAAGGAGGGCTACCAGGAGTGTCTCGATGACATCTTCGCTCTCCTGCAGCGTTTGGATGAGAATGGGAAGGCAGATCCGGCAACGAGAGAGCTGTTCAAGCAGTGGGCTCTAGGGAAGCGTAGAAAGCTCGGTCCGAGGCCTGCTAGGCGAGAGGAGAGGGAGCCCAGTTCCGAGAGCGACCTGGAGCGTCACCGGTCCTCGTCGCCCGTCCAGCACCAAGAACAGCAACAAGAACAGCAGCAGCAGCAGCAGGGACCACTACAAAAGGAACAGCAGCAGCAGCAGCAGCAGAGCATCGGCCTAGATTCGTCCCGGCAGATGCGCATGAACTCACCCGCAGTCCAGTCGTCTCCCGCGGCTCCATTCGTTCCACCCACGCTGCCGCAGCTTCCAGCGTTCACGTTCCAAGCGGCGCACCACATGCCGCGCCACCTGCCTCCTCCACCGGAAACCAGCGACATCGAACTTCCGGACAACGACTCGCCGCCCACCTCGCCCCGGATGGCGCCGCAGCAGAACCACCTCTTCCAGCACGGCAACTTCCAGCAGCACAAGCCCTTCCCGCACACCACGCACACCAACACCTCGCGTGGTCGGCGCACTCGCGGCGGTGGCGGCCCGCGCCAGGGCTCCAAACGCCGTATCGACTCAATCGATGATTTCTTCGACCTCGCCGGAATGGAAAAGATGCAGCACCACAGCAAGAAAGGCCGCTACCAGTGATTCATAGGTAGTCTACCAGCTCACAATCATGATGATCACGACAACAACAAGTAACCGTACGGTCTACGGGTCTACGGATTGCGAAAATCTTTTCTGTGTGTGTGCATGTGCGGGTTTTTGTTTGCATTATAATACTGGAGTCGTGGAGACGGGTTTGCTTTGCTTTGTGGTTTGCTTTGTGGTTTGTTTTTTTGTGGTTTTCTGTGTGGTTTTGTGGTTTTGCTTGCTTTGTGTTCTCGGTCCCTTTTTTCTTGACTTGACTTTGCGAATCCGAAATAGATGGAAATCAGAATTAGAGTGTGAATAGGTAGTCGGGTGGTGAGGTGGTCTGTAGTCTGCGGTCTGTGGGCGGTTGAATGGTCTGCGGTGCGGGTTGCGTTGAGGAGAGGAGAGGCGGGCGGGGCGGGCGGGGTGGGCGGGGTGGTGTCGGCGGGGTGACTTGTGCGTACTGTACTGGCTGGGAGATCTTGGGCCATGCCATGGTATGGTCGTCAAGAACGACGACGATTTTACTTGCTCGCCTGCCTGCCTGCCTGCTCTTGTTTCTTCACATGTGGCCGTTGTCTTTCGCCTGTGGACGATGGATGAAGCGATGTGCTACCTAGCAGTCACTGCATGTAACATATTACCGTTCGATTCTCTGCATCTCGTTTCTCTCGTTTTCTTGCTTGTCTGCTTGTTTGTTTGTTCGTCGTTTCTTCATCGTTTCTTCTGGGTATTCTTTAGGGTCTCGTCTTGCAGTTGGTCTGTAATTGGTCTTGCAATCGGTCTTGTCTCGCAAGTGGTTTTGCATTTAGTCTTGCAATTGGTCTGTAATTGGTCTTATCTTGCAATTGGTCTTGTCTTGTCTTGTCGTTTAGTTTCGTTTTGTTCGTGGGGGGCGTTTTGCTACAACTTACTTCTTGAGAGTATACCTTACCTTACCTTACCTTACCTACTTTTACCTACTTCGTACCTATCCTGCCAGACTGCCAGACTGCCAGACTGCTACTGCTGCGACTCTGCGCAGTGCGAGTGACTTGTTGGTGTTGTGACCGGTTCTACATGGGCAGTGGGCAGTGGGCGGCCGTATGCTTCGTGTTCAAGGGTCTGTGTGGTTTTCTTTGCTTTTTTACATGTCCGTTTTTTTCTTTCTTGACTGCTGACTGGCTGGCTGGCTGGAATCTGCATTGCCTTAACACGTACTCGTGACATATTGATGTGGCTCCCGCCAATCTCCGCCGAGCTGTGGCTGTTGTCCTCACTGGTGAGCGAAATGCGTTCCTGACGAATTCGCCATGATATGATGTGATACCGTACATATGAGGTGAAGTTCCAGTTACGGCGCCAGCGCGGTGCGGTGGGGTGCGGGTGCATGGGACACCCCTGCATACCGTGCCCTATCAATTCCACGCGTGCGCTTTAAACATCCTTAGATGTCAATGTAACCAAGGGGTCTGTATTGTATTGTATGTACATACGAGCTCTCCTGAGGACTTTCTTTCTCTCTCTCATATACACACACTCGCTCGCCCTCACGCTCTCTCGCAGAAAAGCACACGCTCCTTCCCTGGCACCACGCCCGATCCACGCTCGCTACACGCTCGCTACATACCACACGGAGGAGGAGATGGTAGTCTCTATCCGCATCCCGCCGGAGTCGCCCAGCTCTCTGCTGCCCCAATACGCCTACCGCACCTCCTCGCGGCCCCTCACACCACGGGGGTACCGCCGTCTGCTCCCACTGCTTCTCGCGTTCATCTTCGTGGTGGAAACATACCGACTCTTCCACACCCCCAGCTCCAACTCCACCCCCATCTCCGCCGATCCCTCACCCTCCCTCGACACCGACCTCGACCTCCCCCCCGCCCCCGTGGGCCTCTCGCACCTGATAATCGTCGCCTGCCACGCTATCTGGATACCGGGTCCGACGCTGGGGTCCTCCGCATCGGAATGGGTACTAGAGCCGTACCAACTCTCGCTGACCCCTCCGGCCTCATCCACCTTCCTCGCGCACATCTCGCGGGGCGCGTCCCTCGCCGTAGCGGACCCCTCCTCCCTGCTCGTCTTCTCTGGCGGGGAAACGCGGCCCTCAGCCGGCCCGCGCACCGAGGCGGCGGGCTACTTCGAGCTGGCCGCGCAGCGGGGATGGGTTGGCGAGCAACTGCAGGCGCGCACAACGACGGAGACGCAGGCGCTGGATTCGTATCAGAACTTGGTGTTCTCGTTGCTTAGGTTCCGAGAGGTGACGGGCGGCTGGCCGGAAAGGGTCACGGTTGTTAGTTATGAGTTTAAAAGGAGGAGGTTTGTGGACCTGCATAGAGCTGCGATTGGGTGGCCCGGGGCGAGGTTTGAGTTTGTTGGTGTGGATCCGGAGTGGACGGGGGTGGAGGGGGAGAGGGAGAGGGAGCTGGTGGAACAGGGCGAGTGGAGGAATGCGAGACGGCTGTGGGAGAGGGATCCGTATGCGTGTGGTATTGGTGGGGAGGAGGAGGAGGGCGGGGTGCGTGGGGGGGAGCTCAGGGAGAAGAGGAGGGGTAGGAATGCTGGTAGGAGGAGGGGGTATGTACTCGATGGCGTTGACGCATCGGTCAAGAGGTTGCTCGGATGGTGTAGTGAGGGCGGGAGCGAGGGGAGGATGTTTGATGAGCGGTTGCCGTGGACGGAGGTTGAGGAGTAGACGGGGACACTGGACTGGAGTGAGATAGGTATAGATATTGGATAGACGGTAAGTTATATAGACAACGGTGGCCTCCGGCGCTGGCTGTGCTGCTGGTTTTTTTGGCAGGGAATGGATGGTACGGATAGATTTCAATAGTAATGTTTAAAGCATCGGTAAGGGCACATTCTAGCTCACTTCGGTGGTTATCCCACATCTGCAAGTAGTGCTCGTAAACTCGTGTCATGACAATGGATATTACCGTAGGTAAAGTAAGGGACCCTACCAAGTCAGAAGCCATACAACCTCAAAGCAGCCAGAATCTGGCCAGATAGTTCCAAGCCGAGTGATCCACTATGAACACCACCTTACTTCCAGTACCCACTGTGCGAGCCATATGTAGAGTACCAGCACTTCGCACGCATACACTCCCCATTTAGAGTCCTCCGTCGAGAGTAAGTTACGGTAGTAAATACCAAATACCTATTCCCCACATCAACAACACACAGTATCACCGAGTGCAATCCCATGACCCCCCTCTAGAGTACCCTCTCACTCACGCTCACGCCACAAATACACAACCATTACATACGACATCTTCATTCGGGGCAGTAAATAACGTGGGCAGTTGTAAATAACGTGGGTAAATAACGTGGGCAAGTAGTAAGGTTAGGGGGGAAATGTACAGAAAACGATTTCAAGAGTTCTCCAGAGAAGTGAAGTGGCAGTAACTCCTCTCACACACACACACACACACACGATAATCAACACCAACAGCACAGACTCTCTCCCACCACTAGCAGCAGCTCCACCAGCTCCACCACCAGCACACCGTCCGCCGTTACCACCACCATCACCACACCCCCCGCCGTCACCACGACCAATATTCAAAGAAAAAAAACCCGAAGAAAAAAATACATACACACGGGTATGGCACCAAACATCATAATCGCTCCCCATCCCCTTCCCCCTCCCCTTCTCCATCCTCTTCCCCTTCCCCTTCCCCTTCTCCCCATCCCCTCATCACAGCCCCGACCCCTTCGGCTGATAAACCGGCAGTCTGGGAATAACCGCCTCCTCGGCAGGCCGCTGCATATCAAAGCTGCTCACACTAACACCATCCTCATCGACCTCGCGACTATGCAACTCCGCGGGGGGGCCTGTGTACAGAGCCTGCTCCTGATGCTGCTGCTGCTGTTGCGGGAGCACAACCGGGACGACAGGAGGTTGTGGTGGGCGTGGGGGGTTACTAGCGAACCCTGGATCGGTGAGCTGTCTGGCGGGGGGGCCCATGGGAAGTGCGGCGGCGCCAACACCGCCAACACCGCCGTATACTGGCGAGGTGTGTGAAGTGGGCGACGAGGTGCGGGACTTGTCGTGCGCAGCGGCGCCCGCGGAATCGCGGAGCATCGCGGGCTTGTCGGCGCGCCGGTACTTGCGGCGGCGGAGGAAGAAGACTAGTGCGCCGATGAGCGCGAGGCCGGCGAGCCCGCCGACTACGCCGCCAGCGATCGCGCCCGTGTGGCTCTTCTTGTTATTGCTGGGGTTGGCGAGTGAGGTGTTGCGGCTGGCGTCGGCGCTGGCGCTGCTGTAGTTCCCCGTGCTGATCGGGGCTGCGAAGACTACTTCTATGCTGCTGCTGGCGGCGGCGTTGCGGGTCGGCGCGAGGATAGATGTCGACGAGGAGGAGGATACGCTGCAGACGGTGCTGCCGTCTTGGTTCTTGATCAGCTCTTCAACGCCGTCCTTGTTCATGATGCATTCCGAGAGGCAGGTGTCCCCCCCGGTTGCGCATGTGAACCCGCCGTTGGGTGTCCGGACTACAGTTGGTCGACCGGGTCCGCCGTCGGTGTTCTGCATGGACGCCTGTGACAGAACTCCCGGCACCAGGGCCAGGCCGCACAGCACGGCAGAAATCGCAGAAAATCTCATCGGGGAGATGTCCTGTTGCTGAGTCGAACAAGCGGGTGTATTAATCCTGCGGCCACGGCGCGACGGGGTCGAGGTGAAGTCGGAATTATCGAGTTATCGAGTACCTAGTATCGTACAGCTCAAGGAGGTCCTCAAGGGGTGTTGAACGAGCGAGGTCGAGTGGAGTAGTAGTGTTTGGTGGTGGTGGAGCAGAGCAGAGTCTGGGTAGGTATGGTGGTATGGGGCAGGAGAGTAGGAGGTAGCAGGGCTGTGCACTGCACACTCGTCTCTCGCTCGCTTCCTGTTACACGAGTTATGTAGAGTATGTAGAGTAGGTGTGTGTGAAGAAGGGAAGAGTGGACGAGGACGAAGAAGCAGCTGGCTGGCTGGCTGGCTTCGGTTTTTCTCGCCCCCCTTGGGATGCGGTTGGTTTCCTGCGAAAAGCAATATCGGCACCGCTCTCTGGTTAGACCGACTGCCACATCGCCTGCGACACTCCAATCGAACGAATAATGGGCCACCGGTGAATGCGGAGCGAAGGTCAGGTAGAGCAACTAGAGCAGCATAAAGTACCCTGGAATCCTGGATGATTACTATTTTGGACGGCTAAGGCCTGCGCGTGTTCTGCGGTGCTGCCTTAACATGCCGATTACTAACTCAGCCCCCGGACACATCTATATATCGACTCTCTCGCAACCGTGGGTGGGTGTTCGTCCCTCGTCGAATTCGACGACTATAAAGCCCATGCTTTCCTCCCCCCACTCCACTCCGCAGAGAAGCTCACGAGGTCTGAAGACTTTCTCCTGACTTGACGAAGGATGCTGTTGTTGTTGCTGTTGTTGTTGGATCCTCGAGCCGGTCTCTCGCTCGTATCGACACCACGCCAACCCGTACTCTACTTACACCCTGCATGGCCCCAACCAACCACGCTGTTGCCTTACCTCAACTAGTGCCCCCTACCCCCCAACCCCAGTTCTCATGAGCGTCGTTCAGCCGCAGTCAACAAATCAAAGCGAGCGGCTTGCCGTGTCTCCGTTTTGCGCGGCTTCTAGCTAGAGTATTAAGAAGAGGGGAAAAAACGTGCCAGTGTGCGGAGTTGAAACTCAAATCCGACGCTTGCTTGTGAGCGGAGAAACACAATCGATACATCTCGCGACCGTGCCTGCGGTGGTGGTGGTGGTGGTGGTACTTATGTAGAGGTGTGGTGGTGGTGTGGTGGTGTTGCAACTCGGTGGTGGTGGTGGTGGTGGTGGTGGTGGGTTGACCACCAGCGCTTAATTTAGTTCCCGAACTCTTAACGAACTAGAGTCTAAGCAGAGTAGACTCAGTAGAGTAGGCCACCACTACCAAGATACTCAGGCCCGCCAGCCGTGGTGGTCGGTCGGTCGGTCGCTAAGTGAGTAGATATCGATTACATACACACGGACTCCGCACGGGCGGGCGATCATGAGGTCTCGCGAGTGTGGAGACTCTAGTTGTGCGGCTGAGTGGAATAGGTTGAGTAGAGTACGCCCACGCGGGGTCGAGTGGCGGCGACGTGAGGTATCGACGGCTTGAACAATGGGTACCTCCGGACTTCGCGATGATGATGATGATGATGATGATGCCTAGAGCTTGGTGCTACATAAGTGTTCAGCCAGGCTCCAGCAAGGGGCGGGGGCGAGTACTCTACCGAGGAGTCAGGACTTGGAGATACCTATATCTGGATACCAGTATCTAACGTGCTCGGTAGCAGCAAGCGCACATCTACCTGCTATGTATCGTCACACACACCGTGCGCATTCCGCAGAGAACATCTTTTGCACTCGTGCTCGAGAATTTGCACGGAACACTCGGAACAGCTGCAGATGTGAATTATTAGTGATGTAGTCGCTCGATACATCACACCGGTAGAGGGATTACTCGTAGATGAAGCAGAAGCACGGCTGAGTTATGAAACAGTCATCAGTCATCAGTCAGGGTTCTGCATGCGGCAGGTGTCACCCCGTGAGCCGAGAATGGTATTCAGCTTTGATTCAGCTTTGGTCCCGCTCGTGCAGGGACTCATGGTGGAGCACTCGGCTGGCAATGCCAACAGGTAAAAATATCATGCTTCCTCGATACTATATTTGTTCCCGATCATTCGTTACCAGTGCTGGCTTAGTTATCCGGTCTGATTCACAGCTCCGCTCGTCGTATGTCGTCCAACGATACTTTGATGTGCTAGGACTCTGGCACACAGACGCTGATCGACCGGATAGTAGCTGCCACCGTGCCCTAAAGTCTATCTAGACACCGATCCTTCATCCGTGCCTTCGAGCACCGAGCGACAAGATTGGAAACATATCACATCCATTCATGGAGTAGGTGTTGAAAACTGTACGTGTATGTCGGTAGGAACAGAGTTGACTCCCAAAGCCTCATATTACGTTCCTCCACAACACTATGCCAGTAGCCCCGAGGTATAAAGCTAGTTCTTGTTGACGACCAGTTGAGAACCGAGGGTACGGGAATGGTTAAGGCAGTATATATCCTCTAGAAAGTCGACCAGAAGTTTTCATGTTAATACCGGCGCCAGTCTTCAACTTCTCTGGAACCTATTGTAAATGTTTGACTCGATAGCGTTTCCCAAGGCGAGAAGCCAGTAGAGTACTGGGAGACCCGGTCATAGTGATAAACAAAGTTGAGTGGTGTCAAAACGATGTACTTACCCCTCAGGGTAGGCGGAGAGAAAAACAAATCTACCCCAATTCCTTACGGAATGCAGTAGGTAGAACATTTCCATACGTATTCCCCCCTCAGGTTAGGGTCTTGGAGATGCCATGCCACTCACGTTGATGCTGACGCTGCCCCGCAATCGACCTCTTTTCCTGTGCCTCCTATTCGCCTGGTGAGCATATATGCACTCACTTGCGCTGCCGCGCGTTCTCCTATATATGCACACACTCGTGCCCGGCCCATGCGCCCACTCGCGCCTCCCCGCGCCAGCTGCTGCGCGCGCTTCATCCTTAATCATCAATGACTAAATCGAAATCAATATTGCACCAAACATTCGCATAGTTCATCCGCTTCGCCAATCGCCATATGATAGATAAATACCCAGCACTGGTGCGAGAGTACCGCTCAAGACTCAAGAGTCAACATATTCACAGGGCGAGGATCTCTTCCCAAGGAGGAACCGTCCATGGCACGAGGTTTTTCTGTGCAGAGCTGTCGGACAGTTGATCCTTCCGTGAAGCGACCATAAGCGCGGTAATCAACTCCCGGACTTGGAATTCTATGGTTTTTGTGCTTAAGGTTTTTGAAGTTTGATGCTGTGGACTTGAGGTCCAAGGTTTATTGAATTTTGTGGGGTTTGTGATTTTCACGCTGGCTTAAAGTCAGCTCGATTGCCGCAAACTCTTCCTTGACAGAGTCAATCAATGTTTATGTCTTATGGGTGCACTTGACGTATTTCTGACATGAGGAGTCAATCCATTGCAATGACTCGAGACAAATGGGCCGTGTAGTCTCCTCCCAAACCTGTTAGCCGAGCATTTGCCAGTCATAAGCATCAAAGTCTCATTACAACCGCACCCCAAAGCAGCGAGGAATGTTTCTCTGAAATTCCTGTCGCTCTGGACTGCCGATTCCGGAAACTTGAATTTCACGCTGATGAGCGCGTTGGCCTCAGCTACAGAAAGAAATTTCCCCCCAATTCACGACGACTGTGTTGAGCTTCATAAGATGCTGCGAAACATACCGATGAAGGTCCTAAAAGTCCGCCGTTGCAAGCTCTCGCTTGCGCGATTCCGACGATAGGTTTTACTCCCCGCCCAGGGTTGTACCCTAACGGACTGCCGTTGGCCGCTCAACTGGGTTAGTGCGTGGTATTTTCTCGTTAGTGCGCCCCACGCAACGCTTCTCCCACGCAAGCACAACTCCAGTGTGAAGGTGCTGTCACGACGAAACGACGAAGCAGTGCTACCGACGACAGACAATACACGACCCCTCACACCGCCCGTCGCCTCAAGATAATCGATCATGTGTACGTTGTCCCTGCGAAACACCCGGGGAGACGACAATGGCTGGATGGCGGGATTGGGTGAATGCTAATTTGATGCTTGTGTGTAGCTAACCCCGAGATGACACTTCGCGGAACCCTTGAAGGTGAGGAGCAACTTCGCCGTCTTCAAAAGCATCATCGATGTGGCGATACGCCAATGCCGACCGAGGGACTGGAGAGCTAACTTTGTCTTTCGCTGGAATGAAGGGCACAGCGGTTGGGTTACTGTAAGTTTCCAATTGGAAACCGGTGGGGTGATGGAGGGATGTTGATCGGATGCTGATGGAAGTTGTGCAGTCTCTCGCCACCTCGGCTGAGAACCCCAACATGCTCCTGTCTGGTTCCCGCGACAAGACTTTGATCATCTGGAACCTGTAAGGACCCCGCCCGCCGAGTTGTCGATGTTGTTCAATGCCTGACGTCGGTGTCCCGCACAGCACCCCGAACGGAGACAGCGCCGGTGTCCCCAAGCGCAGCCTGAAGGGTCACTCTCACATTGTCTCGGACTGTGTACGAATGTCCCACAACACGCCGTGCTCGGGAGCGAGAGGCTAACCCGTCCATTCGTGCCGTGCAGGTGATCTCCTCCGACGGTGCCTACGCTTTGTCCGCCTCGTGGGACAAGACCCTCCGCCTCTGGGAGCTGTCCACCGGTCAGACCACCCGCCGTTTTGTCGGACACACCGGTGACGTCCTCTCGGTTTCGTTCTCCGCCGACAACCGTCAGATCGTCTCTGGATCCCGTGACCGTACAATCAAGCTCTGGAACACCCTCGGTGACTGCAAGTTCACCATCACCGAGAAGGGCCACACCGAGTGGGTCTCGTGCGTCCGTTTCAGCCCCAACCACTCCAACCCCGTGATTGTCTCCGCCGGTTGGGACAAGCTCGTCAAGGTCAGTGCCGCCCCTTCTGCCAGTCCTCAGAAAGAAACAATGGAGGGAGCCGAGTGTTGCCAAATGATGTTGCATACGTATTTGCTACTTCAGAGCCTTCAAGGCCATGAGACCAACAATCACCTTTTTGCCCTGATGGCACACTCACTCCGAAGCTTCATTGTTTTCTTGGCCTGGAATAATCCATGTCGGGATTCGTGCTGACGTCGATAATCCTATAGGTTTGGGAGCTCTCTTCGTGCCGCATCCAGACCGACCACAGCGGCCACACTGGTTACATCAACACCGTCACTATCTCCCCCGATGGATCGCTTTGCGCTTCCGCCGGAAAGGACGGAACCACCATGCTGTGGGACCTGAACGAGTCCAAGCACCTGTACTCGCTCAACGCCGGTGACGAGATCCACGCCCTTGTGTTCTCTCCCAACCGCTACTGGCTGTGCGCTGCCACCGCCTCGGACATCATCATCTTCGACCTCGAGAAGAAGAGCCAGATTGACAAGCTCTCGCCCGAATGGATCAGCAACAGCACCAAGGAGAACCCCAAGAAGACCAGGACCCCCGAGTGTGTGTCGTTGGCTTGGTCTGCGGACGGAAACACCTTGTTCGCCGGATACACCGACAACAAGATCCGTGTCTGGGGCTGCAGGGCATAAACGGAAGTCTAGTTGGGTTGAATTAAAAAAAATAAACTTCGAATTTTTTTTGATTCACACAAATGGCGACGATAAATTCCTCACATCACTTGTTGGTTCTTCTTCATGTGTTTGTGGCGGACTAGGGTAAACAAAACGGGGGCAGCAGGCGCAATTCTACGGGCTGATTTTACTCTTTTTCTTTTCCTTTTCTCGGTTTTTTTTTTGTCAGATAATTGGGAAAGGTTGGGGGCAAACTTTTCCATTGTCCGTGGTCACTGGCACCTTCGAATCAAGCAGAGCCATTGCCTTTCACTAGAGATCGAGAAGAGTGGCCGTAGATACCGTAATCGCATCAAGCAAACCAACATGCAGACCGCAAAACCCCAAGCAAGCCAACCAATACCGTACCATGAACTCCCAAAAGCACGCAAAAAAACCGGCAAACACCATTGTGCATATCACTTGAAAAAGCTGGTGATCTTTCTATTCCCATCTGGTGTGGGTTTCTTTTTCGTCTTCTTGGGCGATCTTCTATTCGCGGCATTGCTAGTAGCACTCTTTGTCGTCTTCGTTTTCTTCACAGGAGTTGGAGTTGGCAGCTCTTTGGCGTCATCAGATTTCTTCAGCGTCTTTCCAGGCGGCGGCGTCTCCGGCGGTTCATCCTCCGCCATCCTCTTCTCCATCTTCTTCTCCTTCTCCTTCTCCTTGCTCGGCGAAGCAGCCGCAGCCGCAGCAACAATCCTCTGCCTCTCGAGCCCTGCGCGAATGCCATCTTTCCTCTCACTGACCCTGTCGACGAAGGTCGGGGAGTCATTACCGACCTTCCCCACCTCGCCGGCGACGGGATATACCTCGAGCGCGCCGCCCTCCCACGGCACCAGCAGCGGCTGCAGCGCGTCCCACGAAGTATCCGCGTTCAGCCATCGCGAGGCGTCGCCCGCCGAAAGGATCGTGGGCATGCGCGCGTGCAGGAATGACAGCGTTGTGGAAGACGGGGTGGTGATTATTGTGTACGTGTTGGTGGATGGGTCGTAGAGGCCTGCGAAGAGGAGGGGGGGCATACCCGGGGAGGGCGTGGCCTTGGAGTCGGGGTTGGGGTCGGAGGGGGAGGGGGTGGAGGGGGAGGGCGGGGAGGGGGAGGGCGCGCACGGCCGCACGTGGTGCGGCTGCCCCGTCGCCGGAAGCCACTCGTAAAACCCGTTCGATGGGACCACGCAGCGGTATGGCTTCAGACGGTCCCAGAAGCCCGTCGGAGCAGCGAGAGTCTCTGCCCGCGTGTTGATTTGTGTCCACTGCTGCTGCGGCGTCGCTGAGGGAGTCGTCGCGGTGAGGGTGACTCCCCATTTCATCGGTGTGAGCTGGAGGCTGACATTTTCCCCGCTGTTTGGAGCGAGGGTGATCACCGGCGCAGTCTGCCCGGGCGCGATGTTGTAGCGCGGCTGGTAGGCGTCGGGTGCGGCGGAGATGGCGAGGCCAGAGGTGCGGAGGTAGGATTCGAGCGTGGACGGTGAGAGGTACAGGACGTAGCGGCCGCACATGCTGGCTTGCTTGCTGGCTGGATGTTGGGATGGTGGGGTAGTCACGGTAGTGATGACGGTGGGGCTCGCTTGATAAATCCACGCCTAGAGCCGAGCACGACCGGCACGACGTCATGCATTTTTGTTCTGCGCTTAGATAGGCATAGAGTACCTACCGTAGAGAGAAGAACTCCCCGCCCCCACTACGTACGAGGATCTGTACTGTACTCTCTTCTCTACTCCAACAACAGACAGACAGCACCATGTTCTCACGAGCGATCCGTCCCGCCACGAGCGCAATCCGAATCTCGCGGTCCCGAACCCTGCAGACACTGTGCCGGCCGCGCCCAGCAGCAGCAGCAGCACCACTACGGCCGCACCTTCAGCAGCAGCACCGAAATGCGTCGAACTATCGCAACCTCCTCGACGAGATGCAGAACGGCGGGCTGCGACGGAACTGGCTGAGCATCGCAACCTTCACCACGCTGTAACTCCCCCCCAGCCCAGAGCACCCATCCCTCCCGCGGGACAACACCCAACAGCAGCTCACACCTACCAGTATCAGCATCGCCCTCGGCTCCGGCATCTACGTCGTGTACCTGTACAACGAGCTGGTCGAGAAGCCGCTGTCGGTGTACCCATCCGCGGTGGCCTCGCAGATCAAGGCCGCGCTGTACCAAGCCTCGCGAGGCAACGTGACCGAGATGGCCGCGGCGTTCAAGGCCGCCATCACCGCTGCCGAGGCGGCCGGCATGCACCCGCTCTCAGATGAAGTCGCTGGGCTGAAGATTGAATGTGCGCAGTTCCTGCTGAAGATGAAGGAGGGCGCGTATGCGGAGAAGGGGGTCCAGGTGCTCGAACATGTGCTGGACGAGTCTGCGGCTGGCGCGGAGTTCTTCGAGAAGGAGGGCCGCTGGGGTGATAGGAATAAGGTGCTCAAGCGCGCGGTGTTGCTGGGGTATAAGATTGGCGAGATCTATCAGGGCCTCGAGAAGGATAGGGAGGCGGAGGAGGCGATGTCGTGGAGTACCGAGACGTTGCTGGAGGAGATCAAGCGGAGGGAGGGGAAGAAAGTGGACGAGAGCGAGGAGGGGGATTGGTTCGATGACATTGCCATGTCGGCCTGCTTCGAGAGTAAGGCCCAGTCATCACCACGCCCACTTATCACCGCAGCAAGAAACTGACGACGATACTGCAAATACAGAGCTCGCCCAACAGTACGAAAAGACATCACAATACTACCTCGCCACGCCGCTCTATCTCAAAGCGCTCTCGCTGCTGCCGCCGCACACGTGCCACGCAATAACGTTAATGAACAATCTCGGCGCCTGTCTCTCACGGCAGCAGCCCCCGCCGGCCTCGGCCGCCACAGGCGCGCCCGCTTCCGTTACCCGCGAGCAGCTCCTGAGCAACGCCCAGAAGTGGACCGAGAAGGCGCTCGAAATAGACGCAAGAGTCGTCCCGCCCATCCGAACCGCCGAGTGCGACGAGGCTTGTGTCGCCGCTACCCACAATCTCGGCGAGATCGCGCGGATGCTGGGAAACAAAAAGCTTGCGACGGAGAAATTTGACGAGGCGATGAGTCTGGCGAAGGGATTGGGCATGGCGGATGGAGTAAAGGCGGCGAGGGAGGGTCTGCTGAAGGCGGATGTAATGAAGGAGGGCGAGGTTAGTCTTGTGTAGAAGTGAAGTGTATGATGTTGGAGATATTAGAACATGCATAGTACGACAGTCTGTTTGCTTGGTTGGAGGTGTGTATGATAAGAAAAGAAAATCCATTCTTGTGTCTGTCTGTCTGTCGATTCGTCGTCGGCGTGCTCCCCACGCCGGATTGAGTCCGTCCATCCCGCTCATCCCGCTCCGCTCATCCTGTCCCCCCCCCCCAAAAAAAAATAAAAAAATAAAAAAAAAGATAATCAAAAAATAAAAAAGAAGAATCCAACAAACGCCAGCAGCCGCCATAGGTATTATACAGTGAATAATCACATACACACACTCTCTTCCATTTTAGTCTTTTAGTCGATATCAAAACCCGCCCGAAAGCCGCACGGTAGTTTCTAGACAGCCATCTACATCATCGCACGTGTAGTGGCCGCAGTACTGGCAGTTCCACTGGCCGGTCGAGTCGATGAAGTTTATGCGGCTGTACTGGTTGAAGCACTTGCAGCATGTCGTTGCGTTCTGGATTTTTGGAAAGAACAGATGTTAGAATTTTGCGGAGAATAGCAATATGCGGGGAGTGGACGGGGGACAGGGGACGGGGGGATGTACGTACGGGTGGGATTTTTGCGTGCTGGTGCTGGTGCGGGTGGTGGTGGTGGGTCGCATATGAGGATGTGGCCGCGTGGCATGCAGTGTTGCTTGCTGGCATTTTTGCAGATCGGAAGGGAGAGGGTGGATAATAGGGTTTGTGAATGGAAGTGTGATATGTGTCCGCTTGAATTATTCAACTCGTCGTCGATAGGTAAGTAGCTCTATGTATGTATGATATGTAGTCCGCAGCTATGTATGTAGGTGTTGCCGTTGCCGTGAAGAATCCGAATAGCAGACAATGACTGGGGGAGGATGGGGGGAATTTATAACTTGCGCGCCGAGTCCCGAGTGACGGCGCATGCCACAATATGACATCGCTCCTCTCTCTCTCTCTCCTCCCCTCGACGCGGGAAGTGCAACTGCACACTGCACACTGTGCTATTGCTGCTAATGCGCACCGCGCCGCACTGCGATGCTCGTCTCTTTCTCTCGCTCGTCCTCCTGCCGCTGCTACTGCTGCTGCCTGGTTGTCACCGCTCGGCGAATCCAAAGCCACTCTTTCGGATGGGGCGCAGTACCTACACAGCTTCGACGACATTTCGGCGCCGACTTTGACTTTGACATGACTTGACTTTGACTCACCGCAAACAGGAAAGGAAGACAGGGCGTACCGTAATTTGCTTACCATGCTTCTGCCGTGCGATTCCTCTTCCTCTTCCTCTTCCTTCCCTCCTTCCTTTGCCTGCAGGCAGGCAGGCAGTTTCTGCCTCGGCGTTCCATTTTCTCGCTGCAGTTGCCTGTCTGCCCGTTCTTTATGCCATCGCCTGGGACGTGCAGATATCAGATGAGGCACCATCAAAGTTCAGCCCGATGGATTGTACTTACCCTTAGCAGCATGCCCGTTCCCAGCCGCAGCAGCGGATACTATCGATTCCGTCCGCCCCGCAGCCCCCGCTCATCCGTACACATCCTCATTCATCCATCCATTCATTCCGGCGTGGGCTTTCGGATTGCCAATTTGGAAGAGTCCGCAAGCGGCTGCTGCTTCCGGTGTGCAGCTGCGTGGGGTAAGGTAACAGGTTTGTGGGATGTGGGGATTGCTGCCTCTGCCTCTACCTGCCAGGCATCAACCGCAGAGTCGTGTGATGATGATGCTGCTGATGACGATGATGAGGGGTAGGCAGGCAACGTTGGGATCGGCGTGCTTTCGTTCGTTCGTTCGCTCGCTCGTGCGGCTCGTTCGTTTCGTCCGTTTCGTCCGTTTCGTTCGTTTTGTTCGACCTGCAGCAGACGTCTTTGCTAGACACGCAGTCGGATGGATGGATGGATGAGCGTGCGGGGCATTGGGCGGGGAGAGCACATATATATATTTACGGCTATATACCTATCGGAGTAGGTAGGTATGTAGGTATGTGTGGCCAAAGAGGTGACTGCTGCTGGCCATTGCACGCACACATGCTCATGCTCATGCTCATGCTCGCCCGGGGGCAACTTCGTCGTCACGAAGGGATAGCGCATGCGGATTTTCAGCTGGACCTTAGAGCTCATGACGTAGGTACATACCTAGGTACCGTAGATTGCCGGTAGACACCTATGTTGTAGGAACTGCTGAGTGTTCGAGAGTATGTACCGGTAAGGTACCGCACATACCCATACTCATACCGTCATACATAGTCCAGCCGAAACCTCGAATCCACCGCCACCGCCAGCGTGGTGTAAGCACTGCAAGTCTGCAATTGAGTCAATCTGGAGTCAGCCAGCCGGAACATGCACCTGGGAGCGGGAGGAACGTATGGTACATAGGCATAGCTAGAGCCTGGCTGTATGGAATGGAATAGATTGTGATCCATCGCTTGATGGGGCCGTTATGACTCTTCTATATATATTCTTCCGTGTGGGGTGGCCCGGGCTGGAAGCTATTCGTCAATGTCAAGTGCCGTGTGGCCTGTAGGGGATGGGATGAGATGAGATGACGGAGATGGATCATGGGGGTAGTTGGCGATGGGGATGTGGATGTGTGGCTGGGGGAAGGGAGATGATACCTACGGACAGTCGGCCAGGTACTTAGGTACTGTTCAATCAACATGGCCGACTGCTCTTCTCTCCAGGAGCATTTGCATCAATTCCCGCGCCACTCCATTGCAACTGTCTGTTTCTAAAGTACAAATAAAACTACTCTCTATCCGATCAAACACCCGCACCATCTCGGTGCAGTAGGATACCAAGCTTTTCAAAACCAGACTCACGAGCCACCATCCGTTCCGTACATCAGTACATGTTGGCCACGTGAATTTGATTTTTGACATTTAGAGTGAGTACCAGGTATATCCCTCCCTCGATTGGAATTGGGCTCTCGCGCTACAGCCTACGGGGGCTGTGTGGGATACCTACCTAGTGTACGCACAAGAGTGAGAAGTTGGGATGATGGCGGTGCTGGGGCGTAAGCTGGAACTGCATACTACATGGTACCACTCAGCCTTACCGCTTCGCCTCCCAAAATGTATCCGTCACCGATCAAGACTACATATGAACCTGTCCAGCAGCTTGACCAGAAACCCCACATCCAGGTAATCTACCCATGGTAAACCGAAGTAATTATCATAGTAATACAAAAACACAGCAACAATAATAATTCCTGGAAACCTCCAAACAAAGCAAAACAAAGCAAAAACAACGCAGAAAACAAAAAACATCCAGCTCCCGCGACATGCACGACTGGCTGTGAAGCCAACCTGCGGCCACGCCGCCAGGTATGGCTTTCTTGACGGCGTTTCCCAGGGCCAATGAGACCACTCGAGCCACTAGATTTCCAATGTCTGGTAGGTATCTGCATCTGCATCATCATCCGCCCACCAGAAAAGGTCATCGTGTGAGCTGCCATGCGCTCGGCACGCACCCACCACAAAAGTTAGACGGGCTGTTGGACATCTTGATAGCCACCCACCAGGCAAGGTCGTCGGGTGAGCTGCCATGAGCTCAGCACGCACCCACCACAAAAGATTGCTGTTGGACATCTTGATTCTTGACTACCGCCCACCAGGACAGGTCATCGTGTGAGCTGCCATGAGCTCAGCACGCACACACCACAAAAGTGATGTAGCCAGCGATGTTTGCACCCGCCCACCGAAAAGGTGTCTGGTAGGCTTGAGAGGGATGACGCCGCAGTCTGAGCGGCGTAAGTGCGGAGCGTCGAGCCGCCAGCGGCTTCGATGTTGACGCAACCGAATCGGGATCCGAGCAGCCCCCACGCAGCTTCACCCGCACTTGTGCGGCATCTCGCTTGCTGGCGGGAGCTGTTGATGCCCTGTAGTGAATAGTTGGCAGTGGTCAATCGACACCTGGAGCTGAAGAATACCCACCTCTGCCAGTGCAGCACAGATTATACTGGGTGGGCTCCCGGGGCCACCGGGGCCATCTGGTGTGGAAGAAGTGGAGGCGTCGGCCTTGTCGTTGTCCTCTCGGATCCAGATCCGAGGTTCATCAGCCACGCAACACCACCAAGCTTGCTCGATTGAGTAGTTGGTGCCCTGTAGTCAATAGTTAGCAGTGACTAATCGCCATCTCGCGCCGAAGAGCATGCACCTTTGCCAGTGCAGCCCAGATTTTTCTTGACGCACTCCCGGGGCCACCGGGGCCACCAGGACCCTCGGGTGGCGGAGGTCAGGACGCGTCCCCCCCCTCCTGGAATCTGGGAGAGGAAGCCGTGGTTGGCTTCTTCTTATTTCCCTCCCGGTATCTGGGAGGATGCCGTGGCTGTCTCCTTCTCCTTCGCCTTTTCCCTTGTCCGCTCGCCGGACACGCCGGACACGCCGGACACGCAGGCAACATTGTGCTATCATCCCGCAGTCATGTCAGCCTCCTTCCCAAACCCGTCAACATCACCGGTTGGTTAGGAAGCCATACCCTCAAGCCGCCGCCGCCCCAATTGTGTTTCGGAGCGATAGTGAACGATATGATGCCCATGCCCATTCCCATCCCCATCCCTATCCACCGCCCCCCTCCCCTCCTCCTCCCCTCCCCCTCCCGCGAGGACAACACCGCCGCAATAATCGGCGGCGGTGGTGTTCACACAAGCCAGCCAGCCACGCAATCCAGCCACGCAAGCCAGGCAGTTATTCGGGGGGAGGACCTCGACCCCGCCGAACCCGACCCCGTCAGGTCCCGCATGAGCGCGCAGGTCTGACAGCCGCCCAGGCAGATGGCCCATCTTCCTAGACGGCGGCATAGACAGTCTGCCCGCCCCCTTCTAGGAAAATTCCAAGGGGAAACCAGGGAGAGACGGGGCCACGGTTGGGCTGGAAATGTCGGCTCCGGAATGGTGGCCGGAGGTGGCAGGAAGGGAAAGGAAGGAAGTGGGTGGGAAGTACTAATACCCCGGAGGGATGTCATCTGATGCTGCTAGATGTCACATGTTGTGTTGTGTTGTGGTGATATGTTGTGTTGTATGTAAGAGAGAAAAGAAAGAGAGAGGGAAGAGGAAGAGGGATGCTGGCTCAGCGCTGGAGGTTTTGTGGACGATAGTTGGTGGACCGTGCGGCGTGGGTAGGGCTCAGGTGAGGAACCCTAACGCTTCCTGCCATTCAAAGGGCTACCTGCAGCATACTTTACTTAGGTTAGGGAACTGCGAGAATGTCAAATGGGAAATCCGGTTTCGTGTTTGCGGTTTGATACGTGGTTTCTGGCTAGTGTGGGAGCTCCGAGTGATATCAACTGGACACGACACTAGTATCAAACTACCAATTGCAACCACGGAAACAGAACCCGTAGTACCCGTAGCACCCGTAGTACCCGTAGAACCTTCCGTACTATCACCTCCAGACCCAAGTTTAAACCCGTAGGTACTGTATACTAGCTACAGACAGCGGCAACCCCCCACCCGTATTTTGATGCTCGCCTCGAGAGTCGACTTTACTTGACTAACCCACCCGTCGTAATCACCATCTCCCTGACCAGCGAACCGAAGGCCCGCACCGTGCTAGTGCCGTACTGGTTCCGTACATACTGCTGCCTGTAGTAAATCCGGAAGTCGAACCGGGTGAGGTGGTGGTATATGTCACCCTCGTCCCTTCTCTCTACGGGCCCTACCCCCTTCAAATCTACCCATCCGTCTCCGTCTGATGTGAAAATTTAACAGACCACAACCTCACCACCGGACCCTACTCTATCCAAATCTCGAAGTCAAAGTCTCCAATCCAAAGTAGCCAGACAAGTTGTGAAGTTGTGAAGTTGTGAACCCATAGATTATCCCGTATACCGTACCGTACAGATCCCGCCATTTCCCCCACCCCATTGACCCCCCCTCCCCCATTGACCCCCATCCAATCCATCCAACCAACCCGTCCCCTCCAAGTTCCTCCCAAGCGGAAAAGAAAACGAAAAGAAGCAATCAAGAAGCAAGTATCCCCGGTCTGTCCTCTGTCCAAAAAGATATAAAATTTTGAAAGAAGAAAAAACTAGATATATCGTATGATAACCCCCCCATCCCCTTCACCCCTTCACCGCATTCAAACCCCCCAACCCCCCAACTGCAAACCCCCATCCACGAACTCAGGTAATAAGTAATCCCACAAAGTAAACCAAAGCAAAGGAGCGCGCTTAAAAGATACCGGATATCAAATCAAATCGAATGGCCAAACCAAAAAGATATATCAAAGCAGTATGTAAAACACCACACACCGCCCACCGACTGCACCGCCCAGGAAGAAGAAGAAGAAGAAGAAAGAAATGATCATCAAATGCACACTTGAACAACGTTAACCAAGACCAAGACAAGACAAAGCCCACCCCGCCCCCCCCCCCCCCCCCCCCCCCCCCCCCCCCTCCGAACCCCGTTCCGAACCCCGTTCCGAACCCCCATCCAAGTTACCAAGTTACCCAGCAAAGTTACCCAGCCAGCCAGCCAAAGGAAATGAAAAGAAAGGAAAAAAAAAACGAAAGTATCCAAGTATAAATCAAGAAATTAAGACGAAAGAAGGAAGGAGGAAAAAAAGTAGAGGGAAAAGGGAGAATCATACACTGAGCCTAGCTCCAAAACAAAGACGTAAATATCGCATCCAAAACCCACCAGCAAAATGAACCACCCAAACACAAACCCAAAAACCCAAAAACCAGAAGTGCATCATCTAATGTACTCAGAACAGCAACACCAGTAGAAACGAATGGAAAGAAGAAAGAAAAAGACCTCATGACACACCCACCTTCTTATGCCTCGAAAACGAAATCTTCTGCAGCAACGAACGACTCTCCTCCTTCTGCGGCTGGGCCACCCTCGCCTCTGGTGGCGGACCGGTATGTTTAAGAAAGTCCGCGAGACTATCCGTATCGTTCCTCCCCGCGCGAGCTCCTCTAGCCTGCACGTTCGGCCTCGACGGCCTTGCGCTCGGAAACCCGGCGGCTCCGAACGGCCCGTCGAAATCGGCGCGAGCCTGCCCGTATGTGGGCCGAGCGAACTGGTCCGATCCGGAACTGTTGCGTCCCGCTCTTGCGTCGGCGACGGGTGGCACCATCAGTGGGACGTGCCGCGAGGCTTGTGACGCGGCTGTGGGCGGAGGCGGGATAAACGGCATCTTATCGGCGTTCGACGCGATGGAGTTCTTCCTGCCTGAGCGGCTGAAGCGCGACATCAGGCTGACCGCACTGCCCTTCTTCTGGATCGTTTTGCCGTTTGACTGAACAAACGGCTGTGGCGCAGTCGGTGGTGGTGGTGGAGGGGTGTTGCGCAGGAAATCAACTAGACTCTCCTCTTCCCGCTTTTTAGGGATCACCAGGTTGAGACCCTCCATATCGTCGAGTTCATCATCGTCATCGGAATCGATGGCGTATGGGTCTTTCGAGCGGAACTGCTTTCGCTTCACTTCGGGCGCCGACGACGTCACCATCGAGGAAGTCGCCATTGTGGTTGTGCTGCTACTACCATACTCCCGGGTTTTTCTTGATCCGGAACGGAGCAGAGCTGTCGAGGAAGTGAAAGATGACGAATAGGACTCCTGGGGAGCAGAAACAGTGCTGGCGGTCGGCTTGGGTGAATGCTCCCGGTCGGCCTCCTCGATAATGTCGTCATCGTCATCCACGGACTCGAACTGTGTCGAATCCATCGTGTTACGGAACGGTGCGACCGCCCGAGGTATCCTATGCACAGCGGGCTGCTCCCCTCCATCTGCAATCACGGGCGGCGTCGTGTTACGGAAGAAATCCGCCAGGGCAGAGGTGGTATCGCTGCCCGTGGAGCCACTAGCATCCCGGGCCAAGAGGCGGTTCTTAGAGCGCCCGGCTGTTTCCGTGTGCGACTGATGTCGTATGACAGCTGGCAACCCGGTCGTATCGGATGGTCCAGGATTAGTTCCATTATTCTTTGACGGCAGGTGTGATGTTGGTATGCTTGACGTCGAGCCCGATGTCATCATTTTCTGAAGCTTGGAACTGTTCTGCGTCGCATGGCCCGGGGATCCCGGTGGGGCGGCGTGCTTCAAAAAGTCGGAGAGGGAAGAGGTTGTGTGGTGGTCGCTTTGGCGGTAATCACCCCACGCGGGCGATGTCGGAGATGACCTCTGAGCCGTCACCCTTGGACTGGAGGGAATACTTTTGGAAGACTGGTTCCCGATGGGGCGACCGTCGGGCGCGGTGCTTCGGAAGAAGTCCGCCAGCTCCTGTGTCGGTGTCCCACGAGGCGATGGGTCGCGCTATTGACAGCACCGTCAGTATCTGCTGTCATCGATTGACGAAAGAAATTGATCGTTGTTCCGCATTACCTCCATGTTCCTGATCGGATCCGGCGTGATGGTACAGTGAATAGTACCTCCACTCGATATCAATTCTTCGAAACTCCGCTGTTTGTCGTCAAGACTGGCAAGGCGGTCGCTGTGGTGACTACTATGACTCTCGCCGTCCGACTCATGCATCTTGGTGTGTTTGCCTCCATCGTGCGGCCAGGGGAGGAAGGACTTGAGTATCGATGCTTGCGAAGAGGTCGAACCCGATGTGTGGATCGGTCTCTGGATCTTGCTGAAGCTGGACGAGCGGCGCGATTTGTCCGGTGTAGCTGGCGGTGTGAAGACCCTTACGCCCGTTCCGCGGTCGGACGCAATCGAATGGGTACTTGCAGAGCTCTGAACAAGATGCAATTGACCGATTTTCCGATCCGAGAATGATTGCCCACTGCTCGAGGAGGAATGATTGTGCAAGGACTTGTTGTGTCCCGTATAAATCGGCTGCATACGAGGCTTCCGCCTCGGAGAAATGTCCTCCTCCTCCTCATCCTCATCGTCCTCATCGTCCTCGGAGGTGAAGAATGTTTCGGGTCGGGTAGGAGTCCGAGGCTTGATCGCGTATGGATCATATTCCTCCCGAATGCGTCGCACGGGCTGGGCCTGTAAGACCTCCGTAGTCGTTTCCGAAGCCAGTTCTTCTTCTTCTTCGGCTTGTACGACGACCGATGGAGGTTGCGAATCGTCGACCTCGATGGGTTCCTGTCCGCTATCCTCGGTCGGCTGCCAATGCGTAATGTTGGCCGACATCGTTGGAATTGGAGCGCAAGTCGAAATTTCATCATCCTCATCTTGTTGTAGCTCATCATCCGCAGGATAGTCTCTCTGCTCGCTGGTCCTATCCTCAAGCTCATGCTCTTCCTCCGGCCCTGGCTGTGGTAAGGGAATCATCATGTACGGTTGCTCCTCCTCCTCCTCCTCCTTGGGGGTGGGCAGCACTTCGGCGATGGGATCTGCAAAATCCCCCCGCATAAGATTCGGAAGTGACAGCTGTCTTTTGACTGCCGAACGCAACACGAAAGGTGGCGAGTTGGTCCATGGCAGAGTCATCAAACTGGCCGGACGGCGCAGAGTAGGGTACCCGTTCATATTTGTCTTGAATGGCCCAAGTCAGTCAGTCAACGGGAAAAGAAAGAAATCATGGCGCGCTCGTAAAGCTTACATTATTCGGCACGGGGCACTTGAAAGTATCGAACGGAGTGGCAGGAGTCGCTGCCTCGACTATTGGTCCCAGGACACCGCTTTTCGACAGGACAATGGGTGAGGTATTTCCAGCCTGTGTCGATGTGCTCTCATTGATCGCAATCTCTTGGCCCGGGATCTTGGGCGAATTCTTGGGCGAATTCTTGGTGTTGGCAGCCACCCTCGCATCCGGGGAATTCAAGACGACCTCTCGCGACGAAGCCGAGAAAGATCGCCGACCGCCAGCGCTGCCGCCGCGCACCTTCTTTCGCCATTGTCGCCACATACGCCCGAGCGACGGATTCAGGGCAACTTTCTCGGTATCCAGCTCCTCCACTGTCGGTTTCTCAGGAAACGTCACCTCGGAGGAGGAGGAGGAGGAGGTTGCACCGGAAGATGTTCCCGAAGCGGCCGCGATTCGCTGAGTCGAATACCGCGCGATAGTGGCATGTCCCGCAACCAACAATGTCTGCTCCCCGATGAACTCGAGAATGGAAGTGAGCCATATCGCGACAGCGGGCGTTACGATGCACGGATTGCTGTTTTGTCGTTGATAACGGTCGGGGCCAACGGTCCCTTCGAGGCCGCCATTATCGGTGTAGAAGGCTTCGTCGTCTTCCTCGAGATCGCCGAGCGACGAGTACACCATGCATTGCACGCGGCACTTCCTCCACGTGGATTCGAGGTTCCATTCCTCGTTGGTGGGTTCGGCGACCACGGCATCGTCCAAGGTCTCGACATCTTCATCGTCGCCACCGAGATACGATTTCAGCTCCTGATCAGCTCCGGCCAGTGCCTCCCTTGCCAGCCTGATCCTGAGGACGTCCGTGATCGCTGGCCGCAGTCCCGACAGGGAGGTCGATCTGGAGTTGGACAGGAACGAGTACAACAGGAAGTCGAGGAATTGGTTCACAAGGGCCAACGAGCCGCTCGATACGAACATGGTGGGTGTGCCAGTGCTGCCTACGGCGCCATCGTCGCGCAAGGAGCGGAAAAAGGCCTCGTGGTCGCCGGTTACGAGCCGAGCAGCTGCGGACGAAGCTATGTATGCCGGAGCCGGAGTGACATTGAGGAGGTTCAAGGATTTCGAAGGAGTTGCGGACGCGCTCGACGACGACGGCGACTGCGACTGCGGATTTTCTAACGAGCCATTGGACGGCGGATTCGAGGTGGCTGATGTCGTCTGTTGAAGGTTCAGGTCGCTGGGGCGCAAGGTTCGGTCCATGGTAACGCCGCCGCCGCTGTGCAAGACGGAATATGTAGATTATATGGTGGGTGGGATTTTCTCTTTGTTCGACACACGCGCAGGTGACGGTCACCAACCTCAGCAGTGTCCAGGAGGGGGTATTGGCTCGAAAGGGAGAGTTGCGCCTGCAGGCCTCCTGCTATCATTACACAAGCTCGTGAGTGGTATCGCCAGGGCCGGACCGGAAGTTCTCCGGTAGACTACTGGGAGCGATGAGGCGAGGTTTGAACAAAGTGAGGTGAGGTGATGGTGGGGCGAGTCTCGCTTTCGACAGGGCCAATCGAACAAGCAACGAACGAACGAACGAAGGGAAGCGGCGGAAGGAATGAACGACGGGTAAAAGCAATCAAATCAATATGTAAAGATGGAAGTAGTAGAAGTAGAAGTAGTAGTAGTAGAAGTAGAAGTAGAAGTAGAAGTAGTAGTAGTAGAAGTAGAAGTAGTAGTAGTAGTAGTAGTAGTAGTAGTAGTAGTAGTAGTAGTAGTAGTAGTAGTAGTAGTAGTAGTAGTAGTAGTAGTAGTAGTAGTAATAGTAGTAGTAGTAGTAGTAATAGTTTTTTTGGCTGCGATTGTTTGCTTGCTGGCTGGCTGTGACGGCGGCGGCGGCGGATACTCCAAGGAGTGGAGTTGAAGTAAAGTGGCAGCGCCGAGTGTTTACAGGGGGTGGCTGGAATTGCTTGCAATGGTGGGAGAAGGGAAAGGAGGAACGAATGGGGGGGGGGGATAGGGTAGGGGTGGACGGGAAGGATGAGCTGGAATGCGGGAGCTCTCCCAGAAGCTGAAGGGCTGAAGAAGAAGAAGAAGAAACAGGTGGGGAAGGAAACAATGAGCAGAAGAACAGGTGTGAAGTAAGTGAGTATGGAGAATCCGACAACAGAATGGAAGGCCGACCTCTTCACTTGCGGAAGGGACCCACAGGCGCCGCACGGGAGTGGCCAGAAGGAGGAGGATGGGGATTAGGACTCGGACTCGGACAAAGGAGGATAAGGAGCTGAGGAGGACGACGACGACGACAGATCGGACGCAGGGTGGTGTGAAGTTTACGGAGAGATGTTAGAGTACATGACCGACTAGGGAGGCAACTGGTTAGGCGGAGTGTGCTAGTTGCTGTGGAGTACCAGCCACAGCAACTAACAAACTGCCTAGCAGTGCCGAGTCTGCGTGAAGCAGCGCTAGCAGCGGAGATGGGGGGTCCATGTGGAGTAAAGTAGCGATGCTGTTGCACGCCAGGCTACGGAGGCTGTGGAGTGGGTATAGTTATCGGCGGGTGGGATTGTAGGAGTGCATCCACGAGAACGGGCAGTTCTGCTCGGGAATCTGGGTAGACTGGTGTTTGGGAGCGGCGAGTGCGTTTCAACTGTCGAAAGCGGTGCTCGACCGGGCGTCCGGTTGGTACTCTAGCCCATGGACGACTCCGAACGACCGAAATCAAATGGGACATTGGGCCATGGTACGGGATACAGTTGAAACCTGCCACATCCTCACCCCCGTCCCCATCCCCATCCCCATCCCCATCCCCATCCCCATCCCCATCCCCATCCCCATCCCCATCCCCATCCCCATCCCCATCGCACCCCTAGGTAAGGTACATACTCTACATGGACCACGGTGGTTGCGTGCTCACACACGCTTCGTTGGTCGATATGTAGAGTAGAATATCTACCAACTGCCAGTCATGCACGACTGCACGACTGCACGACTGCACGACTGCACGACTGCACGACGCACGCAGAGCACTTTACGATCCCCACGTCTGACATACATCGAACATCCATCCCATCCCGTATTATAAGCGTGCGCATGGTGCCTGTATAGTGTAGTACCGTAGTCCCAGGAACGCTGCAGACATAAATGCTCAGCATGTAGATACATACATGCCGTAGAGTACCATACCGAGGACGCCAACGCCAAAATGCGAGAGCCAGAACCAGAACCAGAATTGCGCCTTTGCATGTATCCTCCTTCCCCCCCTCGCTACACAACCGTCGGTCCGTCCATCGGCCATCCCGCGTCCCCCCGCTCCCCGCGTAGGAGCCCGGCCCTCGGCCTCGCTTTCTGGCCCTGCCTCTACTATATCCCATCCAGTTCTGGTCTCACGTTTTCTTCCCCTCCCCATCCCCCTGGCGAGCGAGCGGTGGTTGGAGTTTCGTTTGTTGGTTTGGTCAGTTTCCACACATGCACCGCTGGGCCGACTCGAGACCTCTCTGGCATCTGGATGTGGACTCGCGGGGCACTGTCGACTGTCGACTTTCCTTTCTGGGCACCACCTGGGGTGATTGAGAACGTAAGGAGGGAAACAAGGGGTTTGCTTGTTCGAGAGTCGAGAGTCGAGACTGGAAGGGATCCAGCTAGAGTGCTTACTTGGGTACCCCGCAAGCAACCAAGCAGGCAGGTAGGTAAGCAAGTAAGCAAGCAAGGACGGATCGGCTTGTTTCCGGCGGATGGGTGGGTGGGTGACTGAGCTGGGTGACTGAGAGCTGGGTGACTGAGCTGGGCGACTGAGGTCTGGTCTGGGCATAACTACGGTAACTAGAAGAATGGCTTCCATGCGCGCTCGCTCATAGGATGTGTAGCCAGTATGAAGGTGCACCTCTGAGTTGCCGGTATATAGTATTCTAGGGACCTACTGCTTTGATACTCCGATACTTCTATCCCCCATCCCACCCCGCAGCCGTGGAAACACGAAGTTCGAACCGTGATGGACGTGCATATTCCAGGAAGGCTTTTGTCTCATCATCACCACCACCATGGGGGCACTGTCACAGGTAAGCAGTTCGAGCGAGGGGGCAACAGCCACACGGGATACATACCTCGCGCAGCTTGTAGATGGAGTAAGCTCTACGGTACCACTATCCACACTCTACCAGTACTCTGCAAATAAACATCATGAACCAGGGACCGAGACGAGACAGGTCGTGCACTGGCAGAGTGGGTGGGTAGTCGGAAACCGCGAGCTCGAAGTCAAATATCTATTACTCTGTCTCAGCCCATGCAGTGCTTTCCGCGTCAAGCTTTGCGCCCAGATCTCTCGCCGCTTCCTACGTACTGCGCCCTCGATCTCCGAAGCTCCGAGTCCGGTCCGGTCCTCGCTCCTCGCTTCGGCCGCACATATTTTGCGCACGCACTAGCGGGCTCGTGCTGCACGGTCCGATCTAAGGTGATGACTATGTATGGACTGCCACCGTCACCGCCACCAATAACATCACGACCAACATCATCACCACGACCATCATCATCACCATCACCGCTGCTGCTGCCCTCTCACGACCACGGCGTCTGGTGGTATTGAGTCTCGACGAGTTGCTTATCGCCTAGCAAGAATGACAAGTCCACTGTCCGACCCGCCATTTCAACCTCGAGTATTACTTTTTATGCTCTTGCAATTTCCATTCTCGGCCTGGAGCTCGGAGCTCAAAGAGCGGCTTTGCTCCGAGCTTTCGACTGTCTCTTTCCCTTTCCCTTCCTTCCTTCCTTGGATAGGTAACTGTTGTTCTCGGATCCGTCCGCACCAAGTTCGACGACATTGAGTTTTGAATTCCCGCATCCCACTTCGATCTCTCTCGATAACCACCCTCCGCCCCGTGGAGAGAGCGTGCACATGCAGGTACTCTACACACTCTACACACTCTACACACTCTACACACTCTACACACTCTACACACTGTATGCTACACAACATGAGAAAGAAAGAAACAAAGAAAGCACGGAAAACGCACGGGAAAAAGCACGGGAACGCAATCTATGCCAAACGCAAAAGAAGAAAACCCCCATGCAGGATCGATGCGGGATTGATGTGGGGCCGGGTACTCGCCCTTCAGTGAACACGGCGTGCGACGTGTAGTAAAGTACGGTATCTACTGTGGTTGGCCGGTAACTATCCAAGATAGTGCCCGTGCAGAAATACTGCATCCGTCAGGACTCAGGAAGGGCTCAGGGAGTGACCGGCCGTGGGACAGCCCCGTGGGCCGTAGGGGAAGCAGAATCTAGATAGACATGAGTACTCTACACGAGCACTCTGGTCAGTGGTAGGTAGGTGAAGGTGTCACACGACGAATGGCAGCAAATCTACGCACGCACTCACTCTACCGGTACCTCGCAGGACCTCAGCGAGATCTCGGCTCAAGCCCGTGAGCGTGCTGCGTGCGTGCTTCCTCCACCCGTCGTCGGCGATGCTGATATCCGGTGAAGCCAACCACTGTGCAGTGTGTAGCCATGGTTCGGCTCGTATGTAGAGCGAGAGTACAATACATGATGCAGTATGCAGTATGGAGAGGGGCGGTGAGAGGGGCGGTGAGAGGGGCGGTGAGAGGGGCGGTGATGTGTCCGCGCTCCAGACCTCCAGACCTCCAGACCTCCGGTACGTGCAGGGCGGTGCGGTGAGGGCGGTGCAGAGCGGTGCGGTGCGGCGCGGTACCTAAGGCGTGGCTATTTCTGTGGAGCGTCGGTGCTGACATACGGTACGGTATGATTATGAGTGCAGAGCGGTGCAGAGAGAGTGCAGAGGTGGAAGTTCGAGGAGGAAGTTCGAGGAGGAAGAGGGAAGGCGAGAGATGGAAAGCTGTGGATCGTTTGCAGGCTGTAGCCGGCAAGGCGAATACTAGTAGATGTCTATCGATCGATCGTAATCCGAGCCCGAGCCCGAGCCCGAGCTGTTACACATCGGCCAGCCGCTGTCGTCGAATCCAAAGATTCCAACCACGTTTCGAGCGGACCTCGGTATTTGGGGAAAGACGTCTGGCGAACAGGTACTTGAGTACATCCATGATCATATAGAGCGTCTGGCCGGAGGGGAACGGTAGGTACTCTACAATCTTCTGATAGGCCAGCAAGCCACGCCCCGCATCCGCATCCGCATCACTCGTGAGTCTTATATATTCCAGCTATTTCCATCCATTTCCATCTACCGGTACTCTACATCTACCTAGATTCTAGATGTCGGAATACAGGGCTGCAATCAATCATTAAACGAATCGAAAAGACGAATCCCAGCGTCGATGATGATCGTCCGCACAGGACACCGACCTCCAGGCTCCAGTTTCCGCCATGAACACCACCACAACAGCAACAAACTGCACAAACAGTAGTACAAACAGCCGCCCTGTCCGGTGGCCAGCCAGCCACTTTCCAGGAAGTTCCCTGACTACTAATAGGTAGTAGGTACCTCCTATGTACTCAGCCATCACCGCCACCACGATCATCCCAGGGGAACGCGAGGCTCCAGCTCAGTGCGTACATATTGATAGTATTGTATAGTACAGTACATACGGCACGGTACCGACGGAAGTGCCTATGTAGTGCAGTGTAGATATATCCAAGCAAGTAGATTGTTACGGCGGGTAGTCCACCACCATATATACCACCATGTTAGTACCGCCGCGGCATCCCCAGCTGCATGATTTATCATCTCATACCCATACCCACATGCCTACCCCCATAAGTACATACATCCTTCTCTCCCAAATTCCCACGCCCATTCCCCACATCTGCAACTCCGTCAGATCCGCCCGAAGATCCACAAGATCCACAAGATCCACAAGATCCACAAGATCCACAAGATTCATAAGATCCATAAGATCCAGCAAATCTACTCTAGAGTACGTAGGCGGGGCAGGTAGGCAGGCGGGGCAGCGCAAGCAGGCAGGCAGGCAGGCAGGTGAGTGGGTAAGTAAGCGACATATGCGCCCCGTAATCGTGCAGTGGGGTCCACCGGTACCGTGCAGATCTGCGCGGGTTGCATACACACTGCACTTATGTTTGGATTTTGGATTTTGGATTCCGGATTCCGGATTCGTCCGGTACGGATGCGGATGTAGTATCTTCCACGGGGCTGCTTTACATGCCTATCGGTGGAGAGCCGACAGCTACATACACCCCCCCCCCCCCCCCCCCCCCGCACGAAAGATCGATCATCGAATTCACCCCCAACTTTCAAGTAGCCGCTCGACGAGATCCTCCGCGCCAAAGAGGCAGAACCGAGAACACCCAATACTCTATGTAGAGTACCGGCCACGGAATACACACAGCACCTGCGACGAGTCTCGATGTTCGTAACTCGTGGCCCGTGACTCGTGGCTCTTACCAACACCCCTGCGCGGATCTCCCGGATCTCCCGTATTTACAAATTGCAAGTTGGGCAATGGGCATCCCAAATTCCCAATGCTGTACCAAAGTAAATGAGTACTCTACATATACTCTGTGTGTTTACGCAGCATCGCCCCAACGATCAACACGGTGATCAACACGGTGATCAATACGGTGATCAATACGGTGATCAACGCGGTGATCAATACGGGATCAATACGGTGATCAATACGAGCTTCGGGGACATCAGTACTCTCGCTATTGATCTACAGCCCGAGAACACGGACTGCGGACCGCGGTTGGTTGGCGTTCGGGATACACCGTCTTCGCGGTAACTAGGAGAGAGCAGTGAGAGAGTAGAGAACTGCTGACTCGGACGCAGCCAGTAGGTTTCGGTATCCCCTCCGCCTGTTCACCGGGTCCGGCACAGACCTTTCCTCGCCTGGGCCCTATTGCTTCGGCACTCACGACCGCGTGGATTAATTGGTGCCGAACAGTGAACTCATTGCCAGGAGGTCGGAGCGGTGGAAGAAGGTCTAGTATGTACTGTGCGGTGCGACTGCTAGCGATGCCCGAAATCCAGCACGAGTAGCCTATAGATACTGCTACCGTAGTAGGGACTTCCCAGCGGCCCCACGGGCAAGAGCGGCCGATACACGATTTCCGGAATCCGAACTACAGACTCTACTATCGAGCAACTACCTACCTCCTCAATGTATCTCCTCAACAGGCTCACCGCCCTCCGCCCGGCGAGCGCTCCACAATCCGCAATCCACAGAGGAATCCACAGAGGCGGGGACATCCTGTATGAGTACATAAGCGCGAGTGAGCACCCATGGGCCATGAGCGGGCACCCTCGCCCACCCTCCCCCACTCTGCCGCGCGCGCGTCCTACCCGCCCCCCTCTCCCGCCCCCCCTCTCCCGCCCACTTCCCCCACCCCTCTCCCGTATCCTTCTGATCCCCGTGTCCACCCAGTCGCCCAGAAGCCCAGAAGCCCAGGTCGAGAAGCCCAAGTCGAGAAAGGCAAGTCAACATCCCCCCAAGTTCCAACTAGCGAGCCCGCATCTCGCATCTCGCATCTCGGCACACGGCAGTGGGCACCTCCCATGATCCATCCCCATCATCCCCATCTGGTTCACTTCACTAAAATCTCACCTGCTTATGTAGAGCATATGTAGAGTAGAGTATATTTTGCGCACGATCCGTAGAGTACTCTACATCGGTGTCTACTCCACATAACTACGGTACGTTCCTGAGATGCGGGACCCGGGTTCATCATAGAGTAGAGTACAATACACGTTCTATTCCCTGGGCCTGGTCAGTGGTCGGGGGTTGACTGTTGACTGTTGACATGGTGTAGAGTCCAGACTCCAGACTCCAAGGAAAGGGGATCCCATCCCATCATCCCAGCCTCTAGGTTGTGCTGTGCAGTTACAGCAAAGAAAATTCGGTATGAAGTATGTAGCAAAATTTTAAAAAAGATACGGAAACGCACATACATGGTATGCCATGATTGCCATCAAGAAAAAATGTAAATACAAGTAGATAGTAGCAGAAGTAGTAGTAGATAGTAGATAGTAGATAGTAGATAGCAGTAGAAGTAGAAGCATGAACCCGCATTTATTCACTCTTTCCCGCCACCAAAGAAACCTTCTCCAAGCGCGCCTGCATCTGCAGTAGTTCCACTTCCGCGTCCTTTGGCGGCGGCGGCGGCGGCGGCAACATGTATGCCCTTGCGACCTCGATGGGTCCCTCGAGCTCGGCGTACTGGCCGGCGCGATATGCACGTTTTATACTCGGCCTCTCCGCCAGCGCGTTGACATACTTCTCCAAAGTCTCGCCCAGGGGCAGCTGGAGCTGCTGATCCCTCCGGATCTTCTCGAGAACAGGGTACACGGCGACATCGACAAGCGAGAACTCATTGCCGGCTGCGAACCGGGATGTGACGAGGTACGAATTCCAGACGGCCAGTTGCGCTGCAACCTCCTTCGTCGCGCCGCGCCGAAAGGAGTTGAGCAGGCGCTCCGATTCTTGCAGACGGTTGAGCGCGAGCGCGTATTTCGAACGCTCCTCGGTTGGCATAGGGAGGAGCCACGGTCCATCGCTGCTGGGCGGGGTGTGGTACATTTCCAGGTATTGTATGATCGCTAGGGAGTCGTGCATCGCGGTGCGTTCGCGGTCGGTATCGAGGAATACCGGGGTTTCGCCGTGAAGGGTGTATGTGGAGAGCGAGGGTAATTGTTCGGGCGTGAGGATCTGCTCGGTGAAGTCTACCTCTTTCTCGTAGAGGCATATCTTGATGCGCGCTGTGGCTTCATCCAGAATACCGGAGGTGAGAATTCGTGGTTTGGGCACTTGCATGTGGAGGACATCGAAGCCGGAACCGTAGCAGGTCTCCCAATCCACATCGTTCCGCTGATTCTCGGTTCCAAACGCTTGAATGAGGTTTTCGGTGGCCTCGCTGGCTCCGTTGATGATGGGGTGCGCATCATCGCTAGACTTCGCCCTTGCGCCTTGTCCCCAGATCTTTTGCTCGTCTTTAGATAGAAACGTGGCGATGTGGCGGAATGTCAGAGATATACGCTCGCCGTTGTAAGCTAGCTCCTGCTCGGACTTGAGGTTTTGTGCGCGTCTGTCTTGTTTGATGCCGTGAAGCCATGCCTTGTTGGTATCGGGACCCAGGACGAACATTGAATTGTGTGGCATGGGGATGCGTTGCATATCACGTTTGGTACCAGTTTTCGTGTCTTTACCTTGTTCCTTCTTCTCATCTTCCACCTCTGGTTTCTTTGGCGTGAAATCCCTTTTCATTTTAAGGATCATCGTTCGCTGGGCTCCAAGACTGACATTGACGATCTTCGATCTCCGTGCAATATCCAGTGTTTTATCGGAATGTTCAGAGATATAATCCCCACCGTGACGATAATGCTGGATCAAGACGTGGTTGATTGGATGTTTCAAGAAATTTTGGACTTCCTGTCGGATCAGCTCGACGGTTGGGGAGAAAGGCAGCAGCGGCGGCGATTCATCGGACGGGTGTCTATATATCGGAAAACTGCGCCCGCTTTCTTAGCCTTGTAATTGGCCGCAACAGCAGCGAACGGGATATACGAACCTTCCATCTTCCGCAATTTCACCCTCTACAGCAACTAATCTGGGGACTTCTCCGCCTCGGTGGAACATGCTCCTCCACGCCACCTCTTTCTTGAGTCTCTCAAAGACGGTTCCGGCGAGATCATCTGGTAAGATGTTGTAGAGAATGAACGAATCTCCGTCGCCGAGTTTGTCCCCCACTCCAAGAACTGGTGCGTCACTTTCGAACTTTCTTAGTTTATAGGTTGGTTTATCGACGGGTGGGGCTGTAGTAGCTTTCTCATTCGCAGGCTTTTCGGCCTCCTTTACTGCCGCGGGCTTCTCCCCTTCTGCCGTTGGCTTCTCTTCTGCCGTTACCGCCGTCGACTTCTCCTCCACCTTCATTGCCGCCAATTTCTCCGTCATAATCATGGCCTCCGCTTCCGCCCTCGCATCCGCCGCCTCCGCATCCGCAAGAATCTTCGCCACCTTGGCGGCCCCAGGTACACCCCCAGGCCTGCGTTGTGAGGGCTTTCTTTCCACTCGGTCACCCTTAGCTGCACTCCTTCGTAGCGACGGCCCCCTCTGCACCCGCCCCTTCTCCCCGGGCTCCGCATCCTCTGCAGATACCTGTGCAACCAGTGACCTCCGGGCATCCTTTCCCCTATCGCCGTTCTCGCCGCTGGAAGACCCTAGTATGGTCGACCGCAGTCCCTCGACCACCTTCGACAGCTCCTCCTTGGACATTCCCGTAGCGCCCAGCCCCATACACGGCACACTCCCCTTGCTACTCTTATCATTCTCCCACGTCTTCATCAAGTTAAAGCTATCCATCTTCTCGACCGCAAAGTCGTTCACCAAAACCTCGAGCGCCGAGTCATGCGCGGACTGACTCCGATACCCGAGACAATCCTCGAGCACCCAGACCTCAAACCCATGCCTGGCCGCATCCGCCGCTGTAGCAAGCACATCGACATTCGTCATCAATCCCACGATCACTAGCTGCGTAACCAGCCTCCCGCGCAGCGTCTTCAACAACTCCGTATCCTTAAACGCCGAGTACCAGCTCTTCGTCACCTCCCTATCCGGCGGCAGCACCATCATCCCACGCACGGGCTCATGCCACTCACTCGCGGGGGTCCCCTTCGAGACGGGGGGATGCTGGGACTCAATGGACAGGTAAGCATCAGTGAGCAGCGGCGGCCTCGTAGGCCCATTCCCATCCTTGACTGCGACCCTCCCGCCCTTCTGTCTCGGCACATGTCTCACGCCCTTCCCAAAGTCCGAGTCGCCCTCCTCAGGCTCCTCTTCCGTCAGCTCCTCCTCGCTGTCGGAGTCGTTCACGACCAGGATCGTCTCTTCGACGCGCGGATCGGTGAAGTCGCGTCGCGCGCGCGACTCGCTGCGGATCCAGATGACGTCGCCGCCGAGCGCGCGGAAGCGCGGCAGGAGCTGGCCGATCGAGCGTAGGAACTGCGGTTGCTGCAAGGCGTCGGCTGAGGCGAGTGGGAGCAGACATCGCCCCGTCGGCGGATTCAGGAACTCTTTCTATGGACGGAATGTAAGCACTTGTACAGACCGGCTGTTAGGCGGTGCTGACAGGGAACGGAGGGCGTAGGTAGAGTAGAGTACCTGGAGATCAAGCACGAGAAGTGCTCGCTGCGATGGTGCTTGCATTGACTCCGACTCCTCCTCGCTGGGCTGTTTGTGGTAGGTATTGGATTGGATGGTGGATCTGTTCTGCTGCTCGCTCCGTCTCGCGCGTGGTGATCTGAGCAGAGGTATTGTAGCTTAGCAGGCCGCGCAACCTAGGTAGTGGACGGTGATGGTGGGGTTGTGTTAGTCTATTTGTAGAGCAGCTAACTACCGTCTAGGACTCAAGGTACTTGGGGCCTCGGGCACTGGGCAGTTGAGTCATTCACTTTGTCACACCAGGGACTCCAGTAGTCACCAGTGGGCTACATAAAGGCAATGTGAAGTCACGGAAAGTTTTCTTTCTCGGTGTGACACGAACTCTATGTAGAGAGGGGAATACAGGTGATTTTTTTTCCCCCTTCGTGCAACGGTTGTGAGAATGTGGAGAAATGTGGACCCCTGCGAGATCGGACCGGGAAGGTGTGTACGAGTCGTCATGAGATATCACTCATGCATAGCATGAAAAAGGTACTTTGCAGATCTTCAACATGTGGTGACAAGAGGCGAGGAAGACTTCGAAATATGGCTCCGCCTTCACTGAATTGTATGGGGTAATTGTCTATTTGGTGCGTTTCCGGTATGTAGGTACGTACCTCGGCCTGTCCGGTAAGACGTGTTGATAAGTAGCATTGACGTCTCGGGGATGCCGATGCTTGCATACAGTGTGCAGTGCCCGCCTCTCCTGCTACTTACATAGCCAGATGAATACGAACGAGTGGCCTCAGGGTGTTGATCTGTGCTGTGGTTAACTCATACTCCGTTCAGGTCACCGGTACAATTCGGACCCACTCTATCACCTAGCGATACCGGTGGACGGAGTGGCCGATTGGTAGAGGGATTGCCGAACTGTTTCTGTTTGTATGTAGCCGTCGTTGGGCTGAAAAGGTACATACGCAGAACTGCGGGGCTAGTTAGGAGAGGTATGTACTTAAAAATGTATGCATATGTGGAGTACATATGAGGAAATTCACGGCGGGATGATACGGGAATATGGTACGATCTTTTAAGTTTTGATAATCGAATGCTACATACAATGTAAAGTACCATCTTATGACAATGTCAAGTTTTAACTTTCACTATGGGAATTATTGCGCTAGGTACTGTCGCTTGGATGTTGGTCGTCTGATGTCGAGGGCCCATTCACGTTGAGAGCTTATTCGCCTGCGAACCTTCAACCAAGAAGGTTGAAGCCGAATTAGGATTGCCGGTTTCCTATCAATATCAGGATTATGTCGTACAGCTCTAGCGGATACCTAGGCAGTTCTTGGAAAGGGAAGGTTCCGCATCTCTCTGACTCCACTACACAACATAATCACAATTCAACACTCGAGCCCTCGGTAGTATTATGTACTCGCTCCAACAATGAGCACAGCTTATGGAATATGTGTAAGTCAGATCGATGCATGTCGATCGAGCTCGGGCTAATTGCATGGATATCTCAAGCCAGTCAAAATCGGATTGTATAGGTAAAGTACTAGGTCAAAAGTTTTTGTACAAGGGCCGTTTTACACCAAAAATGCCCATTTTCAAGCAACCAAAACCCACCCTTTACGTGGCGGAAAAAAATCGAGTCTTTCATAGAAGCTTTAGAATCGCAAGATGCATCATATATAAGAATTCTGACGGCTTTTACTTCGGATTGGTGGCGCATGGGTTGGTGTTGTGCATGGGTTGGAGAGTGAGTTCAGATTTTGTATGGGGCCCCCATACAAAATTATTGCGTGAAAACCAGTTTCACCACCAACTTTTCTCCCATACGGCATTACTCAACCACCACCAATTAGAATTATATGCCAATTTCAATCGAGGTTCTCTACCTGATTTAGAAGACCTTCTAGTGGTCCACATATTTTTATACTACCTTATGGTTGCTGTATATCTGGCGGAGAATGACCTGCCTCCGTGAAAGGGAAATCCGCCAAGCCACCCTACTTCGCATAAAATAATCAGCCTAGCGGGCTGGAAGTCTCATTGAAGCTTTATTAGTATGTATTCATGATATATGCCAATTATTACTACTTTATAATTTGTAGTTGTTGTGTTAGAGAGACATATGTCTGTGGTGTGGTGGCGCTGTTGAGGTGTACAAAAACTTTTGACCTGGTACTTTAATTCGGATACGAGTCACCAGCCTTGACTCGTTGACCTTGAATCACCGTCTATTTCGTTGCCCGCACGATTCCGCGATAGACAGTCATCTAGGTATATTCGAAGTACCCAGACAAAACTTGCTGCAAACAAGAGAATATCGCTTTCATCTCAGTTAGAACAGCTCGTATAATATGTACGAGCAGTCCTCCACATAGGGAGGGGGTGAAGAAGTAAAGGATGGAAGGAGGAGAAGCACCGAATGTGGCCATGCGGAGATCAGATAGAGAGTGATTTTACTTGACAGCAGTTGCGAGAGATCTGAGCTACCGTATGAGCGTATGGTGCTGGTGATTACTCTAGGTATTTTACATAACCGCCATCCTCATATGTCTATATTCCGACATATTGCAGAGGGCCACGTACTAATGAAATAGTTAATTCCCGATCAATAGTGGTCTTGGTCACTACTTACCTACGTTGCAAGCCTGGCTTGACATGTATGATCCTCCTACTCACGTATACCCTCTCTGTCGTTAATGGCTAGGTATATCAATCATAGTGTTTACATACACAAAGGGGACTTCAAGCTTCCTCCCGGGTTTATTTCTCCTCCATCACCAGCCCATCCCTCTACACGATCACAGCCTTCTCTTCAAGAAGCTTATTGGACATCCATAGCCGTGGTAGATCTCCGCAAGATTCCGTGTAGCCACGTACGTACCTATCCCGTGCTGTGCCTTCCCGTCCGTCGCTCCCACTCGCCCGTCTCTCCCTCCCAAGGCTTACGGACCGCCGGAGATCTACTTACCTACCTGTTCCCATGGCCACGAAACAAAACCAAAAATCTGTTTGTTTGCACAGCTCTGTATAAAATCCCCACCACCGTGGCATGTATGCATGTACCTATGTAAATGGCCCCTCGCCGCGCCCATACCTACATATATCCACCCTCGACACCTTAATAAACCCACCAAATATGCCGAACTCTCCTCTCCGCTACCACCACGTCCTGTTCTCAACCGACGGGAGCATAACTCCGCTGATCGCCACCTCACTTCTGCCCAACAGCCTGACTATCCTCCCGCCTGCCGACCCGGGCAGCATCGTGGCGCTGCAGGAGTACGCCGTCCTGCCGTGTCCGCCGCCGCCGCCGCCCCCGCCGTCTCCGAGCTCGCTGTGTACTGCCGCCTCCCGGGAAGCGGTAAGGGAGGATGAAGATGATCTGGAGCTGAATCCGCCGTGGTTGGAGAAGGAGGAGAAGAGGGACGAGGAAAAGGAAGAGGAGGAGGAGAGGGAGAAGGGGGTGAAGGGGGAGTGCGTATATTTCCAGCGAAGGGAGGGGTGTAAACGCGGTGATGCATGCAGATTTGGTCACCGGGCTGACAGCGGCGAGGAAAGGGAACAAAGGCTGGAGGTGTGGAGGGGGAGGGCACAGGGGAGTAATATTGTGAGTTCTTGGTCCCACAAAAGAGTGGATATGAGGACGCTGATACGCTCACAGCAAACTTATGGCTCCTTCTCCACCACGGAGAGGAAAGTACTAGTGGCGTGCCCTACCCCCGGAAGGATCGTGGATCCTACAGACCCAAGGAAGTTGCTAAAGACGCATTGTACCTTCTTCCTGCGGTTTGGCGAATGCGACTACTGGCCAAAGTGTAAGTTTTCACATGATCAGCCCGAGAGTGATGGGCCGGTGCATAGGGTTCGCCGGGGTGGCAGTTACAGCAGCTGGGGAAAGCTCGGTGAGAGGATGGTGGATAGGCTTGGTGTGGCTGAACTCAGGGGGAAGGAGATCGAGAAGGAGGAGGTCGGGAGAAAGGACGAGAAGGAGAAGCAGGCTATGGGACTTCAAAGGTCGAGCAGAGAACCCGCGGAAACGCGGAAGAACGAACAGCTGATTACGTTGCTGGACTAAAGGACGGATGCGCTGGTGGTGGTAGCCGCGGTGAGGATTATATCATACATTAGATAGATAGAAGTTGCCAATCTTAACTTTCGAATTGAATCCCGTCGTGCCCAATGGTGTAATGGAATCTTGTCGTCTCTCGACCGTGATAATTGGCCTGGATACCCACGCTCAAGGCGCGCACATCCACCCATCCAGAGAAGCAATCTCTATCCTTCTTTCCGGCGTTCTTCTCCCTCTGCTGTAGTGCCCCAACGATCGAAATACCCCTTCTGAACGTAACCGGATCATCCCTCTGGACCACCAACTTGACATCTACCAACTTCGCCCAAGCCAATGGTAGGTGCGATCGAAACGACATCCCCATACCCGCATCCTCAGTACTGTCAGCCAGCATCTGCAGTCCCCAATTCGTGACCACAACGAATGCACCGAACTGCGCCGACACCTCGCGGATGCGCTGGGCGAGAGTGTTGTAGATATCCTGATACTCTGTCGATCCATTTTCCTTCTCGATAGATCCGGCGTGCCGGTCCTGCCAGTAGAAGGATGATAGTCCATCGATGAGAATTGCGTTCAAACGGCGGCTGGAGGAGAAATGGTTCTCGGGCTCGAACAGGTATCCACGGATGCCAGACAACATCTCGATCATTGACCGTGAGGACTGTGGGCGGTAGACATGAATATGGTTTAGTGCCTCTCTGGCCACAGTATCCAACTCGGTATCCGAGATTTCTGTTGCTCCGTAGCAGCGGAGGATATGCGATTTCATAATGGTGTGCAGCCGCTGGACATCGAAACGACCATCGGTGTCAAAAACGATCACGGCTGCCGGTTTACCGTGCAATGGTACGTCGTTATGCTCCTCGGGCAGCGTGGATAATGCCGCGATGTGGTAGAGAATATGTGTCTTTCCGCAGGCGGTGCTCATGCTCGTTATTTCGACGACGGGGCCGTAACGGTTCCTTGCTGGTCGAGCCTGTTGAAAGCCTTCTGGCGGTGGTGATGGTTCAGCATCCAAGGCGATGGACAATATCCTATCAAGCACGGGAATATTCGTCAGGTGTGTTGGCGGTACCAATTCCCTCCGGAGTGCGACACAGAGCTGTACATTGAGGATCATAAGCCGTCATTCGAGCAAGATTCAAGAAGCCGCGATTATCCGTGCAACAAACGCCGACGGAAACACTAAGACCCACCTCGCCACCGCCCATCCCCCGCACCTCGCCCAACAACCGCGCACCCAACGCACCCGGTGCCTCGGTCATTTCCCTCCGCACTCGGTTTCGCTCGTAATGATTCCCGTCGAGGTTTTCCACGCGTCCCGGTTGCCGCGGATGCTCCAAACCGATGTCCAAACCGGTCGGCGACGGAAGGTGTTGGTCGAAGCGCTCGAGCAGTGTCCGCTGAGGAAGATGGTGCAGTGGAAGTGTGAGCTGGAAGGAGAGCAGATCCGATGCTGGCCGACAGAGCGCTTTTTCAGGATGTAAGGACTTTTCCGGAGAACGACGGGCACGGAAGGGTGGGTATTGACGTACGGTGGATAGGTGCAAGGAGCTATCGGTGGAGGTGACGGAGTTTGAAAAGACAGTTGCGGCAACACACGGTGTCACGTCCCCACGATGAATCGAGAACACTCTGATCTGCACAATTGCCCTTCACTTTGCGTGTCTGCCCAATTAAGTACTGTATTTGTCAGGGCAATGCACTGCAGTGCTCGCCGCAGACTATAAGATAACAAAGAAAAGAAGAAGGAATCCCAACAGAAACGAAACACCCATCCGATATAGCACAGGAAAGCCCAAAAACCCAAACACGCCATGCAAGCAAAACACAAAGCAAAAAGAACAGACAAGAGGGACAAGCGCCTGCCAGAATCGACAAAGAAAACGCTTTACTGATACAATGTACAAACCCTTTAAACAAGAACATCCGCCCTGTTCACCTCATCTCCTAGCCCCGCAATAGGATTGCCTGCCTGTCAATCTCTTGTTTTCCTGTCTCTAACTTTCTGCTGCTGCTGTCGAAAATCGGGTCTCCTTCGACCCTCGACGCGTCTCTATGATGCCCGTGGGCGTTTTTTGCTTCTTGTGTCCTTCCTCCAGAACTGGCTGTCCGAATTGACTACCACCTCCAGATAGCCATCGTCACTCTTGCTCTTGCTAGATGTGGTGGGGACCGGTTCGTTCATGATGCTACTCATGCTCTCTACTTCTTGGTGCCCATTCTGTTTCTTCACTCCGAAACTGTCTTTATCTGCGCTCAATCCCGCAAACGCTTTCTTCCATTCCTCATGCCTCTCCTTCCTCTTCTTGCTCACTTCCCCTTCACTCTCAAGTGCAGCCTCCTTGCGTGTAGCAGAAACAGCCAGCAACTTTCTCAGCGCCGTCTCCGCGAGCCTGGCCTCCGCTGTCGCTTTCTCACGAATCATCTTGGGATCGGTGGGTCGTTCAGCGAACACAGGTGTAGCTTGATATGTATGCAGACTCGGAAACGCGGGTAAATGATCGTAGATGCGGCATCGTTGATCCGTCGAGCCGTCGAGTTCGGGTCCGAGGAGTTCGGTAAGCTCTGGGTCTGGTGGAGGCGGAGGAGCCGGTGGTGGTAGCGAGATCGCGGGCGTCTTCGAGGGGACTCGGTGTATCTCGTCTTCGAGGCCAGCTAGGCCAATATTCCTCTCGAGGAGCATTGCTTCGAAATCGAGTACTGTCGGCTTTGTGCGCCTCTGCGCGCGGGTAAACTCTCCAATCGTATGTAGCATTTGCAAGTAATCTACAGAAAATCCCCATTATCAGCAACCGAGTTCGCAAATAGGTTTCTGGCTGGCTGGTGAGCGCCGTACAGTCTTCCGCAAGCTCGCGCAACCTCTCCTGCGCACTTGCTGTGAATCCCGTGAACCCGACACTCTGCAGTATCAACGCCGAACTGCGATCTAGCAACGGCGTCACAATCTCCTCCGGCAACACCTGGGGGGCGTCGAGATTTCTTGGCTCTTCAGGCACCAACTCCCGGCGCCGTCGTTTTCTAGGGTGATGATGATTCGCGTCGAAGCATTCGTTGGGAGCAGCAAAAGATGGCTGCGACGTGCCGGTCGCCATGATGCGCGCGAGATCGGAACGTGAATTATACAAAGCTAGATGTTGTCGATATCGGTCGCGCGCGGTTGGTGGGTTTGTTGGATGTAGGAAAGCGTGCAGTTTGAAATGACCCCAAAAGCACAGAGGAGCCTCCCGCTGCCACGTGACACGATGAGCAGAGCCGCTTGCCTCAAAAGTGCCAAGCACCTCGTTTACCACGACCCACCACTTCCGGGTTCACCCCTCAGACCATTTCCCTCCGTCCTTATTCACAGCCCAATTCACACCCACCACCATCAACCTCGAACCTCCCACGGTAGGGCTACCTGCACTCGCTCGCTCGTGTTCCAGTCGCTCACAACAACTTTCTCGCGACAGTTCAGATCTCCACTCTCACAATGTCCAACATCGCTCCCATCGTCGGCAGACTCCGGAAGGGTCTCGTCATGGACCTCTCAGTCGCCACCGGTCTCGGAATGGGTTCGCTCACCACCACTATCCTCTCTCGAGAGCGCCGTACTAATAGTGGCATATAGGCATGGGCTACTACTTCTGGTACGGTGAGTAACATAGACAAAAACCAACAGCACAACGAATCACCCGGACCGCACATCCACCCGACTCCAAAATGGCGCCACATTCTGATATTCTACAAACAGGCTACCATGTTCCGGCTGTCCGCCGCCGTGACGCGTAAGTTTCCACAAATCCATCTATCTTATGATGTCGCACGCTGACTGAGCTGTAATAGCTACTACGCCAAGCTCGAGCAGCAGCGCGCAGCCAACGCCCATGCTTAAATGCTACGACAAGACGGGTTGAGGGTTCAGAGGGAGAGGCATTGTGTACATTCAGTATGGTTAGAAGTGTAAACTTTTGTGCGGGGTCGGTCGCACGTTCTCATACCCTGTGCTGTGGTGGTAGACAAACGCCGGCTGATTCGCACAATCTACCGGTTATGACTTTATGCCGATATGAAATGGTTCCGGTCTTCCAATGTCTACTAATGACCGCAATTGAGATTCCGTGCCGCGAGTTGCGCTGTTAGGGTCCTGGAAATCTCCTGGCGAAGCGGCGCCGTATGTACGTTCCCTTTACTACGCACAAGGCACGCGTAGGGTCGATGGATACCCCATAGGCTTTCAAAGATCTGTTCCATGTTCGTTTTTGGTTCCTCGTTTACCGCACGCCACCTATGTCTAAACCATGGCAATCTGTGCTCCCTTCTGTCCGTCTGCAGTGCCGGGCAATGGAATCAGTGCAGCACTCCCGTCTCCCCAATCCCGACTTAATCAATTCACTACTCTCGAGCCTGCTTGGTGTTGATGCGCTGTAGAGGGATCTATTACATACCACATGTTACTTGGCCGCCATCATCATGTTTTTGGGTGAGAATACGTGCCCGCGCGAGCGGACAGTGGACGACTTCACGTAGCCGATTTCATACCGTACCACGCCTCAGAATACTGTGCCTGAGATAGGGATCATAGACAAACACATGGACCTCAGTATAATACGACGGTAAGCCGAACCTTGTGAGTGAGTAGCGAGCTCGCTGCTCGAGTATTTGGCGGTGATGCTTGCAGTTCTATATATAGGCAGGATTCCGAAAGGCCAATTCGATTCACCATACTCAACACAATGGCGATTTAACTCCGGCCCCTCGAAGCCAATAATAACCACAAGTCAACATGACCCCGCTACATGCTGAATGGCCAGAGACTACCGTAGGTGCCCAAATCCTACTGGAGTTGTCCCTAACGCACCGCATCCGCTTCGTATGACTCGTTCCAAGACGATGACCGACGGGCCAGTATAATTGATATCATTGATACCCTCTAGCATGTCGCAGAATGTTTAGAATGCTGATAGCCCAAATCAATTGTCTCACCAACCTCACGCTTCTTCGGCTTGTTGGACTGGCTTGTGGAATAATATTATCGCACAGTGCTCTATTCGCCTCCGAGGTGCATCGGATACATGGCCTCCGGCCCAGACAAGCCGCACGCGGACACAGTCAACCGACAACCGTGGAAAGTCGTTGCATGCGATCATGAGCAAATCTGCTTACAAGTATCATTGCAGTCCAGTCCAGAGTAGCTACCACGGTTCCGCTTTGTCTTACAATCTTCAGTGCTCACACGTAGGACTTTTCCCGCCCCAGCGGCATGCCGAGTCCAATCGGGCTGTCGAGTGAAGTTGAGTTGATATGATTCGTGCCCATAGCGGTGGGGCGGCGGGTGATCCTTGAACGTCTGTGCTGCCTGCGGCGCCGGCTAGTGTGAGATTGCCGAGTGTCTTATCCAGGCGATCGATACTGCCTTGGCTGACTGGCTGATACGAGCCTATTCCGCTTCAACCTCACACGACACGAGAGCGACAACCCAGCGGCTCACCCGGATGCGTGCGAACCACCAGCGAAGCGAAAGGCGAGGTGGAACTCAATGGCCTTCGTCAACCGAATATCCGTGAATCCTATACGAGTAGATCTGGGACACGCAGTTGTGTGAAGGATCGTGTGCTCCGGAGGTCCGCAGCTGTATGATAGGTACTTCAATAATTTCCCCCTCCATCCAGTATCTATCCTAACCGACAGATCGCATGTCTTCGCTTCGTCACTTAGATACTCCTTGCACAACGTCCAGCATCCGCATAGCTGAGGTCAAGCGAAGTGGGGCCAAGTAGAATTCCACACTGTAATTTTTCCGTCCGTATGCCCTCCAACCTCGGCCAAGCGGGCTCGGTTCGTCGCTGCTTCCTGCGCTTAAACTGTGCCCATCCGTTGAACAGTACCTCCTCTTTGAGATCTGAGAGCGAGTGATTTCCAATGAGCGCCAGTCATCAGTTAATATGAACCGACGTCCTCTGAAGAAATGGGGTGATTTACAACGCTATGAACGCGCCACAAAAATGTTGTGCGGCAACGCTCAGGCAGCATGAGATCATCGATCTGCCGAGTTTTGGTTGAGCGACGGGCGGGTAACGTTTCGGAACAAACACCTGCTCCCCCGCTGAGTTTCGTGGTGGGTTGTCTCCCGCTAGTAACCTGTGGGTTGGGTGGTTCCATTCCTGAGCTGCACCTCCCTAGAGACCAGAAAGTCCCCGAGCGAAGTCCGTTTCCATCCACCCAAGAAACTCGAATCCGTTTCATCTCACACTCACCCCTCCTTCAGCACACCTAGCTCCGTCGAGCGGAAATATTTGTTTCGCACCATCACCCTCTGTTCTTCAACGCTTGGGAAGTGCAATGAGCTCGACGACTGTTCACACGGTTCACCCGATCACCGCCGGTTCTTCCACGTCGGGCCCGGCATCGACATCATTATGGACCAAACTCTCCGGCTACATCTCTGAGCACAAGGCTGTTGTCTACACGGTCGGTGCGGTGGTGATCGTCGCCACAGCCGGTGGCATCTACTACATCACGCAGTCGGGGAACGACGGTGAAGCAAAGGAAAAGAAAAGCAAGAAAGACCGACGGAAAAAGGACGTCAAAGACAGCGCACCAGAGAAGGCGGACGTTCCAAGTGGTGAGATACAAACATCCCCGCATCCCCGCCCAATGTCTGGGCCGCTTATATCGGAGGGACTGTAGATTCTAGGAAGCCGGCCGTCGCCAGCGTCGATAACATCCCGGAAGTGGACGAGAACACCGTTGCATCGCTGACTGACGAGGTACGACATGCCGACTTTGCGTTCCATAGCTCGGGTCAGACTCGCTAACGTTGGGGCACAGCAACGCACTGCATATGCGGCAAAATTGAAGGCGGCCGGCAATAAGGCCTACAGCGCCCAGGATTACCCACGCGCCATCGAGCTCTACTCCAAAGCCATCCTATGCAAGCGGGATCCCATCTTCTACTCGAACCGCTCGGCCTGTTACAATGCGCAGGGAGACTGGAGAAAGGTTGTGGACGACACCACCATAGCCATCTCAATGGATCCGGAGTATGTCAAGGCGCTTAACCGCCGCGCCAACGCTTTCGAGCAGCTCGAGAAGTACAGCGAGGCTCTCTTGGATTTCACCGCCAGCTGCATTATCGATGGATTCCGGAACGAGACCTCGGCGCAGAGCGTGGAGAGGCTGCTCAAGATGGTTGCTGAAACCAAGGGCAAAGCAATGCTTGAGGCGAAGCCCAAGAAGTTGCCATCCCCGACTTTTGTGTCCAACTACCTTCAAAGCTTCAGGCCACAGCCTTTCCCGAAAGGACTCGAGGAGGGCGCTGTACTCGATGACACCTCGGGTGACTACCACCTTCAGGCTGGATTAGATGCTATAAGGCGAAAGACGGCAGATGCCTACAATCTTGCGGCGGAGTCATTCGAGAAGGCCATGGAGGCGGGAACAAGCCATGAGGCCGTTGCCCTCAACTACAGGGGAACTTTCAAGTACCTCCGAGGCGATTCCGAGGGTGCACTTGAGGATCTCTCCCGGAGCATTGAGCTGGATCCCACAATGTCACAGAGCTATATCAAGCGCGCCAGCATGAGGCTGGAACTCGGTTTGTGAAAAATTCACGCTCTCAGGGGGCCGATATGGTCTAACTTTCGCAGGGGATAGAGACGCCGCGGCCGTGGACTTCCAGGCCGCAATTGAACACAATCCTGACGATCCTGACATCTACTACCACCGTGCTCAGCTGCATTTCATCTGCGGCGAATTTGGCGGGGCCGCTAAGGATTACCAGAAGTCAATTGAGCTCGACGGTGACTTCATCTTCTCTCACATCCAGCTTGGTGTGACCCAGTACAAGATGGGATCGATCGCCTCGTCGATGGCCACCTTCAGGCGGTGCATCAAAAACTTCGACAAGGTCCCTGATGTGTACAACTACTACGGGGAGCTCTTGCTGGACCAGCAAAAGTATCAGGAGGCCATCCAGAACTTTGACATGGCCATCGAAATGGAGAAGCAGACCAAGCCCATGGGTATGAACGTACTGCCGTTGATTAACAAGGCATTGGCTCTCTTCCAGTGGAAGCAGGACTACAGTGAGGCGGAGAAGCTTTGCGAGCGCGCATTGCTACGTGAGCACCCCAGCCAACACGTTCATCTATTGGTTGCTAATCCGATTTTAGTTGACCCCGACTGCGATATCGCTGTTGCCACCATGGCACAGCTACTTTTGCAGCAAGGAAAGGTTAATAGTGCGTTGGAGTACTTCGAGCGTGCGGCATCACTCTCCCGAACGGAGGCCGAAATTGTGAACGCTCTCTCGTATGCCGAGGCAACACGCACGCAACTTCAAGTGAGTGATCCAAAACTCCTTCCTATCCATACGCTAACAACCGAAAAAGGTCCAGGAGAAGTACCCTCAACTCGCTTCGAAATTGCAGGGAATGGCGGGAGGAATGGGCCCCAGGTAGGCAAAAACATCTATATGTACAGTAGTTCCTTCGGCAAACTCATTGATGGTGTCTTTAGTTTTAGTGGATAGGTGAAATTGTATTGGTCTCTGATTTGAGTACAAAAAGGATTGTGCGAATGCTGCTTTCCACACACGTGTAGTTAAAGAATGCCCTGTTGTTCCCTCTCTCTTCTATCTCTATCCGCCTGCTCTATTTTTCCGGTCTAGTTTGTTGGGATCTTTTGGCCACTGAAACGAATATGTACATAGGATTTCAGTTGTGAAGGCATTTAAATCGGTAGATAGGTGACTTATGACCCGTACATGCTCTCGGGGTTTAGGTACCTAGATTGGCAGTGATGAAACGGGGTACAATCCACGAAATATCACTCGATACCTAGGCTGTTTGTGAGCTAAATTGTCTTGGCATAAGTCGCGCCTGCATACTTCATAGCAGCTTCGCGCCTGTCCGACTTCTCGACACGTTCCCCTGTGCTGTGTGTTCCTCAACGTCGCCCCAAAATGCCAAAATGTGAGTCTCTTCCTACACCCGACGCTTTAACTCTGATTTGTTTACTGACTGTCTACTTTAGTCTTCTGTACCTACCGGAATTCTCCAGCTGTGGCGATTGCGAATGCTAATCGTTAAACTCAGGCGACTACTGCGATGTCTACCTCACTCACGACTCCATAAGCGTCCGCAAAGCGCACAATAGCGGTCGTAATCACCTGCGGAATGTCGTCGAGTACTATCAACGTACGTTACTACTCTCTATCGCGCGCGCGTGGGAACGAAGGGTGGGCTGACAAATGTCTGGGGAGGTAGAAATCGGACATGAGAAGGCGCAGTCGGTCATAGACTCCATCACGAGTTCGTATGCCGCCGAGGGACAGACTATGCCGATGCCCGGCATGCTCCCAGGGATGATGCCGGGTCAGTCGAGTTTCCCGCCGCCGGTGGGAATGGGATTTCCTCGTATGTTGTCGCTTGTTCCGCAGGTGCTGGAGTACTCGCTGATGTCTGTGGTGCACCGCAGCTCGTCCAGGCCAGCCGCTTCCTCCGCCACCGTTCGGGTTCCCGCCGCAAGCCGGACTTCCCGGCGGATTCCCCCCACCAGGTAGACCCGGAATGCCGCCGTTTCCTCCGCCTCCGATCATGCCCGGCGCCGTGGGATTCCCGCCGCAGTTCCCGGGTGGGCTGCCGCCGCCGCCGTTGGGGATGCCTCTGCCGATGGGAGATGGGATGTCGGGACAGCCACCGATGATGCCCGGACAGCCACCGTTCCAGATGCCGCCAGGTGGATTCCCGCCGCCGTTTCCAGGCCAGGGAATGAGTCCGCCTCCCGGTGCTATGATGGGTGCACCCCCGGGTGGTCCTGGAGGTCCACCATCGTTAGGCAATTATCAACCGCCTCCGAAGTAGCGTTAGGTCGGCGATTGTATAATAGTCAGGTTTCGTTCGGAAGGATGAGTGGGAAGGCGTGACAGGTTTCTTCATGCGAAATGTCGGGGTGTTGGTGTCTTCAAGTTACAAGTTTGGCAAGCGAATTGTGTACTGCTATGTCCCATAAAATTGATTTTGGTTTTGTTTTCCCGCATGTCTATCCAACAGCTCTCATCACGAGCTTCCCCAGTATCTGCAACTCCATGTCTTCCGTCACCCCCTTTATCCCCGCCGTAGGAATCTTGTAGCACTTTCCCACGCGTGCCCAATCCGTACCCTGTGCAATCACCGCATCCGTAAACTCCGCCGGTGTCCCCTCCACCACCTTGTTCAGGTGCCGCTCAACCTCCTCCGCGGATATGGGCTTCTCCTCGCTCGAGATCTTGACGCAGACTAGCGACGTGGTCGTTGGGGATATTCCAAAGCGGCGGAAGGACTCCGTGATCTTTCCAGCCATCAGCCATACACTCCAGCGAGACGACGATAGAGAGAAGCAGTAAGTACGTTATTATTTGGACTCAGACAAAACACGATCTCGGAGTGAACGTTCTTCGTCCTTAGCTTTCCCGTGACGAGGAGCTTATGGACTGCCTGGTGCGCAGCAGCTAACACGTGCGTCGTCGACACCATCTACACCCACTTTCCATGTCACTCAGAGTTTCGTAGCTGTGGGGCGCACCCACGCGTGGGAACCTACGGCACCCGCATCGATAAATGCGTACTCGAAGCCGGTGTTGCCGGCGAGCAGCTGGTCGCGAAGGAACGCGGCGTTGCCGACGTTGTGGTACATCGCGATGTGCACCGCATGCGCGGCGGGAATGTGTTCGAGCGTCAGGGTGGTGAGCGACATTGTTGTTTGCGGGCTGCGGTGGGCGAGCGTGAATGGTGGGTGAATTGTTTGGACTCTAGGTCAGTTACTGGAGCACATACGCAAGTGAGGATTCATGTGGTTTGGTGGGGTTGTTGGCTTGGCACGTGCGTGGGTTGGAGCTATAGTATCACTTCGCGTCTCCACCATCACACGACACGGCACCTCCGACAACTCACAACACGACGACAGCAGCAACATGACGACGCCAAAAATGCTAGCCGGCATGACGCCCAACTCCCACGCGGTGGCTACATTCGCGTTTTCGCCAGCACTACTGGGACAATCTCCCGCGGCTTTCCTCAAGAACCACAGATCACCGATGCCGTCGGGGAACTTTAACTCGCCTGGGATGTTTGCGGCGCTGGGAGTCACGGGAACTCCGAGCATGCAGCAGTTACCCCCAGATGAGAACAAGAAAAGAGAGTTGGCGGAGATTCTGCGGGTCTTGGGGACGAGGCCGGGGAGGATCAGTGTTGCGGCTGTGGAGAGGTTGGCGAAAGGGATGGGGTGAGAATGCCCACGCATTGATAGGAATGTTTTTGCTAAGTTGCTGTGGAGATTGGAGTGCTATAAGGATACAGACCCCGCCACCGGCGGAACGACACTATCACTCGCAGCGAAGATCTTCTTGCTAGATGTACGTAGCCATCTCGGGAGCTCCGATCCCCGGGTGCTGACCTCATTAGATCGAGTTCACGGGCGACAAAGTCGAGCGAGTACAAATCTCATTCGAGAACACCCCCGGCCCGTCCAGCGACCTTGCAGCCCAAGCTGCCGCGATATTCCAGAAGAACCTGACGCCCTCATCACTCTCTCCCGGTCGGCCGCCGCTACTGGTCCCGTCGCTCTCGGACTTCGCGGAGAACCTGACCAGATTCTACCGTACCGACAAGCTCAGTGGGAGCATCAATTGCTTCGCAGCGATCACTGGGATATATCAGAGTCTGCGCAAGATCTATGAGTACGAGAGGGATAGTATGGACAGTGAAATGGCGGTGATGTGTGTGGGCAATGGAAGGCCGGCGATGCATGTCCGAGGGAAGGTGGGGTTGAGTATTGACTATTGGAAGGAACGGCGGACAAGTGCGGAACAGGAGGAGGGTGAGGATGGTGAAGAGAAGTTATGGAGAATAATGATCGAAGTTGAAGAAACGCCGCCGGATTTCGAGAACAACCTGAACATGGGGAATATGACAATAACGCCAGTGCGTGCGTCGGATCAGTGGGTGTCGGATGAAGTGAAGAAGTCAAACAAGTATGAGACCAAATCACTATATCAAGTCCTCGGCTGACATCTAGCAGTCTGTTCGACGAAGAGCTCACAACCGACTGGCTCGAGCCCCCACTAGAAGAACTGCTTGACGTGACCGGCGACTCCTCGGCGTCACGTCCCTCATCCGCCCGCTTCCTCGCGCGTCTCGACCCACCCGTCGTCGTCCCCCTCCAAGACCAAATGGAACTCTACACCGGCATGCAAATGACCGGCCTCGGCACACTCGAAACCCTCCTCTTCCCCGGCCTCCCCCCAAGCAACGATACGTACCGCCACATCCACGTCCCCGATTCCACCGCCCCACTGCACCACTACCACCTCCACCCCTACCTTAAACCTGTCTACGTCCGTTACGTCAGCGAAATCCCATTCTCGCATCCTCGGGACATCCTGCCTATACTCCGCACCCTCCGCCAATATGTCCTCGTCAAAACCCTTCTCGAAAGCTGTTTCTCGCCGCTACACCCCTCCCCACCCCCTCCATCACCACCTCACTCGTCCATAGACGATTTAAACTTCTTCCTCGATTCCACCAGTCCCAGTACGGGAGAGGTGCCAGTCGATATTACCCTCGAGCCAGGTCAGCAGTTCGGGATCCGTGTCGTCTTTCCGGAGCGTGCCAACACTGGCGTGGTGAATATGCAGGTGCAGGTGGGACGGAATGCGGAGGTGAGCGTGAAGCAAAATGAACGCGCGGAGAAGGCCATCAAGGCTTGTGAGGACTTGGGACTGGTGGTTGAGTGGATTAGGAGGCAGTCATAACGATATTGATGGAAGCCATGGTTTACTGTAACAGGAAAGGATATACCCTGGGTGGTTTTTAATGCATGTTTTGTATTGCTTTGCTTTTGGAGTTTTTCAGCGGTAATTAGAGGGATTTTCATGGCCTATCACCTCATTCGAGGCTTTCCAGTGACTCCATTCCCAACGTAGTAGCTTGTTTTTTTACCAGGAGGTCACGTCGTCTCTGTGCAGAACTTCATGTTTGAGAAGCAAGTGAAACAAAACATCAGTATCCGAGACCCGAGTCTCAGTGAGGCATATAAATCCACTTTCCCAACTGCAGCCATCACCGCCGTTATCAGACAGGCCCGATCTCCTTCCAGGATCCCGGCTCCATCCCTCCCTCCGGAACCTACCGTTTTAGCGTGAACCTTCACACCTCTTGGGGAAAAGCTTGTCCAGACTGCTCGACATTATTCAACTTTCAGATTCGGATTTTTCGATTTTGACCCTGCGTTGGATTCGGTTTCAACTTTTCCTTCTACAAATGCGACAATTACGATGGTCGCTTAACATCTTGCTCCGTCCTTCGACTTCCCGAACCCGATGGCAGCCGAGTTTATTGCGGAGAGGGTTCGGAGAGGCGCTGCCGCGGAGGGCGATCGTCGCGTATGGAAAGGCCTCCCACGACCTCGAGAAGCGCATCGATGATATCCCGCTGGATCGCTTTAGGAACTTTTGTATTGTGGCGCACGTCGTATGTCACCGCTGCCGCTGCTGCTGTCCGTCCGTCGGAGTCCGTCGGTGTGGTGTGGTGTGGAGTAGAGTGGAGTGTTGCGCCTGGCTAACTTGCGTGAAACATAGGATCATGGAAAGAGCACTCGTACGAATCCTACCTCCGCCCGCCCTCACTCCTCCTCCTCCTTCGCCTCGGACGAATAGCTGATCCGCGCGCCACCTACTATAGTCAGCGATCGGTTGCTCGAGCTCACGGGGACGATAAAGGTCGGGGATAATAAGCAGATCCTGGATAAGTTGGATGTGGAGCGGGAGCGTGGAATCACCGTCAAGGCGCAGACTTGTACCATGCTGTATAATTACAAGGTACCTATGACTTTTGTTTGCATGATGGTTGGCTGGCTGGCTGGCTGGAGAAGAGCACTTTCTGATTGGCTTTTGGCTCGTAGGGCGAGGATTATCGTGCGTTAAATCTTACCGTTCACCGACCGACTTTCGTCACGCATGCTAATTGATGGCCTCCGGTGAGGTGTACGAACACAGTACTGCATCTTGTTGATACACCCGGTCACGTCGACTTCCGTGCAGAAGTTCTGAGTAGCTACCGGTCTACGGAATCAGCACTGCTGTTGGTGGATGCCTCCCAAGGAGTCCAAGGTTGGTGCTACCTCTGGCAGCTGGTTGGGTTGGAAAAGCACTGACCTTTTGGACTTCAGCACAGACGGGTGAGTTTCTAGTATCCATGAGTCCGTGGGTATAGACATGTCTCTAAACCGCGCTTCTACATAGTTGCAAATTTCTTCCTTGCGTTTGCACAAGGCCTCACGCTGCTGCCGGTGGTCAACAAGGTCGACCTTCCCTCGGCAGATCCGGATAGGGCACTCGAGCAGATGCGCACGAACTTCGAGCTGGACCCCAAGAAGGCCGTGTTGGTCTCGGCAAAGACGGGACTCAATGTTGAAGCTATACTGCCGGCAGTGATAGAAGGGGCACCATCGTAGGGCTTACCTACCTGATCCTCACCTGCTTATCTACCGGAAAGGAATATCTAACATGTGTCGGCTGCGCAGACCAACTGGCTCCAGTAAAGATCCCCTTAAAATGCTGCTAATCGATTCGTGGTATGACAACTACAAGGGTGTTATTCTACTCGTCCGGATCTTTGATGGGGTTCTGAAGCCGGGTGACCAAATCGTCTCGTTTGCTACGGGGAAGAAGTACTTTGTCGGTGAGGTGGGGATCATGTACCCCCTAGAGACAGCGACCTCATCCTTGAGGGCCGGACAAGTGGGGTACTGTTATTTCAACCCGGGCATGAAGAATACCAGCGAAGCCAAAGTTGGAGATACGTTCTGTCATATCGGAATGGAGGACAAGGTTGTTCCGTTGGAAGGATTCGAGGAACCACAGCCAATGGTAGATATCACTTCGTATGACTACTATTGGCCCCGGCTAATATTTTCCGAAAGGTCTTTGTGGGTGCGTTTCCGCTGGACCAGGGAGAGTTCAACAGGTTGGATGACAGCATCCAGCAGCTCGTCACAAACGACCGAAGTGTGACACTCCAAAAGGTACACCGATCAACAAACGAGTGAGGGCATCCCGTCCGTGAAATGCCGCTAAATTCAATGCAGGAAGCTTCAGAGGCACTCGGTCAAGGCTGGCGACTTGGGTTTCTCGGTGAGCTCTCTTCCCAACCCTAAAACCGTTCGTCCCATCATGCTCATGCAGATTCCCTTCTAGGAACCCTCCATGCCTCCGTTTTCGAGGACCGTTTGCGTCAAGAACACGGCGGGTCGTTGATCATCACCTCGCCCACGGTGCCCTACAAGATCATACACCCCCGGGACGGGAGCGAAGAGATCATCAGCAATCCCGCATTGTTCCCGTCGGGTGACCATGAATTCAAACAACTCGAGCGGCTGGAACCCTACGTACTGGCCACCATCACCGTGCCGGAGGAGTATCTGGGCAAGGTCATCGAGCTGTGCGAGGGCAATCGCGGAACCCAGGTCGAGATCACCTTCTGGACCGCAACACAGGTCATCTTGAAATACAAACTGCCGCTCGCCCAGCTGGTAAACGACTTTTTCGGGAAGCTGAAGGGTATCACGAAGGGGTATGCTTTCTTTCATTCCACCAGCGTTAGCGGTGGCTAACTCGGGAAATAGCTACGCCTCCCTCGACTACGAAGAAGCCGGCTACGAGAAATCCGACATTGTCAAGCTGCAGCTTTTGGTAAACAAGCTCCCCGTAGATGCGATCTCGCAGGTAATGCACCGGAGCCAGACGGCGCGCGTGGGCCGGCAATGGGTCGCAAAGTTCAAAGAGTTTGTGCAGCGCGAGCTGTTCGAGGTGGTGATCCAGGCGGCGGTGGGGAACCACATCGTCGCGAGAGAGACGGTCAAGGCGGTCCGGAAGGATGTCACGGCAAAGCTCTACGGAGGTGATCGGACTCGCCGCATGAAGCTGCTGGAAAAACAGAAGGAGGGACGGAAGAAGCTGCAGGGTATGTTATTTCTTCTTCTTCTTCTAGAATGCGTGTGGATCTTCGTGGCGGACGGAATTCTAACGAGATCAAGCAATCGGACGGGTGACGATCGAGCAGAAGAGTTTCCAGGGTTTCCTGCAGAAGTAGCCGTACCAGTAGCGTCGACGGGACACGATGGAGGCGCTGTAGCTAGAGTAGAGATGTTCAAAACTCCAATAGCTACAACTCACATAGAGCATCTAGCTCAAAGCTCGGATCGTGAAGTGAGTCGTGACTAGCCACGTATTTTTTATTTATTATTTTACCTATCGTTGTTGTCGTTGTCGTATGCACACTCTATCGTGTTCGCCTCCGCGCCCATCTCATTATCCGACGCTATGGGCCCGGATGTGACCATATTCAAACGTCGCCCCGCATGCAGTTTCCGCACTCGCAATATATTACACAATCGATACTCTGGATATGCGACTGTACATGCGATAGATGCGATAAATGCGATAAACCACACATGCGACGAACCAGAAGCTCCGCAGCCCGTCGCATCCACCTACGATATGTATGTATTCACTCTCGAAATCACAGCTTCGCGAACGTCGCCTTCTTCTTCTGCATGGTAGCCTGGATGGCAATCGCCGGATCTGGCGCTTGTATCGCCGCCGCGTTCCAGACCGCCGTGTAATCCAGTCCTATAGGCACCGGTACCGATCAGCCAACCCGCAACGACTCAATCCCAACACTCCGTCGAGCAGCAGCAGCAGTGCACATACCTTCCTGCGTAGTATGATCGACCGAGTAATTAACCAGCGCCTTAGTGCCCTGTACGCCGAGGGGCGACTTCTCCGCCATGAGGCGTGCAGTCTTGAGCGCCTCGGCGACCGCCTGCTCCTTTCCGGGGAGCGCCCTACTAACGAAGCCGACGCTGACGGCCTCCTCGGAGCCCCAGACGCGAGCCGTCAAGGCCACCTCGCGGACCCAGCTGCCGCACCCCACGACCTTCGGCAGGCGCGTCAGCGTGCCAATATCTGCGGCTATTCCTATATCCACCTCCTTAACGCAGAATCTAGTGTCGGCAGCACACAGGCGCACGTCCGCGCAGCACGCTATGTCGATCGCGAGTCCGTACGCGATCCCGTGCAGCACTGCGATCACAGGCTTCTCGCATGCTGCCGCCGCGCCGATACAGTCCTGGAACTCGCGGATGTGCCGCCGCAGCGCGAACGCACGCCGCGCTGGGTCCATGCCCCCACCGCCCCCGCCCCCGCCCCCGCTGCTGTTGCTGCTGCTGCTGGTGGATGAGGTCAGCTCCGGCGCGGAGGTGATGTCTAGTCCGCTGCAGAATGCGCGGTCGCCCGCCCCGGATAACACGATCGCTCGCACGGAGGCGTCGACCGAGAGCGCGCGGAAGAGCTGCCCGTATTCGAGCCACATCCTGTGAGTGTCAGCGGGGTGAAGAGGGAGTGCGCGCGCGCGGCTAAGGACGGACTGGACGCACTCTTGGTGGAACGCATTGAGCTTCGCGGGCCGGTTGATCTCGACGTGCGCGACGTGCGCGGACGGCATGCTCACGTTGAAGTGCTTGTATGTTGCGTAGTCGGTCATGGTCGCGGTCATGGTCGCGGTGAGGTGATGTGAGGGTAATGGAATGGTAGATTTCTGGATATATTGCTGTATGTAGTTATGAGGTATGTGAGGTGAGATATGCGTGAAGTTTGAACTGTGACGGTTGATGTTGAGACCACGTCCGTCTCCAGAGGCCACAGCTATGTACCACTAGTAGTATACCTAGCATGAGAGCTCACCACCACCACCACTCGGCCTCGGCTCGGCAGGGCTTCATGTGACACAGCCGTCGGGCCAGCAGCCTACCTACTACCGGTATACATGTGTACCCACTCCACGAAGCACATGTTCAGTCCAGTCCAGTCGACATTCCCCATTCCCTCTTCAGCCCCAATGCCTCAGTGCCTCAGTGCCTCACACGTACACCTATTACCACTATCATTACCACTATCCACTATCCACTGCACAAATACATTGTGGCGTATCCCAGCCCCCCAGCGCCGAGCCCCAGTCCCCAAGCAGCCGATTGCGGGGAAAAAGCGGGTATATATCAATGTATAGTGGTAGTACACAGATTACAGCCAAAACTCGGCAGTGAGTCGTGACCACCGACAGACAGGCAGGCTGCGCGCTTACTCTACATGAGCACTCAACACCCTGGGGCACGTAGAGTAAGTGCCCAGGTTTGTATGTGTATGTGTGTATGTATGTGTGTATGTATGTAGCAGATAGAGTACCCAGAGTGAAGTCCCCGCTTCTCGAGTTCCCAACAAACGGTATGTGAAGCTGGGACCTGGCACGACGACGACGACGGCGTTTGTATCCCTGAACGAACGAGCGAACGAACGGAGGATGGATGGGTGGATGGATGGATCGGCAGGTTCATGTATGTAGCGGCCGACTGACTTCCTGCCCGGCGTTCAACCAACGGCTGTGTCGGAAGCGTGCCGGTTGGTTGGTTGGTCGTTTGGGTGGGTGGGTGAGATATGTATGTTTTATGTAGGTATCGTACGTAGTAACGTAGTCTACCTGGTTCAGATCTCGGATAGCTACCTACAGTAGGTACAGTAGGTACGGTGAGACCGTGATAGTGCTGCCGTGGTGCGCGAGAAAGTATGTTTGTATGTATGTAGATGTATGTGTGTAAGATGTATGCGTGTAAGCTGTATGTGTGTATACCGTCTGTGTTTTTATCTGTATCTATCTGTATCTCCGTCAGTCTTGGTAGGTAGTCTAGGTATCCGCACGATATCACCAATTCACCATATCACCGCGCATGCCACCCGCAAAAAACCCATGGAAAAAGCAAAGAAATACAGAAGAAAAAAGATTGAAACTCTTCACGCAAGGGGAATGCATGACCACGGATTGCATATGCCACACATATGCCACCGCCGTAACGGCGTTTCATTGCTTTTGCCTTTGCCTTTGCTTTTGCGCCGTGAGGGGGATGTCTCACCGTCCCCGCCGTCCCCACGTCGTCCCACGTCCACAGCGTAGCATCGCCCATCGCCATCGCCATACCATATATAGTATAGATGTTAGCAACGTCGGATATAGCTTTTGAGTTTTTGAGTTTTTTGAGTTTTTCTTTGCAGATGTCAGAGAGGGGATGGCGTGTTGACGTGTTGGCGTGTTGACGTGGGGCGGGGAGGAGGGGGAGGCGGGGCAGAGTGGGCGGGGGGGAGGAGGGGGGGAGGAGGGGGGTAGTGGGGGGGAAGTACTTACATCGACGTCTTTTGTCATCACGGGCCCGGCCTAGCTGTGGACGTCCGTCCGGACTCCGTTGTCGACGACATGGTACCTTTGACGCAGCTCGCAGCTCGGCGGGCTGGAATGCGGAATAGTACCTCTGTACCTCTGTACCTACCTACCTGCCTACCTACCTACCTGCCTACCTACCTACCGGCGCAACTGGTTCCTGCATCTGCTGGCGGTGGATGTTTGGATATGATGTAGGTACCTGTGCGTTTAACTCTCCCCAGCCTCCTAGCCCCCCCATGCGGGAGATGGTCTGGTTTGGTTTGGGTTTCTCCGCCGTAAGCGCGGGCTGGCGGGATGAGTTGCCGGTACCGCAGCATAGATCAGGCTGGCTGCCGGGGAGAGTTTCATGAGCACTCGGCCCCAAGGCCCAAGGCTTTAGGTCCAAGGCTCAAGCTCTCAAGCCACGCACATACATTGCACATTGCACAAGCCTGCTTTCCTAACCTTCCTAGCTCGTGAAGATCCGACGATCTTCAGGCTTCGGACGGAGGCGTTAACTGCCTATTGGTATGTGCTAGCAGCACTCCACTCCGAGGCATGAACATATGTATGTAGAGTTCGATACCCGAGGGCCGGCCGGATGGCCACACCGCACATACCCAAGCTACATAGGTCGGTAGGTCGGTATGCATCGGAAGCATGGAGCTCGAAGTTGGGTTGGATGACGAAGCCGAGGGAGTTGGTTGTAGACTGTGGTTGTGTACTCTACATAGGTGTGACGAGGGCCAAGTTCATGTCATGTCATGTCAGGGCGGGGCGAGGCGGGGCCGAGTATCCGCCGGCCTCTACCGTGTGTACCGTATGTATGTACGACACGCAGATAGATACGCAGCCAGCCTCCTGGGATGGGATGGGATACATATCGCGGTTGCGGGGGGGTTACATCGTTACATCTCTCCTCACCTCGCCTCGCCTCTTCGGCATCGATCGGTGCGCGGCGTTCCTGACCGCCGAGTGGTTTACCTCATATCTCGATATCATCCATCCACACACACACACGACAGACATAGAGTAGACGGCGGGAGTCCCTGAAACACCGCAGCGCGCAGCGGCGGCCGACAGCTGTCCTGCCCGGCGTCCATTCATTTTCCTGCTTGCTGCTGCTTGTACCTTCACATTGCTTTGCTTAGACGCCTCAGCCACTCCCACTCCCACTCCCAGTCCCAGTCTCCCAGCAGACGGACCCGCCTCTACTCTGCCTAGTATGTAAATGCCTCACTACAACAGGGGTCGTCACCTAACTTACTTCAACTTACCTCACTTACCTCACTCATACTAGTTAGCAGTTGCCGGCCCTGTCTTGCCTGCTTGCCTGCCTGCGTCGGCGATTTGTATTTCCCGCCGTTTTCTTTCGTTTCGAAAACGTAAAACGGACTGGGGTCTGACGAGGGGAGGGGAGATAGTTTTTCTTTTTCTTTTTCTGTTCTTTTTCGGTTTCTTTTCTTAACTGTACTGTCGAAACGGAAATGGAAATGAATTGGATTGGATTGGATTGGATTGGATTGGATTGGATTGGATTGGATTGGATTGGATTGGATTGGATTGGATTGAAGATGAGATGAGATGTCCGTAAATTATGTTGCGAATGGAGTAGTATCTAGGGCATGAGGAGGGGGAGGTAGGTACGCATCTGTCGGTCGGTTGGTCGTGGCAAAGCCCTTCCTTCCCTTCCCTTCCCTTCCCTTCCTTCCATCCATCCTTCTTCCTTCTTCCCCGCCAAGAGCAGAAAATTCGGGTGGTATGTACCGTATACATAGCAGGCGGGTTAGTAAGTACAGTAAGTACAGTTACTGACTGGCCTAGTGCGGACCGCGCAGTTCCCCCGCCGTGGATTGGATGCGGTGGCGGTTGCGGACGGAGGATATCGTGAATAATCCGTCCCCAGGCGGGTATACGACTGTCTACAGCTTCACGTTGACGTCTCTTCTCCTTTCCACTTCCCCCTTTCCTGTGCCTCCTCAGGCTCCTCATTCTCCCGCCACGCGGAAAGGAAGTTCCAGATATCGCGTAGAGTACATACAAGCAGCATCGTGGATTACGTTACGTTGCGCACTTACCTACCCTCTCTCTCTCTATTTCTCGTAGGGAGGGGAGCTCCAGCCCAGTCGCGTGGTGTCCGTCCGTCGTCTTATCGGCCTGTTCTATCGGTCTGTTCTGTTCCGCGTGGAGCGTGGAGCGTGGAGTGGAAGACGTCCGTCCGTTGCTTTGGGAAGGATGCCGATAAGCAGCCCCCCCCTCCCCTACTCTATCGAGGGTAGGTACGGTTGCTATCTTGGATATCTAGAGTAGGTACCTAGAGTAGTGGGTAGTGGGCGCCCTGCATAGTAGCGTGATGGTGGTGGTGGTGGTGGTGGGGAGCGAAAAGAAAGAATGGAATTCGAATTCGAATTTACGACTTCATGTCTACATACGACATTACATCCGAGAGAACGGCTGGCTGGAAAAAACACGACACATCTTGCAGCTATTGTTTCTTCCGCGTTTGTTCTCACGGACGGCGATGTGCAGCCGCAGCAGCAGCACGAACAGAGGGAGGGAGGGCTGAGGAGGGTGAGGAGAATTTTCATCTCATCTCATCTCGTCTCGTCTCTTCTCGTCTCGTCTCTTCTCGTCTTGTCTCGTCGTTGAGCGTCTGAAATCTTGAAGGAAGGAAGGAAGGCAAACAAAAGCAAAAGAAGAAAGAAAACTTTCTGCTTTCTGTGTCTAAAGATACCCTACCGGTACCGGTACCGGCGGCGACAAACATCCATCGGTGTCCATCTATCCACGGCGACTTCGAATTTCTTCGGCTTCTAAAGATGATGATGATGATGATGATGCTTCTTTTAGATAGCCAGAGAACGGCGGCCGGCTATGTACCCAGTACCTACTACCTACTACCTAGTGGCACATCTGCTATGTATGGCGTATGTACATTCTCGATAGCGGTACATAGGACTTCAACCAGCCAGAAAAAAGCAAATCCATATCCATATCACATTCGACCGAACGACGATTCGGAGATAGCCATTATTATATTCGGTCAGTAGAGTACTTGGGTACACTAGAGTATCTAGAGTATCTACAGCAGGCTCTCTCTCGGTAGGTGTACCGTGTATGTAGGCAGGCAGCTGGTCGTAGGTACTCTCGACTGTGGGCATGTACCTTCTCCACTATCCAGATCTACGGTAGACCGATCTGTCACTCTAAACTCTGGCGATAGAGATATATAGAGATGGAGATGGAGAGAGTGTGTAGATATCATCATACATATGGCACGTACGGTACGGCGGGGTGCGCGCGTGCTTGCAGTTAGGTATGCTACATACAGGCGGGAACGAACAAACGTAGTATGTAGACGTCCCACGTCTAGGTATCTATGATGTATGTAATCCACCCCACGGCTTCCGTGAAACTTTACTCCGTTTCCCTTGGGTTAGGCACATACCAGACTCTACTTAGCCCGGCTGCCCCTCCCCCCTCCCTCCCCCAATGCCGACCGCAAATCCCGCAGAAGAGACATACATCATACATACTTCGAGATTTGTATCATACTTCCCGGGGCTCAGGGTTTCGGGCTGGGCTGGGAGGGAGGGGGAGGGGGAGGGAGGGGGGGAGGGGGGAGGTACCAAAGCTTGACACTACACTGTCACAGCTGATCCGGAAAGTACCAGGTAACTACGGACCTACGGTACAGCTCCATAGATACATACGTGAGCCAAGGGTGTTTGCTTGCGTCCAAGGCAAATGCTTCAGACGAAGTGAATGGAAAGCCGACAAGTCATTACCCGTCAACAGCGCTCGGAAGGGTGGAGGGGAGGGGAGCCTGTGGTCGATTCTGACGAAAGATTTCGATCGTGAGGCCTGCGACCGACTCGCAAAGATATCAACAAGCAGGACCACCGGGCATGACAGACAGACAGACAAGGCAGGCAGGCGGGCGGGCAGGCCAGAGCTTCCTCTGCTTGCTCCTGCAGGTGTGAGGGGAGAGCTCGAGTACGGTACTCTACCTCTACCTCTACCTAGAGCTCTCTCCACTCCCGCCGTAAGAAAAGCAACCGCGGGGTGGGACTGGACGGAGCAGGCAGGATTCGAAGCTCTCTGTCTGTCTCGGGGATTCGAGCACAAAAAAAAGAAGAAAAAGAAATATTGCGGAAACGGAAAAATTGTGGGAGAAAAGAAAAAGAAAAAAATGGATGGGGGAAAAAGAAAAGAAAAAAGCGAGGAAAAATATGGCTTGGCCCTACTTTGGCGGTGGCGGGTTCCCTCACGCTTGCAGCGCTTTTTTGGATGACGCTGGGTTCTTGGTTTGACTTGCCTCGATACGGCTTCATCCCACTTAGCCCACAACATCCCTCCTTCCATCACACCCACACACCCACAGCCCACTACTCACACCCCCCCGGTGTGCATTATCGCTTGGACTCTACGAACCCTTTAAAAGATCCAGTGATCCTCTGCACTTCTTCTACTCTCTCCTCATCACACTACCCCACTCAACCCCCATCACCCCCGATACCAATCCCACTCACCTTCAAAAGCATCCCTCTCGGCTCCCTTCTTCTTTGCCTTTTTTCCCTTTACATAACTCCCAGAAAAGATCATCATGGTTAGTACTCTCCCTTCCGCCCACCGAGCCCGCTCGGCCGAACTTGGCCCGAAACGTTGCTCATCGAGCCGCCACCACGTCCTTGTTCGCGAATACTGATGTTTTTGTTCCTACCAGGCCGGCTCCACTGTTGTCTCCAACACTGCGGCGTTGTCGAAGTACTTGGACCTGCCCCAGCACGGTGCTGTCCAGGCCGAATACATCTGGATCGATGGATCCAACGGACTCCGGAGTAAAACCAAGGTATGTCACTCGCTTCACTGCTTTGGGTGTGCTGTGGCGTCGTGTTCGCCATCGTGAACACGACCAGCGGCACTGCACTAGTGGTTTCCTGATCGCGAATTGGACCCCCTGACAAGAATCATAGACCCTCAACAAGAAGCCCGCTTCGATCGACGAGCTCCCCGAGTGGAACTTCGACGGCTCCTCGACCGCCCAGGCTCCCGGTGAGGACTCCGACGTCTACCTCCGCCCCGTCGCCATCTTCCCTGATCCTTTCCGCCGTGGCGACAACATCCTCGTCCTCTCCGAGTGCTGGAACGCCGATGGCACCCCCAACAAGTTCAACTACCGCCACGAGTGCTCCAAGCTCATGGAGGCCCACAAGGACCTGATTCCCTGGTTCGGTCTCGAGCAGGAGTACACTCTGTTCGATGAGTTTGGTGCTCCCTACGGATGGCCCAAGGGTGGTTTCCCCGGCCCCCAGGGTCCCTACTACTGTGGTGTCGGAACTGGCAAGGTTTACTGCCGTGATATCGTCGAGGCTCACTACCGCGCCTGCATGTACGCCGGCGTGACCATCTCCGGAATTAACGCTGAGGTCCTTCCTTCCCAGTGGGAGTTCCAGGTCGGCCCTTGTGTCGGTATCGACATGGGTGACCATCTCTGGATCGCTCGCTACCTCCTCCACAGAGTAGCCGAGGACTTCGGTGTCAAGATCTCCTTCCACCCCAAGCCCATCCCCGGTGACTGGAACGGTTCCGGACTCCACACCAACTTCTCGACCGAGGCCATGCGCACGGACGGTGGTATGAAGGTGATCCACGACGCTATCGCCAAGCTCGAGAAGCGCCACAAGGAGCACATCGCCGTCTACGGAGACGACAACGCTCTCCGTCTGACCGGAAAGCACGAGACCGGAAACATCGAGGCCTTCTCCTTCGGTGTTGCGGACCGTGGTTCCTCGATCAGAATCCCCCGGTCGTGCGCCAAGGAGGGTTACGGATACTTCGAGGACCGCCGACCCGCCTCCAACGCCTGCCCGTATCAGATCACCGCCATCATGGTTGAGACTTGCTGCGGTGCTATCTAATCGGTTTCTGTTACTATCAGCTCGGGGTTCATGTTTTTTTTTTCTTTCTGTCCTTTTTAAATTTCCATTCTGTTTTTTTTCTTCACTTTTTTCCTTTTGGGTCTGCTTTGCTATGGGATGGGTACAAGAAAGATGAGGGGAAGTGCGTGTTGTAAGTCCTTGAGATTCGTTGCAAGGCACAGGTGTATTCGGGGTTGGATTGGGAATTGGGAATTGGCGCAGTGTGGGGTTAGATCTCGTTTCGGGTTCTAGGCCAGTTGTGCAACTGCTTGTGTTTTAGATAGAATTCAGAGATATCTATGGGGATATCTTTTTTCCACATTTGACCCTTCCTTCCTTCGAGAACAAGCTTCGGTGCAGAAAGGGAAGCAAAAGCAAAAAGAAGGCACTTTTTTTTCTTCGCGCATCTCAGGGCGAGTGAAATGGTTGGTTGACTGGTGCACCGTTTACGGGGAAGGGAGCGAAAGGAGGGGGAGTTCCGTGATGCCCCGAAGGCTACACTTGGTTGGTTCAAACTTCATGGTTCCTGCCGACCTTGCATACGCGGGGTAGTTCGATATGCAGATAGAATCGGATAGATACTACCGGTGCTAGATACTGCTAGACACACTCTACCTGCTCTAAATACCGGTAGATGACGGTAGATGACGGGCGGGGAGGGGAGTGCGGTGTACGGTGTCCACCAATCACGAGGGGTCGATTGCGAGGGGCTGATTGCGAGCTGTCAGTGTTCGTATGTAGGTAAGTTCTTGTAAGGGTTGGGAAAGGCAGGAGGTCGAGTGTGAGGGGGGCACTGGGACGAGGTGGGGTGAGGTAGTCACATAGCCTGTACCGGTATGTAGATACCGGTATGGTTTGACGCGGCAAGAACAGCCTGGACAGGACAGCGCCGCAGCAGAGAAGAGCAGGGTAGAGCAGAGTACCGGTAGAGCAGAGCAGAGCAGAGTACCGGTAGAGCAGAGCAGAGCAGAGTACCGGTAGAGCAGAGCACGGCGGGGGCGCCGATGCCGACGTTTGCCTTTGCCTTTGCCTTCTGCCTTTGCCTTTGAAGTTTGAAGTTTGCCGAGTGGGTAAGAGAGAGGGGGTCGGGAGAGGGTTCGAGAGAGGATGGGGATGGTGCATGCGAACGTGTAACGTGACGAGCTGGGGGGGGGGGGGGGGGGGCGAGTGATAGTATCCCATAGTATTGCACATGCCACACATTGCCACACAATGCACTTGCTTGCTTGCTCAGCCTTGGTGAATGCTGAGTGCTGAGTGAGTGAGTGCTCCGCCTCCCTAGGCACTGGGCAGTTGGTGGCAGTGGGTGCATATCTTACGGCGGCGGTGGCGACTCGCGAGGGCTGGAATGGGAGTGCCTACGGTACTGCCCACTGCCCGTTGCCTACTGCGACGCGGATCTCGGGTCTCGGATTCTCGGATGTTACCTGGATATCGGATGCTACATACCTGGGTACCGTATCGGATGCTACAATGCTTCATACCTGGATACCGGTACCGGTACTCAACTCTACGAGTCTATCTAGGTGTGAGACCTTCCTCTCGGCTCTCGAGGTGGACACCCGAGGTCGACTTCCGAGGTTGGCGGATCTGTGATTCCGTGAGGCAATAATTTCTTAGGGCTGTGGAGCCGGTGGTAACGATGGTAGTGATGTGCTATGGAGCCCGTCGAGCCTGTGGTGGGTGGGTGGGTGGGTAACAGTGACGGGTGGCGGGTTGGTTACCGGTGAGTTACCAGTTTACTGCTTCTGGTATTACTGGGTGAACGGTGCTGAATCAAAGAGTGGCCCTACTGGGAGGGAGGAATTGTGGCTCCACATCCTCTCAGGGAAAAGGCGAGTGATATATACGTGTACACGCACCAGCAACCTGCGGACCACAGTTCGGAATACATATTACATATTATTCTTGACGCATTAACGCTGATATTGGGCTTTCTACTATCTAGTCTACCGCACGCTTCAATGTATCTACCGCAGCCTGCTTGGAAACGAAATGCAATGTGAGGGGGGAATTTCACGATGTGGTACCGTAGGAAGTTGCTGAGATGTAGAATTCAAGTATCCCCCCATTGACCATCCGCCACCAAAGCAAAAGATATCTTGACAAGAACTCCAGCCAAACCCAAAACCCCCCAAAATGCGTCCTCCAAATACACTCCAATGTTCCGCTCATAAGCAACACCAATAGATGAAGTATGAAGTATGCCAAAAAAAAACCCCCGACAACACCAACGCAAATGATATTAAACACTTCATACATAGTATGGAGTGTGCCGAACAAACAGACAACGCCGACGAAAATGGTATCAAACGATCGTGTTCCTCGCAAGAGGAACACCGATCCAAAAAAGAAAAAACGGAACGGCCGAAACGAGTGGTATCAAATCCACTCGTACTCGCCAACCCAACGCCCCACCCCTCCCCCCATCTCCAGGCAAACAACCTCCCAAAAAAAACCCCGGGACCTGCCTATAATCCAGCGCGCATGATGTCAGTGAAAGTCCAAATACACACTGAAACAACGATCAAACAAGAAGAAATCAAACTCACCACCGCAGTCCTCGGATCTCCAGCCAACACAACTCCCAACGACGGCCCCAGCGAGAAGAACCGAACCGGAAAGACCTGCCTATAATCCAGCGCGCATGGTGTCAGTGAAAGGTCCAAATACATACTGCGACAACGATCAAACAGGAAGAAATCAAACTCACCAACGCACAGTCCTCCGTATCCGTCTCTCTCGCCGGGTGGGGTCGAGGTTGAATGCTATGTCCCCTTAACGATAGCGGAGCATAACAATCTTCCTCTCCCCCTGCCTCCCCCCGACTGCGGCTGTGTAATACACCGCGTACCGCTTCTGCTCGAGGTCAACCCCGATGGTACCAGAACCGAACAACGGCGCAGGGATTCTCAGTCCATGCTGCGTCGTGCCGGCCCTGAACGGCATCTCGACGGTCGGGGTACTGAAGTACTCCCCAAGAGGCACAAAGTCTTCGTCGTCGATGCCGGGTACATCGGGGTACGGGTGGACCGCGACAGTGGTGCCGAGCACCAGGCTGCCACGATCCAGGGAGTTTGGAGACGGCTGGACCAGCATCTCTGGCTGGTCGGTGTAAAACACCGCGAAATGGTCGCCGTCTCCTCCCTCCACTCCCGACACCGAGCAAACAGGGAGGCAGCGAACCAGGTCGCGCCTACCCTCGAAGCGGTCGACATCCATCGTGGACGCCGACCGCATCACAACACTTCCCTCTCCCGGATACCTAAGGTAAGCCGGCTTCGGGTAGACGTCGTCGAGATCAACAACCCCGCACACGTTCACGTACGGGGATGTGTCCTCTGGGACAGTCTGGTCGGTTTGCCAGTGGACCCCCTGGCTGAAGAGCTCACCGGAAGACGGCCTGAGTGGGCTTGGTCGGGCACTGATGTCCCAACTCACCATCTCATAGTCGAATCCGGCGTCGCTGGTATCGCCGGTGCGTCCCACGAGCCGCAGTCGGATCATCTCTTCTCCGACTCCTCGCCTCCCCTTCTTCCCCCTCGCGTCGCATCCCTCCAGTCCGGCCGTGGTGGCCTCGTCGAATGTGAGGTGGTTTTCCTTCAAAAAGGAGTGTACGTCGAAATCTGGTGTTATGGGTGGTGGAAGAGGAAGACCGAGACAGCGAACCACAACTCTCTTTAAGAGAGAAGGCTGACCCCACGCGCTAGCGGAAATCGGGCTTGGCGTAGCGTGGATTTCCACGACAGGGAACCGAGTGAGAGCGGGACACATGTAAGCAACATAGAATACCTTACCCTGGGTATCTGCCGCCAACGCCACACCCATCTGCCGAAATCCAGTTTCTCTCATAGCGAAACGATGTTCAGTAACCCCGTCGCGGGGGAAGATATACCCGTGCAAGCGATGCTCCGTCGGATGGAATTGTGATATGACATAGAATTCGTTGACCGCCGCTTTGTCATTAAATCCGTCTAGTTCGTGCCAGCTGGCCAAAAGTTGCCCGCGGTTTCTATGCTTCAGAGAGAAGACTGCGCACTGCGTATGTGGCGGAAGATTCGTGGTGACTAGTACTTCACGTGTCGTTGTCACCGGGGCGATGGGTTGTCCACTATTGAATATTATGTGAGCCTTCGTACCTCACGTCACACGGAGTAAACGTACCGATCAACGAGATGAAGCAATTGTCCTATTTGCTCTAATATTCCAGGATGAGCGGGCTCTGGTGGATGTTCCTCTGTGACTGTGATGAAGTCCACATTTTGATGCGTGTGTGCGTATCCGACCACCAGGAGTACACCCCCATTGGCGTGTAGCATCAGTCTCTCTCCAAAGTCGAGCCTCGGGAGTAACATGCAACGTAAGTAATTCATGCTCAAGACATGCTCCATCGATGTGTCGAAGCCTTTGCCGATATCCTGGATGATTATCTGACCTCTGGCGCGTTCGTAGACCATCACATCTTCCGATTGATCTATTATGAACCTAGCATCCTTCGTTATATCGTAATGATGTATACTGGTAGGAGAATTAGTCTTCCAACGCCGGCTGCGGACGTACTCCTTGTCGAAAGATGTAGGGTCGTATTCGAGTTTCTGCTTGGTGAACTCCTTTCTCAACTTCTCGTAGGACGTAGGAAAGAAAAGCTTGTGAGCCCATTCGAGCGTATCGCTTCCGGTAAAATAGTCGTAGAAAGCGAGCGAGGCCAAGCGAAGATTGATGAGATCGTCTGAAGTGAGGTGGTCCGCGATCTGTCGAACGAGCTCAGGAGGTATGGTGATGAGAGTAGGCATCTTGATGATCTCAATGTAAGGGAGTATGTGGAGTAGTAACGAAAGAAGTGAGCTTTAAAAGGTATCTGTGATCTGTGATCAGGATTGAGGGCGTGGGAGAAACTGCGTCGTGAAGAGAGACAGAATATGAGGTTTCCGAAGCAAAGAGAAAGGAGGTGCTGTATAGATGGAGATAGGATATGAGTTTCCGAAGCAAAGAGGAAGTAAATGCTGTGTGTATGGTGGGAGATAGAAGGCCGAAAGTGTGTGTGCTTGGGAAGGTGGATGTTATAGAAGAAGAAGAAGTCACGATGCGAAAGAAGTAGAGAAATGGAACTGAATTTCTCGTCAGGGCCGAGACAATTATTTAGTGGGGGCTTCAGGGCTAAAAGGTTCGGCGTTCGACGATGTCATATCCACTGGACGGTCAACAGAGTCGCCGCTGGTGATACGGTAGAGCCTCGAGGTTTGTGACCGACCGCCGGACAGACGTGTTGACGGTGCGCTTGATCCACAGGATGCCCAGAGCTATACCGTCCAACCACCAGCATATCGCGAGTTGAACCAAGGCATAGGCCGAAGCCGTTTCTCCCTCCATATGGATATCCTCAGGCCATATACCGGACCATTCAGCCTGCTCCAGTCCCATTACTGTCTTCAGCGCCATCCTAGATCGGCCTCACGAGGGACACAAAGCGAAGAGCAAGCCTGCTTATATTATGGTCAGTATATCAGTATTTAGCTGGTGAGATGACGACTTACAGACTCAGCTAATGCCATGAATCGTGCTCGAGGAGTGTAGGGCTATTTATCAGCCCGGGAGAGTTGCATTTGTGGCATCACATCCGGCGGTGTCTAGATCGATTCGCGGCTCTCCATTGTCGGCGAGGGGTATATCCCCGGACGACAATGTGTGCCCACCGATTCACCGAGCGAAGGGGTTCCAGCGAGCGCTGCTTAAACTTCGGCAGCGAATGTCCGGAGCAAACGAGTGTACGGTACGCCGAACCTTAGCTCTCATCCAGCTGTCGATCATGAGTGACTGACAAACCCTTTAGTTTGCGAAATTCGATTGTCGGAAACCCGCATCAATCCACATATCGACTCCGCTGCAGCAGCTTGCTCCTGTTACAAAACATTAGCATCCTATCGCAGAGTTTCAGGGTTGAATGTACCGATATTCGTACCGATTATGTCACGTGTCCAGACAAGCAGACAGGAGTGCCATTCGGAGACAAAAACTGGCTGTGGGTGAACATATCTATTCCATCGAAGTCACGGATGGTTGGAGTTTGTGGTGCGTACGGGGTTAGGTGTGAGTAGGATGGGGTTGAGATGCTATATGCGTGCCGAGCCAACCCGTTACGTACGGGTACAAGGTATATACCTGGCATGCAGGGTCCGGAGCTCGTTCACCTCGCTCACTCAGTCCACTCTACTCGACTAATACTCGACCGGAATCCCCTCTATTTTACTCGAAGCCACCACTTCACTCCAGCCCATAGCTCGAGTTCAATCGGGTATTGCTCCATCCTGCAGGAAGCCCTTCCCAAGTAACTGACGATATTACTCAGGCACCCTCTGTACAACAAGCCAGCCATTTGTTATTCCCCAGCAGTATGCCAGTACGATATCGTGGGTTGAATCGTATCCGCAACAGCTTCAAGCACAACTGGCGATGTCTTCGGCGCAACCCACTAGGCGAGCTCGCAGGGTCACTAGGAGATCTGGGGACACTGCTGCCGATCCTGATCGCTCTCACCGCCGCAAAGTCGATATCTCTTCCGTCGACGCTCGTTTTTAGCGGGATATGGAATATCATTAGCGGGACGTTGTTTGGAATTCCGCTTGTGGTATGTACGAGAGCTTGGGGACAAGAAGGGGGGCTGATGCAGTGCTCGGGATAGGTGCAACCAATGAAAGCCCTCGCTGCGGTGTCGCTTTCGCGGGGGCTCAGTTTGGAGGAGACAATGGCGGCCGGTATCGGAGTCGGCGTAATAGTATTGCTTCTCTCGGTCACCGGATTGTTGGCGCGGGTGTCCGAGCTCATTCCCGTGCCGATCATCAAGGGCATCCAGGTTGGGGCGGGAATATCTCTAGCACTAAACGCGGGGGCGACACTGCAGGGGCTGGAACTCAACAGCACGCTGTGGTACGACAATCTCTTCTGGGCGATCGGGGCGTTCATCATTCTCTACGGGACGTGCAGATGGCCGCGGAGGTGTCCGTTCGCTATATTGGTTTTCGTAGTGGGAGGGCTGTTTGCGGGCGTTCAGCTAGCTAAGAGCGGCGACGAACTCCCGCACATTGGCTACAAGAGTCCGTTCGTGAAGGTCTCGCCGACACCAGAGGACTTTGCGACAGGATTTGGAACGGCGGGGTTGGGACAGGTGCCGTTGACAGTGCTCAACTCGATCATTGCCGTTACTTACCTCAGCCGCGATCTACTCCCGGACCAACCCGCCCCCGGCGTTACAGCTCTCGGACTCTCCGTCGCGGTGATGAACTTGGTAGGTTGCTGGTTTGGAGCAATGCCTGTCTGTCACGGTCCGCACCCGCACCCACAAATCCCTTCTCCCGTGGACGATACTGAGTGGTTGTGGTTTTCAGGCTCAGGGGGTCTAGCAGGACAGTACAGGTTCGGCGCACGGTCGGGCTCATCGGTGCAGATACTTGGAATCTTCAAGATCGCCGTAGGCCTGCTCTTCGGCAGCTCGCTAACCGGCCTCCTCGAACGGTTCCCAAAGTCATTCCTAGGGATAATGGTTCGTTACCCCATCTACCATTACCTCCTACAACTAACCAACCCCCTCAGGTCTTCGCAGCAGGAATGGAGCTCGTCTCGGTCGGCGAAAACCTCAATTCGACAGCACCCGACATATTCCATCTCGACCTCGATAGCGAAGCCGCAGGGTTGGACAAGCAGACACGCAAAGATAGGTGGATGATCATGATGGTAACTGTGGGGATCTTTGTCGCTTTCCGCAACTGTTTTGTCGGGTTCATGGCGGGCTGTCTGTGCTGGGCCCTGTTGGAAGTGCAGAATCGGATGGACGCGAGAAGGGATGGGGAGAGTAGCAGCGGCGAGACGACTCCGTTGCTGAGATGAGGAATGAGAGTGCCCGCGGGGGGCGTGAGTCAATTTTGTATGAGTATGCGAGTATTGGACCCTACAATTCATTATCATCATTGAGCCTATACACACAGCAGTTTACATCGCTGTGCACTCTCTGCCGAGTGACAAGATGTGAGTTCACAGTGCGAGTATTGGATCCCACAATTCATCATCATCAGTTTACGCTCTGATTATGCTCCACGCAGCGCTCTCAGCCGAGTGACAATCCATGAACTCACACATGAACTCACAATGAGTTGCCCCGCCAACAGGCAAACGGGGAATTGTTGACATAATCTTTTAGAGCAGTATCTAGCGCCCACCAGGGCCACCACATTTCCCATCCCGCCTATCCTATCCCACCTGCAGCAGCGCCAGCTCTCTCACAAGTTTCCCCCACCAAACCAAACCCACCATATCGACACCAGCACACGCGTCTCCCTCTACCTCACACCTCCACACGCTCACCACCAGAACACAGCAACACCGCAAGCATGTCCGCCCCCGCCGCCGCCGCCACGGGCAAACCCAAGACCAAAAAATCCAGCAAGGCCAAATCCTCCACAGCCGCAGACGACGGAAGAGTCCACAAGCTCTCACTCAAGGGCTCGTCGAAGCTCGTGAGCGAATTCGTTTGTGCCCCCATCCCCCCTCCCCCCATTATTTCCCAGCATACCCCATCATTTTTTTGAAGACCAACGCTCATTGCATTGCATTTCACTCGCAGTTCGAATACAGCATCAACAGCATCCTCTTCCAGCGGGGCGTGTACCCGGCGGAAGACTTCGCAGCGGTGAAAAAGTACGGACTGAACATGCTGGTCACCGCCGACGACCAGGTGCGCGCGTACATCCGCCGCATCATGTCGCAGCTGCACCGGTGGATGGCCGGCGGGAAGATCAGCAAGCTTGTCGTTGTCATTGCCAGCAAGGATACGGGAGAGCCACTGGAGAGGTGGCAGTTTGATGTTCAGTTGCTGCAGCAGAAGAAACAGAAAGCTGCCGCTGTGCCAGAGATACCGGACGAAAACGGCGTCGCACCGGAGACGGAGCCTGCGGCAGCTGCGGCGGAGGTGCACAAAGACAAGACCGAAAAAGAGATCCAAGAAGAGATCCAGTCGTTGTTCCGGCAGATCACTGCGAGCGTGACGTTCCTGCCGATGCTGGATGGACGGTGCACCTTCAACGTGCTGGTGTATGCCGACGGCGACGCCGACGTGCCCATGGAGTGGGGCGACTCCGACGCCAGGGAGATTGTCGACGGCGAGAAGGTAACCCTCCGGAGCTGGGGCACGAGTAGTCATCGTGTCGATACGTTGGTTAGTTACAAGCTCGCGGATTGAAGGCTAGATTGAAAACTGGATGAACGGGTGGATAACGATGCTATGAGGATGGATCTTTTTTTGGTGTTTTGTTTTCTTCTTCTGAAGGCTTGCTTGATTTACTTGGTTGGACAATAATACTATCACGTCACAATCCTGAACTCCGCTGTCATGGTTGAATATACACCGTTATTGCCAACCGCTAGGTAATGGTATCTCTATCGGACATGAAAGGAAAAAGGATGAAAAGATTAACCGAGAGAAAAGAAGAAAAGGTAGAAGTAAACGAAAACTCAAAAGGCTCCAACCGCCACACCCAAAACAGTACAAGATTCGACTTTTCCCGCAAAACATCTCCCCCTCGCTTTCCCCCTTTATAGCCCAAATTCTCTCCCCCCATTTAACGCCTCGTGAAACAGCACATGATCGACGTCTTTCCAAGGAAGTATGCGCAACCCAAGAAACGAATGAACGACAAGCCAGCAGTAAGCCACAGCAGGAACACGAAGTAGTTGGCAGTTCTGGCCGAAGCGTTGTTCTTCTCCTGTGAGGTTGTTAGTCATATATTACATCATCATCTCCGGGGAAGAAAGCATACCGAGAAACCGAATCGGTCAAAGTTGTCAGAAGTAACAATGACAGTAAGACCGGCGTTGAGGAAGATCCACCCGGTAATCAATCGAGTACGGAAAGACTTGTACGAATCGTCCAAACTCTTGCTGTCGTCCTCGACCTCGGGCACGAAAGGCGTCAGAGCGCGCTTGACGGTAACCTCGAACGCCTGATCGATATCGGCCTGCGGCTTGTCGGCCTCCTCAATAACCTTAACACCATCGCTGTCGGCCTTAGTAGTCGCGGAAGGCATGACGTCGACCTTGTCGGATCCCTTGGTACCCCAAGACACATCGTGCCAATTGCCTACGACCTGTTAGCAGGAGAAACACTCTGTGCGTTGGATTTCGAAACATACAGAAAGCGTAGACGTTGAGGACGTTCATGTAGGAAGGAGCCAACAGGAGGTACTGAAGGAACGAGTGGAACATGTGCCACGGGTCCAGGTACATGAACGAGGCGATGAAGTAGAGACCGAAAGTCGAGATCAAGGCGATCAAGATAACACCAACAATGCTCGTAAAAAAGTTCTTGATCCAATCGCCGGCGCCAGTTCCAGAGTTCAATTCGTCCCAACCGGCCTGATTCGTGAGAGCACTGTACACCAGGTAGAGGGACAGAGCGACAACGTAAACCTGGATGATGGCGTACACACACATCGTAATGACGTAAGTGTGCTTGGAACCCTTGGGCCTGTTACCCAGAGCCAGAATGAATTGGAGCAGCAAAAATCCGAGGTAGAGGTACTTGAGGACGGTGTTGACGATCGGGGTTCCCGTGCCGAAGGGGAAGGGCTTCTTTCCAGTGTCCGGGTCCGGGTTTCCGACCAAGTCCATGATGACCGATGTCGTGAGCCAGAAGTTTGCCAAACCGAAGAACGAGGTGATGAGGGACATGATGTTGTAAATGAGCTGGACGTGGAAGAAGAACATGCGGATGATGTTGTGACTACTGGAGTACATACGCCCGAAATGCATCAGGGAGTAGATACTGGCAGCAAAGGATCCGTTCAACCAACGACGACGCTGCGAAATAAACTCCGAAGCTCCTTCAGGCACATCGGTCTCGGCCTTGGAGGTCTTGACGTAGGTCAGATGCCACTTGGAGCCGGCCTTGGCCACCAACTCGAAACAGAGGATACGATCCTCAGCCAAGAACATGTTCTTCTTGAAAATGTTCATGCCCTCGATACCCTTCTTACCCAGACGGGCCGACATAGTGTGGTCACCGTGGAAGTACTGCTCCAATGGACGTCCCATAATGGCACGGAATCTGTAGGCCGAGAAAGCTCCGGGCTTGAGAAGCAAGTCAGCCTCGAAAAAGCAAAAAAAAACTGCCGGAAGTGGGGAGGTACGTACCAACACAGAGACGTAACCGAAAGACGACTCCAAAGGCTTATCCAGAATGTTCGAGATCTTGTACTCAAAGTTCTGGGTAGCGACGAGCGGGTTCAGCAAAGCCTTACCGCCCTTACCCAACATGGCGTGGATTTCACCACAAGCACCACCACAGTCCTTGTCGTTGTAGAAAGCCTCCCACAGACCGAGAACGGACTTGGCTCCGGGCTTGGTTCCGGCGTCGAAAAGCACGCAAACCTCGGGGTTCAAGATACGACCGAACGCGTTGAACAGCCATCTGTGAGAGTTGATCTTCTTGGTGTTCTTCTGCTTCAGACAGAACATCATCTGCACGGGAGGCAGACAGGCGGGATCATCGTCACGCGGTCGAATGAGCTGCTGGTTTGCCGTCACCGACAACTGAGTAGTGTATTCGAACTGCCGGCCAAGTGTTAGCACGCGAACGTTTCACTCCAGGCGCACCGGGTGCCGCTTACAATGTGGGCGGTGGTCTCTTTTCCGTCGACGTCCTTCTTCATGATACCGTCCTGGAAGATACCGATGGTTGCGAGGACGTCCAGCGTGTTCTTGTCACAGGGATCGATACCGTCAAAGACCAAGCAAACAACCTATGTGCACCAGAGAGATTAGTGATTGATCTGATCGCGTTCCGGAGATATGGTTGCTTACGATTTTCTGCCAAGCGGGTCCGCCCTTGTTCCAGAACTCGGACTTCTTCAGATTGACGATATCACGGATGTTCTGCATGACACCGTGAAGCGTACGTGCAGTAAGCATCTTGTCTTCGTTGTAGTAGGTGATGGCGATCAGAAGCTCCGTGTGCCTGTTGTACATGGCTGGCCTCAGATTGTATCCATTCTTGAGGGTGAAATCGTCGGGATCACAGGTAGCAGCAGTGTCTGCATCACCGGTCAGCAATCAGCGATCAGGCACCGCGATGGGGAACATCGTCGGGAGAGTAGGGGGACAAACATCGCATGTGTGTGAACTCTTCGCTTCCGCCTTCAACATCTGCTTGCCTGTACTTGGCCTGGATGGCATTCTGGATGGCCGAGGGCACCGGGTAGTCGATGGAAAGGACCTGCTGCTGCAGACGGATCTTTCGTGTTCCGTATCGCCGCAGCGAAGCTGGGGCCTGTCTCTGTCTCCAGGCCTCGGTGGAAGATGCACCGTCGGAACGGGCGTACGGACTCGGTGCGCGTCCGGGGACACCGAACTGTACTGTGGGATCGGTTCCGGCAGGCGGCGGTGCCCCGTAGCTCTCGGTCAGGGAGTATCCGGCCTGCTGGGGAGCGCCACGGTTCTGCTCGTCGAAGGGCCCAGTGAAGGGACCAGCCCCCGGTGCATTGAGTGGGACCTTCTCGTTCTCGTCGTCGGAATCGTAGTCCCGTCGGTCGTATGACGACGGGGGGTATTCCTGCATGTTGTGGCCTTGGTTGGGGTCACCGCCAGCTTGATAAGCCATGTTGAGAGTTGTTCTCGGCGATAGCTACGAGGGGGATGGCGAAGGTGTGAAGTTCGGATATCCCGTCTCCAAGAAATGGAATGTAAGAACTCGTCCGAGTTTCTAGAGAAGAGACAACGTAATCAGCACATGGACACGCAACTTTGGATCGCGACGATGAGGGTGATATTCAGGGAGCACATACCGTCGGGTTGTTTATCGCTTGTTTACACAAAGACGCTGTCAGTCAAGAGGGGGTTACGAGAACAATATGACTGTCGCAGTAGTCTGAGTGACGTTTGTTGTGATGGGTGTAGATGCGGTGGTGGTAGTGGCGGTAGCGGTGGTGTTGTTGTTGATGTTGCTGGGAAGTGGTGAAAGGTTCGTTGGCAACGCCGAAAGGACTGGGAGTGACAGGCGAGTCGCGAACAATCGAACGGTCGAATAGTCGAGCAAAGAGAAGTCGAAGAAGGGAGTTTTGTGGAGCTGGATGAGGACGGAAAGAAAGGGTCAAAAAAAAAATAGGAGAGCACACAGCTTTATCGCTGCGGACACTACCTGCAGCTAACGGGAGTAAGTAATTCCTCCTTTTTCGATATCCACGTACCCAGTAGAAAGCGACGCAAGAGCCGCCCGCACGGGGTGTGCATTTCTAAATGGAGCATGCGGGCTGTCTTGATTATTCTGTTCTACTGTCGAGTTGCTACGGTATTGTATCAGAACGGAGAGTGAGTGGCGGGCCGTGTGCGAGGGCGAGGGCGAGGCGTGGGGACGAACGAATGGATTCATTCCCATCACGCGTGTGCGCCACGCTCATCACTGCCGCCTACAGAACGGTATGGAGTGTGAGCAGAGGGAATGTATGGCCATGCCCAACGTTTCTCGGAGCCCACCCTATCTACTGCCTCCCTCCCTCCCCCGCCTCCTCTGGCTGTGTTTGGTCTCCTCCAGTCAAGCTTCAGACACCCCTCACGAAGACTTTCGACCCTGGCGGCCATGGCTTCTCTGTGCTGGTGTGTGTCGGTGCGCTTCCGAGAGACCGGGTTGGCCGTCCTCATGCCACTACGGTAGTAGTACCGTAGTACTACCACCTCCTCCACCACCACCACCGCCTCCTCCACCTCCTCCACCTCCTCCTCCTCCACCACCCCTCCCCCCCCTCCCCCTCCTCTCCCACCGAACGTTCATGTGCCGCTGCCTGCTGTCTGACCTCCACTCGATCTGGCCCGAACGGGTTCGCTCGCTCGCGGAACTCCTGGAAATCGACTGCAGGGGCCCCCTCCGACATCTAACCGCTAAACCCATAGTCGCCCTCCTGGGCAACGTGCTCGTATTTGCGACCATCGCCGCACCACCCGACCAGATGAAACACTGCCCCTTCCCCTTGCCCCCCTCTCCAAGGGAAGGAGAGGAAGAAAGGAAGAAAGGAAGACGGTGCTTCTTCTCTGCCTTCGATCGAACTTGTGCTTGTTTCTTGTGCTTGACGCTTTTGGCTGCGCACCACACGAGAAGCATGAGAAGGGGGAAAAAAGAAAAGAAAAAGAAAAAAGAAAAAAATCGAAAGAAGGAAAACCGAACCCTGCAGGGCGAAATGCAGCAGTGCTGTGCAGTGCAATAGGCGCCAAGTCACACATGCGCTGCGGACTCTCTGCACTCTGTCGGTCGGCTCATGTACTCGGGTGTAAGGGTAAGTGCTGCCTCACCAGTTTTTCCCCCATACAGCTTAGCGTTTTCCGCCATACAACTTAGTCACAACCACTCACTCATTTCATTGTATCTGGCTTAGTGCACTCCTAATATAGACTAGTGCTTATAATTCGTCATGGTGGTGAGGCACCACTTATTGGCAGCTCTTGGTACTCGTACAGCTTTTCTCGGTGGACATGCAACGCACTTCGTGTAGAGTCCTCAGCCAGCCAACCAGCCAACCAGCAAGTCTGCCAGTCTGCCAGCGTCTACACGCCACTAGCTAACGTCCTGCCTACCCGCAGAATCGCAGGATCAACCCCAAAGACGGAATATACTTGGAAGTATTACCCCATCAAGGCGCAGTGGCTCACCAAAAAAAAAGATAATACATAGAAAGATAAAAGTGGCACGCTTCAACGCCGCTGCCTACCGGTATAGTAGGTAGCTGCCTCCCCGACTACCTCACTACCTATAGCTGCATACCGGCATGCCGGCTTCCCACTCAGCCTTACCGAAGGTACTTCCCATTGGCTGTCCCCCACTGCCAACCACTGCCAACCACTGCCAACCACTGCCAACGATACTATCATAGGCACCTATGTTGCAGATGGTTGTTGCAGATAGCTATTGCAGGTATTGCAGATATCCCCCGCAGGAAGCAGCCTGCTCACATCCGGTCAACCCCTCTCCTCGCAACCCACCGGCTGACTGACTTCGGGTACATACAAACCTTCTGGTCAGCTGGGCGCTGTGTATAGTATCTACCCTATCCACCCACGCGTGGTGGTAGTGGTGGTGGGTGGTGGTGGTGGTGGCTGTGGATCGCTTGGCTGATCGTGGGCTCCGCTGGGCTCCGCTGGGCCTCAGCGATGGGGATGTGGCATGGCATTCTGGCTCGTTTCGTAGGCTCCCACCACCGCCGCCGAGTCGTCCGTCGAGTTCTGCAGATACCCAGATACGCTTATGTACCTATGATAGTAGCGGAAGCCAAGCTGTCTTGGATGCTGATCTTCGGCTTCGCGATTCCACCTACTTACCTACCTAGTATCGGCACTTACTACATACTGGTGCCGACCCATCACCCGTAACGTAAAGAAGGTTCACCGGTCCGGTTCGGAGCTTTACGATACGGTCTTCAGCACGTGATGGCCCGTCCCGCTCGCTCGCACGCACGGACCATATGGGTACCTAACTATCTATATCGATCGCCATCATCCGCAACCGCAAGACTCGGTTCCGGTTCTGAGTGCGGTTCGGGATTATCTATGTGGATGTATCTGGGTATCTACACATCATGGATGCCCGTTTTCCCCAGCCAGCCCTGCCCAGCCCGTTATGTAAGTATGTCACTGCGGCCTGCGGCCGGTGGCAGGATCAGCCCACTGTTTACCACGAAGCAATGGCATGACCAAATATATCCCGCCAAAGGACTCGACGAGGATATATATACCCACCTACCCACCTACCCACCTCAGTACTTATTACTTAAGGTTATATATAAGTAAGACGTATAGGTATATGAAGTAAGTAACTACATCAGTGGACCGTGGCACAGTCACCGCGCCACAGTTGCCTGATTACAATTGTTCTATTCTGTTCATTCCCTCCTGCCATTTACACGCAAGTTGCAAGTTGCAACCCGTCACCGTTTCCGGTGAGGAAAGCAAAGCTTGGTATGTAAGATGTATGTGCCCACCTACCAGGCTGCCACCGCAGATACGGTAGAATACCGGTACGGTACCGGTGTGCTATCTTATCCGCGCTTACGCTTACGTGCGCTGTTAAAACCAACCCAAACCAAACCAAACCTGTCAAATCGATCCACCGACTCATCTTTTCCCTGATCGGTGTGAGGCTGCCTAGTACCTACCTCGCCTGTGTTGGTAGCCTGTGTTGGTAGCCTGTGTTGGTAGCCTGTGTGTGTGTGTGTGTGTGTAAGCACGGAAACGAAATGAAGCGAATCGGATGTGGTGGCAAGCCCACGCACACACGCAGGCTTGCAGGCTGGAAGCTTGGTTTTGATGTTGGTTTTGATGGTTGATGCAGGTCCGAAGTTTGGAGTATGGAGTTCAGCCGCACCGGTGGGAATGCAGCGCAGCGATGCAACATGCTCGATGCATGATACGAGTGAGATAGGTTTGCCTTTCCGGGTTTCTGCTGCGGAGTACCTAGGTATGTATGGAATGTCATTGAACGCTCGTCGAGATAGGTACAGTACAGCAGGAAGATGACCACCGTCAGCGAGTGAGATCCCATGCATGCGTGGTGTTTGGTGACTGTTCATACCCCATTTTGAAATTAATAGCTAGACCCTGGGGCCTAGAGTCCCAGGCAGTGGAGGCGGCGCTCAGTCCGACCGCCTCACTCTCCCTTCGACCGCATCGCCCCGTCGACCGCCGCCGCCAATCAGCGTAACGGTTGACAGGTGGGGGTTGACAAGGCGGTTGACAAGGGCGCAGGGCGCTTCAGCCTTCAGCCTTCGAGTAGACGCCCTAAAGCACTACACTCCTTGCCCTTGCCTATCGAGCAGGGGGAAGGGGAGGGGCGCACCGTCGCACGAGCAAGCACAGCCAATCGATGTTGAGTTTTGAGAAGTAGCATACGAGTAAAATGTTTCAGTGGATTGGTTTCGCGAAATACAGTGGACGACCAGCGGATGATCAGGTAGACATACCAGACATACTAGACATACGTACCACCAGCCAGACATGTCTACCAAACATATCAAGTACCAGACAGAAGGAGAAGCAGAATGCAGAAGGCAGAAGCAAGCAGAAGCAAGCAAGTATGAAAAATAAACAGGATTTCTCGAATCTTGAATCTCGAATCTCGAGCCTCGAGGCGTGCAAATATTATGATACCAATTACCAATATTACCAATATGACAAATGTGCAATTGCTTCAAGTGGCTTGATGAACTTTGAAGTGGCTTTTTCTTTTGAACGAGAATCGCAACCACCGAGTCCAGGCAGCGAGTGAGCCCATATGATGGGACCCACCGCCACTAACGTTTCACGCCGCAGGGCTGAAACGGATCTGAGAAACGGATCTGAAAAATTGTGAGAACTGGTGTGGTCTGGTGTGGCGTGATGCCGATGGTGCCGGAATTGAAGGCTGATCACTGGAGGAGTCGAGGAGTCGAGGGTGGCGGAATCCTTGCTGGGCTGCATGCATTTGCTGGCGCCTGGGGTCCTGGGTCCTACCTTGAGTATGCATTCGATTGCCGCCTGGAGGGCTTTTTTTGTTTCATCATCGTAGTATTCGACCTTATCAAATCATAGCTGTATACACACATCCAACTTCTCAGCCGTTGAGCTGGGCTTAGCGTGGACTGGACTGCGGGCGGACGGACGGGTGATTTCTGGTGCGGCAGCGTGGAGTAGGAGGCGGGAGGCGGGTGTTGGCCTCGAAGGCCGGGGCATGGGGCGTTATTCTTCTTTTTCTTCTTCTTCTTCTCTCGGACTGCGACAACGCAACTTCGCAGTTCGAGATCCGTGGCTGCGGGGATGGAATGCTACATTTCTTGAACGAACGGATACCATAGGTACTAGGTAGGTGCCCTTCTTCAGAGCCCCAACTGGTCCCAAGGCTGACCCGAAGGCTGAAGGCTGATGTGCCGTGGCTCTCGACTCCCTGAATCTCGCTCTACAGACACATCACTCGACTGATTCCATCATCACAACATTCCTACTACCGTAAGCCCGCAACGGACGGGAATTGGATGGCTGCGATTCAACCTCGGTAGCGGGATCTTCGAATCCCCTGCACTCAGATGCATAATGCGAACGAACGATAGCATAGTGCAGCCAGCGGAAGATATAGACATGGAGAAGACCAACTGACCGAGTGATCGTGGATCGTGCTCGGCCCTGCATACGTCTACGGCCCATGAACCTGCTAGATACTCGGCCCGATCACGCGCTTCAGCAGTAGATGATTTCGATGGGGGTGGACCCATGTTCTCGGCCCGAGCCTCGAATAAGTATACTATGTACCGTATCGACACCACAGGAGAACATGCGTTCCGCATCTGCTATGTGCCAATATCCGTGGGCGAGGGCGAGTGAGTAGTGAGAAGGAACCGGACCGAAATAGCGATGTGGCGGAGGACAGTTACCCAGCCCTTTGGAATTAGATTGGATCGAAGTACCTGGGTACATAATTGGAACCTGGAAGGGACTGGAAGGAAGGGAACACAGGTACCGGTGCCTACTTACCTACCTACAGTATAATTCTAAGTTCCGTGGATTTGCACTAGACTTGCACTTGCGCTTTGTATGCGTTTCTAAATCGTGGAAAAGTGCGTTTGGCCGAGGCGGAGGCGTGAAGGAATGCACATCCATAGTAGATACATTGGAGGCGGGAAAAAGTGTGTACTGCGTGATTCTTGGTGTCATGACGGACGTGTGTCGGTGTGCTGTCGTTGACTCTTTATGTTTGTAAAGAGTTTCAACTACCTACCTCTTCTATATAGTACTGGCAATGCCCATTACCGTCGGGTCAGGACAACGGACTTTACGCCTGTCACGACTCACCTATGAGTCCATGACGAACCGACGACTCGGATTTATAGTAGAGTATATAGATTAGAGTAGAGTATTTAAACTTCAAACACGTCTATCGAACGTCCACCATACATAGTACACAGTTTAGCGACTACATTAACAGTTAACCCCCATGGATAGCCGGATTTTACCGCGGCGACGGCGGCGGCGTTTATCCCCGTCCCCAGTGCCCACCATAGGGGAGGGGACCGTTCCCCTCAGACGCCCCATCCACCACCACGTGCACCACGTGCACTAGCGATCCAGTATCCAGCATCCACCGAGCAGTGAGCAGTGAACACCCCACTTTACTATACGCCCGCACTTGCACACTTCCACTTGCACTTTCAGACGGCGGCGGCCCCCCAAACCCCAGGCTCCCAGGCTCCAGCAGGCGTTCTCGTGGGCTCGAAGTATGCCTCCTCAATCCGCAGCGCTGACTGCTCAGTGCTCACTGGGAGTTCGGCACCCGTCAACACCTCTACCCACTCTAGGTAGGCAGGTAACAAGTAGTAACGCCGCCGGTCTACGCCGGTGTGGAGTACCTGATTACGCACGCACGCAACGCACCAGGGTCTCCCCGTCGTCGTCGCCGCGCAATCACCTCCGGACTAAACTAGTACATAGTTATCCAGGCGCTGCATAACAAGTGAAAGGACGCGTCGATGCTGGCTCGATGCTGGCTGGCGTGCAGACGCACAGTAAGCAGCTCGGCAGCGTGGCCTATGCACGTCACGTTACGGCCCCGATCTTCTCGCTACTCTAGGAACTCTAGAAAGAGAGACTGAGGGTTGGGTTGGGTGTTTCTTTGCCGGATCGTGATGCGATTGACCGAGTAGTTACCGGTACCGGTATGTATGTGTATATCGTCATATGTGTGCAGGTCAGCCCTATGTATCATAGGTATGTCATTCCTTCATTCAACTCTGCATAAGGATCTGTATGTAGACTGTACATAGATATCTCTTGGCTGGATGTCTGGAATTGCATTGCATTGTCTCGCACGAGTCACGCCCGCGGGAGCAAGCAAGAACGACGAACAAACCATAATCCATCATGAGAGCGAGAGCGAACCGAAAGAATCATGGGTGTGTGCCTACTCAGTACTGTGGGTTGAGACTCGAGACCCGAGAGGTAACCCGTAGGTCATAAATTCATAACCCATTACCCGAGTGCTAATTATAAGTCAACGGTGGATGGTACTATATGGTAGTAAGATAGAGTAACTAGAGGTGATCGAGATGGAGTGTCAACCGGAGAGCAGTGTCCGCGAGCGTCTAAGCTTCGTTTTCTTATCGTTGAGTATCTTGCCGAGCACGCACGCGGTGGGGGTTCGGGACTGCTTCGGGAGTTTATGTGCAACTGGGTGATGGAAAGATAAAGTACCTATACATGAGTATCCATACCGATATCTATACCGGTATCCTTCCTTATACCCCCATGATCCATCGGCACGAATGTCGGCGGTCAAGACATGATGCCTCCGTGATTTGACATGGTGATGGCTGTGGATGTGGATGTGAATATAGAGTGTGTATGTATGTCTGTAGCTGAAGGCACTATGGGAGCAATATATTAGACTTCCCGGTGAGCCAGTATGTACTTTTATATGTACACTGGTAGGTGATTATCAGGTGGTCAGTACAGTGGTCACTGGCACGTCGGCCTGAAACAACTGCCGGTCCCCGCCGAGCGCAGAGTATATATGCACATATGGGAAAGAAATGGGGCAGGCAGGTGCTTGCTCCCGGTCTGGTGGAACGGACGGACAGTGTAGTTAGAGTACATAGTGGCGAGATCAACACACCACCGGGGAGGCGATTTCTGGAGGCGAGAGTTGGTATTGACGATGGTTGGATCCTTCCGACCATCGATTCCAATTTTTCGAAGCGGTCGCTGGAACGACGCGAATGTGAAATCCGGGGAGGGGGACAATCCCCGGGAGCCTCTTGCCGTAGCTAAAGCACACATTCCAGACCCGAAAAAAGTCACCATGGTGCTTAAAATGGGTTGGCACCGTATGTGGAGTTCGAAGGGGTGAGTCTCGGATATATCGCGGTCCGCACTCCCGGGACCTGGACTGTACATAGACGTCGCTGTAGGCCGACTTGCCGAGCGACTCCGTGTGTATGATACCTGGCTACAGAAGGGGTGTGTTTCTGCTTCCTACCCCCGCGCTGGCTGTCCGCTCTGTGATTTGCCGATGACTGGAATTTGAAGTTCTCGGCGCAACTGTGAAGCACTCGGCCAGGACCCGGCGGGTCAGTTATCTGATCCATCTAATCGCACCACCTCATGGCTCAAGTCAAGGCTCAAGTCAAGGCTCATCTCCAATCCGTGGCGTCGGTCCTATTTGTGTCTCTCGTTCGCACCGGTAAGACAACGATCCGCTGCGATTGGAGAGATGCCGTTTAGTGAGCAACCTAGTGCTGCGCCCACCATGTGAGCAGAGTACTTACCGAGTCTGATGCAAGTACTGGTACATACATATGTCCCCACGGTATAGAGTGCCGTAGTCTCCAGCCAAGTGAGTAGCTACATGTGTAATCCCTCTAGCTGCAACTCTGCAACGGTGGGAAATCGAAAAGGGCAGCATATGTGGGGGGTGTGAGGAGTAAAGTGCATGCCCCGTTTCGACGCAACTGCAAATTGCCGTTAATTATCACGAATTCGCATGGCTGATGCCAGTCTGAGTGATATACCTCTGCTGGCCTTGTGGTGATTGCATGTACCCAAGTAGAGTAACAAGTACTCTACTTGCCTGTGTAGAATTGTGCCATAATATAGTATTATAGCTTGTGCCCACGGTCAGGACAGGAACGGAAGGGAGGTAAATTTGTGACCATATGTAGTGCCTATGCGGCGGCACAGCCCGGAGCTGCTGATCCAGGGCGGAGAGTTCTCGTTCTCATTGGCAGCCACATAGCAGGCAACAGGCTCAGGCACATCCTTCCTGCCTGTTCCTACCTTCCTCCCCACCACCACCGCCATAATCCCATCCTTCGTTCCTAGGCCTGACTGCCTGCCTGCCTCCCCCTCATCCACCATCGCTCACCAATACTGCACCCAACGCATTCCTCTCCACTCTCGTTCATTCCTCGAGCCTCTCCGCGACACGAGCCAGCCTTCCAGCCAGTCAGCCTTCTAACGCACGAGCATCATCTGCCCAGCGTGACGAATATCATCGAAAAACACCTCTTCGTTTCGGTGGATGGTCGTGGCCTTTCGTTGTTGTGGCCGCCCGCAGTGATTGTTGTATTGACTGGCGCCGACTCACCAGTCTCTCACTCATCGCCCGCTCACTCACTACTTGCCTAACTAAACGCATCATTAAACGCTGCAGTAACTGCAAAACACACGCTCGGGCCTGACACTGCCCGAACTTAACTCGACCCGACCGGACCCCCTTTCAGGTACGAGAGACAACCCCGACCCTGAACCCGTGAATTCCCTTGTTCACCTCCATCCCAAACACACACCCACCAACCCTCCATCTCCACCACCTCCACCACCACCAAAAGCCTTCTCTTCGTACATCGCGATCTCCCACCCAACGTCATTCTTTTGTCGCTCTTCTCTCCGTTTACTTGCTTCATACCAAAAAATTATATATTCGTATTCCGCTTAATCGGTCCGGAATCTCACGCTCATTAATTCTGTTTTTTGTCACTGTTCGCAGGTCGGACCCACTTTCTCTCGATCTCGAAAGAAAGCTCCCATACCCACCGCCGCCCGCGCCCATCCACCAGCCACCCAAAAACCCCCACCCTACGCTCGATCCAGTTGCCTGCTTGCCTACCCTACCCATTACGTCGTACACTACACGCGCCGTCGTCCGCATAGATATCTGTTCGCAACCTCAGCCGTCGCATCAGTCTTTGCCGTATCACAATCATGACGCGTTTCTCGGTGTGGTCGGCGACAACGGTGTTGTTGTTGATGTCGGCCCTGAGCTTCACGGTTGTGCATGGAGCCGTAGCGGCGGCAGGTCGGTGCCACTATCATGATCGACATCGTTAGCCATATGCTGAAAACCATGCAGGTCCGGGGCAACTCCCAGGTGCACTCATCTTCGCCCGTGAGAACTATGGATGCGCGCAGAACTGCCCCACGCCAGGCATTTGCAGCTGTGCGGACAACGAACGATGCGAACTCACCCAGCAGACTTGCGCCGACTGTCCGGAACTCATCTGCAAAGCGATCAAGTCGTCCTCGGGTGGTGTGTCGACGGGTGCCATCGCGGGTGCGTCGCTGGGGGGGATTGTGGTGGCTTCGATTCTGGCGTTCTTCGTGTGGAAGAGTTGCGTCAAGAAACGGACGCAGAGGATGTCGATGGCTGCGACGGCGGCGGAGAAGGAGAATGACTTTGGAATGCTTAAGAGCGCGAGGGTATTTACTGTCGTGGGTTGGCGGGGAAAGGACGACATTGCTAACGGTGTCGATGTAGGCGTCAACGCATACCATCGCATCGATCGCTTCCACCGTCCGCACGCGAGCGTCGAATGTCATCCAGATCGCATATATCCCCGGAGTGACGAATCGATCGGGTCCTTCGACGCCAGCGCATCTGGTACCGCCCGTTCCGCCGCTTCCCTACTCCGACTCGTCGCCCGTCGGCTCGCAGTTCCCGCACTCCCCCAACATGGATATCCAGTTCGCAGCCTCGGACCTCCTGCGTGGATCCATGTGCACTGTCGGTAATCGTTCTTCGATCGCTACTACCATCTACGGAGGAAGCGCCATCGTGTCGCAGCCCGCCATCATCCGTGCTGGCAAGGCTGCCGTGGTTACGGTGAACTCGAAGGGTGGCAGCAGTGCCGGCACCTCGAGCAACGGCTCGCCCACCGCCGGATCAACCGACGAAATCCCGCCCGTTCCCGCATTGTACGCCAATGCCACGGGTCCATCGACACGTGGTAACGGAGCGACTTCGGATCTGGATTCCATTCCACCCAGCCCTGCATTTTCGGTAGGATCAACATTCCTCAATCGCATGAAGACGAGTGAGTCGGAGAATACCGGATCCAAAGGCCCAGGACCCCAATTGAGAGCGATCCCCGGGCGCTCCCGTCTTGTCGAGAACCACAGCATTACCACTGAGATTGACTACGATTCGGATGATTCGTCTAACCTCGTTCCAGGACATCGTCGCACCGTCGTCGAGTCCAACTGTAGTTCGTGCGTTACGGACGACATTCAATCGCCTTTCTCGGACGTAAACTCGGTTGTGCTTCTTGACTCGACACCACCGTCATCAGGAGTTCGGGATAGTCGGAGGTTGTCGTCCGGGACCCTACTAACCCCCAGAGTCGTCGATCTATCACGACCCTCGGGTTCCATGAGTCCGTTCGATGACTCGCATTCGACCGACGGCAGCACCGTTGGACGGTAGTCTCTCTCTCTTCTGTCAATTCTTTCCTTTCTCACTCGCGTTTTTCCTCCGTCATCTGTTTTTCTGCAACGATATCTGGTGAATGAGGAAATGGGATCATGGAGTGCGCCTTTTACTTTTACTTTTACTTTTATTTTCTTTCGTTTCTAGTTTTTTGCTTTCCTTCTGTTTTTTATTTTATTTATCTGCAGTATCACATCACATGTATGCTGTTTCTTTTCGTTGCGTTCTCGGGAATGGGGCGGGTTGGGTTGGCTTGGTTGGTTGGGGGGGTATTTTGTGCTCTGCGCTCTTCTTCGTTTTTTTTTGATCTGGCACACCATTTCACACTTTGCAACCGTATCTTCTGTGCCATGGCCGTTTTTGGGGTTGTATTTTTTTTCGTTTCTTCTTCACCTTTTCCCTTTGTTTTGTTTGAGCTTTGAGCTTTGCGAGGATACCATGTTTTTGTTGGATGGGATCTGGTTTTGATGGGAGGTGAGGTGAGGAGTGGAGTGGAGAGGAGTGGAGAGGAGAGATGAGGAGAGAGGTGAGGTGGGGAGTGGAGAGATGGCAGGAGAGCAGACATGGAGCAGATTCTGCGGACGAACATTGTTCTGTAGCTGATCTGAAGATGTTCACATCGGACCCTGACTGCAAATGCGAGTGACTACGTGTGTATCGTCTATCGTAGGTATATCGTACATCAATCCCCCACCAATTCTCCCCCATCTCCAACCCAGCAAGCAAGCAAGTATCGTACATCCCCCACTTTCCTCCTACTCCACCCCCTCCCCCACCCCCGCACCCTGCCTCTCAAGCACCTCCCGCAACTCCTCGAAATCCCCTTCAAACGCGCCCTCCACGGGCGCCTTCCTGACCATCCACACATCCTCCGAACTCCTTCCCTTCTCCTTCCACCTCGCCGCCAAGGCAATATTCCTCTCCCTAACCATTTGCGCGGCGGCATCAGGCCCGCGCACCCGCGCCTTGAGACAGAACCGCCAGGCGGCACCCTTCTCGCTGCAGTCGCGCAGCCCGCCGTATCGGTACACGTTCAGGAACTGGGAGCCCAAAGAGTAGCAGTAGAATAGCTCGTCGAACGCGGTGACGCAATTGAGCTGGGTGGAGGGGGGGAGGGAGGTTTTGTCCAAAGCGGAGGTCGTGGCGGCGCTGGGGGTGGTGGGGAGGTCGGGGGGCGTGGAGGTTAGTTCTGCGAGGAGTGCGGCGAGTTCGGCGTCTGCTAGGGCTTCGCGCGATTGTTGTACCGGCGGTGGTGGGGGTGGTGGTGGTGCGGCGGCGGGAGGAGGGGTGGAGGCGGTGGGGGGAGGTGGGGGAGTGGCCTCCGGCGTCTGGGGTGGTGGCTTGCTCCAGAACATTGTGTTTCGTTTCGTGTTTCGTGGATGGGTTGGTTTGGTTGTTTGGCGGGGAAACGCGGGACTGGGCTGACCTTGGTGGTTACTCTACTCGAGTGCTCTACTTCCGGGTAACTACTAGTAAAGCACGATAACTGCTATCGAATCGATTCAGGAGTCACTCGGACAGGCAGGCAGGCAAGCAAAGAAATCCAGAAAACTCCATTGCTCCATCAAACCAAAAAAAAAATGCCGGTAGTCGTATGGATGCATGCATGCACAGATGGTAAAAAAGTAGAAAAGCAAGAAACGAAAAGCAAGAAACCGCCGAGAAAGGGCATCAATCTGTGCAAGCAAGCACGCAAGCAAGCAAGAAAACGGGGGACATCGCAACAAGTCGGTACAGTACCCGAGTTAGTACTGTTCGACAAACAGACTGTCACAAGCGTCAGTAACTAGCTGCCAAGGTGTATATATCAAACCACGGAAACACAGAACATACCTCAGTGACTCAAAAATGACCGGATTATCGGTCCAATGGTTCAAGAACCCGCCGCCCAGCAACCGGCGCAGATGTTGGACTCTGAGCAGTTTCCACCACTTATCGACCCTCAGCACGCCGGTCTTGTGCACGCGCACCGTCATCCTGCTCCCGCGCACCGCGCCGTCGCGATCCAGCGCCTCCGAGAATCTCGGGCCCTTGAGGGGATTATCGAGGGAGTGGGCGATATCTGCGAACGCCGACTTTTGCGACTTCTTGTCGCGCTTGGAGAGGTATCTTCTGGAGCCGGAGGAGAGGCGTGCTAGGGTTCCCTTGAGCGCCGTGACCTGCCCGTACGGCTGGTAGCGCTGCACCCATTTCAGCCCGGCCTCGTTCCTGTCGTCGAGCTCGTCCTCCTCCGCCTCGGTATACGACTTCTCATACAGCAGCGCGATGTTCTCGCCCGCGGCGACCTGCACGTTCACCTCGGAGCTGTCGAGCTGCTGCACCAGCGCCTCGATCGCCGCGTGCGTGATCTCCTCCGCGTCCTCAAGCTGCGTGCACAGGAACCCCCACTCCTCCAGCGCGGCGGTGACCACAGCCGCATCGTCGCCCGCACCGACATCATGGCCATCGCTCTCGACAATATCGAGGAAGAACGCCATGATGCCCTCGGTCTCGGCCGTCGTCGCGCCGCCGTAGAATGCCGCCGCGCCGAGATAGTGGATCAGCGCCGCCTTGAGCGGCAGCGAGGCGTGGTCCGTGATCACCGCCTTGAACGTCTGCGCCACGGCATCGTACACGTCCTCGCTGGGATCGGTGATGATGGTGAGACCCAGGGACTTCGCCGCGAGCAGCGACTCCCGCTCCGTGCGCCCGTTCTTAACGCTGCGCAGACAGCTGGAAACGATCTCCGACTTCTTGAAGAAGATCTGCTCCTTTGCGTACTTCCTTAGGAGAATAGCGATGTAAGCACTGAGCGCCTGCTCGCGCTCCTGATATCCGGTCTTCTTCCTTTCACAGATGCGATCCACGGCCTCCGCCAGCTCTTCCTCCCAATCCCTCTTCTCTACCCCAACCGTCAAAAACTCCTCACCCTCCCCATCATTCGCCAGCGACCCATAACTATTCTCGCGCGCCAACGTCAACTTCTTATCCTCTCTCTCATTCCCATCCCCTTTCTTTTTCCAATTCGCAGCGACGGTTACTAAAGGCAGTATTACCTGTAATTAGTACTATCACTCAGATCGCCCGCAACGCTGTCAAGCTCATCATCGGTGTTCACGCGGCTACCAATGCGGGAGTTGGCCCGCGACGCCTGTCGCGAGCTGGCGGCGCTCGATTGCCGAGAGCGCGCTTTGCGCGAAATCGTCTTCCCTGTGTTGACCCCTGGGACAGTCAGGGCTTTGCGGTGGAGCTCGGACATTTTAGGAGTGTTGGGCGTGGGGCGTGGTGGTGAGGGTGGTGCGTTGCTGGTGGTGTTATGCGTGGTGGTGGTGCGTTGCGATGTGTTTTGGCGGGGTCGTTGTTGTCGTTATTGTCTGGAGGGGTGGAGGGTGGAGGTGTGGGGAAGTGGGAAGGAAGGGGGTGGCGGATCAGATCAGATCAACTCCTGTCGTGGGCGGTTGAATGGCAGCTGTCAGACACTGGGGGCATATGAAGAAGGCAACTTTACTCCGAGCCCACACCTGTTCTACAGTAGTCGGAAGGTCTCCAGAGCTCATTCATCTTGACGTTGCGAGGGAGGGGAGCTCGTGATTACATATGACGTCAGGTACTTAACGAGCGAGGTCTTAAGCACACCTACTTATCTACCGTATGTAGCGGCAGACGATTCCCGCCGGTTTTCCTGGTCTGCTCTTATCTTACTCCGGTACGCGAACACACATGAGCTGAGATGAGATGAGGTCTCTTCTCGCTCTCTGAAACGTGCTGGATTATTTCTGACGATTTCGCTTCATTATCATGTCAAGATGACCCCTCTGTCTGGGCAGCGGGGCTCACGCAGCCACACACCCTGGCTGCCCCTGCCAGTGCCGAAGACAGACCAAACAATCACCCCGATCGCAAAGCTTCTGATAAGGCACAGCTCCTCATATGCTTCCATCTTACTCAGGGGAGCATTTTTCCATTAGTATATCGTCATACGCGAACGAATCTTTACCTTACTGGCCATAGGTACTATCTCCAACGGGTGAGTGCGGGGGCAAGAATGCGGGGTACGCCTACTACCGCCCCCACAGCATGTCACTCGAAGAGGTCACACGACCACTCCTCGGATGAAAAAAAAATACTATCGACAAACATGCACGGAAATTCTCATGTGTTATATACTTCTAGTAGTAGTATTTTGGTATATATAGCAGTAATGTGACAAACAAACGCCATCCCCTACCCATCCCTAGTTTTCTAAGCCTTAATCAGAGTCTTAAGCTTAGCCTCGACGGCGTCCATGTATCCCGAGGTGGTGACCCAGGCGGCACGGTCCGTCCGTCCCTGTGCCAGAGCCAAGTCCTTGGTCATGATGCCGTCGTTGACGGTGTCGATGCACGCCTGCTCGAGGGCCTCGGCGAACGTAATCAGTTCCGGGGTCTCGTCAAGCTTTCCACGCTGGATCAGTCCTCGGGTCCAGGCGAAGATCGAGGCGATGGGGTTGGTGGAGGTCTCGTTGCCCTTCTGGTGTTCACGCCAGTGGCGGGTGACGGTTCCGTGGGCTGGTTGTACGGGTTAGATTCTGGTCTGAGTGGAGGAATGGATGGTAAAAGAACTAACCGGCCTCGGACTCGAAGGTCTTTCCGTCAGGGGTGATCAGGACACTGGTCATCAGACCGAGCGACCCGAAACCCTGAGCAACGATGTCACTCTGAACATCACCATCGTAGTTCTTCATGGCGATGGCGTATCCACCCTCGCTCTTGAGCATGTAGGCGACCATGTCGTCGATGAGACGGTGCTCGTACCAGATCTTTTTGGCGTCAAACTGGGACTTGTAGGTGCTCTCGTAGATCTCCTGGAAGATGTCCTTGAAACGGCCGTCGTAGCGCTTCAGGATGGTGTTCTTGGTGGACATGTAGAGGGGGATCTCGCGGTCGAGAGCCATCTTGAACGAAGCGTGGGCGAAGCCGCGGATCGATTCGTCGGTGTTGTACATAGCCAGGGCGACACCGCCTCCAGAGTAGTCGAAAACCTTCATGCGCTCGGGCTCACCACCATCCTTGGGGGTGTAGACGAGCTCGACGGTACCGGGACCGGGGACAACGAAGTCGCGGGCCTTGTACTGGTCACCGTGGGCGTGACGGCCGATGGTGATGGGCTTCTTCCAGCCAGGGACGAGGCGGGGGATGGTGTCGATGACGATGGGCTCACGGAATACGGTTCCACCGAGGATATTTCGGATGGCTACGCACGGCGGGTCAGTTCATGTCCATCTTGAGAGGAGAGCATGTGGAGAAACGCACTTCCGTTAGGGCTCAGCCACATCTGCTTAAGGTTGAACTCCTTGACACGCGCCTCATCGGGGGTAATGGTGGCACACTTGACACCGACCGAGTATTTGAGGATGGCCTCAGCGGCATCGGTGGTGACTTTGTCGTCGGTCTGGTCACGGTACTCGAGTCCCTACACCATCTCCATTAGCAATTGACAACGACTGTTGCGGCAGAAGATCAGCATACCAGGTCGTAGTACTTGAGGTCGATATCCAGGTAACTGCAGCAGGTAAAGATTCGTTAGCCATCTTCCACGTGGTAATAGAGTGCGTCGCTGTATGCATCTCGACTTCGGGCCGAGGGAAGAGTTTCTTACGGATGGATGAACTGCACAGCACAAACAATCAGTTTCCCTGCATCCTCACCAACCACCAACCACCAACGACAGACACGACGAAACATACCTTCTGCTTGATAGAGTCCCAGATCACACGGGTCATCTCATCACCGTCCAACTCTATGACACCACGAAAACAACCGATCAGCGCCGGTTCACTTTCGGAACGAAATTCGCAGCTTGCAGCTCGGCCGGCCGGATGGAGGTGGGATTGACATACCGACGACGGGATTCTTGACCTTGATCTTCTGGACTGCAGTAACCGGTCAACACCACTTCACGTCACCTCCACTTCATCACCACCACCACCTCGACGAGCACCAACAGCGCCACCTCACCTCCACCACCACCACCACCAATACGGTATAACCAACCGGGGGTGGGGTGAGGTGAGGATGAACCGACGCACGGGAAGGGTGAATGGAACGACAAGGTAAGCAACTTACATTCTCTAGCCATTGTTGATGCGAAGCCTCGTGAAAAGATGAAGTTGTTTGTGCGGTAGGCTGATGACAATCTTGGGAACGTAGTAGTAGAGGTAGAGGTGGAGGTAGCAGAGACGACGCGAGAAAAGGTGTTGCCGCGAAAGAGGCACCTGCAAGATAAAGTGGGAACAGCCATCTGGACGACTTTTTTGGTTCCTGCCTGCTTCGGGAAATGGGGAATGACGGGGTTTGCGGCGGCGGAGGCGGGGACGGCTGGTTGGCTGACACAACACAACACACAACACAACGCACACAACAACAGCACGAGTATCGGGCGGAAGGTTTGCGAGTAGGGGGTGGGGAGGGGGGGTGTGGGAATTTCGCAGTCAACCTCGGGATGCGGATGGGCGGAAGAGAGGACTTGACAGTGGATAGCAGCGATATGCCACTGTCGAGCACAGACAAACAGGCAGGAACAGGAACAGGGCAGGGCAGACGGCACACGCTTGCGGCTTTGCGGCTTTGCGTGACAGGACCAGTCAACCGGCGGCTTTTGCCTGCTTACGCTGTGTTCCAATGAGGAAGCCGTGGCCAGTAGCCGTGGTGGGTAGTGGGTATTCTGTAGCCTGGAAGCAGTTGGTGGAAAAACAGTCTTGCCTTACACGAGAGGAGGGGTTGCTGGAGGGGTTTGGAGGGGTTGGAGATGCGATCCGAACTTTTTTCTCACTCCGTCGGAGGTGGAACGCGGGGTCGATCTTTTTAAGAGCCCAGCAAAAGCCGTGGGTGACATCAATGTTGCACAAAGCGCGGCGGCGACTGGCACGCGATGGCCACAGGTCGTCGTTCTTCGTCTGGATACACCATAGCTACGTCTCGACCTCAATCCAGCATTCTATTCACTGCCGCCTCCCGCCAAAGCTCCGAGATCTTCTCACGATAATTTTCCATCTGCAAGCGTCCACCGCCGTAAACTCCGGCAGCCACCAGCACCGATCGGCATCCATCAGCACCGTCCGTGTGGCACGAGAAAAAGCAAAACCCACCGCCAAGCCCGGTAGTCTATCGGAGATTCCGCACCAACCAACCTAGCCCGTCGACGAAATCGCTGTGTGACGATATGAGCGCGGGGGAGGAGGGCTTTACTGCTCAGAATGACCGCTCGCTCGAGCCGAAGTCTCTCTCGGTCGCCGAAACTTGAACTGCTTCATCCATCCACTTCCTACCCCACCTCCAACCAACCGACATCACATCACATCATCATCCCACCTCACCTCACCTCATCCCATCTCCATCTGTCCTGTCCCTGCAGCAAGCAAACAAACAAACGGATGTATCTAGAGTAGAGTACCGTAGTTAAACGCTCAAACGACGGTTTCTGCCTGATAACGGCTATCGTCTGGTCCGGCGGCTCGGGGTCGCAATTGATCCGGCTTCCGAACTGCGGGAGTTTCTCCGGCCGAGTTCTACCGACCGGTGTGTTACCTGCGGTTACCGAAGTTCCCCGCGCAAGCTGGGATGCTCTGCTCTAGACACCTACTCTATGGTCGACGAGGAAGAGGATGCGCAGGTGGGTAGGAGTTAGGAGGTAGAAGGTGGGCAGACACCCCACTATAGCATCGGTTTATCTCCTCCACCGTTTCCTCGAGCGTCGCGTTGCCTTGCGTTGCCTTGTGCCGATTTCGCGAAACTCTCCTCCTTCACCGCACCGTCGTCGTATCCGGAATCCGCGAACTCTCACCGCCTCGCCTACATACACCATATCTTCGATCCACCTCGTTTCGCATTGAGCTCTCGGAAAAAACTGGAAAACTGCGCCATCACTTCCACGAACGATGTTCTACCCGCACCCCACCTCAGCATCACAGCTCGAGCCATGATCACCGCGCTGCTTGCAAGTCCGACACGTCTACCTGAAGACCACGCCACTCCTTCGTGCCATCCATCTGGAACCGTCGGCCATAAGAGGACCACTACACTGTTCACTGAGCTATCCACTGAGCTGGGACGACATGGACGACATGGACGATACGAACAGGTACACAGATCGATTGTTGTCAGAGCTCGCGATCTCCTGTGATTCCCGCAGCTCTGGACGGTCCTCGTGATACTCGTGATACTCGGAGCACGCATACCACAAATACCAAACATTGTACCGAAGACGTGTCAGCCAGTGTCAGTGTCCAAGTTTGCTCTGTCAGCTTGTGGACCTGTGGGCTGAGTAGTTAAAATGCTGCTGTGCCGCTGATAGCTACTTTGTTCAAACGTGTTATCACTTCCACTTTCACTAGACAAATGTTACCGATACGTGTCGAGACTTGCTTGAGAGAGAGATACATTGTATTTGTTCAACGTGCTCCCCTTCCATCTCTATCAGCAGCAAACATGTCCTCGTGCCCTCCCACTTGTATGTTGAGATACAGCACACCCCTCCTTCCCTCCTCCCCCTCCCCTCCTCCACGTCCACACATCCCACCATTTTTCCATCCTACAAACCCAAACCCTCAAATCAAATACGCCGGTTGTTGAAAAAGACAGACAGACAGACACTAAAAAAAAAACCCACTCGAACCCCTAACCGATCGATCAAAATAAGCCCTCGATCTCGCCCGTCACTGGGTCAACATCGACGTTGAGGTATCCCGGGGCAGTAGGAAGACCAGGGATGGTCTGGATATCTGCCGCCTTGGCGTAGAGGTATCCGGCGCCGGGAGAGAGTCGCACGTCGCGGATGGGGACGGTGAAGCCGGTTGGCGCGCCCTTGAGGTTGGGGTCGTGCGAGAGCGAGTATTGCGTCTACCACATGTCAGTTCGAATTCAAGTTGGGGAGATTGGATGGATGGTTCTCTCTCACCTTGGCGATGCAGACAGGGAGATGTCCGAAGCCCTGGGCAGTGTAGGTCTCGATCTGGGACCTGGCGTTGTCGCTGAGCTCGATGCCGGCAGCGCCGTACATAACCTTGGCGATGGCCTCCATCTTGCCCTCGATGGACAAGTCGGCGTCGTAGAGGAGCTTGAAGTCCTTGGGGTGCTTGCAGGCCTCGATGACGCCCTTGGCGAGGTCGATAGCGCCCGCTCCTCCCTCAGCCCAGTGGTTGGCGGAGATGGCATCCTCAGCACCGGCCTTGATGGCCTCCTCGCGGATGCACTGGATCTCAGCGTCGGTGTCGGTCGAGAACTGGTTGACCGCCACGACGACGGGGACGCCGTAGAACTTGGCGTTCTGGATGTGCTTGGCCAGGTTGACACAGCCCTTGCGGAGCAGGTCGACGTTCTCAGTTCTGTATTCCTCGGGGAGCTGGGTACCGGCGGAAACCGGGGGTCCTCCTCCGTGGACCTTCAGAGCGCGGACGGTGGCCACGATCACAACACAGTCGGGGACGAGTCCGCTGGAACGGCACTTGATGTTGAAGAAACGCTCACCACCCATGGTGAAATCGAAGCCAGCTTCGGTAACGACGTAACCGGCCTTCTCATCGGCGTTCTCCTCAACCTCAGTACCGGCGAGCTTGAGAGCAATCTTGTCGGCCAGGACCGACGAGGCGCCGATACTGATGTTGGCGAAGGGGCCGGCGTGGACAAAGACCGGGGTTCCCTCCAAGGTCTGCATGATGTTAGGCTTGATGGCGTCCTTCATCAAGGCAGTCAACGCACCACCGGCGCCAATGTCGTCGCAGGTAATGGGGTCTCCCCGCTTGCCGGTACCAATGACCATGCGTCCGAGACGCTCACGCATATCCTCCAAGCTGTTGGACAGAGCCAGGACAGCCATGCACTCGCTAGCGACGGAGATGTCGAAACCAGTGACACGGGTGTGACCCTTCTCAGTGGGTGCCTGTCCGATTGTCACCTGCCGAAGGTGACGGTCGTTGACGTCCAGTACTCGTCGCCAGGTGATAGTCTCGGGGTCAATGTCCAGGCGGGCAAAGCGGTTGATCTCCTCATCGGTGAGGGTATCGGGGTCGGTCTTGTCAATTCCGAGCTTCTTCAGCCGGCGGAGCAGGACGGGGGCGAACGTGCGCACGCCGTTCTTCTTGGGCACCAATCGGCTGTAGAGGGCCTTGTCCTTCTGAGTAGCCTCGTGGAACAGCCTGGTGTCAATGGCAGCGGCGAGCAGATTGTTTGCGGCAGTGATGGCGTGGATATCACCGGTCAAATGCAAGTTGAACTCGTCCATAGGTATGACCTGACTGTAACCACCTCCGGCGGCACCACCCTTGATACCGAATGTTGGGCCCTGCGAGGGTTGTCGGACGTTTGCGAACGCAATCTTTCCGAGGTGGGCGCCGAGCGCTTGGGTGAGACCCATAGTGGTCGTAGACTTACCTTCTCCGAGAGGAGTGGGCGTAATACCAGCCACAAGCACGTACTTTCCGTCCTTCCTGTGCTCCAATCGCTTCAGAATATCAAGGTGGACCTTGGCCTTGTAGGCTCCAAACAGCTCCAACTCCTTCTCGGTGATGCCCAATTCCTGAGCAATGACCTTGATGTTCTTGGGGTGCTGGGCCCTGGAGATGGCAATATCGCTGGGAACCGGCGTCAGGCACTTGAGGGGAAGAGGCGTGATACTTCTGTGTGCGGTCGCCTCGTAGTGGCGGTTGGCAGATGCAATCACGTTCTCCAACAGCATAGCCACAGTCATCGGGCCAACTCCTCCAGGAACAGGCGTGATGAGCGATGCAACATTCTTGGCAGACTCGTAGTGGACGTCTCCGACCAAACGCTCTCCCGACTTGCGGGTCTCATCCTTGATGTAGTTAGTTCCAACATCAATGACCACGGCACCCGGCTTCAGCCAATCTCCCTGGACAAAGTGAGCCTTTCCAATCGCAGAAACCACGATATCGGCGGTCTTGACGATCTCGGGGAGGTTCTTGGTGCGCGAGTGGCACACGGTGACGGTAGCGTCGGCGTTCTTCAAGAGGTACGACACCGGCGATCCGACAATGTCGCTTCTTCCGATGACTACGGCAGTCTTTCCACTAGGGTCAACACCGGACTCCTCCAACAGGACCATCACACCCTTGGGCGTGCAAGGCGTGAACAGCGGCTTTCCACCACGCTTCGCAAGTTCTCCAATGTTGATCGCGCCGAAACCGTCGACATCCTTGGACTGGGCCACGGCAGCAGTGACGGCAGCCTCGGAGATGTGCTTTGGCAGAGGAAGCTGGACGAGGACACCATGGATGGAGGGGTCGGCGTTGATATCGTCGAGTTTCTCGAGGAGCTATGCACCGATCCATGTCAACCCACCCACTCGTCCGTAGCCTCGCATTACAGGGGCCTAAGGGCCTACCTGGGCCTCGGTAATGTCACCTGGCAGTTTGACGAGATCGCAGATGATATTGGCCTGTGCAACCGTCAGCACGGGTGAATCCGCTGAGGGACATCTCCACACAAACCTCCTCGGCAGCCTTCAACTTCATGCGCACATAGGTGCCTGAGCCACTCAGTCAGTACATTCTCGGTAGAACCTCTTTCCGCACCAGAACGGGTGCGTAAAAGAAGGCATCGTCGAGTGAAGGTTTAACATACTCGAGTCTGATCTGTCGCCAACTGTAACCAAACATATCAGCGATGTGCGCAAGACAGAGAAACCAGCAGAGAGCAGTCCGCACCTTGGATAATAGTCAATGACGGCTTGAATCTAGGATTGACCTTCTGCTTCTCCGCGATATCTTTGTTGATACGTTCGCGGATGCGCTTGGCAATGGCCGTTCCGTCAATCTTTTCGGCGACCATGGTTGTAGACGAGAAGGAACGAGACTGCTGAGAGCGGAGGAGCGAGCTGCCGGTACCAGACTGTCTTATAGGTGTAGTGGTAGCAGGAGCGATCGCCAGGGAAGAAAACGACCTCGGACCGTTGCGGATGATCGTTAAGATGGCGGGGCAGGTGCCACTGGTGCGATAGGGTGACGACCGGTGAACGGGCAGCAAATGAGGGGCAGCCGCAGACAAATTTCGGGCAGAGACAGCGCCAGATGCGCAGCACGACCAGGACGCAAGGCGGCGGGGAGACGCACGCCGGATGCGTTTAGAGCCAGCTAATAGGATTTGCATACACAACGATTGGGTGGGTTACTTTAAGGGCAAGTTTCGTTCCGTAACAGGAAGGATTGCGGGGGGGTGTGATTTAAAAAAACCAATAAAATTCGGAGGCGATAAAGCACGCCAGCCAAGATGGACGAATCGAGTATATCTGATCGGAATCGAGTCTCGGTGACGTTGAAGACTGCGGTGCCGTGTACGAGGTGGGACGGATGATTGATCGTAGGTAGCGTAGATGGGCCTTCTCTTCTGCTGTGGGCAAAAAAAAATGTTGCAAGTGAGGAGATGTGTGATACTGGACACAGACGGCTGCTGCGGAGAATTTGCAGAAAAAACTCTTTCAAACGATGGGGTTGTGACTACGGCCGGTATTTAGTACCAATTGCAAGTGCTAAAACCGCCCGGAATAACCCCACATCCCCCCACCAAAGCCCTTTGGCGACGAATAGGACACGATTCGATAGTCCTCGTTTGGACTCATCGATCCCTTCGTTGCTGCAGGTACTGCCTAAATTCCACGTACATTTGGGCCAGGAGTACGTGGACCGTGGATCCGTGGGGCAAAGCCGGGATATAAAAAAATCCGAAGTTTGAGTCCAAGCGGCTCTTGTCGTGGACTAATGGCCGCCGAGCGGTCCCCCATGGCCGCGAACTTAATTCGAGGGCTAGAACGGCCGGGCGACAGGAACACGGGGAACTCTTGAGAGATCTACCATAGCAACAGCCCTGTATGCGGTGTCCATGCTGGACACGGGTGCGAGCCGGTACCCTCTGACTTGGAGGCACGCGTGCCCGTGGATATATATGGGTCCATCGTTCGTTTCGTGTATATATACTTCGATCGTTTCATCCCTTCTTCCTCCTCTCCACCAAGTGCAGTTCGTCCATGACTAAAAATTTACAGTTCACGACTGTGGCTTAGGTAACCGCCTGCCGCGGCCCCAACGGCCCGGTGGGGTAGGATCGGAAGGCCCGAGCAAGACGAGTGACGTGCAATGATATGCTATGGAATCCGTCAATCTCGCGAGTCACGACTGGCTCGCGCGCTCAGTCGTATACAAGAAACAGGACATTTCGCTTAGTATCTGCCCCAGATAGTGACAACACCCTCATACTTAGTCATATCAACGCCCCTGGCCCACAGATCAGGGTGGAGACAACATAACCTCTTTCTTCTGATAGCAGCGCATCACTGAATATGACATTTGCTGAGGGTGCAGTCCGACGAAATTATGAAGAAAATAGCAGGTATAATCCGAATTATGCTTCTCGCCGTTTGAATGGATCGGATGTCGATACCACATTCTCCATGGCTCATCATCGAATTCCTCATGACACCTCCTCCCAGCCATACAAAGCCATTTCCCCCCAAAACGTGAATCAACCCATAGTACCTACAAGGTGCAGCTACTAGCGTCAGGAGATGAGGGGGAGCTTGGATGCCGATCAACAACGGCATCCAAGACTACAAGCAAGCACTGTAGAAAAATCCCCACCTCGCGTAACCACTATACCTCTATCTCCAGCTGTAAGGACCTCCGCCAGACACTCTCCGCCAGCTCTGCTAACGAACATGCGCAGCCCCATCGTCCTCGTCTTCGTCTTCGTAGCCATGGCCCACGCTACTCCCCGCCTCAACATAACCAGCGTCCCCGGCTTCTTCGCGCAAGACCTGCCGGAGACGGACCCGTTCCTGTTCACGCACGAAAAAAGCAACTTCGGGCTTCTCGACAGCTTCAATATGGACCTGTTTCCCGCGACGCCGTCGATAATCGGGCTCGAGCTGGTGTACGGCACGCCGTGGGACCGGTTTAAGGACGCAATTACGGCGCTGAACCTCGATGCGCCCGAGGGCACGAGTTATCGCGTGCTGTTTCTAGCCAGACATGGGCAGGGGCATCATAATGTTGCTGGTATGTTTGGGGGGACGGGAGGATCGCTGTGGGGGTGCTGATATCTGACGGTGGACAGAGGCATCTTTTGGGAAGGCGAGCTGGTAGTGGGTCCTCCACCGCTTGCTGGGCGCTTCTTGCTGACTGGGTGGCCACGGTAGGGAGGAGCATTGGGCAAGGCAGGATGGAGATGGGAACGTTGTATGGGTATGTGGTTACATGATGCGAAACCCGTGATGCGCTGTTCGGGTTGACTGATGAAGGGGGGGTAGTTCGATTCGGAGCTCACAGAAGTCGGGATTCAAGAGGCACGGTATGCCAATGCTGCATGGAAGCTGCAATTGGCGAATGGGGCGCCGCTGCCGCAGTCGTTTTATTCTTCCCCTTTGCAGTAAGTTTCCGCGGTTGGGGGGGTGAGTGCTCTGTGGGAGGTAGCTAAAGGAAGAACAGACGTGCTTGCAGGACCCTGGAGATAACGTGGGGAGATATAGTATTGGACAAAGATGATATCCCCAAGCCATTGATCAGAGAAGTCAGTCTCGCCTCCCTCGTCCCCTCCCAGCGCATCTAACGGACAGCCCAGAAACTCCGCGAGACCCTCGGAATTCACACCTGCGACCGCCGACACAGCCGATCCGCCATCGCCGCGAAGTTCCCGTCCTTCCGTATCGAAGAGGGCTTCACTGAGAACGATGAGCTCTTCAATCCCCGCGTGCGCGAGACGAACGAGGAGCGACGGGCACGTTTGGCATTGGCTCTCGAGGAGATATTTTCGACCGACGAGAGCATCTACATTACGATCAGTGCACATAGCGCGGCGATCATGTCCATCCTATCGGCGCTGGGACACAGAACTTTTGAACTGAAGACGGGCGGAATCTTGCCGGTTGTTGTCAAGGTTACAACGGAGCAGAACATATAGTAGAATAGTGTTTGGACTGATGGGGTAAAGGAACCGATGTAATCAAAGGTTCGAGCTTCAACGATACCCGGAGTCAATTAACGATTGCGAAATCCCATGCTTCAAAATATTGTTGAAACAAAATATCGCTCACACTTCAATCGCTGTGCAAACCCAACATGAGGCGGAGCCGCAAGGAATTGGAATGCAGTGGAAGCCGATCGATGACGGATGGCTTAGACGCTTACTGTGTCTAGTTGCGTGTGCGGGTGAGTCTTGTTGAGTTGATGGTTGCCAAGCCATGGCGACTTTTAACATGTAGCTGGTCCTTCAGCTTCAAAAGCCGCCTCTCTTGACTTGCCACAACACCACATCCTCCCGCACACTACCTCACACTACTCCACAGCTTCTCGATCCCCCACTACCCACCCTAACATCACGACTACCACCCAACATCAAAACTCACTACCCCCCATCCATACCAACCATGTCTGAAGAGTGGGACTCCGTTACCAAGATCGGCAAGAACGTTCGCGGCGGTGGAACCCGTACCACGGTAGCCCGTACACAGTCGGAGATCAACGCCGCCCGCCGCATGGGCGCCGTCGTCGGCACCGAGAAGAAGGTACAATACATTTATATCTCGCTCTTCCACCCCACACTTCCACCTCGCGCTAACACCATCCTCGCACAGTACGCAACCGGCAACCAGATCCAAGCGCCAGACGGGCAGCGGTTGACGAAGGTGGACCGCGAGAACGAGGTTGCGCCGCCGAAGAAGATTGATGCGGACGTGGGCAAGGCGATGAGCAAGGCGCGCCAGGACAAGGTTCCGCCCATGACACAGAAGGACCTCGCCACCAAGGTCAACGAGAAGCCGAGCGTCATCAACGATTACGAGAGCGGCCGCGCAGTCCCCAACCAGCAGGTCCTGTCGAAGCTCGAGAGGGCCCTCGGCGTTAAGCTGCGTGGAAAGGGTGAGTCCACTGACCCGTCCCCGACCCGATTTGTGTTGTTGCGAGGGCGTGGATACTGACTCGTGGTTGTGGTAAAACAGACATCGGCACCGCGCTCGGCGGCCCCAAGAAGAAGTAGTGAGGGGTAGACGGTCCGACAATGAAACGTCTTCTCGCTCCGATTCTTCACTGTCCGCAACCAACCAACTTCTTTTGTTTTCTAGCGCCTTTTCTCTTTTTTTCTTTTCTGGGTTTGTGTTGTCTTTGTTTTTCCGGGATTTCCTTTGTAGAACAAGGAATACGCTCAACTAGGGATGGATGGGGTTTGGGTTTTATGGCAGCGCTCTTTCTTGTGACAAAGGGACGGTGCGGACGGCATGAGGTAGTGCGGGAGGGGGAGGACCTGATGTACTCACCTACCTGTAGTTGTGTCTTCTTCTTTCTTACGCTGGAAGCGCCGTGGGAATTGTAGATGATGAGATGACTTCAGAATTATGATCACTCGTAGATTGTGCGGTCCGTTGAGTAGACTAGACTACGTGAGACAGCGTAGACCGTAACCGACGGAGGATCCTCCACAGTCACCCATAGGACATCACTCGTCGCTGTCATTTTCGCTGTCATCTTTGGCCATTACTTTCGCCGTTATCTTCACCTGCACCTTCACCACTGTGGACAGAATCCAGCGAAAGAGTATGTACGGCATCACAGTCATCCATAGGCTAAATACGAGTATCTACGATGGAAACAAACAAAACATTGCACCTTCCCTTTCCCCAGAGTCTTCACCTTCACCCGCATTTTCACATTTACTTTCACTTTCACTGTCACATCGTACAGACAAAGGCATACCTAATCATCTGATTCCCACCGTCCACCGCCCACCGTCCACCGCCCACCATCCATCGCCTCTTCCTCATCCTCATCCTCACTCCCATCACCCAAGCAAGCAAGTAAACAAGACTCCCATAGAAATACGTTAAGATACTACCCTAAAAACCTAAAACAATAGATCACATCACATCACGGCACACATCACAGACATGAAAAACCAGCGCACGCTCCCCCTCCGCCGCTCATTCATATATCATCTCAAGTCGTCATATATCCCATCCCATCCCATCCCTCCCTCCCCCGTGAACAAAACCGCCCCCAACTGAACCGCACCGAACCAGATTTCCCGAAAGATGGAAAAAAAGAATGCAAGGCCACATGATGGTATCATGGCAACAACACAACACAACACAACACACACACACAACACACGCAACACACGCAACACACGCAACACACTCACAACACACGTACAACATGAACTCGCTTGTTTCATACCAGACAAACCAACCAAACCCGCTTGAACATTACTGGAAAAGAAAAAGAGAAAAAAAAAGATGAAAAAAAAAAAGGAAAATGAAACAAAATGAAAAATCCAAAAGAAAAAACAGACAGACATTACGGCAAGATGGGGGGTCATAATATAGAAGACGTAGGTAGAAGAAAAAAAGAAAGAAAAGCTTTTTTTCAGTGGTACCCTCCTCCATAGTTCTCGTATTCAGCTCCATTCACAAAAGTGTCTGGAAAAAAGAAAGAAAAAATCAGCGTCGTTCGTTGCTACCGAACCAAGTTCCGGGCGTAGGAGGTGTGTACGCACCATTCGACGTCTGCGAAATGTGATTTCCACGACGTTTCGAGTTCTCCTTGTTGCTAGCACTGGAGAGAGGTCGAGGCCCCGTCAATCTGGAGGCCGTCGAGGGGGTTCGTCCTGAGATGGAGGGCTGTGTGACTGATTGTCAGTAAATGCAAACAAGCATACAAGGTGGGAGGAAGGGAGGGAACGTACTCCGTCGGTTCCGTCGAGGAACTCTCTTGACTTCTTCTTTTGCTCCTTTCTCTCCTTACGTCTCTTCTGTTCTTCCTCGGACCTCTCCTTCTTCGGCTTCCTGATCTTGTTGCCGTTCTCATCCAACTCCCTGTGCTTCTTGCGTCTCCGAGTTGTGCTGCTGTCACCATCATGGCTCTCATCCTCAGTGACCTTGAGTGGCCGGGGAGGAGCATTGCTTGCGTTCATCTGGGCCTGGTGCTGGGCGTACGCATCCTGGGCCAGGGGCGAGAGCAACTTGCCGTTCTGGAAACCACCTGGGCCAAGCGGCGGGAAGGTGCCGAGGCTCGACACGGATGCATTCTGGGGGGTGCCCGGGAGGTACCCGCCACCCTCAGCAGTAAGCTGCTGTGCCTGCTGCTCCAACTGATGGTTGTAAGTCACACGAGGCCGGGGGTGCTGGATGTCGAGCGAGATTCTGTTCGACTGATTAATCGGAGCATCGGTACCGCGTGATGAAGGGGGCACCAACGGTGACCCAATCTCCCTCTCCGTCCGTTGACCATCAGAGTCAAAAGGCGACTGATGGTTCTGAACTCCCTGACCCTTTGCCGCATCCGTCTCCCAAAAGTTGAAGTCTGGCTGTGACCGCGATGCATCCGAGCCATCTTGGTTGTTCTTGCCCTTAAACATCTTGGCCAAGCCCGTGGACGTCGTGGTCTCTGACCAACGAGACAGTCTCGGGAAGAGCGAAGAAGATCCCGACTCCCGCTTAGGCTTCTCGGATGACTTTGGAGGGGTGTTTCCAAGACTAGCACTGGCAGCCGGCATCTTGGGATGCGTGGGGCTATCCAGAGGCAGAGAGTCGGCTCGGTTCTCTCTTGGCAGAATAATAGCGTCTTCTTGAATTGGCGAGATGCGGGCACCTTGATGCTGGTCTAGGAGTTTTCCACTAGGCTGCCGAGATGGACCCGCGCTATGGTAGCCAGAATTTCCGACCGAGTTAACGGCTGCTTGAGCGGCCACCTCGTTCGTGTCGTGGACCATGCGCATTTGATCGATGGTGCCCATGCTCTGGCTCTGCACTTGGCTCTGCTGGTAAAACTGCTGCCCGTCCTTAAGGCCCTCAACTTCTCCGAGAAGTTTGCAAAGCCTGGAATAGCAGTCAGTCATCATCCTTCCTCCAGATAACAGGGAACTGCTATCGCTCGACTCACATTTCCTCGATCCTCTCCAAATCCTTCGAGCTTCCCATGCTTAGCCCCTTCAGAGCTCTCTTAAACACACTGGCCCTCTTGCGACCTTCGTCCTCTACATCTTCATCGGACTTGGAGTAGCGCGGTCGACGAGGAGTAGCCGGAGGCAGCGGTCGGGGACCCTGGAGAAGCTTCTGCACGCTGCGCTCGGTGTTGTGGTCGACGTCACTGACGATGCCTTGTCGTTGATCCGCTAGGGCTTTCTTCATGTCCTCGAAGGAGTTACGCATCTCCGCCGCGCTCCGTACCAATGTAACCAAGATCTCCGTGTCGCGGGCATTTCGTTGGGCGTCGCGGACGGTGAGCTGTGATGAGAAAAAGATTAGCAACTACGGTCGGTAAGAAACACGAGAGGAAAGAAAGGAGAAAAGATCGTACGTGTTCCATCAAAGCGACAATATCCTTCGACTCGATTCTGTCGAGACCTCGTCCTGTCGAGCTATCGTAAAGCGGTGACGGCATGCCGTGAGAATTTCCACTCCCGATTCTGTTGCGAGGGTGGCTGTGATAGAACTCTGACTCAAGCATATCGTCGATGACCCCCATACCGGTATCGCCACGCATGCCATGGATAGGCGTCGCAGTTCCGGGCGAGCCAATTGGATTCGCTGCCGAGATATACCCTTCGTCTTTACCCATATGAGGGCTGGCGAAACGCGAGTTCGACACGGGGCTGTGGCCATCCATATTGACGTTCAAGCCCCGGTCGGCGCCGACGCCGAAATCGTTGGCAGCCATCTCCCAGCTTGTAGTGTGGTGTCCGATCGGCCCCTGAATTATTGAAGGATTTGTGCTGATTTCGTCGTTGTCGTCATCGAGTAAATGCTGACCGAGTTCCGGCATCGGGTCGTCGGGTGAGGGCATTGCGTTCGCCCCAAATTGTGGTCGACTGCTGGGTCGGTTGAAAGAAAGGGCTGAGCCGACGTTGGAAGGATCAAGTACGGAAGCAACAGCTGAACGTGCAAGGTTTGGGGTGGAGCGCATGGATGGGTTGGCGCCGAGATCAAATACCTGGTGGCCGGTGTCCACCTCTTTTTCAAGGCGCCTGTCCTCAAAGTTGTTGCCCGTTGCCGTAGAAACGTGGTGCACAGCCAGACTCATATCCTGGAAGCTGCCGGGGTTTAATAGCGCTTGTTCCTGTTGGCGTTCGCGTTGCTCGGCAAAAAATAGATTCACCGCCTTGACTTGCGATGATTGGGAGACATCGTCGCCCTCACGAATTTCCGACAACTCGTCAATGTCCCGTCTGCTGCGTCTTCGTCGGCCTTTTTCTTTCCTCTCTTTTGCGAGTATTGAGGTAGCCGCCACGCTCATATCTTGCAGTGAAACCTCTGAGGGACCACCGGTCGTATGCGCGCCATCTCTCGAGGAAATTACACTCACGTCATCATCGTGGTGATCGACTTCGGTCTCGAGGTTCAAGCTTGCGATGCTAGGGGCGGCTCCGATACCGGTTCCTGTAGTGAGATAGGTCTGCCCAGCAGCCGAGCGATCCGAAAGGAGCGACGAAGCGCCACCAATTTCTGAGCCGCCCAAGTTCAGCTCGCTCAGCTCAGGAAATAGCTCTGATTTTGGTGCACCAGGGGGTGGGGTCATTCCACTGCTTGGCATCCCGCCTGGGTAGGCAGGGTAAGGCAGCCCCGTGTTCGCGGTGAGGATCGAAGCCCGAGTTTCGGCGTAAGTCCCAGGAGTGTCTGACCGGAATGGAATATCGGGCATCTGGACATGGTTATCGCCGAGCGGCATCGCACCCAACAAAGACACGCCCTCTCCAGATTCGGAATGAAGGGGCGAGTGCGGCAGGCCGAAGCCGGGCGCTCGGTGGTTCAAAGTATCCTGCTCCAACTGCGATTAGAACGAGCACAAATTTGAACGGACAACGCTTATACCTCTGTGGCCGTGGACCCCTTCCTGTCGCCACCGATCACCATTCCCATTCCGTTGCTCTCGACTGGCGACAGCACAACCACCGGCTTCCCTGCCACATCAGGCATGCTCGAGGCTCTTCCAGGACCCTTGATGGAGAGACTGCGTGTTACACTTTCGGCATGTTGCAACTCGATCACCTTCTGCTGTTTGGCTTTCTCGATTTCGGGCAAGAGTAATTCCTTGATGGTGTCTCGAATCAGTCCCCTGATTGCCGGATCGCTGGACCTAATGCTGGAAAGTGTAGAGAGATCGTCGCCTTCTATCTGAGCGGTCTTGCGGCGGGCCCTAGCAGCAATCTCTTCCGGGGTCCTGTTAGGGCTTCGGCTCCGGCTTCGGTTGCGAGGAGGCTTGAGGCCGTCGTTATCGTAGCCTTTCGTGCGGCTCTGGCTCCTGTTTTTCCGTGACGACTTGGGGTCATTCACCTTACTGAGCTCATCCCTAACCGCCTGTTCTATCCTCTCCCTCTGACTCTGTGACACTCCGATACGTTCCTTGCTCAAACTCCTACTCCTCCTCCGTCCGAGCGTTCCACCCCTCAAACCAGGCTCCTGAAGGATGTTGCTCTCCCGACTGACACTCCGACTCCGTTGCTTCGTACTGCCCTTCAGGTTTTCCTCAAAGTATGAATCGCCGCCATTGTTCCGTGCTTGCGATCGACGTCGCCGTCGACGCTCGTTGTAGTCGGCGTCCATGAAAGAGCCCGGACTGCCTTCGCCACCGCGCTCGCGGATGAACGTCACATTTACCGGAGCTTGACCGCCATTAGATTCGTCTCCGCCGGAAGTGATGGACGACAGGGTCGAGTGGTCGCCGGAGTAGGAGCGCGAACGGCCGGTCTGTCCTAGGGTCAGTCTGTCCTGTCCCGAGTGCGGCGACGAGAGCTGTATCCTGTGGACGTGAGTAGGTCGTCGTCCGTTCTTGTCACTACCGATCTCGGATATTTCGACCGAGCCACCGTCCGCCGATTGATTGACGCGATGGCGCCGCGCAGCCGAAGGAGTGACCTTAACCCTAACACTCGGTTGGCGCGCGGAGCCGGAGCTGGACGCAGCTTTGCCGCTCTCGAAGTACTCGATCAGAAGCGAAGCGTTGGTTCCATGGCTGAGCACACTGTTGGCATCCTGCGACTCCCTCTTCTTCCTCCTGCGTTCGGTGTGTATGGTGACCTCGCGCCCGTCATCGGGAATGGAGTAGCTGGTGCGATCCGTCACCTTGGAAAGATCCGTGAAGCTTCGCTCCGAACCGAGCATCGAGGGCTGTGGTGCCATGACTTGCTCGAGTCGAACAGACGGTAATCAAGTGTGCGGAACACACCGACAAGGCGAAACCAATCCGTGGGCACCGATCACCTGTCGGAGGGGTAAATGATACGGGGTCTGCTCGCTGGAGTCGCAAGTTTAGTTTTTTTCTTTCTATCCCGCTTTGGTTGCGGCAAGTTGTATGTTTGTGTACGGAGCGGAAGATGGGGCGAGAGGACGGGCCGCGCAGAGTGATGATATGTCTCGTTCGATATCGCGGGGTGTTTTTCTAGCGTATGGGCGCGATGGAGCGAAATGCGATATGAGAAGGCAGCAGGCGTGGAAAGAAGATGGGGCCGGGGAAGAGCGCAAACGAGCGAAGGCGATTCGAGGTGTGGGAGAGGGGGGGGTGGTGGTGTGGAAAGACTGCGTTGGTCGCTATTCGATATGGGATGGTCGCAACGGGAAAGGTGGTGGAAAGAGAGGGTGTGCACGGATGAGTTGGTTGGTCAGTGGGGCTGGGTAAGTGAGTACGACGTAGAGGATTGATTGCGGGTGTGTGAGTGAGGTGTTTGCCTACTGGACAGGATTGTAGCGTGAGTGAGTGGGCGAGTGAGTGTTTGTTTATTTACGGAGGGAAGGAAGAGAGGGCGATGCCGGGAGGGCAAGATGGAGGAAGGAAGGAAAAGCAGGAAGGAGAATTTGACCGTGGAGAATGTACCTACGGCACTCTAGAGGACATACCTACTACTATGATATAATAGACTCCAGCTGTTCTCAGTGCTCACTTCCACGTAGAGTACTAGCAGTACGTACCGAGCACGCATAGAGTATGTGCAGGCACTTTTATTGGGGAATCGGGAATAAGAGCAAAAATGATAAGCACTTGAGGACGTGTGCAGAGGTGTCTAGTACGATTATCGTCTGTCTGGAACCTACTTTGCTGGCTGTAGATGCTGTATGTAGCTGTAGCGGGTAGGGGGGGCTGAAGCGGCGATGGATTTGCGGCGATGCGGGCAAGCGGGAAAGGTACGCCCAGGCACGAGTAGTTACCGGTATGTACAATACAAGCAGGTACAGGTACCCTACCGGAGATGCCTCAACAACTCAAACAACTGCACGACACAGCTGAGAGAGGTGGGGCAGGATAGACAGAGGGATGGGAGGGATGTAGACTCTAGAGGACCGGTATGTAGAGTACTCTACTCCCGAGGTGGCGAAGGGAGAGGGGAAAATTGAATTTGCGCTGAGAGCTATCGGTACTTTTGCATCTGACGCAGGCAGACGCCAGATGTAGGAGGTGGCGGTGACAGTGGGGGGAGGGGGGTGGTGCTGGTGAATGTGGGAGCAGTAAAATTCGGGAGGCCGGGGGGTAACGAATACAAGGAGGCGCGCAACAGAACATAAAACAGACTGAACCGATCGCGAGACGAAACGCATGGCTTTACATAGACAGGCCTTGATAATTAGCATCATCGCCAGCGATATCATCATCGCAAGTTTGCAGAGAGTAGAAACCTGGTCATGCGGAGTAGAGATCTTCCGCAACGTCGACTAACCACAGCCGCACCTCAGTAGGCCTGAGACAGCCGGTGGCCGTGTTTGTTGTTGTTGTTATTGTTGCGGTCGAATCGGCTTTCCTGTCGCAGTTACACACGCTTAATCGTTGCAATTGCATATAATATCACTCGAAGAGGTTAAATACAGCTAGACTGGCGGATATCTCACATATCAGGCAACGGCCACTGCATAGATTCTCGCTCGGCAGTTAGACGACGATTAGACGATTGGACGATTAGACGAACACCACACTACACCGTCGAATGTCCAAGTCCACTTCGCATTGTACCTTACCTTGAGATCATTGTTGACCTAGCCCGGTCTTTTCTAAAAATCGAATGCCCTTTTGGTGCATCCCACACTTCTTCGCCGCTGGTCGTCGTTTGCAATACCCGTCAAGCAAAAAAAAAAAAACGCCAGGCCCGAATTCTTTACTGAGATGTTGCAACGGTCCACGGACTTTCGTGCACATCATATAAAATATGCATATATGTAATCTATGTCACTCTGGAAACCCTGGAAACCATGGACCCGGGTAGCTTCACGATCCCAGATCTCAGATCTCTCCAGATACGTCCATAGGTGTCTGCATCGGTTAATATGCATTGCAAACAGCTGTCAAATGCTGTTTGGGGTCGTCCTGAACGGGACAGGTCCGTACTTTCACGATCCATTGAGTTTAGAGTCACTGCTCCTGCTTTGAGCACGACTAATCCCGTAGAAATGTCTATCGTCCCTTCTTCTGATCCGCCTTCTCTCGTTCGTCCGTCCCTCCTTCTCTTGTCCGTCCATCCTTCTCTCATCGGGCCGTCCATCCTTCCTTCTCTTGTCCGTCCATCCTTCCACCTACTAACGCTCGAGTCACCCTGTCACATCTCCCGAGAACCGTCTCTTTTATTCCTACTACTCTTCCTCCTACTCTTCCTCATCATCGTCCCTTTGGTCATCACTCTTTTCCTTTCACCAGTTTAACACTCTCTCACCCACATCCCACCTTCCTTCCCCGGTACCATCTCTTCATATCCCCACTACTATTCCTCATCCTCCTCCTCACCGTTCCTTCGGTTGTCACTCTCTTCCTTCTACCTATCGCCCACCTTCCTTTCCCATCCGCACCTCCAGCTATCGATACCGTCCTACGCACCCTATTCCATATCCTTAACGAAAAAAACCATACTCCGTTTCCATCCAGACAAAAGCACTAAACGACCATGTCTTCCTCGAAGGATATTACGAACACCACGGGTCACTCTCCCACGATTCTCCGCCCTCGTGATGAGTCTAAACCCACCCCGGCGAAGGTGACTATGCCGAATATCCCAAAGCTCTCGGGGGAAGAGAAGCGAAGAATGAGAGAGGAATTGATTGGTAGACCGATCACTCCACCTTCTGGTCCTCCTCCATTCGCAGCAACTCTACGCCATGAGCGTGGGGATTTGAGTGAAGAGGCTATCAATGATCTCGAGAAGCACCAGGTCAGTCGAGATCTTGCCAAGGCGGTAGGTTACCTCCTGCTCGTCCTCGTCCTCCCCTTCATTCTACTATTTCATCTCATATACCTGCCGTCCATTCTCCTCCTCTTGTCGTTTTATTTTTTCTCTTCCACCCCTCATGGTGTAACCGATATCCACAGATTTTCTCTAGGTGGAGCGCTGATCAGCCCATGTTGGATGGCATGGCCCGTTCTGTCGCTATTTTTGGCTCCGACGATGAGGGCTCGGATGGCTCAGTTGGTAGTGAGTTGTCACTGAAGGACACTCGCAAGGTGGAGGCAGCTGCGGTAAAATCCCAGGTTGTACGGCGGCAGATGATGATTCCAGCTCTAGAAGGTATGTAACATGCGCTCTTTCTCACTCACTCGATTATGTCTCACAAAAACTAGAGAGTCCCGGAAAGCGTGATCCACCCCCGGTGCGGCTCAGAATGCCCTCGGAGGAACTGTTGCCTGAGATCCCTCCGTTTTCTTTGTCAGATGATGCCGAACCCTATGAGGACAACGACATTACCCCGACCGGTGCTGCTGTTGGACAAGTTCGCCCGGCCCCGGGTGCCTCGAGTCCCACCACCCCCACAGGTAAACAGCCCACCGATGTTGAGATTGAAGCAATCTTGGAGACAATGCTCGCTCGCCATCGTGTCGAGTACGAACGGGACATCCTGAAAATCAAACAAGAGGAAGATCTGGCCCGTTCCAAGGCTAAGGGAGGAACCAGAAATCGGCCGCCCATCATTCACAGTGGCCAGACAACTCCAATGACCGAGGAGCTGATAAGAACAGTGGAAATCCCGAGATACGGAGCTACTCGTGGCGGTGTTGCGGCTACTTCCAGCGACGGTGTGCCGGATAGACCCCCTAAGCAGAATGCACCGGACAACACTCCTCCACATGGCGAGAAGCCCAAGTGGGATGGCCGTGCAATGACGATACTCTCCAGCATCCAGAACAAGGATCGAGATGAGATCATCAGTGACATGATCGCTGACCACCTCAACTTGAGACGGGGTCGCAGAAACAGCGACAGTTCGCCGCCGGTTGGACCAGACGGACCAGGTGTGGTGGACCGTGTCTCGACGTTCAAAACCGCACCCACGGGTTCGTCTTTCGTCTCGATATTCACAGCTCTGATTCCCCCGGCTGGGTATAGAGCCCCGCTCTCGAGATTGGGTCGTCCTTTGGTACCAGACTCCATCAATTGCGATAAGTACACGGTCGTGGCAACATACCATCCTACCTATCGTCATCTGGTCGTCGATATTCTAGATTACTGCCACACGCCTGCTGGATTTGACAGCAGCTTGGTTGTCGACCTCGTCTATCTTCAAGAGTCTGGATACCTCCCCTCTTACCTTGTTTGGCCCCCGCAGGATCACGGCTTCAAACGCTACCAAGTCGCCTCGCAGTGGTCCTTCGTCTCCACCAACGCCAACGGCACCGACCACATGTACGTTTCGGATCTAGGAGTCCTCTCTCAGCGCATCGCCGGTTCCATGTTCCGTGCGTACGAATGCAAGGAGATGTCCAAAGCCGCCCACCGCCGCTACCTAGACTCGATCTCCGAGGTATGCCCCGACGAGATTGAGGTCGAGCTCGTGGCCAAAGCTGCCGGTTTGGATTCCACTCCAATGTACGCCAACGTCCCCACGGACTACAACGTCAGCGCTTCTCTCAACTGGAGGCCGCTCAGGAACTATCCCAACCATCAGCTTCCGCACTCCAGAGACGGCATGCCCACTAAGAAGTTCTGGTTCTATCGTTAGGCACCGGCCAAGACGAAATGAACCACGAATACCTGTAATTTTTTCGCCCAAAGCATTACTTGTTGTTCGCTAGTTGGTCGGTCCATTCTCTATCCTTTGATTTTCGAAGAAAAAAAAAGCTGGTTTGTTTGGCTTGATTGGGTAGGATGGCATTCGTCTTTTCTTTTCCTTTGCTTGCTTACTGTTTCGTCTGCGCATTGGGTTTCCGGAAGGGGCGGTCTCATGGTTCACGGTGTTTTGCATGCATGCTTGTTTCTTTTAGCTGCCTGGTTTTTCTTTCCTTTCCTTTTGTCTTGTCTTGTCCCTGTTTTCCTTACGAACGATCACGATGATTGATGAATGATACCCTGCCTGCATTGAACGAAGTATCATGGCGGATACATAGATGAATATGATTTTTGCTCTGATGTGTACTACTATTCTTTTCCTTCTTTCGTTCTTTCTTTCTTTCCTTTCCTTTCTTTTGCAAGGGGTTTCTTGCTTTTAGGTGGATTGATTCCACACACACAAAAAAATCAGGCGGTCAGTGGAGGTAGTGGATCGAGAAATATTGATGGTGGGCAGATTGATAATGAGGGGCTATAGATTCGGGGGTGTAGAATTTGCTTGTTTTAGATGTATGATACGGTTAAGAGGGAGGTGACTGGTGGATGATGGGGGGATGGGGGGAGATGGATAGAAATGGGGATACAAATGGGGATAGAAATGGCGGCCAAGATTCTAATGGTCGCCATGCTATGTTTGTCATGGTTGGGGGATTGAGGGATTGAAGGATTGATACTAAGAATTGACGATGATTTTATCTATACAAAGTGGGCCCTAGATCTTAGAAGGCTAGGAGAGAGTGACATTGAGTGATACCTACCGTACTAACTTCTGGAGACTGGATGAGAGATGTTACCGTGTAAGAAGTAAGTATCTTCTGCCGAAGTACTTACGAACAAGCCGGCTGACAACTTGATTGATTCAAGATTCAAGAGAACCCGGGGGTTTACAGTTGGGTTGACGTGAAGTCACCTTCCGATCACTCGTCCCCCCATTACGAGGTGTGTAGTTTTCATCCCTCCATTACTCAAGATGAAGAACCGCATGTATTGTACATTTCACCGCAACAAAGGGGAAGGGGAAGCAATACCCAAGTAAGTAAGTAAGTAAGTACGAGCAAATCTCACGACCAAAAGCCAACCCAACCCAAACCAAAACCGAACTCCGTAAGTACACAGATAGCTAGCTAGAAAAATCCTCCCAGCACGCCTACGCCTTCACCTCCTTCGCCTTCACCATCCTGACCATCATCCTTAAACTCTCCTCGGCGACGTTCCAGAGCAACTTCGTCGCCAGCACCTCCTCCGGCGGCACCTTTCCTCTAGCGGGGGTCTTCGCCTTCTTCGCCCTCGCGGCGATGCCGGCCTCGACCGCAGCGTCCAACTCGGGGGTGTAGACGATATACTCGCACTTGAGCATGAGGCGCATCAGGGCCTCGAGGACGACGGCGACCTTGGCGTTATCCAGCAGCGCCATGGTGTTGGCGGGGTACGGCAGGTAGTGGCGCACCAGCAGGTCCTGCGTCAGCGCGCTGTCGCGGCGCGTCCGCGACGTGGATAGGTGCTGCTCCAGGATGAATTGCGTGAAGAGCCCGCGGTAGTCCGGGCCCGCGGGCGTTAGGGTGTTGAAGAAGAGGGAGAAGGAGGAGAGAGGGAGGTGCGAGATGTTATTTTTGTACTCGAGGTAGAGGTCCTCCGTCGCTATGAATTGGCCGTGCGTGGAGAGGTCGGAGAGCTGCGGGGTTAGTGGGGTTATTTGCACACGCGGGGGAGGGAGGATTCACAAGCGTCAGGAAGCGTTGGCGGAGACTGAAGGCAGTTACACCGCCCCAGGAGTCGTATGTGCTGGGTGTTGGTGGGGCGTCGGACATGTCGATGTCGATGTCGTCGTCTTCATCCAGCGGGTCGTCGTTTTCGTCCAGGGTCTTGTCGGTTTTCTTTGGCGTCTTTGTCTCCTCGTCATCACCGAACTCACCCATGAACCCGCCGAGAGTTCTCTGGCCCTTCTTCTTTGGCCGGTGCGCGAACAGTTCGTCCTCCCAAACCGGATGGAACTCTTGGGCCTTCGCGCTTCCATTCGCGAGGATCGCCCGAACAACCCGCCTATATCCGCCGGTACCACGGGTCTCGGGCAGCATCTTGACAGCAATGCTCTCCCTAAGAACCCTCTCCGCCTTCTCCCCCGCATTCTTGTACTTCTCCCGCCTATAGTCCCAATCCGTCTCCAGCGTGAGCAGCAAACACTCGAGTACATTCCCCCACCACGTCCACCTGGCGGGGTGCAGCACAGAGCACGTAAACGCCCAGCCGACCACATCCCACACATCCTCGACGCGCGAAAACAGACTCTCCTCATTCGCGAGTTCGCCGGAGATAGCGTCATCAGCGCTGGGAGACAGCTCTCGGTTCTCGCGGTTCCCGCGACGGACGGAGCGGCGGCCGCGGTCAAACACCCAGATCTTGTCCAGCGAGGCGTTGACGGGGCCGATGATCTTGATGATGCGGTGGACGAGCATGTATGCGGCGATGGGCGCTTTGGACGGCAGCATGCCTTTGCGGAGCTGCGTGGTGTGGAACGGGTGCGCCATCAGCGTTATCACGAAGCGTAGGAACGTCGGCGGCGGCATCAGCCCGGGCGTGGGTTGCTCGCCGGGCGTAGAGAAGCCGCTGAAGACCACTGAGTCGAAGATCTCGAGGCCTTGCTCCGCTACGGCGAGCCCGACAAAGTTTGTCAGCTGGCCGCAATTGCACAAGGTGGAAGGGTGCTCGTACGTAGGTTCTCTTCGAACGCGACGCGGATGCGCTCGACAAGGTTGTATTGCAGCGGCATTACGGACTGGTAGAACCACAGCTGTTGATCTTTGTCGGGAGGTGGTGACGGTGTCCGTTGATGTTGTTGCTGGCGGGGCCGCGACGATGTCATGGCGGGCAAGAAAGGCTGAGGTTAAAATATTGTTTTTAGGGCGGGGCACTGGGGGGTGGAGACGTGCACGTTTGGACACGGGAAGACGCGGTCAGGTACTTTCGATACGTACGAGCCTAGTCGATTATTCAGGTACTCTAGAGTGAAGTGCAGATCAGCGCGACCAACGCCTTTATGGAGTGGGACTGATCTGTGGAACGTTCGACACCATGTGCTAGGGATGTCGATAGCTGCTAACCACGGCGTTTGCGGATCTCTTTTCTACGGAACCCTTCACCTTCCGCATCTCGAAAATCGAAAATGGAAATCTTCAGGAGCTTTTCCGGAAACACACTTACTCCCTTCGCTGGCACTGACTGCGAGCCCTAGCAAGGGAAGGGCATCCCTCGTTTCCTCCCCCATGCTTCACGGATCCTCACTAACAAGAGCTTAGCTAACCGGGGCATGCGTGTGTAACAGCACGTGTGAGCACTGCGTGTAACGACACTTCTATTCGTCTGCCCGTCTCCTCTAGAGTGGTGTAGATAGACGACGGCAGACAGCACTTCGGTTTCGACAACTGTTCGACGTGCCCCCTGCTTGCCCTGCCTGCCCCTGCCACGACGACGACGATAGTGACCATCCTTTCGTCCGTCCATTCTCCGGATGGATGAGGAATGTGCTGTGGTGCGTGCGTGGTCATGAAACAGTCTGCCAGACAATGGGAATTCGGGCTTCGCTGTCGTAGCAGGTGAAGCGCTGAGTATGGATTATCTGGACCTCGACGAGAGAAATGCTGTCTGTCTGTCCGTCGCGGTTTGCTTGTTTGCGTGTGTTAGATATTCGGATGTGTTTGGTTGGCTGTTCGTTGTTCCTATTGAAGGTGGCGGCTATAGGTATCGAAAAAAGTCTTCTCTGCTGGAGAAACAGACGAAGGAGAAGAAGAAGAAGAAAGACACGATGGGAAGCCCATATGGAGAATATGGATGTGCGAAAGCGTAGAGTTCGTTGTGATTCCTCCGCCCAAACAACACCAAGCAGAAGAGACAGCAGACACGCCTGTCGGGATAACTCTAAAAATTCCATCTTCAGCCCTTCCATCCCAACGACAACCATCACCACCGACGACGACCACATCCACCGACGACCATCGTCGTCTCTACCCGCCCGCCTCAAAGTGACCCAGCTCCCACCTTCAATCTCCTCCACCACCTCCTCCTCCTCCTCCACCACCTCCTCCCCCTCCTCCTACCTTTATACCCCACCCGCCTCGCGTTGAGATAACCCCGCCCATCACCCACTCCACCACCACCGTCACCGTCATCGTCACCGCCGCTGACTACAAAGAAAACTCGCCAAAAAAAAAAAAGACTCCCTCCCCCCACCGCCGCCGCCTATTCCCACATAGGTCTACTTGCTTGTTATATCAACTTCTACCGCCACCTCACGCGACCCATTCACTCACTACCTACTCTAGACGACGACGTTACGAAACACCACCCCACTTCATCCGCCCCCATCGAAACCCAATAACCCCGCCCCGCCCTACCCTGCCCTGCCACGACACCCTACGATACCACGGTCTCTCGTCCCGCCTGCTCGAATTTTCCAACCCGTACACTTGTGATCCGGTTAGGCTTTGTTCCGATCGGGTGGCTTTGTGATTTGGCTTTGGCTTGGATTCCCATCGATTCCTTCGGCATAGTTACCTCTGCCCTTTACTTTCTTTGAGTCTCGTTCAAATCAATCTGCAACCCAAAATCCTCCCGCGCTTGTCCAACCAGGTTCTCTCAATCAAAAGCATCAATTTCGCTTCCAACTGAATTCATATAACTCAACAACCGCACCGCCCCTCCCCCGCTTACTCGCTTTCCTTCGTTCAACTCTCCTTTACACACACACATATACACCCACGAACACACGACACTTGGTCCCTCTCTCTCCGATAGATCAGTCGTCCACCTACCCACACGCCGTAACAGCATGCCTGCCGCTGCCGACACGCCCTCCACCACCACGACGACTACTGTACCACCCACCAAAGCCGCCCGCCGCAAGCCCGCCCGGCTCCTCCGTCGTCGCGCCGGTCACCCACACGAGGAAGACGATGATGCCGAAACAGTAGGATCGGACGACTCCTACAGCGATGATTCCGGTCTGAGCGAGGAAGAAGGGTTCAGTGATTGCGAGAGCGACGATGAATTTGAGGATGCATCCGATGGTGAGGGGCGGCAAGCAGCGGTGGAGAAACCGGCGACTAAACAGAGGACGGATACCGATTTGATGATTAATGGGATTGCCCCCCACGGGGGCAAGGCTGAGACGGTGGAGTTCGAGGAAATGGGACGCGAGCGAACGGTTGCGAACGGCAAGCGGGTCAGCGTTGAGGTCAGAGATAAGGCGCCTGCGACTACAGGGCAGGTTAAGCCTCAACCGGAGAAAGAAGAGGAAGAAGAAGAAACGGTGGATGGGGAGGTGGAAGAGACGGTGGTGGAAGAGGTACAGCGACAGGAACCTAAGAAGCACTTGACGCCGTACGAGCGGAGGCAGAGAGAACACGAGGAATACAAAAAGCGGCGCGCCGAGGATCCGAGTTTTGTGCCCAATCGAGGCCGGTTCTTCATGCATGACTCCCGCGACAACGCCGGCGGTAATGGGTTCCGGCCTTTCGGTCCTGGCGGTAAAGGGAGGGGCGGTCGCTTCGGGAACAGAGAGTTCCAACCGCACCATCAAGCGCCACCACCGCCCGAGCTCGCCGGCGAATGGCTTCACGACATGCACGAGCAGATTGAGACTCAGGTTGAGCAGCAGCAACAACAGAGGCCTGCTCCAGCTTCGGCGCAATCTCATCAACAGCAGCAAAATCAAGGTCACAACAACAATAACAACTTTGCTGCCGGTCGTCAGCGAGCTCCGGATCAACCTAGGAGCTTTGGTCGGACTTTGCACAAAGGGACTGTGCAGATTCAGGTCAATCTGCCCGGTATGAAGGCGCCGATCACATTCAGCGAGGTTCCATGCAAAGTTTACACCCGCCTGCCGTTCCACCGCCCGCCGCTTCGCCGAGACAAGCCCGTTAGAATCGCACTTCCGGAGAGTCCTGTTCGTTACATCTACCCGAATGTGCAACGGTCGTTCATCTTCATTCCACGGGCGATGCGGCCGGGCGGGTCGGGATATATCAGAGGTGCTGCTGGCAGGGGACGGGGTGGCTATTCACAAGGTGGCCGAAGTTTCTACGGCGGCGGGTCGACCATCTATTCGCCTTCCGTTGATATGTCGAGGCGGTCATCACTGGTATACGATACGCGCCACCACACGCCGGCACAGGCCATGCACCCGTCCATACCACCACAGCAAGCCCACGTAGAAGATGGACAGACCAGGACAGTGGTCGAAGGTGAGGATGCGGTAGGCAAGCCAGTTGTCAGGCTTCCAAACTCTATTCCGTCGGTCTCTGGTGCTCCAGCACAGTCATCCAGCCAGGCAGGTCACGCACCGACTCCCAGGCTTGCAACTCAGCAACCGCCGCCCTCTTACACTCCTTCGTACACTCCTGCGATGATTCCGGCTCCATATCGCGAAGCTCGTGCTACGCCGAAGATTCCGATGTATCAACCTCGGCCCCAAAAGGCTGTCAATGTAGCCGAAATAGACTCACCGGCGGTCATGCACTTTCCCAGCAACTACAGTGGCGGCATTTACACCGATCATGTGCCTTCCGGGACTCCTGTGATGGCACCAAACGGATACCCGCAACACCCGCAGCACCCACAGCAGCACCCGCAAAACCCGCAGAATCTCCAACAGCCCCAGCACATGCAACAACATAATCGGCACCCATCATATACGTCACAGGCACCCGGGACTCCACTATCGCAAATTCCGGAGGCTGTCCATGCAAGACCTTTCCAGCCCAACCCCTACCCGCAGCAGCAGCAACCCTACTATCAGCAGTACCCTCCTCCACACGCACCGCAGCAGAATCCTATGCCCCATCCTCAGCATGCTCCGATGCAGCCACATCATGGGGTCTTCCACCCTCCGCCACCACCATACGTCGCCGGTCCATCGCCCATGCCCAACGGACCAACAAACCACTACATCCCTCAGTCAATGCAGCCACACCAACCGCCGCCGCCACTTCAGCAGGTTCCAGGACCGGCTCCGCCTGGGCCATCCGGGCCAACGACGATCGCCCAGGAGAGCAACGGAATGGTTTACTATTCGACGTGGGATCCCAATACCACGTACTATCAGTACCCACCGGCCCCTGGTCCGACCTACGCCGATGCGCCCGTCATGACGATGACGCCAGGACCAGATGGCCAGGGGCAAAATGTGGGTGGGACGATGTACTACTACCCGCCACAGGCAGCGGGGTATTACCCATCGTAGTAGGAAAGACTGTTTGGGAGTTGCAGGTGATACATGCTAGTAATTTCTTTTTTCTCTCTCTTTCTTTCGTTACTCGGGTTTTTCCTTTCTTCCTGCTTCTCTCGACTTGATAGTATTCTCATGTTTTTTTTCCGTTTTTTTTTCGTTTTTTTTCCTGGGTGGGTCGGATGGGTGTGGGTTGGTTGGTCAATGCTCCGTACGGGATACGCTGTTTTGTTTTTGATGTTTCCAGTTGAGGCTGCTCACTTGCACTCTGAAATTAGGGACCTTATGATATTATGCATTTTCGTTCTCTATTCGCCAGAGTTTTCTTGTCTCGTGTTGGGTTTGGTTTTTATCATTTATCGGTCTTCCTATTTATTTTCCATGTCCTTCTTACTTTCTTCTGTGTTCGCTCCGATTGCGATTTTCTGTCTTTTTGTTTGGCAGGTTGGGGGTTTTTTCCTTTTTCCTTTTTCTTTCTTTTTTTCTCTTTTCTTGATGAGATGCCGGACGGACGGTTCACGGCGGAGAAAGCAAATAATCATGAAAGCTCACTCTGAGTGCCACTCAGAGCTCCACAAATAGCATTTTGGTTATCACCGCTGTATCCTGACTCAGCGAAGTGTGCTTTTGAAGGCGGTCAGGGTCGATCGCTGAAGGTAGAGTTTAAAAGCTCATCATCTTGACCCGACACCACTCACACTTTGTTCGTTTGGCATCATCGTCAAGTTACCCTGCCATAACTTAGCAATCTTTTCACCTTGCTCCTCCCCACTCCATCTTCTTACCGTTCTACCCCACAATTTTTCATTTATTCACTCAACACCCGCTACCTGCTACTACTCTCTTCCCCCAAACTCGTGATACCCCGACCGTTGATCGTGTGAGGTCCTCGACACCTCCGACAGTTTAACACCACCTCCTCCCCCACCACTACCTTCTCTCCGCACACCCACGCCCACCTTCACCAGTTTTGCCGCCAACATGTCTGCTCCCGCCGGTAACGATGCTGAGAAGAATATCGAGATCTGGAAGGTGCGTTGGTCCCTGCGAGTCTTGTCTTTCACGTGAATAGTTTAGTGGGGTTCTAATTTCAGCTTTGGGGAAATAGGTCAAGAAGCTCATCAAGCGCCTCACTGAGGCCAGAGGAAATGGAACTTCTATGATTTCGCTCATTATCCCGCCGAAGGACCAGATCTCTCGTGCCGCGAAGATGTTGGCTGAAGAATTCGTGAGAAACCTTGTCCGGTTCAGAGTTGTTGCCACTTGTTGTGTGCTGACGGTCCGACCGGGTGTGACAGGGAACGGCTTCCAACATCAAGTCGCGTGTCAACCGACTGTCGGTCCTCTCGGCGATCACCTCCACCCAGCAGCGCCTCAAGCTCTACCCGAAGGTCCCGCCGAATGGACTCGTCGTCTACTGTGGTGAAATCATCACCAGCGAGGGTAAGGAGCGCAAGATCAACATCGACTTCGAGCCTTTCAAACCGATCAACACCTCGTTGTATCTCTGCGACAACAAATTCCACACTGAGGCGCTCTCGGAGTTGCTCGAGTCCGACAGCAAGTTCGGGTTCATCATCATGGACGGAAATGGTGCGCTCTTCGGTACCCTCAGTGGAAACACCCGTGAGATCGTCCACAAGTTCACCGTCGATCTCCCCAAGAAGCACGGTCGTGGTGGTCAGTCCGCGCTGCGTTTCGCCCGTCTGCGTGAGGAGAAGCGCCACAACTACGTCCGCAAGGTCGCCGAGTGCGCGGTTCAGAACTTTATCACCAACGATAAGGTCAACGTGCAGGGACTCATCTTGGCCGGTTCCGCCGACTTCAAGAGTGAGCTCGCGCAGTCCGAAATGTTTGACGGTCGTCTCCAGGTCAAGATCATCAAGGTGGTGGATGTTTCCTATGGTGGAGAGAACGGATTCAACCAGGCTATCGAGCTCGCGGCCGAGACTCTGAGCAACGTCAAGTTCATCCAGGAGAAGAAGCTCATCCAGAAGTACTTTGACGAGATCTCGCAGGACAGCGGACGTGTCTGCTACGGTATCGACGATACCTTGAAGGCGCTGGAGCTGGGTGCCGCCGAGAGTATGTGCCCCTCATTGCACCCCACCTAGGGATTTTTACTAATGGTGCATAGCTCTGATCGTCTTCGAGAACTTGGACATCACCCGCTGGACGCTCAAGCCGTCCACCGGTGGTGAGATAATCCTGCACACCTCCAAGCTGCAGGAGCAGAACCGCGAGCAGTTCATGGACAAGGAGACCGGCCAGGAGATGGAAGTAATCGAGCAGATGCCGTTCCTCGAGTGGCTCGCCGAGAAGTACAAGGACTTTGGTGCCACGCTCGAGTTCGTCTCGGACCGCTCCTCGGAGGGAAATCAGTTCGTCAAGGGATTCGGTGGTATCGGCGCTATGCTCCGGTATAAGGTCAACTTTGAACAGCTCCAGGACCTCGAGGACGAGGATGAGTACTACGACGGTTTGTTCCCTTTGCTTTGCCCAGCTGAGTGAGGAATTCAAGAGACTGATGAGTGCAAGATTGATGGTTTTGTGACCTCGCTCATGGCGAGGACGTTCTTCCGGACAGCATCTGCCCGAGGGCGTCCCGCACAGTGCCCAATGAGGCAGCTGGTTTCGGGGAGATGGCGGCGGTGGTAGGGGGCGAGACGACGACGACGATGAAGATGGTTTGTGTTTGATGGTGATGATATACGCGGGGTTCGAGGATGAAAATACGTCAGTTTTCCACACTCCTCCCCCCATTTCTACTCATATTCTGATGGTGATATAGTCTGGTTTGGGATCAACAAAAACGAACGAACGATATGGCTGGTCTGGTGCGGGTCTGCTTTTTCAATCTTTTCTATTCCTTTTTTTTTGTTTCTTTCTTTTCTTTTCTTTTCTTTTCTTTTCTTTTCTTTTCTTTTCGCATGAAACAAAAACGATCGATTCACTGGTAACTGGGCTGGGGTTTTTGTTTGAATGTTGGATGGACGGCTGTTATAAATTTTTCTTTCTTTCTTCTTTGATTTCTACTACTTCCAAGTAGGAACTACGTAACGCTTGTTGTAAGCCCAATCTTGTAGGTGCCGTGTAGGTACTAGGTAGGCTAGGTATGCTGGGGCTGCATCGAATGTCACTCGCTTTTTGTGCAAATGTTCTCGGCTTGCGGGGGCAGATTGAGGGCTGAATTGGTGACTGAATGGTTCACTGTGGTGTAGGTGATGTGGGTGCTCGAGCTACTGGTGTCGTGCGGGTTGGGTTGGTAGAAGTAGGTAGACTCAGCAGGCCACCATAAACATAGCACCTTCAGCATAGCAGCACGACAGATAACATCTCCAACCTACAGACACCCACCCACCCACCCTCCCCCCATCAATCCACCCACCCACCCCTAACTCTTCCCCCAAACACAAAACCCAATCCCGGTGCAAACAGCGACAATCCCCGCCCAGGTCCTGCGATCGACAACTTTCCCATCCGCCCACCAATCGCCGAGCACCGTGAACAGGAACGCGACCGAGTTGACGATCGGCACGGTGAGACTCAGCTCCGCCTGCCCGATCAGGAGGAAGAACCATACGCTGCCTGTCAGGTTCAGAAGAAGTGGGATTGTGTACGACGGGTGCCGGAGAAGGTCGTGGGCTGTGTGCAGGAGCTTTATGATCGGGTTGTGAGAGGGGGTGGGCGTGGGTGTGTATAGGAGGGCGGCCCGGCGGATGAACGGGTTGGTGAGGCCCCTAGGAAAGGGTGGGGTCAGTGGGGTGGGGGGGAAGGTGGGAGAAGGGAGGGAGGGGGGCCGAACCAGCACATCCCCACGAGAAGGAAGCCGAGCGTCCACCGGAGGAGCCCGGGGTCGGCGGGTACGGCGGGGTCTGCCGGGGCGGCGGAGTCGGACATCGTGCGGGGCGGTAGTGGTGCTGCTGGTGGTGGTGGTGAAGCTCGTGGTAGTCGTGAAGCTCGTGTTGGGACTTATCCGTGTACCGCGACTTGACGTGACGTGTGGTTGCGCGTGTCTTGAGTGGCGCTACTCAGGTACCGGTACGTACGCGGGCGCTGAGTCAGGGTCTTCAGGGATATTTCGACACTAGTTAGAGTACTGTGGGGCTCATGAGATATCACCTCTCCCGGCCCCCGGGCTGTTTGTACAAAATTGCGGTTGAAAACTGCCGGGAATTACTCGCTGGAGCTCGTAGATACACATGGAAGAACGACGCCCCAAGCGGAGTCAAATATCGGGCTTGCTTCATCGTTTCGTATCCGATCATGGCGGTAATTACAAGTACCTATCCGTGTGTGCATACGTCCCACGCCGTCTCCTCCGCGGCCGCTCGGTTTCATTTCCACCAAAGGAAACCCCCAGGCGCTCTACGGCTGGCTGGAGCGCCTAGTAAGATATCTAGCAAATGTGCTGGGTGATTACCTGTCGAGTGAAATCAAGTGATTACATAAATTTATAATGCCATAGTTTCTTCAACCGTAGTATGTTTTTCGGATAGGTCACCGGATGATCAGCAGCACCTCTAAAATAAAAAGCAGCCAACTCCACAGACAATGCCAAATGAATCAATTTTTCCACTATTATACCTTATAATTGGCAACTAGTAAACACCCGTGTGGCGACCACACGGTGTGCGGTCATTAGGCCAGCGCCACTTAATGTAAAGTCATAAGTAAGATCTGTCAAGACTCAACTGCTCGGGATCCCTTTCCACACCATATCCATCGCGATCTGCTGGGCCGGCTTCTTCATTGTCCTTCAATGGTATATCCGGTCTCCAACATTGCTCGCCGTATATCAAAAGCAACACATATCTCAAAGGAAGATAAAGAGAGCTTAATTCGGTGACGTGCCTCAAAACACCGATTTCATCGGCTGTTGGTCTATTGTAAGTTCTGGGATCCCGGTTCGTAATATCCAGCATGCGCAACTGCAAAGCAACAGGTTGCTCTGGGTTATCGGCCAAGACTTCTCCAGCCGTACGCCAGGTCTAAATCAATGGATTATGCGCATGGAGCATGTCTGTCAGCTCCTGCAACACCTGAGGATTCACAGAATTGTCGTGGGGACTTCGTCGCAAGTGCTACGGTTGTGAACCACATGGCCACACCGGATACAACGCTGAGGACCATTGTCTGGAACATCTTCCAGTGCCCCCCCCGGGACCTCCTTGGATCCTTTGAACTTGTCACTCCTTTCCTTATTCTCCTCTCCTTAAGTCGGCCGCGTGCACGGCTGAAGGGTGGAGGAAAGCACTCGTCATCCCCGGAGTATCCGGAGGACGACGAGTGCTACCGCCCACGGGGATGAATATCCCTCAGGTAGGTCCACCTGTAAGTTTCCAGGCTCCCCGTGTTGCACTAGCAGCTCAGCACGTTGGTGCTGGCTGAAGTTCATGAATTCCGTGAGGAGATGCAATGCGAAGTTGGTATATCTCGCGCCGGAAACAGCAAGCGTCGGCGGTGTTTTCGACCGTATTCGGGGGATGTGGTCGTAAATTGGTGGCCGCATGGTTGCGTATTCGGTGTTGGGGATGTTGTGGTGCGAAGGATGATCAACGGCGGATAGCAGGTTGGTTTAAACCCTTCTCGTTGCCGGGCTGGCGGACAATGAGTGAAAATTCGCCGGCGACAGTGGCTGTTCTGACCCCACATGACCAGCTGGTTTGGAATCCTCCGTACTCGGCTGGTGAGGTCGATACTGTACACCGATATCCGTCAGTTTCCAAAGGCATATACACACCGAAATTGAAGCTTGAAAGAGGATTTGACGAACAGTTGGGATATATGGGTGTCCTGGTATCGATAAAAGAAACAGGCGCATAATATCAAGGTTCAGTCAACGCTGATATCGAAGTTCGCCGGAGCCGAATGTCGATGTCGTTCGTTGGGGAGGAAACATGCCACCGAAGGTTGAAATGGTGAAGTTTGGTGTTGTGGATTACGTGTGTTGTGTTTGTGGGTGGTGTGTTTATAGTTGTGCGAGGTGTGTGGTATGTGGTGTGTGGTGTGGTGTTGTAGTTGCGGCTATCGTCGTGAGGACGGAGGACGGAGCTTCAGAGTATTTAAAGCCCGATTAGGCGCATTAGTGAGTCATAGCAAAAACGGAGAATATATAGAATTCCAGAATAGAGAGCGATCAACTAAAGGCTAGTCGATCAAAGATACTAGTATCTCAGCAAGTTTTTTTTGGCAAATCCCACAACTCTAGCTCTTTGAATATATTTAGTAGTGTACAAGCGCAAGAACACAACTGCTTTGATGCCCACCACTGCGGTATGACTTTCTCCCTCATAGGATACGATTCACTATGGATCACTATAGATCACTCGGCTTCCGTGTTTGATCCGATGTCATTCTTTTTACCTACGCTTGTAGTTTCAGTGACGGGTACGGCTGAAGGGTGCATATGCACGTCTGCTGCTGCTGACTTGGTGACGTGAGTTCCATATTCCTACAGCATGGCGTCGAAGGCTTTGAAGTTCGGAGTTGGAGCGGGTTTACAATCCCGAGGCGATGGTGAGGAGTTCCTAGGGGTACATACGTGTTGCGAGGAGCGTAAAGCGAACGCCTCCCGGACCGACCCTTAGCCATAGCAAGTTTTCGGGTTGCCGTCAGCGTTCGCGGAGCTCGTGGCGTGTGCGTGGCCGTGGCCGATGCGGCGTGGAGAGGAGGGCCGTAGATATTCACCTTCCTAGCATCCGATGAGCGACATACGGCTACTCTGCCCAACCGTCCGCCGTGTGCATTCTTCGGCTTCGCCGCGGCAGTTGACCTCACCCACCCACCCACCCACCCACCGCGCCGCAACGTTTCGCGCGCGTCAAACGTAAGCGCAAATAGAGTGCGCGCATTGCGTGGTACTACAAAGTGCACACCACAGCGGACCGCATCCCGCGAACCGTACACTGCACTACACACCTTCACACACACATATCTAGGAACACAAATACGTACGTAGGGCATGACGACGCCCAGAGTGGAACTTGCATGGCGAACATCGTTACTCCGAGTCGAGTACCTACGGTACTCTATGTATTAGTTAGGCGTGGTTGGTGTGCCGGCATGTAGAGTTGGCACGGTATGGTACTAGCTAGTCCAACAAAGACAGCTCCGGCGCCGGGAACCCGCCAACAGGTGACCCACTCCCAGCACAAACATCTTTCGTTCTCCACCATCGCCTAGTTGTTGCCATTGCTGGTGCCATGATGTACTGTGTTCTCCCATCTACTCTACAGAATTCTCCCGTGGACGACAAAAAATAGGAGCACCATTTGCACGTACGCCCAACTGCACTGACACGTTGCGCCCAGCCGAAACCACGCCCAGCTGCACCAGCCACACCAGCCATGTCTCAGCCACTAAATGTACCTATCTTTGTTAGAGAGGCGAGTACATACGTTGGGCGTTGGGTGACATCTGCACGCGTGCGTACGCAATCCTCCCCCCCCCGTGTCTCCACTCCCCCCGACCCCCCGCAAGTGCTGTGCTGTGCGATCTCCAGGGTGGGGAAAAGGAAAAAAAAACCTTTCTCGAAGCAAAGACTCGGACGAAAAACATGTCGGCAATAGAAATCCGAGCCTGGACGAAGAGAGGGAAAGCTCTACGAAAAGGGGGGGCGGGGTGGGGGACGGTGGAGACGGGTGAGGCGTGGCGGGAATGGTCGTGTAGGCAGCTCATGAAGCCGAATCCATGGCCCACGGGGTCCGGTTGGCAAGTTGGCAACAGCCCGGATGCTGGACCATCAGGGAGCCCCAAGCCGGACAAGCACCCAGAAGCCTATACATAGAAGCCCAGGAATCCCAAGCCGGACGACCACCCGAAGCCTCGAAAGCCCAGGAGCCCAGAAGCCAAGAAGCCGAAAGTCTTGCATAGTCTCCAAGACGGAGCAAATCCCGACGGCGGCGGGGAGTGACGGGTGGACGGGTGGTTGGTCAATAATCCATTCAAAAAGCCCGACTTCGTTCTAGAAGCCAAGGGCTGCGAAGCAATTGAACAATTGCAAAAGACCGAGCCGAGAGGCCAGGGGAAGGAAGTCCAAGAAGCCTGACTTCGAGAATCCAAGGGCTGTGCTGCGATTGAACCAAGCCCCCCAAGCCTCCCAGGACTCAGGAGGCCGATGGAGATGTCACCGAAAATCTCCGTCTCCAAGACGGAGGAAGCTCCGACGGATGCTGTGCATAGATACTACTCTAGTACCTACTCGCCAAGCTGTGCGGCGGCGGGATGTGATTGTTGGCTGGTCAATAGTTAGGTCAACAATCTAAGAAGCTCGACTTCGAGAAGCCAAGGGCTGCGGTGCAATTGAACGAGTGTATTGTACAATACAAAGACCGAGCCGAGAGGCCAGGGGAAGGGAGTCCAAGAAGCCCGAGTTCGAGAAGCCAAGGGCTGCGCTGCAAAAGACCGAGCCTCGCCTTGCCTCGCCTCGCTCGCGAGGCTAGGCCAGGGGAAGGAAGTCCAAAAACCCCAAGCCCACAAGAAGATATCCAAGATGTCCAAGATGTCCAAGAGGTGGAGCCCTCTGTAGAGTACCACCATGGAGGAACTGAAGCCCGGCGCCCAGTTCTGTAAAATAGTCTACCCCCAGAGTCTCCACCTCTGAAATAGAGGTGGCCATAGCGGAGGCTGTACATATCTGGGCGCTAGGAGTCGGCGCCGTGATGAATCGTGAACCGGTGCTGGGCGATATCGGAGGGGAAGGCCACTAGGCAAGGCTCTGAGCTCTGAGCTCAACGAGGCTCAGGTATGTCACCACTCAGCCATCACCGCCATCACCGCCATCACCGCTCTCCCGCCACCGTATCGCCGCCTCCATCCACTGTAAAGTTTTAATCGATTTCAATTCACTCTCTCTCCCCGCCCTCCCCGCCCCTCCATCTCTACCGACCTCATTAACCCTTCCCCCTTCCCTATCTTCCATCTTCCAACACCATCTCCCTCCCGAAAACATATAGAATGTAGATGTAGATGTAGAGATTCAGAGTGTATAGTATAGTATATGTACCATTCGAAAAGAAAAGCAAGCAAAAGTATGTGGAGTTGCGGTATGATAGAGTGGCCCCCCGCCCTCCAAAAACTTTAGAAACAATCAATATATCCTCCCCCCGCCCCACCCCCGCCCCAGCCGATCGCCGACCCGCCATTCCAACCAAATAAATAAACAAAAAGACCAGAACCAATATACAGTGTGTCCTCCCTCTCCCCATCTCCCCTACTCACCTCACCGCCTCACTATATCATGCATTGGACGCCTTCGAAATCACCCCAGCCTGAGAGAGAGAGAGAGAGAGAGAGAGAGAGAGAGAGAGAGAGAGAGAGAGAGAGAGAGAGAGAGAGAGAGAGATAGAGAGAGAGTGAGAAAAAAAAGGACCAAAACCACACACGGCAAAAGAAACACGCACATAACAACCGTAAGGAAAAACGACAAGAGGCAAAAGAAAAAAGACACAAAAAAAAACACAGAGAACTAACTCGGAAGGTAAACAGGTAAACACGCCCCGTCCGTCCGTCCCATTTCTATTTCACACACACACGCGTTTGTTTGATTGGAGGTGAACAGAAAGAAACAAGAAAAGCAAAGCAAAGCGCAAAGCAAAGCTCGTTTCTCCGAGCTATGTAACCAAAACCAAACTAAACCGACAATCGAATGACAATTACGTAGGAATGAAAGTAAACATACAAACAAACTCCCAAGCTTATCTTATTTTTCGTAACCCACCCCCACGTTCCATCCTCCTTCCTGCCTTGTCGGCGACGGCTGCTCGTAAGGTCCATGCGACCGCTGGGATGGCGAAGGGCTGGGGCCTCTGCTAGGTGCCCGCATTCCTCCGGGTGTGAGTAATGGCACTCCAGTGCTCTGTGGAGCCTGCTGGCCATACGGATTCCGCGAGCCATCCTGACCGTTCGATGGGAAGAACGGCACAGATGTATCGACCGGAGAACGGGGAACTTCGTAGCTGCTCGGTGCGCGCGAGTTGGCCGTGGATGGTGGCAATGGAACATGGCTCGCGCTGTGGTACGATTGTCGGGTGTGGTCGAAAGAATCGCGGTCGTCTTCGAGATCGCGGGACTTGTGGTCACCACGAGCCGTAGCTCCAAGCGCATCCAATTCGGTGGAGCCGGTCATCTGTGAGCTGGATTTGATGAAGGAGCCCCTGTCGTCTCGCATTGGCTGGTATCGGATATCAGGGTTCTTGGAGATGAGGGCGTAGACGGAGGATACGAGGACGAGGATGAGAAGGACGAGAGCGAAAGCGGCATTCATGACAAAAAAAATCACTCCCATAACACCGGTGACTATTTCCTGCGGGAACGTTAGTAGGCGCTTCACCACCACCGACCGGCGAAGGGGGTCATCGACTTACTGCAGCATTAAAGATTCCGGTAAACACCAGCAAAAAGATGACATTCAAAAAGTTGATCACACAAATCGAAATGTTGAAAATATTGGTCCTCTTGTCCATCCATGGGCGCATCATGCAGACGGCGATCAGATAGGCGAGTTCGATGAAGAGCAGTGCAAAGGCTTGCACGGTGCCGGCTGTCTGGCCGAAGGCAATGAACATCGCCTTAACCAGATAGTAGAACAGAAGCGGTACGATGAAGTAGTAGGCCGAGGCTCGGAACTGAACATAAAGGAAGCCCCATCGGTTCAATGCAGCGGGGTCCGAGTACAAGATGTATGCCGGATTTTTGTGCAAGGAAACCGAGCGCCGAGCGATGCGAATAACCTTCCAGGAAGCCCAACCCAAGATCCCCATCATCGAAAGGAAGAAGAAGACGGCCAGAACCATTGCTCCAGCAGAGTCGCTCTGGGTAAGTTCCCAGAGACAGAGAATCGCCATCTGGGGGAAACCAATAAGAACCTAGGTCGATGGAGTCAGCAACGTCGCCCCTCGGCAAGCGGAGTATACAAGTTTACAACATACCAGTCGGTACATGATTCCCTTCAAAACCGTCAACCACCCGTTCCTGAAATCCTGGAACTTGGTGCCTCGGATCCACTTCATCTTGATCGCCAATTCACAGAAGCCTTTGAACGCGCACACACCCAACGCGGTAGCAGCCAGGAAAACACCGAAGAACACCAGCCCCGTAATAAAAAAGTTTGTGATTTCAATCTTAGCCTTGAACGAGACCCTCTCAATTCCAGAGACAACGACAACGCTCGCCTGAGCAGTAGCCGTATTGTCGTTGTTAGATCTCGAATAGAGCTCTGCTGATCGGCGGACTATCGAATTCACGGTACTCCGTTTGTCGAGGCGGGTTTCGGCGAATCCGTACATCGCGGCTCGACTCATCATGTACGGCATGTCGCTTCCAACATCTACGGATCTCTTCGCGATCTGCACCGAGACTTCGGTCAAACGGTTGAGCAAGTTCGCCGGAGTTCCTCCGGTGGCTTGGATGTACCAGTGGAAGATATCCTGCGTGAAGCCGATCTCCAGGATTCCCATCGCCCAGTCGAAGTTTTGGGTCCACGCAGAGACGATCGGCGGAAGCTTGACGGCAGTCATACCAATCATGGCCTGGGCCTGGAAATATCCAAATAGCGAGCACGCATTCGCAGCGACGTGCGCGGCAGTGTTGGAGTGACCGAGACCCGAGGTGACGGCTGATGCGACGAGTCCTAAGCCCGCGATGACGGCGGTAACCCATCCGACTCCGTGTTGATCGACGGTTTTGCCGTTACTAAGAGGCGCCTCCACGCAGGCCACCTTACGCCCCAAATCGACGCTGGTGACTTCGATCCTGGCAATACCGTCGAGATCTGGAACCTGGTAGGTGATGCCTTTACAAATCCAACGCAATCAGTCAGGGCTAGCACGCGGATATTCGGAGCTCTCTCTCGCCGACATACCAGGAATTGAGTTCTCAACACCGTCGCCGACCGTGAGGTGCGAATTAAGGGTGATGACACCGGTCGACATAGGGCACATTCCCTCGAACCCCTCCATGCCGCAAGGATCCAGATCTCTTTCCATCGCCTTGTAGCCATAAGCTATGATGGACAATTTCGCCGTGACATTTCCAGACAACGAAGAGATTCCATTGACCCTAATCATGAGAGTACCACTATCAGGGGTATACGTGATATTGAACAGAGTCGCTACGAAGAGTGAATCATCCATACACGGGTTCAAGGAGGTCGACTGGATGATGCGCTCGGCCGCGACATGTTGGGAGCTGAATATTGTGGCCGCGAACAGGAATGGTATTAAGCGGCGCAAAAAGTATGTTGTTGATAGTGAATGAAGCATGCTGAACGAGCGACAGAAGGTGAGAAGTGGGGGTCGGGGGGACTATCCCCAGTAGGCGATTAAACGTAAGTAGCCGTTGTGAGAGTTTTTGAAGGAACCCTTTCTCGTTTCTGGGGTATTGGGGGGTGGGTGGGTTGAGTACGGGGGCGGTCAGGAGGTTGTTCGTTGGGCGGGCGAGGTGAACGAGAGGTGGGTGGGGCTAGCTGTAGTTGTATGTATTTGGGCGTAGCAACGGGAGGTTGGTTGGGTTTCGGTCGAAAAGAGCGGCAGGCTGGATCGAGCGTCGAAGGCAACCGAAGGGGAGAAAACGAATGATGACGAAAGTAACAATCAAAGAGCGTGGTAGTCTATGTATGTAGATCTGGGAGCGATGATGGTGGAGAGGGAGCAGCGGTTGGGGGGTCAGCTGGATTACTGCTGCAGCAACAAAACCAGGCCTTTCGTCAGTCAAGTCTTTTTTTTCCCTTTCCTTCAAGGAGTGGATTCGTCGAGAGTTGGCGGGTTGTTTTTTTTGTTTGGGAGGAGACAGGGGCTAGCTGGGCTGCAGGTCAGGCGAAGAGATGGCTGGATCCAGGTAGGTTACGGTGGTTGGAGTGAATAGGGAGGTCGTGGAGGTGGTGATGTAGAGTATAACAAAGTAGTATGCAAGCGGAGTTGTAAGCACCTTCAGAGAATTGAATCGGAGGGGGAAGGGTAGAGAGAAGAATCGTAATAATGGAATGATAAAAAGAATGGCAACAATAACAATAATGACAGAGCGAAGGCGCGACCCTGCGGCGATGTGGTTGGAGGTGGAGGTGAATAAGTGGAGGGGAGGGGGGGATGGGTTGTGCGAACGGGGAACCAAAACCTCTTCAACTCGAGGCGAAGGAAGAAGCTGTTGGGTTTTGGAGTGGAAACCCGTTGTATGTATCGAAGAATAGGGTGATGGGGGGTGGAGAGGGGGGTGGTATTATCGAGACTGGGGGGAGGGCGATCAGGGGGGATGGAGGGTTGTGGCGGCCGGAATGGGGGATGGGCGCCTGTGCTTCTTCTTGGTATTCGTACTCTCCAGTCTCCAGTCTCTCGGCCCAACGAGCTGTGTAGGAAGAAGCCGGATAGACGCTGGTGAAGAAGATGGAGCAGATGGTCCTGGGAATCTCCGGGTGATCACGGTCTGCCAGAGTACAGACACTCTACATACGAGTAACCATGTGTGTCGATCGATGGACACATCGTGTAGGTATCATACATAGTACTCAGATATCTGCGTTCCGCTGTCGACGGCGACAACGTAACGCCTCGATTCCGGTGTGTCCCCCGGATTCCTCAGGATGCGCCGCACGGAACGGCTGGTTGAGCTCGAATTCGAAGCATCCAAGCCCGGTAGTCGAGCTCGTCGTGGCCCTCAAGACTCCAGTGTCGCAAGCTACTATAGTATGTATACTATAGCAGCTGCACAGCCCGCCTGCATGTGCTTGGGAGCTTGCGACGCACCCACAAGGGGATGATGATGTTGATGATGATGGTTACCGTGCTGCCAATGCAACGCAACGGATGGATCATCGTGATACATCATCACGCTTCGTTTCGGCTAATAATTGCACATTCAAAACTACCAAGGAACTTTGAAACCACCCACACCCAGTTGCTCACTTGACCAGAGCCCAGTGCAGCGAATCAGATGCCTCACCGCGGGATGGAGGCCGAGAATAGGTAAGATTGCCGCCACCGCCAGAGAGAAGCAACCCATGGCCGCCATCTGCGTGCAGCGCCAGGAGAAGGATATAGAGCAAGTGGTTATCAAGTCGGTGAAGGAGACACTCGAGAGACGGAGATAGGGAGGGAGGGAGGGCAGAAGGGCATGAGGACAAGAGGGAAGGAGGAGATGAGGAGATGAGGATGAGGAGGATGGAGGGAGACGGACAGGGAGACAGACAGACAGGCAGGGAGAGAGAAGGAGAGTTGAAGATGAAATGCGGCCCTTCTTCATCTTACCGGTTGGTGTGTACTATATACAGAATGCATCCACTCCACATAGAGTAGAGAGTAGAGTAGAATACATATGGACCTCGAAGCATCGTGCAGAACTCATGTGCGGAAACATCCATTCCCCAGATCTGTCAGATCTAGCCGTGACGGAGATGGAGGCGGCTCCCCCTTGGCGCTTTTGGCCGCTCAGATGTTAGGGTTATAGATAGTGCATATGCTGTGTGAGCTAAGAGGTTGCGAAGAAACTTTGCAGGATTTTTTTCTTTCTTACGCGCTTCATCTTTCATCCCACCACTCCCCGCAACATCCACCACCACCACCAAACAGCCACCACCACCAAACAGCCACCACCACAACCCACTATTTCATCACCTGCTTCCTCCCACACCTCTATCATCACATCATCATCATCATCATGTCACTGGCCTTTGGCTCTAATGCTACATCATCCAAGAAGCGAAGAATACAGGACCCACAGTCACCCCACTCCAGCAAGCCCCGCACAGTGCAGAAGAAATCCACAGGCTCTCCAGCGGTGGCGAATGAAAATGCGTCGACAACACGAGATGCCTCGTCTCAGGTGAAAAGTTTCCAGGAATTGATCCTCTCCAGCACACTCCAAAAGGCCGTTTCCGATCTGGAACTCTCGGAATTGTCACCACTGCAGTCTCGGGCCATCCCTGCACTGCTTGATGGGAAAGATGTAAGCCGATCCGCTCCCGTCTCACTCACCGGGTTCTGACGCTCCTAGGTTGCTGCTGTAGCACAGGCCGGACGGGATACTATGCTTTCTTTCTTGGTTCCTGCCGTGGCTTTGCTGGAAAAACACCGTTTTCATACCCGACATGGTACTGGAGTGCTTATCGTGACGCCTGACCGCGAAACCGCCGTTCAGATATCTGGACTAGCTTCGGAACTGCTTGCTGGCACTTCGCATACCGTCGGGATGGTCATTGAGGGCGCCAACCGCGGTGCCGAAGAGCAGAAATTGGACAGAGGCGTCAACCTGTTGGTTGCCACGCCAGCGAGATTACTCGAGCACATGCGTGATGTGACTTCATTCGTGTACAAGAACATGAAGGCGTTCTTCGTGTACGGAGCAGATTCGCTCGTCGAGCAGGGGATGCAGAAGCAAGTGCGAGAAATAATCTCACTCATTCCCAAGAAGGGCCGTACATCTGGAGTTTTTGGGACGGAGAGGACGGACGGGGTTGAGGGTCTCGTCGAGCTTATTTGCCGTCCCGAAGCAGTTAAAATCACGTCGACGACAGGCACATCAACCGATGCGAATGCATCTACTGCCCAGACCCAGGGTTACGTTATTGTTGAGGCTGATAAACGATTCCTGTTGCTTTACTCGTTTCTGAAGAAATTTCAGAGAAAGAGGATGGTTGTGTTTGTCTCGTCGACGTCTGGTGTGCTGTTCTGTGAGGAAGCGTTTGGTTCCTTCGATTTGCCGGTCCATGCCATCCATGGAAGGCAGAATGCGAAGTCACGGGCGGCTGCCTTCTCTGGTTTCCTGAACGATGCTGAGGGCACTCTTATATGCACAGAGGAGGCAGTCCAAGGACTTGATGTACGTTTTTCTTCACTTCAGCGCTCTCCTGATCGCCGTGTTTCTGACATTACTCCAGGTTCCATCTGCAGATTGGGTCATCCAGTACGATCCGCCGCGATCCATCAGAGACTTTATTCACCGGCGGGGGACAGTTCAAGGTCGACCGGTTGCCTTCGTTCTACCCAGCGAAAGCGGCTTCATCGATAGTCTTAAAACTGCGGGCATTGTGGTCGAGGAATTTGACTTCCCCAAGAATAAGCTCATCAATATCCAGAGTCAGCTCGAGAAGTTGGTGTCGAAAAACTTCGAGCTTCACACATTAGCAAAGGGAGGATTCAGGTTAGTCACATCCCTCGCTTCCCCCATGCGTACCCACCTAGCACACATTTTTCCTATGATGAGAATCTATGGTCCGTGTTGTTGATTGCGGCTTAAGACCCCGCGTGTCATGAAATGAAACCCATTGAATTTAATTCACCTCTGAGTCTATCTTTTTTTTGCCATTACATTTTCCCTCGCATCGCTTCTTTGGTACAGCGACTAACGTCGCATCGCATGTGCAGGGCATTCCTTCAAGACTACAACCACCACCCCGACAGCAAAATATTCCCCGTCACAGCCCTCGACGTGCGGAAAGTCGGAAAAAGCTTTGGGTTTGACACACCGCCCCGAGTCGAAGTGAAAGTGGAAGAGAAGGTGGTCGTGGATAAGAACAAGCGGATATATGGGCCCGAAAAGCCCAAGGCCGGCAAGAAACGCAAGGCGTCAGTCGTAGCTTAAGATTTCGTGCACTGGACTGGGCTGTGCAATGCTGTAATGAAGATATCCCGAATGATTATTTGATAACCGAGATTCCCATCGTGTGTGCGTGCTGGGCATCTGTGTGTGTGAATACGAACAACCATCATATGTACATGGCCAACGCTCCGCTTTAACTAGACAGATATGCAAGGGAGGATCTGCACAGACATTACCTTGATCTTGGGTATCCTCCGTTCCCCGCGCTCCGTCCGTACCTGCATATGTGTGTATTTATGCTCCATCTCACTCCATCCCCATCCAGATCGAACCCCTACGAATCGGGAAGGCACGAGCCTTGTCCACCTTCTCCATCCTATTAATCGGCGATGACGAATCGCACCCCCCGACCGACCGGATATCCGCGTACCCGTGGGGTCTTCTTCGTTTCGTTTCGGTGGGTTTGGTGGGTGGGTTTGGTAGGTTTGGTTGCTCCGCCTCGTCCGTCGCATTGACCTTCGGTTCTGGGATGCCACGCATGAGAGGGTTGCGCGGCCCGGGATCGGCGCGCTGCCGAAGGGGGGTTAGGTAAGCCTTGCCTTGCCTTATTTTTTGGGGTTTTGGTTTTTCGAAAAGAAAAGAAATGAATAAATGAACAAGGCAGCATTACATTCTGCCTTGCTACTACGGTATATAATAGATCATCGCAGTTACTAGATGAGCCAGCTAAAACGGGACGGGATTGGACGGGACGGGCAAGCAAGGCGAGTGATACCGTGGTGACTGAGCCCAGAGTAATCGGAGGTTTTCGAAGACGGGCAGTTATCGGAAGAACCGACCGGAAAGGAACACGTACGTGAGCTATATATACTTCATGCTACTCTATAGCGACAACGACCGGCGGAGATCGGCCGCCCTCCGGCTCTATGTACTCCAGGTGGATCGGAGTTACTCTACGGACCGACGTGTCGTGTGGAGGCGTCAGCTTTCCCGTTGTTCTTCTTGTTCTTGTCAATCTTCTTCCCGACCATTGGCCTCTGAGGGGCGAGACTGATATGCGTGATAGGTACGAGTGCGGTGGCTCTAGATCTAGATGTAGATCGGGAAACACCGACGACTATACATACCTCTTAGTAAGTAGCTCCCCCGCGCTTCTGAAGCTGGATTTGGCTGCAGGGATTAAGCGGGAGGGGGGTTATGTTGGGTCAACGCAGCACCTAGGAGCTGCAGCCGTCGAAGGGAGAGGAATTGCTGCCGGTTTGTACGGAATTGAACGGATATAGCGATGGAAGCGAGACTCGTACGTCCCCCCCGGCCCCCCTGAGTTCTTGGGTCCTTCCCTGGTTCCCATCGTCCCACTTACCGAGCCGATTTTCGGTGCTGCGCCCGGCTTCAGGGCCTTGTAGTGTAACCAGTTACGGTACCTATCCTGTTGAACAGTGTCCGTAAACATTGAGCTCTAACTAATAGGTAGTGCAGTTGGTATCGGAGATTCGGCTTACCTGGCTGGTTGGAATATTGCGGACGGAGTTCGGGTTGTCAGTTCTAAGCAGTGCGATTGGGGCCGAACTTTCGGCCCTCTGCACGGAAGCAAGAGTGCCGTAGATTGCCGCCGTCGAGTACCTACGGTATGTTCTCCCTCAGCGCACCGCATGTACCGTACTTGTGGCATGCAATCCCTGGTTTGGCAGTTGGTCATTCCGTCCAGTTCCAATCGGCAACCGAACCAGTTCGCCACATAGTTCAATTTCAGTGCCTCCGATAGTCTAGTCTAGTTCGTCTTTCAGCAAAAGGCGGACTGGACTGATAGGTTGAAAGAGTGATAACCGCTAGTCACATAGTTCGACCCAAAAGTTTCAGAAAATGGCAGTCCGTCAGTCGACTGCAGTCAACTGCAGTCCGAGGCGGCAAAATTTTGGGACGGACTGAATTCAAACCGTCTACCAATTTTATGGACTGGACTGGACTATCGGGAGCACTGCCGGTAACGATAATGATGACCGACACACCCCGCACGAATAGGTATAGCGAATAGTTCTGGCCGAGGATCACCGCCGAGTTTGCGAATGGATACGGTATGCTCGTTTCCCTGGGGGGAATAGAGTATCGGCCACAGAACGCAGCATGATCAACATGTACGGGAGAACGAGGCGACCAGCGGCGGAGAAGCATCGCGAACTCCGGAGCATGATCGCAAGTTTGTTGGTTGCTTTTCCATTAGTATCCGATGTTTTGCAGAATCGCCTATCCGGTTGGAATCTTGGGCGAATCGAAGACTCAGGTTCGTCTGAGTCACCCACGACTCCGAAGGATCACATCCTTATTGAGGCGGGGCCGTACGATGCTGTTCTCGGAATAGGTAGGTGTATCGATCCTGGATTCCTATATATTGCGGTGCTCAGACACAAAGTTAGCTTTGTAACTGCGCATCTGCCCGCTGCGGGGTATCCATCAACACCAGGCCACCAGCCGTCACTCGGCAGTTGTTCCACCGCTAAGCCTCACACAAACGTTTCACTTCTTCCAACCCCCATTGAAGCATAATGACCTCGCCAAGTGAAGATGTTGAGAGGGTCGATGCTCCCGTTGGCACACATGCTGTGGAACGCCGTGTCGGTGCGTCGAGGTACTTCGGTTTCCGTTTTCGCTGCTGTCGATGGAGGTCTAGGTATCTACTGGCGGGTTCAGAGTACACTATATGCAAGTGCAGGGGATCTTCGCTGAAAGCGGGGGCAGCGTCCACAAGGGGGGTTTTTATGGACTGAGAACTTCTGTCATAAGTCTACAAGGCTCGCTTTCGGGTGATCCGATGACCCTTCCATCCTTCCTTCATTCCTCCCGCAATTAATACGACTCGAAAATCGTTCGTTGTTTGTTTGGTGGAACACGCATGTACCCGTCCAATCGGCTTTGCAGTTTCGAATGACACAAACGCCAATCCCGTCAAAACGATAAGCTTAGATCCCCGCAGCGGGAAGGAGTGCGCACAGATTGTCAGCCCGCGTATCCAAAGGCCGATCATCGGTGGCCGCAGTACATGCATGTTTCAACATCACTAGGCAACAGCTTCGCTCTGGTCCAGTCATTGCTGTGCGAGGTATACTGACGCAGATATCAACATGTTGTTCCCGAATCCCCCAGCAAATGGCCGTTGGGTTTTGGTTCAGAATGAAGGGAAGACATGGGTTTCCATTCGATGGCTCAGATGTTAACCGTCATGCAACCGGCCCGGAATACGAAGGAGGGGGGAATACTCAGCCGGCCGACTGCGGAGGATTGAGGGTGAAGGGCGGACTGTGGGGCTCTTCTGAGGAATGGACGGTGGACCATAAAGCTCGACGGGGCTGCGCGGAAAAGAGCGGAGGTTCGCCATCGGAATCAAGCTCTCCTCCTTAGAAACATCGCATTGCTTTCAACTTCAAATCTTCCACAGCTTCAATTCGCTCCATCATAACCTCAATACCTCCTTCCTCCGAGAAGTATTGCCGCCATGTCTGCTGGCAGTTCAAGTCGAGCTGAGGGCTTCGGTGGTGGTGGTAGTGGTGGTGGTGGTGGTGGTGGTGGCGGTGGCGGCGGACATCGAGCCTCAGCCAGTTCGGGTTCCGAAAGCAGCTCTGAATTTGAACATATCTACAATAGTAATCCCTTCCATGGATCTAGGCTTGATCACCCGCTGACAGCTGTGCGTCATATGTAGGTCCCCAATCAGCGTCCTGGAGCACCGATGGTATAGAGTCGCTCGGCAGCACCGAACAAGCCCAGATTCTCAGCATCATCGATGGCATCCGCGATAGCAACGTCTCCAAAGAGATCGATTTCCCACGCCTGGTCGTGTGTGGCGACCAATCTTCCGGCAAGTCCTCGGTGCTGCAGGCCATCGCCGGAATCCCCTTCCCACACAGCAGTGACCAATGCACCCGCTTCGCAACCGAAGTGATCCTGAAGCGGTCATCCTTCGTGGGTGTTACAGTCAGCATCAAGTCCTACAACACCAAGGAGACCACCGTCTTCAAGACAAAGAGAGACTTGACCTCGGTAGACGACCTTTCGGAAGTCATCAGGAAGGCCGGCGATAAGATGGAGCGTACCGGCGCCTTCTCGAAGGATATCCTGCAGATCGAGATATCCGACCCCACGAAGAAACCGCTGATTCTGGTCGATCTTCCGGGATTGATCCACAATGGTCCGGACGAGGCCGTTGTGGTTGGAATGGTTGAGGATTACATGAAGAATACGCGCACTGTCATCCTGGCAGTGGTGACGGCTGGAGGCGATCCGGACCCGCAGGCGGTTCTCAAGTTGGCCAAGATCCACGACCCCGAAGGCCGGCGGACGTTTGGAATCATTACCAAGCCCGACAAGAGCGACGGGAATACCAACCTACAAAGAAGGCTCATCGGTATGGCGAAGAACTTGGACAAGAATTTCAAGTTCGATCTGGGGTGGCATGTGCTTATGAACGGCGCCGCAAACGACGGAGAGCAGCAGCTCGACTTGGAAAAACGAGCGAAAGAAGAGAAGAGGTTTTTCGAAGCCGGGCCATGGTCTGGTGTCCCGAAAGGCAATTGCTGCATCGGACCCCTTCGCCAACGGCTAAGCACCATGCTGCTCGACCATGTGAAGCAGGAGTTGAAGGGGATCAAAGGGGACATCAGCGCGGCCATTGCGAGATGCCAAAAGGAGCGCGCCGATATGGGAGAGTTACATCAAGACCTTCCCTCAAAACGGAATTTTCTCGTCGAGACCGGGAAGAAGTACCACAAGATCTGCAACCAGGCGATTACGGGTCTCTATACCACTTCACGTTTCTTCGGGACAGGATTCTCGAGCAACCCTGAAGATGATGCGCTTTACCTGAGGGGTAGGATAAAGAATCTCAACGTCGCTTTCGCCTACACCTTCTGGAAGTATGGCCACCACAAGGAAATCGAGGACTGCAGCTTGATCCCACAGGGCCTGATAGACACCGACGAGTCAACCGACCATTTCGATGATTGCCGGGTGGAGCCTGACGAGATCACACGGAAGTACGCGGTCGTTGACTGGGTTAAGCCCGTTGCAAAGAAATCCCGGGGAGTCGAAATCGTCGACGGACGCAATCCCACCCTCGTCAAATTCCTATTCTGCGAGCAATCGCAGAAATGGGAAACACTAGCTTACCGCCATCTCGACGAATGCTCCGCCGCATGCCGGAAGTTCCTGCGACTCGTCCTCGAAGCGGTTGTGCCCGAAGCACGGGAGGAGATCCGGGATTCTCTGCACGATTGGATCGACAGGAAGCTGGAAAGGAGGGTCGCCGATGCCAAGCGGGAGATGGCGAGCATCATTGCCGACTGCCGCGACTGCTTTCCCATCGTGAATAACTACCAGTATTACGATGAGGTGGGCATTGCACGAGTGAAACGCGCAGGAAATGGAAGCGCCCGGCAAACCATCACCAGCCTGAGGCACACCTTGGGCTCCGTTGTGGGACTTCCCACGCAGGCCGAATTGGTGAGCGGGCTTACGGAGGTGATAGGTTCACTCGACGGAGACGCCGAGGAAGTACATGAAGATCCCGAGGATCAACGGTGCGAGGCTTCGTTGGATGAGATGCTGGCATACTACAAGGTGGGACATCATCCCTCCGTCTCCAGGGGCATACCACTGATATCAAGTCTAGACCGCAAGCAGACGCTTCGTGGATGACGTTGTTGTTCAGGTTATCGAGCGCAAACTGGTGGCCGAGTTGGACGAAACCTTTTCTGCCTACGAAGCTGCGGTTATGACAGACGAGGAGGTTGCCAACATCGTCCAGGAGTCGCCGTATAAACAACAGAAGATCAACGAGCTGAATGTCAGACTGAAGAGTCTCGAGAGGGCTGCTGACGCTTGTAGACGGTACTCGAGATGGTATGTCCATCCCAACCTTGGCATAGTTTGAGCAGTTACTGACAGATGCTAGAAACCGGTAATTACCTGGGTTTAACGGCTCCCTAGATACTGGCAGAACTAAGGATCAATTGAGTGTGTGTGTATGCTTTCCGTCGTGTTTTTGGGCTTTCTCTGTTTACTAGTGCATGGCGTTTCTTTTGGATGGGGGAGCTTTATATTGAATTCATTTCCTATTTCGTCTGTGTTTTGTTTCTCGTGGAAGCTGTTTTACTTGCAGAAGTTTCGTTTCTTGTACCAGTACATTGAGTAGACGCTTTGACATCTAATGAAGTCGTTTCCGAATGAAGTATCTTGTGAATACCCAAGTGTGCAACCACACACTGTCACTCGGAGTGCCTAAAGATCACGCTTGCAGGACAGTAAAAAACGAGATTACAGAGCATCTACTATATCATTCTGTTACCGGCCGTGATTAGGGAAGCCCTTCTCTGGCGATTGTCCAGTTATGCTACCTACATACTGTCGGTCCCAGCCCGGACTACCTAAGAAGGCACCCAAGTTTGCCGGTCTAAAGCATCCAGTAGCGGCTCTGGCCATATCCCACCCGTCGCTTGAACCCCGGTCTATCCTTCCTCAGTGCCCACAACTCGCACAGCAGCAGCATCCACCACATAGAATTCTCTCCAGCTACATGACAGAAGCAAAGGATGAAACCCCCGCAAAGATGATGTACGCCAAGAGGCTCCGATACTCACTCCGTATGGTTCGTGGCCGCAACGGTTGCAGTAGATACTCTACCTACGATCGTGCGGAACTCGACGAGGTGCCGAGTGAGAGGCTATGACCGGTCTCCTCCACCGGTTTGCCAGTCAGCTTGTGCCATGCAGGACCACGACTACTACGTAAAGTACAAATTACACACAACGGCTAAGCCCCACTGATAGTTAGCGGCTATGGCGGACTACATAATATCGAGGTTGAAGTCCAGAGATGGCACTCTAATAGCCACCGGTCCAACAAAAACTACGGTACTCTCTAGCAGACCCTCCAACAGTTTGAACTGGGAACAATCCAGGGGTGTTCCCGAACCAACCAACTTTTGGGGGTAGTGAACTGAATCAACTGGCAAATTGAACCAACTGTCAAACTGAACCAACTGCCAGGTTTCGAACTGGGAAAACTACTTGTTCTATCAGTTCAGTGAGGCTTAAAAGTTAGGGCCAAATCCGTCGCCACCACAAACCCACCGGCAAACCGCCTAGGTACAACTCACCACCTAGTCGGGCAATATGGGGCATTGTGCCCCGCTTGATGAGCTCCTAGACTATTGTTCACTGTCTGTCGAGAGGAAGGTTCGCAACAGCCCCGCTGCTATCGAATGGTGATTGGAACTGTTGGAAGGTGTGGCGAATCACCTTTAATACCAGCATTATACAGAGGTGTCGGTGGTCAGCGGCGGCGGCGCCGGCAGGTACGTAGTCGCCGGCAGGAGGATATAATAGTCGGTAGATAGCTGTCAATGAAAGGACAACTCGCATACAAAACATCATACCTTCGAGTGAAACTATTTCTCGTGCCTTTCAGCAGGAACCCTTTCAGCAACGACGTTTCCTAACCTCAGCTGAATGGCGATTGACATTCTGTCTATCCCAGCCATATCCGCTGAGGTTGAACGGCTGTTGTCCGAGTGCAAGAGGATTCCTAGATCATCGGCATTCCCTCAGCATCGAGAGTATTGAAGTTCTGGAGAGTATCAAGAGCTTCAATCGCTGAAATGATGGGTAGGTAGCATTAGAGTAGTAATTCAGAACTGTGACCATGCAAAAATAGTAGTGAACCCAGTTTTTATCGCTTTTTCTGTGACCATAGGAACCTATCTCACCCACTTTGGTTGGCCTAGCTGAACTGGTAGTTCATCCGCTGAACTGAATACAGTTCTGCCAGTTTTTCCGGGAACAGCTGCCAGACCTACCTAAACAAACTGGGAACTGACAGCCTCTGTTCCCAACTGAACCGGGAACAAAATCAACCAGAACTGAACTGTTTAAACCAGTGTTCCCATTTCAACTGACTAACTGTTGGAGGGTCTGCTCTCTAGTAGCGTAGGCCGCTTGCTTCTCTCCTTCCTAGTAACCGCAACTGTCTGCCAGTGAGAGCTCCCATCAATAGTACTCTACGGTGAAGACCCCTCTTGATTACACGTTTTGCTATAGGAACTTTGGCGGCAATGGGGAAGGTTCTCGGGAGGAAACATGGCATTCTAGTATTTGGTTCTCGAGGAAGGATTAGAACGTCACATTGGACCACACTATAGTAGTACCAGTACATAATCTGTAGTTGGTAATCTTAATGAAGTGGGTTGCGAGGGCTACAATATCTCGTTCGACTTGCTGCATTTTCAAGGGAAGAGTACATACACATCCTATATAGGTACGGTAAAAGATCCTACGGGCATGTTATGTGGCAGGTACGATCGCAGCTATTAGCCCCACTGGAGGTCTAAGTAGCAAGTACTCTGCACTCGTGAGTCGTGAGAACACATAATGTAGGTACTCAATTACATTGTGCCTACGTACTCGGCTTCTCTGTTGAGTAACATGTATCCCCGATCGCCTGGCATAATAAGCCATTTTGAAACGAAAGCAAACCATTTCCACCACGAACGCCGCCCCCCGCCCCGCCCCTCCCAGGTCATCTCATCTAGTGATACAGCCACCCGCAAAATTAATGTGTACACGGTATATAGTCAAGCGAAATAGAAGAATGAGAAGATGCAAAATTCGCAAAGAAACCCCTCCAGAATCTAATTCAGTATGCAAGTAGTGAAAAAAAAACGACCCAGTGTGTATCGGACTATGAAAGCAAAGCAAAAAAAAAACCTCCAACAAAGCTAGCACAAACAATGAGCTGCATCCCTCTTCCATCCCGATTCTCCACTCACAATTCTGTCCATCACCTACCTAAGTATTGGCGCCGCTGGCAGAGGTTCCCAACTGAGCAGTCCTCGCCTTCTCCTTGCGAATAGCTCCCTTCCGGCCGCGAACAACCTTCTTGGCAAGATCGACCAGCTCTTTAGCTTCGGTGCTCTCTCTCAAACTCTCCAACATCAAGTTGAGCTGCGTCTCCGACGCCATGTGCGGGCAACGTTTGGTAAAGTGCGCAGTCTTGCAGAACGGGCACAGCTCGACTCCGCTCTGCTTGAACGAGCAGGTGCCCGGTGCGTGGTGGTGGTGGCAGGCGCGGCAACAAGGGAATTTGGGGTTGTCCGTTGGCGGGATTATGGTGGCTCGTTGGAATTGCGAAGGGTGGTTTTCGGGAACGGGAGGCGCCAGTGGAAACATCGTTTGCATGGTGCCCGAGAGGGGCAGAGCATTCTGGTACATAGACCTATTGAGAGCCATAAGAGGAGGCAGGTAGGTGTAGGGCACAGGAGCATTTGGAGCCATGTGGGGAGGCATGGTGTGATTCGGAGGAGCCATTGAAGCCATATGAGGAGGCGGGTAGGTGTAGAGCACAGGAGCATTGGGAGCCATGTGGGGAGGCATAGTGTGATTCGGAGGAGCCATTGAAGCCATATGAGGAGGCGGGTATGGGTATGGCACAGTAGCATTGGGAGGCATATGGGTAGGCATGGTGTGATTCGGAGGAGCCATTGAAGCCATATGAGGAGGCGGGTATGGATATGGCACAGTAGCATTGGGAGGCATATGGGTAGGCATGGTGTGATTCGGAGGAACCATTGAAGCCATGTGAGCCACGGGAGTCATAGACGACGGCTTTCTGCGACCATTGCCGACGCCGGCTATCATCAAATCGTGTTTATCCACATCCTCATGGCCACTCTGCGAGTCGTCCGATTCTTGAGCTTTATCGTCGGTATGGAAGTCGGTGTCATTATCGTCGTCGTCCGCATTTCCATCTTCAATTGCGTACTTGGCAACGGTCTTACGACGGCGGCCCCTTCCTAACTCCTCTTGCTTCGCGGCTGCCTCTTTATTCGCAATCTCTTCACGTTCCTTCACGATCCGATCCCAGAATGCCACTTCTACCGTATCGTCGTTTCCGGATTCCATTGCAAAGTCGGTTTCTTCGAGAGTGCCCTTCTCATTCGCCCACACTCTTGCAAAGCTGAACGTACCGCCGGCATTATCCTCTGCAGCCTTAGTTTCTTCGATCTGAGATCGATCAAGCAGTTTGTCGACACTTTCGTTGTCGTACTTGATGGCCCGGTCGTCATTATCGTCTTCGAAAAGACGCTTCGCACCGAAGGCGAGAATGCTTTCCACGTCAAAGGCGTCTAGCTCCCCACTCTCGTCGTCACCCATTCTCTCAATGATCAAGTGGTCAAGAGACTTCTTCTTCTTGCCCACCTGCATGATCTTTTCCTCGACGGTGTCTCGCGTCATCAGGTGGAAGACAAGCACCTTATGCTTCTGCCCGATTCTGTGTGCTCGCGAGAGGGCTTGCATGTCTGAATGCGGGTTGTGATCCGGATCCAGAATGATGACCGTGTCCGCTGTTGCCAAGTTGATGCCGACACCACCAGCTCTGGTGGACAATAGAAAAGCGAAGTAGTCAGAGTCAGGAGCGTTAAACTCATCAATGGCCTTCTGCTTGTTTAGACTGCTGACATTGCCATCCAGTCGGTACCACTTAAGTCCCAGTGCAACCAGAAAATCCTCCATCACATCAAGCATTCCCAGGAATTGGGAGAAAATCAAGACACGATGTCCTCGTTCCTTGAGTTTCGGCAGCATGATATTCAAAAGCCCGAGCTTCGACCCAGCCTCCACCAAGTTCCGATGGATGAGTTCATTAGAGTCATCCTCGTTGATCTCCTCTATAGCTCTACTATAGACGAATGGATGGCAGACGCACTTCCGAAGCTGCATTAGCAAGTTGCGGACCCCCCCTTTCTCGCTCTTGCCGAGCTTGCCGTCACGCGAAAGAAGGGAACGAATCATCTTTGCGTCCTTCTCGAGGATTGACTTGTATAGACTCTTCTGCAAAGCAGTCATAGAGATAGGTACAATGACCTCAGCCATGGGCGGAAGATCGGTAAGCACTTGCGCCTTCGTACGCCTCAGAAAGTACGGCCTGCTCTTATCAATACATGGTTTCTCTGCAGGAAGTAGTTTAGACTGACCGGATGAGAGTATGCAGCTTCGGGACATTCTCGACCGTTGGAATCCCGAATTCGTCCTCCAATCCTTGGGCGTTCATATCCTTCGGATTGAGGAATTGCAGCATGTTGAACAGCTCCCTCGGATTGTTCTGCAAGGGCGTCCCAGAAAGAAGTACCTTGTGCGTGTTGGTATACTTCATTAGCTCGACATGGAGCTGGGCCTTTTCGTTCTTTAGACATTGTCCCTCATCCACAATTAGAGCCTGCCATGGAATTTTTCGCAGCATTGTAGCATCGGAGACGGGGGTCGTGTAAGACGTCACGACGATGTGGCACTTCAATTTTCCATCCTGTCCAAACATTTCATATTGGCGCTTTGGGAGGAATCAGCGATGATCTTGAACGACGGATGAGCCTATTACTTACCGCATGTTTGCGACCAACTTCAGTCCCGTAGTAGGCCACTACCCGAAGGGAAGGGGCCCAAGTCCGAATCTCTCGTTTCCTACACTTGGATTAGATATCGCTGAAACCCAATGATTGGGTGTCGACGACGAAGACAAACCAGTTCGGCACAGTCGACTGCGGGGCGACCACCAAGAAAGGCCAGATTTTATGCTCTTCAAACAAAACAGACAAGAACGAAATGATCTGAATGGTCTTTCCCAGTCCCATTTCATCTGCCAAAATCACATTCTGTCCGGCCCACCATTTGTAGTAGAGCCAACTACACTGCGTCAGTTCAAGTTCAAAATTAGGTCGATGGATACTCACTTCATGCCCTCCTTCTGGTAGTCCATCAAAGTACCGCCTTTTATGTACCTGGGCTGTCCGGCCAGTTCAAGCGTGTCGAATGGGGAGCGACGGGCCTTTTCAATCTTCTTGACCAGATTGTGGGCCGGGCGTACATACAACCCATGCACGTAGTCGTAGTAGGCAGACTTCCAATCAGCCCACCTATCCCCATCAGATTCCAAGGGCGGGCTGTCCCAAACGACTTCGTCATACCCGAGACCCTTATATTTAATAAGGGCCTTAGCGACCTCCCTCACCCGAGCCAGGTCCACATTGACGTCCTTCCCAACAGGAACGTAGCTAGTGTATTCTAGCCTGAGAATTATCTCCACCCGCAACCATGACTCGTCGATGGCTTTCTCCTGGCTCAGGATGGCATACGGATTATTCTTCAAAAATCCGAGTCGGCGATAAGGGAAGGCACCAGTCAGCCACGGGCCAGGAACCCATTTCACATGGAAATAGGACTGCCCGTCGAACTTGACTAAGTACTCCCGCTCATCTTCAGTGAAATCAGCGAGACTGAGTGCACGCTCGTCCCACGCGGCAGGATCAATCGGACGCCAAGCGGTGATCTTGTCTATCTTGCCTGGTGCTCTTACGCAGTCCAGGCATGTGAACGCTGCGTAGTTGGTCGAGTCCCGCTCTGGAAGATGGTCGTAATGCCATGCTCGAGAACATCCTTGACAACGAAACAATACGTTCCCGGGAGCATAAAGACCCTTATCAGGAACGTCGATGTCAGGTGACAATGCTCTTCCATCTTGCGCCTTTATTTTGGCCTCGCTTAATGGCTTGAAAGGTTCACACGAGTCTCCTTGAGCCCCACAATCTGTGCACCGATCCCACGACGCTTGGAGATGATCCTTCAGCTTCGGCCTTCCTATGCAGCGCTTGCACTGAAGCACAAAATTGGTGCTGGACACCTTGGTAACAAGATGCTCACGCGCATTTCGCAGTCCAATGCAGGCTTTGTGGTAGGAAGCCGAGCAGCCCTGACAAAAGATCAAGTGGCCTTGTTTATCCGAGGGACCCGACTTTTGGCAAGTCTCACAATGTAGATTATGAACCTGGACGAACTCGTCATCGTCAGGAAAAATCGGAAATATCTCTTTCGAACGTGTGAGTTTTGGTTTCGGGGGAGCTTTGGGTTGTGGCTCTTCGGTGTACTCGTATTCGTCTTCCGGGACCGGCTCAGCGTAGTTTTGGTGACGCCGGGTTCTACCCGACCGTCTCGCTTGTTCGTCCTCGCTACGGTGATACTCCGATTCATCGCTCACCTCTTTTGCCTTTCCATTCGATTTTCTGGCCGACCTGCGCTGCGACTTTTTACGCGGAAGATCAATGATATTATCGTCGTCGTCCGACTGCGGGCCTCTCTTGAAAGAGAGCATCGAGGGCCCTTCCTTTAGTCCCTTCGACCGTGTAGCGCGCCCTCCATCGTCCTGCTCTACTATGGCTTTCTCTTTTGTCGTCTCCTTCAGAGTAGCTAACCGCCTTGTTCCCCGAAGTTTGAGGAGATTTCGCTGGCGTTGTGCTCGCTCAGGAGGAGGGCGTGACAACCAATCTTCCTCCGCCTCTGTACCTCCGGTTGTAGAATGGTCGTAATCTAATTGGGCTTCACCCTCCGGTTCATCTTCATCTTCGTCGTCATCGTGTTTGCCGCTTAGAAAGTCATTGAGAGCTTTTTTTCCGTTATCGAGAGAGGCGAGGCGTTCGAAAGACAGCTGGAAGCACTATTTAGCGACAGCCCACACTCCCGACACCTAAATCCCAAGGATAGAAATCACTGAAAGTCTTACTTCGGCCTCTTTGCCGTTCTCGAAGCGCACCCAGTACCGGAGTGAGTAGTCATTTGCTCTGATCTCTCGGGTGACCCGAACAAGCTTTGAGTCTTCTAGATCATCGCCATCGCTCCCCGTGTCCTCGTCGCCTTCACTCTCCGCCTTGTTTCTGTCATCATCCGAGCCTTCTACAAGCTTCTCGTATTCGTTTGGGTGAGCTCCCTTGCCCGACAACGTGGGAGGAATGATGCTCACAAGCATCTGTCGTTTGGGCAATCCAGTTGTCTGGATGCTTGTCTCAGCAGAAGAAGAGTGAACACTCACGCCGCGCTCCGGTACATCGACCTCCATCATGTCGACCTCATCAACTTCCGAGTAGCCCGCTCCGCAATCCGAGTCATCCATCAGGTCGTGTATCTCAGGTTTGATACGATGTGTACGAGTGAATTGAATGTGGGAAGGGATAGCGAAAGCGACCGAGGAGTTTTCGGAGCTTGTCGGCGACGTAGGATATCGAGGGGTATCGATGGTGTGGCTTGTTGTGGGGGTGGGGGAAGAGATGGAGCCTGGAGGGATTGACGCGTCTGTCCTTTCGAGGTCATGGTGTCTGCTCTCGTGACCGTGACTAGCGTGTTTGCAAAGACAGGTGGTCCGTGCGTTCGGCTGGCACGTGATCTTGCACGTGACAACCGATCTGAGCTCCCTATGAATCTATGATGGGTGCTGTATTGTGGGAGTGATTCTGATTGTCTAATATACTTTGTCTATGGATACATTCCGGCGAAGATCAAACTGGAGGTATGTACATAACTGGCTATGACCAGCTCGGACTCGAGAATCGAACCGGCCGCGGCCTGCAGTCTACCGGTAGATGTAAAGGTCTCGAGGAAAAGAAGCACATGTATATACCCCGGATCCGTATACAAAGGTATGTATCTACTAGCGGTGAGGGCCAGATGGGACGAACGACTGTAGCTACCTGCGGCGGTCTCCCGTTGTTACTCTAGATGGACGTTTCCATAACCTCCATACTGCTCCCGGCTCTCCTCGAGGGGACGGAACCGATGTTCGTGCACGATACATTTCCCCTCGAGCCATGGTCTAAGATGTTCTCGCCATAGCGTTCCAACGAACAGTCAATCCGGTTTTGAAGAGGGTTTCGAGGACATTGCTTCTTGCACTTGCACCTGGGATTGGTATGTTTGTACATATACGTGCAAAACCTATGTACAATCAGGGTCTCCGCAAACGTCTCATCTGCCTATCTCTTTGTCCGGCGAATACATGGGCGATTGGAGCTATACATCATTTAGCGCAATGGCACAGTCACAGTGATCACTCATCCACAGACCCAAAAAGCACAGGGACTGCTATGTAGGCTCTACATACCAGCTACAGAGCTACTCATTGCTCAAGTACTATATACCGGTATAGCACAGTGACTTCGCCCATTGCACCAATGCATGGCTCTGGTCATATGGATCTGGTCATATGGATCTGCAGCACAAAGCTTTGGACGGAACATCCGGTCATCAACGGTGGCACTGCGGAATCCGGCAAGAAATTCACTCCTGCAGCGATGATATGTACCGGCATCCGAATACGAATGGTTCGGGAAACGCTGGACCACCTGGTGTCATGACCCTGCGCACGTCTCAAGGGTTCATAGTCCCAAAGCATGCATAGCGCTACCGAACTCTCCGTATTCCGGGTCTGATGGCACCAAGGCGTACCTACCGTCCCTACGTCTCGCTCGGACGGAAGCTGGGATCTCTGGGCGTTTAGGCGATTCTGTAGGCGACCCGCGGACGGCCATTCCAATATCCATACACATCAAGCATGACTTCGATAGTGTGGAGCAGCAACCTGGTAGACGGTCAGTAGAGTAGGTACTCGTATGCATACCCGCCACGATTATATAGAGGTTGATTCCATCCCTTGCCATAAGCTTAAGAACCTTTTGATTCGTGGCCTTCACTCAGGAACAGACTCTACTGTGTAGAGTACAAAGTCCGATAGTACCGTTATCCTTTTCCCTCGACCGGGACCTAGGGTTACGGATGATTTCTGTTCGGGATTCCTTCTGTCTGTCGACAACTCGACGTCATATTGGGGTCGCCGGTCGCCCAGGGAAGTTGGAATCACGGTCACTCTATTTCAAGCAGAGACGGCTTAGAGTCCAGACCGTCAGATGAGAAAAGGGCTCCTGTCCAGCAGCTGACTGAAGAGTAGCCGACTGAAGAATGGTCGGCTGAAGAGTGGCCGACTGAAGAGCGGTTGACTGAAGAAACGACTGTGCCAGTTCTTACCTGATCCGTATCTGTCAGTCAGCTGCCAGCAGTAAGGGGATGATTGCTTGCTTACTACTTGCACAGCTAATATCGGAGAGCCTAGTCTTGCGGTGGGATTCTCTCGCCATTATTGGTGGCTGAGCTGTGGTATGCTACCGGTATGCACGTTGCAAGATACACCGGTATCTAGCACAAGGGAAGCCAGACACCCAGAGCTGGATATTCCGGGCGATTATGTGCATGGTGCATGCGCGTGGCTGTGTGCAACATACATACTCGTCCTTTCTTTTGGTGAGGAGTCCGGCTTCTGGAGCACGCGCTGGATTCCGTTCGTTATTCCCCGGCCAAAACTACCCAGCTAGCCCCGCTGTCCTTCGTCCTCGTGAACCTCTATCTAGGCCTCCCACTCTCCCTTGCCTTAGCGAGCTTCCTCACCGAGTCCTCTCCTTCGTGAAGAGGCCTTTTGCTTATTAGTAAGGTGCGCCCTGCTGCCTCCGTCTCTGCCTCCTCCGCCTCCGCCTCGCTGTCTTCCGTTCATACCTGCTGTACCGTGTCTTGTCGTAGCCATACGCGCGTCTGTTGTCTTGCCTTCTTTCCCACTCCCCAAAAGCCGAAGACTGATTGGACACATCAAAGGGTTTCACCTTGTTACACTCATAACTCTGTCTGGCTCCCCCACTAAGCCCCGTACTCTAGCCCACCTCCCCCAGCGGACGATCCGTTCTCATCTTACTTTCCTCCATATCAGACACAGAAGGCACACCCCTCAATTAACGCGCACACCCGCATACCACATACGTACTCACTCCCGAGCATCCTTCCCCAGCCAAGCACTCGATAGGTGGTAGCAAACTACCTAGCAGAGCCAGCGCCGAGGAACCACCGGCGCAGCAATCCCCCGTCACACTCGGGAGAAGGAAGGAATTAGAAAATAGAAAAGGCCGCCCTCTCAGACATATTCTATTATGGCCGGAAGGGACCCCTACACCCGCTTGGACTTTGACCCTCCATCACATCCCGACGTCGACAACCGCTACGACGACGACTCTCCCCCGCGCTCTCCAGGAGGTCATCACATCGCCGGAATGAATCCCCACCGCAATCCTCACGCTTATGATCCCCCTCTCGATGGCGGTCTCCACTCGCACACCCCCTCGCCGCCTGGAGGCGGTTACCAGCTCGAAGACAACCCCGGTCCCTACCGTCCACAGCGACAGAACACTGCTGGATACCCAGCGCAGCACACGCACATGCCCGAGTGGCCAGATCACCCGAGTAACGTTCTGGTTGCGCAACCTACTGTAAGTCAAGCGTCGGATGGTGAAACCTACAAGCGGGCTTCGGCTTTGTCTGTGTCGTGGTGGTCGAGTTCGGTGAACTGAGTTCAAGCGCGCAGTACTCGGTATCGAATCTTCCCCACAGCTACAATGAAGCCCCCCCGGCACCTCCGTCTCGAACCGATATGCGCACTCCCGGCGCCCCCGATCCATTTCAGCATGTTATGTATCCGGAGGATCACAGGGATGCCTACAATACCGAGCCGTACCAGCCACACGTCGCCGGTGTCGATGCCTACGGAAACCCCTTCGACAACTCCCACACGTATGACGGTCCCTACGACGATGATAACCGTCCGATCCTACAAACCCCGGAAACAGTACCGACGCCTCTTTCGGCGGATCCGGACTCATACTTTCCCAACCCAGCCGTGTCTCCGGTGCCACAGAGCGGCACGCCAGGGCCGGGTCTTCGGAGATGGAAGACGGTGAAGAAGGTAGCCTTGTTTAAGGGTAACTTGGTATTGGACTGTCCCGTACCTAAGAAGCTGTTGCAAATGCTGCCGATGAAGACGGAGCGCGAGTTCACGCACATGAGATACTCAGCGGCGACTTGCGATCCCTCGGAATTCGTCAAGGAACGGTTTACTCTGCGCCAAAAGCTGTTCCAGCAGCCACGTGTTACTGAGCTCTTCATCGTCGTGACAATGTACAACGAGGATGAAATTCTGTTTGCGCGCACTATGGCTGGTGTGTTCAAGAATATCGCCTATCTGTGCTCCAGAAACAAGTCGAAGACCTGGGGCGCAGAGGCGTGGAAGAAGGTGGTGGTCTGCGTAGTGAGCGACGGTCGCGGAAAGATCAATCCCAGAACCAGAAGTGTTCTCGCAGGTATGGGATGCTACCAGGAAGGAATCGCGAAGACGAAAGTCAACGAAAAGGACGTAACTGCGCACATCTATGAGGTTCGCAGGAAAAGCTTGTCACCGCGTTTCGGGGGTGCACCATTGGGCTGACGAGTATTATAATAGTATACCACTCAAGTAGGAATCGAACTTGACAAAAACGACATTGTCCAGCTCAATCCGGGAGGGAAGAAAACGACACCTGTGCAGATACTGTTCTGCCTCAAGGAAAACAACCAGAAAAAGATCAACTCCCACCGGTGGTTCTTCCAGGCGTTTGGGCCGGTATTGGAGCCAAATGTCTGTGTCTTGATTGACGCCGGAACCAAGCCCGGTGGAACAAGTATTTACCACTTGTGGAAGGCCTTCGAGGTGAATCCACAGTGTGCTGGAGCTTGTGGTGAGATCAAGACGATGTTGGGACCTGGAGGAAAACTATTGCTTAATCCGTTGGTTGCTACACAAAACTTTGAGTACAAGGTCGGTAATTGTGCAAATGTGCTCCCTGGGATGAGCAGCTGACCCGATTCTTCTAGATGTCAAATATCCTGGATAAACCACTCGAGAGTGTGTTTGGATTCATCAGCGTGCTTCCCGGAGCTTTCTCGGCGTACAGGTATGTCGCTTTGCAGAACGACATGAGTGGCGAGGGTCCTCTGGAGAAGTACTTCAAGGGTGAAAAGATGCACGGAGCAGACGCCGGAATCTTCACTGCGAACATGTACCTCGCAGAAGATCGTATTCTGTGCTTCGAGCTCGTCACCAAACGGAAGAGTCACTGGGTCCTGCAATACGTCAAATCGTCCTACGCCGAGACGGATGTTCCCGACGAAATCTCGGAGTTGATCTTGCAGCGACGACGATGGCTGAACGGATCCTTCTTTGCCGCGGTTTACGCTCTGGTCCATGTCTTTGACCTCTGGAGAAGCGACCATTCGCTCATGCGGAAATTCATGTTCCACATAGAGTTCTTGTATCAGACGATTTCCATGCTGTTTTCTTGGTTTGCTATTGTAAGTCCTCCTGCGGGATGGTTTGGCGGTAGTTACTGACATCCGAACAGGGTAATTTCTTCCTTGTTTTCAGAATCTTGACGGCCAGTTTGGGGGACGAACAACTTGGATTCCCACCCGGACGCGTTCTCAGTGTGGTGTTCGAATGGATCTACCTCGGTGTTTTAGTCACATGTTTCATCATGTCGCTGGGAAATACGCCGGGTGGATCTCGAAAGTTGTACATGTCGATCGTGGTTTTCTGGGCGATAATCATGCTGTAAGTTTCAGTTGTCCGCCCCCCGGAGGAATCCGACTGATCAGCTAGGTACCTTCTCTTCGCCGCCATATTCATCTCCGTCCGGTCGATCCAGAGAGAGCTAGATACAACTGGCTCGTTGACTATCGGAGGAATCTTCAGTAATCAACTCTTCCGAGATCTGATCGTATCGTTGTGTTCGACTTACCTGCTCTATTTCATCGCATCGTTCATGTTTTTCGAGCCATGGCACATGTTCACGTCCTTCGTGCAATACTTGCTGCTGTCGCCCTCCTACATCAACGTCCTGAACGTCTACGCATTCTGCAACGTCCACGACATTTCCTGGGGAACCAAAGGCCCCGACGTGCCACCTCCGATCGTTGGCGGAACCGTCAAGACCTCGGACGGACAGGCATCAGTCAGCGTTCCCGGCGACGACAAGGACCTCGACGAGCAATACGAGGCGGAAATGAACGTGCTCTCCAAAAAGGCGGTCGCGGAAGTCCGGAAAGTCGACGAGACGCAGAGCCAGAAGGATTACTATGCCGGTGTGAGATCTGGTGTCGTGCTCGCGTGGATGTTTACGAATTTTGCGCTTGCCGCCGCGATTCTGAACTCGGCGGGTCTGGATCGGCTGGTTAGTGGTGATGATGACAGTGTCGAGAGTGCGAGGAGTAAGCTCTATCTGGCTATCATCCTCTGGACAGTCGCGGCGCTCTCGGCATTTAGGTTCTTGGGGTGCACGTGGTTTTTGGTGTTGAGAATGGTGAGTTGCCTCCTTCTTCCCCATCTTCCTCCTATTGTGACATACACTGACGAGTGCGTAGTTCCGTGGCGTTTAATACCTGATCTACGTTTGTTTTCATTTTCCTTTTCCTTTTCCTTGATACCGGCTCTTCAAAGTACATTCTTGCGTATTTATCCGCCTCATTGTACATGATACCTACATCTTAGTTGGCTTTTAACTACCTGTGCGAGTGATGAATAATGATTTACGGTTTTATTGGGTAACGGTGGTGATTGTGGTGATGGGGTAGATGGGGTGGATGGGGAGTTTTTGGGGAGGGGGTTAGGGATTTAACTAGAGCTAGAGGGAATCGATAGATACTATACGATGTGATAACTCATGGCCTTCCTCGTATCATACATTTTACTTAGTCCTCATCTTCATCTTCCTCGCCGCCGCGCCATCTACGGGCTCCGACTCCACCACCTTCCCATCCACCACTCTAACCGCGACCCACATCCCCAGCGCGGCGACAATACTCGCCCCCAAAATGCCTATCATCGCCAAATTACTCCCTCTATACCGCAACCTCCCCTCCCGCGCCGCATCCTCGGCCCACCCCGTGTACAACGCATACGTAGTCGTCACACTGCCCAGGTTGCCCAGACCACTGACCAGCGCCGTTGCCGCCGCAACCCCAATCTCACCATGGCGCGGCTGAAATATCTCCGCAGTCCAGGTCATACATACCGGCACGGTGGGCCCAAGTCCGAAGCCCACGATCAGCAGACCCGAGTACCTCGCCCAACCGTTGCCAGCGTACGTAACGACCAGCAGCCCCGCGATCTGCAGCATCGCCGGCAGAATAAAGAACACCGGGCGGGCGCGGGCATATCGGTCGCTAATCGGCGTCACGATCAGGATCGCAATCAAGTCGCAGATCCAGATCGGCGCGAATAGCAGGCTGAGCTGCACACTGCTCAGGGCGGGCAGCAGGCTGCGGATGATGAGTGTTGCGAATACTTGCACGCCGATGCCGACGCCCACTACTCCGAAGTACATCACTGTCAACGGGTATAGCCGCCAGTCACACAGGATCCGGATGAGGTCCCGGAGCGTCCAGGCCGGCGTGTGGTACACCCGTGTTAGGTCCGCGTAGTGGATACGGGAGTCTTCGCCTGTGAGAGCGGGGGGTGAGCGCGGGAGGAGGAGGCGCCAGCCTGTGCGCGGCGCGGGTGGCGGGTCGCAGGGCGCGATGGGCCGGTCCGGGAGCCACCATAGCAGCAGCACGCCGTCGACGACGGCGACGAGACCGTAGATCAGGAACATCCACTGGAAGCCCGCTAGGCCGCCCACGCCGTCCATCTGCTGGAAGCCGGCGGAGACGAGACCGACCACCGCCGCGGAAACTTGCGCCGCTGTGAAGTACTGCCCGATGCGCTTGCCGGTGTTTTCGGGCGGGTAGAAGATCGTTAGGTAGTAGGCCATCCCTGGCCACATGCCGGCTATCACGACGCCCAGGAGAAGCCGGATCAGACTGCGTGTGCACATACATCAGCCCTGCCCCTCATACCCCCTCTCCCTCCCTCTCACACCGAGCCCACCGAGAGCAACATACTAAAAGTTCCACGCCCCCGTCAACGCCGCATGGCAAGCGCCAATAATCCCGACGCCGACAACAATCCTGCTCATCCAGACATGAGGGCTGACCCTGGTCATGACGAGGTTCGCGGGGGCGTCGAAGATGACATAGCAGACGTAGAATAGTGCAACGCCCGTGCTGATCTGCTTATTGGTGAGCTGCAGCTTCTGCGCGAGCGAGTTCCCCGAGGATGTGTTCATCGTCAGCGACAGCCCCACGTTGGACCGTATCGCGGCGCAGAGGAAGTACAGCACCCATAAAGCGGGGATTATGCGCCGGTCGAGTTTACTGTGGTGGAGAGATTAGCACTTGCGAAACGGGGGGGATGCAGAGGAGGGGAGGGGAGGGGGGGGGGGTGGCCGTACCGGTATACACGGGCTACATTTGCGTCGAGCATTGCGTCGCCGGCCTCACCGTCACGCTCCACATCTACCGACGGCCCCGTTCCCGTTCCCGTGCCCGTGCCCGTACCCGTATCGTCGTCCTTCATCGCCGTCTTCATGGTTGCTGCGACCTCATGGCGAATCTACAGGGCGCCCCGGTAGCTCTTTATACCCAGATAGTAAAGTAAGCTTTTTCGCTATTTTACCCCTCCCGAGTCCCTCCCCCCACTATGACCACCACCATCCCATTTCCCTATCTATCTTTCGCTTCCTCCGTCTATCTAGAGTAAGCTGCAACCACGGGTAGTTAGTTAGCTGCATGCAGCGAAGAGGGAAAGAAAGAAAACATGTCGGAGAAACACCGTGGGGACTGTCTCAGGGACGGGGATCCGGGTAGACTAGAGGCCTTCTGGAATAGCAGATCATACGGCGAGGAGGAGCAAGTTCATCATCATGCAGCACGGTAGATTCAAGAACCATACTTAACAAATACATTTCCTAAGGAGCGACTGTTCTGTGGAAGACAGACGGTACGAAAGGACAAGAAGCAGCAGCAGACAATCAAAAGCAATACGTTTTCCCTTTCCATCCCTTCAGTGTCCAATTTCCCTTCCCCCCATTTTCCACTGCCATGAAGCCCCCGAGAAATCTCCACAAGAAGAAAAAAAGCGTGAGAACGGACAAACGAAGTACACAAAAGCAAACAGTACGGGCCAACCAGTCAGTAAAAGAACATGAAAATACCAAAATAATGAAATGAGAAAAACACCCAATGCTCCACCGTTTCCAACCATCCCAATTCCAAGCAAGAGAACAATTTACCCAACCGAGCAATAAAAGGTCCGGTCCGTCTACACATGGCGCTCGCAGTCCTCAAACTCCTCGTCGGAAGCGCAGAGGACGTCGTACTCCTCGTCGGTCATGAAGTCCTCGCTGCCCTCGATCGAACTGATATCGACCTCCTCCTCGATATCGCCGTTCTCGCTGAGCGCGAAAGTCTTGTGAGACGAATTGCTAACGGGACTAGCAGGCATGGGGATCTCCTCAGCCTGGTCGGTGCTGGCACGCGACGGGAGGGACTCCAGCGAGTGAACCGGGCTCTCAACCTCGAGCTTGGGGAAGACCATCTCGGAGGATGCCTGGGACCTAACCATGATCTCGGCAATACTCTCGAAGTCGTTCTTCTCCTCCCTAACACTCTCAGTCTTGACGCTGTTGGCGTCGACCACGCTCTCGGAGCTGTAAGTCTCCGACTGCCTGTCCTCCTCGTGTTCCGGCGCCACTTCCGAGGGGGCCTCTTGAGACTCCACAACGTTGATGCTGCACCAAATGTTGTCGCCGAAGCGTCTACCATCTGGAGCCGTCAAACGCCAGTAGGAGATGAAGGCCTTGTTGGGAGGCCAGGTAGCAGAAAGTCCGACCGAGAAGCTAGCAGTCTCGCCAGGCTTAATCTCACAATCGGTAACCGTAGCGTCCAGAGAATACGTGTCCGACTTGAGGAACATGTAGTCACCACCGACAAACTTGACCGTCACACCAGCGGGCCAAGAAGTGGTGCCAGTGTTCTCCATATACCACGTTTGGGTGAACTCCTGTCCGACGGGCAGGCTGGTGCCATCGGCAATGCTGTCACCGCTGAAGGTAGCGGACAACGGCTCCAAGACGTTCACCTTAACGGGCTCTGCCTGAACCTGAACCTCCTCGACAACCTCAACAACCTCCTCGACGACCTTCTCGACGGCCTCAACGACCTCCTCAACAACCTCCTCAACCGCCTTGACAGCGCTCTCGACAGGAGGGGTAAACTCCTCAGTAGGCTTGACGTCCGCGATAGTGTGAACCTCACTTGCAGTGTTGCCGCTGGACTCGCGCTTAACTTCGGGTTCCGGGAAGTCACCCATCACGGTATTGGTGTTATCAGTAGTTGTGACGTGAACATTGCGGATCGGAGTCCTGAACTTAATCAGAGGATGGCTGGAGTTGTGGCGGTTCAAAGGCGAAGCTTCACAAGTGCCACAGAAGTCTGTATCTGGGCAGATGGCACACTTGTATCTAGGACCTCGAATGCATCCGTTTCCGTACTGTGCACAGACCGGGCCATCGCAATAAACTCCGTTGTGCCTCACACCGGAAAGGTGGAAACCAAGCGGTGCAACGGTCAGGCTGTCGAGAACCTGGACGAAGCGGTGTCCAGGATGGTGTTCGCTGGCGACCCAGATACACTCGTGGCAGTAATCCCAGTCGGGGCAGTCGATGCACTTGTGGCGAATGCCGGTGATTGCCTGGTCACAGCGGTCGCAAAGAGCTGCATGTCCAACGCCGCGACCCGCCGTAAGAAGTACCCTCGTCTTCCTTAGACAAAGTCACGGTCGTCTTAGCACGGACGAAACCATGTCGAGGGTCGTGGCCGTGCTCTCCAGCGCGCAGGCAAGAGAGGCATAGATCATAGTCCTTGCAATCCAAACAGACAACGCACTGCTCGTCTCCGAACCCTATATCAAGCCCGTCAGTGATTGTATGGTATCGAAGCCGAAATCAAGGGCAACTTACGGCCAACGCAGGAATTACAGATGCGAGTCTTGCACATGCTCTTGCTGTTTCTCTCCTGGACGACAGGTCGTCCACCGACGATATCTCGCTTAGTCAACGAGTGCTCGCTGTCGTAGCAGTGGCTACTCCGGTCAACGCACTTCTCGCAGAGATCGTAATCACCTCCATCGCACAAATCACAATGGTAGTGCGATCCGTCGATAGTGCCGTTGCACACGTTACAGTAGATGGCGAAGTTACAGTTGATATGGGTCTGGTGAAGGGACTGGATCAACTTTTCGACATCAGGCTGAGTGCCCAACGATTCCGAGCTCCTAGACAGGTTGATGAGGTCGGCTGTTTCCGGCTGTTGCTTCTCGACCTTTTCGACCTTCTCGACCTTCCCGACCTCCTCGCGAACAGTGTCACGCAGTTGGCTCGTGAAATCGCTGCTCGTGCAGTACGAAGAAACGGCCTTGGCGACAACGTCGTCGAGTTGCGCGGAGTCAACGGTCGGAGTAGCGATCGGAGGGGAAAGCGTCGACTGGGAAGAAGAAGCGTTGACGTTGGTGGTCGAATACAATGGTGGAAGAGAGACACGGTCGGCCAGATCTTGGGCTTCTGTAGGAGCTACGCGAGCTTGTGAGCATGCACCAAACAAGATGAGCTGAGAGTCTGCTTACCGTTGTCCTCGGTAATCGTCGTCACCCTGATGCGAAGCTTCAGTTTAGCCTTGGCAGCTCTGAAGAGCTGCTTGTAGACACCGGTGTTCTCGGGGTCGAGCGTGACAAAGCTCGCAGCACTGTCAGAATATCGCTCAAACTTGACGTTCTGTGTGGGCGGCAAGGCGAGTAGTTCTCTTATCTGAGGAAAGAGTCAGCACAAACGGTCGACTGATAACTCTAACGCTCCAGCTGAAAGCACGAAGATGTGAGACGCTACCTTTCCCTGGAAAACGCTGGGCCCGACTTCCTTCAACGCAAGCTTGAAGCGACGGATGTTCTTGTCGTGAGCGACCTTCACGGTAATGAGCGTCTCTGGCGACGCGGAACTAGGAGACGCCATGTTGTCGATGAGGTATGCGGGTTCGAGGTGAGCTATTTAAGTAGGTACGAGAACCACTACCAGCGTATTGACCGCGAATAATTTAGTGGGACGAGACTAGCTGTCCAGATTCCAAAGGGTTAATATCAGGTGGTGATGGTATGTGGTGGCGATGTATGGAGTTATGGAGTTACGCGAAGGTAGAGTGTGACACGGAGTGGGAGGGGAAGAGGGTTGTGTTGTTGAAGAGAGGAGGAGGAGGAAGAGGAGGAGGAGGAAGTGGAAGGATAGGTGAGGGAGAGAGAGGAAGAGGAGGGCTGGATGATTGCCTGCTTAGAACGGCGGGTGTGGGGGAGTTAATTGTATGTACTGTTTGGGGGGGGGGGTGGGTGGTCTGGTGTGCGATCGAAGCTCTCTGTGTCCAATGATAGCCACGCCAGCCAATCACGAGGAATACCACTTGCCAAGACCGGCATTTTGCCTTCAATTGTATGACGACGCCGTTGGATAATTATTACTCCGATTTCTCCTCGAAGCGATGGGAGAAAGCCACCGACTGAGACCGGCGTTGGGATGGCCGACGACACTGCTACCTATGCGGTCCCGCACATGTGGTTACTACTCTGATCTCACCCGGTGGTCATTCCCCTCACCTCATTGCATGTTTCAAGCAGCATTCCACTGTCCAGTCCACGGCTGTTGCGGTCCCGGTACGGTACTTTCTTATTTACCTACATACCAGGCGAACGACTGCTCACTCCAAAGCAGGGCTGTCCGTATCCAGGCAGCAACCACGCAATGGTGGCCACCATCACCTCCACCACCTCCACCACGACGCTGTGGAACGAGGCGAGTCCAATCCTAGATACTCTAGATCAATCCACTCCAATCCATTGTGATGAATATACGGTATGTACCATACCTAGACCACCGCCCTGCGAACACCAACCTGATCTCCGCTGTCCACAACTCTCGTCCGTATCGAGTATCATAGGTCCTCGTAACTCGCGCCGGCTGGCCCACAGACCGACAACAAACCCTACCTGACTACCCGCATAGCAGCATACATTATGTACCTACGTGTTTTTGAGTCATGCGCGGGTCACCACATGAATGCCGCCGCCGCCCACTCCGTCCGTCCCCTTGTATGTATCTCAGTAGTATTTACTCGTATGTATGTAGCTATGATCCTAAGCGCGGCTCCCTCTCCCTCTCCATCCACTTCCCCTTCCCGTTTAAGAATATCCGGGGCTGACGGCTGATCAATCAAAACTCTGAAACCCACCACCCGCATTCTTTTACTCCACTATGTATGCTCTGCGATACTCTACATATGTACAAGTACATAAGTACCCAGAGTACCTCCATATCCCCGACCGACCGGACATGATTCCGGTTTCCAGAGTGTTTTGTTCTGCTTGCGGGCTCCCCCTCACATCATGTGTATAAACGCCGATCGCGCGAGTGATGCCGCATGCTTAATTGCGCACGCCCTCGGCTACAGCGGAAACCACTAGGTGTGGCGCACGCGTGGCAGTGGCGGTGGCGAGTGACGAGTGCCGTTAGCCATGGATGTGCGCACATGTGAAGCTGATTTCGACTGGGTATATTTCTACGGGTGACGTCTCCCTTGCCTTCGGCCTTCGATGAGTTTCGGCACCACAGGGAGTCATCGTGAAGGTATCATAGAGTCATCAGCCGACGCGGGAAGAGTATGTGCACAAGGCCCTGCCTATCTAGGTCGTCCTACGAGATCTTTTTTCCACGGACGATGCACCTCCGCCCATGACTGGACCACTCTGTCTAGGTAGGCGAGACCTGGAAGCTGGGAGCTGGAGGAGGCTGAGTCCAAGTCACCAAGTCACCAAGTGGTCGACAAATGCGCAGGCTTGGGCAGTTGGCCGACGGTGGGGCGGGATATGCCCACTCTACAGTGGATGCAAGCGATGTACCGGTATCTCGGGGACTTGTAGCATATACACCGAAGGCGGCATCCCCGTCTCCACTGTCACCACAGATCACAACGACTGATTGCAATGCACCCGCCGCCAAAGGGTCTCCTCCGAGGTAGGTAGAGTTCGTCCAGAGACACCGCCGCAGCGCGCAACCTCGCCCTCCATGTGTATGTACGAGTAGGTATAGTACCTCCAATCCAGCCCGACAGTACTATATCGCCTTCTATTCCAATCGCAGCACGTATCATACACCCATCCCAATCCCCCTCTCCCCCGTTTACCAACTCGCCTTCTTCACGCCCGGCAGATCGCCCGCCAGGGCATTCAATCTGAACTGGAACCTGCACATCCTAAAGTCGCGAAAGACACCTCTCCCCTTGCCGGCCATGATGCACCGGTTCTTGATCTGCGTTGGGCGGGTATGCGCGTGCATCGAGTTGAGTTCCAGCTGCGCCTTCAGCCGCTGCATCTGCGAGAGCTGCGTGTTGCGCGTGATGAACCTGCGGAGGATGGAGGGTTAGCTAGGTGGTGGTGCTGGTGGGGTGGAAGGTGAGGGGGCACTTACCGCAGCGCCTGGCGCCGTTCCTCCGCTGCTGCGAAGGCGACGCGCTTGCTGTGGTCTTTGAGGACGCGTGAATTGACCCAGCCGCCGATTGGGAGGACCTTTTTGAGGAGCGTGGCCGTCGGGAACATTGTGGCGATGTTCGTTGTTGGTGGGGGTGTGGTGGGGGTGTATGATGGGTTGAGGTTGGTGGGAAATTTTGGGCTAGGATGGGTGCGCTAGGGTGAAGGTCAACCAGAGCACGTGAGCACGCTTTTTAGGTGAAGACATTTACGCGATCGTGAGTGGTTTAGCTAGCTATCTATCGTACAAGTGTGGCGTCTTTATATGCCTTTTCTATCTATGGCGAGGAGATTCCTTTGCCTTACATGTGTGATTTTGCAGGCTCGTCGGAAGTCTCCGTCAGCTCTTCTGTGGACTCTAACTCCACCGTCTCGTCGACAGCAGCTTCATCCGCAACGACATCCTCCTCCGTAGCGACATCCTCCTCCGCAGTGACATCCTCCTCCGCAGCGGCAATTCCACTCTCCGCCTTGACATCCTCAACCACATCCTCCATGCCCGCCTCCAAAACAGGGATAGCCTTCCTACCACCCAAGAAAGCCTGCATAAGCACACCCGCGGCAACACTAACGTTTAAACTGTCGATTCCCCGGTCCACATCCTCAGCGGCCGTGATGCTAACGCACTTGTCACACAGCTTCTTGATGCTCTCCCTGATGCCCTCAGCCTCACCACCCATCAACAAGACGACGGGGCTGGTCTTCAGCGCCTCCTTTACCACGTTGTGGTCCATTCCGATGTACCTGCTGCTGGCATACTTCGGGCGGGGAGCGGCGCCGAAGAATTTCCAGCCAGCCTCTTTCGATGCCTCGATGAGTCTCGCAGGGTTGATTTGCGTAAGAATCGGCATGTACTCTGAAGCGCCGGCCGAGGACTTGAGGCAAGTAGGGGAGAGCGGTGCACAGTTCCTCTCCGCTACCATAAGTGCCGAGCAACCCATGAAATAGGCAGATCTGAGGATTGCCCCAAGGTTACCAGGGTCAAGGATTTCGTCGAGCATGAGGACGAGAGGGTAGCGGGTGGGATCACGGTTCGGGATGGTTTGCGGTAGCTCATTGAGGATGATACCGCTCTCAGTGAAGTCGTGCTGTGAGATCTGCAGGCCAAAGGCAGTCCTGTCGAATGAGACGTTCGACAGCGAGATAATAGGCGTCTTCAGGAGTTTTGACGCTTCAAGGACGTAGCCATTGTGAGGGCGGCTGTTGCTCATCTAATGCAGGTAACTCATCAATACAGAAAAGATAGAAATCGCACTGGGGGTGGATGGGTACTAACACTGTCGAGGATGCTGCTGTCTTCCACCTCGCGCACATCGATCTTGAGGCCGCGAGCAAGGTTCTTCAGTTTGATATCGCGCTCACGGGAAGTGGCGGTCCGGTTTTCGCCTGAGTGGATGTACAGACGGAAAAGTTGCCGCCGGTTGGACTTCAGCGCAGCCTCGACCACACTGGTGCCGTAGATCCACTCTGAATCTTGGTTGACTTTCTGGATCGTTCGGCGGGGAGTACTGACGTAATCTCGGGCTGGGGCTGCGTAGCGATCGTCGCGGCGAGCAGTGGGACGCTCTGAATCCCGGTTGTACGGCCGAGGTGAGGAAGCATCACGGTCTTTGTTGAAAGGCGGTCTCGAAGAACCTCCCTCATAATCCCGCTTAAACGGCGGCCTGGAAGAGCCTCCCTCGTAATCCCGCTTGAACGGCGGCCTGGAAGACCCACCGTCTTCCCTGTTGAACGGCGGCCTAGAACCTCCCTCCCGAGGAGTATACGGCGGTCTCGAAGAGCCTCCCTCGTAATCTCGCTTGAACGGCGGCCTGGAAGACCCACCGTCTTCCCTGTTGAACGGCGGCCTAGAACCCCCCTCCCGAGGAGTATACGGTGGTCTTGAGGAACCGTCCCGAGGAGTGTACGGTGGCCTTGAGGAACCGTCCCGAGGAGTATACGGTGGCCTTGAGGAACCGTCCCGAGGAGTATACGGTGGCCTTGAGGAACCGTCCCGAGGAGTATACGGTGGTCTTGAGGAACCCTCCCGAGGAGTGTACGGCGGCCTAGAACCCCCCTCCCGAGGAGTATACGGTGGTCTTGAGGAACCCTCCCGAGGAGTGTATGGTGGTCTTGAGGAACCCTCCCGAGGAGTGTATGGTGGTCTTGAGGAACCCTCCCGAGGAGTGTATGGTGGTCTCGACGAAGAATCTCTGCTGCCACGGTCGAACGTCGATTCCGCTCTGGCTTCTCTGTCGACGCCTCTGTGGATTGCGGAGTTATAGGAAGCGCATCGGTAGGAGTTCTTCAGTAGCAGCGACTTAGGCGCGCCGTGGGCTGCAAATCGGAGAAGATTCATGATCCTTTGTTGTTGTGGTTGGGTTTTTTGGTCGGTGGTGGGGTGGATGGAGGGGTGTTGAGGATTGCAACTATTTTGCCTCTTTTCTCTGCGTTTCCTTGTCCCGATGAAGACTCGCGTGGATGAAAAAAGTGTGTCACATCGCTTTTTTGGCGCGTGCGAGATGGCACAGATTTGCATCATGATGTCAATTAGACCCACAAACTCAATTTCGTCCCTGACCCTTCTGGAGCCCCTTGGCAACGAGTTCTGCTCTCCAACGACATTTTCAACATCTGGTCTACCACCCGGCGAAGCGCTAACTAATAACGAACTGCCGCAGCCGTCCACCACAACAACCTTACTGAGCACGAGGGCATCCTCCGTAAGCCGCATTGACACGCCCTGCGCCGTTACCAGCGCACACCACAGCTTCCCGACGTTGCTCCGGTCCCTGGCTAACGTGCATCATCGCGATGGGCTGATACTTCATCCCCATCGAACTAGTCTCCGGCATCCAGCCCTCGAATCGCTGTCGACGAGTCAAATGAGTTCGTCCACGCGAACACCTCACCGCCATTCGCTCGCAAGACAGAAATCCCGTTGGCTTCCGCGGCTACAGCCATAAACGCCAATACCACCAGCGGAAACACGCAAGGAATATCAGATACCACCAGCATCAGTGTGATAATCTGCGCCGTGGTAGTCTGTAACGATATAGAACTCCAATATTGCTGGCCATTTCTGGTGCGATCGCAAAAATTAAGATATGAAGTTTGGATGTGAGGCTGGCCGCTCGGAGCGCGTGAATATTCATGCGCCGTGAGGTAGAGACCGAGGCGCAACCGTAGATGCCGTTGCCGCCTAGGACAGTGCGGGTAAATAGGAATTTGTGAGGGAATATGCATGAGCAAGGCGTGGTAGTTTTTATCCAGACACTCCCGGAGGCGGAGCAGTAGTGAGGAGTTTAGCTACAGCCACGGCGAAGCTTGATCCCATGCTCGAGTGACATTTATGGAACACGCATAACCGCTAGTCACTCATACAGTGGCCAGGGGCCTTCATCCAAGATCCCTTATCGTGTTCCCCGCATTCCTCCCCACTAGGTCTATACACACGCGTATCCCTCACAGAACCGTGAAAATCACCGCAACCGCCCAAAATGTCAACGACAATAGACCTCTACCATCCCTCTCACGATGAGCAAATCAGCGTACTCTTCTGCTGTTTGGGGAACATCTGCCGTAACTACCCTCCTGATTCCCAAAAAACCCACACCTACTGACTACACGTGCAGGCTCCCCCATGGCCGAAGCCGCATTCCGCGACACCGTCGAAAAGCTAGGATACGCAGACCGCTTCTCACGTATCGACAGCTGCGGCACGGCCGGATACCACGTTGGCGCCGAGCCGGATCACCGTATGAACTCCCTCCTCCTCCTGCTGCTTCCCCAACGGGTCACGGCCGGTTGATATATGGACGAAGGCACGATTGAGATGCTTCGGAAAAATGGGATTACTACGGACCATTGTGCGCGGCAGGTCGCTCAGAAGGATTTTAAGAACTTTGATTATATCCTCGCTATGGATGTGGGTTCCCCCTGCCCTATTGGTGGTGTCTACTATGGGTCGGTGGCTAATGAATGGTGGTGCTCCAGACGTCGAATTTAAGTAATCTCAAGCGGATTGAGCCCAAGAGTGGGAAGGCGAAGGGTATGTTATACTATCTAATGGTGTGGGAAGGCAGGACTGACTTGTGCAGTCATGCTGTTTGGATACTTCGACGGAAACAAAAGGAAGGAAATCGTTGAGGATCCGTATTACGGTGGAAACTCGGGGTTCACAGAGAACTTTGCTCAGGTGGTGAGGTTTTCGAAGAACTTTGTGAGGGAGGTGTTGCAGGTTGAAATACCAGAATAACAGATGAGGGGGTCGTATTGGATGGCAGTGGCAGCGATGATTCCCTTTCTGTAATGTATCACACCGGCTAGAGTGGATTCTATACGCCTTTCTTCTTTTTGTGATGATATGTTACATGATGCCCCCACCACCGACCATCCGCGTTCGTCTACCATTGGTAGTATTGCCGCTGACCGTATATCGGCCGGCTGGGAAGATGCTGTCGTACCGGCCGTCGTTCCCGCTTCTCCTTCTGTTCTCTCGCAATTCTCTCCAGAGTAGCATGCTCCTTGAACTGTAACGTAATGCCTGCCATCCATTAGCCATACTTCCGCAGCACCTATCCGGACCATCAGGAACTCACTGGTAAACGGTAACATGAGCATATCAATCCTTCCCTTGGCTCTGTGGTTGAGTCCCTTCTCGAACGGCCCCCTCCCAACCCACGCCTGGGCAATATACATCTCCTCCGTCTTCATACCCTTCCTGACAACCGCCTCGTTCCTCGTATGGTACAAGTGGGCCAACACATCCCTCGCAGCCTTCTTCGGCGAGAACCTCATCTGCGTGATCGCATCATCCACACTCTTCCCCATAATCTGTCTAGCGAGCGGCGCCAACTTCTTCATGGAAGTCTTGATAAAGTGCGAAGCGACGGTATGCTCACGCTCCGTCTGTGCGATGCGCTCCTGGCGGGTCAATCTCCCGCGGCGGCGCAGATCGCGAGCCGCCGAAGTCTTGAGCCAGCCCCACTGGTGGCGGTTAGGATCGCGGAGGAGCCGGTTTGCGGTGAGATCGATTTCCTGTGAGGTGGTGACGGCGTCGGCGTCTTCGGAGCCGAAGATCGAGGACTCATCGAGGGTTCCCCGTGTGGGCATCTGCTGAGCTTGTGACACCTTCGGTGATTGCTTGAGCAGGTCGGCGATGCTGCGGGATGCGGAGTCGTTGGTGCTGGCCGCTTTGGGACCGCCGCCGAAGCCGAACCACGAGATCGCGCGGGTTTGCGGCTTGGGTGCGAGGCTGAGCCCCCGTGGGACGGTGGCGAGCAGCCGGAACCGTGAGGGGTGGAGTACGTTCATGGTGGGCCCGGGTTGACGTGGAGGTGTGGTGAACACGAGCCGCCGCGGTGGTGTGGTGGGGAGGTAAAAAGTTGTGCCAAGGCTGGCCGGGTTAGGTTGCCTACTAGATTGAGTTCATCGGCAAGCACTCAAGTGGGATTTTCTTGAAGTTAGAGATAGGGTGAATTCCATCCTCACTCTTGATCGAGATGGAATTTAGGCTAGTGAAGTGATAATTCACTCAACATACGAGTATTCGCGGTCCGTTTGAAATCCCTCGAGTGCGATGCCATGATGCATTTTCAGCCGCCCAACTTCCTTGCCAGTAGTTAGCTGTGACACAACCCCTCCAAGGTACAAGGTCCTCTGCTATCAACGCAACCTCACCACAGCTCCCACAACAACCTCCACTGCACACTCACCCATCCATAACCACCACCACATTTAGACATCAATCACCATGGCCGACGTCGAAATGAAAGATGTCAAGGGAAAAAGCGCTGCCGCCGGTGGTAAGCCACGCTTCGAAGTGAAGAAGGTGCGTACCTCACCCCGAGCTCTAGTGCAAGCACGTTCCCAGCTAACGATACGCACAAACAGTGGAGTGCCGTCGCCCTCTGGTCGTGGGATATCGTCGTCGAGAACTGCGCCATCTGCCGTAACCACATCATGGATCTCTGTTCGTCCCGCCGTCCCGCCGTCCCTACATCTCCAACCGCAGCTAGCTAAACTCGTCATACTACAGGCATCGAGTGTCAGGCCAACCAAGCCAGTGCTGTCACCGAGGAGTGCACTGTCGCGTGGGGAATCTGCAACGTTGGTTCTCCACCCCACAGCCCTCGACCTCCCTTGCTAACCGAGTGCAGCACGCGTTCCACTTCCACTGCATCTCGAGGTGGCTCAAGACCAGACAGGTGTGTCCGCTGGACAACAGAGACTGGGAGTTCCAGCGTTACGGAAAATAGATGGCTGGTTATGGTAATGAAGCAGATGGGATGAATAGTTCTCCTGGAGGGGCTTCAAGGCGTTTTTGCGCGTCTTTTACGATCTGTTGTTGCATAACTGGATAGCATGGGTTCTGGATAATGAATACCTCGGGTGCACAACTAATTAAGCTGGGTTGATCACCTATATGACAGTGTGGGTACTGCTATGCATCTGGTTGCTTGCGGGTGATGTTTCGTCTGACCGACATCGTGATGTGTATGGCTTCACGGGTCTCTTGGGAGCATCGAAGGTCTGCTTCACTTGACGATTGAGTATTCCAATCTATTCCGTATACGTCCCAGTCCACCCATCTACCAAAAACAGCAAATCTACTGGTGACCACCACCCTCCCCTTCCTCCGCCCGTCATGACGCCGCCGCCGGTTTCTTCGCCAACTTCTGTCTATCAACATAACTCCCGAGCACCCTCATCTCAGCACAGAACGTCCCCAACTCCTCCAACGCATCCTTCACGTTCTGCGTATCCTCATGTCCCTCGAACTCGACAAAGAAGACATAATTCCACCTCGTCTTCCTATCCGGGCGACTCGCAATACTCGTCAAGTTCAGCCCGAAGTTCTTGAAAACCTTCAATCCATCCGCCAGGGCACCGGGCTGCGCATGATCCACCGAAAACGCCACAAACGTCTTATCCCCCTTGCCGCCCTCCTCCGACATGGGCGAGCGCATCTCCGCCGCCTGCAGCACAAAGAACCTCGTAGTATTATCGGGGGTATCCTCGATATTCCTGGCAAGGACCTTGAGCCCATTCACCTCCGCGGCGGCCGCGGACGCAATCGCCGCCGACCCGGGCTCGTCGCGCACCAGCTGCGCGGCGCGCGACGTCGACGACACGTCGATGCGCTCGATGCCCTTGAGCGTGGAGTTGAGCCAATGCTCGCACTGGCCGAAGGCTTGCGGGTGCGAGTACAGCCGCGTCAGCCCCGTCAGGTCGCTGGCCGAGGACACCAGGCTGTGGTGCACCGTCAAATATGTCTCCCCCACTACGTGGTAGCCAGAGCTCCGGTCGCGGAATAGGTCCAGCGTGAACACTACGTTGCCGTTCGTCGAGTTCTCGAATGGGACCACGCCGTAGGTCGTCGCGCCGGTTTGCACGGAGGTGAAGATGTCTATATGGTGGGCAGGTTAGAGTGGGGGTGGAGGGTACGGGGAAGCGGACGTGACGGGGGGACGTACCGCCGATCGTCGTCTGCGGAATAAACGTGTGCTCCTCCGTGTCGAAAGCTCCCAGCGCCGCCTGGTGCGAGTATGATGCCGGAGGGCCGAGGTACGCTACTGTCACATCTTGCGGCATCGTGTCGGTTCTTGCTGGCTTGCTTGCTTGCTTGCTTTTCCAATATGCGTTTCCAATAGTTCCTGCTGTATGTCGGTGGCGTATGTAGGCTTTTGTACGTACCGGTAGGTAGGACGCTCTCGGGCGGTAGTCACGGCCGATTCTCGAACGGGGTAGGTATGTACGATACCTAGGTTTTTCCAACAGCGAAACAGCGAAGTGAACCGAAGTGAACCCCGCCGACCCGCGCGGGCGATGATCTATCTATCTATCCATGTGTGGCACGGCCGGGCGGTGCCTGGACATTGTGTGGACTCTTACGCTATTCGGTTTGGTTGCGATCGTCGCCGGCACTGGTGACTGGGCCCCGCATTAAACGCCGACGTCGGGGCTTTTTCAGCAACTCAGCACCGGTCATGAGCGGTGTGGTGAAGGCTAATACGGATGTGGTTAGGCTGGGATGGAATGCTGGAGGAGTGGGGAGGCTTGGCTGGAGCTTATGTAAGAATTCGGGGCTATGGATATTCGGATTCAGGTGCGTACATTAGATATCACTCGACGCAGTTCAAAGAGTCAAAGGCTTCCAAGTTCCAAGAGCGGAGGTTTATTACCATGAGCTAGCCAGGCAGGTCGCACACAATACCGTAAATGAAGAAACAAACAAAAACATCCAAGAGCTTCGATTCGATCTTGAGACATAGGCTTGGAAGTTTGTGAATCGCCCGAAGATTCTGATACTTCTCGCAATCAAACCTCCATCCGTTCCAAGTTTCAATTATCATCCCGCCATAGGCCCATAGGTACTTAGTAAAAGCTATAACTGAAAATCTACGTACACGAATCAAAGTCGCGGTCGCAGATAGATTTCAAAACCCCAGCAACAGCAAGACAAAAACCAGTAAGTAGCAAGGAAAGGAAAAGCCAAAGACCACCCACTCGCGGCGGCGCAGTATATTACTTCCACATTTCCCCAACAACACGACAGAGGTATTAACGGCAACAGAACAGAACAGAACAGTAACAGTAACAGTAACAGTAACAGCAAAAAACGAATTCTTTTCGCCCGGACGGATAACTTAACTAAAACAGCAAAAACAGCAAAACAGCAAAACAGCAAAAACCAAAAACAACAAAACAGAAACCAAAAACCAAAAACCAAAAAAAACCAATGTATTCGCTCAAACAGTATGCAGCAAAGGCAAAAGCAAAACGACAAAACAGCAAAACAGCAAAAAGATATAGAGATATAAAAGATATATGGAATATAGAAGAGAACTGAAAAATTGAAAGAGAACCCCACATGAATGCCACACGCCACGCCAACTATCATTGTATGTATCGCCACCCTGATCGCCGTCCGTCTATCACCACCCAACAATGCAAAGCCCTCCATACAACTTAAGGAAATCAAAAGAGAATGTTCTGTTCTCGGACCGGACCGGACGAAATATGTAGATAGGTAGACAAAAGTAGACAAACATCGCCCCGCACCGCACTACACCACACCACAGGAAGCTGCGTTTAATCGCTATATCACATTTCAGTCAGTATACCGTTTTTGGTTTAGGTTTCGCGGCGGGGAAAGGGAAGGGGAGGAGACTTACTAGATCTCGATCGGCGCCAACTGATCGATGCTATACAACCAATTGCCGGTCTCCTGTTCCTTTACGAGGAAGTCATACGGGAACATGACGAGGTGGCCTTGGATCATGCCCATCAAGTTCTCGGCGATCTCCGGTTCCATGGCATTAGTAGTCTTACTACTCCTGGTGGTGCCCCTGCGTCTGCGCTTCGTGGTGTTGGCATGTCCCAGCCCGTTCGGGTTGGCGGCCGTGACGTTGGCGTTGGCGTTGGTGTTGCCCGCGTAGCTGACGCTGCCGACGGTGCTCTGCAGGAGATTTGGGTCGCCGCTGCCGCCGCCCTGCTTCTCGCCGCTGCCGTTGCTCCCGCGACTGCCGGTTGGCTGGTTGGTGTGGCCCGAGTTCGCCGTGGTCGCGGTGTTCAGCCGGCTGTGGTTGGATGCGTGGCTGTTGCCTCTGGTCCGGGTATTAATCGTGTCCAATGGCGTGCCGAAGCCGGTCTTTTCGGCATCGCCGTCGGGGAGGTTCAGTCGGACGTTGGTAGCCTCTTTGGTAGCGTCCCCCGAGCTTCCAGGCTTCTCGTTCTCGTTCTGCGTGCCGTTCTTGGCTGTGGCCGCCATGCGCTCCCTATTGCGCAGGTCTTGCTTCTGTGAGAATCTCTCGCCGTAATCCATCGCCTCCTTGTAGCTCGCCCACGTCTTGACGTCGTTGTCGGGCTGGCATCGGAAGACTTGACGGTAGATCTCGGTGTTGTTCATGGCAACCTTGCTCCACACATCCAGATAGAACGCCTCGTTGAGGGGATCCGTAAACATATCTGGCCTAACTTCAGGGCACGCGAAGTCTGCTGGCAGCACCGGGGGAGCCGCTATGGGCATCGACGAATTGCCTTTATCCGGCTCCTGCGTCGCAAACGGTCCTCCGATGTCGATGTCATTAGTATTCGGCAGAGGGGGAAGACTGGACAATTGCGGAAGACCGAGCGCTGCAGAAGTTGTACGCTCGAATGGAAACGGAGGGAGGGGCGGCTCTCCGGTGATTTGCGATACGTGACTGGAGGAACGCGATCGTTGGTGGTGGCTGTAGCTGTGGCTAGTAGGACTCCCAAGCGTTGCGCCATCATGACCTCTGCTTCCAAGGGTGCCTCTCCGCCTCCTCTCCGACTGCTTCGGACTGGCCAGAGTAGATCGATCAATGCTCATGCTTGCGCGTTCACATTCCCTCTGCACCATATGATCAGGCCCAAAACCCCGCACATCGTTCTGATGCTGGGTATTATTCGACACACGCGGGTCCACCGATTCCTTCTTCCTCGTCTTCTTCAAGTTCGGGTTGTTCTCCTGTTCCCAGTCGACATCGTGGTTGAAGCTCCTTAAGTTCTCCATGCGCTGGATGGCCTCCTCATCGATCTTGTATCGCCTCTCAGACACCATGCTGTGCCTCTGATCGGCCATGCTCTGGCGCTGATCGTTGACCATGTCCTCTACCGACTCATTCTGCCACCGTTCCACTTGGTCGTCCCACTCATCGTCCTCGTGCTCGCCGTTTTCCATTGCCGCTTCGCGCTCCTCCTGCATGATTTCGTCGACGTCCATACCAAGATGCTCGCGCATCAACCGGACACGAAGAGTGTGTGGGAAACGTCCAACGCGGAAAGGCTTGCCGCCCATGGTACTCATGATCGTATCCGTATCTCTCACGATAGCCGCGACTTCCGAGTCTCTGTCGCCGCGCATAGACCGCTCATTGATGTTGGCCGAGCCGATAATCGCGATCCTGTCGTCAACGACCATGCACTTGGCGTGGATGTACAACTGTTCAGTGACCAGCTTTTCGCTTCCCGGTTTGCCCAACTTGCCCCAGTTGCGCAGACTGAAAAACTCAATGTAGTCGCTTGGCTCGATGTTGACCGCTCTGAGCCGTCCAAATATCGAATTCTCGCCTTGCGAAATACTGCGGAACTGGCAGTGCATGATGAGTCGCACACTGCTACCATCCTGTGCGTCGACGGCGTTCTGGAATCCAGGCATCAGCGGAAGCAGGATGATGGCCCTCCAATCCTCGTCATTCTTTGCTGCGCGGATAATCCTCTCGACCAAGGCATCACCGATCTGGTTCTCAATCCTGGTACCCTCAATCTCCGTGGACGTGATGAAGAACTGGTTCTCGATGTACACCAGATGCTCCGACATCTCGATAGCCTTGAGATATGCGTTCTGGATACTCTTCTCCGTGAGATTTGGAGTGCCGAGTGACCAAGAGCAAGCTGATCGTAGAATCTGAATCTCACAACTTCCATCGATTCCCAGGCTCTCGAGTTCCCCTTCCGTAAAATCCGGAGGTGGCAGCAAGAGCGGCGTCGGTCTCGACGGTGTTCTCTGTCGCAGCAGATAGTTCCACCGCTGCACAAAGTGCCGAGTCAGGTCCCTAGCCGGCTGTCCGACAATCTGCATATGGATATCGTGCCACGGCATTCTGGGGACCAGGTTGCGGTCATACATGTCTTCGTAGGGTTTGTCCAGATTGAAGAAATCCTGCACACGAGGGTTCGAGTAGTCCTTTCCGGGCCATAGCTGGAAGCTGTCTGGATCGGCGTTGGCGCTTCCCTCTTCGAATCCACTGGGCCTATTGTCCATCACTGAATGCTGCGGTGTATCCCAACGGCCAAAACATAGATCGATACCACCGACGAATGCGATCATGTGATCCACAACCAGAATCTTCTCGTGATGGGCCCAGAAAAAGGTGTTCTGCCTGATCTGGTTGGGTGATCGCTGGACGTAGATGTTGGGGTGCAGATCCAGCAGCGAGTATTTGGTATAGACCGAGTCGATAGGGATGGCCGCGCCGATATTCCGGTAGACTATCACAAAGATTTTGACTCCCTCCTGAGCCTTCTTCTGCAAGAGTCGGTCCAGTCGCCATTTCTGAGATACCGCTGCCGGTCGCCTCAAATACTGGTCACAAAATAAGTCAGTATATCGCACCGGTGTTTCGAGTGAGACTACCAAAGACGCACCAGCTCGGGGGAAAGCCACCAATCGTGAATATAAATCACGTCTTTGGCCATACTGATGGCTCTGCTAACATTCCAAAAGTAATCTCTGCCATCCACCAGCCACTGTGCAAAGACACCTTTCCGCACAGGTGCAAAACTCTCGAATCTTTGCGGTCGTGACCATAGAGTGTTCTCCTTCATAAAATCCATGCTCTGCTGGAACTGCTGGAGCTGCCGCTCATTCTTAGCAAGTAGCTTTACTCTCCGCTCGTGGTTCTGCACGGTCAGACGGTGGTGCTGCGGTCTGGCAGGGTTAGTTGCAGATACAGGCTCGTCTTTGAGCATCTTAAGGATCCGCTTAGTGTCCACCGAAAAGGCAGAATCTACAAGAAACACATCATAGATATTCATTTCTTCTGGCGAATCGACGCAAACGATGTAGGAATGCCGGACCAAGAACCACTTTGGTGCATGGCGCCTGGCTACCTGCGAAGGATTCCACGGCCGTTTGAAGTCACTACCTTTCGCCGACCGAATGATCAGGTATCCCTCCTTTCCATGATAGGATCCTTCCGCAGCAAGCCTAACACCGAGCGCCGACAGTTCCAAGAACTTGCAGAGCCGGTTCGAGTCGGGCCGGAAAATCATCTGCTGGATGAGACGTCTAATATAATCCTCCAGCTGTCGTCTCTGCTGCATGTTGAAACCCTCCCGCTTCTGCATGGCCTGCTGGACGACAGGACCCGCAGCCGCGGTGGCGGCAGCAATACCTGCAGCGATACCGGCGGACATCGCGTGCTCGATGTCGTCGACCGTAGTGGACATCCTCCTCGCGGGTGGCCGCTTCTTTTTCCCGGTCCCCTGATCAGCGGGTCCCTGGATAGTCGCATCCGTTTGTGTTCTCGATATGCCACCAATGCCACTAATGCCCTCCTCCCCGGATTCATCGTCGCTTCCCAAGCCTCTGACACCCCTGAGGTAGGGGATAGTGCTCCTCGGGAATTTCGGTAGTTTGTGGCCCTCTCCTCCACCGGTGAATGTTGTGCTACTAACATCTGCCAACCGGTACCGGGAGTGCAAGTTGAAGAAGTCGCGAAACTCTCTATGGATGACCCACTTCATCCTCGTCAAGCCGCTGCCATATTCCAGCTCCAATCGGAATGTAGTTTGCGCTCGCCCAGCACCCTTCTGGGAATGAGTTGAGTCCGTGATCTGCACCTTGAGCTGCTCGAGCAATATGGGAATCCTTCGGTGCCCGTGTTCGTCCCGCTGAAACATACTCGCGAGAATTACAGCGGCAGGAGTAGCAGCCGAAAGCTCCGCCACCAGCTCGGCCGATTTCTGCTTGTCGATCTTGGATTCCTCCTTCTGTTTCCTTCCAATCATGCGAATCCCAGCCTTGAGAGCCTTCCACTTCGCTGCAGAGTCCCTGTAAGTGGGCATGTACGATGGCCTCTCTCCGTCCGTAGACCGGCGCTTCGTGACCCTGTTCCTAAACGATGACCGACGAGAAAAGTTGTACCTCCTCGACCGATCGGTATCGTTCCCATCGTCGCCGGTAAGCGTTGCACGCCGTCGCATCCTGCCCCCGCCAAGTCTCGGCGTGGTTGGAGCGCTCATCGCGCCGCTTCTCGCATCGGGACTGAACGACCTTCGGCGATTTGGCAGACCCTCCGAGTCCGCGCCGTCGTCCAGGTATCCACCATCACTGGCAGCGTACGGTGGGCGAGGGGTGTCGGGCGTGAAAGGACTGTCGGCATCACCGACACTATCGACCGTCCAACCCGATTGCGACCTGCCGTGAGTAGTAGATCCACCAAAATTCTTAAGCCGTTGGAAGAAGCTAGGTCGTTTGTTCGCAGTGGGAGTCTCGAGATCTTCGCCGGCCGAGTAGTCTTCCCCGGACGGTCTCGTTCCCGATTGGAAGAGGACGCTCCGCCTTGAGCGCGGAGTCGATGCGCCGCCGCCAAAGTCCATCTCGTCACCGCCGTCGACCGAAGCGGTGGAGCCGTTTTGGGCGCCTCCAAAGAAATTAGTTCTGCGCCATCGCCCACGTGTATTGTTGTTTGAGGGTCCGGCCGCGCTGCTCTCCCCTGGCGAGCCTCCTCCTGCTCCTCCTGCCCATGCTGTGGTAGACCCAGAACCGGCCGAATTGCGACGAGTCTGCACGGTGGATTCATCGTCCGATGCCCCGTCGTCCTTCCATCGCGGCGAGTAGTGAGATGACGACGGCCGCGACCTGTACCCCTGCTCTTCGATGGCGGCGGGTATCGGTGGGGGTGGTTCCATCTCCTCCAGCTGCGACAAGTTCCGTGAGATCCTCCGGGGAAGGGGCGACGGCTCGAGGGAGGTCAGGTTCGCGTTGGGATTCGGTTTCTTGGTAGACGCCCCATTCGCATGCGAACTGGACCTTTTGGAGATATTCGTAGTGTTGAGGGTGATCGGAGGTAGAAGACCGCGATTGTTCTTGACATTGGTCGACATCCTTGCGGAGAGCCGAAAGCGGCCGATACGTTTGTTGGGAGGATAATGGTGGTGACAAAGGTGGTGGTGGGTGGTGGTTGGCTTGCGCGAGGACTGGCTGTCGACCTGCTTCTGCTGCTGTAAGGTGCAGCTGGGCTTAGCAACGAACGAACAACACACGCAAACAATGCCAACTTCTCACACGGGGACAACTTTAATTATTTTCTGGTCGTGTGCCCCAGCCCAGCTTCTATGCGGAAAGCTGTGCTACAGTACAGCTGAAGCTCATGGATCCACACAGGAATGGGAGTTTTTTCTGCAACCAGGGGGAAAGGGACAAATCAAGGATATGGATGGGAAAGTGTGGGATATCCACAAGACCGATGAGGGCTGAACGCGGGAAAGAATGCGCTGTGATGGATAGAAGGGGGATGAGATAGAATAGACTCGTATGCGTCACGCCGAAGAGGGGGTGGATACGAAATCGACAGTAAAAAAGGAGTGACGTTGGTGAAGGACCAAGATGCGGGATGTAGAGTCGATGGAGCACACACTGGGGCACGTACGTAGAGTGCCTGTATAGCAGCCGCGTGGGGATGGCGTTCGGAGCAGCAGCAGAGGACTATTCCGTCGGTATGTAGAGGTATGGAGAGGTTCAGTGGTCGAGGAGACTCTGCCTCCGTTCGGACGCGAAAAAAAGAGTCGTGTCGTGTAGATTCGATAGTTAGCTAGAGCAAAGCAAGTACCTGGCGAGTACTCTACTCTGCAGAGGGTAGCACAACACAAGTCGATGAAAGTGCGGATCCCTGACAACGCGCATTGGCGGGCCATGTTACGTTGGCGGTGGAATTGAGGGTACTTGGCACGTCTCCCTTGCAGGCCAGGCCCACCCACGGGTCTCACAAAACACATGATGCCGCCTGCATCCTTTCGCCCCCGGCCGACAAACCGTGGTATGTATCTATATCTACTGTACATACCCGCGTCGACATGTTTCCCGGTATACATACAGAACTCTACTGTACATTCTCGCTTGAGGGGGGGGCAGCAGCGGCCACTCTTCAGGAAACCGTTCAGGAGCACTTTTGTCGCTTGGGCCTTCGGATGAGTAAGTGACTAGAGCAAATATAAAAAAGTTTGCACATGGCGGCATGGCGTACGCGTGTGTGGTTCTATGTAGAGTAGAGTAGGTAGGGAATCAACACAGCCCCCGAGAAGGTGCCATGGCGTCTTATGTACTCTATTCTTCCGCCGAGTCTGAGCCCACCGTAATTAATTGCAATTCCTCGGCCCAAGGGCAAAACCACCTTGGCCGCAGTCAACAGCTCGACGACTCCGGCTCGGACCCTTGGCGCCGAGCTGCGACGTTCCGTTCTCTGGCGGTACATGGTAGGTACTCTACCCCTGTACTCTATGTATCGCTGTCAAACCCCGCGCCTGTTTCGTGCGCGATTCGCGAATACCTTCACGTGCATGTACTTTACATATTACCCAGAGTTGCTACTCTAACATATCCACCTATCGCGTTCGAAACCGGTAGATACCGACCAGATGACCACCCTCGAACTGCGACGATCGACAAAGACCGGCCAGATCTTGCCCGGTTTTGTCCTGGAGAGACACTGCAATCATCGCTGTGAATTTGTCTCGTGGTGGGAATTTCAGGATCTCGAAAGGCGAAAGGGGCTGTGTAGAGCATGGTTATCGAGAAATCGAGAAATCGAGAAATCGGCACTGTTCGGTCATAATTATCGAGGTTCCTGGGAATTCGTATGTACTCTAAAGGCTACCTATGAAGATTAGAGTTTTGTACCAAGAACAGCCAATAAGTCGTGCCTCATCACCATTACGAATTGTAAGCGCAAGCTGAGGCACCACTTACCCTTACATTAGCTGGCCATTCAGCTGAGCTGAGCAGGGGGAAGGATGGTGGATGGAGCACGGTATATCACTCGGGAAAGTTCCAAGTGCACTCGGAATTTTGTCTCACGGCGGGGTAATGCAACCGGGAAGGATGAATGAAGACTTCAAGCCAAGGTTGTGTCGAGCTTGCTATTGAGTGGAGTATAGTAATGCGAGCGCTACAGTTGCAACGGCTCCTGGTTCCATTCAATGCGTGACTGACACACATCACTAACTTTCGACGATAACCTTCCATTCAATCTCCCGCCACGGAAAAAAGAATCACCGCTTGACCTAGTGATTACGCACCCTCCATCGGGAGGTAGATCACCTAAAAACAGCCTAACCACCAAGGTTTTAAAGCTATCCACTAGGGATGGTGAAGGTTTTTGTTTTTGCCGTGGTTCCCCACCAAGCTTGTGCACTGGATGTCACTCGCCGAGCGCTAATTTATGAGTCGAATCCGGATGAGAACGTATAAAGATTTATTGCCATGATTTAGATCGGTCGCACGCAATCAATGAATGAACAAAAAAAGAATAAAAAGAACGTATAAAGACAGTATAATCAACCATTGTCGTAGGTCTGCACTAGACCATTGAGTCGCCCTCCATCAGCACTGCCATCACACTTTACTGGCCCATTATGAACTTTGCCATGCACTCAACGCTGAACAGGTACGAGCATGTTAACTTAGGGTTTTTTAAACATAACACGGTGAAAAATCCTACGCCTACGCCTTTGACTTTAAGTTGTGTTCATGCGTAATGCGTAATGCGTATGATATGTCTCGTCTGCTGGATGGCTGGGCAGTTGGCTACGTTGTTTCATAGGGCTAGTAGAGTTTGGGTGAAATGATTGCTCATACACGCCAGGAATCCACTTGTCCGTCTGGTACGCAGGCTGGGGTTACGGATATGTACCTCTCATCAGTTCTAATCCGTCTGCAAGCGTAACTGCGAGAGATAGCCTGAATCTGGCTGATGCTTTGCCCTCGTCTGCTGTAGACTGTAGTCAATCTGATCGAAGAGGGGATGTAAGCGTTCGTTCCATAAGCTCCAAGCCGCTTGGAACAACACAACTAACACATCTGCTCAATGCTCACCTGTGTCGGTCGAAAATGAATCTCGAGCATTCCAAGAACGAGAGGGAGGGAGAGAACCGAGTGATGTGATTCAGCCTTGAACTGCCTGCGAACCCGTTACCGAGCTGCCCGACCAACTTGTCACCAAGCTATCTTATGAACCCGACCTCGACCCTTGGAACGGATTTCTCGTGTATTCGAGATCGTTAAAAGCGCACTATTTTAAGTTGCTACATATGAGGGTCCCAGAGCTGGGAAGTTCCAAGGGTCTTCTTTCACATGATATGACACTACGCCGCCCCCAGCCCACCAAGCGAAAACTTAAAGTTTAAACGCACTCAGCAGGAGGAAAAGTTCGGTTCTGCCCAGCTCTGATCTGGGACCTTTCAAACAGTCTTCAGTATCCGCAGATACTATCGAGAAGCAACTCTGTATGGTGACTACTAGAGTACACCGCAGAACCATTGGATGTTACCGTCACAAGAAACTTCGATTTGCTCTGATTGCTGGCACTGAGCTGGCTATCTACCTAGTGGACCCTTCTGACGAACAGGCTGCTCGACGAACTCAGCACCGAGTGCCTGACGAACCCGACGCCAGTGTTATACACAGTCCGGTCCAGACGGACTGGACGGAATTAATCCCGTCCCGTCTCTTCCGTTCCTTTTTCGGACGGGATACAAGTTGTCCGTCCCGTCCCGTCCGCAGTTTCGCTGGACGAGGCTGGACTGTAGTCCGGCAGTGCAAAAACCTTCCAATCTTTCCAGCACATACCCGCCCATCAAGTCTACGGGACCGAACGTATCTGGCTCCCGAGTCCCAGCCAACATAATGAGAGCATTACCATGATATGGGGGCCGCATTCAACTTCCGGGGAGTCGGGGACCGAGTTGTTGATGTTGTTCAATCAGTGCCTTCGATAGTCCAGTTCAGTCCGGCAGGCGGCGTGGACTGGACTGGACTGGGCAGTCTGTGCAACTGGTAGGGCTGGACGAACCGCAGTCGACTGGATGGACTGGTACTACTTTGAATGGAAAATATTTGAATTCACTAATGAACTTTTTGTAAACGTCTATGTACATACAGCTATTGCAGATCCTCTTCGCACAGCGCATTGAGGATAGTTTCCATCTCCTTGACATGGCCCTTTGTAGCAGCTACGTACAAGACTATCTCGTTGCCGAATTTCGAGACACTCCAGGCCCTTCAGTGTGTCCTCAGTACTCACCCATTCTGCAGCGACGATGAGAGAGTGTGTGATTTTAGCCCCACTAAAACTCCTTCCGGCTCTGCTCTCATGGCGGAAATGCTCAAATAGGTGCTCGCGGGCCATTCTAACGAGATCTTTCTAGCAAGGTTCGTGGGATTTATTCGGCGAGTACCTACTACACCACATTATCGATGGAATCGCATGGAGGCGGTTCCTGCTGGAAAACATCCATCATACCGATCTTTATTCAGACGACGGTGCGGTAGGAGATGGAGAGCTGGCATGGTACGAAAAGAGAACCTGTGATAGGTTGAAAGAGTGATGCCCGCTAGCCACATAGTTCGACCCAAAAAATTCAGAAAGTGGCAGTCTGTCAGTCGACTGCAGTCGACTGCAGTCCAAGACGGCAAATCTTTGGGATGGACTGGATTCAAACCGTCCTCCAATTTTATCGACTGGACTGGACTGATGTAAGTGGTCCTTCTAGTCCGGACCGCCATCCGGACTGGACTAATCCGGAGCACTGTGTTCAATATGTCTGTTATGTAAAATTGTTGGAACCACAATGGAGCGACCTTGCGCGGGTCAAATATAAGAGGATGTTTTGGCTGATAATGTTTGATTATTCCACAGTCTCTCCGGACCGGAGGTCCTCTATATATACAGAATCTCTCGCTCCATACGTCATGATAGCATACCGTTGATATGCCGAGTACTCGGCCGACCGATGACGATGCTCGCTGATATATCGCCAGTCGGATTTCTTGCCGTCTGTCAGCATTGCTGCAATTGTGATATACATTACGGACCTCCAACTCTGACAGCGCGAATGGCTCTCAACAACCTCACTGACATGCTTGGCAGTCGATTGCAGTCCGTCCCGTCCGACCTTGCCGGTGGACTATGTAGGTAGTCCGTCCAGCACACCTCCGGACGGACTGGATGTATGTAGTCCGCAGTCCCGTCCATGAGTCCGGACGGACGGGACTGGACTACCTATGTAGAACACTGCAGCCCTCTTCATAGCCCGGCGGAACCTTTGGTTCCCAGATCCGCCCATTCCATGTAGACCGGCGCTTGAGGATAGCGCCAAAGCATTCCATTCCGTTGCCACCAGCACTCCTGGGCGTTGGCGGGAAAATTGTAAGATCCAGTTCTCTGTTGGGAAGTTTCCGGCGGTGGGGCGACGAGTGAGATGAACCCATGGATGGTTCAATGGCGGTGATGGCGATTGCCACCCAAACGACCTGTTTTGGTAGTTCGAGGAGATGGAGATATGTAAGTAAGTGACGCAGGTACGGTGGAAGCTAAAGGTTGTGGAGGATTCTTCGTTGTCGACCTTGGGTGCGTGAGCTTGGTCGTTGTACGCGGTTCACTTACATACTTGATTTTTGATGTGCGGTTGCCTGCTCGTGAACCTGAACCGAAGTCCAGCCCGGACTTCGAACGTGCGTGCCATTCCACGATCAGGCTGAGATCGACGCAAGATCTGATCTAGCGATCTAATCTGATCTGGCCCAGGCTAGTCAATATAGGTACTCACGACGTCGTCTCTCACCGACTGTAGTCTGTTCGTCGTTCGACCGTTCGTTGCACCCGAGCATGTCCCCCCGTCCACCCCCCCGAACCCACTCCTCGAAAAACCAAGCTCGGATGCACTGTGGATGCAGCAAGGAATGACTTTATCTCCTCCGCGATCCTAGCAACCTGCCGGAACGGACGCACCGCGGCCACCCACATCCCTACCGCTGACGTCGTTGCTAGACGAGCTTTCATTGGCGCCGTCTTAGGCCTCGTCAACAGGTCTCAGGACTCAACGGTTTCGGAATCCGTCAAGTCGGCGTGTGCTCACTTCTCAGGCACGATTGGGGAATTGGGATCCCCTTAGAGCGGCGGAGAAACATGAAGGAGGCAGAGTTTGATCGGTTTGAGGATGGGAAACCACTACCACCACTATATCGATCGACATGCTGCAGTGCAGAGAGTGTGTGTGCGCGAGAGTGTCGGTGTTTTCGCTGGACGCAGAAGGCCACGACGATCGATACCGAGTGCGAACTCTGCAACAAGGAAGAACGGTGATTCCTTTCCCCGGTGGGACCCCCACTGGCTGTGATTGGGTCGCTGTGCCCGGCAACAGGAACATCTTCACCACTTCGAGGCTTACAAGTGTCTCCTATCACAGCCGACGGGTGGGGGGGCTCCACTGCTCTAGGAAATTCATCAGTCATCATCTGACACGGCGTCCCTTGCCAGCGGGTGGGAGTTCCCCAAACGTACCCAATTGCCGTGGGAGGAGGGAGAGGGGGAAGGGACATGGATCTCATCAGGAGCTGGGCAGGGAGCAGTGCGGTGAGAACTCTACACCACCTACCGCGGCACACCGGCATCTGAGATGACGGGCTTGTGCTTCAACCGCGACGATAACGGCTCTTAGGTACTCTTCCCTTGTGGCCGGCACAACACAGAGTAGGTACCGTAGAGTGCCCATGGCGAGCGAGCCCGCTAGCTCTGCATTCGGTGGAAGGGCCAAGCATTGCTGTATCCTCCGCCTATCTTCGTCGATCCGAATCAAATTCTGCCGCAAACTGCAGCTACGTTCCTGCCGATGCTACCGGCCGGCCAGTGGTGTCGACATCACCCAATACCGACGACATAACTCGCCGGCCGCTGTTGGTGTCATCTGCATGCAGCGCGTGGGGAAATTTGAGAGGGGGGGAGGGGGCAAGGTGGAAGGGCGAGGGGGGATTGGAGGAAGGACCTACCCCATACCTTCTAGAACGAAATTCTCCGTTCGGCCCGCATCCACTAAGCCCGCCAGGTCTCAGACGAACGTTGTTTGCTGTCCCTTCGCTGTCCGTTAGAGATATTTTTTTTCTTTTCGGTCCGTACGTACGCGTGCTGGGGGGACGTGGTTCCACGGATGATGCCGGTGCAGTGGGGGAAGAGGGGGTGGAGTGGGGAGTGGAGAGTGGAGAGGGGGGGTGAACCTGCAGCTTGGCCCTGCCGATTATCGTGGCCCCGTACGTCTAGTTTGTTCGCACGCACCTGCAGCTGGGCCAGCTTCCCTCTTTTTTCGTTGGCAGCCACAAGCGACCGAACATGGGAGAGGTGGAGAAGCCGCGCTGAAGATCCACCATGGCTGTCGGAAATATAAACCCCTTCCCCCGCCGCTTCAACCAGTTGTTGCCACCACAGTATTCGAGCATTCATATTCAGATCTCACGACGATCACCACATCACTCGCCACCACCAACCAAAAAACCTCCAAATAAAAACCCATACATTGCACAATACAACACAGCGATCATGTCTTCTACCACCACCAACACCTCCACCACCTCTACCACCATAAAGTCGACCACAAAACCATCAAACCCTTACGATTCGATGCAATCCGGCAATATCTACATGGGCAGCATGAGCGGGTACCTACCTCCTCCTCCTCCTCCCTTCTCCAATCCACCCCCAATTCTAACGCCTTCGACCTCTAGACTCCACCACCCCGCCGCCGCGCCCTCCTCCTCCGCGCCCCAGGCGCCCCCACGAAGAGGCAGCCACACTGCACACATGCAGCCCAATAACCACGCGCACCATTTCAGTCCGCAGCAATACATTGCGAACGCCACCTGGCCTGCCGACATTGGTTCGGGTGGGTACTGTGGGTGGTACTGGAGTGCGCCCAGCACTACTGTTTCATTATAAACGGAAGGGACACAATTATCATGACTGTTACGACCGCTGTTTTTTTTTAATATCACGATTTGAACATACATAGGGAGCGAGCACAGGTTACTTGCTTACTTGGTTGGTTGGTTGGTTCAGGGAGTTTGATGGAACGGATGGATGGAGTTTTTTTTTTTTGGTTTGGGCTGCTGCTGTACATACTATACATACACCTTCTTCTTCTTATATGTCTTATATCATAGATTATGTCGACACTTGACAGTCGTTTTTTACATTCTTTTCTTTTGTCTAATATTTCTTTGTGGCTTTACATACTATAAATTTTGTTTCTTTTGTTCTATATCTCTTTACAGCTTCAATGGTGTTTTTAGAAAGTCAATATACACATGAACCTTTTTTTTGAGAACAAAACGTACTGTGGTTAGTCGGTCGGATTCGGTTGCCAAGTGATGCATTGTGATACGGTGTTCTGAATGGGGACGTGTTTTCTTGCTGGATGTCAGTGTCAATGTCAATAGCCCCTAGAGTAACTACCACCAGGAGAAACATGGAGGGACGTTTGCTGAGTATCAATAGCCACTACTCTAGAGTACTACCATCAGGAGAAATGGGGAGATGTTCTGACTGGATGTCAACGTCAATAGCCACTAACCAAGTCGAGTAACTACCACCAGGAAAAATACATCGGCAGATCTTAACGGAACATCTTGGTTCCGGGAATAGCTGCTGAGAACATCATAGTTACTCTAGTTACAACCGCCGCGTGAGCCTAGCAGGGGCCATACGTGAGTTGGTGTGATTCGTGTCTGATCTGACGCCCGAGGCAACAATGGGACTCTCTAGTTTCAATAGCCCCTACATACTGCAGACCTACTCTAGTCGCCTGCCAACTAGTAATGTAATCAGAACTGATACCGAACTCAAAAGTTTACTTGCTGTGTACCTATGTACAAACTCAATGTCCGCTTAAACGATTCAAAGATTCAACCCGCAACCTGATGTTACATATACGCCTCTCTCTCTAATACCCAACAGCCTGACCATCGCCCCTAGGATCGCTCCCAGCACTCCACACCCTTTGTCCCTCCTCCTCATCCCACCCAGCAACGATTACCTGCCCGCGCCCAAACATTCCGCGCCCATACTCCTTCACCACCTCGACGACATGTCCCTTCTCCCTCAGACCCCTGACCGTCTCCTCGCTAATGCCCTCCTCGACATGGACCACGGGCGCGCCGGGATCATAATTCGAGCCGATGCTAATCCTTGGAGCGTCGAGGGCAGCCTGGGGACTCATATTGCAGCGCAGTCCGTTCAGGAGGACCTGCACGTGGCCCTGCGGCTGCATGAACCCTCCCATGACGCCGAAGACAGCCTGCAGTTCGCTTCCGGTGGGATCGGTGAGCATACCGGGGATGATGGTGTGGTAGGGGCGCTTCCCGCCCTCGAGCACGTTCGGGTGGTCCGTGAGGAGTGAGAACCCCGCGCCCCGGTTTTGGAGCACGAAGCCGCAGTCCGCAGGAATGATGCCGGAGCCGAAGCCCCCGAATGTGCTGTTGATGAAGCTGCAGCCGTTGCCGTGGGCGTCGGTTACCGAGAAGTACACTGTGTCCGTGCTTTGGAAGGCCGGTGTGCCGTGCGAGATGGATGAGTTAGTGGAGCTAGGGGAAAAGAGCGCGGCGCGCGATGCGAGGTAGGAGGAAGACAGGAGGCCGGACACGGGTACGGGCGAGACGGATGGGTCCGCGATCCACCAATGGCCGTCCGAGAAGGCGATACGGAGGGCTTCGATTACAGCGTGGAGGTATCTAGATCGATAGTGTTAGCTCGTGCATGGTGAGGAGGGGACAATGGGTGCAAGTACTCAGCCTCGTTGTGGCCATAGCCCTTGTCCCCCAAACCAAGTGGCTTGATATCCCCACGCTTCTCCATCTCCTCAATAATCCCCAGTGCCATGAGGGCGACAAGTCCCTGGCCGTTGGGCGCACATTCCCAGACCTTAGTCCCCGAGAACTCAATTCCAATCGGCACGGTCTTCTCACTTCCCAGCTTCCCATGTCTCTCCAGATCATCCATCTCCATAACACCGCCCCTCTTCTTCACCGCCTCAACAAGTGCCCTCGCCACCTCACCCTCGTAAAACGCACTTTTCCCCTCCTTGGCCAGCTTCCTAAACACCCTGGCCAATCCGGGCATCTTCATAATCTCCCCGACCCTCGGCGGCCTCTTTCCGCCCTTCAGCAGCTCCCCGGCATTGTCCGGACTCGCATCGCGGATGGTATGTTCGCACTCCGCCCAGAACCTTGCGCTCAGCTCACTGACAGGAAACCCCTCCTCAGCCAGCCTGACCGCCTCACCAAACACCTGTTCCATGTGCACCTTCCCGCTCCCAAACTTCTCTACCACATCGACCCACCCGGCCGCCGCACCGGGCACCGTGACAGCGTGCACATGTCCCATCGGGATCTGCGCCACCTCGTCGCCAAGGTCGTTGACGTAGCGCTTTCTGCCGCTAAGTCCTAAATCCTTGCGTGCACGGGCGAGGGACAGCGCCGCGGGGGAGCGTCCGGACGCGTTGATACCCCGGATCGTGCGGGTGGACGCGTTGTAGAACAGGCAGAACACGTCGCCGCCTATGCCGGTGCTCGTGGGCTCGGTAACGTTCAGGGCGGCGGCGACGGCTACGGCCGCATCCTACTATTCTCAGTCGAGCGGACGGGAGGGGAGGGGAGCGGAGCGGGGGACTAACAGCGGCGTTGCCGCCATCGCGCAGGATCTTGATCCCCGCCTGTGCGGCCAGCGGCTGCGTACACGATACGATGCCGTTCGTGCTGTGGACTACTGAGCGCCGGCTGGGGAACGGGACGAATGGTGGCTGCTCCGCTGCGAGCGCGTGCAGGTTTTTGCGAGCTTGTCCGAACATTTCCGCTGTGTTGACAGAGGGAGCCAAGGTTGGAATCTGGATTGTGGACACATGCAGGTTTTAAGTACCTGCCTGCAGGCCCGGCCCGGCCGTTGTCCCTTCAGCTGCGCATAGCCGCGGAGGTGGTGGTGGCGGGCGGTACACAACAGTGGTGATTGGTGAGGTCCATATAAAGTGTGGATCTACCACTACATGGCTCGGGAACGCGGAAGCTTTGCGGGGTAAACAGGGATCGGACGGGTTCTTCCGCGAGTCGCGAACTACGGACTCTCGTCTCCTAACGACGGGCACTATTTCGTGGGTCTAGGTCATGGTCTCTCGGGAGCTCTGCAAAGTGCTGTGTGCAACGGTCTACGATGTCGGAGAGAGCTTCTATGTAACTACATTCCATCTCCCCGTTCGAAAAATAAACCTGACAGCCCTCCTAGAAACATCCGTACATTGTCCTCAATTCCTAAAGCTCCCAGACTTTCAACAGTGACGACCTCCTTTTTGACCATACAACCCAGTCTGTTCCCCTCCCCAAGCTTCTCTTCTGCCTCACGAGATTCACCAGCGCTATTCGATCAGTTTAGGATGAGGTAGAACAACAGTGATGACTGCGCTCAAGACTTGCCTCTTTCAAAACTCTGAACCGACAGGTATGCAAGTAGTTTGCTATCAGTTTACCAGTTTGCCACCACTGCCGATTACCTAGGTACTCGCAGTGGACTCCATACGGAAATTGGGTGAGGGCGTTTGTGGCGTTTGTGGCGAGTTGAAGAGTGAGATGTGAGGAAGCGGTGATTTGTAAAGTAGCCGAGGTTGACAGGAATGAAGCCGGTGGATACCGGTAGATATCTCAAGGGTAGGTGCCTAGAGTAGATCTACTTGACATGCCGCTGCTCTGCCGCCTCGGTAATTAAGGGTTTCGTACATACCTGCATAGTGGGGATGGAGCTTGGTCGTGTGAGTATAATACAGCGCCGGGACGCCTTAAGATCGCAAGTCTTGGGCATTTCCCACGTGGTCCGCGTTGCGCGACACAATGGCCCGGTGAAGCCTCAAGACTACTATTCACGCACGGACCTGTTCGGCTCGCGCCGTAATTCCAAGCTGCCACACAAATTTGAGTTGACGTTAGTTGGCTTGGAAATACGCTGAGCGTTCGGCACAACCACTTGATCGATGGAATTGAGCCACATCGTATTTTGTTTACGTATTTTTCTGAGCCACCACCAAAAAAAATAGGCTACATAATGCCAGCATTCATCACCAGCTCCCCCTGAACCCGTGCAACACAACAACATCCACAATGCCCCGCGGTGACAGCTTCCTCACCCCAGAAGTATTGCTTGCCATTGCCGTTCTTGTTGGCGCATGCGAAGCTTCTCGTTACGAAAAACCTTCACCAGAAACCTCCCCACTGTTTGGCTCCGAGTATGTGGACGAGCTTCTAAGCTGCGAAGAAGACGATGACCCACAAGTTCTCGACGCCTTCCGGATGCCGCTATCCACATTCCTCGCACTGCGCGACTGGTGTGTCGAGCACGGGCACCTGCAAGCGACGCGGTACATGTCGGTGGACGAGCAGCTCGCGATCTTCCTCTGCGTCGTCGGCGAGAACACGACCAACCGCGCGGCACAGGAACGGTTCAAGCGCAGCGGTAACACCATCAGCCGCTGCTTCAACATCGTTCTCGACGCGATGGTAGCGCTGTGCACCGCAATTGTCAAGCAGCCAGCTATCCGCCAGTCGCCTACTACCCCGCGTGTCCGGGATGATCCGGAAATGTTTCCGTACTTCAAAGATTGCCTCGGTGCCGCATCCGCAGCAACAGCAGTAGAAGCCGCAGTAGCAGACGGTACCCCGCATGCCCATGCCGATCCCCCTGTGGTGCCGGCGTCGGACGGAAAACCCTAAGCACGACCTCGAAACACCGGCAACGGCGACATCAGCCAGAGCGCCGTTGGACTGTGCACCTTTGACGAACTGTTCTGGCATGTTCTGCCCAGTGGTTGGGCAGGATTGGTACACGATGGTGGCCGCGGTCGCGTGCTTCAGGCCGCCGCTTTGCGTGATGCCCGCGTGATTCCACCGCCTGGCAACTACTATCTGGTGGATGCGGGCTATGGCTTAAGACCAGGCTTTCTCCCGCCCTACCGCGGCGCCCGGTATCGGAAGCTGGAGGATCAACGGCTGGAGAAGCAACAACAAAAACCGCGCAACAAGGAGGAGCTGTTCAACCTCCGCTACGCGCAATTACGGAGCGGTGTCGAGCCCATCTTCCAAACCTTGAAACGGCGGTTCCGCATCCTTCGAGCTCCGCAGGAGTATACGTACGCTACGCAAGTCAAGCTGGTCTTTGCGCTTACTGCCCTGCACAATTTCATACGAATAAACAACGACAAGAGTGAACTGGATCGATGGCGGAGAAGTACTAGCGTGGAAATGGAAGTGGAAATACATGATGGAGAAAGTTCGCAGGAAAATGCAGAAACGGATACTGCTAGTGTAGAGGAGGAAACTGAAGCGGTAGAAGGGAACGGCGGAAGACAAATGGCTGAATTGAGGGATCAGATAGCGGAGGAAATGTGGCGAGATTATACAGGTGAGGGAAGACTTAAGAGGAAAAGGAACCTGACGGGCAAGGGGCGGGAAGGACACAAGAAAGTATGTAGTTGAGTAGAGGTGGTGGTGTGGTTCTGTCGTATCGCTGTGTCGTCGTGTCGCCGTGTCTCTCTATTCATGTAATTTGTTCTGATGGCGCTGTGCGTGCCCTCTTACCAACTTTTTCGCCTCGGCTGAAAGTGTAGTATATACTGTAATAGTAATATCGTGGGGCGTAGAGAGGCTGTCGAGTGTAAAATACGGAGAAAGTGGTGTTGCCGAACAGATATTTGAGATGTGTGGGCGCCAAAATATACGGAGTAGTGTAGATACCGTATTTCCAAACTGACGTCGCTTTAGAGATACGGTGCGAGTCGAACAGGGCCTACGCCGGGCTCCGATTGTACTGGTACAAATGTCGCTTTTTTTTTCGGGGCTACCTACCGTACCACAGTACCGGTAGCTCGCGGTTCACAACACAACGTCAACTCACCTCTAGTTAGGCTCCGGCGGCTCTCACATGGTACAGTACAGCATAACTACAGAAGCAATTTAGATACGAACTGGCAATCACTTTTATCCCGAGGCTATCCATCATCTACCCGCCTCTCCCCCTCCCTCCCCTCCACCTCTTTGTGGCTCATGGCATCAGCTCGAAGGTATCGATTCGCTCCAGGCTGCCGTCCAGAATCTCGCAGGTGGAATAATCCTCTTTGAAGATGACGTGATAGAGGTACTTTGGGAGCATGGTGAAGCCTAGTTATCGGTTCGTATCAGTAACTACGAATTGCAAGTGTACGGTGGGAGAGGTGGTTAAAGCCTCGACGCATCGCGAACGAGAGAGGATGGTCATGGAAATTCTGCTTCCAGTTCTCCACATTACCGTGGAAGCGTCCATCTAGTCGTTGAGACAAGAGGACGCAACCTGTATTACGAATCTTTGCGACCACCATTGGGGGGAATGTGCGGGATAGCAACGCAACGTACCGTCGATAACCTTTGGCACTACCATCCCAAACTCCAACCAAATCTGCTCCTGAACTTCCCCGTCACGTGCAGGCGTTTTATCCCTGATGGCCCACCGCTTCTCCGGGAACCACAGTTCGAATCCGCCCCTCTGCTTCTCGCATTCCACGACAGGCATGAGATCCCAACACACGCGGTATAATTCGTCGTAGTAAAGCCGAGAGCTCGGGCGGATGGTGAGGCCTGGTCCTAGGAGGCCGCCGAGATGGTGGTTTAGGGAGCTGCGGGAGAAAAGACGGAGGGCGGTAGAGATGAAGTCGATCAGCGTAAGGTTGGATATCGAGTTGGCAGGCGGGAATATGTGGCTCAGAAGGTGTTCGTAGACGCTGTTCTGGTCAGTGGGACGGAAGATAGACGAGGGGGGAGAACCTACCGGCGATGCAAAAGCGACGGAGTGGTATAGGTCCGGGTATTTGCGACTGGATCAATCTCAGAAATTAACAGGCCCTTTCGGCAGCAGGCTTCGAGGGTGGCCCTGTTTGCGGTGTTTTCGGTGACGCTCTGGCGGGCCACAACTTGCTGCATCGTCCTTGCAATCTGCGATTGCTCAAAGGAAGCGAGAAGAGATTGTGGAAAGAGTGTTTGCATGGCAGACGTCTTGAGGAAATAACTGAAATCAACGGAATTGCGAGCGAAAACGGTGGATAGCACTGCGGGTATGAAGCATAGGTCTCCTTCTCCGGGTGATCTTGAAGCCTACCAGATGTTAGCATTGAACGGGACCATGGGCGTAAGATACCATACCTGGACCTCCTTCATCGCACCGATGATGCTCCGAACGCAACCCGGATGCCCACCGGTAAACGAGTACAAGAACTCCCTTGCCTCCTCGGAAAAGACCAACGCCCCGGTCTTTCGAGCTTTGAAACTAGGGCCACAGACCGCGTTCATTACATCGTGATACTCCTCCCGTGTAAAATACAACGACACATTGGAATTATTGGTAGGAAGTGGCCGGCACGAGACGGTCTGTTTCCGTGAGAGATACATATCATCATCGGAATACGACGAGAATAGGGCGATATAAAAGTTTCTCATCCCTTCCGTCGTCTCGCGCTTGATAAGATCGTTCCAAAGGTTGCGAAACGGGCTCAGGTATTGCGAATCGTCGAGAATTAACAGCTTCGGGCCCTGGGATTTGAGGAATTGTTCCGGTACGCCGATGCTGTGGAGAACAGAGATCCAGTGGGAGTGGGAAGGTAAATGGGGAAGCGGCTGACAGACGATGCTGCATACCTCGATGTCGGAGTTCGAGCTTGCGGATACATGCGTTGAGAGCAAGCCCGCAAGAGTGGACTTTCCGCTGGATGGGGGGCCATAGATCTGGATGACTCGGAGGAGCTGTTGCTGTTCCCATAGGGCATTGACGATATGGTGCCTGGGTGAGGATTGAATGTTCAAGAAAACAGGCACATCGGAAGGCCTCTGGCTCTTGCTCGGAGTGTGTTCTATTTTTTCCGCCTTGGTTAGCAAGCCTTCGGCCCCTCCTCTCACCGCCACCATTGTCAGGACCAACCGACCAGTCGTCATGCCAACGGACGCAACACTGCCAGCCGCTGCAGACCCACTATCCTCCGGACAATTCCCATGGCTCCCAATCAGATGGGCACAGTTATTGCAGCGAATATCAACCCAACCGTTGACACTCTCGGGGATATTGAACTCTCCGGCCCGGCACGGACACCCTATCCCGACCTTCCCCGAGCGGACCATATACCTGCATTCTCCCGACCTCGTCCGTATAGAGACCGTCGACGATTCGTGCATCTCGTCGGCAGCGTCGAGTGGAGGCGATGACGATATCTCGTTGCTCACGCTTGTACCGGCGTTGTTCGATTTGATGGACCCGAGACGGACGACCTGACGTCCCTCGGTGGGGGCTATCCCTTGTTCCCGCAGGTGTCTCTGGTAGGGCTGGCAGAGGCGGAGGTGATTGACTGAAAGTTGTTAGGATATATCCCCCCATCCCCCTCTTCATCCCTCTCCCGTCCAGTCCGGTCGTGTGTTTGTGCCCGTGATACATACCCTGCCGTCCCGCATGCTGCGCCAGTTCCTTCTGACACCAATTGCACCGAACACTCCAGCGCTGTCAATTGCGGTCAGCCCTTCCCTTCCGCACCCCGGACTTGTCCGTCTTGCAACCAATGGGGCCTACCTTCCGATCCGGAGCTTTGTAGGTGGTGAAAGCCTCCTCGATCTCGGAGTTCCGCTGGCGAGCCATCGTGCTCGAGGCCGTCTGGGGGGAGAATAGAAAAGAATCTTGATAGTGAAGTAGGTAAGAAGTTACATGTTCACACGATGTTTTCCGATACTTATGTGTCGAAACCCCGCCCGCCCCACGGGCCTCAATTTTTTTTTTTGCCGCTGGTCTTCTGACAAAGACTTACGTAGTGTATGGAAAGTAATGCTGTAATTCTGTTGCGCACAGGTCATCGTAGAGAAAGTTTTGTGTGCGGGTTTCGAGCACACGATGGGTTTGCGAGCTCGGGCCACGGGTCGGTCACTATATCCAGCGACACACGAGTGACTGCTTAAATGCAGAAAGGTGGGAACTGATAAGGCTACATGCGGCGCCCTGTTGGTGGTACAAGCAGGTACTTTGGGGTTCTTGTCTCGCACCAGCCGTCCAATGTCCAGCCGTAGTCCTGTCTTTGCAGTCCGTGAATTTTTGCCTTTGGGCACTCCGAGTAGGTAGTGACGAGCGAAGTGAGGGTCTGGATTTTGACTGCGATCGCGTGACGGATTGCCGGTATTCATACCTCCGAATGAATCGGCATGACGTACACTGTACGCAGCTGAGTTGACCAGATAGCATAGATACGGATTTTAGGTATTCCATGGACGGGTGCGCAGACAGTGTCTTTGAGAGATCCAAAAACGTGTGAGGGATGGAAACGGATCGATTGAACTAGAATTCTCGGTCGACGATATGCAATATGAGTGTGATGAGGACTAGAGACCGACCAACGGACAGGCAGAACAGAAATAGTGTCAACAGAAATAATTCAACGTTCAACAACCGCATCGGGCATGCATCGGGTCCCAGCTCCACAAAACTTTGTCCCACCAGGTCTCCACAAGGTGTTCTCTCTCTCCGGTGCTCACCGATGACGCCAAGCTGCCTCTTCCTTCGCGCCCCTCAACCTTATTGCAGCATGGAGAAAAAGAGACATGCTCGCAAACACTCTGATCTATACATGCAACGCCGCTCCATCAAATCTGTACACAAATAGCGCCGCCACCACGACCACCACCAGCCGTCACTTCAGTGACTGCTGATCTGGAAGTACTGAAAGGCCCACAGGAACCTCCAGTCCGCCTCCCGCGTCAACCTCTGCTCCCTCGGGCCATGTCAAGAAGCCGCCGTCCAATGTCATCTCGCCCTTTCCGAGCTGGCAAGCGCAACACGGTCTCAACTATCACCGTCTGCGAAACAACGCAGATCCGAGGCACCGCTCGCCAGAAGTAGCTGGACTAGTTTCGGATTCGTATAAACCCGCTACCATTCGCCTATAGAAGGGGGGTATTCGTTGCACTGTTCCTCAGGATATTGGGAGGTCATACCTACCCGTCCAGCGTGGGCGAGAAGCCATCCGTTCATCTGTCGAGTCCCGCAAATCCGGAATCATGGACTTTGCAGTTGAAATTGACTACCTACCTACATACATCTTACATAGGTATCGTCAAATGGTCTTGATCGACTGAATTCCTCGTCTCGGTGGCTAGGTGAAGCGGAACCGAACCGAATATATACCGTATTATCTCGGATATAAATCTCGTTTTTGAAATGGGTTTGGCGCGGTGTGAGCGCGCCACTGCGCTTAACTAGGGTTAGTGAGGAAGCGGCAATAAAACGTCAACTAATTGAGAGGTTGGAGCTTGGAGCTTGGAAGGGCTGAAGTCCGTGAGAATGGCAGTGAGAGGCTGCTGACCCCTGACTCCAGATCCAGGAGTCCTGAACAGTTATTGATACAGAACACCTATACAAAGCACCTCACAAAAACCAACTTCCAGCAATCAGAAAGATAAGCATGGAGAACGGCGAACTCGTCAATTCCACTATACCACTGAACGCCTCGGATGCAGTCATATTGCAATTCGAATCTCTTATTCTCACCCCTACGGTTCGAAAAGCTACCGACAAAGCTTTAGACGAAGACGATGATGACGATGATGATGACGATGACGAACTGGTCATCCGTCCACCACCCAAATCCAAGCCCGGCCCCAAACGAAAGCCTACCTCAGAGGTTGTGCGTAAATTTCCGCCTCCACCTACCGATCCCAACCCCGAGAGACGAGCCTTTACGACCGAATTCAAACTGGGAATACTGTCATATGCCAAATATGCCAGGGTGGATAATGGAAAAGGTGGTCTACGAGCTCCGAGGGCTACCGAGGTGTGTGAACGTTACAACATAAAGCATACACGGTATTTGCGCAGATGGCGCTGCGAGGAGGAAAAGTTACTCGCCATGAAACCGGAACAGAAAAGAAACCGATTGTCTCGCAAACGTGCGCCTAAGCTCTCGGCTGGCTCGGCGGACGCCCTCTCGCCAGCCGTGTCCTCGCCAGCCGTGCCCTCGGCAGACGTGCCCTCGGCAGACGTGTCCTCGCCAGCCGTGCCCTCGGCAGACGCGCCCTCGGCAGACGTGCCCTCGGCAGACGTGCCCTCGGCAGACGTGCCCTCGGCAGACGTGCCCTCGGCAGACGTGCCCTCGGCAGACGTGCCCTCGGCAGACGTGCCCTCGGCAGACGCGCTCCCAGCAAGCTCGGCGAGCGGGTTCTCGGCAGGCTCTGCGGGCAGTCTCTCGGCCGGCTCGGCGGGCGGGTTCTCGGTAGGCATGTTCTCGGCAGGCGTGTTCTCGGCAGGCGTGTTCTCGGCCGACCCGCTCTCGGCGGACCCGCTCTCGGCGGACCCACTCTCGGCAGGTGCGCTCTCGGCAGGCTCGGCGAGCGCGTTCTCGGCTGGCTCTACGGGTGGTCTCTCGGCTGGCTCGGCCAACGCGTTCTCGGCAGACTCGAAGGGCAGTCTCTCGGTAGGCTCGCCGGGCGGGTTCTCGCTAGGCGTGTTCTCGGCTGGTGTGTTCTCGGCGGACGCGCCCTCGGCAGGCTCGGCAAGTGCATTCTCGGCTGGCTTTAAGGGCACTCCCTCGGCTAGCTCGGCGGACGTGCTCTCAGCGGACGCGCTGCCGGCGAGCTCTAAGGGCAGTCTATCGGCAGGCTCGGTGGGCGCACCCTCAGCTGTCTCTACTAGAAAAGTCAAGGCACTCTCGGCGCGCGCAAGCAAGAAAACCCCTCCTGAACCAACAACCTCAACTAGAAGAAGTAAGAGACTGGAAGGAGTGCAGAAGTAGTATGTGGTTGCAGAGTTGTTTCCTAAAGTAGTATTAGCAATAATGAAGATGATGAAGATGATGGTGTGGAATTCTGTTGGAGAGACGAGGTTTGAGGCGGGAGCATTCTGGAATTTCAAGTAGTATTACAAAAGAGTCGTCACTGTGAACCTATGTAATCAATATGCCTCCAGAATTATGGCCGACGGATATATTGGCCGTTCCCTGCACACAGGTACCATGCCGTACCGTACTGTGGGTACACAAGTACCTTGTTGTACTCTATGTGAACAATACCGCGTAAAGTTACGCATGGTCAAGTGCATGCTTATCTTATATACACACAATCGCTGAACCGTTGAATGACAGAAAACCATCGTCTTATACCGGAATGTCTCCACGACGTACCTATATAAAAGGCATAGGTATTCCCTCAGCCAACTAGATGCTAGACAGATTGTCCAAATGACAGTTAGCAAGCGGTTACGCAGCCGGTCCTCATAAAGCTCCCGAGAGCCTCACCTCGGTCGGTCGGTCGGACGGGCCTTCGAATATGGGGCCGAGATCGGTACATACTCTACTCTAGTCTACCGGTATTTGATTTCGCCATTTAAGCGGCCATTTAAGCGTATATCTATAGGTCTAGTCCCGAATCCATGAAGCTTGAACCTGTAGTTGGGTACCGCACTGCGGTTAAGCTTGTGTAATAGCGCGGGGAGAATGGTGGGGGCCGGGGAAGCGGGGTCGGATTCTGGAACCCAAACACCGGTACAAGAACGAAAGAGGAAGAGAAAAAACAACCTTGCCCGTCCCTTCCCATACCAGTAGCATAACCAGACTCCAGAGAGCGAGAATTATCCGTGGATTTAGCCTATCTACAAACATGTCCCGTTTATGTGTGCACACCCCCCGGTAAACGGCTTCCAGACAGACTCCAGTGTCCAATCGGTCGGACTGGAGATACGTTCCAGGCAGGTGCGTATCTCTGGCGTGGGAAACGTAGTGGGATTGGATAGCTCCCAGAGTAGTAGATAGATGTGTGTATGTATCTACCTACTCTAGACCAGCGGCGGCGAGTGTCTACCGAAACTACAGCAGCAACTACAGCCCTTCCGCCTTTCCGCCCGGAAGTCCTCATCCCTTCCTGCCTCCCATCCCATCCCATCTCGGCGCGAAGGACGGATCTCGAGGTCATACAGCTCCTGTCAGACCCCCAGAGAAGAGAAGGTGGATATGTGGTTAGCTAGCTAGCCATGCAAACACACGGACGGAGGACGGAGAGGCGGGTGTGGTGGTGGTGGCGACTCCCTGATAGGTACCGTGCATAGCAGGGCCAATCGACAGAATGGCAAGAAAAAAAATCTACATACATCGCACTGTCAACGCGGTACTCTGCCAACCGTGCCCGCCGCGGTGGTGAATAAATATCCCCCCGCGCACTCCCCTCGATATCCCGCGCACTCCCCACAGGTACCTATAGACTATAGAGATGTTCCGCCCCCCGAGCCTACGATCCGCGCTGCGCACAGCAGGCGCAATCCTGCCCCGCAGTCCCGCTCTCCGAGTCGCAGCGCGCACACTCTCCAGCAGCAGCTCCGCCGCCGCCGCCGCCGGACCACGCACGCTGAGCAGCTTCTCGCTCGAGGGGAAGACCGCGATCGTTACTGGCGGAGCTCGTGGGTGAGTCGACTCCAATCCAGAGCACGGGGGGAGGGGGGGAAAGAGGAGGGGCTAACCGCGCGGATAATGAAGACTCGGATATGTCATGACGCAGGCGCTCGTCGAGTCCGGTGCTGATGTGGCCATCGTCGACTTGAACGGTTCGTCGCTTCTCCCCGCACGGCGAGCCAGCCACTGACGAGTCCCCCCGCAGGCGACCAAGCACACAAAGCAGCCGAGGACCTCCTCGCGTCCTACCGCCAGGCGCACCCAGACTCGCGGACGCCACGGATCACCGCGCACACGATGGACGTGTCGTCGGCATTCATGGTCGACGAGATCTTCCCTGACATCCTGGCTGCACACGACAACCACATCGACACTCTCGTGACTTCCGCGGGGTTCTGCGAGAACTTCCCCGCGCACGAGTATCCGGCCGAGCGCATGCAGGCGCTGTGGGGCGTCAACGTCAACGGCACGTACAACTGCGCGGCGACGCTCGCGAGACATCTCATCAAGCAGAAGAAACGTGGCAGCATGGTCTTTATCGGGAGCATGAGCGGCGCCATTGTAAACATCCCTCAGGCTCAGGCACCGTATAACGCCTCTAAGGCCGCGGTTAAGCATCTCGCGTCCAGCTTTGCCGTCGAGTGGGCCCAGTACGGCATCAGGGTCAACTGTATCTCCCCCGGATACATGCTGACGGACCTGACGAAGAGGATCCTGGAGGATAAACCAGACCTGAAGAAGCAGTGGGAGACGTTGACGCCCATGGGAAAGATGGGGAATCCAGAGGATCTCAAGGGCGCCGTTGTGTACCTGGCGAGTGATGCTGCCGGGTATGTCACCGGTACTGAGTTGAGGGTTGACGGCGGATACACTGCTGTCTAGGTAGTGGAGGGAAGGATGGGGGGTGTTTTGATCTCTTTGTTGGGGTGATATCTATTGTGGTTTGCGGATGGAGTTGGGGCTTTGATAGAACTCATTATTGGTTACTGAAAGTAATAAAGTAATGAACGCGAATGGCAGCTATCACCACGCAGTGTCATGACGAACACAGAAATACAGGGTCAAATAATGCCATTGATCCTCTAGAAACTCATTCATACAAGCCTTGTCTCTCCTTCAAACATAGGCACTCGTACTTGTACACAGTAAAAGAAAACGTAACCAGTAATGCCCCATCTTCCTCCGCCAGTGGAAGCAGTAGCCGTAGCCCTTGCCATAAACCCCCAATCACTCACGCACGCAATCCGGCGTCTCATACAAACCAACGTTGGAGAACAGCCGGAAGGAACCTCCACAGCAGCGCCAGCCAGCAAACCGTGCCACCCACAAGCTGCTCAAACCTGCGTTGGGACGGCCGGCTTTCCACCCTCCCTTCCACCAGCCCAGATTCTCTCGCTATCACTGGACCAGTTTGTAGCCCAGTCTGCAGCGCCGTCAGCACCAGCATGAGCGCTCACCAGACCCGACGGGCGCACCTGCTGCTGCTGCTGCTGCTGCGTCTGCATGGGCACCTCACACTTCGCCGCTGCGCGGGCGGCCCTCCTCCTGCGAATAGCGTTCCAGACGCACAGCCAGATCCAGATGCCGACGGTGACGATCCACAGGACGATCGCGGCGAGGATCATGATTCCGCGGGCGCGGTTTGCGCAATCCTCGTCGTAATAACTCCCGTTCGTGCTTCGACCCGTGTCAAAGTCGTCCCAGAACATGGCGCCGAAGAAGAGCCCGTACGCGATCAGCGAGAGCAGGAAGAGGATCAGGTGCATTACGATAATGCCGTGTCGGTGCGCAAGCAGTCGCCAGATACAGCAGTCCCGTCGGTCGGTAGCGAATTGCGGGTCGCCTTTAGGGTGACGCGGGCCGAGACAGCAGCAGAGGCATGGAGGGTCGCTGGATGTTGGTGGTGATGATGAGGAGGGGCCGTAGAATATCGGACGGGGAGTGTATGGATAGAAAGAGGGGGGGGTATGCCTGGTCTCTTCGGGAAAAGCGGCGGTGGTACGCCCGATGTCTTCAGGAGGAGCGTGGGTGGGACGCCTGGAGAAGGGGTTGTAGCTGCTGTACATTGGAGCCGGAATGGGTGGCTTTGAGCCAGATTGATCGTCGTTAGTAGGAGGGATAGCAGTGGACGAGAACGGAAATCACCTATTGCTATGAATGGGAGTAAAGACAAATCAGACTGGAGAGTGGCCTCTTGGTCTCCGGCAATGCTCGAATTCGGAAGGGATGATGGCTTTGTGATGGATACAACTCAAGGATGGAGGCAATTGGATGTGAATGGGGGTTGGAGGAGAGCACGAGGAAAGTGAGGAAGAAAGGAAGAAACAGATGACGAGGTGCTACACCGACTTGGATCACTCGGATGGCCTGTGTGACAGGTATCGTGCTAGCATGAATGGAACCACTCAGCGTCCATGTATATAGCTGTATAACATGGCAAAATCACTCGCAATGCACTGCACTGCACTCACTCCCTCGCGAAAACCGTCTTCCCATCCACCCATACCTTCTTGACCCCCTGCTCCCCACCATGCGAGCAAATCCACCTCTCAAACTTCATCTCGACGTCTTCCTCGTTCTCCCGTGGGGTATCATCTGCGGAATCATCTTCATCCCACGTCAAGTCCACCATCACCGCATCCCACCTCATGCCGACCTCAAAGACCCCGACCTCCAAGCCGAGTGCTTGCGCCCCACCCCTAGTTGACAAATAAAACGCCGTTTTCCAATCGACGACTTCCTCATCCCCTACAGGCTGCACTCCGCTCTCCTCCCTAGGATCCGTACTCCTATCCCACCGTGGCAGGAATCCATCAATGCGACTCACCAGCCCGGCCATCCTAACGGAGTCGACCATGCTAGCCGAATGTCCTCCGGCAATATCCGTTCCCAGGCCGATCTTGACGCCCAACGAGCGAAACCTATTTACTGGAAGCACGGCGCGGGAGAAGAGCATGTTCGAGTAAGGACAGGAAGCGATCGCGGCACCGGTTTGTGCCATTGTCCGCGCTTCAGAGTCGTGGAGATGCGTGCAGTGCGCCAGAACCGTTTTCGAGGTGAGGAGCTTGCAGGACGCCAGGATGGCGATGTCGCGGGCGAGCTCGGGGTGCTGCGAGCGGACTATGAGGGGGTGGGTGTGAGCGGTTGTAGAGAGGATGGGACGAGCGGAGTTCCTACCAAGGGCTACTTGATCTACACTCTCGGCGGCATGCGTTTGGATGTGGCAGCTGTACTTCTCCGCAATCTCGCCCAGGCCCTGCAGCAGCTCGAGGGAGCAGGTCGGCACCTATGTAGGTACCGCTCATCAGTCGCACACCCACTACCTACCTACCTCATGGGCAAGGGCAAGGGCACTCACGAATCTCGGTGTGACCACGGGCATCACCAATCCATTTCTGCCATGCCGCTCATACACGGACTTTACAAACACCTCTGTATCTGCCAGACTACCAGCGGTAGTCTCGACATAGTCCTCGGGCAGCAACTGGTCGCTACACGTCTTCCCGACCAACGCGCGCTGCCCGTACTTAGCACACGTCTCGGCGAGGATGAGGGAGGCGGCTAGATGGTTGGACGCGAAGTACAGCGCGGTGGTGGTACCGTTCCGCAGGAGGCGGCATATCAGGCGCGGGTACACCGCTGAGGCGTGCGCGGTCGAGGCGAAGGCCGCTTCCGCGGGGAAGGTGTATCTTCACACCGGATCAGTCAGGGTACGATACATAGCGAAGGGTGAACGGGGCGGGGGGACTTTTGCAGCCATTCCATGAGCGGGACGTCGGTTTTTGTTCCTAGCTGTTTATACTGCGGCGCACTGCCATCCATCACGATCACCGCCTCAGCCTAACTGCCCTTCCCCTTCCCACGCTGAAGAATTCGGGAAGGCATAGTTACTGCACATGCTGCCGCACAGTCAATCCCTATGTACCTATGCCATTCACCCCCGCTGTTGCCATCGGGATAACTCACACAATCCACAAAGCCGGGCACAATCACGCAGGTTTTGTTCGCAGTGGTGGATTTATCAGCTTCGTGGTTGGGATCGATCGCCTGGATCCGGCCATCACGGGAAACGACAACCTTTACATTCTGGCGCACACGAAGTTCTCCAGCGGTGGGCGCATCGATGATGAAAGGACAGTGGAATACAGCTACGTCTGTCGCTGCGCCCAACGGTGGCTGTGGAAATTTGAGAGGCATGCGTAGTGGGGGGGGAGTTTGCGGGGAAGCTCACGAAGCTTGAAGCGAGACGCGAGAGCTAGTTAGAGTACATAGAGTAGGTCTGGCTGGCACGGAAATCGCTGTGATTGGTCGGTCGGTTGGTAGTGAAATGAGTATATCTCCTCACTCGAGGCTTGATTGCTCAGCGACTGGAATTTGTCTGTCTCACGCATTCCATTCTACAGCTTCCGGACCGCGCGTCCATCCTGCTCCATTTCTCCACCGCTGAAAGTTCAATCTCGAAAATGAAATGTGCGCGGTGCTGATACTGACGGGTAAAATAAAAAAAAAAACAAGAAGACGCCCTCGGCAGGTGGTGGTATCATATGGTGGTGGTGGTGGTTGTTGGAAAGATGCAAATAAAAACGAAAGAAAAGAAACCCAACCCCTTCTGCCCATGCCGCGCACGCAGCGTTGTAAGATACAAAACAAAAAGAAAAAAGAAAAGAACACAGAAAACCCCAAAAACAGGACCATTACGACGCTGTGGCATAGTGTAGGCAAGTATGTAGTGATGATGTAGCAGCAGTAGCAGTAGTGGTATTGTAATGGTCGTGCCTCGACGCGATGAAAGTAAACCCGAGCTTTCCAAGCAAAAAACGCCGTCGTCGTTATCGATATGGTCGGTGACGGTGCGCTATCCCGTCGCCATTTTTCCATCTCCCATGCCCCATCCTCCATCTCCAGAGCACCTAGGCCCTTAGACACCTAAGCACCGCGGCTCCTCTTGACAACCTGCAACTTCTCGCCCTCGAGCACCTCGACATCGTCATCATCCTCCTCCGCACTACTTCCGAGCATTCTCTCGCCCAGCCCAACACCGCCCAGCAAGCCCACGCCTCTCCGCCCAGCCGCGGAGGCGCCATTCGTGATCCTAGCGGCGTTTCTCTTCTTCCCCCTCCCGGTCGAGGGCGGCGGCGGCGGCGGCGCGGCAATCGTCCCGTTCATCTGCTCGGGCGCGAACCCTTCATGCGCCTCCTCGTCGTTCTTGAGGTTGTGGAAGCTCGCGTGGTGCCCGCATCCGTCGCACGCGAACGACGACGCCGCTTGTAAGGGGTTCAGCATGAACCGCAGGCAGGGGCAGCAGGAGGACAGCACCGACGGCTTGTGCACGCATTTGCTATGGACGCGGGACGTGTGTTAGCGCGGGACAGACGGAGGGAGGGAGGGGCGGGGCGGGCGGATGTATTTACCCGCGTGGCACGGGGTAGTTCATTATTTGCCAGATGTTTGTGGCGCCGACGCCGTTCGCGTGCTGGTGGGCGTTCATCGTGGAGGTGTGGGGAGGTATGGTACGGAGCAGAGCACGGGGATGCGAGTAGGTGGTTGGTTGGTTGGTTTCGGTCGGCGCGTTGATGGTGGTGGTGGTGGTGGTGGTTGTGGTGATGGTGATGGTTGGCTGGAAGGAGGTCGGACGGACGGGCAGGCGGCAGCAGCAGCAGCAGCAGCAAGAGGCGATGTGTGTCGAATGGAAAGGAAAGTAGTGAGTTAGGTTATGCTATGCAGAGATTGATGGGGATGAGTGAAGAAGGCTGGCAGATGTTGCAGATGCGTTGCGTTGCGTTGGCGTTCGAGGCAGCAAAAGGGGTTAGCGCGCTTGGTGTGTTTTGCGAGTCGCCGCTTGCCAAGCCGAGCGTGATCGGCTCTATAGAGACGTCAAGAGGATTCGGACACGCTAGTGATGTGAGTGGGAGCCTTGAGGTGTGATTACGACGGGTGTGTCCGGATACCCCGAAGTCACATGTATACACACAACAAGAGGTCATTCCAGTAGGCACTTACGCAAGCACGTCTAGTCAAGTCAAGTGAGGTACATCGCGGCTTCAAGATGAATTTTAGTTCTTGCTTCTAAGGCATTTACTTGAAGTTCCGTCGGCTTTCCCCCAGACCAGGCGATCTCAAAGGACCACCAACTTGCAAACACTGGGTTGTTGGAGAATAGTTATGTTTCTGCGGTTTCGGATTCCAAGCGGGATATCACGGTACCTACCAGAGTTTCTCGCAGGGACTGAAAGTTTATCCCACGCACTGTTCATGGCCCGACCGCAGGGCAGAATGGCCCGTGCCGCAGGGCCATATTAAGCTCGCATATGTGAAGTTACTTCATACCGTACCGCCAACAAGGCATGTATATATAGAGTAAGTTTCCACCACAACCACAAAGCATAAAGCCGTTCTCTCCATATCCTCTCGGCAAGCGTAGCTGAGCGCGTAAGCAGTCATCAAGCTCAGACGACGGTTGTTCCCGCACCTCCCTCGAGTTCGTTTATCACATGATCTCCTCCCCGCCGTTCTTCAGCCGCATTCAATAGCAATGCACGATTCCATCGTCTCCGGCTTTTTCCGCCGCATGTTCGATCGATCTACAGTAGAAGAGGTGCATGCACGGATTTTGCTTGCGTAAGTACTGGTAAAGTTAGACCACCTGGGATGACTGATTGATGACTGGTATAAAACGTGCATAAATTGATCAGATTCGAATGACACAAGCTATCTCACTCGCTCTCCTCCAACCCAGCTGGTCTGGGTGATACCAACTCTATCTCCGCCACGAATCCTTCTGCCCCCAACAGCGCAGCTAAAATATAGCCACAGCATTCGGCGGCCCAGCGACACCTCCCGGAATCTGCGTATATAAAGCCAAATTAGCCAGATGCACCAGCCAACACACTCACACTCAATCTCTCCATTGGATCAAACGCACCTTCAACGGCACACTGCTAACAAAGAAAGTCCACCTCTTGTTCCTCCTGCACTCATCACTCAACCCTTCAAGATCAAACATCTCACCAACCGGCATTCCCCAACCAGCCAGCAACCAGGCATGGAGCGAGAACTGTGCCTCCCCCATTGCACCCTCCTTACTCGCCACCTCAAAAGCCGGCGCATCGCCGGCCACCGCGGCAAAACGCCTCTCCCACAGCCACCTTAGCGTATCCTCGCTGGGCTCAACGCCGATATACTCCGGTGCGGCGCGGGCCTGCAGTGCTGTCTCCTGTGCGGGCGACAGCAAGTTCCAGGCCGCGGTGAACCCGGACCGGATAAACAGGATGTCGCCGGGTCGGAACTTGATCCCTGAGTCGCGCGCAACGGAGGAAAGGTGTGACGCCGGGATCGTCTGTGCTGTGAATGGAGACACAGTTATGTTGTTCTTGCCCGCCCATAAGGCGTAGTCCAGTAGCACCCCGCGCCCCACGATCCCGCCGTTTTCCACCCACACTGTCGGCTGGCGTCAGCGCTGCTCGACACAGATAAGAAGGGGAGGGGAGGGGGTGGCACCATTTATCCCGAGCGTATCCCCTTGCAGCGTCTGCTCCCTCGTGCGCCCACCGAACCACGTCGGGCCCTCCGCATCCGCATATCCATAGTGTCGGAACCCATCCCACTGGCTGCTGCTCTGAGTATTGAGCGTGATGTTATCGGCAAAGGCATTCGGTCCCAGCGGGCTGACCGTGTGCTGCAGCGGCGGGCGCCCAAAGAACCCCTGGCGCGGCAGGTCCAACGCCCAGTCGAGTGATACCCGGATACCGCTGCGGATCTCCCGTGCCGCGGAAACGGTGTTACTAGGCGTCAGAAGGTTGAGCATACCCAGCTGGTCGGTCGAGGCGGGGCCGAAGAGCCCCCATGCGTTGCCGCGCGGGCCTGGGCGTGTCAGCGGGAGGGAGGAGAAGGGAGGCCAGCTTGTGCCTGCGGAGGCGGCGGCGAGTGGGACGAGGAGGAGGAGAGAGGGGTGGAGATACATGCTGGATGCTGGGTGTCGTCAAATCAACCCTTAGGCCCTTCCACCGTGGGTACTTATACTTATACCCCCGCCGCATCGGGACTATTTCTGCGAGCCAGGTACATACCGTACATACATACATACATCCTGCAGATTTGCCTTGTGGGCCTGGCCAGGACATGGATGCCATCGAGAATCTAGAGTAGCATCTAGATCCCCACATCTCGCTAGTTTGAGACCGATGAAGCACTCCGTATGTACTATATGCGGCTCGGGACTATGTGGAGGGGCATAATTGCTTCTTTTCGGTAGATACTGAATTTAGGCCGTGAGAACGAATGGCCGAGTGGGGTGCTATGATGGATAATACATAGCAGTGCTCACAAGAACCAAGTCAATCCAGTTACCGTAGTGGAATGACCGCGAGAAGGATTCCTCCCTCGTATGTAGCATCTTCAACATCCCTCGATCCCAACCTCGTTTCCTAACCTCGGTGCCACTGCCAAAAAAAATTCGCCGAGACAGTGTGGGGGCGGCGTAGACTGGCAGTCAAGGGAGCATTGTAACCGGCAAAGGGAGGAGGACGGGGCTCAATTCCTTTCCCATCTACTTTGCCCTCCGCCTACTGTACTTTCGCCTCCATCCCCGCACACCGCAGCCTAATCACCGCCGATCACCCGTCTCCGTCCTCAGCCTCCGTCCTCAGCCACCAGCCCCCGGCACGGGCCGAGTCGCACGCGGCCATCCAAGCTCCAGAGTCCAGCGAGCGCAAGGCCCAAGCTCGCGGGCCGAAGCGCACATAGTTACACCGTCCCCGAACCCCAAGTCAAGTCAAGCCAACCCTTGCCGAATGGTATCACACCACCCCTCTTGCATACTCCCAATTCCCCGCCCGCTCACGAATCGTGTTTGTTTCGTTTGCCCTCCACCACCTACAGGCCGACCAACCGGATCCCTCTCATCCCTCTCTCCTCTCCTTCCGCATCGTAGATTTGTAGATTCGTAGCCGATGTGATCCACCAATCAGCGAACTGCCGCTGCAAACTTCCCCTCCCTCCCTCCCTCGCTCAGACTAGATACATAGCATGCAGATTTCACGAATCACGAATCACGATCGCTCTGTTACAGCAATACTTGCTTCTTCGCGTCGCGGATACTAGCGGGAGTGGCCGACTGTCCGACGTCCGTACGTAGCCGTTTCGTCACACCCCACACCCCACTTTACAGATCCACCTACTTGGGTCATGTGGATTGTGGATTGTGGATTGAAGTGGAATTGTGATCACGATGAAATATAGTAGGTACTCAAGGTGGATAGGTAGGTAATGTACATTTTGATTTGCATTGATCGATCGAGCTCGCAGAAAAAACAGTGAGGAGAAGGAAGAAGAGGGAGAAGAAGAGGGAGAAGAAGAGGGAGACTTCAAACAGAAGAAGAAGAAGAAGAAGAAGGAGAAGGAGAAGAAGAAGTGACAAGGAGAAGGGAGATTATACAACAAAAAAACAACCACTGACTGCTGGATCTTCCGATGAAACACGAATACGGTACTCAACGTCCATGTATCCAGGGAAGTCCGTCCGCCACAAAGAGCCATAACGCCGTAGGAAAAAAATATAAAGGTAAAGGGAATCCGATATGTATGAAAAATGTACAATGGTGTGGAAATAGCAATAGTGAGGGGTGGAGGGGGAGGGGGGGAGGGAGTTAGACTTCTTCAGTCTGGCCCTCCCCTCTCCACACCTTCCTCCACCTTTCCCACCCGCCCTGCCGCTGCTCCTTAACCACGCCAACGAACCCACGTTCCCTCAACTGTTCGAGAACAATCTTCATGCCCTCGCGGCTCTTCTGCAGGCCATCACACATCCTGCTCCTTCCGACGAGCTCAATGCTTCTCTGAACGCCGCCTGTGCCCCAACCGCCGAGCCAGCCCCGCTTCTCCACGCCCTCCTGGCGTCTAGCTGCGCCAAATTTGCTCTCGAACTTAACGACAGTCCTGACATCGGTGGTCTCAGCCTCCCTGCCGACCGTGGGCGAGTACACCTGGCTCTCGACCACGCTCAATACCCCGTCCCAGTCGAGATTGCGGTTCTCTGTCGATAGTGTCTGGTTGCGCGCATCGACGATCGACTTCTCGAGAATGTACGACTCTTTGATCTTCGGGATGAACCGCACGACCGACGCGGGAAGCTTCCCCCGCTTCAGGTGCAGCCGCGTGATGTGCAGGTTGCCTGTGGTGGGATCGATGTGGCTGGACAGCGTGTCTGATGAGACGACGTGCGTGGAGTACGGACTACACACAGTGTCAGCGGGGAATCGCTGCTGCTACGTGGACGGAGAGAGCTACTTAGGATAGCGGAGGAAGTAGGCGAGCGTTACGGCGGGCCATTGGTAGCTAATCGTCGTCATCGCATCGTCAGCACTCACTACGGCGAAGAGAGGAAGCAGAGGGCTGGAGGTGGGGGGAAGTTACTCGTAGCTAAACGTATTCTCGTAGAACTTAACCATTGTGTCTCGTGTCTCGTTATCGTTGCTTGTGCGATCGGAGTGTTTTGTTGCTTCTTTGAGGCGCTGGTCCGGCGGTGGGTGGGTGGAGAGGTAGGATGTAGTGAAGAAGCGTAAGCGGTCGGTGGGGTTAGGCCGTATTCATATGGGTTACGCTGTCGATCGGCCACACCAGCCGCCTGGGGAGTGCGGGAGTGCGGGGAAAGAAGCTGTTGCACGATAGTGCTATGGTGGGCGGGGGGTGGCAGAGGTTCTCTAAGAGGGGGGCGAGGGAGGTTGACGTTGATGGTGGAAGCGGAGGTAATTGGTTGGTTGGTTGGCTGGCGGGTGCAGGAGCGATGGATGTGTGGTGAGAAAACCGGCAGCCGTTGTAGTCGTCGTCTCTCGGTTGTGTCGTCGTGTGCGGTGCGGTGCAACCTTGCCTTGCTTGGTCTTGTGTCTGTCTGGCAAAACAATTCCCCGTCCGTTGCCACTTCCAGGCAAGTCCGCTTTTTACTTTTTCGACTTTACCGAAGGAAGATCTTCGACGAGCCTATGATCTCAATCCTCGTTCGATGCTTTCCTTCTTCCTCCTCCCCTCCGAGATCGCAAGCTTTATTTATCAACGAAGAATCGCGCACGAAGCGAGCAGGCAGAGATCGAAAAAAACTTGAAGAGATTTCAGCCCCCAGGAAATTCTAGTTTACCGCTGTACCGACCGAGCTGCTGCCTGCGAACACTTTGCAGAGTGCATGTGAATCGGCGAGCGATATTGGAGGGAAAAAACGGGCTGTGTGGGGTGAGCGACCGGGGGGTTTGTCCGCACGCCGAGGATGAGGAGGACGGACAGCGGAATGTGAGAATGCATACACTTTGGATTTTGTGACCTGCAATGGAATGTTGAGGAATGTCTTGAATTGGCGGTGCCAGAGGCCGTCGGGTTGAAACATTCGGAAATATTCCCATGTGCGCGGGTGGATGGCTGCATGAGATGTCACTCGATAAGTTCCGATAAACGTCCGATATAGCCTGACTGCCCATGCCGAGTGATTTATATGGCGTATGGGTACGGGCTGGGTTCGCCGTGTTGGATAGAGCAACGGATGTGCCACAGCAGTATCGATCACTCATATTTCCGTCGCGATTGCAGGCAGTACCCATTTACTCGGCTTCCCTGGGTATCCGCGATATGACTCGATTGCAGGCAATATTTGCTCGACTTCCCTGGGTATCTGCTAGGTATATGACTCTTTGATTACAGCCGTCGTCCCACATCTCCTGAGCAGTGGTTCCATAATCCATGAGATACCTACAGCACATATCCGAAAACCTACATACCTGTACACACATATGTACTGATCCGCGGCCAAATTAACATCCCATGTAACAGATCATGCATCCGCCGACATGATACATCTCCACCCGTGTTCCACACCTTGGCTTCCCGGTCAACTTTCCCAGTTCCCTCCGCCTCTTACATCCCGGAAGGCCCTATAGAGTAACCATACGTGCGTGGTGGTACTGGAAGCCGGCGGATGCAGGGACGAGTCACGAAGGAACTTCGAGACGAGCTGAGCAGAGCTGGGAGAGCGGGAGGGCGGGAGAGGGGGAGGAGTGGTTGAGTTCTGCAGACTCTGTCGCGTTGCACGGGCACCCTGTTGGAACTTGGAAGGACTCGTGGTGGTGGTCACTGGAACGGTGGAGATGGAGATGGAGAGACGTGATGTGGGATGTTCGGGTCTGGGAGCTATAGGTACAAGAGAGAGATAGGGAGAGAGAAAGAAAGAAAACCGAACTGGGACCCGTGGCCGCACTGAATGTTCCAAGCACCCACCACCACCGGTCCGACGGACGGCTAGTGCACTAGGTAGAGAGGTGGCATGCCTGTGGAATTGGCCTGCCTATCGAACCCGCTCAGACTTTAGGAGAGGAGTTTATGGATGATTGGTTAGCGTCTAAGCGGGTTCGACAAGTAGGCCAATTGCACAGGCACGCCACCTCTCTACTCACAGGAACACACTCGTTCCCACATGCCCTACTCAGCCTACGCACTTAGGTACGTACTCGGACCGAAAGTGGATTCCACTAGTACTTAGTAGGGCGTGTTTGAATGGGTCGACGGAGGTTATAGGTACTTGGGTTTCCCGGGCAAACTATGACAGGCTGACGCGCGACTGGGTACAGTAGGTAGTTCAGAGTGGCGGATCAACGAGTGTTATGTACTGGTCTATCTACAGGATGGAATCACCAGCCATAAGTTGAGTGGTGTTACCGTGTCTGTAGTAACCTGGCTTCATACCGATGCCATTCCCGACTTCGGAAGTGCTGGTACTGGTACGTAAAATATGTATGATACGACTGCAAAACAAGGTCACTGTATTATACATACCTAAACTCCCAGTGTCCTGAGGTTATAATCGGAGCAAGAATGTGATCCAAAACGATTGCGTTTGATTCACCAGTATTTCCGAAAAAAAAAAGCCGGGTTTGATTCGGGCCGCGCCAGGTGATAATCCATGACCCGCCGGCCAGGCCGAATCAGTAGTTACGTTGAAAAGGTGAAAGATCTTCTTCAGTTACATAGCACCTGGATGCAACTTGCAAAAGATACTCCGATCCTTGGAGTCATCCCGCAGCCCGGCTCTTGTGCCGTATGTACCGGTACTTCCATAGGATTCCCGAGACGAAATCGACCGTAGTCGAGTGATGCCATGTGATCCCCCCCCCCCCCGCCCCGGGAAGTCTAGGCCTCCTTATTTGCATGCAGAAACAAGCCGACGAAAGCCGTTACACTCGCGGAACAGAATTTCAAATTGTTTACCATGGTATTTTGCAACGTTAATTTCGTTAGTTTCGTTTTTGCGTTGCAAGGCGGGCGATCGGGATCGTCGATGGCGATGCCGAATCAGGCCGGCGGACGGTAATTGTTCCCCGTCACTTCCGATTCTGGTCGTTGAACTACCGGTAATGGGGTTTGCAACATGGACTCATGGAGGATGGCAAGACGAAGGCGGTGGGGTCGCTATGGGTAGTAAGGATTTGCCGCCTACGGTACGCTCCAGACAAAGGATGATACCTTCCACCTGTTCTTCCCGCCGGATGCTATGTAAGACCCTCGAGCTCCCCGTTGAATTTACCGTCAGTGTGCCCGCAACAGTTAACGGACATTCCGATTAGTTACCCTCTCTCTCCCTCCGGGAGAAGCAGTAGGTAGGCCAGTAAATTCTCCAGGTTTTTCGGGCAACGCTGGGTCGCTGGGTCGCTGACACCTAGCCGCAAAGTACCGGTATATAGTCCTTCAAATGCCATTGGTTGTTCGACTCGCTATGTACCCACGGTTTCAAACTAGTGAACGCTGGAATTCCCTCTGACCGTTGGGGCATGTATAGCCGATGTCCTCTGTAGAGTACCTGTATCTATTGGTTCAACCGTTCGGTGCTCCCGTCTATTCCGCGGCCATAGTTAGGTATATGTAGGTAATAGGTATGATATATCTGAGTAAGTTCCACACGACGGTCTATTCTGGATACGAGCATCTGGATTCCAGACTTGCGTCTTTTAAGGGTTGATACTCGATAGTGCACGATATCTGCGCGGGGGATAATAAGCATGATTGCAAGACTTTTTGCTTATACTGACCGCGATTACGGTTGCGAACTGCCATCCCGTCCGCCCTCGGTTCCCCGCGTGTGTACCCGCGTGTGTATCAGCATAATTTGGGGCTTACTCTGGTGGTGGGGCTGTCGAAGCCTCGAAGTCAGTGGAACGATCACTAGGCGTCCATTCTATCGATACATAGCCGACAATTCGCAACTGCTGTGCCACCCATCCTCCGAGTCCCCTCCGACCGACCGAACGATAGATACGGTACGGGCCGTGTTCTGGGTACTTAGGGCCCGAACCGAACCGCCTCGCCTTGTCTCGCCTCGCCGCGCCGCGAGAAAATATCCACGAACGGGCGTGGTAAAACAGTGGAGGTCTCAACTCTTGAGCAGTATGGCAAACAGAAGCATAGAACGGCGGAACTGCTAGGTGGGTAATATCAATGGATACTTGTGATTACTCTATACACGCTGCGGCCGTCGCGACTCGCGAGTGCTGCTCCCTTTCATTCAGCCCCATTGCGCGCGGGCAAAAAAAGCTTGTCGCCTTGCCCGACATGTCACAATCATTACTTATCCGACGGCCTTAAGAAAAAGACGCCTATTCCGGCATGGAAACCTGTGATTTTTCGACGAATCAAAGTTATATCTACGCGGTGTGCAACGTAGTCCGCGTTTTTTTAGAGCACATAACTTACCGTAAGGCTCCGAAACGAGCTACATACGGTCCTACGGTCCAACTCCAGGGCCCAGGGGACCAAGGTGCAGCAGACGAGGTCCGCACAGCGTGGAGGAGCGTGAAGGAGCGAGGGATTCGGAGGTCGCTGGGGACTCGGCAGACTCTGCGGAGAGGTTCAAACTTCAAACTTCAAACAGAGGGAAGAAGCCGACATGGTTATCCGGGCGAATCATACTGCACAGATGTCCTACTCTACTATTCCTCAAGTATTATTTATTTTCGTCTTTCTTTCTTTTCTAAACACGGTTTAGAACGGATTTCGGTGGGCAGCAGGCCGTAAGAAGCAACACGTCCGACACTCCGAGACACGACTACACTGCCGATCGCTGACTGAATTTTGTTTTGTGGGATTCCTCTTTCTCGGATCTGCAGGGTCTTGTCACGAGTTGGCCCGCATTTCACGTGAGGGATGGATGGAGCGAAGGAGGAAGCGAAGGATCGAGATCCCACCACGACGACGACTATGTACGCCGGTGAAGGCTTCTGCTGCATGCTCCTGCTGCTGCCTCTGCTGCTGCTGCTGCTGCTGCTGCTGGGGGATTCGTGACAATTGCTCTATGTAGATGCTCTGCTCGGAGAGAAGAGGCAGAGGCAGAGGCATCAGGCCATAACAGAAGACGGTACGTACGGTACTTAACTGCATGGAGTGCTGTCGGAAAAGAGTGCCGAGCTGCTGCTGCTGCTGCTGCTGCTCGTGAGTGAGTGCGAAGCTAATGGTGGCTGGAGCCGGTCGGTATGTAGGTTGGCTGGATGGATGGATGGAGGGATGGTGGTGGGCTGACTTCGTATCGCTACTCTATCTAGAGTAGAGTAGCAAAGGGAGGGTTACCTTTGGGTCGGGGCGGTGACGGCGGCGGTGCGAATGGTACGTACTACTCTAGAGTAGATACCGTGCTCTACTGTGTACCTGCGCCCGTTGGCCGGTTGCCGAGTGGCATTCGGATTGGCGGACGCCCCCCCTTCTATCTACTTCTTTACTTCTTTCTTTCTTTCCTTCTTTCTCTCCGTGGAGATCTTGGTTCTTCTTCACTGTCATCGATGATTTTTTGGCCGCTCAAAGCTTCGAAAGGACTGGCTGGCTGGATAACTGACTGACTGCACCGCAAAGCCTTTCTCTCTCTCGCCCTCTAGTTACTTATCTACCTACTCTATCTGCCTCGTACAGCTCCTGCAGACAGAAGGGCCTGGCCCCTCTGCGCGGGTGACATCAGGCGGCATGGGGACGAAGGGTCTTCAACGCTCTGGACTCGCGGTTGGAGTCGTGCATTCTTGGCGGCGTGCGTAGAGTACGGCTGGCCATCTTGGAGCTCGGCTTCTTCGTCTTCTTCATATTCTTCTTCCTCTTGTTGTTGTTGCTCTGAGTCTGTGATCTGAACGTCCAGTTCCCATCGTGCTCTGCCCGTAGGTCTAGAAGTTACCCGTCGTCATAGAAACGATCACGAAGGCGAACCAACCCCTCTCCACCCCCACTCCCCCCCGCAGGAGCAACTACATATCATATATACACACGATAGATGCCTTGCGTCGGATTGGTGTCTTGCCCGATCACCCGAGCCGAGGCACGCGTGCTCCGTACCGTCTGTCTGTCTGTCTGTCTGTCTGTCTGTCTGTCTGTCTGTCTGTCTGCCCAAGCACCAAGCTCGGGCTGTCTCCGCTGCCGCCGTCGCCGCCGCCGCGCCGCCCCCGCTGCTGCTTATTCATCGCTCCTACGAGCAGCAGGCCATAGCATAGAAGTGAGTAACTTATAGTAGCGATAGCCATTCTATCCGAGTATCCACCGTCCCCAGACAGACTCGAACTCTAGAGTGCTCTACCGGCAGTCCGACCGGATACTCTACGCTGTGTTACACCCCCGGTACATACGCACAACCAGAACCCATCAAACTTTCCCATCATCCTTCACGCGCACCGATATTCCTCTCCCACCCCCCCACAGCATATCCATCGCGTTTTTTCCGCTTCTCTCTCCATCTGCTGCACGGAAACTGATCCTCGCTGGTCGCGCATTTTCTTCCTGTTGCTTGGCACATCCCTTCTTTCTGCCTCTATCCCTCCACCCACCCCCCCCCCAGAAAACCCCAAACCCCAGCCCGATCATCATCATCCCCGTCCTGTCTGTCGTCCAACCACCGACCAACCGAACGATCGACCGACCGACGCAGTCCAGTCTAAAAGTCCATATCTATCATAATCAGAGACCTAGGCGGTTCAGTTCACAGTCGCTCGACGCGGTCGGCCATCCTTCCTTCTCTCCCTCCCTCCTCCTCAGCGAACCAACCGACAAAACTCTTCACGAAAGGAACGGCCAAAACAAACCATTCTCCCCCCTCCCTCCCCTCCTCCCCTCCCCCTCCCCCCCCCCTCCGTCCCCAGTGAGTTGCTGTCAGGAAAGAAAGAAAGAAAGAAAGAGAGAGGAAGAACAAACATAGCGGCATACCCGGTAATACACGCGCGGAAATCGGAAAACCATGGACATCAGCTCACTTCTCTCGCCTTCGGACGAGCTCTCGCACACGAACGTCGTCCCCTCGCCGCGTTCGCGGCCTTCAATCAGTGGCTCGAATTCGGAAACTTCGGTCGCGAGTGCACACCCGCCAGCGAACACAGCACCACCATCGCTGCTGCAACCCCCGGGACATGTGCAGGATGGCGGTAGACGGCGGTCGTCAGCTTACACCGATGATGCTGCCGCTTCGGAGGAACGGGCGGATGTCGATATGACGGACAACAACGATATGGATAATGCTAGCAACAACAACACTACCACATCCACCCCCGTCCCCCTCCCAAGGGAGGCGGCGGAACCTCTGACGGAAGAGGACTACAAGGAGATCCAAGATGTGCTGGAAACGGTAGCGACTCACCCTTACCAGTACTCGGAACACGTTAAGTGCATTGGCCTGCTCCGTCGCGCATTCCTTACGGCTCAGGAGGATCGGAAACCGCTGCTGCGTGAGCTCCGCGCCGCCCGAGAAACCATGATCTCGATATTCCCCATGGTCGAGAACATGTGGCTGGAGTGGATTGAGGATGAGCGGTGTGAGGCGGATACCTTCGAGGAGCGGTGGAAGCTGATGGATCTCTGCACCCGGGCTGTGACGGACCAGGTTGCCAGCGTGAAGCTGTTCAAGGCGTACGCGGATTTTGTGGAGGCACAGCACGTGTATGCGAACTCCGCGGGGAAGGGCAAGATGGTCGAGGAGCAGCTCAATGCGTTGAAGGAGCTCTTCCAGCACGAGGTTGTGGTGGATACGTACCGGCAGGGTGCCGAGGCTACAATAAACGACATTGCGAGCAGTCACCTGCTCTGGGACAAGTACCGGGATCTCGTGTTGCAGGATCTGGCGAAGGACCCAACCGCGGAGAAGATCGATCATGTGTACAAGATGTATAGGGATCGTCTCCGGGTGCCGCACGCAACAATATCACACACGTTCGCCGCTTTTAGCCAGTTTGTTACGCAGTATGACAATGCCAATTACGAGAGCATCATGGTGAGCTACAACAAGATCTACTCGGCCGCCTTCGCCAAGAATTCCGAGCGCGAGATGTACGAGCTTTCCCTCAAACGCGAGGTCGACTCCAGCAAGACGCCCGGCGCCGAGGAGTGGCGCATCTGGTCGGAATACCTTGCGTGGGAGACATCGCAGCCGCGGAAGAAGCTCGATGAGCGGCTGGCTTCGGCACTGTACGAACGTTGTCTGCTCCGCTTCGGCGAACAGGCAAAGGTGTGGGAGGACTACGTGTTTTTCCTGCTGGAGAAGGGTCAGAACACCATGGCGAAGGTCGTCTCGGTGCTGCAACGCGCAACCCGACATTGTCCGTGGTCCGGGGCCCTGTGGGCGCAATACATCGTCGCTCTGGAGAAGGGGTTCAAGCCGTTCGAGGAGGTGGCGCATGCCAAGCACAGAGCCACGAAGACGGAGCTGCTGGATCTTGCCGGACCCGAGGAGGTGTTGATGGTGAACATTGCGTGGTGCGGGTTTCTGAAGCGGAGGGCATTCGAGCACGATGCCGCCGAGGAGGACCACGACATGGCGGAGATGGGAATCGGCGAGGCCGTGACCGAGGTCGAGAACGGAAAATTCCAGGACCCGGATTACCGACTACATCGCATCCAGATCAATTTCTACACCGCGGCAAAGAAGTTCGATACCGCCCGCTCGATCTGGCAGGAGCTGAGAAAGTCGAAGGGGACTTCGTACGAGTTCTGGCAGAGATACTACAACTGGGAGTTTGGCCACGGGACCAAGGACCACGCCGCTGCGGTTTTGAAGCGTGCTCTCACCGTCAAGACCCTGGACTGGCCCGAGAAGATTCTCGAGATGTGGAGAACCCATGTGGAGGATTTCGGAAACCCGACGGACGTGGAAGCAATGATGGTCAAGCACAGACGGTATCTTTTGGAGATTACGGAGAAGCGGGAGGCGGAACGCGCTTTGGCAATTCAACAGCAGCCGCCCGAGCCGGTTGCGGCGGAACCAACGGCACAGGAGGAACAGCCGATATCACTCGGAAACGGAAAGCGCCGGAGAAGCGAGGCGGGAGACGATACGCAGCCTTCGCCGAAAAAGGCCAAGTCTGCTGAAGGGTCGGCAGTAGCAGCAGTCGCTGTCCCCGTTGCGGCTGTGGCGTTGGTCAATCAGGCACCGCCGACGGCTCAGCAGGTTGCCAAGCGTGATCGCGAGAATACTACCATCATCGTCAGGAATATCCCGCCGAACTATCCTGACGTGAAAGTTCGGCAGTTCTTCAGAGACGTAAGTTCGCTCTAATGTTCCCACCACAAACGCCCTGTAACTAATAATACTCGATACAGTGTGGTACGATTAACAGTCTGAAGGTGGTCAATGATAATAATGGAAATTCTGCCACGGCCACTGTCGAGTTTGACGCGAAGGATTCCGTTGTTACGGCCCAGACAAAATCTATGAAAAAGATTGACGGGTTTCAGATCGAGATCCAAGTTGGAACTGGGTCAACGCTTTACGTTACCAACTTTCCCCCGATTGCCGATGAGACATACATCCGAGACCTCTTCAAAGACGTGGGTTCCAACCCATACATCTCGAGTATTTTCAGTGCTGACAATGTTAATCAGTTTGGTGAGATAGTTGATATACGGTTTCCCAGCTTAAAATACAACACGCACCGTCGGTTCTGCTACATCCAATTTTCCTCCTCCGAGGCGGCACACGCAGCCACGAGCCTGGACGGCAAACAGTTGGGAGAGAAGGAATTCCTTGTGGCCAAGATTTCGGCGCCAAATCAGAAGAAGGAACGGACCAGCGCCACTGCGGACGGGCGAGAGGTTTACATCCGCAACATCGATTTCCAGGCTAGGGAGAGTGATGTGCGCGATATCTTCTCCAAATACGGCAGGATCGAGAAAGTGCGTTTACCACCGGGGCCGAAGAAGGGAACACACAAGGGATTCGGATTCGTCACGTACGAGTTTAAGGAGGAAGCGGATGCGTGCTTGGTCGAGAGCGGAACCAGGTTGAAGTCGAGGGAGCTCGAGGTCAGCATAGCGCAGTTGAACCCTGCAAAGTTTGTGCCCGGGAATGCGGTCAATGCTGGGAGATCGATGTCGCCAGCTGTACAGCACGATAACCACTCCACCAACGGCGCCAACGCTTCACAGAGACCCGAGGGGGATGAAGGAGCCAGCGGAACGCCTCCACCGGATTTTGAGACGATCAAGAAGAAGACGTTGGGCATCATGAACCTATCCGATACGGTCAACGACGCTCGTCTCCGCACACTCTTCGAGGCCTTTGGACCGCTACGGAAGATCGCGCTGCGGCCGGCACACCAGGGCGCAATCGTCGAGTACGAGAACATTGCCGATGCTGGAAAGGCCTCGCTCGCACTCGACGGAAAGGAGCTCGACGGAATGAAGATCCACATCGGCGACTTGCCCGAGCTGATGCATCGCCAGCCGGAGAAGAAGCTCACCAAGGGCTTCGAGAAGAAGAAGCCTGCCCCGACAGCTGCAATTTTAGTGCCGAGGAGTCAGACATTAGGCGGAGGGAGGGGAGGAAGAGGCGGTGGTGGCCAGAGACGCGGGCTGGGATTCGCGCATGCAATGTCGAAAAAGCCGGCTGCACCTGTAGATACGGAGGGGAAGGAGGCCGCACCAGAGGCGGAGAGGAAGCCAGGAAGCAGTAACGATGAGTTCAAGAAGATGTTTCTTGCTGGGCGGTAGGAAGGAGGGGTGTGGTGTTCGTTTTACCTTTACCATGTGTTTTTGCTTTCTTGGGCGAGCAGATGTTTGTATAGAAGTCATTACTGTATCATAATTCTGGGCGGTGTAGGGGGTGGGGTGGAATTGGTGGGATTTGTCGAGATGGTGTTGGTGCTACTGGGAGTGTTCCTCCGCGAGGTGATTTCTGCTTACGTATGCGGAATGGCCCACAACTGGGTATAGAATCGAAAATGAAGTGTATATACCTCTTATGAGTTTCCGAGACCCTAAACAAACATAACGCCAGCTCACCCCATCCAGCACAAGTCAAGCCACCGCCTCATTGATCAACCCCCAGCCCAGCTGATCCCTCCTCCTCGCCCTCTCCACACTCTCGACCTGCACCCGTCTCCTGGGCTTATCCCCCCTCTCCCCGTCCCTCACCCTTTCCGCGACGGCCTCCACCTCCCTCAGCGCCTCATCCACGGCTCTCACAACACGTCTATTCCCCTCGGTCTCCGCCCGCACCTTCGCCAGCTGCTGCTGCATCATGAGACACAGCGTCTCCCGCGCCTGGTGCGGGCGGTACTGGTTGATCAAGTGGTGCATGTTGAACAGCACCGTCTGCACGTCCGCAGTCTTGGCCGCGTACTCCTCTGGCACTACGGCTAGCAGGCCTACTAGCTCTAGGAACGAGAGGAGGAGCGATTTGGAGAGGCGTCGGAGGGAGTGGATGTTGCTCGTGCTCGTGCTCGTGCTTGGCGGGGTGGATGAGGGGGGGGTGGTGCTGGGGGAGGGTGAGGTGGAATGGGGGGGGGAAGTGGGCGAGGGAGAGTATAGGCGGGGTATCCCGTGTGATTCGAGGGAGGCGTGCACTGGCGGGTCCGCCCAGAATGAGGAGAAGGTCCAGTAGCTGCCCGAGGGGGGAAGGGGCGGCGGGGAAAGGTAGTGGAGAGGCGAGTCGGCGGGGAGGGTCGGGGGGGGCGGGGAGGTGGGAGAGAGGTTGTGGGTCCGCTGGTGGGACCGCAGCTCTGAGAGGTTGGACGTGGTGAAGTGGGTGTAAAAGTTTGGTGGGTCCGGGAAGGCGGAGAGCGTGCTTTGGTTTGGGTCCGTGGCCATTGTGGAGGTTGGCGTGTGCGTCGGTGGATTGGGGTAGTGGTGGTGTGGGAGTGGTTGGTTGGTTGGTGGGGGATGGTGGTACAGGAGTGGTTGTGGTGGATTTGGAAGTGGTGAGGATGGGTGGGCAGGGCGGGGGGAGACGTGTCGGCAGGGTAAGTGCGGTGACGGCATATTATCCGCGACAAGAGCCGGATCGAGTGGCGGCCCAGCAGACAGCTGCCTGCGGCCCCGGATTGCTTGTTTTGTTTCTAGAAACAACCTCATCCCACACACAAGCTTCCGCCCTATACACTCTTAACTACCCCGCCCGGCGCTCCGCTGCATTGTCAGAGTTAGTGGCGCCATTCGTGAGACCGCAATAGTCAATTAGCCCATACACATACACACCCGCCATTACCGCATCACTTGACTCCCCTATCCCGCCACCACCGGACAGCCACGGCTACGGCACCATGCCCGCCAGGAGCAGCACATACCTAAAATCCAACGTATCCATGTCAGAGCGGGGCTTCCTACCGGCTTTGTGGCGCTTCAGCAGTGTCAGTAGCATGTAACCTCGGGGTGTCTCCCGTCTTCCCCCGCTACGCTGACCGTCCACAGCGCGCCTACATCCCCGACTGGTTCGGCGTGCTTCTCCTCGCGCTCGCCAACCTCGCAATCCTCTTCTTCACGCCATTCCACCGCCTATTCAGCCTCGACGACCGACGTATCTCGTACCCGCACGCAGACCCCGAGCGAGTTCCCGTTCCCCAGCTATTCTTCTTCTCCGCGGGTCTGCCCCTGCTGATCATCACACTCTACACCCTCGCCGCGCCCTCCACCTCCTCGAAGTCGCACAAACTGCACGTCGCCCTCCTCGGCCTATCCACCTCCCTCCTCCTAACCGCGTTCACAACGGACCTGATAAAAAACAGCGTTGGCCGCGCCCGCCCGGACCTGCTGGCGCGCTGCGCCGCGCGCCCAGGAACCCCGCGCCACGAACTCGTCGACTGGACCGTCTGCACGCAGAGCGACGCGCACACGCTCCACGACGGCTTCCGCAGCTTCCCGTCCGGACACAGCTCTTTCGCCTGGGCTGGGCTGGGGTATCTGGCGCTTTTCCTGGCGGGGCAGATGGGTGCGCTAAGGAGAGGCGCGGGGATGGCGAGGGTGGTTGCGGCGGCAACACCGCTCGTGGGCGCGGCACTCATCGCGATTTCCAGGACTGAGGATTATAGGCATGATGTCTTTGATGTATCCGTGGGCACGGGGATTGGCGCGGTCACGGCGTGGTTTGCGTATAGGAGGTGGTTTCGGGCCTTGCAGGCGAGGAAGTGTGATGTCCCGTATGAAAGAGAGGAGCCGGAGGAGGAGGCAGGGTTTAGGAAGTTGAGGGAGGTCGAGATGGGCAGGGTAGCCGGGTTGGTGAATGGTGAGGAGGTGGGCGATATGGCGGATGAGTGGGAGAGGGAGAGAGAGAGGGTGTAGGGTTTTGGGGAGGAGTGTATGTATATCTGGGGCGTTTTTCTTCTCTTCTGGTTACAATATCTCATTTGGATCTTGGTTTATATGGCGGTAAGGTAAGGTACAGCATACAGGTAGTCGTGTTGCTTGCATTGGTGGAATATTTATGCTCGAGTTCAGTTACATACTTTGTACTTGGTAATACAAGATACGGTGAGTGTCAGGCAGGATGCTTCAGCCCTATACACAGTTGGTGTGCGGTTGTGGCGTATGGTACGGTGGGATCTGTTCTACGTGCATATAAATTGGCCCGATATCGATATCGATCACGCAGGGTCACTCAATCGATCCACATCCACATCCGTGTCTGTGTACAAGTTCCAGCCATTCGGCCGGAGAGGTGGAGGGGAGGGGAGGGGGATTAACATGCCATCCTCGCACCTCCGATGAACCCCGGGCCAATCCCGCATCGGGCGAATGATCCGCGGGGTGTCTCACACATCTCAACCCGACTGGCCCTGATCACGGACGGGCGTCAGGCGAACGAACCGGCGTCCTACCCACCACGTCGGCGGCGCTGGATACCTGCAGCAGCGTGCACGTAGAGTACGTATGGGGATATAGAATAGCCAGCCAGCCTAACCCGTGCCGCCTGCGTCCGTCGCTGGATGGATATATAACCTCCACTATCTCCCCTTGCCTTGCATCTCCCACCGCTCCCCCACCGCTCTCCCCTCGCCCGCCCCGCACAGCATGGCCGCACCCATCACCGCCAGAGACCCAACCGCGGGCACGCCCGACTCCTCGTCAGCACTGTTATCCTCGCAGCGCGCACTCGGCGTGCTGCCAGACGATGCACTCACACCCGTGTACGGCAGCAAGGCGCACGTGCTCAACGCTGCGATACAGAAAATCGGCATGGGGAGGTACCAGTGTGGGCTGTTCTGCGTGGCCGGGTTCGGGTGGTTGGCGGATAGTGTTTGTTCCCTCTTTGGCGGGAGTTGCTGGTGCTGCTGGCGCAGGTGTTGACGAGAAATGTGTTGACGGGGAATGTGGTTGTGGCTATGTAGCTATGGACGCAGGTTGCGGGATTGATATTACCTGCGGTTATCCCGGAGCTGAAGCCTGCGCGGATCGAGTATTTGGCGCTGGCACAGTACCGTACCGCCCTCCCCCCCCCTTCCCCGCTTGTTTACATCCGCTGACCGCGAGCAGTAGGCGCAATGCTCGGCGCCTTCGTCTGGGGCGTCGCATCGGACATGATCGGGCGGCGCACGGTCTTCAACGTGACGCTGCTGATCACGGGGGTATTCGGGGTAGCCGCGGGGGGGATGGAAACGTTCGCTGCGGTGGCGGTCATGACCGCGCTGTGGAGCGTCGGCGTCGGCGGGAATATCCCCGTCGACTCTGCCGTCTTCCTAGAGTTCCTCCCCGGAAGCCATCAGTGGCTGCTTACCGCTATGAATGTTTGGTGGTGTGTCGGGCAGATAGGTGAGTGACCCAGAGAGATGGGGGAGGTTGCGGCGGAGGGTGCGGCGGAGGCTGATGGGTGGGTGGGAAATAGTTGCGAGCGCGGTTGCGTGGCCGCTGTTGACCAATTTCTCGTGTCGGGGCGGGGACACGTGTGAGCGCGGCCGGAACATGGGCTGGCGGTACTTCCTCTTCGCGATGGGAACGCTGACTCTGGTGCTGTTCCTGCTGCGCTTCTGGGCGTTCAAGCTCTACGAGTCGCCCAAGTACCTGATGGGACGGGGCAACGATGTTGCAGCCGCCGAAGTGGTGCAAAAGGTTGCACGGTACAATGGCGTCGAGTCCGAGTTTGGAGTCGCGGAGCTGTCGGCCGTGGATACGGCAGCGGGAGGGGCAGGAGGGGCAGGAGGAGTGCAAGGTGATCTGGGCATCCTGAGCCATCTCCGCGCCCTCTTTGCCACAAGGGAGCTGGCCACCAGCACACTGCTCATATTGGCGATCTGGTTCCTAACCGTATATACCTTCCCCGCGCCTCTCCCTTCCCGCGCACACTAACCCCCCCAACAGGGACTCGGCTTCCCGCTGTACAACGCCTTCCTCCCGTACTTCCTTACGCGCCACGCCGGAACCACTCAGCCCAGCCAGTCGATAGCATACCGCAACTACCTGATAATTCTGTGCATGAACATACCCGGCGGCCTAGTCGCCGCCTTCACAGTGGAGCTCAAGGGGCTGGGGCGGAAGGGAACGATGAGCATTGGCGCGTTCATGACTGGCACATTCCTCCTCGCCGGGACGACGGCGAGCACGAGTAACCAGCTGTTGGCATGGAACTGCGTCTATGGGTTTGCGGGGACGTTGATGGCCGGGGCGCTGTACGGTATGTCTTTCTGCCATATAAATCCCCCGCCCGCGAACATGCCTAACAGGAAAAGCCTACACGCCTGAGGTATTCCCGACAAACCACAGAGGCACCGGGTATGGACTTGCGATGACGGCGAATCGTGTGGGCGGCGTGCTGGCGCCCGTGGTGGCAATGTATGCGGATGTCGATACACCCGTGCCGGTGTATATTGCCGGATCGATGTTTCTTGTAGCCGGTGTGCTCATGTTGGTCCTGCCGTTTGAGAGTCGCGGGAAGAGTAGTATGTGATTTGACGGAGCTGGGGTGCGCTTGGTGGTGGGCGAGTGATGAATGGTGGTGATGATTATGTGATACCTACCATGGAAAGAAAAGGAAAGTAAAGATGATGTGGTCCCAGAAAACCTACCTACCTAAGCCTTGGCCAGATTCAAAGGGTACGCGAGAAACCTAGGTTGCAGTACTGGACTTCCCGGCGCCAACCTTCAATGGCAGACGTAGTGTACTCGGTTCCAATAAGCTTTGCAGCGTACTGCCCGAATCACCCAATAAGTATATGGTAGGAAATAAAAGCCACCAGAACGATGGAGTGTTTGTCGTCGTGCACGTGATTTCGCCAGAATTAGACCGCAGTTATCTGCATTCCAATTCCATCACGATCCATGCGTGTATCACTCGAGATCGAGTGCTGGCCGTGTCCTGAAATGCAAGTGGAGGTCCGCATCGTGGAGTTTCTTCGGCTCCGATTTATACATAGCGGCGGATGTACTATCAGCACGCTGATTCCTTCGGAAGATTATCCAACACTCGTCAGCTTCAACGTGCTTGTACGGTTGTACCTAAAGTTATGGAGTAGGTAACTGTCTATGAGAGGAGGAGCTATCAGCGAGAGGAGGAGCTATCAGCGATAGGAGGAGCTATCAGCGAGAGGAGGAGCTATCAGCGAGAGGAGGAGCTATCAGCGAGAGGAGGAGCTATCAGCGAGAGGAGGAGCTATTAGCGAGAAAAGGAAGTGATACCGCCCGCAAAAGGGTCCAGTAGGGCTAGTAGCAGTAGGAGGAGACGGTGTCCGCGACGGTTCGGTGGCCGCGAGATGGATAACCCAACGCAGTACTCCGGTGTCAACCCTGGATTTCACGACTCATGGTATTCGCAGCTATCTAAAGCCTGGGGGTTTGCTATCCCCTTGGGTGGCAAGCCAGGGTGGGGTACTACGTACAGTGCATTAGCGTGTGTGATATGCATTAGCGTGGGCAATTCAGGCCAGTTGTAGTATAGTGTATTTGGCAGCGAACCTCATCTCATGAGCTGTTTGGTACCTAAACATGTTGGGCAGGAGCGCTTACTGCTGCGAAACCGGGTGTGAGGGGATGTTGATGCTTTTGATATCACTCGGTATAACCATTTTCAAGCTAAGGCGCTAATGCATATAACACACGCTAATGCACTGTACGTAGTACCCCACCCTGGACTTGCCACACAAGGGGATAGGAACCAAGTGGTATATCCGAGGCTTGCTGCATCAATACCGTATTAAATCGAAGTCCTGTAGAATCCGGCTTCTGCGCAAAACTGGCCGGTAGGCAGGTACTAACTGCGGCTAAAGGCGGTATTTCTGTGGTCCAAAGTGTTGGTACGGTATTGGCAACGTTGTCTTGGAAACCGGTGTTCTCAAAGAACACGTCGAATTCACAATACCGCGTGAACACCCACCTCCGACAAATACCAATTCTGCGGCATACTTTTTTTCTGACAAAGCGAGCTGGTTTTATAACACCGTATCCACCCCTCCTTCTGCAGGACACGGTTGGACGCCGGTGTCAATGTTACCCCGTTTTTTGCTGCTGTACTTCCTCAAACTCGAGTCTAATAGATCTATCATCTATCCCGGGTATTTCCTATACGTTTCAAGGGAACACGGCCGGAGTAGGAGCACGGCCGGACGCCGGAGGGGTAGGTAGTAATCATTCCCAGTGCCCGAGATCGAAGAAGCCTTAGTACGGTAAAGAGGGTACCATAGTGTGCTGGCCCTCTAGGACTGGGCCCTCACTGCCAGCCGTATTGTTCGTTCGACGCTCGATGGAATAACAACAACGGGCTTTGAAGTGCGAGAGTGGAAATGTAGGCTTGGGAGTTGCAAGAAGTGCGGAAGTGATAATGTAGGCTTGGAAGTTGCAAGAAGTGCGGAAGTGATAATGTAGGCTTGGAAGTTGCAAGAAGTGCGCGGCTGGGAATCGGTTCTGGAAGAGCAGGCTTGGAAGAATGCATCTCTTGTCCCTTCCTCCTCCTCCTCCACCTCCTCCGCCTCCAATAGTGATCGACCTGATGATAGGTAGTCCAGGCCGAGCCGGGCTGTTGCAACTTGCATGACCTGAAAGTTGAAGCTGTTCTCTCACTCTCACGAACGGACGAGTGTGACCGTGGACGTTAACGTTGGCCCGCTGATGACGATGCCGGATATGCGTATGTGGCCACTGGCGATCTTCAAAGTTCACGACGGTCGATTTGCACACACCATACAAGGTGCATACTCTAGATACTCTGGGGAAAGTACCATGCCCAGCGGTCAATCGACACGACTGCAGATCAGCAGGTTATGTACGGGCTCCAAGCTTAAGTGCTCTGCTCCTCTGGTATGTACATAGCCGCAGGCTGCAGTATCTACCCAGGTGCTCGACTTCCTTGTCGCTGGACAATACTCTACCGTACCGTAGTCAATCCCGGGCGCTGTGCAATCACAAGCCATCACCCGTCATTCCCGGCCGCGCACTCGAACACGCAGCTTTCCAGATATAATCCAGGCTTCCAGCGCTGCCCGACCACAGATACTACGTTTCGTTTCGTTTCGGGTCTGCCATGCGCATTCAGCTTATGCACTCACAAAGGTGCGTAAGTGCGTTCCGACCCACCCATCCAAAACCCAGCCAAAACCCAGCCTGCGGACTGCGCAGTGCGTATGGTTCCTCCAGCTCCTCCAGCGTCCAATCCACTCAACCGGATCACCAGTGCAGCCCCGGTGAAGCCCCGGTGCAACCCCAAACTGCAAACATGGCAATTGCACTGAGGCATCTACTCTACTCTGCATAAGAGTTTCTGCATGTGAGTTCTGCACAGGAGTCCAGCTCGCTTTGCTTACCTCTACTCTGCGTAGAGTAGAGTCGACGTATCACGTAAGCGCTCGTGACCACCTCCAAAACAATGACTGACGAACCGACGAGTCAACGAGTGAAGACCAACGGCCAACGACGAGCATGACCGACCGCAGACCAACAACCGGCGACCGCAGACCGACCGCAGACTGAATACGGCTCCCTCCTCGTAACTTCGCTCCCCGGCTCCTTCTCCGCCACAAAAAAGCAAAATCATTTTCGGCACCCTATGTACCGCCTTACGTAGAGTACTCTACATATGACCACCCAGCCAGCTAGCAGGTACCGTATACCGGTAGATATACCGGTATGCATGGTAGTATTGGAAGACAGAGTGATGAAGATTCCGGGGAGGGAGGGGAAAAAGCAAAATGGACGTCGAATGCATGAGAACCGGGACATGCTATGTACCTATACTACTAGGTATACCTACTACTATAACGACCATCTACTATAACTACTGGTACTAGAATAGTAGTACCGAACGTCATCGTCGGATGGCCACAGTTGGTGGGTTATCACTTCGAGTGGGTAGATATATCGAAGTATGTACAGAAACCAGAACGCATAATTGTTCCGGCAGGGCCTCACGTAGGAGGCGCAAAGATTTCAGGTATCTTGCTTCAGCGGACTGATGGGAAGAGTGTGTGGCTTCTTTGTTTGCACTCGAGCTGAGAACGGTGTTCGAGTTGAATAGGTAGCTCACGGAATTGGAATTGCACAGAAGTTCAGAAGTGTCAAGAAATTTGGTGTATCATGATGAATATTCAAAATCCCATACTTGGTACCAACAAAAAACAATAGTGAAAAAACAGTTCCCATAAACACCCAATTCCCAGTCCCGAATTCCCAAAGCCCTAGCCAAAACAGTACAGAAACCATACAGAAGGAGATGTACAGAGTAATTTTATACAGGAGAAAACGAAATGGCAGTCCTCTGATCGATCCCATCCAATCCCCAATCCCGGTGTCCCGATTTTCCTCTTCATAACTAAGACGTTGAGGTCTTTTCATCCACCCTCCCTCTCCCTTCCCAAGAAGATTAAAATAGAGTTGGAATACAAGCAAAAAACAAAAACAACACAAAAAACACCAGTAGGCACCAGATTCCGAACACCGGTCCCTTAACAGACAGCAAGAGCAAGAGCAAGAGAAATCAAGAGAAAGCAAAAATCCGCGATGAGGATATCGCACGGGTATACCCAAAACGCCATTTGTAAAGCAACAGAAGCAAGCGCAATCGAGAGCAGAGGCGAGCAGAGCAGGTGGCGGCAGAAATCTACTGCGACCCGGCCGAGCGAATCTTCGAGAGTCTATTCAGGACGCGGTCCGCGCTGTTCCTGAAGCTGTTCGCATGTACGGCGCTAACATCTGACCGAGCCGAGGAGCTCGAGTTGCGCGGGGTGCCATCATTCTTGCTGTAGTGGGAGCGGGTAGAGATCGCGTCCGCGGGGACGATGTTGCCTGCGCCGCCGCGCCCAACGGAGTACACCGGTGCGTGGTGCTCGTGGAAGAGGCGGTCGCGCTCCAGCTCTTCGTCGAAGCTGAAGATCGTGCGCTCGCTGGTAGGCCGCACGTTCCCGGCACCGCCACGCCCGCCAAAGAAGCGCGAGGACTGCGAGTTGGGGAGCGTGGTGGGTGGGGGAGGCAGAGGCGCCGTCTCGAGGCGGTGGTAGTTGCCTGCGCCGCCGCGGCCCGAGGTGTAGTACCGCCCGGCGGTGTGGAGGGGAGAGGGCTCGGCGATGACGGTCATTGTGTTGGTTGTGGTGGTGGTGGTGGTGGTTGTGATTGTGGTGGTGGTGGTGGTTGTGGTGGTGGTTGTGGTTGTGGTGGTGGTGTTGTTGGGAGCTTGCGAAGGAAGCTGTTGATGTTTATACGGAGAGTGATTGAGAAAGTTTTTGAAGCTAGAAGCTTGAAGCTGCTGGTTGATTGAGAGTGGGTTGTGGTTGTGGTTGTAGTTTGGAGAAGAAGCTGGGTGGGTCCGAAGACTGTAGTGTGCTGATTGATGCTGTTGATGATGGGAGCAACAACATCGTGAAGCGGCCGCGGGGCTTATATACCGAACATGCAAGTTGGTCGACGGATGGGCGTTCCAACATCCATCCACACACCAGAGGGGGGTGGTCCACGATGAAAATTGTTACCAGTGCCTTACTTAGCACAGGAGCAGAGCGGCGCGAACCTGTCATGTCAGAAGAGCTAGCAACTACGCCATCCCCCCAGCTGCGCTGCGCTGCCTGTCCTGCCCGCCTAACAAAACTCTGCAGCTATTACCCCATAGTAACACCCGCCGAGCCCTTGCTAGTCGTCACACGACCGAACCCATCCCTGGGACCAACATTCCCATGTACGGGCCAATGATGCGTGAAACGTGTGAGTGAGGCCATCCGACGCCGACGAGGACGACCACGCCGACGATGGATGGGACGCCAGCCAGCTGCATCCAGCTGCATCACAGCTTTGTGGCCCAGCATAGCAGGGCAGGGCACCGAGGGCAGGGCAGGGAGGCGAACAACGTCTTTGGCCTCGGCCAGCAGCCAGCAGCCAGAGCCAGAGCCAAAGCCAGAAGCACCACCGTTTTTTTCTTGCTTTCTTTGTCCTTCTCTTCATTCCGCGCCTCAGCACCACCAGCTCCCACTCTCACTCCGGCGAGAAAACTCTGACCGAACCCATGGCCAGGTGGCCAATCAGCAGACGGGTTCTTGCACGCTGGGTAGTATTTCGGTGACCTCAGGTCCCCAGGTCCCCGACTCCCCGGGCGGGCCCACCAGCACCAGTGAGTACCAGCAGCACCACCGCCCCCCTGACGCGCGTGTAAACCACTCTTCCATCCATACTCAGCAACCACCACCCCGGCGATTTGAATGTCCAGCCGCTAATTCCCCAAGCTGCAAGTCTCCCGCTTCGACTTGCGGATAGGGATCAGGATCAGATCAGGCCCATCATCCTTCCACACACGCATCCATCGTTGTCAAGCGAGGATCGATCGCCTTGCTGCGTGCTTGCTGCGTGCGGCGTGCTGCGAAACTGCGAAACTGCTCGTTTCCTTTCCTGCCTCGCACACGCTGAGTACTCTACATACTCTACAGACCATGCATAGCACACACATACATACATACGGCCTACCTTCCCTCCCGAGCTGCTGCGCGACGGTTTCCGTTACATAACAACCGAGTAACTACACACACGGACGGACGGGGCTGCAAGCACTACCTACTCTAACTAACCACGAACCAACAAGGTAACTAACTCATATACTCCGCTGGCTGGATGGATGGACGGCAGTGGATCGCTCGGCAGCATGCCTGAAGCATGCCTGGAGGGAGATTCGAGAGTGCGTGTGAGAGTGAGTCGTATGGATGCAAATTGATGATGAATTATTGCGAACATCTGAGCGAATCGTCTGGCCCATGGTTCGTTCGTTCGTGTTGCTGAATTGCACCGGTAGGTATGAGGTATGTAACAATGTGCTCGGTATGTAGAGCATGTAGAGCATGATACTCTACACGGCACTGCGATCCGTATAGTTGGAGTCTGGATACGGTGCATACGGCATAGGTATACGACGACTCGAGGTCGACGAGACAGCTTCGGCGTCAGGCGCACGTTGTTTGAAGTTCTTCTTTTTACGTACACATAGTAGCTGTCGGTACTTTCATTGTCTCGCCGGCTCTCCGCCATGCCAGGGGAAGGGGAAGGGAAAGGCGGAGGCCGCACATCCATCCACCCCAAGTTACCAACGATCTGCTCCAGAATCAGAGTCATGTCCACATGGGACGGACGTCGGACGTCGAGCGGGCTCCATCCATCTTTGGACATTCCGAGATGATGGCCACCGTGCTTCAGGAGACTGGCTGTAACTAACCAAGCAATTGCACTAATAGTGGTACACAAATAGGTAGATACATAATAGTCGTCGTCGTCTAGTGTGCCAATACTCCGAGATCCACTCCAGAGACTTCTCCACACATCGATACCAAAGTAGGCAGAGTAGTAGGCGACCAGACCAGCGATCCAATCCAATTCGCTTAGTAGAGCTCGAGCTGGCTGCTGGCGGAGCATTGTGTGTGCTGGTGCTGGTTTGCAGCCCGTCCGTGTCCACAGCTTGCACCGCCAGGCCGCCAGCAGCTAGCTGTGTGGCCGTGAGCAGGTCACTACGAATGCCCAGCCATCAATCTCCGCTGCTCATTACTGTCCAGTGTCGCTCATCACTGTTGTCGCCCATCACTGTTGTTGTTCTTGACGTTGCTGTTCTTAACGTTGACGTTCCAGCAAACGCCAGCCGATCGGGATCGGGAATCGGAGCTCTCACAGTCTTCCAAACACACAATTCGTTCATTCCATTCCATGCCACAGCCTCAGTCACTCATCTGAACTGCCACAAAGAGCATCTCCTGGAAGTTCGCCGGTTGGCCGGTTGGATTGGATTGGATTAGGTTTGTGGTTGGGTTGGCCAGGTCCAGCCCAGCTGGCCAGACAGCAGAAGGCCAGACGGCTGGCACTGGGCAGAAACACAACATCCATCCATCCATCCATCCTTCAGCTGCCGTGCATCTGCGTCCGGATCAGAAACAGAATAGAAGAAAAGAAAGGAAAAGAAAAGGAAAGGAAGGGAAAGGGTCGGGTGGCCAAGCGAGCTCACACAACACACAGAGACACACAGAGACACACAGACACGGACACACATTCCAACAGAGTCGAGTCAGAGTCAGACTCTTTCACGATGCCTTCACACCCTTCACACGCACGCCTGCACACATGGCGCACGCACCACCAGCCAGCACCAGCAGCCCAGCCAGCAACCGGCGCACCGTCCGCCGCACCGTCCGTCCTCCACGCCACGCCCCGCCGCGCCGAGGACCGAACAAAGCAAAAGCAAAAGCCCATCCATCCGTCCCAAGCCGCAGCGCGCTAAACTCCTATCCACAACCGCAGGCGGGAGGGAGGATCCTTCGTAACTTCGTCTTTCATCCTTCGTCGGCGTCGGCGTTGTCGTTGCTTTTTGCCTCCCCCCCCCAGACCCCCCGCAACCGCATCATGTAGAGTAACTACCGTGTACCGTGTGTATGGATGTATGGATGGATAGACGGCTACATCCAAGTTTGAGCTTTGCGGATTGATTCTTCTTCTTCTTCTTCTTCTTCTTCTCGCTAGAGTACTCTAGATGGAGACGCGTCGTGACTGACTGACTGACTGACTGACTGCGTGCATGAGTTATGTAGAGTACCGGCTCTTTGCCCGTTGCTCTCTGCTCCAGCCTGTGTCCTCGGACTTGGGCGAAGGAGGGGGAGAGAGTGGCCACGGGCCACGCAGGTACCTAGGAGTACCTTACCTCAAGACTCAAGTTCCAAGTTCAAGTTCCCAGCATCCCTCCAAAAAAATCTCCTCCCTTGGGTGCAAATTCCCCCCCTCCCCTTGGTGGTGGCGGCTAGGCGGATCACGGATGGAACTTTCTCTGCAAGAACTGCAAGTTGCAACCCCTCGTCCACAAAGCAAAGGCGTAGTCCATTTCGGGTAGTCGCCGAACACAACGGTGCGTCGTCGGTGCCGGCCAAGTGCGAGTGTGTGACGGACCGGATTGGCTCGCAAGGAATGCGGGGAAGGCTTTGGGGGCTTGGCGGCCAGACCAGGACAGGACCGGGCAGGAAAGGACAGGACGACAAGGGCAGGGGAGGCCGGAGAGCGTATCCCGTGCAACCACCAGCAGCACCAGCAGAACCACAACTCCCCACCAACTGCAGGAGGATTCCAGTCACCTGGAAGTATCGTGAAACGGCTGTGCTTGGGGCTGGGCGGCGGTTGGGGTTTTCTTTGGGAGGAGGCGAGATTTCTGCCGGCGCTGGTGCTGGTGCTGGCTGATGGGACAGGCGAGCTTTGGCTTTGGCTTTGGCTTTGAAGAAGGTGCAGGGAAAAGCTGATGCTGATGCTGAGGCGGAACCGAAACGAGGTCCAGCTCCAACTTGGGCGCTCGTCTGGCTGGCTGGCTGGATGGCTCTTCGGCAAAAAATCATCAAAGCATAAATCGCTCTACCTATGGGGTAAGGCTGGCTGGCGTGCTTCAGCATCCATCTTCACGATCCTGCGAGGTGCGCCTTTTCTTTGGGCACTCTACCTAGTTGACGCTGGGTATGTAGGACTCTGCTCTAGTTGACGCTGGGTGCCTATGCTGCTGGGTATTCTGGTGGAGGAAAGTACCGTAGGTATGCGACGGGTCCATCCGCCGCCGATGAAGTTGTTGCTGGTAGTCAGCCACACATCTCCTGGGTGCTTTACACAGGCTTGGTATGATGGCCGGCGGAGATTCGGCGTCGTCGCACCACCACCACCACCACCACCTCCACCACCACCTCCACCACCACCTCCACCAACAACGCCACGCGGGGACCAGCACAGACACCAGCCAGCCAGCGCCGGACCCAGCGCCATCTCCACCACTCTGCGGTAGCCAACGCCATTCCATCCGCCCAACCCAACGCTGGAGTTGGTACTGGCAGGTACTCTACATACCATCCATCGTGAGTACAGTACAGAGATTTCACGACCGTCCAGATCCGCCGGCCATCCAAGCTCCATCCAAGTTCGCAGTTCGCAGTTCCACTCATCCCGATTCCAGACCCAATCGAACGGGCAAAAGCACCAACAAAAAACCAAAGAAAAAGAAAACGCCCAAACCTAAAAAAACCTCCTCGGTCCTCACATCACAGCCAACACCAACCAGCCGTTCCCTGAGCCCTCCCTCCCATCTTCTTTCTTTCTTTCTTTCTTTCCTTCGGTTGCCTTGCCTTGCCTTGCCTTTGACGTGAGTGAAACCGTAGAGTAATAGAGTACCTAGACGAAGTTTACTCCCCTCCACCTGGTGCTCTGCTCTACCGTTTGCGTTTTACTTTTTCCCGTCGGCGGCCGCTGCTGCTGCTGGGGCGATCGGGCGATGCGATGCTTTTACTATGATATGTATGGGCACATTTCTGATTCCGTTCCTTTTGTCTGTATGTAACCAACCCAACCCAGTGAACCAACCCGTCCCTGTGGCGGACGTCATCGACAGCAACACACACCACAAAAAAAAAACCAAAACCTTCCCAGCGATCGCTAAACACCTCGTCATCGCATCGTGATCGTCTTTCATCTCTCGGAGGGACGCAGGCCTGGAAGCGTCTTTGCGTAATCCTCCTCCCACCTTCTCGTCCTCGAGTCTTGAGTCGTCGCACTCTATTTCCGTTCAGGTACGGTGCGGTGCGCCCCTCCCTCTTCTGCCCCTCCCTCTTCCTCGTCTGCCTGACTTTGCGCCCCGTGCGCCGCGAACGCGCGACGACAGGATGAGGACGGCGATCAGACCTGTCGCACTAGTAGAGCACGGTACAGTAGAGCCTGCGCAAAAGGTCATGAGGCGACGCGAGGGAGTGCGGCGAGTGACATCGTGATGATGGCTGTAACTTCCTTTCACTGTCGAGTGTCGGCTGGTCAGTGGTCGCCCCCCTGTACTTCGGCTAGTACGGGGGGGTAAAGAGGCGGTAGGATAGCCAGACGGACCTCTGTCTCCGCTCCGCCCCCGTCCCGCCCCCCCCGTCCCGCCCCCGTGAAACCGCAACACATGATCTACCTGGGTACGCGCTGAGAACTCCACATCCTCCGCATCTTTTGCAGATTCCCAGCCTCGCTGTGTATGTAGGTCGGTAGGAAGTAGGTACGTAGGATGTGCGTAGCTGTACATCGCGGTCCGCCAGCCGACACCGGACAACTTCCAGGCTCCAGGGACCAGCACCGGATGAGCGCCGGCCACTGAGCTCACCGAGCCCACGTAGTTCACGATGCTACATACGCTCCAACTTTGGCTTCAAAGGGGGCAGCCCGGGGGTGATGTACTATTTACTACGGTACTCTAGTAGATGCCTATGCCCATGCCGCACGCATTCCCATGCCGTGCCTCGATCAAACCTACCTTTCACCTTCTCGCCTTCTCGCCTTCCACCTTCTCGCCTCCTCCGTCTCGCCTCCTCTCCGTCTCTCCAAAAAAGCGGGTTACTCCAGAGTAGTCTACATACGGTACATACGGTAGTTAAACGATTACGCCATGCGGCGCTGGGATTATGTGCACCCAGCAAAGTTGCAAAGTTGCATAGAAGGGAGGGAGGGGCATATTGCTTCTTTCTTTCTCCTCGGAGATTTTCCGTGACCTGCCTCCATAGTACTCTAGAGTAGAGTAGAGTGCTCTATGTACCTTGGGAGTTGTGGTGACCTGCGGTACTTCTGCCTGTGGATGTGGATGCGCGTGTGGATGGGTATGTGTGTGGACATGTGGATGGGTATGGGGATGGATGTGTCATCCACGCTCCTCCTCATCCTCCTCGCCCACCTCGCCCTCGTCCATCTGGGGGCATATATACGAGAGCGAGCACACGCAACATCCTCTACATGTGCAAAAGAGGAAAGAAAAAAAAGGAAGAAAAAAAAGGAAAAAAAACCCGGTGGTGTAAAAAAAGTGATCGCCGTTCATTAATAAGTACGGACTTATGTGTGTGTACCCATCAAATAATTTTTCCCCCTTCTGGGCTGGGCCGCTGGGCCTTCAAGTTCGGCCAGCCATACAAGTTGCAAGCTACAAGCTACAAGTTTACAAGTTTACAACCACTTAGGCCCCGGAGTCATACTGGATATAGAACTTAGAACTACAACTTTTTTTTCTCCTTGCAGGGCGGTTACGTGATCAACGCAATGGGTAGGTACTCTAGAGTACTCGCTAGAGCAGTTAGAGTTGAAGGCGGCGATTCATCGGCGGAAGGCCACTGCGGCGCCGTTTCTTGAGAGCGAGTGCACCTACTGTTGTTGTCGCGGGTTCGTCAGCGGTTGTTCTGGAATGGACAGACTCCTCCTACGCACGCACACACGAACACGCGCGCGGTCTCGAAGTCTCGAGGTTGCATCGCCATCGACCGACACGACACATGACGTGGCTCTGGACGGACGCCGAACGCCGAACATGATGATGCCCGGGCAGCCAGACGACAGAGAGGCAGAGAGGCAGAGAGGCAGAGAGGCAGAGAGGCAGAGAGGCAGAGAGGCAGAGAGGCAGAGAGGCAGAGAATGGGAGGAGGGCACGTACACAGCAACGCCAGCAGATACCGCAAAAGAGCCTTCCTCCATCTCGGGGCACCGAGCATAACCAGTTTCCAGAACCATCCATCGTACAGCAACTTCCCGTTGCGGTCAAAGTTTGCCGAAGGAATGTTTACCGAAGCGGCGTACTGCTTGATTTTTTTCTGGTTGAAGGGCGGATATCGGAACTGTTTCCCCGGGTCGGTCAGTCAGTGGACTGCTGTGGGAGGGGAGTCGTTCTGTTTGCTTTTGTTGGACTTGCCTGCATTAAGTTCTCGGTCCAGCTGGGCTGCGTGATGACTGGTCGTTTGTGCGTGAATGCATCGAACGTGTGCCGCCCTGTGATGTTTCGAGCCATGTGAGTACAGAGTTCAACGGCCGTCTGGTGGCCGGTCGGCGGGGTGCAATCGCCTCACCTCTGTAGGCTCCACTACCACTCTCGCCAACTCCTCCGAACGGGACGCTGTGAATGGCGGCATGGAATATGGTGTCGTTGAACGTTACACCACCACTGCGAGTATTTGAGAGAACTACACACACACACACACACACACGAAGAAGGGTCAGCAACACAGAGCAGCACTCGATGACATCGGCTCCCCTCGAAAACGTACTCATCTCTTTCTCCTTCTTGTCGCGCGTAAAAGCATACAGCGCAAGCGGGCAGTCTCCCACTTTCCTTACGATACCCAACATCTCCTGCAGCCCGCCCGGAACCACCACGTACGGCAGCAGCGGCCCAAAGATCTCCTCGCCCAGCAAGGAATCATCCAGGCTATCGACCCTGATGACGGTTGGCTCAATCCACTTGTCCTCTGCGTCCGACCGTCCTCCGAAGACGATCTTCCCCTTGCTGTTCTCGAGCATGCCCACAATGCGGTTGAAGTGCCGCTCGTTGATGATGCGCGCAAAGTTGTCTGGGTCTTGCGTGCCGTTCGGAAAGAACTTGTGCATGGTCTTGATGTAGCTCTCGACGAAGGCGGCTTCGCAGCTGGGGTCGATCAGGACGTAGTCGGGGGCGAGACATATCTGCCCGCAGTTCATGAGTTTTCCCCAGGCGACGCGTGGTCCCGCCAGTTTTGCGTCCGCGGTCGAGGTTATGACAACCGGGTTCAGACCGCCTCTGAGATCATCCGTCAGCATTCGCTCTCGTAGGGATTCTCCACTCCATCATTTGGTGTAACCCACAGCTCCAGGAGTACAGGCGTCAAGTGTTTGGCTGCCGCCTTGGAGACGATCCGGCCCACGGCGCTGCTGCCAGTGTACAGGATCTTGTCCCACTTGCAGTCGAGCAGCCTCGTGGTCTCCTCGATGCCGCCGTTGACGACCGCGTAACAGTCGGGGTCCAGGGCCTCCTTCACGATCTTTTCGATCATGGCGGACGAATGTGGCGTCATCTCACTCGGCTTGAGCACGCACGTGCAGCCCGCCGCGATCGCTCCGACGAGCGGGACCATCACCAACTGAATGGGGTAATTGAACGGTCTGCATACCGTGGGGTCAGCACTTCCCTGCTCGATCCTGTCTATAGTACACTCCCCGCCACTCACCCGATGATCAACACCGTTCCCAACGGATTCTTCTGAAGCTTCGGCGGCCCCATGAGTTTATACATCATGGGCACCTCGCAAGGCTCATCCGCGACGAGGGAGTCGAAATTCTCAAGGGTGGCCATGATGTCATGCTCCAGCCAGGTGGTCTCCGTCATCATCGCCTCGGCGGTGGGTTTGTTCAGGTCCTTCTTGAGTGCGGCCAGCACCGCATCGCGATTGGCCACCACGGCATGGTAGAGTTTCCGGAGCTGCTGCTTGCGGAATTCGAAGGGGCGCGTTTTGCCGCTGAGGAAGGTTTCCGACAGCCGCGAGTGCGTTGACTCGATCTGCGAAAGAGACGTTGTGGTGTACGTGACGAGCTGCTGGCCGTTGGACATTTTGTCAGTGGTAAGGGTTGTGGGAGAATGCTGTGCAATGGGGAGACAGGTAGCTTAAGTACAGAAGCTACATATGTTGTGTGTGCCGCAGGATGTACTTAGATGGGTAGTTGGGTACCATGCGACACTGAAACCTGCCAGTGTCCAGTAGATACCTCATAGGCAGAAGATTAAGTATATATCCCCGGCATGCGGTGCATACTTCATCAATATCCCCACACCGATCGCTATTGAAACCGGATCCTCCCGAGGCTTCGCAAGCTTACGCTTTTTTTTTTACCGTCACCGGCCCCACAGTCTCCCCGGGCTCCGGCGAATGTCCCACTCAGGCGATGGATAATTGCACTGCGATACACGCCAAATGATACCTATTGATGCTCATATCTATCTTCTTCACTCGCCCATCGAAAGACACGGGTATTCGCTTTCCCTTCGTCGCGGAGAGACGTCCGGCAAGCCAAACCATCGCTCCTTCCGCATCGCACGTGCAATGTTCACGGCAGCCTCGGTACTCTAGGTAGTGGCCTGCATGAGGAATCGTGGCCGGCGCCGCAGTGGTGCGACCAACGCCCGCATCGGCAAGGCTCCCGAAACGAAACTTGATTGCATCATGCACGTGAGCGAGCGCTTTACCACGCGCGTTTCTCCAGCGTGGGGCTCGCCAACAACCCAAACACCCGCACCCACACACACACACAACACACGATGGTCCAACTAACAACCACCCCGCGCCTGCGCCGCGCAGTCCGCATCTACAACGCGCTCCCCACGACCACCACACCGCTCCCCGCCGACGCGGTCGCCCTCTCGCACGAGCAGATCCGCGCCGTGTCGCGGGCGCTCGCGCACCACCCCGCCGACTCCGACTCCGGGGATGGGGACTACACGTTTTCGACGCTCCTCCGGGGCAGCGGGATCTTCCACGCGCCGCCGGCCCCTGCGCCTGCGAAGACTCCCGAATACATCGCGCTGATGGCGCGGCTCCGGCGCGACGAGGAGGAGCGCGAGTACACGGCGCTGCTTGCGGCACCCCAGCACGCAGCGTCCACCTCAATCCTGAGCGAAGACGAGGACTGGAAACTTGTCAAGAGCCAGATCTCGATGATCTTCAATGTGCTGCTCAGTGTGCTGGCTACGGCGGCCGCCGTGTGGAAGGTTGCTGGTGCGTGGGATGTTGCTGCGAGGTTGGGCGTGGCGTTTCTGGCTGCGATTGTCGTCGCTGTTGCAGAGGTGGTGCTACTGTGGGGGTATCTTGGAAGGGTCGAGGAGGCGGGAGAAAAGGAGAGGCAGAGGGGGAAGGGCGAGGTCAAGGGAGCTACGGGGGTTAGTTGGATTGTTGGGCTGGGAGGTGTGGTTGAGAAGAGGGGTAGTAGTGGGATGGGTGGGAAAGGGTGAGATCGGTGGTGAGGACGGGTGTTATTCACGAAGTGCCACACACGCATATATCAATCGTTCACGACTCACGGTCCGATATCTGTAAGCAGAAATCATGGTTTATGTAGTATCGATAAAAACATCCCGGGAAAACGAAACACCGACCAGAACACATAAAACCCCGAAGAAAAGGAAGACACGCTAAAGGACAGAAGAGCTAGAGAATCGGAAACAAAGCTACAGAACAGGCATCATGTTGTAAATGCAAAAGAAGAAAACGGGGGTAGCAGAAAAAGAAACCACGCCGAGGTAACAAAAGCAAAACAGAAGAACGAGAGAGAGGGGAGGTGTCTATTTCCATCTCGGCAGCAATCCATCGAGCAAAGCAATAATACGAAAGCACTAGACTGTCTAACCTCCCGCGTGGCAGAGGCCTAGTTCTTGAGGACACGATCGAACTGCACGTTCTTGACGTATCCTCCTTGCATACTTTGCTTAACGTTCCTCTTGAAGTTTTCACGAGTCAGGCGCAGGTCCTCAGCAGCCTCCTTGTTGAGAGGATCGCTGGAGTTCGGCTCGAGGAACAGGAACTATCTACGCGTCAGCATCACCACCGCCACGCCACCGAGGTAGTAAACCCACCTGCAATCCAACCATGACCGCATTCAGATTCAACACGGGCTTCCAGTCCTCGCGGAGGATGTTCAAGCACACGTTCCCCTCCAGATCGATGTTTGGATGGTAGATCTTCTGCGTGCATTTGACCTTGGGGGGCTCGTGGGGGAAATTGCTGTTGATCGCGAACGTGAACTTGAAGACCCCGCCTTTGTACATTCCTGCGATGCATCCGACCCGCGTCAGCCAACCCGACCCAACCCAACCCAACCCAGCGCCACCATACGGATTCATCTCGGATACTTACCCTCATCAGGCTCGATCTTCAACTCAAAGTTGAGGATATCGTCGGGGTCCGGAAAGTGTGTTCGCATGGTCGAAGGCAACGATAATTCCGCCACATCTATCCGCCCCATCCATCCTCTTTAGCCCCCCTCCTTCTCTCTCGATGGCGACGATGAAGACGAGGAGACGCACCCTTCTGAGCCCGCAGTTGCGCCGCGGTAACTTTCTTCTTCTTTCCACCTTCGGAGTTGTTAGCAGCCTGCTGCTGCTGCTTCTATTCCCCAGAGTCCTGATCAGCAAACGACTCACGCGACGCAAGTTCGGGGGTAGGGTAGAGGGGGGCAAGTGGGGGAAGACAAACCATGGACCAGATCTTCAACATGGTGCTCAGTTATCGTGGTGAGGGGGAGGCGAGTGAGGGGGATATTCGGGGCGTTGGGATATGGTAGTGGTGGTGGTGGAGATGATGAAGCGTTCGTTTATTCGTGGTTGTCGACGGCGGCGGCGGGGTGGTGGAGGAAGTGGTGAGTTGGGCGCTTCGGAAGATTGCAGAGCCGCAATAATTGTGTCACCGCTCGGTTCGGTACGCGTCGAATTGCTTCTTTGGTTAGCGATAGCGAGTGACCTATTATGTGTGCGGTGTGCGCGAGAATTTGCCAATTTGGTACATATGTCGCATTGTTGTCATATTGATCCAACTCACAGAAGTCACATATAGGCAGGAGAATCGGTCAAGTATTCACGAGTCATAAATCGCATTATGCCGCTGGAGGCTGTATATATGATGTATGATGTAGGTATGTTTCAAAGGCACGCGTACAGTAGAGAAGAAGATTCAGAATTCACCGGATACTACGTTAATTCTAACTTTTAAGGCACATTTACACAATTATAGCTGTCGCGCATCCGGAGAAAAGTATCTACCCGGCGTACAAATACGATACTATACTCATATCCATACTTGATTTTACGACCACGGGTAGTTGGTCATAATATATGTATCAATTTCTGAGATGTTGGCTTTTGAGCGAAGTTCAACTAACTTCCGTTACAACGTGGTGATGATGGATGCATGGTCAGACCTAATATATGATCTTTGGCTTAGAAAGTGAGGGTACATAGGCGGTCTTTGTTTGATGTAGAGACCTCGGTATCCCGATCGACATGTAGCTGTGTGAATACCTCCAACATCCAATCGCTCTTGGATCCACCAGTAGCTAATGGCATTGGCGTCCTCTCAAATATACCAGCGATGGGGACATCAGCGCCTATCTCATTCCCCCACTCGGCTGCGCAATATGGTGGCGTCTGTCCATTCCCATCGATGATCGAGACCTGGGCGCCTCGAGAAACCAACAGTCGAAATTCCGCTTCAAGCCCGCACCCACTTGCGCAATGCAGTGGCGTTCTCCCATACCGATCGGCTGCGGAGACATCGGCGCCCAGATCAACCAAAAGGCGCACCGAATCCGCTACCTTCGGAACGTTCAACCAAGGGGTGGCAAAGTGTAGCGGCGTCATCCCGTCCTCATTGCGGATCGAAACCTCAGCGCCGAGATCAATGAGCAACCGTAACACCGCTTGATTCCCGGTCACAACTGCCCGGCGCAGTGGCGTCAGCCAGTTATTCGTGGTCGGCAAATCGTCGATGCCCCGATCAACTAGCATTCGCATAAATGGCACCACCTTCGAATCGTACCAGTACCCGGCGGCCAAGTGTAGTGGCGTGTGCCCGTTCTTATCGGTGGCGAAGACATTGGCACCCCGATCAATCACCAGCCGCAACACCGCCTCGTTTCCGCGCTCGGCTGCCCAGTGCAGCGGCGTCCTCCCATCCTGATCGGTCGTGGAGGCATCGGCGCCGCAATCAACCAAAAATTGCACCAGCGATCTTGCCTCCGTATCGTCCTCGTACCCAGCGGCCAAATGCAGTGGCGCCTCGCCATTGTTATTCGTGACCAAAACATCGGCGCCGAGATCGATCAACAACCACAAAACCACCACGTTCCCACTCCCGACTGCCCGGTGCAACAGCATATCCCCGTTCTTATTCGGACCCGATAACTCGGCACCCAGATCTATCAGCAACTGCAGTACAGACTCATCCCCACTTCCGGCTGCCCAATGTAGTGGTTTGTTTCCATCCATAGCGGTGGCTGAGACGTCGCAGCCGTGATCAACCAGAAGTCGCACCAACGACAACGCTTGAGAGCTGTCCGGGGATTCAGCGGAGCGCGCTTGCACTGGGCCGGTCATGGTGCCCCGGTCTTTGCCATGCGAAGCAATGAGCACCTTGTTGAACATATAGGAGAAATGTCGTTACCGCCTCCAGATCATTCTTGTATCCGGCGGCCAAGTGCAGCGGCGCCTCGCCATTCGTATCTTGAATGGAGACCCCGGAGTCAAGATCGATCAGCAGCCGTAACATGGCCTCGTTCCCTATTCGGGCTGCCCAGTGCAGCGGAATTTCCCCACCCACATCAGTCGCGGAGACATCGGAGCCCCGTTCAACTAGTAGCCGCACCGATGGCACCGCCTTCGATTTGTATTGGCATCCAGCAGCGAAGTGCAGTGGCGACAACCCTTTATTATCGGTGGTCAAGACATCGGCGCCGAAATCAATCAGCAGCTGCAACACCGCTTCATTCCCACTCTCGGCTGCCCGGTGCAGCGCCGTCATTCCATCTTGATTGGTCGCGGAGACATCGGCGCCCCGATCAATCAGCAGCCTCACCATTCGCTCCGCCTGCGCACCATCCCAGAATCCGGCGGCCACGTGCAATGGCGTCTGCCAAAATGCATCCTTAGATGTGACCTTAGCCCCGCGATCGCTTAGCAGTCGCAATACCGCCTCGTTACCGAAGATGGCTGCCCAATGGAGCGGAGTGTTCCCGTTCCCATCGGGGGCGGAGATATTGGCGCCCCGATCGACCAATAGTTGCACCAAGGATACCGCTTCCGAATTGTTCCTGTATTTAACCGCCAAGTTCAGTGGCATATGTCCGTAGTCATTGGAGACCGAGATATTGGCGCCCTGGTCGATGAGCTGGCGCATCACAGCCTCGCACCCACTACTAGTGGCAAAATTCAGTGGCGTGTTCCCATTCTTGTCGGTGGCCGAGACGTGACCTGGGCTATAGACAGTGCTAATATTAGCTGTTTGCCAGTGTTCTCCATCGTCCGGCCCGGACGGCCAAAATGCCGGACGGTCCCAGCCTGGGACGGACGGTTGCAAAATTTCTCCGTCAAGTCCGAGCCTGGGAAGGATGGGTCGGTCCCCGTCCGACGGTGGAGGACGACCGTCCAAGTCACGTGAATATGATTCGGCTGCTTGATGATTTCTTAGCACCGATATCCAACACACCACCATGTCAGTTCATCCCTCACCGCTCCACAAGCTGTGAAAAGTAGCATTATTCTGACTCGGCCCATATCACAGCGCTCTATGCACCATATCTCACTCGGCCACCCAAGGCCCCACGCCCGAAACTAGGTTTTTACCCAACGCTTGGCGAACGGCCGTCCTGCGCCGTCCGTCTCGTCCGTCCGCTGAGAAAACCTTGGCCGTCACATCCTAGGCTTGGACGGACGGGAGGCACGCCGTCTGTCCTCGTCTGAGGCCTAAGACGGACGGACCGGACGATGGAGAACACTGGTGAAGGCTGCAGTACTGAGTTGTGAGAGCGAGGATGAGGGCAGAGATGGCAGAAGCAGTTATGGAGGACTGTCACAGTGACAAGCGGTGGGTGGCGGCGTCGGGCGGGTAGTGAGAGTAGGACAGAATTCTGTGTTTTTTCAGAAGAAGTTTTCATACTACAGTATGGACGGTGCTTTACTCGCTCACAAGCTTATCTGTAGTAACTAAATACAGACAGCAAACCATGATAAGCTCAGATAGTGCGAATGGATATTCTCATATGAGACGCAGAACTCAAGTTCCAAACTCTTAAATACAAATCACATCAATATCCGATCCTCCTCTCGACCTTAACCATCAGAGGTGCCTTCAGCCACATAAAGTACGTCTTGCACTTCCGTATCAAATCTTCTTCAGGTTTCACAAGCTTCAGGTCATATAGGAACATCATCCTAGCGATATAAAGCCGCATCTCCATCCACGCCAGATTCTGTCCCAGACACTGTCGACTCCCCAGACCGAACGGCACGCTCGCTTCCTTGACATCTGTGTTGTCTTCGTCTATCCATCTCTCCGGCCTGAACTCGTCGGGACTATCCCACCACTCTTCACCATGGCAGAGCGTCCAGGGGTGCGTGGATACTTTGACCTTTTGGGACGTCAGTGGGTCATGCAGAGCGGAGAGGGGCGGAATCAAGTCGATGGGTGCAGGAATAACGTACACCTTTGGGTATGTAATTCCCAGCCACAAACGCGCCGGGCGAGTACCTAGGTAGCCCGGTTGGGCCAGGTGGGAAGACTCTCAATCCTTCCTTGATGACGGCAGTCAGATACGGAAGTTCTCCGAGCTTTCCGGCAGTGATATCCTCTAGACATGCGAATTTGGTGCGGATTTCTCCTTGGAGATGAGCGATTACGCGGCGGGTCTTTGCGAGGTGATAGATGGTGCCGCAAAGCATCGCGGTCATTGTTTCTGCGCCGCCGAGACTGGAAAAAAAGAAATGTTAGACCAAACGCCAACCTTCTAGTAATAGGATAGGGTACTAGTCACATAAGCTGGGAACTGTGTGCTGTTAATTCATCGTGGGTGACCGGTGATTTGCCGTGTTTGTCGACCATGTAGCCGAGGATGTCCTTGCGTTCGGATGGAGACGATATACGACTGTAGGCAAAAGATTAATATGCGGTGGTTCACGCGGTTTGGTTCTGCGACTGATCCACTGACCGGAGAGTTTGCTCCTTGCTCCAGGCGACGTGCCATTTCCGGGCATCGATGTACACCTGCGGGATAAACCGCTTGAAGATGGAGTTGAAGATTGGGAAACGCCTGGCCGCCTCGACGTACGCGGCGACATCTATAACATACCGGTAATCAGCACGATCTGCTATGGTTGACGGACCGCGCTTCGACCACCACCTACCAATGCATTCGGTTACCATGCTCATCCATCGATGCGATATACCTATGTACCAGATTTAGCACGGTATCCCATAGAGGGAAGGAATAATCGTTCGCCCCTACCTTTATCCAGAGCTCCAAATGCCTCCCCAAACGCCAGATCTCCAGCAGTATCGAACGTAAGGAACTGGAACCATTCGACCATATCCACACCCTCCTCGGTTTTTCCCCTCTCTTCGATCGCACTCATGAATCGATCCAGATGTGGGAGCACCAGCGGTTCAAACTCCCAGGTGGCCTGCGGGGTAAACGCCGGTGTCAGGAACTTACGTTTTCGGAGATGAGTTGCGACGTCACGTTCCGTGCCAATGCCGTGTTCACCGAACCCTGAGTCGATGGCATCGAAGAACTCCGTCTTGGTGAAATGCTGCCGGGATTTGAAAATATCACGGTAGCTGGTCGGCGTGGCGAATGATAGATCGTTAGGTGCGATACGGACAACCGGGCCTACAACGCTGTACATTAGCACCAGCACGGATGCAAGGGAGTCCAAGCTCGCTCACCGTATTTCGCATGCATGTCCTTAATGATCCAGATTGACCTCCCGCTAATATGAACGTATCCAAGCCATATCTGCCATTACACCTCTGCATTTCGCTTACCGTCTTCCCTGGTAGCCCACCAACCAAAGGGGAAAGCTTACGCCTGATATCGCAGCAATTTTTGGACCTGGGAATCTGGCTAACGGGTGGAAGAACAGTAGGTAGGTGGCGCGAATGAAGTGGTAGATCAACACAAAGCCAAAGACAGCAAGGACCTTATGCGTGGCCAGATAATAGAGTGTTCCCCTCGCCGTAGGCGTGACGTTGGCGAAGGCGGTGGTGATGTTCTCCCAGGACGGAGATATGTCTTGGAATGATTCGACGGAGAGGGATATGGGTGTGAGAGATGCCACAGCCGATTGTAACCCCATAGCTGCTGGGAGTAAACGAACACAGATGTCTGAAGGTATGTGAAGTAGGAAGTTCAGTAGATCTCGCCCTCTCGGTGGGGTGAGTGAAGAGGGAATCGATGGCAGTGGCAGGCAAAGGATGGAGGTTTTATCAGTTGATCTGACTTGAGATACAGGAACAATCAAAATCAGCCGCTACCAAAAGACGCTGAGCACACACTCGTGTGTGCATTGTCGTGACTCTCCGGGGGAGGGGGGGGGGAGAGAAAGGGCGGAAATGCCCGGCTCTGGCGAGGATGTTCGTGATTCTGCTTCCTGCGGTGCAGACGCTTAGGTTTACGCTTTTCGGTTCTGTTATCGACCGGCCCGAACTTCGAAGTTGTGGAAGGCTTTTCCCGCACCAAGATAGAAGCCTAACAGCTACATGGCGGAGTGGCTGCATGGCACTAAAAGCAGTGAGAGAGAGAGATCTTCAATTTATTTCGCATGCAGTCTATCTAGACTATGACGAACCGTTAAAAGCAGTGAGTGTACAACGACCGTACTGATTAACGTGGACGTCATCTACTCACGCGGTGGAGGATCCAGACGCACAAGGTATGTAATTATTAAACGTTATATCATGGCATTCACTATGTGCCGAGGACTGCATTCATACAGAATCCCCCACATCTTGCTGTACCTATCTCTATATCCCTGCACGCCTAAAAAAAATTTCACCGGTGACTTTCACCGCCCCAGATTCTCCAGAACCTGGAACCCCGCCATCGCTCACCGGACATCGACGCGCGGATGAAGACTACGGCAGTTCGTTTACTTGGTGACTCAGCAGGATATATGTGGCAAGTCTATACCGTGATAGGCCAGCAACGTAGTCTTCGCCTAAACTCCACAAGCATTTGGGCATAAATACAACGGGCACTTATCCAATACCATTAACCAAGTTATTGGTTTGAACAGTCTTGTAAGTAAAGCACAATATTGTGCTGGTGAATTAGATGAGGCCCTGAGTGTGATTAAAAATGCAGAGGAAAATGAGGGATAAAGGGCCACGAATCGTGGACTAGAAAAACGTAGGTAGCCTTTGCATAGCGTGGACGATAACTACGAGCCTAAGAACGGGATGAAGGTAATAAATACTACGTAAATGTAGATAAAAGTTAACCAGGTCATTATTAGATTGTATCTAAAGAATACCATGTTCGGCGTTCGCTGCGGCCCTGTGGCGGCAGCTATGCAAGGACTATGATCACCCAACTAGCGCTATAGGCGCCGGCTGTGCGGAGACACTGGGGTATGGATATAGAACAAGACTAGCGTCGCTCCACCTCACACGCAGACCGGCGGCGTAAGGGCCTAGGCCGTTTGGATATGCTATTGCCCCACGAGTAGAGTACTCAATACATAGTATATATTGGATATTAACCAAGGAATAGTGGGGTTCGCGTTGTCTAGGTACGCGAGACCAGATCTGTATTTGAGCCCCAACATTGCATGAGACCGCAACTTATTTCCAGAGGTGTGGGGAGGAAACCATGCCATCTTTGGGCAAGAGATAGCCCATCGCCGTGCATGCTAGCAAGAGACTTCCTGAATGAGCAGACCCCATACATTAAGGTTTTGGACAATCTCTGCATAAATTCTGACTTCAATTGACCGGACTCAATGTCCAGATGGAATGGCCCCGGCCACTTCCATTGAAAGCTTAGCCCCCTCGATACGAAACTTTGAACACAAGGTAGGAGCATAAGTTGGGATACAGATTAGCTACAGCAAGCCAAATGGCTCGTATTGAGGGGAGTGGCAGCCGAGTTTGCGCCTAAGCCGACAGCGCAGGGAGCAAATAACGGCGGTTTATGTAGATATCGTGATGTTTGGCCGGCAGCAACAAGGTAAACGAACCCCATAAACCCAAGGAAAATCGGAAATGTCTTTCCAGTGGAATCAGAGTTGGCAGTAGTGGCCTGAAGCGGTGGTGGCGGTCCGAGTAGTGGGAGGCAGCGGCAGTCTATCAGTTTAAAAATAGCCTGTCCCGCGCTCCCCAAGCGTACTCTATTACGAGTGGAAGTGGTCCTCTGAAATAAGTATGCGTCAGCTTCAACTCTTGGGAATATCAGGCGATATGTCTGCTTCTGAATGTGCCCGCAGTCAAACGCATGAAGCGTTTGGTCTCCTCGTCACAAGCCGCAAGGCTGCCTTATCTTATTTCTCGCTCTTGGTCTGTATTGTACCTGCATGGCCGCTGCCATGGCCCTACCCGCAGTTGCCACTCCTCGTCCCGTTGGACTGCATGCGTCTGGCGCTAACTATCCGTGTCGCAGCCGGGATAAACTGCCGACATTCATTCCGCTGTCGTCCATAGCACCCAACACCCACTGGCAGTCTTTCGTTTTTTCGGAGATCCGCCCGATATGTACTTGCTACGATTTCCACCGGACAACCACAGCCTTAGCCGAAGGCCGGGGTTATAGATCCGGACGACCGTGAGAATCATGAGATATGTATGTAAACCCGTAGTTGATCCGCACTCCAGCATTTTTGCGGCGCTAATGCCCCACTGCGGCGGTATTCTGGGCAGAATCCAGGATCAGATTCACATCCACGATAATTATACTATGTTAACCGTCCGCACCCTCTTTTTCGCGCGGCCTTTTATCTTAACCGGAAACCCCGCAAGGGAGGTTACCGGTGTGGTGCGTCTGGTCAACCAAGAGTGTTCTCGAGCCGCCATGTGAAGCGCGCTTGCCTAGCAGCCGCAGATAGACGGAACATGAGACAAAAACCGCGAGAGGCGTGCCGCGGGGCTCCAGGAAGGCATTACCTCGGAATAGGCCGTAACAATAAGCTAGTAATACAGATATGAGCACGACGTTGAGTCTATGGCGTGTTACAGGGACTTTCAGAGGTACTAACTGCCTCGAAGGACGAGCGGAGACGTTATCCATATGCTTCTTCTGGGGGTTGACCTATAGTCGCTGAATAGCTGCTCCGCATTTGGGAAATCAGTTGATTCTTCGCCTCCGCTTGCTTTTTATCACTTACCGGCCAGGCCGGTCAGAATGCCGAGTGATTTCTCATGATGGTATGTTCCGCATTTCGATAATTGCTTCCCCTTTATAGAATGACAGTAGTGAGTAAGAACATACGCAATGGGCAAGCATTTAATGCATCCGCGAGATGCAGGCAAGTTTCCGAGCAAGCCTTACCACGTGCTGTATCATGGCCTCCACGCTGCGAGCGGAGCACTATTCCAACCTGTCGGGCTGTCACATCCTGACATCCCTTTTGAGCTGTTGTTTCGGTGGACATCATCATGAACCACTCCAATGGGTGGATCAAAGAGGTACAAATAAACGGCTGATTTCCTGTCCGAACTGCCACGCTTGCAACCCATCAGGAAAATCATTTTCGGCACGCCTTCGAACAGCCAGAAAAGTACCACGCGATTCAAACTTACGATGCATCACCAACTGGCTTCACTGGCTTTGAACAGCCTCTCATTGTCCGTTTCTTACATCGCCAAAATCCTTCGATGGTGGTCGGCCCACATGCCCCCGATCGCTATTACCGCAGCCAACCAGCCGACACCAGAGAGACCACTTGGGCTGAATCTCGACGGAACCGTACTGAAGACATTCCTCAACTCTCTGAACTTCGACATTGAGAAGGAAGCGATCCCACGCAACCTCGAGCTCGAAGCAGCCATGCAGCGAGTATTCGAAGCCGAGAACCTTCCGCCCAAAAGCCTAGCACAGGTCCTCCAGATGCTGCCCTTCACCTGTGCGGCGTCAGAGATGTCGTACTACACCCATCCGTTCGCAATAAAGGTCTTCATCGCGACCTATATCACCCTCCTCCTCTACCTCGACGATCTCTGCGAGAAAGACCCCGCCGCGATGGTCCCCGAGCTCACGCGCGTCGTTGCCACCGTCGGCAGCGGCGGCGGCGAAGAACACCAGTACCACCCGAGCATCCGCCACTTCCTGCGGCTGGTACGGGAAGACGCACCGAAGCACTACGGCCCGCTGTCGACGGGTGTGATCGTAAAGTCGACGATCGACTACTTCGTCGGCTGTTTGATCGAGAGCCAGTATCCGAAGGGTGTGAAGTGTCCCGCGAGCGCCGGCCGGTTTCCGAGGTACCTGCGCTTGAAATCGGGCAATAGCGAGGCGTTCGCTCACATGATATTCCCCGAGGAACGGTTTCCAGAGCGGAAGTTCCTCGAGACATACCTCCCCACCATCCCAGATATCGTTGAGCTCACGTATATGATCAACGACTGCTTGTCGATGTATAAGGAGTCGATCGTGGGGACGGAGGAGAACACGTACTTCATGAGCATGGGTAAAGTGCATAGGTGTGATCCGGTCGATGTCTTGGTGAGGACGGGGGTTGATCAGGCTGGGTTGGCCAGAGATGTTAGTGCAACGCTGGATGGGAAAGAGGAGTTGAAGGAAGCTTTTGAGACGTATCTAAGCGGCTACATCATGTATCACTGTACTCAGAAACGATATAGGCTGGCAGAGCTGGGGATCAGCATGGAGCCTTCACGTTCGCCACAAGCTTGAGGGATTGTCTGTCGAATGCACTTTATAATTCGATATTTCCGTACTGGTATGCATCTATGGTGGGAAGGACAGCTAGGCCGTTATGGGAAAGTTCCGGGCACACAATAGCATTAGGTATGTTGTACAGCTGCCTTGATGGGCTCACATCGTGTCCATGTGCGGCCCAACTCCTGGAGTTTTCAAACCACCCCACCGCACAGTTCCGAAGGTTTTTGTTTTTGTTTTTGGCGGGGGGGGGGGGGGGGGGGGCGCAGGATTGTTGGATCAGCTAGTGTGTATGCACCCTCTGTCACTCGCCGAGTGATAGTCATGAGTTCCAAATGTTTCTTTCTGAACTGGTTTAATTTGCCATGTTTTCTCACGGAACTCCATCGTCTCTGCACCTAATTCTCATTATGACCTCCTAAAAATGAAGTGACTCCTTGTACATAGGCGTTTAGAAACAATTGCTGTGGCGGCTACTACACATGATATGTATAGTACATGATGGACGTCTTGGGGTTAACTAAGTCAAAGTACTCTTGCCGCGGCAAGGCTCCGCCAGAATCCAAATACAGAGTCTATGCGTTACTTCGCGCTTCGCGCCGTCTAATACCTCGGACCGAGTGAGCTGACTGCACTGCATGCGCTCTCTCAAGTCTCAATGCGAGTACTACTACTACTACTACCGTAGTAGGGTCTACCATTTATTAATCGGCCCCCCGAGTCCATCAACGGCGTTTCCAAGCCGCCGCCCGAGTGAAGCGGCAACACGGATGTGGCTTTAACCACTCAATGATCGGTATTGCATCTTTGTGTCGTCCCGTGGCTGTCGCTCAAGTACCTACTTGGTGACTGATTTGGGTAATTATATACTTGCGCATGCACCCGGCGGGACCGACTAGAGTAAAGCGGGGCGACGTGGAAACTACTGTATATAGAACGAGGAATGGGTATTCGCTACGATGTATGATGTAAAGTCAATGGCAGCTATTGAGTCTCGAGACGCAGCGTTTCTATATGAGCAGTGACGATTCCCAGCGGCTACCGTGTTGAAGAGATACGATACATACACGATCGATTGCTTATCCAACGATCCCCACGTCACCCCGAGAACAGCAGAAACGATGAACGACAAACGACTGGGTGATATCCAGACTCAGGATTGACCTGTCTGTCAGTGTTGGAGGTGCCCAAGTATATACACAATAGCACCCACTGCCTGTCTGTCTGTCCCAACTATTACGCAGAGTCATGAACCCATCCGACATTCATTATCTCTCTTTTGTATGCCATCCCATTGAAGACACCCCCGAAAACCCCATAAACCCGAAAGATGTAAGTAAAAAGACAACTGGTACATTTGAAACCAGAACACATGGAAAATCATTCGCTATGCTAAGCCTATCCCCCCACGCCCCTCCCCTCCCGACACAAATAAAAGTGATACAAGTACAAGAATGGACATCGTCAATACGCGAACCCGTGTATGGGTAATCAGATGTCGATGTCAATGCCCAGGTCCATACTCGCGATGACGTCGTCGACACCGCCGCCACGACGTCCCCTAATCGGAAGGCTGCCCACAAGCCCCTGTCCAGCAATAGGAGGGGTCAGGTTCTCCTTGGGCGCAGAAGCACCGACGACGACCTCCTCCTTCTTGTCTTCATGGATCATGTCGTGCCGGAACTTGACGGTGGTCTTGACGCGCATGAAAGGGTTGGCGAAGCTGCCACCCTCAGCCTCGGCCCTGAGGAGAGCCTGTCTGGCCGCCTTCTTCTCTGCAATCTCTGCACGCCTGACTTCGGCCATATTCCGCTTTCGGTTCTCGATGTTGAGGCGAGCCATACGTTGCATCTGAGTTTCGGCGCGCGCGGGTCCCGCCTTCAAGTCCTCGAGCTCTTGGAGCTCGCGATCGAGGCGGCTGACCTCGGCTTCGTCGTCGTCCTGTATGGCCTTGTCGCGCATATCCATCAGGTAGCGACGTTTGGTGATGTTGATGACATAATCGTGCTTGCCGGCGTTACGCTTTGCGAGCATGGCATCGAGCTCGCTGGTGGTGAGCGAACGAGTGGTGAGATTGTGGAGTGCCTTCATCTTGTTGCGCACGTAGGTGAGGGTCGGCAGTGATACTTTGTCGATCTCGAGCTGGTTCTTGAACCGGTTGAACTCGCCCTGGTCCTGAGATTAGATACTGGAGAATAAAGGGAGACAGACAGAAAGTTACCTCGGTAAACCTGGAATCCGACATCATGTCCATGGGGAATTCACGCTCCGACTTGCCGTGAATGACACAGAGGTATTGATCTGTCTTCCGCGCACCATCAAGCATGCTGTATGGCTTGCCAGTCCGGAAACCTGCACCGAGTTAGGAGGGGAAGCACAGAGACGATGAGACGGAAGCCCGTACCTTTTATCTGCGCCATCCTGTATACATTTCGATTTGATTCCTTGTCGAACATGGTGACGCGAACAAAGACATCGGTGACCACATCAAAGAAATTGGGGTAATCCAGGTGCTTGGACAGTGATGTGCGGCCAATCCTGCACTGGTTGATGTCGGAAAGCTCAATGGGGCGTTCCTCTTTGGCGGGGGCCTCTGGAGTAAAGTCCTCCTCTCCGTCCGACAACAACTTCTTGCTCGCATCCTCATCACCGAAGGAGTTCCTCCGTCCGGTCGCCTTACGCTCCTCCCTGTTCCTCCGCAACTCGTCAAGCTTTCCGCGTTTCGTCGTCTCCTGGGTCTGCTTCGGTGCACTCTTAGTTCGCAACGACTTCCGGATCGAGGCAGCGGCTGCAGCAGCACCTTTGGCACGATCGGCCGCGTTGCGAGATTTCAACAGGTTGCGTAAGTGTCGGTCCTGCTGTTCGCGTTCAATCTGGGCCATGCGCTCGGCGAGGACAGCTTCTCGGTCGATCTCGGTCATAGCTCGCAGGCGCTCCTTGTCGGCATGGTCTTTGTATTTTCCCTCGAGGGGATACAGCGGAGGTTCACCGTCTTCATCTTCGTCGGAACCGGATTCGGAGCCCATGTCCATGGGAGTCTCGCGTTCGTTGTCGGAGGAAGCGGCGTCGGACTCCTCGTCGGAGAGAGTTTCGCTACTAGAACACGTGTATCGTCAGCTCGAGCCCAACGAAAGTGTGTACGGGAAATGCGGGCGATGCGGGCGGGAGCATACCCTTCATCCTTGGCATCATCATCGTCACTGTCGTCGTTGCGGCGCTGCTTTTTCCGGCTCTGTCGCGCCGGGGCCCGCGATCTCTTTTTCGGTGACGAAGGCGTGGCGGCAGTCGGCGCGGGTGTGGGTTGTCTCGCTGGTGGCGGGGAAGATTCCGACTTGACGTCGTCATCTTCTTCATCCGAGTCGCCGGCAAGCGCTAGGAGTTCGTCCTCGAGAGACATTGTGAGAGGTCGAGAGCAGGAGTCTTTTTTTACTCTTCGTTAGGGGGTGTAAAGAATGTGGATTGCGGAAGAGGTTGCTGGTGATGGCGATGGTGGTGTTAAGAGGAAGGGGTCGAGGGGGTGTTGAAAAGGGAGAGTTGAAGGAGGCGAAGAGAGGAAAGGGTGGTGGTTGGAGGAAGGTTGGGTGGATTTATAGTTGTCGAGCTGTCTTGTCGTTGCTGCTCTTGCTCTGTCTGTTGCTGGTCGTTCTTTCTGCCACTCGCTCTAAAGACTCCTTTCCCTTTCCGCGAATTTCGTGGTACAGCACACGCGCCGCAGCCCGCTGGCTCCAGACATCCAAAAGTGCATTTAGGGTTGAGGGTTTTGAGCCGGGGATTATTCAGCCAAGCCAACCTAGGAAGCATGACGCACTGCCCGAGTGATTCGGTACAGTACTCTACTATAAAAATGGGTGGCAAGGTTCACTGTCGTCGAGATGAATCCTACGCATTGATTTTTCCAAATTCTTGGTCGTGGGTGAAACCAGGCCAGTAGAGTTTCCAACGGGTTGCGGAGGGTGCGGAGATTTCACAGACCAGAGCAGAAAACGAGAATACGACCAAAGATCATGCTGAATGCAGCGGCCACTCTACAGGTGGGTAGTTGGGTACATAATCGATGCGATATCGGTCCCAGCACGCAACACCAATATATTCTCCGTCTGAAGTGTAAAACCGTTGTGTGAAACCTTACTGCCCTCAAAATTCAGCCACCCAGAAGTTAGAACCCCAGGTGCCCTCGACAACCTGACTTTCCCGGACCATCCAATGGATCGTCTTGCAAGCGCGCTTCCACGCCGACACAAGCCCACAGGAAAGTCTTGATGCTTCTGTAAGGATTGAGTACCACAGGCTGGATCGATCTTTAGTATCTCGGTGTGCATACAAAGTTTGAAGATATGCACTGGTGCATTAATGCCGACCGCAATGTCTAGGTGTTGGTCGACGAGTACTCCAGACAGTAGGAAGCCTAAAGAAGATAATCCCATCATCATCCCTATCCGGTAGGAGTACGACTGCCGTACATATAAGTGAGGCCTCCAGAGACCTGGTGATTCCCAGGTCCTTGGCTAGTTTGTCGTACCCGTTTCAAACCTCGGTGTAGAATTGACTATTCACGCCGTTGAATTGGCCTTGGTGGTGGTGGTGATTCAGCTGTAGGTCAGCAATATTACTATAACTCACGGATTCGGATCCCACAACTACCGTACGGTTTTAGAAACCATGGGCTCTTACGGTGGAGTTGTAGTTGCTGCGGGGATAGGTATGGTGTACACTACACAGGTACGGACAGAAGGATACTGGTATCTACGCCCTGCGACCCTGAACAGCGGCACGTTCACGTCACACCAACAGGGCAGCGATCGGAACATCCTGTTTACCAAGTGCACTACACGTACATTTTACCATCTCATCGGTGGTGTGAGAAAGAAAGAAAGCAGGCCGATAGATATACTATAAAACAAACTCTTCACGCCGGCACAGCTCATCCGTGGGAAGTAACAAGTATTAGCATTGTAAGCAGCTGGGGCTCAAGACTCAATTTATCGAGCTCCTTCTCATCTCTACGCGTGGAGTACCGTAGTTACCACCACCCCACCACCAACACGTCGTCCTATCTACGCCATCTGAAATCAAGACCAACCAACTTCCCGCCGTTATGTCGCTTCGAATCCTCACCCACGCTCCGGCGCTCGGCATCTCCCGGATCGCCGCCACCACGACCACCCGCAAACTCACCACCGCCGCCGCCGCCCACACCCAACCAACATCGTCGCCGGCACCGGCGCCGCCTCAGCGGCCATTGACCGCAAAAGAAACCGCCTTCCTCGAAAAAGCCGTACGTCACCCCGACCCGCCCCCAACACGCCAGCTAACGCCCTCCCGCAGCTGCGCGTCAACCAAGCCGGCGAGCTCGGCGCCAACCTCATCTACGCGGGGCAATATGCGATATTCAAGCGGGACGCGAAGCTCGCACCACTGATCCGGCACATGTGGGACCAGGAGGTTGAGCACCTAGACAAGTTCGACTCGCTGCTGGCGAAGCATCGGGTACGGCCGACGGCGCTGCGGCCGCTGTGGAACGTGGCCGGGTACGCGCTGGGACTGGGCACGGCGCTGCTGGGGCCGAAGGCTGCGATGGCCTGTACTGAGGCCGTCGAGACCGAGATCGGCGGGCATTACAATAATCAGCTGCGGGTCCTGCTCGATATGTGCAAGGACGAGCCGGAGCTCCTAAAGAACGGGGAGATCAAGGAGCTCGTCGATACGATACGCAAGTTCAGGGACGATGAGTTGGAACATCTGGATACGGCCGTGGAACACGATGCGAAGGGCGCCGAGGGTTACGAAGTGCTGCATAATCTCATTCGTGGAGGGTGTAAGGCAGCAATTTATGTCAGTGAGCGGATATAGTCTGTGTGGCTGGCAGCTGCAGCTTCCTGCTCGATTTCTAGGGATGGCGCGGGACATAGATTGTATGATATGTACTCTATAAACAATAGACGACTGACGCCACTCATGCTTCTTTCTCCGTCTTCTTACTAAACAACTCGATGATCTTGTCAATCGTAGTGTTTCCTCCGCTGATGACAATCCCCACCCTCACCTCTTCCCGCCCCGCAAAGACACGCTGTATTTCCGCCCTCCACTCGGGATTTCCAAGCACCACAGCCACAGGCACAGCACTACTCGGCTCGATGAGGATCTTGCACCTCTCGACGACCAACCTCATAGCTTCCATGATCTCTTCCTCTCCCACCGAAAACACCCCATGGACCTTCTCCGGATTGCTTATGACCCCCCAATTATTGAAGCCAACCGGAGTCCTCAGTCCATCAGCCACCGTCGAGCTCTTCACCGCCTCCACCCTCTTCCCCTCCTTCAGCCCCCTAACACAATCGTCCGCGCCCTCCCTCGGCTCGGCACCATAAACTCTGACCCCAGTCCCCTCACACGCGGTCGCAATACCAGCCAACAACCCGCCGCCCCCACAGGGCGCAACGATGACATCCAACCCCGCAGCCACCATGGCCTTTACCTGCTCCAAAAACTCCAGCGCAACCGTGCCCTGACCCACGATGACATCGGGGTGATCATACGGGGGGACAAGCACCGCGCCGGTCCTCTGCTGCACCTCCCTAACGACCGCCTCCCTCTCCGCAGCCGTCGGCCCCGAAAACGTCACGGTAGCACCATACCCCCTCGTAGCCGCAATCTTCGACGGTGTGCTGCCCGCAGGCATAACCACATACGCGGGCACAGCGATGCCGCGCCGCCTGCCCGCCTCCGCTGCAGCAAGCGACAGCGCCTGCGCATGGTTTCCGGAGGAGTGCGTGACCACGCCGCGGGAGAGCTCGGCATCGCTGAGCCGGGCGATGGCGTGCGTCGCTCCGCGGATCTTGAAGGCGCCGATTTTTTGGAGGTTCTCGCATTTTAGAAAGAGGGTAAGCCGGGGACCGGTGGTGGGCGTGGAGAGCGATGAGAGCGTGGTCGAGGTTACGACGGGCGTCGTGTGGATGTACGGTGCGATCAGCGGGAGTGCGTTCAGGACGCTGGAGCGCGTGAGGGGCTGCGAGGTCGAAGACATATTTGATTCCTAGTCGTGCGGGGGAGAAGGGGGAGTTGCAGGGGCGAGACGGGACAGTGGATATTTGTGGATATATGCGGACATCTTCAGCAGCCAGCTGGTGCAACATCCAACCCACCAAACAACCGACTTCCGGATTCGGAGAGGTCTCCTCGTTCCGGTGAGTGTTCCCTGCTTCGTCCCGGCGAGCGTGGGCGCGGGATTTAGGAACACGGCTCGCTTAAACCCCCATTCCGCCGTCCCACTGCAGAAAAGCAGGCTCGGCCCGCTTACGGAAACCTTACCCCAACTTAAAGCACATAAAACCTCCCACGGGCGACTGGGGGGAAAGGGGACAGACTGGATGTTCCGGTAAGGGAGTCGTATGCATCAGTAAGGACCCGTATTGAATAATGTGGGCGCGGAAACGAGTCCCGCAACAAAAGCGGTGACACATCCGCTGTTTCGGATTTCAGCCGAACATAAATACAACGCAGTGATCGACTTTGATTTGATATCGGCAGAGTTTGGTGGATACGCACACAAAAATACGCGGGGAGACAAAAATATGGCAACTGCACCAAATCCTTCCCTCTCCGTCGGCGGCTCAATCGCGGGGCTCCTGGCGCTCGCGGGAACGATCGATGCACGCCTGTCGCGGTTCGACACCGAGGAACTGGCAATGCAGATAGTTACCGAGATGCGGAGCCTCGCGGGTGTGTTAGGGTTGCTGAGGCAGTTGGTTTCGAACCCAAGTGGGAGTGGGATGGCTTTGGTCAAGGTGGAACTTTTGGTCGTCGTGTTGACTGGGTGTGTGGTTGTGGTTGCCGAGTTGGAGGCCGAGCTGAAGGAGCAGGAAGAGGATGGGCCGTGGAAGTGTGGGCCCGCTCAGGAGGAGAGGTTGAGGACGCTCGTCGACAAGTTGGCCGTGCATAGGGCCAGCTTGAATTTGATGCTTACGGTATTGCAATGGTATGTTTGTATGGGCATCAAGAATGCGGCTGCCTGGCTGACTGCCCGGTGACGATAGTCAGCCAACACCCGAAGCGGAGCAATCGATGAAGGATATGTTTGAGCAGGTCTCAAAGTTGGTGGAGACCAACCAGCGTCTGGTGAAACTATGGCAGGACACACAGCCACCCGACTACGATGCGCAAACGCTGCGTGGGGATGCGGATTCAGAGCTGCCAGGAGCAAAGGCTCCAGCATACGCCGAGGAGGAGGGAGAAGCCTCCACTTCTCACATCATCCGATTCGACGAGAGCGAAAACATTGCGCAGCCGGTGGCAGTCCGATTCGCGTTCGAAGACGCACTGCATAGTACCCGAGTGTACACACGCACCGAGTCCAATTCCGCTTCGAAATCCTTCAAGAGTCTTCGCACCTCGGCATCGAGTTGGACTCAGCTCACAGGGCTCTCGCTCGCTCAAGTCTCGAACATCTCTGTGATCCAGCTGCCGATCTGTGCCAGTGATTTGCCGCCAAGCTCCTCTCGCTGGTTCGATTTGAGTGCGTTGTCGGCTTGCATGGCGCGATGGGGGAGGCAGGAAAATGCGTTTGATGTGAGCTCTTGGGGGGAGGCGGCGTTAGGGGCGGCAGCGTCGGTGAGGGAGAGGGCACAAGAGGTCCGGCGGAATTCCGTGCCAATGCTTTTCGATATGCCTTTCGGAGTCGTCCCCAGGCTGGTTCGAGGGACTGACAACACCGCAGGAGGGCTACAGGGACCTCCATTCATGCAATATCTCATGCAAGCAACTCCCAACTCAAACCGTCCGGCAGCGATCAAAAAGCTCAGCGCGCTTCCACTCGATCAGTTGGGGGAGCTGCTCGTTTCCGTGGGAACCGAAGCACATCGTCGAGATGAAGAAATGTCCATTACACCCGCGAAAATCCAGCCGCCCTCGACGCTCCGCGAACAGAATCTGTGTGATTTCATAGCCGACCTGGATTTCGTGTTGCAACGCTGGTGTATCTTCTTCTCATTCACACCTCCCACTACGGAGGAAAGTCGCCGGATGGAACACAGACACACAATCATTGGCGGAGGTGCAAACGTCGAAAAAGGCCTCATGACTCTGCCGTTGGGAACCAAGCCGGGCCTTGCTATCGAGACGTCCAGCGGGCTAGAATCGCCCAAACTCGGACAGCCCGTCCGGAATACAATCACCACTGCCAAATCAGACGCCACCCCATCAATCCCCAGTCTCCCTCCAACTCCAGTCCCTGTCGTAAAACCTCCATCCACAAACCTTGCCATGACGCTGGGCATCATGGGCGACGCCTGCACCGGCAAATCTCAGCTTCTCCAATCCGGTGGCGCAGCAACACTAGAAGACCACACGCCATTTCTGCTGGCTTGCCAGAACATCAATCTCGATATCCTCGACACCGGCGGAGCCTACGAGTACCGCTCGCTGCTCCCACGGTGGATCGAAGAGACCCAGCTGTTCCTCCTCGTGTTCCGCCCGGATCTCCCGGGCTCGCGGGACTTTGTCACGCAGCTTGTCGCCATGATCCGCGTACAACATTCCGACGCTGAGATGAACCCCATCCTGGTCTTCGAGAACGATAAAAGGCCGTTGGAAGGCTGGCGGGATAGCAGTGATGGCAGTAGAGTAGCGAGGCAGCGCTGGGCAGAGGAGCGGGGCTGCGAATATGTAGTTGGCGATAGCGGACAGGTGGGGATGGGCGAGACGCTGTTTATTAGCCTGGCGAGGCGGAGACGGATCGCGTTGGAGAAGCTCGTGGGTGGGAGTGGTAAGGGGAAGGGAAAGGCCGGAGGGAAGAGCATTGTCGTTAGGGTTAGGAGTGCCCTGCAGAGACAGATGTCGAGGGATTGGTCGAATTCGACAACGAGACTGCCGACCTTGCCGGAGACGGAGACGGAGACGCAGACGCAGACACCGCTGAAGCCGATGACGCAGACATCGAGGTTTTTGTATCGTCAGTGAGAGTGATCAGGGGCAGGGAAAGGCACCGCAATGGAATGCGGGATGCGCTTGCTCGTCAGTTATCTATGCCCCCTCATCCCCTACTCTATACATTCAAGTTAGTAGTACCAATCTCCCAAGTAAGAAAGCGCCTTTTCGGTTCTATCGTCAATATGAAATCATCAATGGCAAGTACTCCGAGACTTCGGTACCGTGAGCAATCCAAAACTGTGGTTCGCGGGGGTGTGCATCCTCCTGCGGGTGGTCATGGTATGTGCAGTGCGGGCCCTTCTTCACGGTCTGTACTCTACGAATTGTATATCCACTGCGAGCTGTAACGGAGGTCGAACAAGGGGAAGGCATTGGAAACCTGCCCGAGCACCAAACCGGCCACTGGTGAGCTGTGCCTCCGACAAATAATTGCTTTGGCTCACCAGTGAGAAATCCACACCAGTGACCATCCTATCTGCTATCATCCAATCCAAACCAATCCGGACGTTTGAAGCGCAAACTGATAGGTAGGCGTCCGGTTGGACCACTGTACATACCAGATACGATGTCGAGAGCTTTCCCCAATACTATTTCCTAGCCACGAATGTTCCTCCTCTTCGTCCTCCTCTTCGTCCTCATCTTCGTCTTCCTCCTCCTCCTAGCCCCCCGAAGCTGTACTAGTACCGTCTGAACCGTCGTTTCCGTAGCGGTTCGGCCCTCGGGTCCGATCTGTCTCCATTTTCCAAGCGCTTGTTGGCACGGGGCCATGTCCAGACGGACCACGATCGATGTTAGGGGAAGGACAGTGCCCACTCGTTGTGAGGCCAGAAGAACACCCATTATTGGCAGGATGTCTGTAGAGTAAGCACCTTACCTATCCACTTCTCAGCTATATTAGGTACCTAGAATCGAATCGAACCGCGTCGCCAGTAATGGCTACAATTCCGACCAAAGGTTCACTGGAGGATCCAGCTCTCTGGCCACGGCGAGTCGGCGACACACATGCGATACGGCAGAGAAGGGATGCTGGAAAATGCCCAATTATACTAGAACTGTTGCGGGTCTTTGCACTTTACCACGTCACCCGCGCTTCCTCCATCAAGTTATCTCTACTACAGAACTTATGGACGAATCGGAGCATATTTTCCCATGACTTGGGGGAAACTCGCTCCCAAGCTTTTCGCACCGACTGTTATACCGTATGTCCTTGAATACTGCACTTCAGCCCCTCTTCTTCCGCCGCAAAAGATCCAAGTTCTCCGTGAGTCTAGGCCAGTGGGCCACCCGTGTCGATCAGTGGATCGGCCTATTCCCCGCCGCCGCCAGCAGAGAACCCCCCCGCAAGACTTGAACCAACAAGAGATAGCATACCAGCCATCCACAAAGGAAACTTCAACAGGGCCAGATTTCTAGGTACTTCTAATCCGGAAGTACTCCAGGAAGACGAAACGGAGCTGATGGTGAATGATCATGAAACGTCGATAACACACTTCTCGCTTCCGCCTGTTGGGCTCTACGATTGGCTATGGTCATACATCTTCGGGAGTCGGTCCCCCTTATTCGGCTTTACTGGTGTTGGTCTCGATGAACAGCCTGTAGGTAGTAGGTAGGAATGTAGAGCCGGAGGGATTTTAGGCCGTAAAGATCCTCAGAGGTCTCATGGTTGGTTGATTCTCACGCCTCGTATGCAGATAGTTGGTACATACAGGCGTGCTTCGATCACGAGATCTCCAGCATGTGCAGCTTGATGCACCTCTTTTTTTTGATAACCCGTGTGCCAACCCCGATGACTGCATGAACCAAGGCAGTTCCTTTTGCACAGACAGGAACTTCCACCTCAATATCGAAGTATTATGTCGACTCGCCGGGATTTCTGTCTTCCAAACCTCGCACCCGCGATTCCAGGTAGGCTGATTCGCCGCCCCTCACTGCGCTCCTCGGGGAAATGTTGTATCGTGGTAGTTATAACTTATGTATGTAGCATTTCCGGCATGCGGGAAGCCTCCATGGAATGACCACCTAATGTGAGCTGATGTCTGCCCTGCACTGCACTGCGCACTCAACGGCGGCCGCACATGCCGTATCGTCGCATATATAACATGATTTACGATATGCCGGAGCGAATATATACCTAGTACGAGGTATACCGTATTCCATGGAAACGTTTGAGCGGCAGTTTGACTCGGTGCGGCCCAGCCCATGGAGTAATCTCGACTCACCACACCGCGACTCCGCGAGTTGACCAATCCAATCCGATCCATGGCGGAACATGGTTGTTCCTGTGGGGGTGCAAACGGGCGTTTGTGTTGGCGACGAGTTTCTATCGTACCGATACTCACTGGCAGTATTCGAGAAGGGACGACAATGAAAGGATACACTCACTGCAGAAGGCGGACGAGATGGTGGCAGAAGCCCGCAAGAATCAAGAGACTCGCTGCCAGATCCTACCGATTCGTTGGGGACGGGGCATGCGCCCACAGCATAGGACAATACCTCGCATGGACCCAGAACGGGCCAACCGCGAGATTCTGGTGGTGCCAGTATGAGATGCTATGGTAACCCCGAGAACACCCCCGGTGGAAACCCCAATAACAACGTATCCAGTGGAAGGAAGTCAAGAATCAAACGGACCGGGAGGGAAGACTCAAGAGCTGGTTCAGGACCAGAGATGTCCTCGCAAACCGAAGCAGTAGTGAAGCCATGGCATGTACGTTTCCTAACCACCACCACCACCACCACCACCACCACCATCACCACCACCACCATCACCACCACCACCATCACCACCACCACGGACGGGGGACGGAGCGCCCGAAGGCCGGAACCGGCTAGCCAAACCCTGGAGATGGGCTCGACCCGACATAACTACCGACCCGATTACAGATCCGGAAAAAAGCTGGCGCTACTAGAGAGGAGAACAGACTACGAGCCGAGGCATCCACGACAGAAAGACACATCGACGAAGACAAGAAAGTTGGAAATACCGTCTCCGCAAGCAGAGAAGCCCCACTTCCTCCCCCGGAGAAGAATTCCGACGACGGATAGCCAATAGACAGGCGTCGGTCAGAAGAGTCGGATAGACGAGAAAGCGGTGAGAGAGAGGCCTCCTTCTGCCCGACAATGGTATCTACATACGATCGTCCTTTTCTCGAGCCTCCGCCCTATTCGGGCCAGCCTCTCTGCTTTGGCCCGACCGCCTTTCTGCCCTACTACCACAGGCCGCATGGTACAGTACGGATCTTCAGTGATCGGCGAGATACAACTTGCCGTGCAGCTTTCCGCCACGACTTTCGTGACGGTCCGTACATCCGCCCTTTCCACTGCCACCGTATATGTCTACTTAGCCACAATATTGTTCTGTGGCATGTTTGTTATACAGCTGAAGTCGGCGTGCGGCGCTGAGCCTGAAGAATCAGAGACTCTACCGTCTACGTAATGCTACCTAAGCAGTAGTTATCACTACCGCCAAATCTAGACTTCCACCGCGCCTTGATACCTGCAGCCACCTGGTCATACCGTCATAGACTGTGGCTTGATATCGAGCGGATGATGGATCCAACTGTTGGCGACTCCTCGGCAGTGGGCACGCCGCACGCCTACATATCGGTATGTTGTATGTTGTACCTACGGGTAGGTTCGGTACATACTCTACATCGTCAGGCCAGCTGTCAACACCTCGGAGATGATGCGCGCTAGAGTCCAGCGGGCAGCGGGCAGCGGGCAGCCGTCGCCTCCCACCCTCCGTCTTGAGTATTGCCACTCTGCAGGCTCGACTGAGGTGCGGTGAGGCGATGCGAGGCGAGGCGGGATATCTAACGATCATTCGCGGTGTGCGGTGAGAGCTGCAGGGCGCTGTGAAAACGGGAAGCGCAGCGCCGCAGCTCAGCTTAGCGAACCGCGAATACGGTTGTCGATTGTCGGGTCGCATCCCTTGAGTGAGTGGGTGCACGGACCCACTGTTCGCAACCCAACAACCCCTGTGTGATGATGGTGTATGTACCGCGCCTTTCGTGCAGCGACGCATTTGGCTCGTGAGTGAGTGCGAGAGAGAGAGAGAGAGAGATCGTTCGGCGTCCATTCCATTAGACGAGTGCCGTATTGCCGAAGAAAGTCGTGCGAGTGCGTATTTGCCATGCAAATATTTGTAGCGACGAATGGCGCTCCGAGGCTGGATGCCCGGAACGAGGCAATGCTAATAATACCAGTCATCAACCAGTGATGCTTTGAGCTTCGAGCTTCGAGCTTCGAGCTTCGCCGTCTTGGGCCTTCCGAACGTTCGCTACTGGTATGTAAGTACTAGTCAGCACTCGGTGTGTACTCTACCGGAATGTTGCGTGATAGCTGTATCTACGGTAGACATCAACTGATATCGTATCCTCCTCCTCCTCCTTCCCCCCCCCCCCCCCCCCAGGGGGGCTGCTTGCTTTCGTCGGCCGCCATCGGGGGATAGTACCAGCACTCATCCATCCAGTATCCACATGGGTTGCCTGCTCTACTATAGTTAGTTCGTCCAGTCTTCGCAAGCGTCGGGCTGAGGGATTCGGCAAGGACGGCCAGATTCTGCAGGCTAAGTACTATACCGTGTACATACTTTCTCTCCATCGAACCTAGATGAGATGTGCTCGCTGCGTGCGCGCTTTCCTCTCATGCCTCCTCCTCCCCTTCATCCTCCTACGCCTACGCCTACTACACCACGCAACGCACTCACTCACTCACTCATTCGCTCATGCACTCATGCACTCGAGCTCGCCAACTACCACAACAACCCCTTTCGAATCAGTAAAGCCTCCTCCCGGCTCGACGGACGCGGTCCACTTCGACGATTGCCAGAGGAGATGCCATGATTCGTCATATCAGAGCATACATCTTCAATCGATCGAACCCGGCCAGCTTGAGGAACAGTCACACATACCAGCCAGACCCGCTTGTCTCCTCACCAATAAACCTTCAGAGCGCGCCAACGTCTTCTCCGAGGCAAACTGGCAACACTTTTTTTCTCCCCCTCATAAACAAAGACTATTGGCGGAAACCAAAGTAATCTGATCAGGGCTGAAGATCATTTAGACTGGTTACATACGTTCGGTCGGTCGGGTCGTTGGTTTAGATATGCGAGATCGGTAACGGAATTCGGGAGAACCACTGTGTCGGGACGTAACTGGAACTGGATGGGACGACGGCAACCGAGGGGGAAAAAACTCGATCCCCAAAGAGAGTTTGATTCTGGCCTCCTTCTTCTTCCCTGTCCTGCCAAACACTATCAACGAAATAAACGGCTCAATAAACGAGCAAACAGGGCAAACAGACAAACGGATACATAGTCAGCTTACGGTGCGGGAACATACATATATACAGCTTCGGCTGTTCCCACTACCCAGGATGACCCGACCCGGCTCGGCAGTTGCGTTTGCCTCCGCGATCGCAACCCCGCATCCAGCCCCGTCGGTTTATCGAGGCAAATTTTTCAATGACAGCGCGGCATACTTTGTTGGATGTCGACCGACTCGCTCGCTCTGGACTTAGAAATGCTCAAAACCTAGAAGCATGTTGGCGAGATCGACGAGGTGGTATGTGGCGAAGCACAGAGAAATTCGAATCAGCAATGAAATTTCACCTCTCCTGTGGATGTTCAATTTTTTTCGGCACATCTCTGTTATCGGGGGATGGATCGAGCGCGTCGGAGGTGCAGTGCGGAGCAGAAGCTACCCCTTTTGGTTGCTGGTCTTTCGACACATCTTCACCCCCTTACTGTGGGACTGCCTTCGAAAGATACTTCGAGTGCGGGGAACCGCAAAACCCAGGCAATTGAGAGGCACGGGTCACGACAGAGAGCCTCACGACGGCGGAAATAGGCGGTATGGTCATCACCGCACGACGAAGCGGCGGAGGCAAGTGAGGAATATACTAGTCGACTAGGCGATCACAGGATCGAGGGAGCAGTGCTAAGGCGGTTTCCCCCAGTCATCTCCGGCTTCGCGACTCGATCTCCAACTCTTATCCTTTGGAACTCGGGCAATTCACTTTTCAGACGCTCTTGGAATGTCTTTCAGAAGTTTTTGCTCCCATGGCTTCGAATGATGTCCGCTGCAGCGGTGTCCTTAGAGCGGGTAGGGGCAGTGGAAAAGAAAGCAGCGACGATGCGTTCGACAGAATCCGTGCCATATCTCGAACATTGTTCGGCCGAGCTGACGTCAACAAAGTTCCTAGTCGTCCATTCGGATTACGGGTCACCGCCGCCCACAGAACCGCTCGTCTTGGTCCTTCCTTCCTGTCACCGATTTTTTGCATCCTATCCTCGCCTTCTTCGGGACAGAATCCGTCAACATTGATAAAAAGTCCTAGCAGAGGATGATGATCGGGAAAGCGCAAGAATTGTATCGTCCTCTAGGATCCAAAATGCGAGTGGAGGGTTTTCAAAGGGGAAAGCATGAAAACCGATGGTACGCGTTTGCAAACGAATGCGACCCTTCGATTCGGTGGACTTGGATCAACCTGGAAGCAATCATACGCAATCACTGGATCTCACAGTTCGGACCGTCACTGCGGATTTCTGTGGGACCCCCGTCATTGACATGAAAATACCGATTCTGGCGGTTCGTCCTCGGTGGGCATGGCTAAAGATGGACCGAACGAACTCTCGAGCAGCACGAACGATGAGGGAGACAGGCTGGATCGAGAATGGATCAATCTGAGGAAAATGATACCATTAGCATAGATTGCGAGCGGGCTGGGGGTAGGCGGCGGCAGGGTTACCCGGTTATCGGCTCACCTGGTGCGTCACATTTGGTCACCGATACAGAGGATTTCACCCTCGGCGGCCCCGAGAAATCCAGTTGGGCTCCTACAGTGTGCTGTGTTGAAATACAAACATCTCCATCGTCTGTCCGTCCGTCCGGTGGAGTATTTGCCGTCTTTTGGCCCCTCCGCCATGGTCTGCGTTCTTGCACCCGCCTTTTCGCTATCCTACATCATCCTCGTCACCGACGAAAGGTAGAGAACTCTACTTGACCATCGGCGGTTGTTGCCAGTCCAGATTGGTTTCCTTGGCTCTAGTCCGATGTGGGAGTGTGGCTGTCTACGGAGAGGGTGCCGAGGCGACTGAAAAGCATTGTTCGACCGGTACGCCGCTTCACGTCGGTGGGATTGGTCATCTGGTAGTGCCTATCCACACCAGAAGGGCCGCTAGGTGTCTTATGGCAGTCCGCCGCGGACTTCATATGCCTAGATGGCCTCCGGGATTCGGGAACACTCTCGTTGAGACGTCCAAGGAGAGAATTCGCGAGGCAATAATCGGCCACCTATTCCACAGTGCAACCTTGCTAGGACTTCGTGTTGTCTTGCTCCAGTTCAATCCAATCAACGGAAACGAATGAAACAAACGAACGATCACGGGATGTCAGGTTGAGCCATTGTGTTATCCCAAGGCTTTCAAATTCTAGCATTCGTAGTGGAATCTGGATGAGAGTGGGTTTCGGTTCAGGATGATGCGGCACAATCCATGTGCTACTCCCAGTCTTCTGGAAGTCGGGCCGTCTGAATCTGCTCGCTGAATATCTTGGTACCGATTCCGCAGTGTACGAATCCAAGCAACTCCGAGCGACCTACGACGGGGAGTATTATTGCGGTGTGGAATTTATGAATATTGTTGGGCGGGATGTGCTCGGAGTTGTGGAAACTTGCGGTGGTAGAGTTCGACAATTGTGGGATCAGACGACGCGAATGTTTTTCCCAAGAGACGAGAATCCGCGACTGGAAAGGATGAAGTGCTCCTTCATACCACCGCGGCCGGGAGTGTTATGCACACGTTCCTGTGTTTCTGCTTTTTTCAGCGCCATGGCTCATGGGCTATGGAATCAACTGACAAGCTGGCCGGCCGGCCGTGCGGTGACGCGTTCGGTGGGTTGGCGTTTTGCTTTTCATCTGCCACAGGCGTCGTCCATGACCAGTTACAGTCAGATTAGTGTTCTGCGGATCTGGGGCACTTCACTCAGAAGTTGGAAATCCCACCTACGGTCGATCAGAATCGCAACGGAGCGCGGCTCATCGACGAATTTGTGTCTTTCACACAGACCAGCTGACTCTCAGGTAGTGTGAGGTGTGAGGATAGGGCAGGTACGCGCTGCAATAGCTTTGAGGTTGGTAGACGCAGACGAATATTGGCCGCTAGTGGCGAGCGGAATGACGTGGTGTTGGCTAAACGATGAAGCTTGGTAATTGCTGATGGTTGGGTTGACCGCGAGGAAGAGAGTGTTGTCCTGGGTGTTCTGGAGTTCAGGCGGATTCAAGCGGTCCACCCCAACAAACAAGGCTGCGCGCTGCGTCTGGAAGATGTTTCAAATCGGCAAAAAGCGTTCCGGCAGCTCCTCACCAATGCGTACCGGCAACCGCAAGCAGTTGTGGACACATAACTCTCCAGTCAGCGTTTGACTACAACTGCATCGCGCACATACACCACTTGGGGGGACGGGTGGGCGGGCGGACGGGCGACAATACACAGCTTGCATCACATCCGGCCAATGAAGCGATTATCATCTTGCGAAGGCTGCACGGCTTGTACCTTCTTCCCTAGAGATGCATGGAAACACGAAGCCCGCACAGGCGCCCTGCGGCAGTTGCTCACAACCTACGGATGTTCTCGAGCCTCGAGTGCCAGTTTGTCCACGCTCATTGTGTGAGTTTTGAGACAACTGGGTGCATCTGTGATGGTCATCACACGCCCCATCGAGTTTCTTCCTTGGCTGTGGCGGTATCATGGGATTACTGCTCTAAGCGATGGTCTGCCTTGGCTCTGCAAATCACCGTTCTCAATGAGGTGCACACACAGCGACTGCCTCGCAGACAGGACGCGTGAGAGAGAGTAGCATAGATCTGTCCGCCCGAACGAAGAAATAAATTTCGGCATCTCCAAACATCCTGGATTCGGGCTGCCGGGGTCACAGTCAACCCCCGAGGTCACAGACTACTCGAGGCTAGTGCAAGACGTCGCTCCCCCCCCCCCCCCCCCCCCCGCCTCCCCGGTCCCAAGCCAGAGAAAGCCTTTCCTCCTGCGCGACGAAATTGATTGGAAACTCATCAACAATATGTTGCTGCTGTTATTGTCTTTCTGGGCATCAGCATCATGGGCTGATCACCCGTCCTTGTCTGATGCTCCTCCCAGGCTGGGATCTTGGTCTAGAGCTCTGCATGTCCGCTCGTTCCCCTTTCTTCCTTCACGGGTGTGCGGCTTCATATTTGCAGCTGCTAGCGCTGACTTAGGAGTCCCTCCTCAACAACAGAGCAGAGGAGAGCAGGAGCAGCGCAGACTTAGCAGAGAAGCCCGCCTGTTTGTCGTCCCCCCGGAATGAGTTTGTCGTCCCCCCGGAATGAGCGAAGCGTGTTGGCGGTGCTCGCACTCGCATGCATCACCAAATACCTAGTGAGCGACACGGTGCAAGTATTTCGTGAGATGGATCGATGATCGCAGCTATTCCACAGCGTGGCCCGCTACCCGACACTCCCCATCTCTCATGTGCGCACCTGCCATATAGGGAGGCTGGGGCCGTGAAATAGGCAGCGACAGCCTTCCCACTGTGCATTCAGTTAATCACCGAATATCTGGGAACAAACGCGGTAGCCTCATGCCGATAACCGCAGCCTGGGTGGTTGGGAGGGTTTGGGAATACGACCGTCGAGCAGCAGGGACACTGATGACGGTTGTCAATCCGAACTTGATGACACGTTGAATCGATCTCGATGAAAACAAAACACAATGTTTTGGAAATTGGAAGGAACAGTGGCATTCCATCCTGTGCAGCGTTGACACATCACCACGAACGTACGTGACGAGCAAGCGAGTGGGCGAGCGGGCTGTCAATGTGTGGCGACCTGCCTCCGCACTTGCACTCGCACGGAGCTCTACTACCGATACGACGGCAACAGCCCATGGATGGAATCCCTTTCTTGCTCCCACCCTCTTTTCCTCCCCCCTCCGTCCCATGCACACGGACGGCAAGCGATAGTCAATGCCGGGGCAGCAGGTGACCGTCGACGGACGGAGTCTCGACAACCGAAAAACGCCTCCGTTGGCTGGGATCAGGCGTACCACACAATTTACAACTCATAAGTAGGCCATGGCCGCACGGAGCGATCCGAAACCGTCCTATGCTATGCTATATACGGCCGCACGGGCATGGAGCCCAATCCATATCATTGAGACTGGTCACTTAGTTTAGGTTGCGAGCTGTACATGGTGATGATGTCGAACTGGGTGACTGGGTGGGCACGTACGGCCACTTGTGTACATACATGCCATGATTAATCATATCTTTCGGGATATGATTGATCTCGGCCTCGTTGCCTAAATTGACGACCTTCTCCTACTATTCAGCACGTACATACGGCCACTTGTGTGCATACCTGCTATTTGGTACGTAAGGCCACTCATGTACCTACCATCTATTAGTAAATTCATCCAAAGTACCAGCCGCCCCAGGCTTCAAAGCCTGCAATGCTATGTTTTGATTGCGGTCCCGTTGGCGTTAAACAGCGACGAGCGAATGCTTCCCCTTTATTTTTCCGATCCGAACCCAGCATAGTGTCCATGGGGTACTCTGCGATCGCTATCTATCTACGTTCTCGTGGTCGGGAAAGGCCTTGCGGCTAGTATCCATGAGGTTCCAAAACTTCGGGGGCACCGCGGCGGACTGCGGCCTGCGGTGCATGAGGAAGGAACAGCGTCCATCCATCCAGGGTCCCGTCTACATGGACCAGCAGCCCGGATATTGGTAAATCACTGCGTTGCACACGGCTGCGGCCGTCGAATGTCCAATGCAGTAGTTACTCCGCGTCCTAGGGAGTCATGCTGGCCATGCTGGCCATGCTGATCCCAAATGTACTCTGCCACTGCCTCTTCTCCGCTCTAATGCATGGCGATTGCATATGGGCACTTGTACTGCTGTTGGAGGAGTGACTGTGCATCATCACTCTCGAAGGAATCAAGGAACTTGTCTGTGACGGTGCACCGGCGACCCAGATGGAGTGCATCCCCACGGTTCTACCGTTTCCTCTCTCCCCGCATTCATCCCCCGCTGCCGGCGTCGGCTGGGCTGTTGTGGAGTCTTTTTCGCTGAACTTGCAGTGGTCAAAGTAAAAGGCTGGGGGCGGATGCAATGGAAGGGTGCAAATGAACGACGTACCTACAGGGGGAGAGAGGAGGGGGGGAAAGCGGAGGGGGGGAAAGCGGAGGGAGGGAAAGCGGAGGGAGGGAGGGAGCCCAGGATATCGGTAGCGGTCATACACATTAAACACTTTTAGTGGAGCGAGCGTGGGGGTGTGAACCGGAGTGATGGGTTTATTCTAGGAGAGCCGATCCGAGCTCGTTTCTCCGTTCTGGTGGAGATCATCCTAAACCACGGCTCTGGGAACACCAACAGAACACCAACCCTCCCTCGCTCTCTCGCACCTTCCTTCTCTCGCACCCTCCCCGCCTCCCTCACTTCTTCTGTTCCCACTCCCTCCCTATCTCTCCCTCCCCCCCCCAGTGACTAGATCCTGCGGGATCTGGGCCAACAGAAAAGAAAGTACCGAACGCCAACCAACGCGGACGGAACCGTTGATTCCGGGCCCTCCTTCCAATATCCAATTCCTCTTGTCCCATTCGGGGCCGATCCATACAATCGTGGTCCAAACGTTTCCGTTTCCGTTTCTGTTTTTTTCTTTTCTTTTCTCTACCAGGGAGTGAAGAAATCATTATTTTTGCTTTTTTCTGTGATGTATTGTCTTGTTTTGTCTCTGTTTAGCCACCCCGGTCAGACTCCCCGGTCAGACTGGACTTGGACTGTCTGGGGTGCACGAATCTCATACCGCAAGTAAGTGGAGGCATTGATTCTAACCCACTAACTGCGCTAGATACTACTGCTACTGCTATCTCCCGCGCCGAATGGTTGGGTCTACTCTACTACCTACTCTAGATGGAGTGTGGCAATACTGTAGTTAGCTATATGTAGCTGCCAGCCCGCGAGCACTACCAGGTACATTTGGTTTATAAAACCCCCGCCGAATCTGCTTTCTCGAATCAAATCACATCTGCAGCCTCCGAACAAAACAGAATATCTACAGAACGAACATTCGCCTCGAATTGAAGAAGATTAAAAAATCACACACTGTCTTCCAAGAACCCCATCCACAATTCTTTCACAACCCGCCACTACAATCACAATCACAATGCCCCGAGTATCAGCACCAGCACCGCCAACCCCCCGCCGTGTCCGAACCTCCCGCGGCGCCCCATCACCCGTAAGTGCACATCCTCCGCTCCTCCCGTCCTTTCCCCTCCTTTCCAGAAACCCCTCCCACACCCGCACACACCAATATTGACAAATTCCAGATCGCCAGCCAAATCCTCCCACTCCTCCCTTTGCTCCGCGAGTTCAAGGAGAACGCGGCAACATTCGACGAGCTATACGAGCAGTACCACGCACAGGGGCTGGTGCAGGGGCTCGTCGAGGTGGACACGTCGTGTCTGGAGCCGTATGAAGAGAAGTTCTCGGCGACGTTCTCGAGTTATTCGCACGCCCTCGAGAGGTATCTAGACGAGAATAGGAGCATGGAGGCTTGGAATAGCGAATTGGCTACTAGTATAAGTGCTGGGGCTGGGGCTGGGGCTGGGATGATGATGGGAGAGGGGGAGGAAGGGGAGGAGGAGGGGGAGGAGGGGGAGGAGGAGGGGGAGGAGGGGGAGGAAGGGGAGGAGGAGGAGGAGGAAGGGGAGGAAGGGGAGGAGGAGGAGGAGGAAGGGGAGGAGGAGGAGGAGGAAGGGGAGGAGGAGGGGGAGGAAGTGGAGGGGGAGGGGGAGGAGGTAAAATAGTGTGGGGGAACGGGCGTGTTTGTTTGTACAGGCGTTGTTAACTTGTGTTTTTGTTTGTTGTTTGGTTCGCAAAATTGGCAAAACTTTACTACCTAGGCCGGTATACTGGTTGTTTCTGTTTTTTCTCCTGTTTCCACGCTGGCAAGCTGGGCTTTTTTTTCTTGTTTCTTTTTTCTTTCGTTTTCTTTTCTTTTCTCTCTCTTTTGGTGGATTCTTGGGAAAGGGTGGTGGGAGGTCCAATGGATTGGGTTGTGTCGGATGCAGATGAAACATCGACGTTAAGATCTCACCAGTCAGACTCAGTCATGTGTGTGTGTAACAAAAAAGCGGGAAATACCAATAGTAGAGGGTTGTTCAATCACACATAGTAGAGCTGAGTTCACAGGTGGATCTACCGGTAGCAATGCACTTCTAGTTGCACCGGCTGCACCACTGAAGATTCAAGAGCCCGATATTGGTACTGCCACGCCTTCGCCAGGCATGGGACTCGGGAGTGATGTCTTTGGACGGGCGGGGTCGAATAGTCGGGGTTTAGGTAGAACGTACATATGGTACATACGGCATAGGTATACTAGAGATGTACATACGCCGACAGCAAGGCGGAATACCGGTAGAGTACATACGAGCTGGATACCGTACGTACGTACGAGTACCGGTACATGCGGGCTCGAGGCTCGAAGCTGGAAGAGTCAAAGCGATCTCCACAGTGCACAGTGCACACCTCACCTCGTCTGTCTATAATACAGAAATACCCACACTAGCGGCTTCGTTTTTCGTTTCAACGCTCCTCCATCCCCTTCTCTTTCTTTCCTGTTTTTCTTCCTCCGAGGCAGTTGATGGTGATAGTAATAGTGATGGGTATGCTATACATAACTGCACCGATCTTTTGCCCGTGTTTACTATACGAGATCGGTTGATGTCGTTGGCTAGCTACTATCATATCATATCATACTATGCAGCTACAGCGGTGGTGGACCACGGTCGAAACGCCTCAGGCACCAGGCAGGTCCGGCTCAATGCAGAACGCCTCAGGCACCAGGCAGGTCCGGCTCAATGCGGAACGCCTCAGGCACCAGGCAGGTCCGGCTCAATGAAGGGAAGCCGTCCCAGACTCCCAGTCACCGCTGTCCGGGAGTACTGTTACTACTCTAGCCAGGTATCGTCGAGCCATTCGGCGGCACGCATACCGGTGTCCGCGGAGGGCTGGGGCACTGCGGTTTCCCAAATACCCATACATACATGCGCCTTGACCATCAGTTTCTTGCATGCAGTTTCGGACCAGAATCCAGACGGACCTGGCAAAGATGGGATCTAAATTCTAGACCTGCATATCACATACATACAGCCGTCGGAGGAGGCAAGTTGCGGGTGCGGGTGCGCGGGCTGAGAAAATAAGAAAGACATAGGCAGCAGCAGCAGCCCTAGAGTGGAGTGTGGTCCTAGACTCCGACACTGACTGCGTCCCCCCGAAAGCTCTAGAGTCTAGAATCTCGATCAGACACGTACGGTACGGGTTGGCCTGGAGAGCATGCTGTACTAGGTATACCGGTATACTATTAGTAGTGCTCCAAATACCGTACCTACGCCACACGAGCAGTGGTTGCGCACGGTCCCCGGTATACAGAAATCCAGAAATACATACTGTTATGTACCAGGTCGCCAATTGCAGTGCGGAGGGGTGAATATTGTATCATACATTGTGGGGGGGATGCGTGGTTGCCCTACCTACTAGCCGTTGTCGTCGTCGTAAGGGTAGAATCCCGTGGGAGAAACGGCACCGGCCCGGTCCCTTATTCCCATAAACAATGCATACAGTGGTCCAATCTGGAAATTATTCTACGGGCTCGTCTAAATAGCAATGGCTAGCACAAGTCAGCTCATCACCACAACCACCACCAACACGGTCTATCAAAGTCGTTTTTGCTACATACTATTCCTACAGCTACTATAGAACAAGCTAACTCCGTCAAGCCTCGGTTCCATCCGGCTCGATCACCGAGAGTACATAACTGCACTTTCTTCCCAACTCTCCCAACTCGAGCCAAACTCATCTCCGCATCCCCTCCCCCCCTCGCCAGGGAACCTGACAATCTGAGAATCTAAATCACGGCGCCGACCTGTCCAGTCGTGCCGCGAATTTGACCCCACTTTCTCCGCTTCCTTCACTTTCTCCGCTTCCTTCACTTTCTCCGCTTCCTTCACTTTCTCCACTTCTTCCGAGGCGAGGTTGTGGTCTGGTTTGGTCTAGTCGGCAGGTGCAATTATGTAGGTAGGTGCAATTACAGAGGTAGGTGCAGTTATGTAGGTATATAGGATGCATATAGGAGGTATCTGAGACTGCTGACCTACGGTGACGTACGTACGTCGGACCGTCGGTGAATCTGGGTACGCGGTTACTACTATTACTACCGTAGCTGTGAAAATTACATGTTCGTAATTGTTCGTAACTGTTCGTTCGAATTTTAGTCGGAAATTGGAATCGAGTCCTCTGCCTCTGCCTCTGCCTCTGCCTCTTCTCTTACTATTCCAGGTCGAAGGGATAACAACGCTTGCTTGCTCCGTGGAGAAAGGACAAGGCCCGGGGGGGCAGTGGATCTACCGATGGATACCGGTACCGGATTGCAGGGCCTATGAAGTAGAGCAGGTATAGGCGGCATGATATGGGATGATGCCGGCGGAGAGGAAACTAGTAAGTGGGCGTTCCATCCACGGTATGCTGGCGGAGAGGAAACTAGTAGTTAAGCGGAGATTCAATCCACGGTAGATAGATCATCTAGGCGAAAGTTAATCCCTCACCGTCAGCGCCGTCCCGTTCCCGGCGAGTGACTACGCTACGGTATAGTTAGCACGGTACGTTACCGAAATTGAAAAGCGTCATGAGAAGAGAAGAGCTTAGAGAAGTTTCCATGACGGAGCCAGCTTTCCCACGCCAGACCAGTCCAGCCCGGCTCGGAGCAGCATCGGTCGGTCATCTCTGCTCCTCCGTTTCTCCTTTTGCTCCTTTTTCTCTTTTCCTTTTTCATGGCTTCAATCTTTTTTGTTTTTATTATTACAGCGGTGGACCCAAAGGAGTGGGTGCAGATAAGATTAGTTACTAGCAGCTGCGCCCCTGCATGGCCAATTCCCAGCCCGATGGCCTGGGACAGTTGGGACTCCACCAGAGGCGAGAGCGGCTACGCTAGTTTTAACTAGCCCACACATCCGTTTCCTCGACCAAAGAAAGAAGGAACGAAAGCAACTGCCACCACACACCACACCACCACACCAAACCCCGAAACCCGACCAGAATCAAACCAACCCCCTCCATTATTGCTCCACTCCACCACCACCACCAACGCCTCGGTGCCCGGCAGCAAGCAGGTGCCTACAGAATTAATATCTCTGCTATAGGATGTACTCTAGGTAGAGTGCTGTAGGAACGCCTCTTATTCCTTCCAGGTTCCGAAGCAACGTCCTTCCGGCAGGAATGTGCGGTTCTTGGATTATTCCACGCTGCACCGCTGCAACCGCGCCGCCACCTGGCCGCCGTCAACCTTGGTAGGTCATTCTTGGCGCGTTCCCCCGCCCGCTTCCGCCTGATCGAAACACACCCGGTACGGTAGAAGGCACGGAAGCATCCCATCTTGACTCTTGAGGCTTGCACTGTATGTAGAGTATGTATCATATGTATGAGGTACGGAATGGGGTTGTCTCTCCGCTCTGGACCCAGGTGCATACATGCAAACCCAGTACCAGCAGCTCGTCGGATGACGATTCACGCCGAGCGCGGGGGACGACAATCCCCCTCCGGAAAGCAGAGATCCATCTGCAGAGATCCGTCTGCGATGCGACACCTGGCTCGTCACCACTACCTGGCGCCTCCTCACTAGCTGTAACCCCGTTTGTCCTCACCCGCAGAGTCCAGACAGACGGATGGGATGGTGCGGGGCGTGAGAGCGAGCCAGGGTTCACCGTGCACGAACCGCTTTGTGTAGTGCATGGTGTGTGCCCATGGCCCTGGCTGCTGGGTCGTCGACCACCACCACCACTCCATCACCTCACAGCAATGCATAAATTCATATTATTGATATAGCGATATCACGACCCAAGACATTCGGCCCGTGCATCCGCCCTTATGCACTCTACTCTCCTCTTTCCTGATTCTGCGGGCTCTTCTTTTCTTTTCGAGAGGGTCCCGGGCCCCGAGACTTGGGTGGAACGAATCGAATCACACGCTGCTTTCTTCTCTGGGTCGGACGGACGGCGGCGTCGGCGGGTTGTTTCATTCAGCTCGTCCAGGGTGGGTGGTGGTCGGTCGGGAAAGCCTAAAGCGAGTGGGTTCTGTGTAGATTGATGGATAGAAGTTGGTGCAGCTGCAGTGACGGATACGGTTTCCAATCCGGGGGTCGGGGGGGCGATTGTGAACTCGACTGCTCTCCACTCGACGTCAATTCTTCCGTCCATCGATCGGCCGGCACGTGATATTCTCCCCCCCTCCCCCTCCCCAACCCCAACCCCAACCCCTCGATAGAAAAGGTCAAGGGATGAGGCACGAGCTCATTTCCCTTGCTTCCCTTCCTATCCCTTCTCGGCTTCCCTTCCTATCCCTTCTCGGCTTCCCTTCCTATCCCTTCTCGGGCACTCTGCTTTACGCACGCATGGGAACTGGCACCTGCGTCTGCAGTCTGCGGTGCAAGATTGACTTCCGTACCGTATGCTTCTCTGCGGCGGAGTGTCCGGCCTTCGGGTGCACCTGTATGAAATGGGACGGTGACGGTGACGGTATGCCGGGACGCTTTTCGTGTGTCTGTGTAGAGGCATTCCCGGGGGGAGAAGACGAAGAAGAAGAAAAGAAGGAAACCTTGGGGGGGAACAACTTTCTTCTCACCGCTGCCGCCGCCGTTCTGTTTAGCTCTTCACACATCCACCCCCGGACCCATCCACCCATCCACCCCTCCCGCCGGACCCGCCAATCAACAGCAGCACGTCATTCGCCCCACCATGTCCCGAAGAAGCAGCGGTGTCACCCACCCACCCACCCACCCACCCACCCACCACCCTTTCCCAGCGACTCGGTTCGGGACTGGGAGTGGGACTGGGGACTGGGGGTAACTAGAATAGAGTAGTTAGGTCCACCACTGCGACGACGCATCATGTCTTATCCTCACCGGGCTGGGCTGGTTTCCCCCACCCAAAAGCCACCCGGATTCATCAGAGGCTATTCCAGTTTGGTTATCCGGGCTCCGGGTGTTCCTTTTCTCTCTCGAATTCCAAATTCACTGGGATACGGTGTCTACTGTTTCTCCTGCCGCCTCTCCTGCCGCCGAAACCGTTAGAGTAGTTAGGCAAACGCGGCCCGTCCATGGACCATGGACCATGGCTGCCGTACTCAATGCGCTGCAACCACGCCCATCGTCGAAAACGGTGACCAACATCGTGCTGACTCTGCGTGCGGCACATACATACAACAACGGTACGGTACCGATAATTACGATGGGTACGATGGATACGATGGAAACGATGTACCGTCGATGCGGGGATGTGTGCAGCACCACAGGTTTCCAGGTTTCCCGGGCACAGCCTGAAACCGGGAACAAGAGTACCGTACCGGTAAACACCTACCGTATTTGTTTCTCCCTGGGAGGTGGGAAGGGAAGGGTGGGTGAGTCGCTACGGTATTACCGGTAGTAGGTAGCACATGGACTCATGGAGGGACGCTGGAGCCTGGCGGCTGTAGAGTAGAGTACCGTGTACCGTGTCTTGACGGATTGGATGTGATTCATGATTCATGATTCAGCTAATACCGGGAAACAACATCAACATCGGAGAGTTACCTAGATCTAGAGAGAGTGAGAGAGAGAGAGAGAGAGAGAGAGAGAGAGAGAGAGAGAGAGAGAGAGGGAGCATATGAGCTGGATACCTACCGTAACTGGAAACGGCAGAACCTCCGGAGAGGAGAGGTGGAACCTACATATTCACCGGACACACTCTAAATGCAGCGGACTCGAGGAAGATGGCGTTTGTGATCCAAGTCACCGGCTCACCGCCGAAGTATCTACCAAATGGTCCGATATCATCGCCATCGTTCGACTTGTGGAGTTGTGGACTTACTTCAGCCGTAACTACGGTAGATCGCTATTGTCCTTCGATGTTGTCTTTCGACGAGCGACAAGGCTTTTTTCCGTCTAAGTCCCTCTCTGATTTTCTGGGGCACCCGAACTCAGCCATTGGCCCCCATGGACCGAGAGTTTCAAAGTCGGTTTGGTATGTTGATACGTTGTCGAGATTGATTCCATTGCGTTTACTAGCAGTATGTGCCGCGGATACCTTTTTCTCTCTTTTTGTGGTGTAATCATTGCATTCGACTTTATCGTCCAGATCATGGCGGTTACAACCCGGTTCCACCCCATTGTGCTGCCTTCTGGACTTGCTACTCGTACACTTCAGGTCTACAGCATAGGGAGTAGGGTGATATTTCATGATCCACTTTTGTTCGACTTCACACCTAACCCCAACCATGCAAAAAATTCAACCTCAATTGCGGATATCCACCATGTCAACCGACTCCCTCTCCTATGTAAAGAACCACCTGTAAACTCCCAGCCCAAACAATCCCACAGCGGTGCCCTGAATACCCAGGCGCCGAATGCCGATGCCGAAGCGCGTATTCGCCCGTGCGATCTCGGCCTCCTTCGCCGCCAGCTGCGACATTCCCGAGATGTATGTGTACCCGCCGAGGCCCATGAATGCCACCGAGCCTGCGGAAATGTAAATGTGAGTGAGGGTGATACGCAGACGGAGGTTGGAGTACAAACCGATCACACGGCACGGGAGGCAGTCCCCGCGGTCTTGGCGGAGCACATCCTCCAGCGGGATGTCGTTTCGCGATGGTGGCTTTTCGGGCATCGTGAGTGTGTGCGTGCTCGCTCTGTGTAGGAAGACGGCGTGAGATTGGGTGAAGATACCGTATGCGAATGGGCACTGGTGGGGTTAAGGTTGAGCTTCTGAACTAAAAAGAGTACCAAGACGTGATATTCTACTCCACGTTACCGCCCACCCCCCTGTCGCATGCTCCAGCATGCACGTCACTGGACAGCACCCCGCGCTGAGCATCACCACCAAAAACCACCATCACCGGAACCGCCAGAAACCATGAGTGCCATCGAAGCTCTGTACATTTTCGATCGCTATGCCCCCACCGCGACCATAATCCTCCAACACGAATGGCGCTCGCGCTCTCCGACATCGGCAGTCTCGCTGCTGGCGCACTACAACGCCCACCCCGCGCCGCGTCCGTCGCTGATCTACATGCCCACCACATCCCCGCCCACGCTCCTCTTCAGCCTGGAACACAGCAACCTCTTGTTCCTGTCTCCAGCGACCTCCGAGATCGAGCCGCTGCTTGTCCTCGAGTTCCTTCACCGCGTCGTTGATGTGCTCGAAGACTACCTGGGCTCGCCGCTGCTGGCCGCAAAGATCGAGGTCAACTATCACATCGTCGCGCAGCTCATGAACGAGATGGCCGATGACGGCGTACCGTTCACCACTGAACCAAATGCGCTGCGCGATGTGGTGCTGCCCCCGAGCTTAATGGGGAAGATATTCGGCAGCGTTACCGGCCTGCCTAGGTAGCTACTCGCCCCCGTCCGTCGTGGGCTTTCCTCGCCGTATGCTGATCAACCCCGGATGCGGCCCCCAGCTCCACCCTCCCCTCCCTCGGCCACTCCCCGCACACGAACGCGCTCTCGACGATCCCCTGGCGGCGCGCCAACGTCAAGCACACGAACAACGAGCTCTACGTCGACCTGATCGAGCTGGTGAGCGCGACGATCGCGCCCAGCGGGCGGCCGCTCAGCGCGCGCGCCAACGGCACGGTAGCATTCACGTCGAAGCTCTCTGGCGTGCCGGACCTGCTGCTCACGCTGCAGGCGCCCCATAGCCACAAGCAGAAGCTGGGAGAGAAGCCGAACGGCATCATCGAGTACCCGGTGTTCCACCCGTGCGTGCGCCTCAGCCGCTGGCGCGATCATCCGGGTGAGCTGTCGTTTGTGCCGCCCGATGGGAAGTTCGTGCTGGCGAGCTACGAGGTCGATCTGCTGTCAAAGCAGCATCAGCAGCACCAGCAGCAGCAATTGCAGCTGCCCGTACAGGTGGAATTGAAGACGGCGATTGGCCACGAGGGCGACGAGTTCGAGGTGCGCGTGTTCGTGTCTACCGCCGCGCTCTCTCCCGTCGCGGGCAGCGGATCGTCACCGGCGTTCGGGAGTCGGGGCGGGAATGGCGGGGGAAGCAGCAGGAGCCCCGCATTCGGCGGGACCAGCAATGCGCCGGTGATCGAGGAGGTGTCGATCACCATTCCGCTGCCGAACGTGGTCAAGACGCTCGTTGCAACGCGCTGCAGCAGGGGAGAGTTCCATCACGAAGGGAGGGAGGTCGTCTGGAAGATCCCCACCACCGGCTCCGGCGCTACGCCGAGCTCTACGGCAACGTTCCGGACAGCGGTGCAGATCCGCTCTTCGGCGGAGGATGACGATGATGACGATGACTCCGCCGGGGAGGAGGGCGCCGGCAAGAAGGAAGGCGGGAAAAAGGCCGCCGCTAGGAAACGGAGGATAGAAATGGCTATGCCGCGGTGCGCCATCGTTAACTTTTCCGTCAAGGGATGGTTGGCGAGTGGTGTGCGTGTGGAGAGCGTCAAGATCGTCGGCGGAAGGGGCATGGGCGAGGGCGTCAAGCCGTATAAGGGTGTCAAGTATATCACTAGAGCTGGCGGAATAGAGGTTAGGTGCTAATTGTGAATGGGCGCGCAATCTTGGGGGGTTTATGGCGTTTTTGTTTGTAATTTGTGTCTTTTTGTTTGCAGGGTGTAATGTAAACGCATACGGGTCGTGAATTGATCAGGACTGCCTGACGAAATTATCCCTCTCCCATGGGCCATGAACAACCTTTCGTACAGTGACCAGTCATGTTGTAGAGCCAGTCGGAGCAGCCCCTAGATACACTTTGGACTACATGATCCACGACCCAATCCCATCACGATATCACGTGTAACCTTTCCCACCCACGTCATCCCCGGCCCTCCACCCTCCATCCAACCACAATGCCCCCACCACCACGGGTACATACACAATCCCTTCCCCCCTCCCCTCCGTTGCAAGCTGACCCAGCCAGACCCCACGCTTCATCGTCCCCGCGAGCACCGCGCCCTCATCCACCCCCAGCCGTCCCCCCCGCTTCATCGCGCCGCACCCCACCACCACGCCGTCCCGGCACGTCCCGCAGTTCCTGAGCGCCCCCGCTCCGCCCACCGCGCCCACGACCGCCACACCCACCCCCGCGCCGCGCCCCACATTCGTAACACCCGCGCTCCAGCAGCCTCAGGAGGAGGAGGAGGTAATCGACGACTTCGGCGACTTCGGCGACCGCAGACGGCGGAAGCGACGGCGACCATCCTCGTCCTCGTCTTATGGCGAGGGCAGCCAGGACGAAGACGCCGGCCTCGAGTCGCCGACTGCTCACCGTAGCACGCGGGCGCTGCCGTTCGCGCCGGGGAGTACACAGAGCGCTGGTGCGGGCTATGGTGCTGGTGCGGGCCCGATGGGGCCGCCGATAAGTTCAAGGTTGTTTGCGCTAAGATTGCCGGAGGGCGAGGGTGAGGTCCACCTGCCGGTCGATTGGTCGCCCACTAAGCCGAAGCGTGGGAGGAGCGCGTATGTGCCCCAAGGATTGGCCGCGACGGTGGCCGGGTGGGCGGTCGATGCGAGGAATGCTCAGGGGCGAAGGGGAGGCGCGACGTATAGGGTGGTGGAGGCACGGCCAGGAGAGGGGTATGTGGGCGTGGTGACGGAGGAGGGGGGGCTGCTGCTGGTCAGGCGGGTGGGTGCTGGAGAGGTTGGCGTGGACGTTAGGGTTAAGGTGGAGTGGCCGTGGTGGGAGGTAGGCATTGAGGGGGGGATGTGGAAGGTGTGTGTTTTTTGGGAGGTTGTGGGAGAGGAGGAGGAGGAGATGTTGGTTTGATCGATGGACGGATGGATAGCATGGCGATAGAGTACTCTTATAGGAGGGTAGATAGAAAGTAAAGTAGAATGCTGCAATTCGGAGCAGAGAAACAGAACATATATTACACTTATCAAAACAGTATAGATAATGCCTCCCGTCCTCCTACAAAAACGCCTCGCGCTTCTTGTTGTACGCCCGCTGATCCTTCAGCCACTGCCGGTACTGCTTAACGCTCCCAATCTTCTCGCCGTAGTAGTCGGGCACTGGATTCGAAAAGCTCTGGAACGACGGGTCGACGCGGTTCTTCTTGATGTGATTCAGGAACTCTTTCTCCTTCTATTCCGCCGCAAGCACAGTTATCAACCCCATTCTCCAGCGCGCATTCTCGCCATTGCCATCGCCACTCAACCAGCACTCGCACTTACCACCGAAATCTGTTTCACCCAGCGCTTCTGAAGCAGGTTGAACGTCGCGCCACCCAGACTAGGCCCGACAAGCCATCCGGCCGCGCCGCACCCGACCGTGGCCAGCCCAAACATGATCAGCGGGTCCATGCCGAGAATCGTCTGTGTCACGTCGATCTCCTTGTTCGCGAGGTAGCCCATTCCCGCCATCGTGCCGGCGAACGACGTGACGACGCTCGACGCGAGGTTGTAGCGCCGCCGGAGACGACGAAGCTGCAGGAACGTGTCCCAGCTCAGCTGTCCTGTCGGTGCGGCAGCGGCGGCGGTGTTGCTGTGCGTGGTGGTTGTGGTGCTGGTGCCGGTGGAGGTAGAGGCGGAGCGGAGAAGCGTAGTGGTGCTGGGCGCGGCGGGAAGAGAGCGCAGGATTGCGCGTGGTGGCGGGAACATCGTGTTGTGCTGTGGGGTTTGTGTTGCGGTTGGTGGTGGTTGCGAGAGGATTGGTGGGGCGATGATGTAGGTGTAGACGAGAGTTCTGGAGATGGCCGGTGGGAGAATTATTTGTGTGTGGGAACCGACTAACGCCCAGACGCTAACGTCCGACGACAATCCGCGCTTAGTTAACGCTTCCTCGCTTATCGGATTCGAACTTGCCTGTTCGGCTGGCTGGCTGGCTGGTCTGCCCGACACCCGTTCATGCCCGACAACCTGTTTTCACTGCTGAGATGCCCAGATAGCTATTTTCATCGGCCAGGTATTGGAATATGAGGCCGGTCAACAAAGCCAGTCGGACTATTCCTCTGTCTGTCATAACATTCTGCTCTGTCCCGGACTGAAAGATCTTTATGCTACGATGAGATATGCCAGAGTTGTGTTAATGTTTGTCACCGGCAATAGGATTCCTGGCCAACCGTCCCCGAAGAGCTTTCGGACGACCTCCCGAGTGCGTTCTATCATCCGTGCACGGTTATCTCCCTTAACAAAGATTCAATTCGCTAAGGGTAGGTATTGGATCAAAACAGTCATACTACACCTAGGTACTTTCAAACCGGCCTCGAAAGCGAATCAATCAGCCATTCGAAGAAACATCCTTTTCCTCGTAGTCCTTTTTAGAATTTGCCTCAAGCTGCACAAGTCTGGCATTTACGGGCTCTGCCATTTGCTCGACGACGACCTTCGATCATTCATCTATCCATTCAGCCTTCTGACCACATCCGTATCACCATCACTTACCTCTCCACCTTCCAAACATCCTTCCTACTCCATTTACTTCGCCTTCCTTCGTCCAATCTCTTCTTCCCCCCTTCCATGAGCCACTCTACGGCCATCTTTGAGATACCTTCTCACTAGGCTAACCCGGTGTTTACAAGAAAACACCTACTAAAGCAAACCCCCTCACGATATAGGGCTAACCCAAGCTCACGTTGAATGCTAGAGCATTTTGGTATCGTTCACATACCCTTCTGCCATAACACCTACTGATACCAAGTCGGTTCTCAGTTGACATTCTTCGTCGTTAACACTCTACTCGTTACCAAGGAATCTTTGCCGTGGGCCGTGAGCGTGTCTGTTTGATTATTGCGAGTGACGAGTAGTGAGTAGTGGTGATGCTTTCTCGACATAAAATCATTCCATCTCTCACCATCACTCTACTTTTCTTCATCGGGAATCGCTACATATCGGTGTGTTCACATTTACCTAGAGTCCGCCCCGCTCTCTGTCCAATTCCTGTAACTAGCTGGGTTATAGATACTGTTGGCGGCGAAGTCACGGCGAATTGGGGACCATTGTGAAGCCTTAGTTGAACCACTGTCTGAAAGCAATTTCGCATTGATATCTCTCCACCCCCCACAGCACCTTAAATTTCGATCTCAACAACCACCTTAAGCTCCTCTCCCTGGCCCTGGTTTGCCGCCGCCTCAAGCATCGCCTCGTCCACCTGGCTCCCCTCCACCCACCAAACCTGCATCCACGTCCAAGCCGCCTCAACCCTGTACTTCCCGGGCTGCAGCCTGAACTCCTTCAGCTCATGATCGACGCTGACCTCTCCGCCGGCAGGCACGAAGACCACGTCCTCCTTTGGCGGCGGGACGAGGCGGTTGATGCGCATGAACGCGGCGTCGACCTCGTCGCCGGAGGCGGCAGCGAACACGCGGAACACGCCGACCGAGGGCGCGAGAGCGTCGAGTGGACTGTTCCACGGGAGGATCGAGACCGGCGATGTGGTGGGGTTCCGCAGGGTCGTGGTGAGGACCAGCGGCGACGCGGATTTTTGCGTGATGCTGATCTGAAGCTCGGAGATGTTGGGTGCTGACATTTTTGCGGGCGCTGGGGTCGTCGTGGGGATGTTGTAGACGACGAATGCGAACAGGAGTGTGGAGCACACGAGGATCGGGAGGAGGGGGAGGTTGTAGCGGGCCATGGTTGGTTTTGTGTGTCGATGTGGTGCAGAGGGGTGGCAAGTAGTGGTGGTGGTGGCGATGCGGTGCACTTATATGAAGGGGCAATTATCGTCGAGAGATGTCGCATCCCGGTATTTAAGAAGGTTGGATGCGGCAGGTCGCAGGAGGGTGGCCATCCTGATACACGACGTAGAATGACCAGCTCCAAGCTCCGTATACTAAGTTGCCTGTAGCTACGCGGCCGGTTCGTACGCTTGAAACAGAGCTCATGAGTCCTCACGGCCTCATCCATGTGTATTCCTCGCAATCTGCAATCAAATGGAAGGCTTCATCTCAACCGCGGTCTCAGCCCCGCAAACGAAAACATGGGATATGGAATGGTGATAGGGCACCTCCCAAAATGTGAAGCATCATACATCTACCCTCAAATCTTCGGATACCGCCGGTCGATCACCGTTAGACGGCGGGGTGCGGACCTTCCTATTGCAAGGTACCTAGCCCACCCCTGGTGAGTGGATAAGCACAAGGCTTCATACTTGCATGATAGTCATAGAAAAAAGCTGGTGTGGTATAAATGGTTTCATGGTGTAGTTGGTTATCACATGTGTCTAACACACACAAGGTCCCCAGATCGAGCCTGGGTGAAATCACTCACTTTTATTTGTCGGACGGCAACCACTATGCCAGAGGATTCGACTTTGCGCTCGTATTGCAGGTTTCTTTTTGTTTGAGGTCTTGGGGAAATACAATGAGATCAAATAATGTAGTCTGTGCTTTGATTAGCTCGTGTATTCATGGCGATAGTCCGGTCGTCCTACGGCCCGGGGCCATCCATCTGGCCATCAACTCAGCGCCCAACTAGCCACGATCTACTAATATATTGATCAGTAAAGAGCAGTGCTCCCGATAGTCCAGTCCAGAGTCCGGACTGCCGCAGTCCATAAAATTGGAGGACGGTTTGAACTCAGTCCGTCCCAAAAATTTGCCGCCTCGGACTGCAGTCGACTGACAGACTGCCACTTTCTGCAAATTTTGGGTCGAACTAGGTATGTAACTAGTGGGCATCACTCTTTCAACCTATCACATGTTCTGTTTTCGTACCATGCCAGCTCTCTATCTCTTACCCCACTGTCGTCTGAATAAAGATATGATGGAGGTTTTCCAGCAAGAATTGCCTCCATGCGATTCCATCGACAATGTGGTACAGTAGGTACTCGGCGAATAAATCACATGAACCTCGCTGGAAAGATCTCGCCAGAACGGCCCTCGAGTATTTGAGCATTCGCACCATAAGAGTGAGCCGGAACGAGTTTTTAGTGGGGCTAAAATCTCTCTCTCATCGTCGCTCCAGCATGGGTGAGGACGCACCGCAGGTCCTGGAATGTCTCAAAAGCTCGCAACGAGATGGTCTTGTAGCTGCGACAAAGGGCGATATCTAGGAGATGGAAACTATCCTCAATGCACTGTGCGAGAAGCATCTGCAATAGCTACCGGTATATTATAGACGTGTACAAAAAGTTCATCACTAATTGCAAACATTTTCCATTCAAAGTATGTAGCAGCCCATTCAGTCGACTGCAGTCCATGCAGTCCATCCAGCCCTAACAATTGCGAAGTGCTCAGTCCAGTCCGACTTTTGCCGAAAGAGGGACTGGAGTCTGGACTGGACTATATATCGGAGACACTGGTAAAGAGCCAGTAGTGTCAACTCGGTCCCGTCCCTAACTTCAAAAGCATCAGACAGCATTCCGGGCAGCGAAGGCCGAGTCGGTACATGCCCCAGTCAGGACACCCCATTAGTCGCCCAACCCTACACACGTCATTACGCTCGCTATGTGTGCTAGACGTCGGGAACATCCCGATAGGGCAAAATCATACGTGCTATTATATAGACGTTGAGAACATTCCGATAGGGCAAGAGAACATGCACTATTAGGCCTATTAGACCTCGAGAACATTCCGGTGGGGCAAAAGAAGGGCCATCGTGGCAGCAAAAAAACAAAGAAATGATTTCACCCAGGCTCGATCTGGGGACCTTGTGTGTGTTAGACACATGTGATAACCAACTACACCATGAAACCATTTATATTGCCTAAGCGAATCATACGAACCTTGAGGTTGGATCTGCTTGGGCGATGGGACTTGAGTTGGCGAAAAAAATATCGGTGGGAATTGGGCGTATTCTGCAATATCACGCGCGGTCCGTCCGGTCCAGACTCGACTGGGGCGAAACCCCATCTAGGCAAAGGGAAAGATCTGATGGGTCGGTCTATTGGACTGAAAGATCGGACTGGCGTCTGGAAGAATTTCCTAGCTGGATGGGTGAAGCACGGGTGATGCTGTATGATCCTTGATGATGGTTTTTTGAGTGGCGACTTGACAACAGATCCTGTTTGTTAGAACTTGAATACTTGAATGGAAGCATGAGCTGTGGTAGCTACCGAAGCTTTTACGCCCATTCACACACCCGAGAGTAAGACATCGAGAACAGCCTCCTGAAGTGATTAGGGATTAGGGATTACATATAGTCACAGAGACATGGACCGCTAATACCAGGCATGAGTATCATCCACCTCACGCTTCAGCTCCTCCCCTCATAACCGTCACGACAACGCCGATACACGGTGATCCTATCGCACTCCCATCAGCAACTATCCCTAGTCAACATCCACCATTGAGAACGCACCATAGCCCGTGTGACTCTTCGTCCGAACAAACAGCCCATAACCATGTCCTTTGTCCCGCTCAACACAGAACGCTGTAACCCATCGTATCAGCGGTCGAGTCTCTTCTACGACTCCTCCTTCCCGGGCAACAAACCCATCTTCGCATCCATAGGTCTCAGCACGGCCATGCCTCTCCCCATCTCCTGACACCTCAGTTCCATCACAGCCTCCACCGCCAGCCATCGCCGGGCCGTCGAGAACGCCACCTGGTTTGTCGAAGTAAGAAACGCGATCTTCCCGGTGTCCGCGAGCTTGAGCAGGTGCTGGTCGGTGAGGGTAAACGTCTGTGGACGGTCGTCGAGGACTGCGAGGGGGTGGTGGAGCTCGAGGAGCGCTGAAACTGCAAGGCTGCTAGGGGGCAGGGACATCAGGTGGGTGCCGTTCAAGGCGTTGATGAGGAGCGTGAATAGGTGCGGGGAGTGGGAGCTGGTAGCGAGCGGGAGGAGGAGCAAGGTGGTGAACACCCGGTGGAGGATCATTGTAGGTGCATTGATGGCGGGAGGTAGATTTGCCGTGGTCCATGTTATTTTCTTATGTTTGTGCTCGTACGCAAGGAGGTGATGGCTTCATATGGGAAAGTGCATATTTCGATTCTCTGCGTGTCACGATGGTACATTTGACGTCACTCGGGTAACTAGCTGGAATGGAGGGGTGCGGGACCCACCGGGTTGAAGGGCGAGAAAGCGGACAGTGGCCGGGCAACGATAAACCGAACCTGCGCACTCGGCACTCCGAAGCTCGCGGTTGTGTCAGCGGTGAACCTTGCACTACCGGCCCGCCCCTATGTCTGCAGATACCCATGGAACGGCCCGGAATAAGCACTTCCTATAGCACCTCGATATTATTACAATATCGTTGCCTATATCCATGCACCATTATCCACAGAACGAAAATAGAGATTCCAGCACATACAACAAGTCTATACAAAAATTCACGGAAGACGTCCAAAGGTCTTTGGTGAGAGAAATCACGGCCCAAACTCTTCACCCTTCCTATGAATCTGCACTCGTACCTCTGTCTGCTTGTAGATCTGCATATCGCCCATCACTCGCTGTCCCTCCCTGGTTTCACAACCGCCCTCAATATCGGTAGTAGTCCCCTGGGCAGTAGCGAACTGCTCCGTCGAGGATGAGTACTCGTCGTCCATCTTTGTTTTGGAAGCCATACTCCCGAGCGGAATCGAGCCGCCGTTCGAACGGGCGACGGCATGGCCGCTATTGCTGAGACCTGTCGTGCGTCGGTTCTTGGAGCTACCGGTGTCGGTGAGGATTCCGGGAAGGAATCGGCGGATGAAGGGGCGGAGAGTGGGGAGGCAGCTGCAAATCACCGCTACTTGCACCTCTATATTGGTCCAGAGGGCGGCGCTGACGAGCCGGTCTGTTGTGAGGTGTTAGCTGGTACATATTAAGTAACCATGGTAATGCGCTTAGATGGTGTAGCTGTCGGGACTTACAGGATGGATCGACTTCGAATTTGTCGTCGAGAACTTCGCCGGCTTTAACTGCAAAGATGAGGCGTGAGATGGATGCAATCCAGACACTTCTTAAAGTTAGTGCCTCCGCAATCTGATCGTACGAAAGGGAATATCTTACAGTCCTCCTGCCAGGAACACGAGGATCAGCGAGATCTTTTGGCCACGGGGCAATCGCACCTGCCAGATGATCTTCAATGGCGACAGCCACGTAATAAAGTCCATTATGATGTTGATGCCGCCCACGGACTCCTGGAGCAGGACATAATCGATGCAGATTCCTAACGCTGCATCGCCTTTTGGGTCTGGGCTCAACCAGAACCGTGAAGGGTCCATCTTACAGATAAAGACGTGCGAGAAGAAAGCGGCGATAGTGAACGTGCCCGACGCGCCGAGGAGTGTCCAGAAGATGACACGCATGCGATGGGTCGGGGCGAGTCGCACGAGCTGTAGGAGAAGTGATGCTCGTGTGAAGCCCAGCGAGAGGATGTACACGAGATGAACAAAGTAGGCATACTGCGTGAGATGTCAGATTGATGATGACAGTGGAGTTGGGCGAAAATACCTTTAAAACTACCTGAAAATTGAACGTTCCCACGACCCATATGTGCGAGCCCATACCGTACTCAGCACTGATGCAATTCATCACCGTAAGGCACACCGCCAACACTGCTGCGGCGACCGCACAGTAATCGTCCCAACCGACGATCTTCAGCACTTGTATCCGACCCCATAACCGCAATGTTACGACGATGACTACAACCGTCGAAAGGGTAATCCCGGAGATCGTCAACTGCGATCCGTTACTGTCAGTTGCCAGCCCCAACGCAGCGATCTGCTCGGGGGTCAGTATTCCGCTGCTATTGGCGGATTGAGGTTCCATATCGTGCAAGCTGCGTTTTTTGTCGCACGCAATGTGGTGCCATGGGCAGGTACATATACGGGCGATCGGTCGACCGAGTCAATCGTCCCAAGTACCGAATCATGGGACGATAGCTGTCGCACTGCATACATACCGAACTGCCATGCGCTGTCGAAGCGAGCCTCGGAAGCTGGCGGTGTTGATACAATACTGACTGCCATGTAGGCAGGCTGAATGTGTATGTTGCCTGAATTCATGCAGTCTCGTTGTTTCATGTGCTGCAGGTTCCACGTATTGATATAGTACTCGTATTGCTTGGCTCTCTCCTCTCTATTATTTTCTCTCTGGAAGTCTCGCCCAGGAGGAATGGGTGCTGTCCATATGGCATTTTGAATTTGATGCGTATCGGCCTGAGAGGCATCTGGTCCGGTGAGGACCGTTCGTAGACACCTACGCTATCATAGGTCTGTGTCTCTGTTGTATGTATGGGACGTGTTTGCTATCCGTCGCGGCGTAGTTGCGAGTCATTTTCGTGCGCATCGGCTCCAAGACCGCTTACGCCCTCAGGCTCATTCCACCTTCGCCTATGTAGTTTTCTTTGCTGATGGATCGGGAAGCTAGGTAGAGCTGCCTGCCTCTATTGAGCTGATTTCGCGATTTTCTGCAAGGAAGGATCCAGCTGTTCTTTTTCTCGCGCCTGCCGAATTGCTGTCGTGTTCGGCTCTGGAGGGCTGAGGGTATGCTCAAAAAATTGTTTTACCGAGCACTTTAAACCGGATGAAGGTGGGGGATCTACAATTGCCGCTGGTTAGTGTGCAAGTGGGTGAGTGTGGAGTGGGTTAGGTAGATCGACGACACATGCCATGGAGATCAATGGTGGCAAAAGGTCACAGGGGATAGCCGGATTTGGTCGACAGCGAGTGACGACTACCGTAAGAGGGTCAGCACTTTCCATCATGAGCCACGCATATAATATGATACCTCTAAACCATTATGTTTAGTCATGTGCTTGCGGGTACACTTCCCTCTTTTTCAAAGCATACTTACCATAAGAATGGCCCACAGCGTCGCCCATTTTCTCAAATTTTCCGGTGTATCACGGAGTGTCGTTAATTTTGCCGGTGAACATTCAAAACCCAAATTTTACCTCCACTATCACTATTCAGGTGAAGAGCAGAAAGTTATCTGGTCTTCACGGGTCTCTAAGTTTAAAGATTTGCCATGCTCGATACCAGACTGATCTGTGGCTTAGGAAAGTGTCCTAGAGCCTATATAAGAACCCGGATGGACAGCATGCGTTCTTAACGTTTATCATATAACGTCCGTCGGCAAACAGTTCGTCCTCTACACCACGACGGGCCCCACAGACAGGGCCACACCTAGGGTAATAGATACACCTGTTATGCAGAGCGACAATTCCCCGCCCGACCCTGAGTACTTCAACAACAAGTTATCATAACAAACCTACTGCTGTTTCGTCCTGACTTCCCACATGTTCTCCTCCATGGCCAAGTAGAGTACATGCCGGTTCGTACGCGCAGCCAGGTTTACTTGCATGTGCGGAGTATCAGCGCGCGCAAGGGTTCCTCACATCAGGCAGCTTCCTTCTTCCTTCGATCTTGGAGAAGATCTGGGGAAAGCCAGAGCGTGCACGTGTCGATATTACCCGAGCGGATATCCAGGGCTTTGTTTTCGCTCTGAGACGGAGCAGTCACAACACACCGTGGCATGGATCTTGAAACGCGAAGATTCATGTCACCTAAGCATTCTTGGAATAGTAGGAGCATGGGACTCGGAGACCAGACAGGGGGGCAGGGTGGATAGGGGAAGCTGTTATGGATGATGTAAAGTAGAGGTTTAACCTGCAATGGCGAGTGATACTGTGTGTACCTTTGACGAATCCCGGCACTTCATCTGTGATCGTTTGGCACAATGCATCTCATGTGGTCCCGCGCGCGCAAACGAGCAACTTCCGGTTAAGGAAGTCGATACATATCCTTCGATATCCTTTCTCCCCACACTCCTCGCCTCGCCTCCCCCCCACTTCGTCACATATGCATACATCTAACCTTACGGCACCGAGATGCTCTTGGCGATAACTCCTCTCGAGCTTAAACTCTAATATATGCACTAGTATACCAGACACCGCACTCCATCAACTTTAGCCAGCCAGCCAGCCAGCCAGGCAGTTCCAGCGAAATCTGTCAATGTCGAACTGGGACTATGAAACTGTGGGGGTCACTGTCTGGCACCGAATGAAACCCGAGCAGGGTTGTCACTAGGGTGGGCTACAGTCCATACTTACCGGGCCCGGGAAAGCCGATCGGTCAGTCCGGGCGTGGATACAATACATTATACATGCCCGAAGCCTGTGCCGTCTCGGGGCGAGCATTGGACGGACTGGTACCCGGCGGCGCGGGAGGGAGGGAGGGGGGGGGACTATTGGGCCCCCGACGGAGACGTCCGCTGGGACGAAGAGTCCGATGCTTCCCGGCTGGAAGGCAGATATGCATACATACCAAAAACAGACTGACGGAAGGGCACTCGACTTCCATGTGGCAAAAACCATGTTCAAAATGCGGCGACCAAGCAGTCCAATGTCCATGCCAGGCCCAGGCGTCACTGGACCTCAAACCTTCTGCCCGGTTATGTATGCAGGCACACCCGAACACGACGGGACTATATAATAACGTATGCAATCCAGTCTCGGTCGCAGGGAAGCCCAAAGGTGGATCCGACACTCCATTGACTGCCCTGAATTTGAAACCCAGGTTTCGTGGTAGCTACGAATACGCCAGAACGTCGCCGTAAAGGCTTGTATGCAATTCCCGAGGCTGGGACCGGCCGGGTTTCCGTTTCCCCTGCCTCATAGGTACCTACTATGCGGATCTGCCATTCAAGATCTGATTTGGTCCCTACATAGAAGAAGAAAGCTTTGGAAACAAGCTTTGCCAAGAATTTGGTTGGATATCATATGTTCAAAACTCTCCAGTTGCACAGGTTCTCGCTCATGTCTTCGGGGTCAATTGAAGATGTTTCCTTTCACACTGTCTTCAAGCTCTCTTAGACTTGCGAAGAAGGTATGTACAATACAAGCTGACCATCCGGCCGAAGCATTCTCTAACATGAATGTCTCCCACAATTATCACCCACATACCGCATTATCAGGTACCGAAGGCGCTTCACCTGCGAAGGCAGTCATCGATGTACTATTTATCTTACATGTATGTAGAAGACATACCCAACAGTCACACATCAACTAACCGAGAAGAAAGCAAAACTACAGTCTACGGAGGAAGAAAGAAGATTACACCTAAACGCCAGGGAGTCCGGTTGGTAGTGCCAGCAGTGTCGCAGTCTACCGCTGACGCCATGTCGGCTTTTCTGGTAGATTGTTCGGCCGGTAGGAGTTCCCGTTCCTGTTGCCTCCTCCTCCTCCTCCTCCTCCTCCTCCACCACCCCCCCCGCCGCCGCCGCCGCCACTACGGTAAGAGTTGTAGCCTCCACCTCCACCTCCTCCCTGGTGTGGTCTCGGTCTGGTGAACATCGACTGCTGCGGCCTGCTGTTCCGCGACAACATCCCCTGGTTGTAGGAACTGGAGCCTGGATGCGACGCGATGCGCGCATCAATGCTCTGCCTGTAGACACCGAACGGCTCAAACAGCGGGACCATGTTTTGGCTTGTCGCCATCCTTCCAAACGCCCTCGCATCCGCATATTTGGGCAACTTGGTTTCGCGATCGTATTCGGCGAGCGAGAATTCATCATCTGGCGCCACGTACTGGAACGCGAGCATGCCGGAGAAGGAACTGGTTTCACTAGAACTGGTTTCCTTCCGCCGCATCGATGCGAGCTGGGGACAGTCGTAGCCGTAATGGCCCAGGCCAGCACAGTTATAACAATAGGCGCGGAGTGTGTATCGTTCGGCCGGTGTCTCGCGACGCGCTTCGGATCGCCAGTCGTACGGCTGTGAGGGAGATGGGCTGGTGCTAGGACAGGCGTTCGAGAAGTGTTTATTGTACTCGCCACAGTGTTTGCACTAGGGTTGTCAGCCTACGATCCAGAGGGCAGAAATAGTGATGGGACAACATACAGTCAACTCAGGACACGCTTTGCCCGTGTGTCCCGGTTCGCTGCAAACTGTGCACAGCCTCTCACCGCTCAGCGCAACAATCGGTTTAACCGTGGGCAGGATCCGAAGCTCACGCTCAGCCGTGTCGAACATTGGGCGGTCCTCCTCTCTGGTCATCAGCGGCAGCTTGTACGGGCGAAAGTATTTTCGCTGGAACTCGTCCTCGATGAGGTTGGGCACCGGTGTTTCCTCCGCTTCCCCCTCCTCGACATCGCCGCTGCTATCCTCGTCGCCGTCGCCAACGACCGCGGCAGCACCTGCAGCTGCTGCGGTCGTGGCTGCCGAACGCGCAGCTTTTCGCTCTTTGTTCTTAACTCTTTTGCGCTGTTTCTTCGCTGCTACGCGAGCGGCATCGGCGTCATCGAGCGCGGGAGTGGTCGTCACCTCACCCTCCTCGTTGCCTGGAGGAGAGTCGGGGCGTGGTCGCTTTTTCCTGGCCATGGAGGTGTTGGTCGTGTCGCTGTCGCTGTAGTTGACAAGATTCGCAGGCGTTCCGTCCGACATGACTACTACGCTCGATTCCGCCAAGCCTAGCGTTGGGAATGTTTAGGAGTAGGGTTTGAGTTTCGTGGAGTCTTTGACTTGCGTGTTGAGAGTTGGAGCGGCTGATAAGGGATGGAGGTCAAATTTTTTTTCTTCAAGGTTTGAATTCCTGTGGGGCGAGACCTTCACTCTACTGTCCTCCACGAGCGTCTTTGAATTGATGCATCATCCATCGACCCGCCCCCATGGTGAATGCTGCTGCACACACGTACGTAGAGTATTTGCCATCACATCAGGTCCCATCCATCGTACTCGAATAACGCGACTCTGGCTTGCTTTCTTGCTTGTTCCCGCTGTTCCCGCTTTGCTGCAGCTGGAGGAGGCTCTTCTCTTTCTCTTCCGTCTCTTCCCCTCCACCCCTTTTGTCCATTTACCCGGACCTCGTCGAAGCCCCTTGTTACCTGGCAACGTGACCGATCTCTGCAACCCCCATGAGTAGAGTAGCTCTCCAAACGAACAAGAGAACCAAACATCATCACCCACACTCCACTGCTTCCCACACACCCCCACCCGAGAAGGACCCCGAACATTCAAGCCAAACAACCCCTTGCAGAGCACCTTCACCAAACCTCTCCGCCTCCCCTTCTCTTCACAGTCTTTCTTTCAAGCCCGTCGCTGTTCCGCTCACTCACTTGCTCATCCCTTGATTCTTCCGGCCCGGACAGGCAACCCCCCGTCTACCGTTTAGCTCCCTCATCTCGGATCTGCACCCATCGAACACGCACGCATCGAACACCGTTACAACCGTAGTTCCTGTACATCTGTCAAAAAACCCATCCCCCACGATATTCCATCCGCCCACAACCAGCGAAACAACAATCCCTCTCACGCCCCCACGTCCACGTTTCGATCAACATAACAAGCTTTCAGCGCCCCCCACCGCAGCCGTTCAAAATTCCTTCCCTTCTCATCCCCCGCACCGTCCCTACCGGCAACATGTCGGACGCTGCCCGGCGACGCCGTTCCAGCTCGATAATATATACGGAACCCCCGGAGACCATTGAGCAACGGTCCGATCAAGCCGCGCTTCCCAACCTGAACGCGAGCTGGGTCAACTCCAAAGGTACGCTGTGCTGCAGTCGGTGGTGCTGGTGGCTGGGGGTGACCGCGCGGGCGTACTGGCGTGCTGTCGTACCATAACTCGCCCCCGGTGTTGGTTGTCGCCATGTCGTTCCAGAGGAGGGGGCTCATGTGGCTAACATTATGTGTGTACAACCGTATAGGTGCCTGGACTATCCACATTGTCATCATCGTATGCCTCAAGATCTTTTACGACTCGGTTCCGGGAGTATCACAGGAGACGAGTTGGACGCTGACCAACATCTCCTATATGTTTGTACGTGGCACACGATCTCCTGCCGTCTTCCCGACGCCCCCGCGAATGAATCATGGCTGATAGCAGGCCTAGGGTTCGTACATCATGTTCCACTGGGTTCACGGAATACCATTCGAGTTCAACGCCGGAGCGTACGACAACCAGAACATGTGGGAGCAGATTGATAACGGTGACCAATACACGCCGACAAAGAAGTTCCTTCTGTCGGTCCCAATAGTATTGTAGGTTTCATCCGGTGCCATATGTGCGCGCGCCTATGAAAAGACATGCAGCTGACGGGATAACGTGTTGCCGCGCAGATTCTTGATGAGCACGCATTACACACATTACGACCTCACGTACTTCACCATTAACTGTCTGGCCGTCCTAGGAGTTGTGATTCCGAAATTGCCATGGGTTCGTGCACCCTCCTGCCCCCACCCCCAAGCCACGCGCTCAAGCCACCTATGCTGCTTTTGTGGCGTTAGCACGTGATCGCTTGTTTCCACTTCACCGATCATCACTCTTTAATTCCCTTTTTCGGTCGCACACTGACACTGCGAATAGACCCACCGTATGCGCATCGGCCTCTTCTCAGATCCGGAAGAGTAATGTATTCGGCCGAGGTCTGATTTTCCTACAGTGTTCTTTTTGGCTTTGGCAGCAGGGGTAACAAGCGAAAGAAAAAATTCCCCGTTATTCTCATCTTCTCTAAAATCCGGCGTTTATTCTCTCTGAATCCCCCTCACTCCCTCAATGTGTGTTTGTGTGTGTGTCTGTGTGCATGTGATCTCCTTTTCTGCCTGCCTTTGTCTGTGTATGCCTGTGTTTGCTTCCCGTACCGTGCGTGTTTTGCTCGCTGTTTCTCTTTCGATTTCTTTTCCAACCACTCCTTAATACGTAACATTGATTGTAGTGCTTCCTTTTCGTCGTCTTGCGGGTGAAGATTGTTCGCCATTGTTCTGGCTTTTGCGTGTTTACCGGTATATCTTTTACATTTCTGTGCGGTGGCGGTGGTGGCGGTGGTGATGGTGCTGGTGGTGGATTGTATACATACTTAGAGGGCGAACCGAGGGGATATGAGGATATTTGCGCGTTCTTTTAAATCGATTCGACGTGTTATGTAATGCCGTTTTCCTCATGTTGGATGGATGAAGGATGAAGGTGCAGAGTAGATTGCCGCCATAGACGCCGTACTCTAACTGCTCTACGGTCTGAAGTCTGGAAGGGAAGGGAAGGGACGGGCCGCGGGGCCGACTTGCCGGCTGGTAGCCTGGCAGGAGGCTGGGGGCTGGGAGTTTCACTTTCACGTGTGATCTCGACATAACAGGTGTATAGTACCAAGAGGTGGCTGGGATCAGCGACGGAGGAGGACTCAGGCCTGGGGTTCATAGAAATCACTCGGCTTCGCTTAGGTACGGTTTCTTTTGTAAAACTAAAACGAAATATCCTGAATCATTATTGCAGAATTCAAACGTCTGGTGCAAATGAAAATATGGTTATTGAACAGTGGAGCGGGGCTAATGCTGATCAGTGATCAGAGGTGATTACCGATATATAGTGGCTCAATGCAGCGGGGTAAGTGTCAAGTGTAGAAATTATTCGGCGCCTTCTATCCACTCCTTACATCTGGTCGTGTAGTCTAGACTACTGTAGTCTTTGGTACGACGGAATGGAACGAATTGTCGGCTTTCAGATGCAATCCTACGGTCTACCAAGGAAGCAAACAGGTTATGGGACTGGACCGAAGTTGTCCTGGCCGCCCGGACTATGTAAAAGTTAAAACGCTGTGTTGGACAGGACTTCAGTCTCGGTTGTCACTCGTGAGCGGGCAAACTCGGATATATCACAGGTTAATCCAGGAGGACGGCGGGCCGGTTCGCATACATAGACTACCTAACTACCATTCTTCCAATTAGGATATCTTCAAAGAACTCCTTATGCTCGGCTTGAAGTACTAGTAGTTGAAGCATGATTGTCAAGCCTCATGTTTATCTGTGTGTGAACTCAGAAGCATGGAAATCTCTTTTTTGGTTTTGTTTAATCATCATTGCACTCTACGTTGGTAGATCATGGCAGATTACATATCCATTTCCACCCAAGCCGGGAGACCTCGAGAGGGGAAATAATACCGGTATATACAGTGTTGGTTACGAAGGCTACGATCGAGTGACTCCGTAAGTGCAGCCCCGAAATACCATCATCACTGGGATTGGTCCGTGCGGGAGTAGTGAGGCGGGGTATCATACGAAGAGCGGAAGAGAAAGCGGCTTCTGATAGTCAGGATTTGTTCATACCCCACTCAGCCCTGGTGTGTAGATAGGCTGCGGGTGAGGATCGCTACAGGGGTTCACAACTAAGGCTATCGTCAGCTACCACGACAACTCTTGTCGACAGAACTGGAGCACTACCAGTATGATCAGAGTTTACGAACACCATTCCAATGTCCGCCTCATATTAAATGAGCTGTCAGACTTTCATAGGAGAAATTTCACCAAGCCGCTGCCTAGTCGTCCAAGCTCTCCGGAGCTAAGCGCTAATATCTAGGCACATGCGGCAGTGTAACAAGGCGCTGGGGCAGTGAGACGGGATGGCGCGGCTGATTTCGGTGGTATAAAGCTTATCCACCGCCACCGTGGGATCTCACAAACGATCGCCATTTCGAACCATGTCACTCTCTCTCCTTCCAAACGAGCTGCTACTCTCAGTCGCCGGCTATCTTGATGACCCCGCCGACATCAAAGCCTTCCACGCCATCTCCCGAGGGTTCCGCTCAGTCCTCGAGGCTACCTACCTATCCGTCTGCGCAAGCGCCGTGAGCCAAACGGAGCTTGATGTAATCAACGAATTCGGATACAAAGTACCCTGGGCCACCGAGGCTCTCCCCCCAAAGCTACTTTGGCTTGCCATCGCCAAAGGTTGGAACCACCTCGCCCGCACCTCCATCACCTCAGGTGGTGCCCCACCCTCGCAGATCTACCGTCCGGGCGTCCCCGGAAACTGGTACTGCCCCATCACGCGCGCCGTCTACTTTGGCAACATCGAGATTGTGCAGTTCCTCCTCAACTCGGGGGCCAGCGTGATGGGACGGAAATACGCTGATACGGCCCCCCCTCTTTTCCCGCGGCAGCATGTCACACCGCTGCACCATGCCGCCAGTCAAAAGAACATCCCGCTCATCCACCTGCTCGCCTCCCACGGCGCAGATCTGGAGTGGCTTTCGCCTGACGGCCTCACGCCGCTGATGTGCGCCGTTGCCGACCCGCGCACCGTACTCGAGATGATCAGCATAGGCGCGGATGTCAATGCGCGCTCATCCCGCGGGTTCTCGGTGCTGCACTGCTGTGTGGGATATGAAGGCAGCGGTGGGAAGGTGCGCTCCACGAAGACCAATACCTCGTTCCACGACCTCTACGTGGGCCGGAGCAGAGAACACTCCCTGCATAGGATCCACGGGAGTACGTATTTCGCCTATGGGCACTCGATGAAGGCGTTGCTGGCGAACGGCGCGGATGTGAATGCGCAGGATAGCGTTGGAGATACGCTGCTTCACTTGGCGGTGGACTTGAAGCTAAGGGACGTGGTGAAATTGCTGTTGGAGGCGGGCGCAGATGTGACTATTGTGAATTCGTTTGGCCAGACTGCTGCCGAAAGAGCGCACCCGAGTTTTTTGGAGGCATTTGAGGAGGTCTCTGTGGGGACTGTAGCACGCCAAAATCTATTCCCTTTACTCCGGCTATGTGGATAATTTGTGTTTCTTATTTGTGTTTCTTATTTGTGTTTCTTATTGTGTTTCTTATTTGTGTTTCTTATTCCGTAACAATCTATTCCTGATCTTTGCTGCAGAAGGCGTTCTTTCGTGATGAAATGGAGCTCCCTTTTCACCGTGCTTCTTCACGGCATGCGGCTCCGGCGCATGGTATATCTGCTCGCTCAAGGTTTTCGTTTGGGCGGGACCCCGAGGAAGCGAGAAAGGCGAAAGTGGGGAAGGAGGTTAGTTAGCTCCATAGCTTAAGTTTCACCGGGTAACTGAAGGCGGGCACGTGTGCGTGGCTGCATGTGGGGATTGCTTGCCCCTGTAATTGGTACCAACACCACCTCCATCATTTCTTTGAAGCACCGAGCGTTGGACATAATCCCCCTAACTATCCCGCATCACGACCCACAAGACGACTCACGAGACAACCCAAGGAAGATCATCCAATCTTCACTGCTATAGAGTGTGAAGGGTATCCTACCTTGACCTGACAACCCTAGTTAGCCAGCTGCGACAATGACCGGCCCGGACACGCTGCTAAATCAACCGGTCGTTATCGATAATGGTTCGGGAACCATCAAAGCGGGCTTCGCCGGCGAAGATCTTCCAAAAACCTTCTTCTCCTCGTTCGTTGGCCGACCAAAACACACGCGTGTTCTTGCGGGAGCTCTAGAGGGGGATGTGTTCATCGGGAACAGAGCACAGGAGCTTCGTGGGCTGCTGAAGATCAAGTACCCATTGGAGCATGGGATCATTACCGATTGGAACGATATGGAGAGGATATGGCAGCACATCTACAGTGAGGAGCTGAAGACGCTGTCGGAGGAGGTTAGTGAGCTCTTTCCTTGTGAATGTGTGGAGTTCGCAAGAGGCAGATGGAGAGAATGTGGAACTGAGTGCCTTTTCTGGTGGATATAGCACCCTGTGTTGTTGACCGAAGCACCATTGAACCCACGGACGAATCGGGACGCCGCAGCTCAAATATTCTTCGAGACTTTCAATGTACCAGCTCTCTTCATGTCGATACAAGCTGTTTTGGCGCTGTTCGTTCTCCACTACTCACTGCCAATGCTTCCGTTCATGTGATAGGAAGCTTGCTAATTATATTGCGGTTAGATATGCCTCCGGACGAACCACCGGAATAGTCCTCGACTCTGGCGATGGTGTCTCCCATGCCGTTCCTGTATACGAGGGTTTCGCTATGCCCGCAGCTATTCGACGTATCGACGTTGCCGGACGAGATGTAACAGAGCACCTACAGGTGTTGCTACGGAAATCTGGTGCTATTTTCCATACATCGGCTGAGAAGGAGGTTGTGCGTCTGATCAAAGAAAAGACTTGCTTCGTCGCGCTGGATCCAAGGAAGGAGGAGAAAGAATGGGCAGGTGGTGGGGTTGGAAGGCTCGAGGAGTACCGACTTCCGGACGGCAACCTTCTGAAAGTAGGCTACTGCTCCTCCTGGTGGAAGATAAAAGGGCTGATTAGTGTGTAGCTCGGTTCGGAGAGGTTCCGAGCATCGGAGATATTGTTCGACCCTGAGCTCATCGGTCTGGAATATCCCGGTGTCCATCAGATTGTGGTCGATGCCATCAACCGGACGGATATGGATTTGCGGAAGGCTCTGTTTGGGAACATTGTCATGTCTGGAGGATCAACGTTGACTAAAGGTATCAAGCCCCCCAGCATGGACGGGTCCCTTGGATACGGCTCGTAGTGGTGGTCCCCGACTGACTTGTGCCTAGGCTTCGGTGACCGACTGCTGAGCGAAGTGCGCAAACTGGCTGTCAAAGATATGAAGATCAAGATCTTTGCACCACCAGAGCGTAAATACAGTACTTGGATAGGAGGATCGATTCTCGCCGGTCTGAGCACATTCCGAAAGGTACGTAAAATCATGCCATTTCTGTCTCATCCTGCGAACGCACACCGCGCAATTGCCTCTCCGCGCAACTGCCTCCCCGCGAGTGCGCGGTTTATATACAGCGTGCTGTTTGGTCTCGGGTGTTGCATAGCTGCATTTCCATTACGTTTTCTCCAAATTCGCCGCGTCCCCGAACCCTGCCCATGCTACTGAACGGCTGGCGACGGTGACAAGAAGGGGACTTGATACACCATTATGTAACCGTGACTGACGAATATGGGTCACAGATGTGGGTCAGCATTGATGCATGGCAAGAGAATCCGGAGGTCATCCACACCAAGTTTACTTAGGACTCTCGTCCTAAGCTACCTACATTCCTTTTTTCCACCGGCAAATGCACCACCTCCCCCTTGCCCTGGTACTTCCCTCCACCCTCCACCGTCTTTCCCGTATCGACTGCCATTCGACACATGGCCGTGAAGCATACGCACCCTTACTTGTGATATCTACGGCTGTTTCCAGGAATCTTGGCCAGATTTCTACCCTCACGCGCGTTAACTACTACTACTTTACATAATCAGAGATGACCACCTTTCTTTGTTGCTTTTTTGCTCCCGTCGCGCTGACATAGACCCCGGAATGCAAGCGAATTGCGGGGGAGGAGAGATCTGGGGGTCGCATGTCTGTACTTTACATACCTAGTGGAATTGATGGCGTACGTAATACCTTGCAGGTCGTGCATGTTTCGCTATGGTGATTTTTGTCTCCATATTGCATACAACCTTTCTAGATCATGGCAAGACGTTCTCCGGATATCCTGCCTGCCGTCTAGATAACTGGCTTGACGCTGAGACCTACTTCTCCCGCCTGCCGTCTGCCGCCTAGGCACTCGGCAATTGACGCACTAAGCTACATACACAAGCGACAGACTGAAAAGAAAAGACACCCCGCCCAGCCTACTGCTCTCACATCTTCTCCGCTTCGTCCTCTGGGGTCTCCCGCTTCCATAAATCCAGGAAAGCCTCTACATCCACCACGGCCCACCAGGTCTTCCTTCCCGTCCACCTTCACTACCAAGCTCTGACCGCCTACTCGCCGTCTCCTCATCTTCGGTCCTCGTGGGCGCCAGCCGACCGTCATATATGGTGTGCAGGAAGTCGAGAATTGTCGGGCTGCATCTCTCGTCCGCGGAGAGGGCCCCAATCCTCGTGCGATTGCGTCTTCCGACCTTACCGGCTTCCCACTCAAGCTCTTACCACAAGATCTTTTGCTCTGTCATAAAACCACTACAAGTCCCTGCCATAGTGAGAGTGAGAGAGAAAGTCAAGTTATTTTGCATGCAGCATTTCTAGACTTTGGTGAACGAACAAAAGGGACCTTTCCTGCCCGCCATGATAGGTCGAAGTGGAGGCTCCGCTACCTAATCGGTCCGTTGCGGTGCCGCTGCGTACCAGGTAGAAAGTTGTGATGCTATGTACATTCAACCCCCGCTCCTATCCGCACAACCCACATGCCTATACAGTACCTCGCTGGGCACTCCTCTTCGACGCCGGAGGTCTCGCTCTCGTCATCGGCCATCTCGTCCACGCGAGCTTTTCTTCCAAGTCCGTCGACTCCAGGAACTCCAGCACTTAGTACTTCACTGCAGCGTTCATCTACGAACAATCCGGCCATGCTCCATCGTCGCCGCTCTCGCGTGGCTTCTTTCCTCAATCGCGACCACAGGGTCGACTGCTGCGCTTTCCAACTAGCGCAGTTTCTGAAGACGGTTTCCCGGGTCTGCCTGGCATGGTGCGTCCGGCACCTTTCGTCCTCCCGTTGTTTGGTCCGCTTCAGGTGGGTGGAGCTGAGGCCGTGTCCGGGCTTCAGCTAATAGTTCATACCGAGCGGCAAGGCTCTTTGAGCCTTCGCTGGGGCGGGGTCTGGAATTTTCTTCGGCATGCGTCTAGGGTCGAACCAGCGTGCTTTTCATTTTGGATAGTGCTCGCTCATGGACCATGGGCCTTCTTCCATTCGTCGTCATTGATCCGTCTCTTGAGGTGGATGAGCGAGGCTGGTACATATTTAGGGGACATGTTACGCCTCCCGTATTTTTGCCATGGAGAGAGGACATCAATTCATTGTCGCATATAGCCTGTCCAGACTGTGGCGAACTCTTACCCAACCTTTCCTATCAGCCCCGCAGAGGCTTTTCCCATAGTATTAGAAGTAAAAGTGAGTCGGCTGCTAGTCGGCAGGAGTGATGGGCTGTGATAATGCGCCATTGCCATAGAACTCGCATGTGTATAAAGCAGGCCATACCGCAGTGTGAGGTGGAAGAATCATCCAGACGCTCCGATCTGACAGGCTGCAGTTCGTCGCTGTTCCTGTCCATCGCGCACGGGGCATCCAACACTTTATAAACATCGAATTCATGTTTCCAGCACGGAAAAACCTCCGCGTGGCCTAATGGTCTACCACCTAGGTAGGCCATGCAATCGGCGAGGGGAGTTGAGGGAAAGCTCCGGGTTTAACCCGGGTGAAATATCTTTGTATTCAGCTCTTGGGGTTTCCAAGCCACCCACCGGGGGTGGTGACGGCTTTTGGTTTGGTTTTTGGCAAGACGGGTGGAGCACGGCCTATCACTCGGCAATATCATGTGACACGTCTTTGCGCTGCTGGCTGTGGAGGCGGGAATCCATACGATGAACTTTATCGAGAGAGAAGGGAGGAAGCGGAACGTACGATGGGAACCCAGATGCCATTCCACAGGAGGCAAGACACTATACAGATGGATCAAGACTAGAAGATGGGACGGCGGGCTATAATGGAGGTGATAGTCTTGTTTGCCACTACGTACGCCAATAAGATGGAAGCCGCCCCAAAACTTGAGCCGGTCATCGCATGCCGTTAGAGCCTTCACGCGGAAAGCATGCCGATATCGGTTAACCTCTTCTTTCCATCCGCAATACAATAACCAATCCCGAGATGTAGGTATGTATGCGCAAGGAGACGTTGTTCATTGGGAGGCACAGCTGATGCATACTGTTAATTTTTTCAAGGAGCCCACTCGTCGTTCGGTACTCTACGTACTACGTAGCAGACTCGGTACCTACCATCTGAAAGACCCACGACCGGGTAGGAGAAATTTTCCGGTGTGGGGCTGTGAGATCCGCACAGCCACGGGCGGCCAGCGCCGGAGTTGGGAGGGAGGAGGTGGGGGTTGTTCGGAAACAAGACCTCGCCCAGGTATTGAGCCGGACTGGATTGACAGCAGTATCATCCTCTCTCGTCTCGGTGTGTCTATTTGGGTTGGCTGGTGTGGCAGCTTCAATCTGCACACGCCTGCGCGTGGGAGGCTTCGTGTGGAGAGTAGCAAACGTGCTGGCCACCGTATCACGTTTGTTGCTATTCCTCGCTGTGGGAATGTGTTCATTGGTGCTCACTCGTACGTTGAGTGACGTTGTTTCATGTCAAATATCTGTCGAAACCTTGGAATGTAGCGGTATTTGTTACAAAACAAACTTTTGAATCGCGGCTAGTGCGCTAGAAGTGGTTGCTTGGAATTCTGCCAACTTCACCTATAAAATCCTCCTTTCCTCCTAACTCTTCCTCCCTTTCTCCTTCCTCTCTCCATTCATTAACTTCTTCTCCTTCTTTCCGTCCGGCACTAATTGGTGATTCATGCTACTGACTTAGATTAGATAGTTTAGTTATTTTCCACGGTCTGATACCGACGATAGGAATACTGGCAGTAATGCTACCTTCCTTCCTTCCTTCCTTCCACCTGAGCTCGAGCTCAAGCTTCGAGGTAAGTCCCTCTCCCCCCCACTTTTTACTTCCAGGATAACCTTACAGAGCTGTCCTGCTCAGCTATAGTAGCGAGGAACTGAGGGATCCGTGCAACCGGTCTACAAAGTAGACTGTTGCAGCAACAATAGACGGATACAACCCTCGAGGCTGAGCAGAAAAGGTCCAAGGATGGGGTTTTCTCTTCTGCTGCCGGCGAAGTTCTTTCCCCCTTCCTCCGGGAGTCCAAATTGGGTGAGAGCCGACTTGCTCCCGGTGGGATGGCCTCTCCGAAACCGGGTGACAGACGGTTTCGTGTTGAGGAAGAAAAAAAAAACTAAGAAAGTATAACTTCTGAGTTATACGCGTATAGCCTAGTTTACTACCCCCACCAGGTTATACGCGGAGGTTTTCTTCCTTTGCTGTGAGAGAGAATTTAGCAAAGGTCTTTCCTCCTGGCCATGCATGTCATGTGTGAGAGACATGCCACATGCATGGCCAAGGCCCATGCCTCCAAAACCGGGCTACAGACGGTTTCGGACGAGCAAATAAATAACCAAAGAAGTATAACTTGGTCTACTACCCCCCCAAGTTATATGCGTATAGCTTGGCCTACTACCCCCCAAGTTATACGCGGAGGTCGTCTTCCTTTCAGAGCAAAGGTCTTACCTCCTGGCCATGCATGAGTGAGATACATGCGCCATTGGCCAAATGTTGTTGCTCTGGCCGCTGTGCGAGAGAACGACATTGACCTTGGTGCGCGGGTTGGTTGCTGCATGCTGGGGGCGGTCCGTAGCAGTGGGAGTTTGTACGATGTGGCAAGCGTGCATGCTCGCCGGAGAACTGAATACTCTCTGACAGCTGGCGCATCGTTCGGCGTCGGGGACGGTGCGGTCGCGATGCCGAGTGATATAGATCTACTCAGTTATAGTATGTGGTACGCTATATTAGCTTTCTGCCGCAAACCGACCGCCAGTGGGGTTGCAAAGCGATATAATAAGGCCGTGGTCAGATTTCCTACTAATTGTCCGTGACCAATCCTGTCCTGTCCCGTCCTGTCCGATACATACGTGTAGTACGAACCATACTTCGATCGCATGAATCCTTACCAGTAAGAAGAAGACGGTGGAGGAATCCGTCGGCAAGGTGCAGTATCAAACATGGTGCATACATACAAGAGAAACATAGCAAGTAGACTGTAGAAGTAGAAGTAGGAATACTACAACAGGTAGTGTAACCACTGTCAAACCTAACTCTTCCACAAACCACGAGGCAGGTTGCTATCCTCGCCATCGGGATTCGGCATGCCGTAGTACATACTTACATACCAAGAGATTCTGCCAGCCCTACAATCCGAGTTTCGGTGCACTTTTGGATCCACTCCTTTATGGTGCTTGGTTTACTGAACGGGTTATTGGTAGGTTGGTTAAGAAGATTTCTAGAAGATTTATGTACATACATGGCAATGGTGATGTGGTTGTAAAGAAGCGTCGGCGATCGCTGGCAATGTAAATTAGCGACGAAAAGGATTCTCATATGTAGGTATGTCCATACCGTGGGTATATGTTGAACGATGACCATGTACACAGGAGGGCGAGATTTGCGCTGCAACATCACCGATCGTCATTCGTCTTCTAGCCCCGGATTTAAGACTTACCTAGGTCGTATTTACTGGATTCTCGGTTGTATATATCATAATTTAGATACCTAGGTCGAAGGCATTGTGATGATACAAACAATTGCTGTTCGGATAGGATGGAACTAAAATATTCAGCCTAGGATCTAGCGGTGGATAAGTGCCAGATGGACTTTTCTGAGCCATCGAAGCCGCGGTAACGAACACAGCACCTTCTACCTCGACCGACAGCCCTAATACTATTGATGTTCCCTGGATTGGCCTCTGATTTGTTTGGACGGGCTTCCACCGTCTATCGACGAGAAGAAACTGCCATCCAGCGGTGTTATGTACGACCACTACATTCACGTATCTAAAGGGGCATTGTATTTAGGTAGTCCACATTATGCGTCGGTACCTATAGGTATGTACTTGACGGACCGCGGGCGACCACCAAGAATCAAATTCCAAAGAATCACTAAAGCTCAGTAGGTACCTACCTTGGTAGATACCTATGTCTTCATTCGTCTGATCAATAATTGGACAGGACTGACTGCCGCCAGGGTATGAACGGTGGTGGAATTACTCTTCAGCCGCTATATAGGGCTGAAAAGGTGGACGACGCACAACGGACGGCACGGGCTGTTGCTATCCGTACAAAAAGAATGTGCGAAATATGCAAATCATAATCAATCACTCGCGGTACCCAATTGCACTGCCCTACCGATAGCAGCAGTTTCTTGGCTAGGTTGCATCCGTGTCTATAGTAGCACACACCAGCTACAGCACACAGTATCTATGCATCTCGTCTGGAGAATGTGATGTAACGTATTACGAGGCTGTTTCTGCGTGCAAGTTCGTCCATATGCGAAACGTCGAAGAGGTGGAGACGACGGCAAGCTTACGGCTGGTTTTATGGCTGTGGACAATATGAATCCCATGATCGATCTACCTATGCGAACTGCAGAAGGCTGGGGCGGCGAACAGGATGAGGTGCAGATGTCTCAAATATGCATAAGGAAGGGGAAGTGCATGGGGGCCATCGCATAGCATCCCGTATCATAACAGAGTGTTTACTAACTGTGTACATACTATAACTACCGCCGCACTGGTTGGGAACTCGGTACCTACTCTAGAGTACGGGTACTCGGTGGAACTGCTGGGTTGTGGAATGCCGATGAAGCCGCCCGGGCTTGTATCGAATACTTGCCGAAGGTTTCGGCCCCTCGATCTTTATCCTATAGTTGCTGCGCTACTCACGCGGATGACATAACTTCGAAATCTACAGCATACGGGCTCAGCTTGTATCCGAGAAGTCCACATCGATTGCCTCATCACGTACGATATCTTACACCTCTCCTCCGTATGTATGTAATATCGCTATTGAACCAATGAGCCGCGGCTGTGGATGTCCCCCTGCAATGCATGTCTTCATCAATCACTTTCACTCCTTGCAGGATGACTGAGCCACACCGTACTGAGGAGTAAAGGCAACGGAGCGCCATCTTCGCTTCGTTACGCCACACTTCTAATCAATATGTTGCGGGGGGCGGGACAAACAACATTGCTGACATCTGGGATCATTTCTTGATACCCTATGAGGTACCGGTCCTTACCGTATGACTGTTGCCTAGGATTACACCTGGCAATGATTAGGGCATTCGAAGCACTCTGCCTGTAGCATAGCGACACAACACATCGAAGAAACGTCTACCCGGTAGAGTAAATACCCTGTGCTAGTAGCAGCAGCCGTTGTGGCTGAGCCTTCGGAAAAAGAAACGAGGCACTGAGAAAGCCGGGCAGGGTGGTGTCGATCAATAGCGATGCCCTCGCCCTCTGGTTGGTGCCGGCCTGCCACATCTATGCAGAGTATCTGCACGCTGTCCACTCTACTTTGCCTTGCGGTTACACCGTCGCGCAGCCACGATGGGAATACTCTCGCTCACCCGATACCCCCCCCAAATACTGGCTCTTGTGCCATCCAACCTCCAAAACACAAGCACTTCCATCCGAACACCAGCACCTCCAACGTTTAGCACCCTCGAGGATGAGGTTGTTCAGTTCCGATCTCAGAGTTGCGGCGGTGGCCGTCCTCGCCTTGGCCACGAGTGTCGGTGCACAGCAAGACGATCCTGTGAACGATTTCTGCCGACGTTGGGGTCACGAATGTGAGGCTCTTCTCGTATGTCCGATGCAGAGTTTTATTTTATTGACTGTTTGCGTTCGTTCAGCTGCTGTCATAGGCGACCGATTATACATCGACGGCGGCCAACTGAACTTTCAAGATAACCCCAAGAACTTCACGAGTGGGTTTCGTCTTCGTGCTTCAGTGACGATGAAGGTGGGATACTGAGACATACGTGCCTAAAGATACCAGGCTACTCTTCCACGACCTGACCACGACCAAGCGTAATGATGAGGAGGTCGGGCTGCCTATCCTGGAGACGAACCTCACCAAGCAGGCCGAATTCCCGTCGCTCAGTGGCGGCATCCTCTGGGCGGACCAAGCGAACGCCCGATTATACCAATTCGGAGGCCAGTGGGCCGAGTCCGAGACCCCCGAGGCCCGGTTCCGGCTGTACAGTTACGACGTGTACGGGAATCAATGGTCTGCCAGAGATCCCGACAAGTCGATCTCGCGGCTGGCGTACGGCGCGGGGACATCGGTGGAGCACCTCGGGAGAGCATTCTACATGGGCGGCTGGATGAACGAGAAAACCGACCGGAATTGGGTGGGACCTCGCGCTGCGAGCAATAAGCTATTGATGTACGACATGATCGGGGACAAGTGGACGAACAGTACCGGCCCAAGTGATCAGGAGGGGAGGGCCGAGGGCGTGTTGTTCTACGTGCCGTTTAGCGACAACGGAATGTTGGCGTATTTCGGAGGCGTGCGAGTGAATAGCCGCGGTGTCGAAAGGGCCGTGAGTGGACTCAAGACTCATAGCTTGTTGAAATGAATACTGACGATATGACGCCACAGGGCTCTATGAGTACCATAGGTATGATCTACACTTCGCACGACTAGGAGGACGACGGCGTGCTGACGGACAAAGACATCTTCGATTTAGCAGGCAACAAGTGGTACACTCAGAATGCAACTGGCGACATTCCTGAGCCTAGACATAGGTTCTGCGGTGGCATTGCAACCGCGGAGGATGGTTCTAGTTCGAACATGTATGGCATTCATAATTCCTCACTCTATCGAACGCATCAGCTGAAGAATATAGATATATCTACGGTGGCCTGGGCTTCGGTGCAAACGCAACTGGATTTGACGACGCCTATGTAAGTTGCCACGTCCAGAATAATCGGTTGATGAACTAAACATTCCAGATTCTCAGCCTTCCTACATTTACGTGGATCAAAATCTATCCCGCCAAAGGCATCGTGCGTGAGGAGAAGGACGCTTACCCCAAGTTTGATATGTCCTGCGCTGTGGTAAAGGGCTCGCAGCTGGTCATCATTGGCGGACAATACTCCAAGGATTTGGAAGTCACAAGCGTAACCCGCCAACCCCGATTGCTTGTGATGAGTCTCACGATGCTAACGTTCAGTAGTGTGATGTGCCAAAAGCCTGGGGTGTCCATAACCTGGTCATGTCCAAGGTCGATACCGGCAAAACAGCGGCGTATTGGGGCTCGTTCGACCCAAAACGTGACAAGTATACCATTCCTGATGATATTATCGATGTCATCGGCGGCGAGTATGTCTTTCACCCATCCAGAAAAACCTTTCATCAACACCATACGCTAACATTCAACCTCACCCAGTGCCTACGGAAATGCTCAAGTCAAGTCCCCCGACCCGAAGTTCGACTCTGCCGACCTCGATGTCCTTTTCCGCCGCACGGTGACAGTCAAACCTCGCGTGCCCACACGTACAGCACCGGCAGTAACCGCAAGCTCTGGTGCTTCCACGGAAGAAGCAGGCGTCTTCTCGACTCCAGGCAAACGCGCGGCAATCCTAGTTCCGGTGATTTGCGGTATCGCCATCCTCGCCATCCTAGGATTCTTTGCTATTCGATGGTACCGCCGAAAGAAGAGAAGCCAAGGTTTCCAGCAACCGCACGATGCACCACCTCCACAATACAAGCAAGATTCGAACGATGGGCTAGCGGACGTGCACGCAACCCAGCACCCCCAAGAGAGATGGGAGAATCTTCCACAACTCGACGCGACTTCTCCGGGGCACCAGACGTATCCGGATGCCTTCCACACAGGACCGTACAGTGACTACTCGGGCACCATACACACACCGCGGCACACCAGCCCACCCCCAGTAGAGCTGGGCGGCAGTGTGTACGGAACACTGAGTAGGAAACCAGTACCGGCGGGCTCGCCGCCGGGCACGCCAATCACACCAGTGGTAACGGGCCATTTCCCGCCGCCGCTGTTGGAGGGACTAATGCAGGCAAGGAATCCTCCGCCCGGACCGGAGATGAAGGATAGGGGAGGGAACAGATTTTCGGAGAATCTGTAGGGATATGGAGATATTTTCTGCGGAGAATGATTGTGCGTTTTATGTATGTACCATGGGACAGAGATACCTAGTCCCTACGCGGTTTTTTTTTCTTTTTTCTTCTTCTTTCATCAATGTAGAGGTGTTTTTTTTGGATTGTAATACCTGTAACCTACCTAATGTAGCTCTTGCTTCTGCTTCGCCCGGGATATTGGCGCTTTTTTTGATACCTTTTTTTGTATGTACGATCCATGGATGATAGGCAATGCATTCTATGAGTGGAGTTATGCGTCAAGCCCACGGTTTAACCGTTAAAAAGTCATCTAGTTTTCGTTTGATCCTGCTTGCGTTCGACCTTTTAGATCATGGCAGTTTTGACACAGGTACACCGTATCCTTCGGCCGCTGGTCGTAAGCTCGATGTGGGTTCCCCATTGCTCTCTGCCTAGCCCGTACAGATAGGTGAAAACAGAGAAGGAAAGAAGGAAAGAACGAGCGAATGGGAGAGGAGGAGGAGCAAAGCAATGGGGGAAGGAGATAAATAAGGAGGTAGGAGTGGAATAAAGTACCCAAGTCTCCGTCCCTCTCCGTATTACAATCCACCGCCTTCCATCCCGCTGTCCTTTTCCCCTTCGCCCTGGCCCCTATGTACCGCATGCCAATCCACTGGCGTCGCTGCCACCCTATTCTGCGCCGAATCGATGCCTCCAAGTAGACCGGGGTTTAGGAGGAAGAGCGGGGAGACTTCCCTCCTTTCTTCCTTCCTTCCTCTGGCGCCGCTGCCCTTTCCAATCCTACTAACTAACGACCACGTGGAGTCTACCGCTGCTACCGCCGCCGCAGTGTCGGAAGTTTGGCTGCGGCGGCGCCGGTCTATTTAAGTATGTACTCCTGCGAGGCGAGGGGAGGGGAGGGAGAGAACAACGTCGACCGACATCTGGGTGGACTGGAGGGTCAGGAGTCAGAAGTCAGGATGGCCCCACTAAGTCTGCACCTACTCGTTCCTCGCCCGGTTTCTTTCTTTCCGGAGTGCTTCGCACAACCGTTTCTGTTGTAGTCCATCAACAGCGCACGCGAGAGCAGCACAGGTATCACTCGACATGTGAGTGACACCATGTGCACAGCTAGAGCCTGGGGGCGCCTATTCGCGCACAAAAACCTCCACCGCCCTCGGCGAGTGCGGTGAGTGAGTGCGAACCTTGGAACCTAACCTTGGAATCCAACCTTGGAACCCAATCGGTGCCCAACACTCATTTACCATCCCCGAACCCCGGTGAGTACTTCTTACCTACTCAGATAAATAGATAGGAATCTTGGAACCCAGTCGGTACTCAACACGCCGCCGGACCACTATTATAGGCTACTACAGGCTATGAGGTATGTAAGGGATTTTAGAAGCCGGGGCCCGGAGGTTAATTACAACTTACGGTATATTCCGTATAATCCGGCGCGGCCGTACCTACTACCTACCTACTACCTGCAGCCTGCTATCTACACCTTACCTTGGCGGAAGCCTTCGATACGGTCGGTATGTAGCTTCTTGGCTGGGCGATGGTCTTCGACATACCTACATAGAGTACTCGACCGACAAAGAACCACGAACCACAGTGTGAGCGTAGAATAACCCACAATGCGTCAACACAAATACACAACACAAATACACAAAACAACACAAATACCATGCACGGCGGGTATCGACACGCAAGCAGATTATCACATGTAGCGCGGTAATTCAACGTATTTCGTTGACGCCTCTTTTCAACTTTCAAGTGGATTTTGCACATAAAGTCACACAAGCTAATACTAGTATGTATTGTGTAGATATCGCCAGCATTCCATCTCACTCTACATAGCTGTTCAAGTTGTCACATCTACTCGCTTTGAAGGAGCTAGAACGAAGTAAGGGAATATTGAATTATTATAGAACAAGTTCCGTCTACAGTCCCCAGTTAATTACACCACCACCTCAACCCCACCGACCACCACCCTCCTCTCAGCGATCCACCTAACCTCTCCCGCCCCCTCTCCCGCCACCTCCGCCACCTCATTGCCCAGCTTCCTCCTCACCTTCGGCTGCAAGCAGCGATCGCTCTCGCCGGTAGTCGCCGTGCCGAGGTAGCTCAGGAGGCCGCCTACAAACTTCCAAACACACAGCTCACTTTCCGCTACTGCAGCGAGACATTTCCCATCGGTACTGAACGCGAGCTGGCTCGCCAGTCCCTTATGGCCATCAAGGATGTGCAGGGTGGAGCAGTTTTTCATGTCGTAGACGATGATTGTGGCGGGGGAGGCGGAGATGGCGAGGCGCTGAGTGGGCCGGTGGAAGGCGATGGTGTGGTACACCGATGTGAGCGTGTCGACGAGGGTGGAGACCGCGGGGAGGATCTTTTCCCGTAAGCCGGAGTTGGGATCGAGCGTTTTGATCACGGCGGAGAGGATCGTGTGGAGTACTGGTGAGGGGAGGAGCGTGGGCGAGGAGCTGGCGATCGCGGTGACGATGTGGATTGCGGCGGTGGAGAGGGCGCCGAGTGTGGAGAGGGTGGTGGCGGCGAGGGAGGCGGTGGGTGTCGAGGTGGGTGTGTGGTGGTTTATGTTGTTTGCTAGACTGGAGGCGAGGAGGAGACTGTTTTTAGAGGCGATCGAGATGAAGCATCGATGCAGGTTTGTGCGGCGCGCGGGGGTGGTGGTGGTCGTGGATATGCGGATTAGGTTGTGCAGGGCGGAATAGGCGTCAAAGTGCTTCTCGAAGGTGGACCATGAGTAGCCGATTACTTCTATCGCCGTGTCTTGGTAGAGTGGATTTTCTTCGTTGAGGAGAAGCTCCGCACTACGGGCTACGGCTTTCTTCAAACTGGAGGGGAATCCATCAGCTATATGTATCGCAGTCGGAGGGAGGATACATACCTCTCATCATAGCTTCGATCATCATCATAATCCGAGATGAGTTTCCCGAGCAGAATAACCGATCTGGCAACCTCCTTCGTAGACGATAGCTCCGGGGGGACAAAGCAGGGGAGATAACCTCTCCAATACTCGACGGTAACCTTCCTCTCCTCTTCGGTCAGGGCACTCATGAACGCATCCAGACACTCCCGCGCAACCCATCTGATCAGCGGGTTCGCATCCGACCAGAACTTCGCAAACACGCCCAGCGCAACCTGTTTCTTCCCCAGATGTCGCTGCAGCATCTTCTCGAGCACGGTATTCATCAGCTCCTTCTTCCCCGTCGCCTCCAGGAGCGCTGAGATCAGCGCGAGGGCCGCCAGCAGCTTGATGGACGTGACCGTGGGCGAAACCTCTTCACCAAGATTTGCGGAGGGCGCGAGCATCGAAACTCTTCCGCCCGCGCCAATCTGCCCAAGTGTTGCAGGCCGCTTCCGATGGAAAAAGAACTGATCGACCGCGAACCTCCACTCACCGGTATCAGCGTCCTCATCCTCATCCTCATCATCATCCTCGACGTGATCGTCCAGAAACAGCTGATCGGTCCCGCCGGGCACCAATGCGGTCAGCAGACTTTTCGCCGCCACGATGGCCGGATGATTCCCGACGACCCTGCGTTCGGCTTTGCGACTGCGCTGCGCCGCCGTCTCGATCGCCGTCTCGAGCCCCGCCAGGACCGCGCGAACACTGATGCTGGCGGTCGGCAGGCCAATGCGGCAGAAGTCATCCATGAGCTGCAGTGTTCCGTCGGGGCTCGCCATGCCCTCCTCCTCATCATCGACGGCTAGTTGCAGCAGGTGTACGACACGCCACTCTACTGCAGCCCGGTCTGCCGAGGAAATACTCTCCGAGCCTGTCGACGCTGTTGCCGATCGCTCCTCGACGGACATTTGCGTGCTCACGGCAATACTTGTCCCCCTCGACGGCGGGGGGTTGACGAGCACGCCGCCATCCTCCTCGCCCATGCTCCACTCCCGGCGCACCCCGTCTTCATACACGAGCGCAAGGAGGTTCCTCCCCTGCTTGGTCGCGAACGCCTCGAGACGCGAGCACTCGTGGCTCGGGAACATGACCATGACCCGCGCCCTCTCGACATCGACGACGCAGGCGGTGCCGTCTTCGGAGCTGACCAGCAGGGTGGAGCGCAGGCGCCGGCCCAGGTTCGATGGGAGAAGGTATGCGGACTCAACCGCGCTGGTGAAGAGTGGCAGCCGCACGGAGCAGTGGTTCGACGGCGACGAAATGATGTAGAGATCCCCCGTCTGCGTGCCCGCAATGAGGTATTCCTTCCCACCGGAGATCCCGGCGTTGCGGCCGGCGCCGACGTACTCACTTATGCGCACAGATCTGAGGATGCAGATGGACGAGGGTGAGTCCTGGGTCGGAAGCGGAATGGAAGCGGTGGGATCGTGGTAGGAGAGGAGAAACGCGGTCAAGGAGTACAGGTGCACTGTGGCGCCGTGGGCGATGGCGAGCATGTTACAGAAGACCTCCGAGCAAGTGGAGGGAGCTTCAGGATGTCCCGGGTCATGGCGTTCACTGATGCTCGTGAGTGCTGGACTACAGTCAGCGGTCGTTTCGATGATAAACCAATGGTTTTCGTGACTTGAAGCACACCTTTTTCATTCCAATTAACGATTTCCATGCCCTCCTCGGTCCTGCGTATCTCCGCCACAGAAATATCAATCCCGGGCCTCCTGCCAGGGCTCTGCACCTTCGGCCTACTGGAGACCACGACCTCGCCCTCGCCCTTGACGGCATCAAAAAACGCCGCGACATTCATGACCACATCGTGCTCAAACGCCTCTTTCGGCGGCGTCCACTCTGCTAGCTCCTCCAATTGCTGCCCCTTGACCGTAAAAACCTTAACCCTCCCATCGCCGGTGTGGACAATGAGCGTCCTGCGTGCGGTCCCCAGCTCAACGCTGACCACCCTCGCGGGCACCGCGACCTCATGCATCTTCACGAAGCCTGCGGAGCCCGCGGAGCCAGCAGCAGCCAGCGTATGAAACGACAACCCGCGGTCTTGCACGACCAGCCAGCCCCCATCCACCGCCTCCCACCCCGTAATCCGCCCCCACTCCTCCCGCACCCCTACCATCCTCACCCCCGAAACCCTCCGGACCACAACCCCGCCTGCAACCTTCCCCACATCCCTTTCCACAACCCAGCTCTCGACCTCTCCAGTGGCCAGTAGCGTCAGCACTCCCTCCCCCTCCTTCTCCCCCACCTCCCCGCCCACCCCCTCCCCCTCCCACATTTCCAAAGGAACAGCCCAATCCCTCACCCCCCAAACCCCCACCGTCTCCAGACTAACCGGATCCACAAGGACCACCTGCGTGGCACACGCGTACACGGCGAGCACACCGCCCAGCACCTTCAACCCCCTCGGCCTCTCCACCACGGGCGCAGGCGCAGCCACGACACAGCGCCAGTCGTCGGTACTCCATTTCGACAGCGCGCCCTGCGCATCGAGGCTGAGGACGTATTCTCCCGCGGCGGCGGCGGCGGTTTCGCAGGGGGAGACGAGGGGGTGGAGCGAGAGGATGGGCGCGCGGTGGCCGAGCAGCCGCCCGAGAAGCTGGGGTGGAGAGGTAGAACGGAGATGGAAGACGCTGATCTCCCCTGTTGAGAGGCCAAGGAGGAGGTGCGTCCGGCTTTGGTAAGAGGTGGTTACTGTGGCCGTGCTGGTCAGGGAGAGCGCGGACGAGGTCCAGTGGGTGAAGGGGAAGGAGAACGCTGGGAGAGACATGCTGTGTGGAGCGGGGTGTGGGGTGTGCGGAGCTGCGGGGAGCTGTGGAGGGGAGCTGCGCGCTGGAGAGCTGTGGTTGGGAATTGCTGCTTTCGGTTGGACGGGCGGAAAGGCGCGGATGATCCTGGTGCGACGGTGCTTGGCGGGGGGCTAATGATGTGCTATGTGAGAGGTTCAAAGGAATGGATAGGTCGGGAGGAGGAGAGAGGTGGACTGTGAATGCGTTTATATCGAGTATGGGTGTGTAAAGGTAGTGTAGGCATACTTGGAAGCATCTACTGTCGTTGAAAAGTCGCACTTCATATACATCACTCGCCTTCCTCGGCACCAACAGTGTCGGAGCACATCTCCATCCAAAGAACACCCCCCCGGCCTAGTTTCACCATGTTGACAGACGGATCGCGGTTGGAGGATGGCGGCTGCGGATATTCGGTGGTGTGGGGAAAAGGCCCGACCAGCCGGCGAGGATACAAAACCCATATGGGCTACAACCAAGAGGCCTACGACGCAGAGTGCGCTGCCATAGTAAGGGCACTGGAAACAGCGGTGGATAGACTGCAAAGGTGGCCGACCCTAGAGCGTGTCACCATCTTCACCGACGCTCAGGCGGCAATATAGTAGTGCGAATGAGTTCCCTCGACGTTGGCCCAGGCCAACAGTATGCCCACCAAGCAAGGGAATGGCTAGCCAAAATCAAGTGTCCAGTGGAGATCCGGTGATGTCCTGCCCACGAGAAAATCGAAGGAAATGAGATCGCAGATGGGTGGGCCCAGTAGGTAGTAGAAAACCCGGACGGCGATGGAGTAGAATGGCTCCGGCAAGGTATGTAGCGGATATGGACGCCGGCGTGACGTGCCCCTCCCGGTCTCACTGGCACATCTCCAGAGGCGGATTAGCGATGAAAAGCGGAGAGAGGCGCATTAGTGGTCACTGGGCCGGATCAAAAACCGGCGGTACGATACCAGGCAGCCCCCGAAAAAGACCCCGGATCCGCTCCCAGCAAATGCGCCGAAGAAGCTGGTCGCCCGCTTCTACCGACTGAAGACAGGGCACGCCCTCACGGCGATGTACCTGGAGTGGATAAAGAAGCGGGATGATGATCATTGCTGGTGGTGCAACAGGCCTACCGAGCAGTCCCGCGAGCACCTATTCAAAACTTTCTCACGCTGGAGAAGCCAACAGAAAGCCTTGTGGGCAAAGGTCCCGAAGGAGATGGAGAGGAGGAAAGAGAAGTGGTCGATAGCGGAGCTATTCGCCGACCAGCAATGCAGCGAGGCAATCCTAAGGAGGAAAGCTCCACCAGGCCTGGAGGCAAGCATCTCATCGGGGGCAGAGCAAGAGCGCCCAGCAGAGTAAGTACTGTGTCTGCGGCCGGTGCGAAGAAGTACCTAGGAGATGAGGATATGTGGTGATAGTTTCTTGAAGCGGAAAGGCGGAAGGCGGGAGAGAGAGGCGAGGGGGCAGCAGGAGGAGCGGGCATGTAGGCCCATAGGTACCGGTCTTTACTGTCAATCTACTTTCTACTTTTTGCTTGTGTCAGCTCGAGGCGGATGGGCAGGGGAAGTGGGGCGCCGCATCGGACTGGTCGGTACCGGGGCTTTCACCTCGACTGGCCAGGGCGGGCAGGAAAAGGAGTGCGTTGGTTCGCCATAGGTAGTCTAGATTGGCTGCATGCGAAATAAAAAGGAAGATCTCTCTCTCGCCATCCAAAGAACGCATGATTTGCCGTGTACATTTGTTTGTAGAACCCGTCTCTAGTCCATCGAAGATAGCATCAGCAACAGCTGTTTCCCCCTTGCTATCTCGCACGCACATCTCCAGATCCCCATCCCAATCCCAATCGCCAGGTATCGTATTCTTCAACTCTACCGAAGATCTCTCTACAACACGCCGTAGATGCACCCCCAAATCAAATAAGCGGAAAAAAACATTGCCATTCCCAAATCACACGCACGCCCACATTCATTCACTGCTACTGATTCCACCACGGCTGATTCTTGAAGTACAATCCAGTAGCCTGGACGCCCTGGGCGCCCTGAAACTGCTTGTTCATTCCATGGGTTGCCCAGGGTCCCACCGCGACCTCAATCAACTTCTTCGCCTGGCGGCCATAGATACTGCAGAGCTTCTTTGCGCCGCTGAAGATTATGGTGTTGACGACGAAGTAGTGCGTGTTGGTGAGCTTGCTGGGTGGGCTGTTGACGAGCGTTGCCAGCACGTGCCAGAGGTTGAAGGTCGGATACGGGTTTCGCATATTCGATCTCCCAAAGTCGCTGTGATGCGTGTTAGCAAGCTTGAGGTTCGACAAGATCGTAGGGTTGTCTACCGAGCAGCAATGGCAACGAAGCCGGCTGTCAACGCCTGCATCCGGCCACTGTACTCCGCCTCAGACTCGGTTAATCCGTTTGCATCTTTCTTCCATCCGAGACGTTCCCTATCAGCGTCGGTGGCATCAGGGCCCATCTCGCCCCGGAGAATTGGGTTCGTCTTCAGGAGTCGAGCGACAAAAATATCGACGAACGACCTGCCACCTGGACAGTACTTGGGATCAGCAAAGACACTGGCGATGACGACACCGATCGGATCCGCAGCATCCGTTTTGGAGGAGCACTCCTGTAGCAGCTGGTGCTTGGCCATCTTCGCCAACTGGTTCACTATCCAGACAAACGTAATCGGGACCATGATATCCTGTGGAGCAGGTTGCAAGAGGTAGTTGGCAGCTGGAACCGAAGGACAGTTCATCTGCAGGACCTTGTCGAGGCATTTCTTGATAGCATCGCGCTGTTGACGCCAGTCAGTACCGCTAGTGGCTTGATTCCGCTCATGTATGGAGAGAATAAACATACAACTGTAACAGTCTGCTCCTTCAGGCCATTGAGCTGTCCAAACTTGGGAATCAACTCACGACGGATCAGCTTCAGGCCACTTTCTTTGAGGAAAGTCTCATCAAGCTGTTTCAACCCCTTCAGGTTGGTGATGACCCGCTTGACCTTTGCCGTTTCGGCCTCGAAGGACCTCCTCCCATAGACGTCGGATGCGGCGCCCTGAAGTGGGGCACTCGGCGAGTTGGCAGCATTGGCGGCATTCGCACTGGCAGCATTCGCACTGGCAGCATTCGCATTGGCAGCATTGGCAGCATTGGCATTGGCGGCATTGGCGGCAGCGGCAGCATCGGCCTGTTGTTTCTGCGCATTTTGCAGTGCTTCTCGTTGCCTCCTCTCGTTGTCTTCAGCCGCCTTCCTCGCCTCAGCCTGCTTCCTCTCCTGTTCCGCTCGCGCCTGCGCCGCCTCGGCCTCTTGCCGTTTCCTCTCCAGCTCTTCTTGTTCCCTTCGCAATCTCTCGGCCGCCTCGCGCTGTCTCTGCTCTTCGGCCGCCTTCTTGGCAGCCTCCAGCGCTCTGATCCTCTCCTGTTCCTGTCTCTCCAGCTCGAGCTGCCGCTGCTCTTCGGCTACTCTCCTATCGTAGACCACTTTAATCTTCTGCTGGTATTCCGCTTCCAGTTGCGCGGCTTCCTTAGGATTGAACCTGTTTTCTTTCGAGAAAAGCGCATCCAACTCACGAGCCAACTGTCGATTCGATTCCGGCCTAGTAATGGCCTCGCTGTACTCCGTGGCCTTAATGTGGAGAATCTCGAGCCGCGATGTAATCGCTTCAGCATCAGCAACGGCGCGGCCTTTGCCCTCGATTCCTGAATGAGCGATGCCGCCCGGAGCATCACGCCTCGGAGAGTATTGAGGCGACAATACCGGCGACGTTTCGTAAGACCTCAGTGGCGAGTCTGGGAGAGGCAAGCTCCGTGGGCTCTTTGTTGGTAACATCTCGGAGACGGTGGTCGCTTCGCTATCGTCCAGTGAGGCACCGCGGTAAGATCTCGGACTGGAAAACGCGATTTCGATGTCTTTGGTCTCTCTTGGCCGGGCTCGACTAGGATTCCCTGGCAATCATTATGTTAGACGTTGTCACAACCGATTACGCTTTCGGCGATAGTGATAGTAGGAGTAATGGTGATAAAGGAGGAGAAGGTCTACCGCGTGTAGTCGGCGCAGTGTTGCGGAGCGCATCGTCAAGTCTAGACCTCAATCCCTCTGCAACCATTGTCAGCAACACTGCGAAGCGAACCGTAGGCGACCACTGGAGGGAAGCGAGTAAGTACGTTTTTTTGCCGAAGAGCGCGCCGTCGCGTTCGCCTTGTTGTAATCGTCTTCGGAATCGTCAGAGTCGTAGAACAAAACCGCCGACGGCTCCGCAAGCGGAGAGAGCGGGTGGTAGACTTCGCGTTGGCAACCATATGTGCCCGTCGACTGGGAGTTCTTCCACAGCAGCTGTAAGGTGGGGGAGATGGTGGGGTAATCTGCCTCGTTCAAGCGCTGCTGTGCGGGGGACGACGGCTGCTCGTCTGGCGACGTCACGGTAGACGTCTTGGTGGCAGACATCGGTTCGACTCTCCTGACGATCGTGACTGAGTCTCCAACCACGCGCGTTGGGGGATCAGTGTCGGTGTTAGTGACCACAGCGCGGATTGAGATGGTCGCGGAGAAATTTCTGGGGGGACTGAATTTAGGGAGATGTGAGTGGTGTGAGTAGTGTATGGAGATGTGAGTGGTGGTGAGGGGGGTGGTGGTGACGGGGAGTGGTCCAGACTCCAAAGTCTGTTTATGGCTGTGGCTGTTCGCCGAGAGGGGAGACCTGCCGGGTGAGCTTGGGGCCACCTTAGGTCGTGTTCGTGTTGCAGAGTTCATGCCCAAGCCACACACGCCGTCACGTGACATGAGTGGCTTGGCGTGACGTGCCGTGATCTTCGTTGGCCTCGAGTGACAATTTCTGTCCACATCTCTGCGAAACAAATTCCATGGACCAGTCGAACGTGTTGGTGTAGATAGCAATCCATCACGTCGTTTAGATAGCAATCGGTAGATAGATACATCTTAGACTTCTCACTCGACTGTGCGACCAGACTCTGGGCCTGTCCGGTTGTCAGCTGTATCCAGACTCTACCATACAAAATTGAGATACAGTTTGAAACCTTCAGTTTCCGCCCAAGTTAACAATTTGAGAAACTGCATAATAGGCATAAAAAGTGTGGCGTGCTGGGTTGCCGAACAGGTCATCAGGGGAGTTGAGAGTTTGCAGCTGAAGCTGTAGCTTTGGCAACCTTTAACTCGCCAAAATCGCGAATTTTGAAAATGCAGCTGGCAACCGAATAGGTTAGTTGAGTTCAGGGAGCCGCGCAGCTAGTAGCGAATACTTACCTTCATTCACTCATTCACTTTTTCCTTCTTTCTTGCTTTTCAGTCTTTCTTTTTATTGAGCGGGTGGTTGAGCGGAAAGAGTTGGGTGGGAGTTGAATAGGGTGGGAGTTGAGGGGAGAGAGTTGAGCGGGAGTTGAGCGGAGAAGGTTAGGCGGGAGTTGAATGGAGAGGGTTAGGCGGGGGTTGAGCGGGGAGAGTTGGGTAGGAGTTGAATGGAGAGGGATGAGCGGAGCGAGTTGAACGGAGAGGAGCAGGGAAGGTTGAATCGCAGGGTGGGCGGAGAGCAATAGGGAACCGGTATCGAACACACACACACTCTCTCTCTCACCTCAGGGAGCAGCGAGGCACGGATAAGAATGCACTGGCCATCTGCATCCGAGCCGATGATGCACGAGGTGACCGGCTTGTTCTACACACCATTGCGGCATCAGGATGATGACAGCGGGCACGGCTCGCATTGGGGCGTAGATTGAGTGCCAGCCAGGTAGCAGGGTGACTGGGCTTAGAATACCTGCGTGCCGGTTAACCAGATGCTCACGTACCGGTGGTAGGTACTATGGACACCCGAGCGTTCTATGCACCGGCAGAGAGATTCGTCACGGCGATTGCGAGCGATCAGCCACCAAAGGAACATTCAGTCGATCAATCAATCGGCACGGGCAGCGGCACAGGCAGGTCCCTAGAATATCTACCCTGCCATGCCGTAGCCGCGCACAATCCGCTGTCCGGAATCACGACAACCGGGCACACGACGCATCGATCCGTCGATGGCAGCAAGCATGGACCAGATGCTCTGGCTCTCTGGGGGGAGGGGGCGGCTGCCCATGTAGAGTAACTAACGTCAACGTCACCCACATCCCATCCCATCCCCATCCCGTCCCTTGCGTCGCTGGAGACGACGACTAACTAGAGTAGAGTGCCGGTACTATCGACCGTCCGCGACGAGCGAGCTACGGTACTCTATGTACTCTAGACGAGGGCGATAGCTAAAACCCGTGATTGCATCAGAGAGGGTGGGTTGCGTGCGTGCCAGTGTTGAGCCACACTCAATCCGAATCGTGGTGCTGATGAGCTCTTTGGTCATGGTTTCGTATTGCCCGTCTGTGTGGCTGTCGTGAGATGAGTCGAGGATATCAGTTTGATTCCTGATCTCCATCAATCCGATTGACATTCTCCATCAATCTCTCCTTCCCCCGAAAAGCCATACTGCTACCTCCATCCTCGGCCGAAACACTCCCTCATCTTCCCTCCTCCACCCTCATCATACGCATCGCAATCATCATCGTCACCACGGACCACTCCGCAAAATACATCTCCGCCTGCCTCTCTCGCTTGTCGCCCTCCGACACTCCTCCTCCCTACCCCAAGCAAGTACCTTCTGCAGCTCAGCCCTCTCCGACACAACACGATCCCTCCAAATCCTGTTTCATCCTCCTCCTCCAGCTAGCCAGCCAACCGAGAAGATCGATTATTCCCTTCCGTTCTCTCCCCTCCATCCACCTTCCTCTGCATCCCTCCGGGTTCCTCTCTCTCCGATTCGCTCGAGCCCGTTCACTCATCTGCCCTCGCCGCTGCCTCTCCCTCGAAGAAGAATCCGATCCGCCTGCCTGTGGTTAGCTGGCAGCTGTCACTGCATTGCCACTACATACATCCATAACCCGAGCTACAGCTACCTCCATACCTGCCTCCCCATCCGCCACACGAGGCATCAAGCCATCTAATCGCCTCCTTTTTTCCGGCGCAATCATCCCGCACGCAACACCCAATTCGACATATCTTCGGTGTTCTCCTACGCTAGGTAAGCCTGACTGAGGAAAAGCAAATAGAGAGACAGCATTGGCTGGTGACCGGAGACACAATTCAAACAGTTCCCCCAGAAAGAAAGCAGAAGGCAAAAAGACAGGCGTCTATTTATCCCAAGAGACTGGCACTTGAACGAGTCTAATCATGCACCCCCCTACATATTGGGAACTGTTGCATACCGAATGCTAGTATCTTCATACATCCACGCATTATCACATCCCCAACCCTTCAGACACCGCCCCCAGTATCATCCCCAACCCCAGCCTATCCGACCCCCCTCCCCCTCGACCCCCCCAATCCCCCCTCCAGTGGCCCTCCCCGCCCCGTGTTGCACCAAGAACATCCCACCATTCAAACCCCTGTCCGCCCACCCACTGTTACGACGACCCCAACCCTCAACCACCAATCCGCGTCCTCCTCCAAATCCATCACCCGCCAATCATCCAATCCCTAAACTCTGCGCGGCATCAAAAGCCCGCTCTGCTCCACCTCCCCTTCCTCTTCCTCTTTCTCTTCTTCTTCTCCTCCCTTCAATCATCTCACGCCTTCTCTTCCTTCGAATCCATCCATCTCTCTCCCTTCTGCCTGCAAGCGTACATACTCCCCCCCTCTGCCTTCTTGCTCTTTGTTTGCTTCATTGCTGTCCGTAATCGACGCCGAAGCATCGTGTCCTCTATCTCTGTCTCTCTGTCTTGCCCGTGCTTCGCGGTGGCGGCCGCCGTGGTAGCGTGCGTTCGTGTTGGTGGCGGTGATGCTGACAGGCCCTCTACCGAGTCATAGTCCTTCCCTCCTTGACCACGAAACGAATTCCAACTCCTCCATCGGCTCGGTGCTGCCATCAAAACCAACACCTCTGGGTCATCACCACCACATCGAAATTGACATCACTCTCCCTCCCCAACGATCTCTCACGCTTCCGCTTCCCGCCCCTCCCTGCGATCCTTCCCTCAGACAGTCCTCAACCTGATCCGCTAGCTCACCTTGATCCACGTAACTTGTTATCTACCCACATATTCACCACAGACCTCCTCCAGCTCGGCTCCCCTCCCCGAACCACCCCGGTCTCTCACAGCTCAACCGCGGCTGCAGCCTCTCTCGGCCGTGATCTACAGACTTCGAAAAATAGGCAGAATCAATCTGTGACGTCGGTCTCAAACGTTCCCACCCCCTGGCTACCCACCCCCTTCGCCTCGCCTCGGAACTGGAGTCGCTTGTTGTTTCAAAGCTAGGTTACGACTTCCCGCTCAGACGAGACAACGACCGAAGAAACGAGAAAAAAAGAACTCGCGAGGACAGCAGAAGAAGGATCCCACCACCATTACGACATTAACCATTTGTGTATCCACCAGCATAGTCCTTAACTAGCCGGATTGATCTATCTATATAGGCAACATATCTATCGACTTTACCGGCCTACTCCAGATTACCGGATTTAACGTTTAACATCAAGGTGAGTTTCGGGTCCTCCCCACAAATATTAGCTCTCGGAGAGAAGCTTTGCTTTGCGTTGCTTTGCTTTGCTCGGCTCCCGGGTTCATAAGCATCGACTGGAAATGCTAACGGGCCACCCCGATGCCGTCATTAGCTCGCATCGCAACTTTACTCAGGGGCAACTTTGAATTAGCTCCGACACTCGCAACTACATCATAGCAACAGCGTTCTACGCAGTGAGTTTTATCCCTTTCTCCTTCCACAGGCTTGTTTTCCATGTGTTTCGAATCTAACGGACATGCTCAGGCAATCATTAAAACACAACTACCATGGATCCGCAACAGCAGAATCCCACCGGGCCCGGTGGCCGCAGACTACACATTGCGCACAGGAGGTCTCCTTCAGAATTGACGCCATTGATGAGTATGTCGCATTTTCTTCGCAGCAAGGATCCTTCAGTCCCCCAGGCCTCCGTTCCCGGGAGTCCAGTCGTCGAGGAAGATAATTTCAATGCGGCTATCCGTATAGCATGCTTACGCAATACAGTGGAGCAATTGGCTCTCCAGCAGCAGATCGAGATGCTTCAGGCCCAGCAGCAGCAAATGCTGAATGCACATCAACAGTATGCCAACATGGGGCTGCTTCCTCCGGGACAACCTCATCTCGCACCAAATTTTAACCCAATGCAGCACCAGCAGATGGCGGGCATATCGCCGCATCAGCAACAGGCTAACTTTCAGTTCCCGCCTCAGCAACAGCAGGGGGCTGCTCCCCAAGGCGCTCCCACCCAGCCGTCGGCTCACAGGCGGAACGCGTCGGCTATGCCTGGTATGCAGGGCGCGGGCGGCCCCCCACCTGCACCTTCGTCTGGTGCTGCGGGTGGAAACTTCGGAGAGTTTAGCATGCCCGGCGCCGGCGGTAGCGGTGTTCCTCCACGTCGTCCTTCCGGTGGTCCGAGCGATCGTGGGCACCAGAGGCGGCACTCACTGGCCCTACCAGAAGCGAAGAAGGCTGCCGAATTAGCCCAACAACGCCGTGGCCAACCTGGTTTCCAGTTTCCAGCGTCTGGTGGTGGCACTTCAACCAGCCCGGGCGCCGACGCTGCCCCCACTAACACTAACGGTCCTTCGGCTTCCAATGAGACCTTGGCTGCTACTCCTCCGGCGGCCAATCCTCCCGCGCAGCCGAGTGGAACCCAGAACGCTGGCCCTCCTCAGGCTCGATCGATGAGGGGAGGACACGGACGCAGTCAGAGTCTTGCGGTTGGTCTCAATGGCCGGAGCCCCGTCGGTGGTCGCCTCGGTGGATTCCAGTTCCCGCCGCCAGCCGACGCAGGCGCTGGTGTCAATCAGCAGCAGCAGCAGCAGCAGCAGGGTGGCCCGCAGCCCGGTCAGAACGTCGAACGCCGCGGTAGCAACTCTGGGTTCCAAGGCCACGGCCGATCCGCATCGAGAAATTACCAGGACAACTGGCGTAACCCGAACCAAAACCAGTCGAATGCGCCTGTGGATGTTCAGAATCAGAATCAAAACCAACAGTTCAACCAGAGCTTCCAGCCCGGTCACCGCCAGAGAGCGTCGATGAGTGCCTCTATCGGATCATTCCAATTTCCTCCTCAGCCCAACCTCATGATTCCCGGCGCTGCAGGCCAGGGAATTTTCATCAACCCTGCCACGGGCCAACTCTTGAACCCCGGCTTAATCCAGCAGCAGCAACTAACTCAGCTACAGATGCAGCAGGCCGCATTGGGCGCGCAGCAGCTCGGTCTCGGTGGTATGGGCCAGCAAGGCGGTCAGAATCTCTCGAACCAACAGCAGCAGCAACGCAAGACACTCTTTACCCCCTACCTTCCTCAAGCCAGCCTGCCGGCGTTGCTGGGTAATGGACAGTTGGTTGCCGGTATCCTGCGTGTCAACAAGAAGAACCGAAGTGACGCATACGTCTCCACCCAAGACGGGCTGTTAGACGCCGATATCTTCATCTGCGGAAGTAAGGACAGGAATAGGGCGTTGGAGGGTGACTTGGTCGCTATTGAGCTCCTCGACGTGGATGAGGTTTGGGGCCAGAAGCGGGAGAAAGAGGAAAAAAAGAAGCGCAAGGATATTACAGAGAGTACCCGCGGTGCCAACGTTAGCAGTAACAACGTCAACAATAGCTCCAACGATGCCACCGCCGGCGGCGATGGAGAGCAGGCTACTCAGCCCGGCGGCATGCGGAGGCGTGGCAGTCTTCGCCAGAGACCCACCCAGAAGAAGAACGATGACGTCGAGGTCGAGGGACAGTCGTTGTTGTTGGTCGAGGAGGAGGAGATCAACGACGAGCAGAAGCCGCTGTATGCCGGTCATGTCGTTGCTGTCATTGAACGTGTTGCTGGTCAGATGTTTTCTGGGTAGGTCCATCCCTGGAGATTTAGATGTTCGAGACACTTTCTAACCTTATCTCACGCAGCACATTGGGTCTTCTCCGTCCCAGCAGTCAAGCCACCAAAGAGAAGCAGGAGGCAGAAAGAGCCGCTCGGGAAGGTCACAATTCTCGACCGCATCAGGAGCGCCAGCAGGAGAAGCCAAAGATCGTGTGGTTCAAGCCTACGGACAAGAGGGTTCCCTTGATTGCGATCCCCACCGAGCAAGCCCCCCGGGACTTTGTCGAGAACCACCAGTCCTACTCGAACCGCATCTTCGTGGCCTGCATAAAGCGTTGGCCCATCACCTCCCTCCACCCCTTCGGTACCCTCGTCGAGCAACTCGGAGAGATGGGAGACATCAAGGTGGAAACCGACGCACTCCTCCGCGACAACAACTTTGGTCCAGACGAGTTTTCGGAAGCGGTTGTCAGGAACGTCGGTTTCGAGACGTGGTCAGTGGAAGGCGAGGAAGAAGAAACTATTGCTACCCGTAAGGATCTCCGAGCGGAGCACACGTTTAGCATTCTTCCCAAGGAAGGATCCGAGATCAGCAATGCCTTCCACGTGAAGAAAGCCCGGGAAGGTGTTTGGGAGATTGGTGTCCACGTGGCGGATGTCACTCATTTCGTGAAGCCCAACTCTTTGGTGGACCGCGAAGCCAAGAAACGAGGAACTGCCGTCGAACTGGTCAATCGATACGTGCCCATGTTGCCAGCGAAGCTCGGAGAAGATCTGGTTTCCCTGAAGCCCGGTGAGGACAGGTTCGCGTTCAGTGTTGTCTTCAATGTCAACGAAGCCACTGGCGGCATTGACGGCGAGCCCTGGATTGGAAAGACGATCGTCAAGAACGACGCGACCCTTCTCTACAGTGCAGTGGATGCACTGGCCATTGGCAAGAGCGAGACCGAAGGCGAGACCGAGGGCGAGGCGGCACCCGAGGTGGATGAGAGCATCAAGGAGGCTGTTGATGCGCTGAAGGTAAGGCCCACCATTCCATATGGGATATGATCAGTAGCTAACCGTGCTGCAGAAACTCACCAAGAAGTCCCGCGAGCAACGTTACGCTGTCGATGATGTTGTCATCCCAGCGATGCGTCTTCTCTACCAGACCGACGACGAGAATGTTCCCAACACGGAGAACATCTTCGAGACCCGGCTTGCGTACGAAATCGTGGAGGAGCTTCTCATCAAGACCAACTCGCTTATTGCGGAGAAGATTGCGACCGGCTTGCCTGAGAAGGCCTTGCTCCGTCGCCAATCCCCTCCCAATCAGCGCCGTCTGACCACCTTCGGTGAAAGAATCAATAGACTTGGTTACAACGTCGACATCTCCAGCGGTGCATCCCTCATGTCGAGCCTCTTCTGCCTGGAGGATGCCAAAATTCGCAAGGTGAGATATTTAACCCCCCCTACTCCATCGGATCTAACGGCTAATCAATTGTAGGGCATGGAAACTGTCTTGGTGAAGGCTATTCAGCGGGCCAAGTACTATGTAGCCGGAAAGGTCGAAGCCGACCAGCGCGGTCACTACATCTACAACCTCCCGGTGTACACCCACTTTACCAACCCCATTCGTCGCTACTCGGATATCATCGTTCAGCGTCAGCTTGAATCCGTGCTTTCCAACGGCGAAATCGAGTTTGTCGAAGACACTGAGGCTTTGAGCAAGACCGCCGAGCAGTGCAACGTGAAGAAGGATTCCGCGAAGAATGCTCAGGAGCAGAGCATCCACATCGAACTTTGCCGTGCTGTGGACAAGCGTCGCGTGGCTCAGGATGGTGAACTGGTATGCGAGGCCATCGTTATCTGTGTCTACGAATCCGCTTTCGATGTTCTGATCCCCGAGTACGGTTTCGAGAAGAGGGTGCACTGCGACCAGCTTCCGCTCAAGAAGGCTGAGTTCGACAAGACCAACCGTGTTCTCGAGCTCTACTGGGAGAGAGGTGTCGCTTCCAACACCTATGTTCCTGAGGATGAGCGCCCCAAAGGAGCTGCTGCTCTTCGTGCCGCGAATGAAGCCGCTGCTGCCAGTGCCGCTGCCGCCAAGGCAAAGGCTGCTGAGGAGCGGGAAGAAGTCCAACGCAAGGCCATGGATATCTCGTCTCGGCCCAGCCACGAGGAGGATTCACTGTTCGACGATGACTCGGACGCCGGCGAAACCGACGAAGGAGTTGCACTTGCGCCCCCAGCCAACACACGGCCCACGCAGAGCATGCCCGGCTCACCCGCCAAGTCCCCCACTGCGTCTCAAACCCCTCACCGCACCCGATCGGACCCCAAGCTGTCGGTGTCGGCCCACGAGGATGCCGCACCAAAGGACGACGAGCAGGTGTCCAAGAAGGAGAAATACTTTCACATGTTTACCGTGCGCGAAGAAAAGGGCGATAACATTCAGGAGGTCCGAGAACTCTCGAGGGTTCCCGTATACCTCAAGACGGAGTTGAGCAAGAGTCCTCCTTGCCTGACGATCCGTTCCCTGAACCCTTTTGCTTTGTAAAAAGCATAAGTGTGTGTCTTGGGCGATATTCAACATATCGATAGTCTATCTTCATTCGGAGCAGGTTTGTATTTGCAATTGACGTTGAATTATGGGGGAAAGGAGAGAGGGGGGTTTAGAGTCAGTAATGTCTACTACTTAACTTACTTACTTACTTGCTTCTTGCGCCGCCATATGCGATGGAAATACTTTATTTCTCGGGGCTGTTTCGTTTCTTTTCGGTTGTTCGTTCCTGTTAGCTTTTCCTTTGTTTGGGCGAGCTGCTACCGTGTGTTTCGCATCTTGTCTGGTTTGGGATGGCATTGGGTTGGGGATTGGGAGGTTGGGGGTTGAGGGATGAACTTAGGAACGCGTATGTCGTTCATGACGATGATGGCGAATGATGGCGAATGATGAGTTGAGTTGAGTTAAGTAAATATCGTGTTACTGGCGTTTATGACGGGGTGTACCTTGTGATTGATGTGATGTGATGTGATTCCGAACTGAACTGAAGCCAGCCGGTCGAGCCGTAGCCCGTCGAGTACAAAAGAGTGGTCTGGAGAAGAACTCACCACCGTACCGAAATCGAGTACCTATGCAGAATTGACCTAAGCCAGTCGTATCATACAGTAGTAAAAAGTAGGGTGCGATTGATCATTGATACGAGAAGAATACCACAGTCATTACTAGTACTTAAGGGTCCGTAAAATGCGATCTTTTGGAGTATCATGGGGTTTGGTATGTATAGATGCAGTACCTAGCATAACGGATTTGCAAACGGCTCCTTTACCAACCAACACCACGACAGCCTGGTGGTGGGATCGAGAGGAGTTGAATTTTAACACACTTCCTCTCGCGGATATCTCCACTTCTCGTTGACATGTCCACTTCTCGTTGATAGCTCTCCTCTCACTGATAGTTTATCCGTCACTTCTTCCTCTTGCTGATATCTCCTCCTCTCGCAAACTTCCCGCACTACAAGAAAGTCGTAAACGTTTGCTTGCTTGCGTAGGTACAACACATCTTACCCACAGTACGTATTCTTGAAAGTTGAAATTAGAGGTTTTCTACGGTATGCATATCTACCAGATTCAGTGACCGGAGGCTGGAGCATTCTGCTCATCACGGCACGGTATTTCGTCCGTAGAACTTATGTCGTCATGGTTTACCACAGTCTACTATCAGCAGCTACTGGATTATGTAGCATGGCATGGCAACGTTTTCTCTGCACTGGGTAGGTACATAAGTTCTCTGGTAGGTAGTTCTCTGCTATTCTGAACACTGCGTATGTAATATTTTGTATTCGGAAGAACTGCGGTACCGGTAGTTAGTTCTTCCAGCTTTTCAGTACCTAAGGGCCCGTTTGGAACTTTGGATGGCCTCAGTTTTCAGTTCCAGTTTTAGAGCGCAATCCAGTTCCCCGCCGGGACACCGAATACCGTAGTACTGTTAAGCTTCAGTTTCAGTTTCAGGAAAACCTCGAGGTGAACAAAATGTTTGGCAGTTCTCGGTATACCTAGTATTTTTCGATACTGTAGAATTGAGACTACGTATAGGGGGAAAAAAAATACGAAATTCAATCTATATTCTCATGAAGGCTCAGAGGCTGAGACTGCTGGATTTCAATCCGTGCGGTATGTAGTAGGTATGATACTACTTACTGGAGACCGCCGGCATCAATCACATCCCACTTTTTGCTACTGTATGTATTTAAAAGAAGGAGGGAGGGAGGGAAAGCTTAATGCCGACCTCATTAACGATTGGCTGACCTATATACTATAACTCGTCCGCATTTTCTTTTTCTTTTTCCTAGACTGCGGGGTGCATGATCCTAAAGTACTGTATATCTATACTCTCTGCGGCAAAAGGTTGCCGAGTTTCTACAAACAACGAGTCTGTTTGGTTCCCTCTGGTGATGGGGGGATGCGGTGGGGATGGGGATGTGGGTGATGGCTGATGGGGGGATGGGAGGGTGTATAAAATGCATCTGTAATCTGTATCTGCCGAACTCTGGGGCATTGGGTTGTTTATGAGCTATATCCTCCTATGTATTTAACTAGAGTAGTAGAGATGCAGCAACAACAACAGCAACAGGAGCAGGAGCGGTAATGCCCGACGCCCGTTTGCTCAGTGCTGGAGGAGGGAAGAGGGAAGGAAGGAAGATTGGATGAAGACGTTTTACCGTATTGCACTGTGCACATATCGTCCACTGCAGATACACGTTGCAATTTGCTGGCTGGCTGCATGCATTCAGAGGCAGTGGACTGTGGACTGTGGACTGTGGAGGGAGTGGGGCGCTACGTACTCTATTTATATTCGTTTATACTTTGCACTTTACTCCAACTACGCTGTACGCCGTGCGGGTGACGGGCGTGAGCTGAGAGCTGAGCTTAAGCTTCAGAGTCGAGGGTCGAGAGAGTCGAGAGTCGAGAGAGTCGAGAGAGGCATCAGCCCTATTAGGCTTGCGGTGGGGAACATCGGACGGAGCCTAGACAGTATAGTACAGGAGCGTTGGGACTTGGGGAGGAATGTAGATCCGTGAGAGGGAAACAGAGGCAGATGGGCGGACTGACAGAAGCTTCATTTGTTCGCCACTGTTCGCCACCGTTCGCCACTGTTCGCCGCGGAAAAGTATGTAGAGTACACGATCACTACCCTCTAGAGTCTAGAGTAAGTACTCTACATACAGTCCTCCACCTCCTCCACCTCAAGCGGGCGGGAGTTAGCGCACACACTCTACATGACCGTAGCGCAACTATATGCACGCACCCGTTCCGTCCGTCTCGACAGCCAGCCAGAACCAGCAGACAGACATCGCCTCAAAGCGGGCGGGTTCGTGCATGTCCGTCCGTCCACCAGTCCCGGCCAGTCCAGTCCACGTATAGTAGAGTACTCTAGATACGTAAGATCCGATAGGTTTGCTTGCAGACTTGCAGACTTGCAGTGCTGCGGTGCCGCGCACGCACGCCCTCCCTCCCTCCCTCCCTCACGCCCTCACCTCGCCTCACCTCGCGCCCTCTTTGGTTTGCGAAACGTAACGGGTGTGTTCGAGGCGAAGGGCTTGTTCCCTAGGAGGATGGGGGGCGGTGGGGGGGAGGATGGGGGGTATATAAAACGCCCGCGCCCCGGTCCCGGCCCGCACGTTGAATATTTATGAAGTGGAACAAAAGACAAAAACAACCGCCGTCCGCCTCCGCCTCCACCGCCGCCGCCACACCCAGCGCCACCACGACCACGACCGTCACCACCACCGAAAAATCCCGAACCTCCTCACTCGGCTGCTACATCATGTGCTGCGTAAGTTTGCGCCTCCCGCTCCCCCCCTCCCTCAGCAATCTAACACCTAGTGACAGCTCCCCATCCCGACACTGCACCGCAAGCCCTCAGCGACCTCCTCCACCTCCACGACGATAAGCCGCAGCCGGGCGTCGACCGCCTCACCGGACAGCTGGTCGTCGTCGTCGTCGTCGTCGTCAACGGTACAACAACAGGAGGAGCACGTAGCGCCGCGAATAGTGTCCAGCAAGGCTGTGCGCGTGAACCGGCACGCGACGCCGCAGCGCGTGGCGTCAAAGGTTGTGCGCGTGCGCCATCACAGACCCAAACGGGTCGGCGGGAATTGTCACTGCGAGAATGTTGCTACGACGGGAGACGAGGCTGCGGATGCGGCCAGGAGGAGGGTCGTCAGGGAGGTTTATAGCACGTAGGTAGGGTGCGAGGGTTTTGATTTGCGGTTTTGGAATTAAGTGGGAATTGGCGGTTGCGAGTTTACGTTTGCGTTGCGAGACGGTGTATAACTGAGGGGGCATTTTTTTTTCTTGTGTGTTTCTTTTTCTTTCTTTTCCTTTTCCGTTTCTTTTCTTTTCCTGGACGTTTGTTTTGAGGGTCTGTTATCTTTTTTTCCGGGGGGGGGGGGGGAGGGGGGTTCGAACTTCGACTACCTAACTGGGGGGAGCGAGCGGGCGCATGGAATTGCCTTTTTGGAATTATGTTGCTTTGTATCTATGGGGAGGATCGGGTGAGGGGGGGGGGGGGGGGGGGGTACGTGGGGGTCCACTTTCTGTGGGAGGAAACTGCACTGGGGGAAACTGCGCTGTGGAAATGCAGATTTATCGAGGAAAAATAAGATGCTGCGATTGTGGTAGTTGCTCAAGATGGGGGGGGAGGGTTGCTGCGGTTTGATAACTACTACCTACTCTATATCAGGCGCGGAATTCACTTGAGCGTGTATATACCTACTACATACTACATATAGTATCGGTGCGTATCTGCCCCGCCGCGAATCGTTATAGTGGATGTTATTTAGGTAGTAGGTACTCTACGACCGGCTGTAGTTACTGGAGCCTGGTGATGGTGATGGTGATGGTGGTAGTGGTGGTGATGGTGAGCTGGTGGTTTAAATAAAAGCACTATCATATGTATTGTACATAAGTAATTACTTCGAATCGAAGCCTCCAGGCTCGAGGCCCTTGGCGTTGAACGGAAGCTAGTTCTCGCCGCTGACGATGTTTGGAATTCGTATGTATTTACTCCAGAGTCCGGTAGGTAACTACAGCCGACTGCGGCTTCCATTTCGAGCGTACATACGAGCCTTTGGTATCGTGGCAGACATGGTAGAGTACTCCACATACCCACATACCTGCCGTGTAGTAGTTGCCGGTAGTGCTCGAGGCGGGAGTGTCAGACGGTCTCACTCTCGGAAGCTCCCTCGAGCAGGCAACTGGTATGTCTACTACATACCAGAGATATACCTAGTACATATATCCAGCTCACCATGTGGCCTGCTGCGGCTGCACCGTGCTACGCGGATACCTGCAGCGAGGCGACATCCGGTGGCGGTAGGCAAGTACGTACTAGGTAGGCTGGCGAACACTTGCAAACACCGCGGATGGTTCATGGGGTGTCACTCGCGGGACAGCACTGGATGGCTGGGTGGGCGGTGGGAAAAGACCGGTGTGTGAGTGCGAGGCTCCGGTAAACGGTTATGTTCGGGAGTATCTTCGTCGGCTGGGAGCTCACTGATATCGTGTATTGTGGGTGAGGCGGGAGCTCGAGAGTTGAGAGCTGGCGGTGGTGAAAGGCTCATCTGATTTCTCGACGCCGCGTGGAGATGGGGTGTTCCGGGTGATCGGGTCTGGACTGGAATGGAATGGAATGTTGGGCGAAGAAGGAAGTCGATGCCGGCTGGTAGCTCTAAGTCTGGTGTGGGAACGCTCTGACTTCAATAGGTAGTAGCTAACTGCCCAGTTTGCTTCCGAGCTCGAGCTCCCAATACGGTAGCTACTGCACGCAGGATCCAATCCCGCCTATGTACGAATGTAGTGGCCGTTTTCGCTGACTTGACTCTATGTACGCTGAACGCCGGCAAGTACCACGGGAACGTAATCGCCCAATATACCTAACGAGTGCTTGCGACTCGCAGGACCACAGCCCATTACTCATCACTCATCACTCAACCTCGATTCCTCGTAGCCGAGTTGCAGGTGAGACCGGAGGCCGGCATATGATCTTCCCCAGGAATTGTGTATTAATTTATTCTCGAAGCCGTTTCGAGGGCGGAAAAGAAAAAAGCTTGTTTTGTATCATACGTGCTCCTGCAATAACTTCTGACATCTACGGATTACATACATTCGATCACCACCACCGCCGCTGCCGCCGCGCGCCGCCCGCCAGTTTTACATACAACAGACATTAAATCATTACAACGTGGCATTCATGACCCAGCCCGACCCACCCAATCCCTTCACCCCCAGCTGCCCGCAGCTTCCCCCTCCCCCTCCCCCTCCCCTTCCCCTTCCCCTTCCCTGCACCTCCAGCCCACTCACTTAAACAACCAACTCGCCTCCCTAAACGCAGCGGTCCTAGCGGGCTGTCCCGCCTCTCCCTCACATGCGGCCGCTAGCTCGTCTGCACTCTTGCCCAGCACGGAGTTGCGGTACATGCCGAGGGTGAGCTTTGACTCGCAGGCTGCGCGCGCCGGCAGCATCACCGTGCTCGGGATCGTGGGCGGTAGCTGCGAGATCCGGCTCGCGTAGCCCCCGCTGCCGCTGCCGCCGGAAAGGTTGTTGCCGCGGGATTTCTGCAGGCGCGTCGGTCTGCGTTTAGTGGGAGGTGGAGTGGAGGAGCGGGAGGAGGAGGAGGAGGAGGAGCGGGAGGACAGGGCGCAGCAGCTCGAGGGAAGGCGTACCCAGAAACACATTTGGAGGGAGCTGGGTATGCTGGTGGTGTTTTTTGGTTGGTTGGTGGGCGGGCGGGCTGCGAGGCTGTCGGGGCGAAGGGAGGCGACGACGAAGGGAGCGGAAGGCTACACTGCACTGTACTGGTGAGCCGCGACGTGGAGTTTGCGTGTGTGTGTATGAGGTATGTATGTACGGTGCGGGTATGCGACGGCGGCGGCGGCGACGGAGATGTTGAGGAGAATTCAGAAGATGAGACGAGGCGAGGCGACAAATAGATGGAGTAACTAAGATCGTGCGTGTCGGAGGGATGTGCCTGCCATTGACGTGGCATATGTATCTCACGTCAAAGCATGGCTGGCATGGCTGGCGAGAGTGAGTATGCAAGGTCGTGTGGTCGGGCCAATCATGACTTGGCCAGAACTGCGTTCTGTTTCGCTATGGCGGCGGGGCTGAGACATTGTGAGAGCTGCACTTTGTGATGATTTTTTGTGCAGCAAGGTGATTTGATTGGTCATGGATCATGGCATACGTGGAGTGGACACCGGAGCCTGGAGGTGAGTCTGCCCCCACGGGAAAACACATGACACGATATCTATTCGACTCAATGAGCCCTTCCCGACGCTGGAAGGGACTGGAGCTTCTCGTGAGGATTTCGAAGTAAGCAGAGTAAGGAAAAATCGATTCTCTCGTAGGACATCGGGTCGAATGATACCCATGAAGCCAGCCAACTGCCAGCAGCCATTAGGCAACCCCTATCCGGCAAGGGCGTCAACTCCCCACGCTAGAGTATCCGATCCCTACTCTACTCTACGCGCAGCGCGGTTGGTTCCATGATCCATCGCGTCCCAAAAGCCAATCCGTAAACAAATCCTCGCGTCCACTTCGACCAGAACCACCTTCCACACACAAACACGAAAACCCAATGTCCTCCTCCCTACGCTCCTCGCCTGCATCAACACCCCGTCGAAGTCGCGTCGCGTCTCCAATAGTCCTCACACCTCGCTCGAAAATCGCTGCGTTGCTGGCAGATTCCGACGACGACGAGGATGCGACGACTAAACTTACGAAGAAATTAGATGGTACCGACCATGAAGAAGAGGAGGAAGACGATGAGGATGAGGATGAAGTACCGCTACGACCGCGAGGAAAGCTGGCGAGTAGGATGTACGCCGCCAAAGATAAAGCCTCCGAAGCCGACGCGGGCGCATACGAACGTGTAAAACAGAGTCTACTCGCAGGAGACGAAAAGGAGGCCGCCACCACAGCCGATTCCGGCGAAGATGCCGAGGGCGATACCGAATCGGAAGAAGATATACCACTACGCCCCCGCGGCAAGTTGGCGAGCAGGATGTACTCCGACTCCACCACCGACGCCGCCACGCCGAAAAAAGACGACACCGCATACGAACGTGTAAAGCGCAGTCTCATCGCCGAACGGGATAAATCGGCCACGCCGGGTCCGAAGTCGAGAGGGTCGATGGGCGCGGATGGCAGCGAGAATACGCCGATTCCACCGAGGAGGAGGCCTTCGGGTGGCATCTTTTCGTCTCCTGTGGCTTCGCCGGCACGCCCGAAGGCACTGAAGACGGCGGAAACGATACCGGAGGAATTCTTTAGCTCTGATTCTTCGGACGAGGAGTTGCAGCCCTTGGACACGAAGAATGCGCGCTTCATGGCGCTGGTGCAGAAGAAGCGGAAGGAGCGCGAGGCGGCGATGGCCGAGAAGGCGATGGCCGAGAAGAAGCGGAAGGAGCACGAGGCGGAGATGGACAGATGGGCAATGAAAGATGCAGCAAACTTTGAGGCAGATAATGAGAAGGAGTGCCGGGCGTTGGAGGAGCAATTTGACCTACCGCCTGGGAGTATGACGGAGCAGTACAAGAAGAAGAAGGGTCCTCCTCGGAGGAACGCGAGTAAGAAGGCTTTGGAGGAGATGCACAAGGAAACCCAGCGACTGGCGAGGAGTATACAGCTTGCTCATGGGGCCCATGCGAAGAAGAAGATCACCAAGCAGAGTTTGTTTGAGAAGTTCAACTTCGCGACGACGACTACTGCGGAAGAGTCGGCAGCCGCACCCCCGGCTTCTACGAAATTGAGCTCTTTCGTCGCCTCCGAGTCGGATGCAATTCCTACAACTACTGCAACTTCGCCACCATCCGACCCGACAGAAGTGAATCAGGCGAACCAAGAAGATTCAGAAGACCTCCCAGACGTTGCCGACCTCCTTCGGGGAATTTCATCACCGCCCAAGCAGAGCAAACCATCAGATGCCGATGATACTCCTCGGCCGAAGACCGACAAGGGAAAAGGTAAAGCTGCGGGCAAAGGCAAAGGCAAAGACAAGGCGGTTGAAGTCGGACCAGCCCCGCCGTCCAAGCAGAAGAAGCAGCTGCCCCACGTCAAGGTTATTCTTCCGAAGCATAACCCGGTAGACGATTCCGACTCCGACCTGGAGATTATGAATCCTGAGGACGAGGCGAAACAGCTGCTTTCGGAGAAACAGAAACTCATTGCATCAATGCGTCGTCCCCGACCACTGCCCAAGCAACAAGCTAAATCGCCAAACGGAAAAGTACAGGTCTCTGCGAAACTGCTCCATCAGCAGCTGCTCCAGAAAAGCCGTCTCCAAGCGATCAAGGAGCGGGAGGACAAAATTGAAGAGCTGAGAGCAAAGGGTGTCATAATCCAGACGCCCGAAGAGAGGGAAAAGGCGATGCGTGAAGTCGAGTCTCTGGTCGAAAAGGCGCGGAAGGAGGCGCTGGGAATCAAGAGGCGCGAGCAAAGAGCAGAAAAGCTAGCGAGGGGTGAGAATGTGAGTGACCATGAAGACGCTGAGTACGAAGAGTTGTTGGAGAGCGAGGTGGAAGATAGTGAATCTCCGGAGAAAGACGAAATGGAGACCGACGAAGAAGAGGAAGAGGAAGAGGAAGAAGAAGAAGAAGAAGAAGAAGAAGAAGAAGAAGAAGAAGAAGAAGAAAAGAGGGGTAATGAAATGATTGATGGTGAGGCCGACGAATCAGGACCGGAGAAAGAGGATGTCGAGATGGACGCCCCGGAGGCGACGGCGAAGGACGTTGCACCATCAGCGGCGTTTGGTCTGTCGTCAATGAATCAGGGAGACCGAGACTCTGTTTCTCTGACACCTCGTCTTTCGGCTATGCCGGCTGTCGACGATGACTTTGACGATGACGATGATGGTGGATTCGCTCCTTTCCAGCGCAAGCTGCCCCACAAGAAGCTACGGGTCACGGATGACGACGACGGAGATGAGAACGCTATGGACACCGACACGGTTATCTCGTCGACCCCGCAGGGACCTAAAATTCCAGACATGTTCAAGAACATGGCCCAACCTTCACCTATAGGGATGACCCAGCTGTTTGCTGGGTCTATGGCCAGCAATGCTCCGTTCGGTACGCCTAGTGAAGATATCGGAAAGAAGGTTGATGGGATGAGACAACTTCCTGACGATATCCTACCAAACTCGCAAGCGCCTGTATTGGAAGATTCGGTACCGGACAGACAAGCGGGAGCAGGTTTAGAACTTCACTATTCGCAGACCCAGGTCGACAACGCGGATTCACTGCCGGTCTTAACTCTAGAGTACTGTCAGTCTCAAGTCAGCGTCGACTCGCAACAGATGCTAGATCCTACGCAAGATAACGGATTCGAGAGAGTGTCTCCTGGACCAGCTAGGTTCGAGACCTCTCCTGAGCCTGAGGCCCGTGAGGCAAGCGTATCGGCCCAGCCCGTGGACGAAGAGTTCACCGAACCTAAAAAGCGAGGTCGCTTGACTAGGAAAGTTGCGGACTTTTCGGATGAAGAAAAGGACTCCAACGCCAATGATTCTGCGGACGATTCTGTGGATTTTGCGGATGATGAGGACATGCAGGATGCTTTTGCTGTCATGAAGAAAGCCGCTAAAAAACCTAAGGCTCCCGAAAAGCCTTACGACAAGAAGAACTCCGAAGCTAAGGGGATGGTGCACGAACAAGCTGAAGAGTCCGAGGATGAGTATGGCGGGATCGGTGGCCGCTCGGACGATGATGAGGGTGATGGTGATGTGGCGGACGATGAAGAAATGAAGGACTTGCTCGACGACGAGCACCAGGACATCGACGAGAACGCCATGGCCGCCTTCTACGCTGAGCGTGAGAAAACACGAGATGAGAAGGAAGTCAACCGTCTTTTCCGCGATCTCCAGAACGGCTTGTTGCGGAAGAAGCGGGGCGCCGATTTCGACCTGGATGACGATAGCGACGACGAGTATATGGCGCAGGAGCGCAGAAGGCGGCAGAAGAGGCGACAGATGGCGCAAATCCGCAAGGCATTGCTGCAAGACGAAAAATTGGGCAAGATTGCGGCTGATCCCAAGAAGGCCGCTTTCTTCAAGGTGCTTGAGGATAATGGCAGCGACGATGAAGGTGACTTCTTAGACCAGACCGAGGACGACTTTTTGGCGAACCTCGATGCCTCGCAATCGCAAGATGTACAGGTACAGGCTCCTGAAGAGAACGCCGAGGAAGAGCCGTTCGGTAGTCAGGCCAGTGATGCGGAAAGTACACCCTGGCCCCAGCCGCAACAGCTGGCTCAAGAACGACGGCCTGTACGCACCAAGAAGAGTAAGAAACAAGGTCTTATTGAGATCAGAGAGGTAAACTTAGCCACGTTCTTTATCTGCAGCATTCACAAAACTAATTCGCCATATAGACGCTCTGCGCGATGGGCGTGGAAGAGCCTTCCCTCCTGGACGCCAGTGAGAGTGAATCCGAGGACGAATTCGACGAGGATTCGCAACGCCGCCGAGCCAGCGCTACCTCTGTTATCGATCGTACTCTCTCACGCTCCTCATCTTCATCGCTCTCCACCTCCTCTAAACTCGCGTTCCAATCACGCGATAATAGCGCGCCGTCTGGATTCAAGGTACCTGCACTACTGCGCCGAGCAACTAGTAACCTCTCGGTCGAAAGTCAAGGCCAGGTCACCACCGAGCGAAGCTTGGGCGCCGATAGCCAGGGCCTCAAGAAGGGCGGCGGAAAGGGCTCCAGTATCAACTTCCATTCGAAGGCCAAGGTCAACCTGGTGGAGAAGAGCGAAGAGAAGAGAAAGGCCGACAGAGCCAAGGAGGGACGGCAAAGAGTCAAGAAAGGCCTGGGTGCGCTCGGTAAGGGGTCCTTTTCATAAAGTGGAATTGCACGTTTTTGGAAAGCATCGGCTTGGGTTACGAAAGGATGGAGTTTGCGGTGTCATTTTGGTTGGTTGGGAAACGCCTATATGTTTGTAATCTAGATACCTATTCCCGATCGTGAATGTATGTGCATCGTGCTGTCTTTCGACCGGGATCCGTTTTTAGAGCTTCGTTCTGTGCAATGTACATCATGCGACGCTGCAGGAGTAGTCGGACTTCCCAGCGGCGCGGACTGCACGGATCCGCAGCGGTCTGCAGCGGCAGCGGGCGCGAGGATTGATATCCAGTTCGGGCACAGCGGGTCACTCGAGTTCGGTGTATAATGCTCATTTGCAAAGATCGTTTAATCGGTGTCCCATACTTGGTCAATCATTGCTGCAGAGAATCCTTCTCATTGTTGATGGTGGCCGCTCAGGGGTTTTTTATTCGCCCTCACCATGTCCGCTCATCGGGCTTACGGGAACCAATGCCCATCTGCGGGGCTGCCACCGCAAAGCTCTGACTTCACGTGAACACCCCTCGCAGCGCTCTCTTGCATCCCAACGGGAAACCAACTGCATATGGACGGGTACACCATTTCCTGATATAGCATCGCGGTTGTTATTTATGTAGAGCAGCGAAAAAACCGATGGCGAAATAAATCGAATTGGGTGTGGTTTCTGTTGGTATGGTTTGCGGGCGCCAAAGAGCCCCCCCTCCTCCACTTGGATGTGAGCGAAGCAAGCTGCCGCTCCTGGTCTAGCCGCCTCCCCTCCTTTCTTTTGAACTGCAACCCAACCTCCACCCCTCATCCACCCCCGACCGACTATCTGACCTACCCCCTCCGCCCGCCTTCAACTTTCAGTCTCTCCCTTCTACGACTACTATTTCTGAACGCGCCCTCCCGCAACCCTAAGTACTCTTCAGTCCCCGAAAGACTGTGCAGTACATACGGGCTTCGGCAACGCGTTAGCACCACCACCGCCACTCACCCCTGGATCAGACCAGGTACCTGCTGCTACGGGGTGCTCTTACGGTTTCATATTTTCAAGATCTCTACTCTTGAATCTCTGACCTCTCCACACTCCCGCCCTACCTCTGTGTTCAACACCATCACCCGAACTCTCCTATCACCGACTCGTGTAGCTCTCCAGACCATACCCCCCCTCATATCGCCACCCGAGTTCAACCTACCTACGATCCACCATGTCCGAAGAAGGTGGTCTCAAGCCGAAGACGCTGAAGCGCAAGAACCTCAAGGGACTCAAACTGGCCGAGCCGGCACTTAAAGCGGCGCCAAAAGAAGTTGTTTACGACGACGAAGATGCGCTTAACAGCCAGCTCGACACGCTAGAGATCGGTGTGGAGTTTAGGTTGGATCTACGGGCTGAGGACTTGCTGGTTATCCATGAGCTCGGAGCTGGCAATGGTGGTACTGTCAGCAAGGTCATGCATCAGACACTCAAGACGGTCATGGCGAAGAAGGTACGGCTCCCTCGGCCTCTAACTGTGGTGAAGCTGGAGACGAGAGCTTGTAACTGACCACCGTGCCACATGATTTAGGTTATTCACATCGACGCAAAACCCAAGGTCCGCAAGCAGATCGTCCGGGAGCTACACATCATGCACGAATGTCACTCGCCATACATTGTGTCGTTCTATGGAGCTTTTTTGAATGAGGGCGACGTGGTGATGTGCATGGAATACATGGATTGCGGGTATGTTCCTTTCTGACGCCCCCGCCCCGACCATCTCCTGCTCTGCTCTCCCGCTTCAATATCATAGTGCTTCATGACAGCTGATAAATGGATGATTGCTCCGCTAGATCCCTTGACAACATCGCCAAAAAGATCGGTCCCATTCGTGTCGATGTGCTGGGCAAAATATCGGAGGCTGTTGTCGAGGGTTTGCACTATCTCTACAACGAGCACAAGATCCTTCATCGCGACATTAAACCCTCCAACATCCTTGTCAATTCGCGCGGACGAATCAAGCTGTGCGATTTTGGTGTTTCAGGAGAGCTCATCAACTCTATTGCAAACACCTTCGTTGGAACCTCGACCTACATGGCACCTGAGCGGATACAAGGTGCCCAGTACTCGGTCAAGTCGGACGTGTGGAGTTTGGGCTTGACGCTGTTGGAACTGGCCATCGGTCGGTTTCCATTCGATGCCGATGGGTCGGCTGCAGGCACCCGTGCGAGCGCGGGGCCTATGGGAATCCTCGATCTATTGCAGAAGATCGTTAACGAGCCGGCGCCGAGGCTGCCGAAGAATGTGGCCTTCCCCCCAAGTTTGGAGCTTATGATCGAACACTGCTTGATCAAGGATCCGGACAGTCGGCCGTCGCCCGAAGAGCTGTTGGTATGTTGTATTTGTCTTTCTGACTTTTAGTGAGCAGAATTGCTGACGAGTTATGACAGTCTGAACCATTCATGCGAAGTGCTAAGGCTACCAACGTCGATCTGGAGGGATGGGCGTGCGATGTGATGGAGAAGATCACAGGAAAGCCCCACGTGCGAAATCGATCTTCGGTGCACGTGATACTACCCAAAGTCGGCCAGCCCAGGCCGATTTCCAGAATCGACGGCCCTGCTCCTTCGGCACCTCGGAGACCGTCCGGACCTGCCATGGAGCCTTCTGGTCGCCGCCAGTCTGGTGCGGAGGGTGCGATGCCGCCACCGCCCGCCCCGAAGGCTAATGGGGATCGCGAGCGCGATCGCGAGGCACAGCGTCTGCACGCGTACCGCCAGGCAAGCAGTGGAATGTCAGGCGGAGCGCTACCGCCGACACCTCCGGCTAAGGGTGTCTCAAATGGATGGGACAGGAGATAATAGGGTTGCATGATCCAAGCATCCTTTTGCTTTGTGGTTTCTTCTCGAACATTTTGAGCTTTGTCTTTTTGCGTTGGACGTTGATGTTGTTGTTGCTGCTGCTATGAGTATACCAGTTGAATTCAGTTTGAAGTCTGTGATTTTTGGTGAGAAAGCATACTTATGGGATTCCCCTTTTGTTCATTCTTCATTTTGGATCGTTTTTGGAATGCGGGTCAATCATTAATCGTCTGTCTATTCGTATCTGTCTGTACTGGAGCAAGCGCGTGCGCAATGGGCTAATTTGTTCTGTCGGTGGTTGTATTTGGGATTGATTGATGCAACTTTATTCTTTATTTTCTTTCTTTAACTCTGGAAGAGAGATAACAATGACAACAATGCCAGTGGTAAATATTGCCGCCTGTAGACGCCGACTGATTGTGTCTTCCGGGCGAGAGGTGGTGATGGCCTTCTTTTTGTTTCATCATATTGCATTCGACCGTTTTCGATCACGACAAGTCATGCGCATTTGATCCCATATCCGAGTCCCACTCAGCACTTTCACCTGCTCAGCCCTCGAAGCATATCCGCATCCCGCGTCTCCGCCAGCATGGGTACAATGAAAGAGGAAATACAAAGGAAATACAAAGGAAATACAAAGGAAATACAAAGGAAATTCGCACTTACACTCTTTCTCCCAGGTATTCCTCCATGGGTGACGGCTCCCTCTTCTCCCGGAGCCCTCCTGCCGACACCCGTGTGCCCGAGGAAGTGAAGTATAGGCAGCTAGACTACAACCTCTGCTCGGATAGCTGAACCTCGACTTTCCGTTTCTTCCGGCTTCGTCCTCCTTCTGAGCTTCGGCCCATAGAATCACTGTTCCGGCTTCCATGTCACACACTCCTTAAAGAGCTGTTCCGGGGTTTCTTGGCATTCCGCCGTTCACGCCACCAATATCGCCCGCTGCGTCGTTTGCCGATTTTCCGCGACTGCAGCGCCGTGAGAGTATGGCCCGTCTTGAGCTGGTGGTACCGAGACGCAACTGTCCTGTGGGCTTTGGCCGGTATCAGATCCGTCCGTTGCTTCTGTGGCCAATACACGTGACGCTTCCTCATGCGAGTTTCCATACATCTGCATGCTCGGGTGGTGGTTTTGGTTCTGTGTGATCATACTCGTGCTCAGCTGATCTAAACTATAGCGATGCTCAAGAGGCGGCGAGTGGCCCCCGCATGCTCGCTGTGAGTGAGAAGCTGTGAACTCTTTCGACCTTGTCCTGGAGTCTGGACGGTGATGGCGATCAGCAGCACCTCCCCACTCATCCGACCCCACATGACAGGGTCCAAGTTTAGCCGGAAGCTGCAGGACAAAGAAATTCGTTCGTTTGGCTTCGTCTTTTGCTGCTATCTTCCACGCGGCTTATTTTAGTGGGGGGACAAGACAGCACGGAATTGCAGAGTGGTGGAATACTCGACTCGACTAGCGCCCTTTTGATCCCCGCTCCAGTGGAACACGCAAAATTTCTTTTCTTCCACACAGGTTTTTTTTTCGCAACTCGGGTTTTTCGTCCTCTTTCCTCCCTTCCCATAACAACCCTTCCGTCTCCCTCCCAATTCCACCCCCCCACATCACATACACAACAATGGCCGCCGCTTCCCGTACCATCTCCAGGGCTCTCCGCTCCAACCTCTCCCGCCAGGTCGTCCCCGTCGTCCAGAAGCGCGGCCTCGTGGTTGCTGCTACTGCCGCTAGGGCCACCGTTGCTGCTGTCCCTCGCTTGGGAAACCAGACTCGGGGTGTTAAGACCATTGACTTTGCTGGAACAAAGGAGGTCGTTTACGGTGAGTGCGATTGATGCGATTGAGTCGATGTGATGGTTACTGATGGTAGCTTGCAGAGCGCTCTGACTGGCCTCTGGAGAAAATCCAGGTGAGTCATACATCGCGACTACTACGGATTGAGTGAATTGAAACTAAACAATTGTTTCTTTGGATGAGTAGGACTACTTCAAGAATGACACACTTGCGTTGATCGGCTACGGATCCCAGGGTGAGTCGCAATCGCGTTGATTGATGCGCGATCACATGGTTGACACGCTGCAGGTCACGGCCAGGGTCTCAACCTCCGCGACAACGGCCTCAACGTCATCATCGGAGTCCGTAAGAACGGAGCTTCGTGGAACGAGGCCATCCAGGACGGCTGGGTCCCCGGCAAGAACCTCTTCGAGATGGACGAGGCTATCTCCCGCGGAACCATCGTCATGAACCTTCTCTCCGACGCCGCCCAGTCTGAGACTTGGCCCGCCATCAAGCCCCAGCTCAAGGGAAAGACTCTCTACTTCTCCCACGGCTTCTCCCCCGTCTTCAAGGACCTCACCAAGGTCGAGGTTCCCTCGGACATCGATGTCATCCTTGTCGCCCCTAAGGGATCTGGCCGTACCGTCCGCTCCCTTTTCAAGGCCGGAAAGGGTATCAACTCTTCCATCGCTGTCTGGCAGGATGTCACCGGTAAGGCTCAGGAGAAGGCCATTGCCCTCGGTGTCGCCGTTGGCTCTGGTTACCTCTACGAGACTACCTTCCAGAAGGAGGTCTACTCCGACCTGATGGGTGAGCGTGTAAGTCTTTCCTCTGGCTCCGTCGATGGATAAGTTCGTCGTACTGATGACAATAGGGTTCTCTCATGGGTGGTATCCACGGTATGTTCCTCGCCCAGTACGAGGTTCTCCGTGAGCGGGGCCACACCCCCTCTGAGGCTTTCAACGAGACCGTCGAGGAGGCCACTCAGTCCCTCTACCCCCTGATCGGAAACGTAAGCTTCTTCTCCCTCCGTCACCCACCTACCTGCCCATATTAACATGCGCACAGTACGGAATGGACTGGATGTTCGCCGCCTGCTCCACCACCGCCCGCCGTGGTGCGCTCGACTGGACCAACAAGTTCAAGTCGGCCATCAAGCCCGTGATGAACGACCTGTACGACTCGGTCGCCAACGGTTCCGAGACCCAGCGCTCGCTCGACTACAACTCTGCCGCCGACTACCGTGCCAAGTACGAGACCGAGCTCGAGGAGATCCGAAACATGGAGATCTGGCGCGCCGGAAAGGCCGTGAGGAGCCTGCGTCCTGAGAACCAGGGACAGGAGCAGAAATAAATTTGTTCGTGTGGCGCGTTTAATGAAGGGTATGGGTACGAGGGCAATGTCGTGTAAATTATATGCTTGTTTGTGATCTGATGTGATGTGAGGCGGTGGATGGGTCGGTGGATGGATGGGAAAAGTTTTGGGTTTTTCCTTCCTACTTACTTGCTACCTGCCTGGCCATGACCGCGTGATGTGCTGTGATGTGCTGTGCTGTGAGACTTGATATTTCCAACGTCAAAATGGAATGTCGTCACTCGGAAGTGGTAATTGCGCTAAGCAGGCGATGACTCTGGCCGGTTGTGAGTCAAGACAAAGTCTATACGATCCAGCCGCGGAGCGCTAAACGCGGCCCTCTATTAATTAGCAGCTGTCCGAGACCACAATCCGAACGGAGAGTCAATAGAGTAGCAGCTTGAAAGCTGGGAGTGTAAACACACCGCGGTAGCCTCGCAGGTAGTTAGCCAAATACCTACCTACTTCAGGATCAAAACTCCCCACGCCACACCCACCAATACACACAGCCCGAGCACCATTCTCGCCCGATACTAGCTACTTGCCTACCTATACACTCGTAACAATAACAACAATAGCAACAATAACAACAAATAGGCCGACCCATCCCACCGTCCCCCCGCAGCGGTACGTCTGAATCAGGAAATCCGGATACAGGGAGCGCGACTAGGCCGGGCCAGTCCGCGATTTGGCTTATAGGTAGCTTATGTACTGGGTGCAAGGGTAAGTGGTGCCTCACCTTGCGCTGATAATTCGTGATAATGGTGAGGCACGACTTATTGGGTGTTCCTAGTACCTATGGCTTATGTACAGTCAGTAGAGTACCTATGGCTCGTATGGCTCGTGGGCTCGTGTGCGCTGGAGTGATTGCTGTTGATCAGAGCTTCGTATTACCTATATCTACAGCATAACTACCTGAAGTGTGTATCGTTCATATCTACGACATAAATACTCGAGTATTAAAGTAGGAGCTAGTAGTAGTGAACGGAGCAAAAAGAAATTGATGATTTCACCCAGGCTCGATCTGGGGACCTTGTGTGTGTTAGACACATGTGATAACCAACTACACCATGAAACCGTCTGTTCACCTTTGTGTAAGTCTATTTAGAATTATCACTGTTGAGTATATGAATAATTATCAGAGCTCTAGGTATAATGCAATGTAATGTATGCTACCAAATCAAACAAATCAAACAAGTGAACTCCCAACCAAAGTCTACGCCGAACACCCAACCTTTCCCATAACCAACCCTCCATCACTCCGCAAATCCCAATTACCCCAGTTATGTAGGTAACAACTATGTAGCCCCCTCAACCACCCCCGCCAACCACGCCAGCCCCTCGCGCACCTCCACGCCCTCGCCCTTCCCCTGGTGCTCAAACCTCCTCAGATGTTTCAGGCAGGCCTTAACATGCGGTAATATCCTATTCCCGAAGACCCTTCCCTCCGCCATGACCGCGGTCCTGACCATTCTTAGACTCTGCAGCCCCTCGTCGAGCCCCGCAAGTTTCCGCAGGTGCGCGTGGATCACTGGGTCCACGCTGAATGAGCGGTTGAACGTCTCTGGCCGGATGAGCCGGTACGAGGTGAGTGTGCCGAGGAGACGGGTGAGTGTCGTCGGGTCCTGTGCGGACGAAGAGCGCTGGAGTAAAACGTGCGGGATGTGCGAGTGGTGGAGGTGGCTGCATGTGAGAAGTAGTGCCGCTGCGGGGTAGGAGGCCCGTTGAAGGGCTGCGAAGGTTACTTCGAAGGCGGATAGTAATGGGCTGAGACCTTTCCCTGTGGTCTGCAGGAGGGATATGTACTCCTCTGCGCTGACGTCGTGGAGCGCGATGTAGGTGCCGGCAAGCTCTAGTGCGGGGAAGGAGGTGGCGAGGGTCGAGACGATGGTGTGTGCGGAGGGGGAGGTGGGGCATAGTGTGCCTGAGGAGTTTCGGAGGAGGAAGTCGAGTGCTTCACGGTGGTTGAAGGCGTAGCCACTGTGGAAGTCTTCGAGTTCGAGTTTGTTGAGCATGTGGTCTGCGTAGTGGCGCATGGCCTGCGAGGTGGGATTGGAGTGGCTTCTTTTGTGGCTTTGTTTTGTGGGTGGAGTTGTCGTGCTTGCAGGAGGATCTTCATGTTGCTGCATGGCGGGGATCGGTATTGGGGGACGTGCCCCCGCTGCCCCCGCTGCCGCCGCCGACGGATATGAGCTCCCCTCTGCAGCGTACTCCTCCGTTTCACCCTCCGGCCCACTATATCTCGGCGTGCAATATTCCACACCCTTGGGTGTAGGAGGGACTTTTCCACAAGTCAGCCCAGTCCGCCCAGCAAAAATCGACAAAACTTACGATCTTCCTCGGCCTCTTCCCTCCACGCACCCAGTCTCTCCATCCTCACCACCCTCCCATTCAAAAACACCTGAGTATCTTTCCCCTCCACACTCCTCTTGCGCCTCTTTGCCGCAATCCACTCCCTCACATCGTGCTTAACATTCTTCTCAAGCTTGTACTTCGTAATGAAGCGTTTGTACTGCGCATCACTATTATCCCAACAGGTTAGTAACATATTCCTTTTTTCTCATTTTTTGATGGGGTGGGGGGGAGATTGGCAAGGGACGCACGTAGCGCGGAACCCGTATTCACGGGCCATGATATCCTTGATCTGCCAGAGCTTGAGGTCTCTGACCAGATAGAGCGTCTTGATCAATTCGTAATGGGCCTCCCATTCCAGCGTGGTATGTTGGCGGCCCGAGAAGGTTCCCCACGAGGCGGTGACTGTAGGTGGAGGGTTCATTCCGGCTGTTTTTGCAAAAATGGAATGAATCGGGAATAGCCAAGATATAGAGAGAAGGGGGAAGGAAGAAGAAGAGAGACAGAGAGAGAGAGAGATGAAGAGAAAAGGTCCGACGGTGCCCCTTAAGACCTCCTCGTCCCTCGGTGTGGCCCACTCGCCATAGATAAAGCGGGTGCACAGTTGGGCGGAAAGTTTTCTGCATGATAAACCCGGCGTGGGGGGATCATGCAAACTCCTACAAGTTGCCTGCATCAGGTTGCGGGGGGGTTGAGGTATTCCTTCCTCCCACCACCACCACCCACGCGGGATGGATGATAGTTAGAGTGGGCGGTGTATGTAGTTACTCTATCTAGAGTTAGGCCGTGATGGGAGTTAGAGTAGGGATGCGGGATGCGGGCCTGCCTGCGGGATGACGCTACATCATTCGCCACGAACCCCCACCCCCCCACCCTCCACCCACCCCTTGGATCCCGGGTGAGTGCGATGCGAGCGCGGGTGGGGTTTCAGATGCATTGGGCCGGTGGCGCTCGCCGATACCTAAGCACTTCGTTACTTATCTACGTTCCATTTTTCGTCAAGTCTGGAACCGTCGTGGAACGCAGACGTGTGCAGTGCGTATAGGTAGGTGGGATCACGTGCGTGGGTTGGCAGAGTGATGTTCCATGCATCGGGTTGGGAGGATGGGGTCGCCCTGTTGGCTTTTGCTTTTGTCGGCACATGTGGACATACTTCATAATTGTAAGAGCATATACCTCTGCCCTTGCGATATCTTTCCGATGAGAGAGATTCGGTTGGACTTTGCTGCCGCGGGCGTTTGGCTCCACGCGAGACAGTGCTAACCGTATGCATTGTTGCATATATAGCAGGGCTATGGTATTTCGAATCTGCGACGAGAAATGATTGGTCATGGGCTGCACCCAAATACCCGGAGGCAGCACCTCTATCTCTCCAAAACACAGTGGGGCAAGTCGTATGGCGTGCATCGTCTTTGCTGACGCCACATAGGGAGTGATACCTAATGTTCATCCGGCGGTTGCCAGATACTTGCGCCAATTAGTGCGAGTAATCGCCGCGAAGTCACAGGTAGCAGTGCATTCATTATCGTACCGATTAGATCTCCCCAAACAGTCTCATTGTATTTTTACCCCACATCCCCACCTATTAAGCAGCCCCCTTCCCTCGTGGTTTCTTAACCGTCTTTTGATTCCAGTTCTTCCTCTTCTTCAGCTCCTTCATATCCGGTCCATCACCACCTTCGCGTTTCCTCTTCGATTTCGCCAGCTCCTTCTGCGCACCTGTGGGTTTCTTCCCCTTGACCCCCTTCGGCTCGCGCACAACGCCAGCCTTGGCCTCCTCCCGCCTCTTCTCGCCCACCTCTCTTGAGCGGGTTTCATTCTCCTTGCGGCGGTTGACGACTTTGGCGTTCTCAATGGCGAACTCAACGATAAGCCGCTTCTTCTTCTCGATATCCGGAGCGGCAAGACGACGACGTGGCTCAGCACCCTCCTCATCCTGCGGCACACCAGGAATGAGCTGGCCGTTCATGTACCGTAGTCCCATGAGTGCGTAGCGATGGCTCCAGTACTCGACGAATCCGTAGCCCCTGGATCGCCCGCCCATCTTCTCGAGCTGGACTTTCGCCTGCTTGACGACACCGAGCCCCTTTGTTCTTCGCTGCTCCTCGGCATCCTTCCCCTCGCCGCCGTCGCGGTAGAGTTCTTCTTTGCTGAGTGCGGCGCGAAGTCCGGATTTCATGTCCTCCGCGAAGCCTGGGATGGCTTTACGAGCAATCTGCTTGAGGTCTTTGGAGGTGACCCAGCGCGGAAGGTTGCGGATCGAGAGGCGGGTGAGGGAGAGATGGAGGTTGGGGTCGGCTTGGAGGAGTTTTCGGCGCTGCTCGCGGGATTGGTCGCGGAGGAGGCGCTCGGAGGGGCTGAGTTTTTTCCAGGCCGGGGAGGAGGCGGGAATCATTCCTTCGTTGATCAGATAGAGGCGGCGTTTGTCGTTGTTGGTCTTCTCACGGTTCTTCGCGGCGCTGGAGGCGAGCTCGTCGGCTTGGTTGCGGTCCACGGCCCGGGAGAGGGCGAGGATGCGGCCGTCGAGCGTGTACTTTCCGTCAGGGTCGAGGGCTTCCGATTGAAGCAGCGAAGGCCGGCTTTCAGCTGCGGTGATGCGTGGCGCATCGCGGAGAACGTCGGCGGCGATGTCGGGGTTGTAGAAACAGACGAAGCCGGTGCCCTTTGGCCGGTCCGTTGCGTGGTCGATCACGACACGGGAGTAATGCACTGGTCCGAATTGTGTGAAGTGCTTGTAGAGGGAGTCGTCGGTAGCCGAGTAGGGGAGGTTGCGTATGAAGAGAGTGGTGGTGGAGTCGGTAGGTGGCCGGTCTTCGTCGTCGTCCTCATCATCCTCGTCGTCTTCATCCTCATCCATTTCGTCGTCCTCGTTTTCGGCATCAGAACCCTCCTCCTCGTCATCGTCTTCAATATCCACACCCCCGTCCACGTCCTCGTCCTCCTCCTGGTCGTCGTCGTCGTCGTCCTCTTCCTCCACTTCATCTTTGACAGCCGCAGGCTCCTCATCCTTTCGCGCCTTTTCCCACTCCTCTTTCTCAACCGCCCAATCAACAGCCACAGTCCTCCCCTCAATCTCAGTTCCATTGGTCGCCTCAATCGCTCTCTCCGCATTCTTGTACCCCTTCATGGTAACAAACGCAAACCCGGACATCTCACCATTCCTCTTCTTGGGGATAATGACATCCTTCACCTTTCCGTAGCTCTGGAAGTACTTGAGCAACTGCTCGGGCTTCTGCACGCTCCACGGCAGATTGCGAATGATCAAGCGCGGACTCCTCCTCTTTCCCTCCTCCTCCTCCACCTTTTTCGGTCTCGAGGTACCCGTCGTCGGCAAGGGGAGTTTATTCTCCTTCGTCTTCTCCTCCGCACCGGGCTTCGCGCCCTTGGCAGCTTCTCTCCTCCTGGGCTCCGCGAGCTCAACCTTCATCTTCCGCCCCTCGAAGTCGGCCCCATTGAGCTGCTGTATCGCCTTCAGCGCATCCTCCGCGTCCGCGAACGTGACGAACCCGAATCCGCGCGACTCCTTCGACGACGGGTTGACAACGACCGTCGCATGCTTGATCGGTGCCACGAACGAGAACTTCTCCGACAGCAGCGCGCTGGTCACCGAGTAGTCCAGCGAGCGCACGAACAGCGTGCGCCGCTTCAGGATGTCCTGCTCGTGGCTTTTGACCGCCGTCTCGTGGTCCGTCGTCGTGCTCGCCGCTGCGGCGGTGGGTTTGGGGGTTTTCGCCATGGTGTTCGAGGTGTGTAAAGGTGTGGTGGGTTGGTGGGGAGCGGAATTGAATTTCGCGCCTGAAAGTTTGTGAAAAATATCTCGCGGCGTACAAGCTTCCCTTGGCGGGGCGCTAGCTTCGGCGCTCACTCGCAGGGCTAGGCATTGCACCGTGGTGTGGGGGCCACGGGGATCGGGATGCCGTGTAACGCGGCGTAGCGGTTGTGGATCACACAATGGAGCACAATGGCATCATGTTCGATTTCACTTTGTTGGGCCCGTCGGGCTCATCGCACTCGTATCGGCTCTTTCTAACATGCCATCTATGGGGCCATTTTGTCTATGAAGAAGAAGAAAAGAAAGATGGAATAATCAAAAGAACAAGCAGAAGAAGAAGAAAGAATCCAGCCCATGCAAAACGCCATTACCCCCACACAAAAAGCAGAACCAACGCATGAAAATCACGAACTCAGCAAATCCCGGACACTCATCCCGCGTCCGGACGTTGATGTCCTAAACCTCCACGCCGCCTCGTCCCGCCGCCCCTCATCGGCCAGCAGCAGCAACGCACCCGCCGTGGCTTCCAAGGGACTGTGCATTGGCGGCTGCGGCTGCGGGAATATCATGGGCGATATCGACGGAAGCCTTATGCCATGCGCGGGGGGTAGGGTGAAGAGCGGTGATGCGGCGGCAGAGTGGATGGGAGCAAAATCGGGGGACGTGGCGACCGACGACGGATTGGTGGTGTAGTTCGAAGTCGGGTAGTCCTCAGGCTGACTGTACCGTCGCTGCTGCTCCTGCAACAGGAACTGCATCTCCAATTGTTCCCGCTGCTGTCTCGCCAGCTCGTCCTCCCTCTCCAGCTCCCTCGTATCCTGGTCCGCATCCATATCGACATCATCCTCGTCCTCGTCCTCATCCTCCTCGCCGCTCTGGCTCCTTGGCGAAAACACCGGCGGCGCACAGCAATTCTGCACACCCGCCGCCTTCTGCAATTCCTTGAGGCAACCCTCCAGGTACCGCACGTACTCGATGCTCGCCTGCAGAATCGCCAGCTTGTGCATCTCGACCCCCTTGCCGCACGCGGGCACAAGATTCTTGAGCGTTTCGAACTCGGCATTCATCTTCGATCGCCGTCGCCGCTCGATGAGGCTGTGCGCGGTTTTCCGCGCGACCTTGCGCGAGGTGCTGGCGGCCGAGTTCGGCGATGTCGTTGTCGACGTCTTTGCAGCGGCGGTCTTGGCTTTCGTCGCTGGCGTTTTGGATTTTGTGGTGGTGGGGGTTGTGGTTGTGGTAGTGGTGGATGTGCTGCTGCTCCCCGAACTCGGAGGGGACGAGGATGGCCCAGGGTTCATCTGGATTATCTTGCGGGTGCGCGTGGGTGGTGGGGGGAGAGTCACGGGCGCTGCATGTGTTGCGCCCGTGGCCGAGCCGGGTGCCCGCCGCTTTTTTCCGCGGGATGTCGAGACAGGTGCAGATGCGGGCTCTGCTGCTGCGAGAGCTGGCGGTGGAAGCGTGAACGTGAGCACGGCGCTCGATTGGGACTGTTGCGTGGCCATTCCGTGGGGGAAAAGTGTGTGAAACGAAACAACAACAGTGGGAGAACAGGCAGTGAGGGTTGGTGATCGAGAGGCCGGCGATGGGGGGGCTTGCACGCCGAGCGTAATGGAGGTGGAGAAAACGGCGAGAGGTTGGTTGAACGAGAGATAAATGCTCGAATGGTCCCTTTTGTGGTCCAAAATGGCTATATATCCCTCCGTGGAGTAACCTCCTCTCCTGCTTGGGAGGTGGTGGTGGCTGTTCCACCACTCCGCCGACGCCCGTGCTGCTAAGATCGAGGCTGATAGGTTCCCCAGCTCACGCACACGACAGCAGTGGCACTTCCTGTTGTGGAAATGTCGCGTGCGCCGTTGGACGGCTGTGATTGGCTCACCGGGGCTTTGCGGGAATCCGTAAAGTCTGCAGGGGTCAGCAAGGTGCAAGACTGCAAGTCCGCTTCGTTTGATCTGAGCACGTTTCTGGCCGAGAGGTGGGTAACTAAGGGGAGCGCAGACAGCCCCCCCACATTTTACTTATAGGAAAACCGTTGTGGATCTCGAGACGCCTGAAGAGCTTATCCCCCTCCACGCTCAAGCAAGCAAGGCGATGGATGGATGCGGGATGGCCTGCGGGGATGCGTGAACTGGGCGTCCGCGCAAGCTTCCATGTGGGGCTTTCAACGTCGTCGTCGATGTCATAAAACCTCACCCACGTGGGGCGGCGAGATCATCGACTTCAAAGCTCGAATTCAGGCCAGAGCTCGGGAAAGGGAACGGTGCTCGATCATCACTTTATCTCGGCGCATGTATGTATGAATCATGATACGTGGACGGAGTCAAATTCACCTTGGCGGCGCGCCAGCGGTGGCTGTGCAAGGCTATTCCGGATGTTGGCGTGTCCGCATCACTGGTGATCACTCACTGGTATATACCGCTTCTCGGCGTAATATTCATCCCGTCCTTTCAAGTCCAGCAAGGCCGTATGCGGCAATGAATTGATGTTCTCTCTCTCTCCCGTGCTTCCAAGAAGTTCCCATCTACGACGACAACGACATCCACTCATCCCTCTTGCCCGCCCCATTCCGCCCAGCATCAATCATTCAGCACTCAGCAGCAATTCTCTCGCATATGACATGCACGATGGTCACGGATCCGAGCACCACGCCACGATGTATGTACGTATTCGGCCATGGTTCGACGTCCTCGAGACTCGAGAGCCTGTCGATACCATATCTCTCGTAGTCCAACTACCTATTTCGATCTATCATATCTGCTCCCAATCTCTAGTTCAGTGGAACTGCTAACCGTGGGCTGCTTACTACCTCGGCTATCTGCCTGGACGGTTTGATGTACTCTACATATGTGGCTCAGTTGCGTCCGCTTGGTGCATACACGCAGGACAGCTACAGTCATGTACGAAGGAAGGGCTGGTCTTGATTTCGTCCGCTCAAGGTTACCGGTATCCTGCCTACGAAGCCACAGGTGCCATACACACACCCTAATTGTAGCTCCATTGGTTTGGTGTGTAGGATTGTGAACTGATTTGACATCCATGGTGCCTTTAGTAGCTAATGCGGAATGAGATATGGCCTAGGTATATAGCAGTCAGCTACGGACATAGATACCATCGTCGTCGTCCGTATCGAAACGTTTGGTGTACGATGCAAACAGCAGCGCAGGCCAAAACATCATGAACGGACCTGTATGAGATTTACGGGCCCGAGAAGCGTGCGAACAAACAGCCCTGCGATATCGATACGTCTCAAGAGTCAACTGACGTGATGGAAACTGCACCTTGGAAGATCTACGGTGCAGGCTGTCAAATCTTCGGCTTCTACATGGTACATAGCCTCGCGAATCACCAGCCCGACACAGCGGCTGCATGGGGGGGAAGCCAATGAAATTAAAGGATCGCTTTAAGCTACCTATGACATCGTGTTGGCCCTTGGGACGTTGTCGCTGTCGGTGGACGGCGTTTGAGGACTTGATCGATAATCGATTTCGTTCGTTGCACTGATAATCTCTATGCGTGATGTAACGATTGCCATGAAACTGCAACTCGTGGGTCGTGGGTCGCACTGCGCTTGTGCTCTTGGATGTTGGGACCGACCGACCGACCGACCACCGGCGTTTCAGACGTGTATGAACCGAGGGCCCTTTAGCCGCTGGCTGTCGGCGGATATATACTCTACCTACCCCACGGCAGGCTAGGTAGGAAGGTACTTGAAGCTGTCGACTTCCCAACTGCGATGCAGTTTCTCATGTTTGAGATGCACTTTCCTACATACATTAGGTACATACTTGCTGGAGCAGGACTCGGTATGTACATACATGGAGGGTCCAGCAACCTAGGAGAAGATGTTACTTTTTCGTTTCAACTGGCGAAGGTGATGATTGTTTGCCAGTCAGCGCCACAGCACAGCTCGCCGCTTAAGCTGAGGTTGGAGCTGGGTTAACTAAGCGCTGCAGCGTGGAAGTTTCGCGCGCCCGCCGACGGCGACCAATCAGCCTTGGTCGTTCGGGCTCGTTTGCATGCCCTCGTCCGCTATTTCGAGAACGAAGCATGGAAACCTTCAGGCACCAGCGATGGTGGGCTTCATATGATGCGACCAATCGAACACAGAGAGATCAGCTTTTCGTTTTCGCTTCGACGCAGGGCCGACGCGTATAGTAGAGATTGGCTGCGAGTCTGTGACTCGGCCAGCCGCGTGGCTCAGCTGATGCTCTTCTTGACAAATACTATACCGTACATGCCCTCCGCAGCCCGCTGTGCGAAGGCGATATCGGCGGATCTCACTGTGACTACCTATCCTGATTCCTATGTACGAGATCCATCATCCGTGTGGACTCGCTATTTCTGGATGGGGTTTGCACGTCGACTCTCGACTCTCTAGTCGTCGACTGCATGCGTGGTTTCATCTCGCCGAGTCTACCCCCATCCCAAACGATACCTCCGACATCCATGTTTCGAGCCAACAGCGGACGCAGATGGCGGATCTCACTCGACAGAGTGGGGACCCTGCGCTTCCTTGCATAGCGTCTAGACTCTGGTTACCGAATGCCAGTGTACCAGATATCGAAAGAGAGTTATCCCGGTAGATTCTCACGTTGGAACGTCAAGGCTTAGTTCTCGCTTCCTTCTGTTACAGGCGTACAGCCATCCTCCTCCAGGCTCCCCCAGCGCCTGGCCGGCCGGAGGTTTGTATATCTCCCTCCTCCTGTCCCGCCCTCCGCAGCTGTTCCTTACCACTCACCTCATCATCCGTAGCTCCAGGCGATTACTTGCCTCCTCCGTTCTTCTTCTTCGTTCTCTTTCATTCTCTTTTCCATTTGATATCCCAGGTGGATCGGTATATTTACATTTTATATCCCTTACTATTTTAATTCTCCGTCCATATAATCGAATCGCTGCTCCGTGAGCCAGCATCACCAAATCTGACATCCACACCACATCAACATCAACATCACCATGGCAATCTTCAGGAACCTTCTCACGTGTGCAATCGCCTTCAGTGGGCTATCCACCGCCCTCCCGCACAGCAGACGACAAGAAGCTGCGGCGCCAGGCCTGACAGATATGCAGATTCTGCAATTGTGCGCCGCACCTCATCCACCCCACCCATGCGCCTGCTAACCTTCGCAGCGCCCTAACACTCGAGCACCTCGAGTCCGCCTTCTACACGGAAGGCTTCGCGAAGTTCCCCGCGGCAGACTTCCTTGCGCTGGGGCTCGACCAAGCAACGATCGACGGCCTACAGGCCATCGGCAAAACCGAAGCAACGCACGTCATCGTGCTCTCAGACACGATCACCTCTCTCGGGGGGACGCCCGTTCCCGCCTGCACCTACAAATTCAACCTGATCGACGCCGCATCCATGATCGCGACGGCGCGGGTTCTCGAAGCGGTCGGGATATCCGCATACCTCGGCGCAGCCCCACTGGTGAGCGAAAAAGCGATCCTGAGCGCCGCGGCGTCAATCGTTACCGTCGAGGCGCGCCACCAGACGTTTATCCGCACCGCGCTGAACGCCCAGCCCGTGCCGCAGGCGTTCGATGCCGCCATCGGCCCGCTGCAGATCTTTACGCTCGCCGCGGGGTTCATCGATGTGTGTCCCGAGGCGGCGAACCTGGGGCTCACACCCCTCGCCCCGCTGAATGTTCTTGACGCCGGGAGTATACGTGCCGGCAGCGCGCTGAAGATGACGGTGCCTGATGCGGCGAGGGAGGCGGGGCTTAGCTGTACTTTCACTACTGGAGATGGTGGCCTGGTGTTCGCTAAGTTTGAGAATGGCGGCTGTGTGGTCCCTGATGGACTAGGTGGTGAGGTGTTCATGACGGTCACTACCGAGGCCGAGGGCGTTAAGGTCCTTGATGATACGAAGATTGTCGCTGGGTAGGTTATCCCGACGATACTATCTGAGAGCGTCACTAACGCACTAAATAGGCCCGCTGTGCTGGTGCTGTCATAGTACACCACTCCATCCAACCATCCAGCCAGCCAGCAATAACAGCCCGTGTACTATGTAATCACACCTCCTCGCCCATGCCCATACCGTCGACGTCGAGCGTCGAGCGTCGCATATCACAATTTCCTTTGTTTCCCCCAAGTTTGCATTAGGTAGTTAGATAGATAATGTACGAGTACCTATGAACGATGAATCCAATCCAATGCAGCCAGGCGGCTACAGTCTACGCTACGAGTACATAGTTGGAGGTAGTTGGACGATGCAGAAATTGCAGAACTTTGAGACGTGTCAAACGTGGATGAGATGTGGATGAGGTGTGGGGTGGGATGTGAAACGGAAGATGAAACACGTGCGGAAAAATAAGAAAAAAAGAAGGGATAAGCCGAGTGAGTATCTGTGATCAAAGCCGAGCGGTGGGCCGTGGGTAGGTGGTGGTGGGTGGTGCCCGGTATACAGTCCGGCTGCGGGAATAGCGACGGCTCCATTGGTACCCGCGTGCCTTCCAGAAGCTGCCCGTGATGTCCTCAAGCGAGGTGCTACCCGTGCTACCACCGCGTGATATCTCGTGATATCTCGTGAGATGACATCGACATCGATATCGACGTACCTATAACGAAAGCGCCCACTGCCCAGTATTCCGCCAGTATGTACCAGCACTACATATGGCTAAATCTCAGTGTTATTTACATAGGGTAACAGGTTCATTGCCAGCAGTGAGCACACCATCGCATCAAGCCAGGATATCACCCTTCCAAGACTACATACGGCTTACTCGTATTTATATTGAAAGCCATGCCCATTGCCCAATGCCCATCCAATGCCCATCCAATTCCCATCTAATAACGCACTTCCTACATACCCCATATTTCCAAAAATAATTCCTAAACTTCCTAAACTTCCATGTTTGCCCGTGTGAAAAAGAAAATGGTGTGTGCAGAAACAACAAAAAGCCAAAACGACATTTTGCAGTACAGACCCCCGGGAAACATTGTGTTCGAAAGAAAAAGAGGAATGAGAATGAGAATAAGGAAATGACATGCGTACGCTCATCTAGATTAGAATGGAGAAATCGAGATGGAGAGAGGGATGGAGAGAGGCAAACGAGATTCCAAGCGCACTCAAAGATCATTAGCGAGCGTCGACGCGACAAACTTGACGGTATTCAATATCTTCTGGCAGAGGGGAGGATCCATTCCATCGGGGCCTACTTCGCAGGCGCGATCGGGATCTCTAACGATCGGCTTCCTTTTGGAGAGGCGTTCCATATCCGCGACGACGACCCACAGCTCGGCGAACTCCTTCTTGACGGCGGCGGTGGCCATGAACTTCCACGCAGCGTCGAGGCGCGAAATGGATTCGAGCGTGCGCCGGTAGAAGAGGACTAGTAGCGGCAGCACAATCGACAAAAGCATGAACGACGAGTACGCGCTCGTCATGCTGCCCAGACAGGAGGTGCACGCGAGCGAGGACTTGACGTTGGCGAGCGCCCCCCGCGAGATGAGGAGGCAGTGCTGGATGTCCGAGGTGGGGGGCGTGGTCTGCAGCGTCGTGATCGTGCTGAAGAGGTCGAGGCTGCACGTGCACGTCGGGAGGTTGCAGCCCGGCGGTGTCGAGTTCGCCGTGAAGTTGAAGACACCGTTGGTGTCGGCCGAGGAGATCGGCATCGACATCGACATCGGAGCCGGATTCGGCGGCGGATATATGCCGACGTTGGACGCTAGTTGTTCCTGGATGATTTCCATGTGCTCCTGTCGCTGCCGGACAGTCTGGAGATGTGGTAGCTCGCTGTTTTCCACCCCAGCAAGGTTAGAGCCCTCCCCTTGGTATCGCTCGTGGAGGCGGAAAACCCAACTCGTTCATCCACTCGAAATCCCCGGTGAACAGCTTGTTCTTGCCCTGAATGCTTCCGCACAGCTGCGACCACTCATCATCCCACATGACATACAAGTTCTCACCGAGATGTCCAGGATCAGCCGGGACATGTAGCGTGTTATTGTTGTTGTTGATGATGATGTTGTCGGGATGATGATGATAGGCGGGATGAGCCTGATGGACCTCCAGGATCTCCACATGCAGCGGGGGGGCGCCATCATCGGAGTTCGCGCGGCGGCGTTTCCTTGGACGGCCCATCGGTTTCTGGAACGAGTAATGGCACGGCGTCTGGTCGTTTGCGCACCGCGCGCATCCCGAGTCTTCGCCCGTGCATCGGAGCTTCCGTGCGCCTACACAACTCGATAAACCCGGGGGGCGTCAGCCAGCATGCCCGTTCGGAGACTTCTCGGAGACTATCGGGGGTGCACGACGCACGGCATTCGTCACTTTAGATTGGTGACCCTACGTGTTAGCCTGAACAGATCATCACACCGGTAGACAGGTAGGTAAGTATCGCAGGAGATGGAGAGATAGGCGAGAGGAAGGGGATAAGTGGCAGGTGTTCTGCACTTACCAGGCCGAGTGCTTCTTCTGGTCCATGTTGCTTTGGGTATCGTTTTGGCGCCCTGGATGGAGGGATCTTCGGAAGCTTCTGTCTGCTGAGGAGGGGGTTCGCATATGAGGAAATGGAAGGGCAGGCAAGAGAGAAGCTGGCTGCTGTGGAGGTCGGACCGGTGAAGGAACGGCTCTGAACCCTAACCCCCGCCGCCTTGTCTTGGACAGGGAATTGATTGCGGACGAGACGCTTCTTACCGAAAGAAGCAGCTATTCGCAGGCGGAGAGGAGGGGCGCGCGGAGGCGGGAAATGCGGGGTGACCGTCAGGAAATCGCACGTAAGGGGGTTGGGGACACGGTTGTGCTCAGCCTTGCTCGATGCGAACGGACGAGACCGGTGAACGGTACTATTGGTATGCAGCACTCGGTATCCCCCATATAAATACACCAGCGTCGATATGTAAAGATAGTAGATATAGTACTCCCTACGGTAGGATGGTATGGTAAATACCACGATTGGAGTCGGGGGTACATCCATATGATAGATACGGTACCTATAGCACCTGTCTTCGCGTGTCGAGGGGCTGGACCCGGGACAGCGATTCGTCACGGGCTCAGGTAAGCGAGAGAGACGGAGAGAGGATCTGCGGACTGCCCGAGCCGAAATTCGACTAGCTGGAGGGAGCACCGACACTACATACTAGTAAAAACGCAGGGCTGTTGTTGGCATTGGGCTGTTGAGTCTCCCAGACGCTCGCCAATCGCATATAATGGCCACCGCAATTTTCTCTGGAGAGACATGTAGCTGGTGTTCACCTTCGGATACGCCATGTGGTGGCTGGCTCTACTCTAGTTACAGAGCACGAGGCACGATCGACTCGGTGGAGATCAATGTTAATTTCACATCGAAAGCCACATTGAGGGTCTGGGCGGAGGCGGCTCGTCTACCGAGTACACCACGATCGCCGGAACCATCGGTATACATAGCTAATCGATGGCTGGAATTCCAATACGAGAGGTCCCCGTCCCCGCACAATATCAATGATCGCTATATTTATATGGTAACGGTCTAAATCTGCAATCTTGGTCTTGCAACCGAGGCCGAGACGTCCTTCCAGGTATCTACATATATAGCCGACTGTTTCGTCTGGAATTTTCAGACGGAATCTTTTGGAGGGGCTTGATGCAGGTTCAATTCGAGTTCTTCAGAGTGAAGGAGTGGGATCCTTATGCAGCAGGAACAGAGACTGTCACTCGCGGGCAGGGTCCATCACAACGAACAGGTTGTCCTCGACATTGTTGAGGAATTGCCCACCAATTGACGCACGGCGAAGTGTTTGTGCTGCAAGTACAAGATGCACGGCAAAGTGTTGGTGGTAATAGCCACTGCGGGTACAAGACCCAAACCCAGGGAACACCCCAACGAGAACTGCCCCCAGGAAAAGACCCAGCAGAGGAAGACGCTATGGACTAAACCGGGCGAGGCCAGGATCGATTCAATATCAGCGACCCATTCGCCAGTCGCAGATGCAGCGAGGCCATCCTCTCTTTCCTGTCAACAGCGGACGTAAGTGCTAGGGCGCCAAGTTCCGCCTCTCAGCACTGAGGACGAGCCAGAGCGGCCCAGTCTGCAACCGCGGCGGCGGCGGACCCCACACGCCCGATCACAGGACCAGCGAGGGCAGCGCCAGGGCGAGGAAGCGGCAATGTGTGCAGCCCAATCCCACGAACGGGAGTCTACTCTTCCTGCCTGGACCGATTAGTCAAGCGTCAACAGCCGCAGAAAATGGGGGACTGGCGGCAGATACACAGAGCACTTGTCTTTTCTTTTCATCGTTCTCATTCACATGTATTTTCCCTTGGCGCAGCCAGAAGAGGGGGTGCAGGTGGGGTGGGGTGCGATGGACATTGGAAAGACGATTGAATAGTGCAATGCTGAAAGCTCGACGCCTGCATAGCGCACCAGAATCCAGATGCTCTCGAATCCCAACCCGGCTGGCTGGCTGGCTGCCGCTGCAAGATAGATATGCCAAAGTTCATATTTAGTGCACACCCTCTCAAGCTTCGCTGCCCAAATCCATAGATAATGCAGAAGCCAGAGGACTTGGCATGCCTACACTGTGCTTGTACCCGACGAGTGACGAGTCCAGCGGGCTGCAGCGTCGACTGCTTTCGTGCATCACTCGCCAGTTTGTCCGTGGACTTCGCCTCGTCAGCACCTGGCATTGGACGAGTTTCGGCCCCTCCTGCGTCGGTATTGGACGAACTCCGGCCCCGTCTGCAACAGTCGTCTCTGAAGAATCTGGCATGCGGCTGGTGCGGGTTCCAGTTCCCCAGCTCCCGCATAGGCACATACTCTACTTATGCAAATACATACGTGGATGCAGAGGAATCCTCAGCACACATCTGCATCAGTACCGATCTGCATCCCCGCGCATGCGCGTGTAACCATAGTAAGGACTAACTAGATGGCGGTTGACCCCAGCACCTTGGCTGTGGGCAACCCAACGATTCGAACCCTGATTTCGTTCGATTTCCCACTCCCACCAATGGTTCTTCTGGTTACTCCCTCCTCTTCCCCAGTGGGGGCAGTAGGAAAATAATAGTGAATTCGAGATGGCTCCCATCACTGGCAATGGCCCAGGTTGGCCGCATGCAGCGCCAAAACTCGAGATTTTCGCGGGCTGGCCATCGCACGGCGGAGTCGAGATGGAGGAGCCCGCAGTTATGGCTTGCCGAAGCTCTTGCAGCCAAACCAGCCCAGATACACAGGGGCGGGGGGGAGGGCTGATCGTCAACTCGCGAAGACACAAAATATGAGCTCACCTTTCACGTCCTGCAGACACTGCGCGCTCGCTCGCCAGCGGGGATTCCGGCCGCTCTCTCCTGAGACCTCCCGCATGTTTTCCCCTCCCATAATGGCCACGGCCGGCCTCCTTCCATTGCTTGTGTGGGCGTAATGGAGGTACTCTGGAATATATATGCGTGAGCATACCTCCCCCCACCGCCCCACCGCCCCACACCCTTCCCCCTCCCCCCTGTGAACTAACTTCACTTCCCGAGTTTTGCGCTTGTCCCATCCCATCCCTATTTCCTGTCCCTCACGTATCTATCTTTCGAGAGAGAGATCACATTGCAACCGACCGACCGACTGTCACTGGCCCCATAGATACAATGTCCTACGGCTTCCCCCTTCAAGAGTACATCGGCGTTCCTCCTAAAAAAGGGCACCCCGAACCCATCGAGCGCGGCGACGACATCGAGGTCGATCCGAAACTGGTACGCTGCTTTGCACCTTTCTGTCGAGTCAACTGGTAGTCGGTCGGAGCACTCATTGACGCATGAATGCACTGGCAGCTCGAAGATGGCTATGATGATGACTATGAGAGTGCGGGCTACGACACCAGCACGGCGAGTCTGACCTCGTCGGTGAACGAGTACGTCTACGAGAATGGTATGTTGTCGAGAAAGAAAAAACCTAGAGATACATACCGACCTGGGTTGATGACGACGAAACGCTGACGAGATTGGGATGGACGGAAAGGCAGGCGGTATCATGCATACTATGGGATGGATAAGAACGTGATTCCTACGGATGAAACTGAGCAGGATCGGTAAGTGAATGCCTACCTACATACCAGGTGCTCTGACAGTCGAAGGAAGAAAGGAACGGGATGGCTGATGCCCACCTAACGTATGTACCCACTGTAGAATGGACCTCCACCACGAAATCTTCCTCAAGCTGGTCGGCGACCTTCACAAAGCGCCCATCGGTCCCAATCCCCAGGCAATTCTCGACATCGGCACCGGCACCGGGATCTGGGCCATCGACATGGCCGACAAATATCCTAGCGCCGAAGTGATCGGCATGGATCTCAGGTCTGTCTGTGTCTTTGCCTTCCCCCGCATTGAGACCACGGTCCACAGTGATACTTACAGATCCAGTCCCATCCAACCCGGCTGGGTCCCGCCAAACTGCCGCTTCGAACTCGACGATGCCGAGGAAGACTGGACGTACCATCAATGCAAGTTCGACTTCGTGCATGCGCGGAACGTCGCGCAGGCGATCAACAACTGGCCAAAGCTGATGCGGCAGATCTACCGGTTCGTATTCCCTTCCCCCCCTCCCTCCGATTCTCACGCCCTCCATGCAGGGCCACCAAACCCGGAGGCTACGTCGAGCTCGCCGAGCTCAACACAGTGATGCGCAGCGACGACACGACGGTGCGGGATACACACGGGCTCAAGATCTACATGGACAAGCTCGGGGAGGCGATGGTGAAGCTCGGCCGCCCCGCGAACATCAGCGACACATTTCTTAAATCAGCGCTCACGCGCGCGGGGTTCGTCGACGTCACCGCCATCCGCTACAAGCAGCCGATCGGCCCGTGGCCCAAGGACGAGCGCCTCAAAAAGATTGGCATGATGTGTTTGCTGTCCGCTAGCACGGGGTATCATGCGTATGGCATGATGGCGTTCACCAGGATACTCGGAATGGATCCTAAGGCCGCTGATGACCTCTGTAACGAGGCCGCTGCCGCGTCGAAGAATAAGAATATCCATGGGTATAATTACTTGTAGGCCCCCCTCGCTCCCCCGACCGGACTTCTGGTGCGTGCGTCGCTAATGCTTCGGGGCGATGTAGCTGGGTGGTGTACGGACGGAGGCCGTTGTGATGTGATGGATGGATGGGGGTATTATGGGTTCAAGCCTCTCTTTCGGTATTACGCGGAAGGTACGGAGGGGCGGATACATAGCCGCTTGAGTTTGAGGTTTGATCGATTGGCGTTTATGTTAGCTGTTTCGGCAGTTCTTTGGTTTGGTTTCGTAGTTTATACCTGCGGGAATAATATCCCTACCTATCGTGAATCACATACCCCTTTGACTTAACTCGCCTAATGAATCAGGAATATCTTGCAATTGCAATTGTATGTACAGTGACCGTATTACCGCTACCTATCAGATGTTACAGCCAGCGCATCCAGACCACCTACAGTACTAGCTATCATACAGAACGTTGTCCACCCAGAGCAGACCAGAGCAGAGCAGAGAAAACAGGAAGAACGCAACCTCCCAAGTCAAAAACCAAACACCCCACAAACTCCAAACCCGAAATCACACACACCGTAAGTACAGCCTTAACTATTTACACCTACTTCTCCTCCGCGTCCTTAGTATTCTCGACCCCCTCGACCAGCAGCTCCTCTCCGCCATCAGCCACCGACACCTTAGCTGTCATTCCATTCCTCAGTCCACCAGTGATCAACTTCTCAGCCAGGACCTTAGAAACATGCCGCATGATCTCGCGATTCAGCGGTCTAGCGCCGTACTTAACGTTATACCCCCTTTGCGCGAGCCAATCCTTTGCCTCATCGTCCACCATTAGTGTAATCCTTCGATCCACCAATTTCTCCTGCAGCTCCTTCAAACGTATATCGACGATGTCCCTGATCGCATCCCGCGACAGCGGGGAGAAGATGACAAAGTCATCGATGCGGTTAAGGAACTCTGGTGCGTAAGTGTTCTGGACGGCCATCATGACGCTGCGCTTCGTGTCATCATCGAGGGTCTCGGCCGGCGGGGCGGCGATCAACGCGTCCTGTCCCAGGTTGCTGGTTAGCACGATGATCGTGCTCGAGAAGTCGACTTTGCGGCCTTGCGCATCGGTGAGAAACCCCTCGTCGAGGACTTGTAGGAGGAGGGAGGAAATGTCCCGGTGCGCTTTTTCGAACTCGTCGAACAGGAGAACGGCATAGGGTTTGCGCCGGACCGCTTCCGTGAGCTGCCCTGCGTCCTCGTACCCGACGTAGCCGGCGGGCGCGCCGATTAGCCGGCTTACCGTGTGCTTCTCCATGAACTCCGACATGTCGAAGCGGATCACGGCTTGCTCGGTCGAGAAGAGGAATTCGGCCATTTTCTTGCACAGCTCGGTTTTGCCGACGCCGGTGGGGCCAAGGAACATGAAGGAGGCGGTCGGTCGGTTCTGCGAGGTGAGGCCCGCGCGCTGAAGGCGCACCGCATCGGCAACGAGCTTGAGCGCCTCGTCCTGCCCCCGGACTGACTGCCGCAAGGTGTCTTCCATATGCATCAACCGCTGGACTTCTCCTGACATCAGTTTCGTCATGGGGATACCCGTGGTCTTGGAGACAACCCGGGCGATGTCGTCTTCGTCGACAGAGTCGTGAAGGAGTGAAGACCCCTTCAGTGGTGTCTCTCCATCCTTGGGAACCTTTGCCTCGAGGCGGGGAATGGTAGAGTACTGGAGCTCACTGGCTTTCTCGAACATTCCGGTACGACGGGCCTGCTCGAGCTCGATCCTGGCCTTCTCGAGCGATTCCTTAGCTGTTTTGATTTCTCCGAGTTCGGCGCGCTCCTTTTCCCACAGCCCCGTGAGTTCTTTCAGCTTCTCGGTCTTCTCCTTGAGTGTCTCTTCGAGCTTCGCTTTGCGTTCCTTCGACATCACATCGGTTTCCTTGCGCAGGGATTCGAGCTCGATTCGGATGGTCAGGATGGCGCGGTCGAGTTCCTGGATCTCGTCGGGACGCGATTCCTGCTGCAGTCGGAGAGCGGAGGCAGCTTCGTCAACCAGGTCAATGGCCTTGTCGGGGAGGAAGCGGTCGGTAATGTAGCGGTTCGACAGGGTCGCCGCGGCAACCAGTGCGCCGTCAGTAATCCGGACTCCGTGGTGGATTTCGTAGCGATCCTTGATACCACGGAGGATACTGATCGTGTCCTGCACCGAGGGCTCGTTGACCAACACTGGCTGGAACCGTCTAGCCAGTGCAACATCCTTCTCGATGATCCTGTACTCCGCCAGAGTAGTGGCACCCGTACACTGCAACTCGCCCCTCGCCAGCATCGGCTTCAGCAGATTCGACGCATCGATGCTTCCCTCAGCCTTGCCCAATCCCAGGAGGGTATGCAGCTCATCGATGAACAGAATGACCTTTCCCTGAGCATCATGCACCTCCTTCAGCACCGCTTTCAACCTCTCCTCAAAATCACCCCTAAACTTAGCGCCGGCAATGAGCTGTCCTAGATCCAGACTAACAACCCTCTTATTCTTCATACTCTCTGGCACCTCCCCGGCCACAATCCTCTGCGCCAGCCCCTCAAGGATCGCTGTCTTTCCCGTCCCCGCATTCCCAATCAACACCGGGTTGTTCTTCGTCCGCCGCGACAGAATCTGAATCGTCCGCCGGATCTCCTCGTCCCGCCCAATTACAGGGTCGAGCTTCCCGTCCCGCGCCCGCGCTGTTAGGTCCGTGCCGTACTCCTCTAGCGCAGACTTCTGCTCGCCCCCGCCGAGGTCCATTCGGTGTGTTCCGCCCGGCGGGTGCGGGCGCCCGCCACCGCCACCGCCACCGCCGCGGCCATAGTCGGCGTAGCTGCGGCTGAGAACGGTCGGGAGTGGTCGCAGGAGCTGGGACGCGGGGAGTCGCAGCGCCGGCGGGGTTCGTATACTCGCCGCGCGAGAGCGGAGGATGGGTCGGAGAGTGGTTTTTAGAGTTGTTGGTGGTCGTGAAAGCATTGGGGTGTATGTATGTAGGTATGTCGAGTTCAAATTCGAATGTCACTGAGAAGATTACACAGGGGAAGAAGAGGAGAAGAGGGGAAGAGGAATGCAGTGAACGTGGCGGTAGAATTATATACACATCGAGGGGAGAGGCGGGTGCGCGTCGGTTTGCTATGTAGAGTACTCGAGTACAGGTGAAGGTTCTAGAGACTTCGAGAAACTCCGAGATGGTGAGGTTTACAGTAGTACGCCGGGATGACGTTGGTTGCGGGACGCTTGCCGGTGGCGGGTTAGAAATTTTTGGCAATAGCCGAATATGCGTTGTCATACGTTCCGGTAACTTCACAGGGGCTCACTCGTCGACTTCCGGCCGCTCTCTGTCTTTATGGTGATCTGAAGCTCACAAGCAACAACTCACTATTACAAATGATAGCCAGATGGGTGTCCGGCTTCTCAGCTAGAAGAAAGAAGGCGTAAATCCAGTGGATAGAGGTATGTCTGGAATGGCAACTGATCACCACCAATGTGAAGAGCTGATCAACCCTTGTCCACAGCAAATCGTTTGCGCCCGCCTACCTATGCTAGTATGAACTATGGTGGATTGCAAACTGGAGATTATTGCCGACTCTTATATCACGTAAATGGACTTGATGTCACGCCTGTAGTTGCTATTCTTCATCGAATTGAAGTACTTTTTTTCGGATTTATTTAGGATAGTCCACTTTTCGGCACATAATTGGTAGAATGGTCTGCCTTTTTTAGTAAGGATATCTAGCACACATCCGGAAATGGAAGTCGAACACAGCGGTTCTGAATCCAAGGAGGAGGCCGAATGGCACAGTGTGAACCACCATTCACCCGTGTTCCCAAAGGGCTACCAGTGACCACCCAAAAAAAGCGAATGACCAAGGGTGAAATGAGAAGAAAGTACGGAAGACAGGGAGGGAGGATTACCGGATATTCCAGACCGCGCTTCACTTGGCTGCGCTTCAACTGGCTGCTCAATATGTAAAGGCACTGGTCATTACGCTTCCACATATCGAGAGACGCATACAAGGTAGGCATTACTCTTAGCAAAAGACTTTCTCTAATAAAACGGAACTATGTTGCTAGGTATTGTAGCGCGCTGGAGCTGTGGTGCAGCGCGGGCAGGCGCTTAATGTGGAATTCATGCGGGACCCCCGACTAATGCGCAGGAATTCTTCAGAGCATGCCAGTAAGCCAACTGGAGGATGAGTTAATGCTGGCGATTGGCTTGTGGCCTGCCGCCTACGAGCGTCTACTGGCGCGTTTCATCTAAGCGCTGCGCTATAAATATTGCAATCCTGGAGACCCCATATGCGCCGATTGTCATGGATATTTTATCGGTGCGCACCCATGCGCATATAGTAGATCTCCAGAGACCTCTGGAGTATATAAAGTAGCAGCTCAATGGTCATATCCATATCTTCATATTCAAACAGGCAGAAAAACCACCCATCCAGAGCTACATACTTATCTATCCATATCCATATCTTCATATTCAAACAAGCAGAAAAACCGCCCATCTAGAGCTGCATATCTACCTATAATGTCGACTTCCCGCTCTAACCGTGGTCTCCGATTACTCTCCTTAGGTACATACCTTCGTACAGGACCGGATGGTGGTACACCCCTTTGCTAATGTGGCCCAATAGATGGCGGTGGCATTCGCGGCCTCTCCGAGTTGGCAATGCTTCACGAGATCATGGCGCGTATCCAGCATCGTGAAAATCTTGCTAGACTACCGAAGCCCTGCGAGTATTTCGATCTGATCGGGGGGACTTCCACTGGCGGGTATGTACACACCTACATACAGATTCAGTCAGTCGTGATGTTGACATTTGTTAGACTCGCAGCATTGCTTCTGGGCCGGCTGCAACTCTCCACCGAGCAAGCAATCACAGAGTATGGGAATCTAGCCTCCCTGGTATTCAAAGAAAAGAAGAGCGGTTGGCTAGGCAATGATGGACAGTACAAAGCCACAAAGCTCGAGACTGTCGTCAAGGAGCTGGTGCAAAAATACAGCGCTACCAATAACCCCGATGAGTCGATGTTGGACGCGCGGGCGGAGGAGCCTGGGGCTTGCAAAACGTCCGTTGATATCCGCCCTCCCCCTTTGGTGGAAGAAGCTTTTTTTGACACTGTGTAAATGTAGCTTTGTCTGCGCGGCACCAGCCGATAATCTCGCGTGTCCAACCCTGTTCCGCACCTACCGCATTCCAGATGCCTCATTCGACTGCAAGATCTGGGAAGCAGCACGGGCAACCTGCGCAGCACCGACACTCTTCAAGCGAATCCGCATCGGCGCGGAGGGGACGGAGCAGGAATACATTGACGCCGGACTGGGGTGCTATAATCCTGTTTTCGAAGTGGTAGCGGAGGCCGATGTTGCATTTGGGAAAGACCAGAAGGTGGATTGCCTCATCAGTCTTGGGTCTGGTCAGAAGGGCGTCATTGCGCTTAAGAAGCCCAATTGGTTCCAGAAGATGTTTCCTACGGACGCAATACCGGTTTTGGAGAGACTGTCGATGGACTCCGAGATCGCGGCGGAGCAGATGCAGGCTTGGTATCACAGGCACTGGCCAGGTGTGTACTACCGGCTGAATGTCGAGCAAGGCATGCAAGATATTGGAGTTGGAGAGTGGAAAAGACTGGGGGAAGTCTTGACACATACAACGAAGTACATACAGGGAGGAAGGATTAGTGTGGAGGTGGATACGATTGTCGATAAGATTATTGGGAGTTAGAGTTAGAGTGAGAATGTTTTCAATTATAAATTTGGTCTGTTATTGGGCTATCTGTCTCACTATCCTCTGGGCGAGAACCTTGAGTGCGACTTTGCCAGTCAAACACAGGCTCCAGCACGGTACCTACTCAATGGTTGCGGAGCCAATCACGCCATGTAACTGGTTGTAAATACATCCAAAGAATGTCTCGCTTGAAAAGCCATGAGGTGTGTAATCCGTGTATTCAAATCGCGCAATTAATCCATTAATTCTATGTATGGACGAACCACGCACGCCCTCCGCATCCCAACTGCGACCCACCAACAAAAGCACCCAGAAAAGAAAAAGAAACAAGCCAAACGAAGCCAAGAGAGCCATACGAAAGAGAAATGAAGCATATTACGCCACGCCTTGTTATACAGAAACCCAGTTCCTTCCAGTCTAGATTGGCGGAAGCTGCCCACGGGACCTATATGTCGCACTTAACTTATCAAGATTTTTGGCAACCCGGCACCAAAACTGTAAGCCCACAGGCTCCTCTTCCTGCAAGTCCAGAGGCTCCTGTTCCTGTTCGTCCTATCGAACTTGTTGCATGATGTGAAGTCCCTTCGCCCATTCTTCCAAGCCCTTACCCTTCCACATCGAAGAGCAGTTCCAACAGAGGGTCTGTATCGTCAGTTTGGTACTTGTATGCTAGGAGTGAAAGAAGTAGGAAGACCAACCTTGGGACCTTCAGGGCCCTCTCCGGCAGCCCATGTGACAGTTCCTGGTATATGGCACCAGCCGCACTTCCAACCGACGCGATCCCAATCGCCGTCGACTGGCGTGGGACTTGCGCTGCGCTGCCTCTTTCTGACACGACCCCTACCGCCCCTTCCAAGATCCGAATCCAGTTCCGTCGGACCGCCGGGCGTGGCAGTGCCAAATCTAGCCGTCTCGCGCCGTAGCCTACGAACCTCCCTCTCGCGGTCGATCTCCCGTTTCTCGATCTCGTCGCGTGAGAGTTGTTCTACCCTCGGTTCCCAGTCCACTCCAAGACCCTCCTGATCCAGCCGCCAGCCAGCGTCGGTGCCGTCCTGTCGCGCCGCAGCATTATCCAGCTCTGGCAGGCCGGAATCGTAAAGATCCTTCTTCTTCTGTAGCGAGAACTCGTAGATCCCCGCGGCGATGGAGGGTGCAAACTCGCTTCTCAATCCCAACTCCGCACAGATAACCCTCGCAAAATGTTCCGGCGTCAGCTGTGTATTCGCAAGATCCCACTCGAAGCGATCGGTGTAAACGACGTCGTCGAGATTGACAGTGAGTGGACAGACGGTTCGCATTTCTCCCGACGATTCCGGAATCGAGATCTGAGCGACGGGCGCGTACTCCGCGAGCTGGTCCCTGATCGCCGCAGCGATGGTCGCGACCACATGCGGGGCTAGATCGAGGTCCATTCCCATTGTCTGCGCGAACGCGTCGGGGGTGATCAGCGACTCGTGGAGATTCCACAGGAACGTGTCGTGTAGCCGGCCATTGGGTAGATCCAGGTCGAGACGGATGGGGATCAACACGGTGGGTTGGTCCGCGGCTCCTTTGATCTGCGCGTCGTTACGGTACTGACCACCAAGCGATCTATGCACGAGTTTGCCATGAACCATAATAGGCTCCGAGTAGCGTGGACGCGGCGCCTGTGGGTCTCCCTGTGCGCCTGGTTGCTGCCCGGGAATAAGCGGTACGTCGGAGTCATCGTCGACATCAAGCTCGGCATAGTTGACGGCGGTGGTGCCACGTTTGGTGCGGCGCTCAGAGGCGGCGATGGCAGCGGCGGCGACGACATTGGCGCCGGCGGGGGGGCCAATCAGTGCGCTAGTGTAGAATTGGCCGAGGCGGGCCCCGTAGGTGGTGGTGAGCGCCTGAGGGGGCTTCATCGGACGCGCTGGTGGTGGTGTATAACCTTGGATGCGATATCGTGCTTGCTGTTGAGGTGTGGGTGCGGGAGGGATGAGACGTGTATAGACGGCGTGTATGAGGGAGAGGCTGTGGGGAGTTACTGGTAGGAGTTCCAGGATGTTGGCTGGTGGGTTGGAATCAAGGGAACGGGGTGGGGCGTGTTGGAGGCTGCTGGCGTGCTAGTGTGTGCGCGATCAGACAAGCGCTAGGTTGCGAGCGGCGACGGTGAATGAACTGCGCCGCTTCGTTGATTAGAGGGAAACAAACGCAGGGGCGAAGCGCGTTCGCTTGTCGGTGTGCCAAGCCAGGCCCTCACAGGTTCCTCTGATACACGTGACCACGCGCAAGTCAAGGATCTTGTTCACCATGGTAAGTCCATGGGTAACTTGCTACCTACTCCCAAGCATCGCTCCAAAAACTCCAACCTCTAATTAGCTAAGATGGCGAAAAGCTTTCGAATGTAACAGTAGTAATGAAGGCAGGATAAATAGAAATGATGAACCTACCTACTGGTATTTCGAGGATCGCTGCTATGAGAAGAGTGACAAACCGCGGTTCCTTGGGACTCTTGGGCATTTTCTTCAGACACAACATTACTACATCCTATGTTACTACTATTGTGTATTCTAGCTCCCTTCCACTTAAACACCAAGCCTTCCAACCATAAATACCTTGAGCCTGAACGTTTCTGTGCTGCAAATAGGTACATACACATGAGCAAGATGAAGCCACTAACACCAGTATGAGGTATGCACACCAAAGGAACTTAACTCCGCACACTTCTAAAGAAAATCCACTGCTACATGCACCCGCCCCGAGAGGAATTACCCGAAGACGAGCCTTCGTTGTCCTCTGGAAGAACAGAGTTCCCGTTGCCGAAACTGTTCGCCTCAAAAAGTGACAAAATATCGGGGTGAGCGAGGGCATAAAAAGCTGGAACCCGGGAATATTTATCTTTCGCCTTCTTATTGACGCCCTTTTCGAAAAGCAGCTGCACGATTGCCCGATGACCCTCCTGGGTCGCTAGGTGCAAGGGCGTTTCTCCGGAAACCATAAGCGACTCCAAATCCGCATTGTATTCGAGCAGAAGCCGGACAATCTTGATGTTGCCTTGGGCGCATGCAATGTGCAATGGTGTTTCACCACGACCGCCGTGGAGTTGTTGGGCGCCGAATTTGAGGAGCATCTCGCAAATATCGCTGGCTACATCCCCAGTCTGCTCGCACGCCACATGCAGTGCCGTAAACTTCCTCGGAAGATCGGCAATGTCTATATCGATAAGGTTGCTCTTGAGAAGATAGCGGACGGTTTCCTCGTGGCTCATCCCGCAAGCCACGTGGAGGCCTGTCTGTCCATATGTGTCGGATGCGTTGGTGTTGACGCCGTATTGCCGTAGTATTTCAAGAATTGAGGGTCGGTTCATGCTACAAGCAATCAGGAATGGTGTCGCACTGGGATCGCCAGAACTCAATGCTTCCGTGTCCACACCATGTTTCAGCAAGAGACTTAGTGCGGCTTCGTTTCCTTCGGCAATAGTGTAATGAATCAGTCGGTAGCTTCGCATCGTCACCTCCGGATCACCGCCGTTGTCAAGTAGTACTTGTAAGGTCGACAATCTGTTGTGAAGTACGGCAGTATGGAGTGCTGTGCTACCCGATTTGTCGCTGGAATTCGGATCTATTCCGTTTTTAAGGAGGAACGGAATTGCGTTGTCATGTCCCATCTTTACCACAAACCTCAACGCCTCGAGCCCATCGGCACCAAAGAGCAACAACAATGCGACCGCGGCCTCGAACCCATGGAGTGCTGCAAAGCTCAAAGGTGTCATAATGTGTGAATCGGTGATTTCGACGTCGTCGGATAGAGAGTTGCACAAGTGGCTTAAGACGCCTAATGCATTACCACGTCGGATTTCGTAGTGAAGAGGAAGGTTATCCGGCTCGGTGGTCGAGGGGATAGTAGTGGTAGTGGTGGGAATTTGACGAAACTTGCTCGTCATCGTCTGTTCGGCAATCTCATTCCTTTGCTCCAGCAGATCATCAAGCGCAGATCCCATAGCGGACTGTTGAGGGGTAAGGGTCTTGAATCTGTCGAAGGCTGTTATAGCTGTGGAATACACGTTCCCGGCATGGCTGAAGTTCCCCATTCCAACCGATTCCTTGACCCTCAAACCACACATGTAGACAAGCCAGCTGCAAATCTTTGCCTGCTCGTCCAACTCGCATACCGTGGCCGCGGTTACGATCTCGCCGAGATTATCCTCTTCCAAAACTTTGAACCATGGTAGAACGTTTGCAGACAACAAGCCAGAGATGAAAATCCTGCCCACATCGTACTGACTCATCGAGGCGATTGGTTCAATGTTTAGGACCTCCATGAGTTCCTTAACATCCTCGTGGATGACGAACACTGAGCGCGTCGGAGACGATCTAACCTCAACTGTGCCGTCGAGGGGAGCAATTTGTCTTGCCATGCTGTGAAAGACCTCCGAAAAAATGAACTGCGCACACATACCATCCAGGGTGGTTGTTGTGAAAACGCCGCGCCTAGGAAACCGACCCTTGCGATCGTGTGCAAAGTGATCCAGAACCCTTCCCTCTTCAACGCCAGGCATTGAGTCGGCTGTTGGAGATCTGCTGACTAAAACATCGTCGGACTGTTTCAATATCCACCAATTCGAAATTATTTCGGCAAGTGTATGATCATCGGCGGGTCCAAGAAGCCACAGATTATTGCCCAAGTTTGGTAGTTTGTCTTCGCTGAGCTGACAAACCCACAAAAACAGCATAGCCCGCAAGCGCTCTCCGTCGACCTTCCATGGGCTCCACTGTCCTTCTTCCAGATGCCGTTCCATGGTGAGCGTCACAACCCCACTCTCCTGCGTAAAACCCGTGGAATCCGTGATTACTCGGAAATCGAAGCTCAACCGAGGCATATCCTTCACTTCTTGCCGCACCAGCATCTTCCCCTTTGAGGACCATAGATACCCCGCTACCGTTTCCATTGTCTGCTCGAGAGCAATTGCGGTACGATAGATATCCGTCTGCCACTGCGAGCCAGATAGCTGGGACAGTCGGGTTCTGACGTCCAATGCCTTGGCGGCGAAAGGCTGACGGGACTCGTGATCGATCCGAGGCGGTTGTAAAGTATCGACCCTCCACGTTGAGGCTTTTGCGATGTCCTTCGCTAGGCATTCCAACTCGTAGCCTTCTCGCAACTCTTTAACCGAAGACGATTCCGTGGAGATTTCTTGTGTCGGTTGAACCAATTGAGGGCCCTGCATAAGGTCTCTGCGAATAAACACACGAAGCATAGCCATGATAACTATTGCACCCAACTGAGCGATGGTGACCGAGAAGTGAGACGCACGCAGCCTTCAATGGACCATCAGAAAAGCAGCTTAGTAAAATCGCAGGGAATTGATTGCTCACCCAACAAACTGCAGGATGAAGCCTAACTCGAGTGGTTAGTATTCCACAATGCGAGTACCAACGAAGCTTGGATATATTGGCTGACCAGGAAGGGTGACGACCACTCCAACTAGGGTCCAGAACTCGAGCCTCGATCGTTCTACCGTGGGATAAGATGAGTATATTATGTTTCTTCCGCGAGGCGCGTATATTGCGTAGGAATGAAACTGCTGATCGCTGACGATTTGGCCTCCCCTTTGGATCCACACAATCTGCAGCGGCCCATTCGCTGTTTGCAAGGCCCTGGTTGTCTCCACCGTGCTGCCGTCAACGACCGAGGCACAGATGTACATGCCCAAGCAGAGCAGCAACGTCCCAAGTGCGGTAACGGGGAATGAATAGCCGATGACTTTCCCGTCGCCTTTCCCTTTGCGCATGACATACGTCAAAGCCGCGTGTATGGCCACCACTCCGATTTGCAAGATCAGTCCTACCGTCGCACACATCCATAATTCCCCAGGAGATCTCCAGAGGTAGCCACGAGTGTTCAAAGAGATGTTTGGTGCTCGGAGCCCGCCCGTACCCACCAGGGCTTCCGATTCACCGGTATCGCCGCCTGCGTGTGTTCCCGCTCTGAACACTTGCCCGTTAGCAGGACCTTCCTTGCATCAGGCACGAAGGTGAGACTCACTGATCCAAGAAATCCTTGCTTGAGTAGACATTTCCATCCTAGTTCTGTCAGTATCGTGAAGCTGAACGATGAATTTGATGTTTATTCCTGCCTCGTCATATGCGATCTCAAGTACATCTGGCGAGCCTGCCACGCGGACCAACGATATTCCATTCCAAAGTTCACACCTGCATGGTCAGCACGGAACGATAAAGTTCGACGGTGCAATTCACTCACACATCATGAGAGGTGGAGCTGCACGAATTCCAATTATCAGCTCAGTTCGACTTTAGCAAAGGATTGAGGAGCGATCAACCTCATCAGCTCGATTTCTGCTTCTGCGCGGGGCTCCCTTGCCCTTCCGATGATTGCCTTCAATGTACCACTCCCACCGACTCTGACTATAACCACACATGACTCAGCCCGCAACTTGACACGACCATTCCCCAGGAAGGACTATTCACTCGCTGCCGTGAGTGCAGTAACTATCCCTAGCGGCGCGCAGGCGAATATGACATTATCGAGCCAGTGCATGCTCTGAATCCACGCAGCAATTATTAGATCGGGGTCGCTAGACATAGGCTGGTCATGATTTTCCGGGCCGAACCTGGCTCACTTTAGCGTAAGGTCAGCCGGAGAACCAGTAACTATCATCATCACGGGGGTTCCAACAATATTGTTTGGCGACATGCTCTCCGAATAAGGCCAGTAGGGGCGCTGGGAACGGTGAGCATCAGGGAGGCAACTCTAAGGAAGGCTGTAGATGTGTACCGAGATCCGTGACAAGATCTAACGTGGAGTGAGTAAAGTGCCATAAAGATTACCAGATGGGCCCCGCACTGTTGGAGAATTCGTCCCCGTCGTCAGCCGCACTGTCACCGGCGCGTACGGATTCAACGAGATAGATGATGATGAGTGTAAACCACATGGCGGACTCGCAGATGGTTTAAGTCGGTCGGTGGTGTTTATGGGACTGTATGCAGTTGTTGTGATTCTCACGCGTCCAGCGGTCTAGCAGCCAAGTGGTTAGTTACACGGCGGCTCAAGGGACGCTACGTCTGATTGGATACGAGCTGTAGGTATCTACAGTTGCCTGCATTTCCGCTTCGCCGAATCGCCCATGATCTAATGGAACTCGGCTATTCGATTTGAGATGATGATTAGATGGATACCTAATTCAACCGCAGGCATGTAGCTGCTCAGAGTCCTGAATTCCCCGTCTTCGTAGTGGAATCCGGATGGTACAAAGGGGTTGCGGGCCTCTCAAGGCCGACATGTCGCCCATAACGAAGCCACCCCGCAGCCCGGCTACCGAGGGCACCGTGGACACCTGAGAGCCAAAGGGCATAACGCTTCATGACTGTCGTCTAAAGCTTATGTGCTCCCGGCTCACAGCTCAGCGTAATGAGAACTCTAATAGGTAGTGATGATTCGAAAACTTTGAGACTAGGTGATACGGAACTGCATGGGAATGTGCCCATACAGCAGCACTTGTGCATCTGGACCGGCGTCCCTTCCAACACTGCGAAATGAGGTCAACCGTTCCCCATACTCGTCGTAGAAGTAGAGGAGGCTCGCCTAGAAGTAGGAGAACGGTGGATTAGATCATGACAGGCCTGTTCTTCAAAGTTTGGGCGGACTGTGACATGGGACGAAATCACTCACTCGCAAAAGAACTTTGAGATGCGTGACGGTGTTGTGACCTCGGAAGGGCTCTCTGCGATCAAAGAAAATAAGCTCAAGGACTAGACTGTAGCAAATGGAAGGATAACATCTGATGTTGATGCAGGGCGTTTGCGGACAGGGTCCACTTCGGTGAAAAATGCGAGACTTTGGCACGGCAGTGCAGGTATGTGGAGATGGAAGAACTAGAACTAAGCAAGTGTAACACAGAAGCGGGAATGACATCAGATCTCCCATCAAGATTTACCGAGAGCTTGAGTAACTTTGGCACCTGTACGGCCCCCACCCGTGGTCATGACGTTGGGCCCACCCTTTGAGTCACTCGGAGCCGACAGACTTCGCGAGTGATTTCGGATGAACCCATCGAGACCTTGAGCTTTGCCGTCCCGTCCGATGTTGGCACGGACAAACAAGGTAAAAATAGGAACAGCAGATGATGAGTTTGATGACGTCGCAGCGATGGCAGCTTCAAAGTCTAGACTTCGAGTCCCGATGGTGAGTATATAGGTAGCAGGCTTGTGGCCCCACGTCCTCTTGATTTTGCCGTTCCCCTCGATTCCCACTGCTTTGCTATCTTCTGCTTGCTCTTTGCTGCGTGCCCGCTCACCAACTCGCTCTGCTTCACCCACCGACTCGCTCTGCGACGCCCACTGACGCACTTTGCGAGCTCTCACCGACTTCAGCCCATCTCAGCCCGGCTATCACACATCGACTCACTCAACCAATCACTCAGCCAATCGAACACCACGAACAATTAAAAAGAATAAATATGGTTCTAAGCGAGCAGATCCTCTCACCGAAACTCATGAAAATGAGTTTTGTGTTTTGCAAGCAGAGTACAAGCATTAGTTTTTCCGATTTCAAAACAAACACTCGCGATGGTGGTGGTGATAGAACAGCTACGGAGACCACGATGACAACCCTATTTTCGGCATCGGCTTCACCAGCGATGACGGCGAAACCTGATATCTCGAATGGCAAGCCGGCCGCACCGGCTCGGCTACGTCACAGCCAGCTGTGCCCGAGATCGGATTCAGCATCACCGACAACGTCATCGGCTTCGTATTCGGCTTCACCGACATCCACCAAAACAACACAAGACCCTTTAGAAAGGTCAAACAGAGAAAGGAAGATCCACACTAGGCACCACCACAATACAAAGTGCCACCGTCCTCGCCGATCGCCTCCCTTCTCTGTCTCAACATCCACCGTCTCTCAACCCCATCCTCCGCCTCCTTCTTCCTCTTTCCCCTTCTCTTCGTCCCTTCATTCCCTCACTCCTTCGCCTTCTCCGCCAAAGGCATTTCCAGCCTCTACTTCTTCATCTAATTCGCTTCCTCCTTCTACACCTTTACATTCGCTTCCATTTTCATCTTTACCTGACTCTCCGCCTCCCTCCCGCTACCCCCTCGACCCACCCTTTCACACCCAAAAGGTTGATTTCGACCCGACAACGACTCTCAAGCTCTTCTACGCAGCCGACTACTCCGTCGTATTACTCCAAGTAATATCCGGTGACCCTGTCAATCACTCGACAACAACCTTTCCCGTCAGCAAGGATACACCGGTCGTATCATACATGCCAACGAGATTCAACTTCAACTTCATGATGCCGGCCTATATATCGCTGAAGCACAATTGTCGTCGGTTTCAGTCAACGTGGGTACCCGATCCTAGGGTCCCTATATCCGAGAGGTTCAAGGTCATTCCGCACCCGCCGGACGAGTGGGATCATCTCGATTTGGACACCTACGAGGGCATCCGCCGCAAGCGGAGCACGAAGAAGACGCATAGGAACAATTCGTCGTGGAGCCCCAAGGGCCAGGAAGAGACGCCTGAGAATGCAGACTTGAAGAACCAGAAGAGGAGCTCGATGGATGTACCGGCTGAATCGCCGTCAGAGTCGCTGTTAGAGTCCTGCGGTAGCGCCCTCACTGAATTTCATCTGTCGACTCCCGACATGCCGTTGTCTACTTCGGCTTCTACGGAGATCGCCACCATCGTGAATAAGACCACGAGTGGCCCGTCCGATAAGGAGAGCGTGGGAAATGTTTTGGTTGAGAAGGCGAAGCCGCGTGGCGAGCCTTCCACGGAGGGAATCCCAACCAACCGCTGTGGCTCTTCGCAGCAGTCCGCCGCTACTACTTTGCAGGGTGACGACATGCAGGACTTGAAGAGCAAGGAGAAGAAACCTGTCAAGGCTCTCGCGCAGAGGAGCACCCCCATGGCCAGGCCTATGCGTGGCCCCATCATGTTGGTACCGAGGCCTGCCGATTGGAAACCGAAAGCCAAGCCCGTGAAGGAGAAAAGGCCTCTGGTCGTCACGCCCGTCGACTGTTCTGGTTGCGGCATGTCGCTATTGGGAACCAGTGCCTACGCCTGCATCTTCCCCACGTGTCATGTGCTTTTCTGTAGGCGTTGCGCTTGTCAGATGAACCAGCATTGGGATGATGGCGGTGTCTGCGGAAATCTGGCCGAACTCAAGAAGAAGTTGATTCTCGAGAAGGGTGGACCCGAGGCGGACGCACTCCGTGCAGCTTCTGTCAAGGAAGCCGAGGCAGCGGCTATCGCGGCTCGTCCCAAGAAGGGTGTTGCTACCGGTGCAGCTATTGCCAAGATGTTGATGGCTCGTCAGCGTGAGCAGCAGGCGTTTGCCGAACGTTGGGGCCGCAGCCTCGACTAGACCTGGTCCTACAGCCCGGTCGGTCACTCGCAGACATCGATCAGCACCCATTCTCGTTTGTTTCGAATTACGGCAGATACTTCTTCTTTCTTTCTCCCTGTTTGGGCTGTCCTTTGTTTTTTCTCCTTCCCTTCTTTTCTACCTACTCATTCACTTCAGCAATTCCACGGCTTCTTCTGCTTTCAACGATCATTGGCGTTCGACATCCCTTCTGCAGCGAGCAGTCCACTCCTTCTACGGTACGATACGGTCCGAATAATTTTTACACGATAATGTCTCACGTCACTCCTTACGATTTCCTGCATCTCCGGTGGCCGGTGGCCGGCGAATACCAGCACCAGCACCAGCACCACCAGTACACTCCCTTGATTTTGGATCATTCTGTTTTGTTTTGTTTCTGTTTCGGTCACTCCTTTGTTTTGTTTTGTTTTTTGCATGTTTGCATGTTTGTCTACGTCTGACTGTCGATGTCGATTGTTTGCTTGCTTGTTTGCTTGCTTGCTTGAGCCGCCGTGGAAGAGGGGAAAATTGGAGGAACAAGGGGTGGTTAATGATGCGGAGGGGAATTGGGGCCGGCCTTGGGGATGAAGGAGGAGAGGGGTTCTTGTCTTTTTACTACTACTACGATTACTGCGCAATTGTGTTCTGTTTTCTTCTGGCTTCTGTTTTCTGGTTTTCTTCTTTTTTCTTTGAGCTTGAGGGATGACGACGGATGACGGCGAAAAAAGGCGTAGCGGATTCTTGACTTGACTGACTTTTCTATTTCTTGTTCTTTAAAGCGGGGCGGGAGCGGGCGAATGGCGTAGTAATGACCTGGTAGTGGTATGACTTTTCCATATACTCATTTGCTTTGTGGTGTTGGCGAGTTGGCGGTTCTCGTTCTTGCCTTGCCTCATGCTTCTTATGCTGCTTATACTCTTATATGGTATCGTATGATACTTGTGTGTCGCCGTGGGGGGAAGGGGGGAAGATGTATGGATACTACTATTGTACCTAACTACCTACTCCAGAGGGCGTGGGATTTCGTGATTGTGATGCATGGGTGGATCATCGGTTGGGTAGTTATGGCGTTTAGGTCCGTTTGTTATTGACTGACTGAAAGACTGGAGGGTGATAATTATGGCCATGGTGATGGTGATGGCGATGGTGAGGGGGGCGTGATGGACTTTTATATACCCAAGTACCTATGATAATGTGATCTGATATTCTTCATACCTCTTGTGTGTATGGTGATTGAGGCAGTGGAATGATGTGAAGTGAAGTGATGGGAAGTGAAGCCACGCTGCTACCGTATGCTGAAGAATAACATGGTCAAGACTGAGAACACGATGGTCTGGCTACATGAACGACGCCCATAGTTCGGTATGTACTTGGTGACCAACCATGAATCCGCACAATCGTACATTCAAAAAGCCATAGATAACCAAACATAAAAGCAAAAACGAAAGGAAACAAAAAACGGAAGCCTCCGTCCGCAGCAAAAACTCCCCCCTCCCTCCCAATGTTCCCTAAGCTCCCTAAGCGTACCGACAAAAAGCGACATTCACAAAATCCGCGGTGGCCACATGGCCGCCCATGACAAACTGTCTTTTTTCTTGTGGCTTCGGTTTTTTTGCTAATTTTCTGGTTTTTTGCTCTGTTTTTCTGGTTCTCTGGTTTTCCTGGTTTTCTCTTTGATATGGATTCTGGAGGGATGACAGACGGCGGAAAAAAAAGGCGTAGCGGATTCTTGAGACTTTCTATTTCTTCTTGTTCTTTGAAGCGGGAGCGGGAGCGGGGGAATGGCGTAGTAATGACCTGACCTGGTATGCGTTTTCCTTACTTAGATATGATACTTCAGATACTTCATTCGCTTGGGGAGTTGGCGAGTTGGCGGTGCGTTTCTCGTTGCGTTGCGTTTCCGTATGCTTCTTATACCGTATGTTAGTTGTGTGTGGCCCGTGGGGGAGGGGGGAAGGGAGAGACGATGTATGGATACTACTATCGTAACCACTCCGGTGAGCGTGAGATTCTGTGATTGTGACGGGGGGATCGTCGGTGTGGTAGTCGTTTGTTATTGACTGTTATTGACTGACTGGAGGATAATCATAATGGCCATGGTCATGTCGATGGTGCGGGCCGTGGTGGACTTTTGTATACCTACATACCTATATCCTATGATCATGGGATCCGATATTCTCAATACTTAGGACCGATTGTGTGCGTGGTGACTGAGGCAGTGAGATGATGTGAAGTGAAGTGAAGTGAAGTGACTGTGAAACCAATTGAAGTGAAGTAAAGTGAAGTGAAGCCACAATGACTACCATATGGTGAAGAACCTCATGGTCGAGGGTACATACGTCTCTATGAAGAAGACCAAGAAGTCAGAACACGGCGGTTTGCTTCATGAACGACGCCCATAGTTCGGTATGTACTTGGTAACCAACCTTCAATCCCCAGATTCCGCACAACCGCACAACCGCACAACCGCACAACCGCACAACCGCACAACCGCACAACCGCACAACCGCACAATCTTCCATTCAAAAAATCCATACCAGAAGCCAATTCCTTCCTACTTCACCAAACAGAAAAGGCAAGCAAAAAACAAAAAACAAAAAACGGAAGCCTCCGTCCGCAGAAAAAACTCCCCCCCTCCCCCGGTCCCCCGGCCCTCCCAAAACCTTCCCTAAGCGTACCGATAGAAAGCGACATTCCCAAAATTCGCGGCAGCCACATGGCCGAACATAACAAACTGGCGTTTTTTCTTCTGGCTTCGGTTTTGTTTTTCTGGTTACCGGATGTTTTTGCTGGTTCACGGTTTTTTTTCTGTTTTTTTTTCTGTTTTTTTTCTGGTTTTCTTTGCTTTCTTTGATTTCTTTGATCTGGAGGGATGACGGCGGTGACGGACGGCGAAAAAAAAGGCGTAGCGGTTTACTGACTGACTTTTCTATTTCTATTTCTTCTTTTTGTTCTTTGAAGCGGGAGTGGGAGCGGGCGAATGGCGTAGTAATCACCTGGTATAAGACCTACCGGTATGCGTTTTCCTTACTTAGATATGATACTTCAGATAGTTCATTTGCCTGGGGAGTTGGTTCGTTGGCGGTTCTCGTTGCGTTGCATTTTTTGTACTTCTTGTGCTTCTTATGCTTCTTATATGATATCGTATGCTACTCGTGTGTGGCCCGTGGGGGGGAGGGGGGACGATGTATACATACTACTTTTATACCTATGGGAACGGCGCGCGTGAGCGTGATATTTTGTGATTGTGATGCGGGAGGTGGATCATCGGTTTGGTGCATAGTTAATTTGGCGTTTGAACTTTGGGGGAGAGACTGGAGAGACTGGAGAGACTGGAGGCTGGAGAGACTTGCTGGCTGGCTGGCTGGCTGGATTTCATGCTGTTGCTGTTGCTGTTGCGGTTGCTGTTGCATTTGTTTTGTTGACTGTTATTGATTGATTGACTGACTGACTAATTGAATGACTGGCTGGCTGATTGAATGACTGAATGATTGAATGACTGAATGATTGAATGACTGGGGGATGATAATTATGGCGATGGTGAAGGTGAGGGGGTGCGATGAACTTTTATATACCTAAGTACTTATGATAATGGGATCCAATATTCTTCATACCTATTGTGTTGCGTGGTGACCGGGGCAGGCTACCGTATGGTGAAGAACATGGTCGAGGGTACATACTTCTTTGTGGAGAAGACCGAAAAGACCGAGAAGTTATAACACGACGTTTGCTACCTACATGAACGACGCCTACCGATATCATAGCCAAGCACCTAGATAACCAACCTTAAATCCGCACAATCGTACATCCAAAAAGCCATAGATAACCAAACATAAAAGCAAAAAGAGAAGGAAACAAAAAACGGAAGCCTCCGCAGCAAAAACTCCTCCCCCCTCCCAATGTTCCCTAAGCTCCCTAAGCGTACCGATAGAAAGCGACATTCCCAAAATCCGCGGTGGCCACATGTCCGCCCATCACAAACGCCTGTCCCTGTTGTCCGTGGCCCTGTTGCCCCTGCCCGTGTCCCAGTCCGTGTCCCTGCCCGTGTCCCTGGCCCTGCCCGTGTCCCTGCCCGTGTTCAAGCCACTCAAACCTCCTCCTCTTCCTCGTTTCCACCTCACACCTTCTCCTCAGCCTATCGATTACAAACCCCGCCTCGCCAGCAAACTTATCCCTCAGCGCCTCCGCATCAGGCCACCTAACAATCATCCCGGTAAGCACGTCGGAAATCCCCTCGACGGCATCAATCGCGCGTTCCAGCTCCCCCTCCGGCAGCGACTCGGGTAGCAGCGTGTCCTCGGCGCGGTACAGCGCGTGCAGCAGGTTCGAGCCGACGAAGTACGTGCGCAGCGCGTCGTGGTACGTGTACACGAACCCGCTGGAGGGCGAGTCCGAGAGGATCGCGCGGAAGAAGGCGGAGTACGCGCTGCTGTGCGCGTAGATCTGCGCCATGGATCTGGGCGACGAGGAGGGGATCCGCGGAGACGGCGCGGCGATGTAGATGTTTAGGTAGTGCCACTCCAGCAACAGCCAGTCGCGCGTGGATTGGGACATGGTGGGCGGGATTTGGTCCCGCCAGGATTGGAGCGCCGAGGTGTGGTGCGATATGTATTCCGAGGGGTTGGGGAGCGGAGAGGACCCAGAGAGGTGCAGAGCTTGGTACCAGTCTGATTGGAGCATGCGGAGCTTAAAGAGGTGCGTGGCCGCCGCCATTGGCGTCAGCGTGTTGCGGAGGGGCGCATCCGAGACGCGCGGGAGACTGACGAGGACCGAGTCGTCGGAGAAGGTGAAGGGGCGTTGGAGGACCATCGAAATTGAGCGATCGAGGGTGTAGACGCAGTAGAAGACGCGGCGCCGTAGATCCATCTCCGTGGGCCTGCGCTTCGAGACCTTTAGGGGCTCCTGGTGGAGGCCAATGTCGATCATGATGCGCGAGGCCACGCCGATCAGGTACCAGCCGTTAAAGTGGCTGGGCTCCAGCATCGCGTATTGGACGAGGAGGAGGGTGGCTTGAACGCCCTTCAGTTCGGAGGGTGTGATGACCGTGTCGGTGTGCTCGAGCGCAGCCTTGACGAAGCAGGCGGCGTTGTGCGCGGCGGGGGAGTCCTGCGACTTGGAGAGCGACATTGTTCCCACGGCCAGCACCATGTAAACGCAGAACACGTCGAACGGCGAGGCCGCGGATTCGTCACGGTAGACGGATTCCACGGCGCCGAAGAAGCTGGACTCGTTGAGACATGGCAGAGTGGTGAAGATCTTATCGAAGTAGTGCTGTACGAGACGCGTGGCGGTATGGCGGGGAGGGAGACGGGCTCGGGGTTTGGAGTTCAGGATGCTCGAGACGGACGAGGCCCGCAAGGCGATACGGCCGAAAGAGATGTCGTTGGCGAATCCGTAGAAATCGCGAGTTACCGCATTGATGGCCCTATAGTTCCCCGTCAGCATGATGGCAACCACAACGCGCGCACAACGGGCATCCGGACATATATCCCAGATCCGCAACCAAGTCCTCGATCTCATTATCATCCTCCAACTTCCTCCTCCTCGTGGCACGGGGACTACTGAGGGGATCCGCCGCGGCGGCAGCCGTCAGGACAGGTGTCGAGTTCCCATTCGCCATATCCAGCTCATCGAGCTGAACCGAGCCGCAGCAGGAATCGAGGGCGGACAAGCGCTTCTCGAGCTTTTCGAGCTTTGATTCGAGGGAAGCGACATAGCTGTGTCGCTTCACCGTCAGCTCCGGACCTCCGCGAATGAATGCATGATGGGGGGGGGGGGAGGGGCTACCTGCGCTCCTTCCCGCGCGCAAACTGGTCGCTGCCTCCGGTGCACTCGTGGGCTTTGCCGGCCCGTTCGCACGCTGTGCACGCAGGAAGTTTACCGTCGCACTGGGAGGCCGAAGTCGTCAGCGCGTGCGCAGGGGACGGCGACAATGCGCGGGCGGAGGGGCCGAGATGGAGTTGGAGATGGAGATGGCGCGTACCTTCACTTTTGCGCTGCGGCAGCGAGAGCACGCGCTCACGGGGCGGCTGACTCGGAGGAGCGGGGCGCTGGTGTCGACCATCGGAGGGGGCGAAATGGGATATCGTATCGTATCGATGGACAAACGTGGGTGGGGGGCGAATTCGTCTCGTCTCGTGTCCGGACTCCGTCGTCAGTTGAATACGAATACTAGTACCGGTAGGCGACTGCGGCAGGTACCGTGTGCGAGAGGTTCCGGTATTGTGCACATGAGCTGGGGCTTTCGTTCGATCGGAGAACCGCGTCGTTGTGCCGTCTGCGATGGAGGTTCGTTGGAGGACGATGAGGGGGGAGGTGGAACCGTAACTGGCTGCGTATGTAATCTGCCTAGGTACCTGGTGCTCAATCTCGCCGTGCATCCCCACAATTGCTTGCATGCTCATTAGGTACGCTGCTAGTTGGCCCGGCTGGTTAATGAAATGCACATCCTAGAGCAGATGGATAGATGGAGTACCTACAGAGTTAGACCATGTCCTACATTCCCAACACACAGCATACCCACCAGATAAGTTGCCGAGATATCATCCGCCCCGCCGCTCCTTCGTTCCTTCCTTCGTTCCTTCCCCTTCGAACCGCAGGAGGATCGCGATGGGGTCGGGAGGACAATGAACCGGGAAGGAGGAATTAATAAGCGAGGCTGGAACGGAGTGACAGCTGGGAAGCCAACAAGTGCAGTTAACGTGAGCGGGTGGGTGGGTCTGCAAACGCCGATATCTGGTATGTACTCAAGTAAGTAGCATACTTGGATACTTGAATAGATATAGGACGGTCGGAATACCGGTATGCCTTGAAGAAAGCCGGACAATCTCGGTCAAGCGACATGTGTATATGCACGCATGCACGACGGCTCACTCGCCGCGGCAAGTCACCGTCACCCTTCAGAGCACTGTGAAACGTTGCTGGCTGGCTGCATGCAAATCCTCTGCCGGCCGACGGCCGCATCTCATGCCTTCATCGATCCCCTGCCTTGTCCGGACAGTGATGCGAGATATCTGGAATAAAATAGTAGGTAGTCGGCACTTCTTCTTCTTCCTCTCCGAGCAAGACGGTATGCACATACTACATACGGCCTTGAACCTAGCTACTCGTACACAAGTACGTAGGACGGAAGCCGCGCCGCACCGTATGTATGTAGGACGGAGACCTCTATCCAGTCTCCGCCCCTGTAGGATGTCACCCCGTACTTAGGTACCAGTACACACAGCCGTTATGGGGAAGGGGGAGCCTTCGCGGGATCCCAATTCGCGAATCATCCGCTGTGGGGAGCAATCTGTTCTGTCTATCTAGAGTATTTACATAACTAATAGAGTGCCTATGGTATAGTTGGTGGCATAGTAGTTGGTGGTATATGACATGACCACGGTATCTGGTATCCGAGGTACCGGTTCGGATCCGTCGAGACAATACCCGTTGAGGGTAGTTTAATTATCCAGTAGTAAAGCATCGAGGGTAATTGGTTAACGGTTAACCAAGTAGTCAACCGAATAAGCAAATGTAGTATGTAGACATGTACCTAGCAGCGCCGACGCCGACGCCGACAGCCACCGCATCTCTCGCGAGTCGCAGCCGGGGCCAGTGAGCTACATATCCCGTCCAGTGACTACAAATGTCGCGCATCAGAAACGCGGAAGTGTCTCCGCATTAGGCATTTCGCCCTTACCCCGCAAATGCCTCCATGTAACGGGGGTGGTCTCTGGAGGGAGCGCCGGTTCCAAATCCAAACACAACAGCCGCGGCAGGGTCAAGGCTCAAGGCTCGAGCGGTTCAGCTCGTTGAACGGACACCAGTGTATGTATGTAGCTACTGCAGGCCGTTCCGCTTCCGAAGCCTCAAAGCCGTTTTTTTTGCCGGCGGCCGCGGCGTAAGTCTAAGGTGCTCATGTAAGTGCACAACGGATGCAACGGCATGTCTACCGTGCGTTTGCATCAGAGTTATGTAAGTACATAGAAGTACCTACCTGGACGCACCGACTCCCGAGGGACGAATTTCCCACGGTGGTGATCACTTCTTCTCCTGGGGAACTGGAGACCCGACGGGCACAGTACAGTACATGAGTCGGTATGCATAAGTACCCAACACATCCACCGTGCAGCCTGCTTGCCGCGGACTACTGGTTTGTCCCCACTGCCCATGACTGCGTTTCATGGATAGTATCGCCAGAGCCCTACTAGTAGAGTGGAGCGGAGCACCCATATCATACTCTACAGCAGTAGGAACAGGAGTGGAGTAGGTAGAGTAGTAGGTAAGTTGAAGACCTTCGCTCAGCCGGGACATCAGTTGCATGCTGGCCTCATCGTTCCCGCATCTCCATCCTACGTCCGTCGGGGGCTGACCTCGATCCCATTTCCAGCCGTACTGCACACTGCACACTCCTGCAGACCGTGGCAAACGATATCTAGCGTGCCATGTCAACGTCCTGTACCTACAAAGCACTCTACATCCATACGAAAGGTTGTGTAACCCCGCTGGAAGGCCTACTCTGCTACACTCCAGTAGTAGTTAGTAGCAGGCACTCGTGCGTCCCCCGAAATGCGCCTAGGCGACTTCGACGGATGCCGAGCGAAACCAGTCATCATGAGCAGCTCCCGAATGCGGAAAAACAAGACCTCGTTCGTATTGGCACTGCTAGTACACACTTGGGCATGTGCATCGTGATTGTACGAGCGAAGCCGGCGGACGCTAGTTATCGTGCTATGGTGATGATGATGGAGCACGGCAAGCAGTTGACTTGACTTGGCCGGGAAGTCGTGCCAGAAGACCCACCGGCCAGTACTTGGCCGAGTATGTTTGTATGCAAGCTGTCGAGTGGTGCTGAGAGAAGGCGAGCTGGGAACTCGGAGCGGCGGAGACTGCCGGCGCTTGTTCTCGCCACGCTCTGTCTCACCGTATCGAACTTTGGGCTCTCTCTCCCCCCGTCCACATCCACATCCACTCACCTCTGTCCGCATCTCGTGTATCATCGCCGTTCTTCAGCTTGCACTCATCCGCTCATCTCCCACGCCGGCTACTCACATCGCGCCGGCCACCGCATACGGTACGTGCTGGACGGCGTCCACTGACACCCACCCACTCACAGTCCACTGCCCTCTCTCCGTCCTTCCCATCGTACCTGCACTTTCGCTCCATCCCAGCGCTATCCGACGGACGCCGTTGGTGACAGCTATCCAAGTTCCACCCTCGATTCCTGCACGTCGAGGTGAACGGCCTTAAAGGCTTAGCATCTGCCCGCTGACCACGCCGCTTTACATCAGGCTTTGGCTGTTTCCGCTCACCGACCACTCACGGCCATCGTCGGGAGTCTCTCTGTACACACGACTCCTCCAGTTACCTCAGGCACTCCCGCACCCCTCCTTTCCTCCCGCTCCGCCCACAGCATCAGCACAAGAATTGCGGTGTTTCCCGCCCCCCCTCCTCCTCCGCTGCGGACATCGAACCCTTTGCCTGCGCAACCTGACAATCCGAATTGAACTCTCGGCGCAGCTTGTGCTACCCACCGTCCATCTACCCACAACAACACGCACACACACACCACTCACTCACCCACTCACACCACTCGTAACTCGCAACTCGCACACTCATCGCATTCACACCCACACACACACACACACCCACAAAAGGCCCAGTCTTACGGAAACGTGCAAAGAAATCAACAGACACAAGGGGGGGAGGGGGAAGGGCCCGAGAAACCTGGGTTGCTGGAGATCGGGAAAACTGCCTGGCCGTCGACGGCATATCGAACGTGACGATTGGCTTTTGGTTGTTATTGTTATTCGGCCGCACTTGACACCGAGGACGTCGAGACTCTCTTGCACATCAAACGCGATATCTCCTTTTTCTCTCACGCATCTAGATTCGACATACAATACCTACCACCATACCAGCTAGCGGCTTCTGTCCTTTCCCCCCCACCCACCCCCCAGTCGACTTGACTCGATCGACCGACCTGTAATGAGGCAAGCTGCTGCATCGCCCTTACCTCGTCGTCTGCCTTTATATTCCACGTTTTCGTAGTTCGATATATTCTCAAGCAACTCGACCACCTGATCCTCCCCCGTTCGTTCGTCCGTCCGTCCGTCTGTGCGAACCGCTCCACTGCTAGCCCGCCTAGGGACGACACGTAGGGCTACGGAATTGGAACCTTACATACAGCAGCCGGCTCTTGCGCGCGTGCACAGAATAACGACCCGATCTCTTCTTTTTTCTTCTTTTCTTTCCCTTGGTACATCACGATATCCATGAATTCTCAATGGGGATCACGAAAAACACCGCAGCTCAACACCCTGGAGGAGAAGGAGGAGAAAATGGTGGTGGCGGTGGTGGTGGTGGATATGGAGGAGGTGGAGGTGGAAGAGAGGGAGGTGGAGGAGGAGGGCTCCAGAATGGTCGGAATCAGAGGAGTCCAAGCGAGCCCGGTGATGGCGATAGCGGGACATCGGGAGCTCCACGGTTATACCACACATTGACCGCTTGTACACGGTGCAGGAGTGTAAGGAGAGCCCCCTTCGCAGTTCGCGTAATTATTGGCTTGCAGCAGCAGCATCGGGATGGATCGATCACTGACGCTAGAGATGCGCGTGGTGTAGAGGAAAACGCGTTGCGATGCGGGGTTGCCGAAATGTGGCCCGTGCGAGCGCAGCGGTACTCACTGCGAGTTTTTCGATTCGACGAAGCAGAAGACGATCCCGCGCACCTACGTCGTCCACTTGCAGAATAAAGTGCGCGCCCTCGAAGAGGAAATTGCGAGGCGCGAGGCCGCCCTGGCGGAATCGGATGTCCCGAATAATGAGGAACTCGTCCGCGGAATTGGCGCTGTCAAGTTTGATGGCTACGATCACTACAAGGAGCCGCGGTATGTCGGCTCGTCCAGTGGCGTTACCGTAACTAGGTTGGTCTTGGAGTCCGCGAAGAAGGACCTGGAGCCTGGCGAGTTCAGGGACATGACCTATCACCATCGGAAGAATGCTATGCACTACGCATCGCCGGAACCGAACCCTGGGCCTTCGAGGTCCACTACCACCACCACGCCGGATGCGAAACTGCCGCCGCGGCAACTGGGCGAGACTTTAGTGTCGTTCTTCTGCAAGAAAGGTTTGACGAGCTGGCTTTAATCGAGTGTGTTGATGCGTTTTGCTAACATGGGCATTTCAAGCTCTTTATATGCTGCCGGTTCTGCACGAACCAACGTTCATGAAGGAGGTTGCCGACGTATACGAAGGATCTCAGGACCCGTTCAAGAACTTCAAATTGAAGATGGTCCTTGCGATCAGTCTGCAGAAGTACCATAGCAAATATGCGGTGGCTGCCGATGGCTATTTCTTGTCCGGGCTGCAACATTTAGAGCAGATATTGGAGCCGATGGATCATTCGACTCTGCAGTGCCTGCTGGTCATGGTGCAGTACGCCCTTGTCAAGCCGACGCGGATAGCTGTGAGTATTACTCGTCTCGGAAGAAAACAAGGTTGTCATCACGGCTGATAAGCGCGGGAGTAGGCATATCATATCGTCGGTCTCTGTGTCCGGTTATGCATTCAGCTGGGCTACCACCAGGAGAGGACCATAATGCTGAGCGAACAGCCACTAGATCCGATCACGAAGGATATGCGGAGGAGACTTTTCTGGACTCTGGCATCCATGGAGTAGGTGCTCCCTTTCTTCCGTCTTCCGGGGGTCTATCACTCACCAACGACCTGGCAGGTACGGTTTGTCCCATGTGCTCGGTCGACCTTCGGCATTCGCGACATCGGATGCCTACGTCGACGTCAAGTTCTACGAGCCAGTGGACGACGCGTTCATAACTACGGGCGGTATCTTACCGGCACCCCCTTCCGCGAAGAAGTTGATTTCTATGCACTTCTTTAGGATGAGAAGGCTTCAGGCGGAGATCCGCCGAACGCTGTACCAGAATCCGACCGAGACGCCAAAAACGGATCAAGACCCGTGGTTTCTGCAGATGTACGACAAGTGTGTCAAGTGGAAGGCATCGTGTCCACATGATGATGAGGGAAGCGGGCTGAGTGAGACTTGGTGAGTCTGGAGTGACCTACTGTTACTGTTGATGTTGTGCTGATGTGCTTTTAGGTTTCATCACAGGTAAAAAATTGCCGTGGTATCGTTGCCGAATACTTGCTAATCCTTCCGGGGGGCAGATACTACAATATTCTGATCTTCATGTATCGACCCAGTCCCCAGATCCCGCAGCCATCACTCGAGGCAACCATGATGTGCTACGATTGCGCTGTCGAGAACGTGCATCTGGAGAAAACCATGTTTGAGCGTCAGTCGGTGGATCTCACCTGGGTATTTCTTCATCAAGTCTACATGGTCACCTTGACGATCATCTGGACCCTGTACAACCCCGAAATTCGTAGGATGCATCCGAAGCACGAGGTCGAAGGGCACATTCGTTGCCAGATCGAGCTCATCCTAGCGTTGGCCGAACTCTGGCCCGGTGCCGAGGCCGCCGCCGATCTGTTTGCGAGACTGGCAGGAGCCGCCCTCAGGAACTATGAGACGGACCTCCGAAGGTCACCTACATCGACCCACGACTCGGTTTCGACGACCACGCCTCCGAGTCGAAGGTGTAGGGATCAATACTCGCCGCAGAGCAGCCACGAACGGGCCAGTCCCTATTCGTGCTCGGATAACGGCCGCTCATCGACCGATACTCCGTCGCCGCATCCGGTACCGGTAATAGCTGCTTTCGGCGCTGTATACGACAGCAACGTCCTCGATGCACCACGAAGCAGCGCGTTCCGGCTTTCGGCATCACCATCTAGGGCACCCACGTCTCCGCCGCCCAGAGCGTCCATGTCGCCCCCCGCAATTCCCGCGCCGGTACCATCACGAATGCCCCTGCCACCCACCACCACCGCCCCCGCCCCGCCATCATACCGCGATTTCCAGGGCATGATCTTCGACCCCAACTACCTGACCACATTCGCACCCTCAAATCCCCAGCAGAACCAGGGCATCCCCGACTGGCTCCAGGCTTGGGATCCGCACGTACCCGTACCCAGCAATGGGGGGACCACCGCACCGCCACCCGTGGGCTTCGGGCCTCCAATAACTGCATCGCCGCCACCGCCGCCACCACTGTCACAACCACAGCAGGACCTCAACTATATGGGACAAACACCGACACAGGTCCTGAACCAGCAGGCGCAGCATGATGAGCTGATGCGCATCCTGGAGAATGAGGCCCTGCAGTTCGACTTTGAGGATAGCAGCGCGCAGCAGCAGCAACAGCGCCCGTGGGGTTTTGGTGATGGGTTCTTTTAGGTGGGATGTTGGGGATGGTTGGTGTGGCGTTCTGGATGGATGGATGTATGTTCTGGGTGGATCGAAGGACGGGCGGAGGTTTTCTTTGCTGTTTTGTAATAGTGCTCCGTAGTCTCTTTGCGTAGGATGGGATGGGATGGGATCGGGGCGTTGCGTAGGATGGGATGGCGACGGAAAAGTGTAAATCCATAGCCGTGTCGGTACCGTGTGTTCTGCTGTATCTCGATCTCATCACTGGTTTGACGGCTTGTCGTGGTTCCGGCGTATCTGCGTAGCCGAATCGTTCGTTCTAGCTCTGGCCTGTATACTATTACTTCTGGTGTCGGGGTTCTCTGGCTTCTTATATATCCCATATCCCCCCCCACTGATCCCGAAACACCGGTACCGGTACCGCCGGGCATACGTAACCCCTCCACCCTAGTGTGTATACTACGGAATGGCCGAGAAATGCAATGCACGCACGCCCCACTCCCCACTCCCCGCACCGCACGCCCCGCGCCGCACGCTCCATGCCGTACGCAGCACGCAGCACACAGCATGCGCGGTTCGGTTCGGGGTCGCCGAGATCCGAGGGGTGATGGGTTGTAACTTATAACTTGTAACTTCCCTGTCTTACACGTATGTACATATGTGGCACGCACGCGGCGATAGGTATCGTGCGACCATCTATATCTAGTATTTACCGTGGATGTATAGTGAAGGAGGGGGCTCACCGGATCCGTCTAGGCGGTAACTTGTAACCAAGTACCGGTTTGTATCCAAACTCCGGAGTGGATTCATGTATAGAGTACTTTTATGTACAATGCACATAGGAACATGTAAATGGGATGCAGAATGTGAAATGCGGAATGTCTGGGTTCGGGATGGCCGACGGGATGTCCGGGATGGCCGACGGGATGGCCGACGGGATGGCCGATGGGATGGCAGATGCATCGTTGCGTACCGTCACGCATGTGCTGCTGCTGCTGCTGCTGTTGCAATGCTGGGATTTCTTGGGCTGCTTTGGGATTTTGCTTTTGTCTGCGCTTGTGTCCGTGTATGTCCTTATATTTTCTTATGTATAAGGTATGAAGTATGTACCAGTTATGTACACATGTAACCAAGACAAGCACAAGCACTCCCCAGTCTCGAGTCTCGCCATCCGCCCATGATCCATCCGCCCCCGTCGATCTACCCATCTACCGGCACAAATAACGACACACTGGCTGTTTAACTGACGTTGGGGGCTCTAACTTTCGGTGTGCGCTGTCTGGTTAGAGGTGGTGAGCTGCTGGGGCAGGGTCGCAGGGGTGAATTTGACAGCGGCACATACCGTGCTGCTTCCATACAACGGTACTCTAGTGGCATAGCTCTGCGGAAGACTCGGTGAGACCGATTGGTTCATGTCTCACGTCGGTGTACATAGGCCGGGATAGTACCGAAGCTTCTACCTATTGCGTGCTCGATAAATACTCTATGTGTACAAGGTGTGGGCAGCGTGAATGGGACTCGCATGTGAATGGCAGTCGTGACTCGTGAGGAATACCTACCTACCGGTATCTATGGCTAAATAGGCGCTGGAATTACTACTGACTGACCAGGGATAAAAAACTTCGAGTGAGTTGGAGTTGGTGGAGGCCTTGGAATAGCGGACAGCCAGAACTTGAGACTCCAGCCTTCCTTTCCCCCTTCTACACGTACTTGAGTCAAATGAACGAGTCTCACACTTCCCATCTCCCCCATCAATGAAGCAGGAACAAAAATAGTATGTTGACAAGAGGGGGATTCGAACCCCCGCCTCTTGCGAGACCAGAATTCGCTACCAGTTTGCTGGTAGAAGACTGAACTTGAGTCTGGCGCCTTAGACCGCTCGGCCATCTTGCCTTGTGTACTCTCCTCTGCGTCGCCCACCTGTACAACACCCAGCTACACTATGCAACAGCGCTCTATAACGTACAAACAACTAAAACATGGTATAGTATCTATCACTTCTACTCCGTCTTCCTCTTCGCCCCCCTCTCCTTCAACCTCTTCACCACCGCCAGTATCTTCCCTCTAACCGTCATGAGCCTCGCGCCCCTCCTTGGCATAGCGTCGGCGGCCACAAACCTGCGCACGAGCAGATTAAAGATACTCCCGAAAGCGAGGGCGATGACGGTGGAGCTGAGTATGATGACGTTGTAGGGCATGCTAAAGTCCGGGGTGGGCAGGCTGAGCAGCAGGCTCGTCGTGCGGATCGCGAACCCCGTGCGCGGGATCGTGATCACCGCCGCGGCTACGTCGAAGCCGCGGTTCGCGTCTGGTGGGTACTCCGTGTACCGTAGCACGGATTTGTCGAAATCGTAGGACAGTGTCAAAGTGCTGTTGGGTGGTAGGGTGAGCGCCGCTTCGAGGTGCGCTCCTCGTGCTCGGTCCAGCACCGGCCGGTAGAAGAGGGAGCGGAGGGGGTCGAGGGGGGAGGGCGGCGAGAGCGTCGTGCGTAAAGTGTGTAGGTACGGCTTCATGAACCACGGGAGCGACTCGAGGTAGATGAACTCCACGGAGTCGGTGGGCGAGGGGTTGCGGAGGACGGCCTGGACGCCGCCGCGCTCTTGGCCGTGGCCGGTGAAGGAGCGGGAGGCGTAGAGGGGTGGGGGCGAGATGTCTTGTGGCAGGGGCGGCGATTGCAGTGGGAGGATGATGTCGAAGTCTTTGCCGTTTGGGAGCACGAAGCACCGCGTTCCGTCTTGCCGCTTGACTTCGTACGAGTCCTGGGAGACGAAGATGGGGCGGCCGGCGGGGACGACGGCGCACACGTGGGCGGCCGGCTCCTCGGAGCCTGAGCGCGCGAGGGGACACACGCCTCGGATGGGTCTGCCGAAGATCTCGGCGAGGCTCCACGGGAGATCGGCGAGATCCGCTTGCGGGAAGCACGCGTCGCCGACTCCGTAGAACTTTGTGGCGTCGCAGTTGAGCTGTTCGATGGAACGCGGCTTCGGCACCGGGGAGTCCCGCCGTTGCAACGAGCGCTCAACATCGAGCACCATATCCACCGTCTGCTCCACCTGCAGCCTGCACCGGTCGCCATCGCACACGGGCTTGATCACCACTGACATGCTCTGCCACTGGGCGTCGAACAGCTTGTGGCCGTCCAGCAGGCTCGAAATACCCGCACGGCCCTTACACGGCAGCAGCTTCAAGAACGGTGTAAGATTCTCCGTGCACACGGGTTCCCTAGGCAAGCTCCCATGTAGCAAATGCAGCCTCTCCATCTCCCGTTCGGAGTGATGTCCCTCCGGCTGAAAACTCATGACAGGCCTGATCGTCCTGGTCCCATCGATGAAGTTAAGCGACGCGCAGAACAGACCCGAGAGCGCGTTAGTGAGTGTAGTCCAGCGCTTATCCGCGCCCGCATCGTCGTCGGCCTCGACCCACGCCCAGAGCTCGACCCCCGTGCCTCCCGCCTTGCCGATCGGCGTGCCCCACCGCTCCGCGTCCCACCGCCCGAGACTGAATTTTAGGTGCAGCTCGCGCGCGTGGCTTTGCGAGAGGATCTGTGCGAGCGACCGCGGAAAGACGCTGTGGTGGTTGTTGAATGTGCCGTTCATGACGAAGCGGAACGATGCGAGGCTAGAAATCTCCCCCGCGCATTAGCACGACACACACGACATCCCCGCGTAGCAATTCAGCTCAGACGTACACCGAGTTCCCCGGGAGTGTCTTGAGGAGCAAGTTTTCGTCATATTCGTAGTGATCATCGTCGTCGACGACGGCGGAGGAGGAGGAGCTGCCAACGGCGGAGGAGGAGCTGCCAACGGCGGCGGAAATGAGCGACGTGGCGAGAACGACTGCAATCAGCCGGCGGAGCAGTCTCATCGTGAGTGGGCGCCGAGAACGTTGTTCAGGAACATGAAATGGTCGGCGTGGGAATGCGTGGTGTGTCGCTGTGCGAATTGGGTTACGTGTGAGCTCCTCGACGAAAGGAGACGTTGAGCATTGGCGAGCTTGGAGGCGAGGGAGCACGTGAGGCGGAACTTGCCGTCGCGAGTGCTGAAGTGTGAGTCGAATGTAAAATACAACACGAGGGCCTCTCAACCACCAATACATCCTATGTAAACCTCTGGGTTTCCATTACTCCTCAAAACAATTCTCTGATGAGGTGTGGTCGGGTACGGAACAATGAACATGATATTCTCACGTGCCTCTCTTACCATCTCAGTCTCTCAACGCTACACTTTCCAAGCCAAACTCCAGTCCAATACTGCGTGAGCTCCCAGGCTCCATTACCACTCCAAATAACAACCCCATCTTTCGCAAATGAAGCATCATACTTACTACGCTACCGTATATGTAAATGTGTGATCCTCTGTGATACTCAGTGATGCTTTTGTGGCGCGCATGTGGTCGTGCCCGAGCTAGTGTGGCGTCGTCACGGCCGATACCGTAGGTTCGATACTCTACTCTACTCCGAAGTAAGCCGCAGAGCGTAGGGCACACCGGTAGAGGATAATATCCCCGTGTATCCCCTGACCACAAAGTACTTCGAGCAAAAAATACCTACTGTTCTACCGGTAGGCGGTTGCATTGATTTAGGCACCCCGCCCACGCCTGGGGGCACCTTCTCTATTGTGCGTGGTCCGCGCAGGCTGTTACACCGGATCGTCACAAGCCTCTGTAACATCGGCTGTAGTTGCGAAATCGTCAATGAGTTGTGGTCTCTGCTCGGACAGATAGATTGAGCGGGGCCCATCGCTATGGTATTTCTACCTACCGACTCTATCTCTGTAAGGCGTCTTGATCCCCGCTACCTAGATACCGATCGATAGACGAGTGAGCGTGTGGATACTGCTGGGATATAACTATACCTGGAGTTTCGTCTGGAGACAACACTATACGGTACAAGGGATTCTTGAGCGTACGGTAACTCGCCACCATAGACCACACCCTGCTCCCGACCGGCCACACAAGGAGGCAGACAGCAACCGCCTTCGACCGGGCTCGGTCTCCAACGCACCATCACCCACGCCAGCCATGACGACCACCCACGACTTCAGCAGCGTTTCCGAGGGCGCCCGCGGCACCTCCGAAGAGAAGCCATCCTCAGACGCCTTCGAGCTGACGCAGCGACGCAGCGCCGACTCCGCCGACTCCGTCCACTCGCACGATCCAGCGCTGCCCGCAGAAATCGCGAACCCCGGGGAGTACCGCGTCTACAGGCGACGATGGATTGGCCTCGTGATGCTCATGGTCATGAACATTGTCGTGTCCTGGGGCTGGCTCACGTACGCGCCCGTGTCGAATCTTACCGCCGAGTGGTTCCGCCTCGACTCCGAGTCGCCGGTCAATTGGCTTAGTACCGTCGTGCTGTTTGCCTATGCTGTTGCTACGCCGTATGAGATCCTTTTCTGTTGTGGGTTGGAGGGGGGAGAGGGAGGGAGTGTTGCTGATGATGAGACGGTAGTGCCGTGATCTACCTCCTCGGCCGGTACTCGATCAAGCCCACGCTGCTGCTGGCCGCGTTTCTCCTGCTGGCCGGAAACTGGATTCGCTACGCGGGGACGCACACGCGTTCGTTCAGCGTGACAATGTTCGGGCAGATCCTGATCGGGTTCAGCCAGCCATTCGTTCTGAGCGCGCCGCCGCACTACAGCGATCTCTGGTTCACGTCGAAGGGACGCGTATCTGCCACGGCCGTCGCCTCGCTGTCGAACCCATTCGGCGCCGCGCTGGGCCAGTTCATCAACCCGATGTTTGCGACCACGGCCGACAAGCTCCCGGACATGGTGCTCTACGTCGCGATCATCAGCTCCGTCGCGGTGCTCGGCTGGGCCGCGTTCCCGGCGCACCCGCCCTCACCACCGGGCCCGAGCGGGCACCACGCGAAAGCGGACTTTGCCGAGACCGTGCGCGTGCTCAGAAACAGCCGCGACTTCTGGCTGATCTGGGTGATGTTTTCGATCTACCTGGGGCTATTCAACGCGCTCACGACGCTGCTGAACCAGATCATGTTGCCGCGGGGGTACACGTCGGACGACGCGGGACTCACCGGCGCGCTGCTGATCATCGTCGGCCTCGTCTGCTCCGCCATCGTCTCCCCCATCATCGATCGCACACACTCGTACTTCCTCGCGCTGAAGATATGCATCCCCGTCAATGCTGCGTGCTTCCTCGCTTTCATCTGGGTCCCCGACGGCGGGAAGGTCGCCGGCCCCTGGGTCGTCGGCGCCATCCTGGGCGCGGCCAGTTTTTGTCTCCTCCCCCTGGCGCTGGAGTTGAGTGTCGAGTTTACGCATCCTGTTGCGCCAGAGTGGACGAGTAGCCTCTTGTGGTGCGGTGGTCAGCTCGTCGGTGGAATCATGATCCTCGCTATGGACGCGATGAAGACGAAGGATGGCGATATGAAGTGGGCGCTGGTGCTGCAGGCTGCGTTGGCTGCCGTTGTGGTGCCTGGCGCTTTCTTGACGGGCGCCGGCGGGAAGCAGGCGGGGCTGAAGAGGTTGCTGACTGAGGGAGCTGTCTGAATACACAAGCAAGGCAAGGCAAGGCAAGGGATGGGATGGGAGTTGGAGTTCGGAGGGATGCTCTTCTGTTTTTGTTTTTGTTTATTTCCGGTTCATGGGTTTCTGTGCTGTGGCGATGATGCGTGTAACGTTTTGGTTGCGCTCTTTGCTGCGATCTGGCTTTGGATATAACTGAGAGGCTCGAGATACCCGTTTGCGTTTCTGTTTAATGGAGGAATGAAGGAAAGTTTTTGCTTGGAAGCGGTTTTGGCAGAGAAGAAACATGGCCAAAGATGCGGGAGCGAGGAAGGGGGAAAGTTTAAGCACATCATTTCGCTTTGCATCGCAAGGGGAATCCACTCCATCTTGTGCTCCGGAAGTGGACAGTGGACTGCTTTAAGCTTTAACCAAGCGTAAACTCAAGCCCCCGCACCGTGCTGGGGGGGGGGGGGGGGGGGGAGGGGGGGAAGGTTAAACAGCGTCGGACTAGACCGAGCGCCCTGTCGTAGGGCTGAGACAAGTGCCAGAATCGAGATGGGCATGTAATGGAATGGTGGGTGTGCGCTGTCCACTTCCAGTGTCCAACCCACCTCCGATTCCTATTCTACCTTAGGTACCGTATGCTTGGTAGACAGCTGGGCGTCGTCAGGTCGCAGCTTTGTAACCAACCAACCAACCAACCACACCAGTGTGACACCTCCACCACCCCCGTGCGTGTCGTCGATGGTCCCGCGGCCACTCCTTCCCCGCCGGATCCACGCATCAGAGCGGCGGATATTCGGGATGAAAGCTGGTGATGGTAGTAGGGGGGATGAGTTCAGCCAGGGAACGGTAGAGCGCCAGGAACTGCGACTCAGACTCTGCGAGAAACGGTCCCCCCACGGGCCTAGCAGTAGCGTAAGGATTACGTGCCGACCGCACGGCACGAGATCATGAATGTACCCATTATCTAGCAGCAGCGAGTATGAGGAAAGAGGAGAGGAAGCCTCCACCACCCCATACGGAGCGGGTTGTCTGCGCTATGCATGTACGCATTCATCTGGCATCAGTGGAGTCCGCGGTAAGCCTTCATAGTCCATGCCACGCCATGCCATAAGCGGGGGACCACTTACGTACTGAGAAACCTGCGGTGGGTACGGGCAACTGGGGTATCTAACCAATTGAATTGACTAGAAAGCAACAAGAAAAGAAAGCAGCCTGTGTTCTTCAGGCGGAAAACCTCAAGTAACTCCGCGATGTTGAACTAATAGACAGGTTTCGTGATGGTGGTGATAAGGTCTATGCCTCGTGTGCTGTGTACTTGGAGACAGACCGAACATGAAAGTATGATAGCAACAGAGTACGACAACGTTGAGGCGACCGAATCGGGTCTGGCCCCCGAGTCTCACAGTACCCACCGTCAGCAAAATGGGTTCACCATCTCATCAAGAGACAGATGGGCGGAATTAGCTTTGAGGTTTGAACAGAGCTCGTGCGCGGCGGAGGCCATACGGAAAATAGCCGTATCTACTATAGTAGAGCCCGGGGTTGCCCACTCAGCCTCCATGTACCTACTCTAGAGTAGGTAGATAGAGTACAATGCACACGTGCGAAGGATCCACGGAAACACAAACACAAACACGCGATAGGTATGATACCTGGAGGCTGGTTACGTTTGGAGGTTGGAGAGAACAAGGCAGAAGCGGAGGTTAAATACGGGACCAAATCATTTTGCAAGGTGAGTCGCTTCTGCCGCCTAAAGGCTAAAGTACCGGTGCTATGTACGTACGGGATTTGGGAACCGCCGGTCGGGAATCGGGATGGAGTGCAGCGGCGGCGGGATGGAGTGCAGCGGCGGCGGGATGGAGTGCAGCGGCGGCGGGATGGAGTGCAGCGGCGGCGGGATGGAGTGCAGCGGCGGCGGGATGGAGTGCAGCGGCGGCGGGCCGGCCGTTTCTCGAGGACCCAGCTTGGAGAGCCGCAAACAGCCAGCTGGCCGGCCCGGAAGGAGGGGGAGGGGGGGGGGGGGGGGGGGGGGGGGGAGAGGGGGCTTGGATCGGAACAAATAGCGGTCTACCGCCAGTCGGGCCCGGTGTCCAGTGTCCGGTGTCCGGTGTCCGTTGAGTGCATTAGGCAGCATCGTCGTGTCGTCGGTACATACATAAATGCATATCAATGGCGATGAACCAGTAGTCCATAGGCGTCGGGGGAAGGAGTGGTGGATATACTCTACACACAATGATCGAATGGCGGGTTGGTAGTTGGAACTTGGAACGCCCAGGCCTACTCTGGACCGGCCGCCGTATGTGTGTAGATACGCCGAAAAGTTCCCAACTTGTCGACTGGCCATCCGGCATCTGATGTGCAGATGTGCAGATGTTACAGGGAATATATCTGGAGAAGGAGAAGGAGAAGGAGAAGGAGAAGGAGGAGAAGAAGGAGGAGAAGGAGAAGGAGGCTGACGCGGGAACGCAGGAATGTAAGCCGCGCCCGCAGGTGTATGTAGGATGTAGGTACCTGAACCCAGTCGCGGAGCAGAGATGAACCCACCACCGCCACCACCACCACCTCGAACCGCGATTCGCAGCTATCTACGGTAGGCAGTAGTTGGTGGCTACGAGAGGCAGACCTGTAGAAGATGCATTACACATTAGACGGCAGTTCATCCAGGGTGATGGAGCGTTATTCAAGGTTGAGAGCGGCTGGCTGACTGGCTGTCGACGGCAGCTGCACGGTCAAGGTGCAGGTGTGCCGGGGGTCCTTGGAAGTTGGACGTCAGTTGACCCGACATGGAACGGTGAGACTGTTGACATCCCCCGCTTGCAGAGTGGAGTACCTAAGTGCATAGATACGATACATCCAAATCGATTCCTCTGTTCATCGCGATGCCACGGCATCCATGATCCAACGACGAGCTCGAGCTTGAGGGCGGTAAAGTGCGCTCAAGGCGGCCGCCAACACGGCTGCCCCCCCCTCCCTCTCCGGACGCACCCACCCAAGTGCTTAATGCACCCGCCGAGGGAGGAGTTGCGGGGAGCGGTGAGACCGTGAGAGGCGGTATGCATCGACCTATGTGTTATGTCGGGCAGACCCGATGCGATCGCCTCAACGTTGAAATGTTCTCTGTTACTGCTTTTCTGTTCGTCTTGTTGGTCCGTTTCGTGTTCAACACATCAGTCATTACTCAACACCACAGATATCCGCAGAAGTTCATAGACCTCTTTCTTTTCTTGTTCTCAATCGAATCGCGTTCTACATTTGCTCGTACCTGTCGAGGGTCTCTCACTACATCTTACCTCCCTACATCTTACCTCCCTACATCTTACCTCCCTACATCTTACCTCCCTACATCTTACCTCCCTACATCTTACCTCCCTACATCTTACCTCGGACGAACGAAGATCGCTCGCTACACGCGGTGGCGCCTCGAGCGAAAACAACTAGCGGTTCTTGCAGTTATCCACTGGCAAGTTGTTGCAAGAATCGCCGTCATTCCGCAGGCCGCAGAGGGGGGAAAGATATGTACGTAACAAGGTGCCGAGTCGCTGCGTCGTTGGTGACTCCACGATCCCATGTACTCTACATACTGACATACAAGGTACCTCATGGTTCCATCCGGACTCCCGCCGGAACATACCACGGAGGGGTGCGCGGGAACATCATATAGCACCTACCTTGCCCTCTATTGGAAGCATGCTGGAAAGGTTAGGCGCCGCGTACTATTGCAGGATCCTACCTGCTCGTCCCCAAATTACGGTAATCACTGTTCATGCATCTGCATCTGCATCTGCATCTGCATCTGCATCTGCATCTGCATCTGCATCTGCATCCTGCAAGTTGCGTGCGCCGTGGTAATCCCCCCGCGGCATCACCTCTGTTGCTCGGATTACGCCTGCCCGTGCTACTGGCTTTGTTCTTTGTTCCTTATTCGTTCTTCGACTCGGATTGGTTACGGCTGCCTGTGCTGACTGCGAAGGACTGGACCGATCAGAACAGATCCCCTGATCCCCACTCGTCGCTGCAGAGAAAGCTGCCCCTTCGAACGGCTCCCAAGCAGTCACCACTTGATCGGGGACATAGGCCGCAAGCGTTGATGGGCCACCATCATCCTTCGCACCAACAGCCGGTCGCCGAAAGGTTTTTACATACATAAATTCTGCAACCCGCCTGCAAGTCTGCAGCTCAGCTTACGTGCAGGGATGTACTAGTTTCCTTCTACCATCATTCTAGAAGTAAGATTAAAGTGTGAATTTGGGCCGCTTATCTCGGCCAGGGTTCGGCGCACCACCAGCAACCACCACAAGTCAGCACATCCTTCTATTGGGAACTTCTAGAACAATGCCAGCCAATCAGCGGCGACAGGACCGCCCTCGGAGACAAGTCCGTCGAACGAGAGGGAGTTGGTTGGTTGCTAGCAGCTGCTTCCCTCCCGCTGGCGACTGTTGCACCTCGATCGCCAGTACCTTGTTTCTATGCTGGCTATGATACATACCCAAGTCAGTACTTACCTACTTCCTCTTCACTTGCTCCGTCCGACCGCTGCAACATTGCAGACCCCTCCCACCCTCGAGAAGAGAAAGGTGTCCGGATTCGCTCCGGCTCCCTGGTGCGGTGGTCTCGCGGGCTTCCCCCATCGCGCGACAGCTGTCTGGCATGATCCTCGCTCACGGCAGAAATTCGGATCTCTTCTAGGACTCGGAATTGAATACCTGCCTGTTAGAGGATCATGGGTATCCGAATACAGGCGCGCCACCGTCGAGAGAGAGTGTGTATGTGTGTGTGCGCTCCGCCATCCTGGCCTCTGCGTGCAGTCTCTCGCGTCGTCGTGTGACCCAGCAATTGCAACACTCTGGAGCATATGAGGCGGCATACCGGGGAAAGCAGTCAGGATAGGAAGCTGGCACACCTGAAGCAGGCTCACCCAGCCGCCCTCCTTCTGATTAGAGGCGATTGTGCGCATTCCACGCACGTACGAATACAGGCGGGCATATATGCAGGCAGACACACAGACATGGATGTTATGTAGTCCTCGACCGTCCTTACCTACGATCTAGCCTGGCGTAGAAGAGGGGAGGAAGGGGCGATGGTGGCGTTCCTCCTTCTAGAAAGGTCTGGGAGTCTAGGTATGTCTGAATGTCTGAGGGCATTATGGACGTTATTGTGCCCGTCTTAGCGGTGGGCGCGGAGATCGACAACGAGCTGGCCTGGTACCTCCGTGAGAAACCTGGGTTTACCTCCCTCCGTATTACTCGATATCATCCGGTTTTTTACAGAATCGCATACATTGTGTGCAACGCCGACATCTTCCCCCCATTCGTCCCCCGATGTTGACGGATTCAATCTCATACTGCATGCATAGGTCTTGACCCCACGGCTTGCTGGTTGGACGAGCCGGGCGAATAGATGGTCGAACTCTGAATCTTGCGTCCTCCTCCACTTCGAAACACCGGATGAGACCAATCACCATCACCACCACCACCACCAGAGGTCCGAGTCCGCTGCTGCTCTGCGTCAATATGATCTACGACCGCTGAAAGCCTGCACGCTTATTGCCGCCGTCCATGCTCCGCATCCCGTATTACATGGTTCAGCCAGAACTCGTCAAAGTTAATGAGATACAGTGCAACACTAGATATCCGGCTGCGCACATCTGTGGCGGAAGGGAGTGAGGGAGGGGGGAGCTTCAAGAAGCCTACTGCACACAATCCAAACTCATATAAGACCAATAGCTAACTTCCCGAAGACTCCTTCATCATAAAAGAAGCCCCGTCATGTTGCAGATATCCGCTTCCGGCAGCTACGACGACAAGTCAGCACCTCCAGCGATGGCCACCCCACCCGCCAACAACAACGAGCTCAACCCGTGGGATTTTTTCTGGCCGCATCAAGACCAGTCCTACATGGCACCGCAGCAGCAGCAGCAGCAGCAGCACAATCCGAACGTGAGCACCACAGCACCATGGTCAACAGCCCAGCCTGCTTTGGCGGCGGCGTCGTCGTACCTTCCTTCTCCCCCGCCCCAGCCCTATCTTCCATCCCCAACGGTGCCAACATTTCTCTCCTCGCCGATAGCGTCCGCACCATATCCACGCCACAGCGCCCCTCCACCCTCGCCGTCATCCTCCCGCGGACAACGGAACCATCTTCCATGTCCCTTCTACGTCCAAAACCCATCCTCGCACCCCAAGTGCGCACAGAAGACTTTCTCCTACATGTGCCGAGTCCGGTAACACCTCTTCCGCCTCCCCTTGATGCCTTTACTTCCCCCCCGCTAACTCGCGACTGCAGAGAGCACATATCGACACACACACTCCCCTTTTCCTGCGACATCTGCGAACGCCGCTTCTCGTCACGGTTCGGTCTGACGAGGCACACAGACACATGTCGAGCCGGCGGCGGTGGCCGGAGGAGATTAGGCGGCGGTGGTGGTGGCGGTGGTGGTGGGCACGGACGGAGGGACGAAAACTTAGCTTTGCACCAGGCTTTGACGCAGGCGGGATCGGTGGAGGCTATGGTGGGGATTTTGGCACGGCCTTTCTGAGAGGGCACGGTTCTGTTGGCGTTTGGGCTTCGGTGGATGGACGGATGGACAGATGGATGGGCGAATGGATGGTTTGGCCGGTGTATATGTTTTGGTATTGTGGTTGTATATAGAATCCATGTTTTGAGTTTGTGACGTTGAGCGTCGAGTCTCGAGAGTTATTCAACCAGCGACCGACCACCCGCTCACGAATGGGGGCCATGTACTGGAAGGAGGTGTCGACATGCGGAATGGCACAAGATCTCATCACATGACGAAAGCTCTGAATATAATCCAATAGTTGGACCTAGACCTAGCAATGTCTAACGGTGCGCCACGAGTGTGCTACCTATCCCATGGATCGTAACGCGCTGGAGCTCCAAAATCGCCTCAGAAATGGCCACTCCTCCACCCACCCAGTCGCACCACTAACACCCCAGAGTAGGGCTGTGACTAGATAGAGTTTTTCTTTAGATACGAACAAAGGGTTTTAAGCATATTGTGGTGGTTCTAATGATGGTTTAAGGCTAAACTTTCCACCCAGAAGCGCAAATTCGCGTGATTTTCACAGCTTTCCACGGCCATACTGGCCCACCACCACATGAAATCTTGCCCTCAACCCCTAGAGCTTATAAAATATGATTCAGCCGCTCTAGAAATTGATGTGACGCAGCGGCACCCCCCAGACCTTACACGATCATTGGGTTTTGGACGCAAATGTCGACATTTTTCGTCATCTCAAAACGAGGCTAATCTTTGTCCGGCGGTCTATGCCATCGTAACGACATTTAAAAAAAAGAGGATTTATTCTAGGTTACCTTTCGTAGTAATACTGAAGATCATATGCAACTCTCAGAGGTAAATATGGAAGAATGAAAATGTCGATTCCTCGTGGCATTACATTTTGAGAAGAATTTGGACACTTGGACCGCTTCTATGGCCTTCCAGGACAGGGCAGCTGGCGATGTCACGTCTAGAGTACGATAGAGTAGTGCCGTAGAGAAGTATTAATGAAATCTAGGCTTCCAGGACTTGTTTTGAGACGTCAGGTGTTATTTATCTGCCTGCCAGGTTTTAGCGAGTGATATACCGTGCGGGAGCACTTATTCATCCGTGCTTTGTCTTTTGGAGGGTTGGTGACCGTCAAGGGCTTTTAATATTTCATCTCTTTGCCCCCCGAGATAGTCATTATTCAGGTGACGATTTCCGTGCTGAACAAGGTGATATGGCCTACTTTTGGAGATTTTCCGGGTTGAGTGGAGTCGCGTAGCCCTTTTGGAACTCTAAGTATAAAATTACGATCCAAGGGATTATAGCTACGGCAGTATTTTGTGAGAGAAAGCATCAATCAATTTTGCATACATCCTATCTAAATTATGGCGGCCCAACGTACTCCTTTTCCTGTCCGCCCTGGCCATGTACCGGTACCTATGGGCTATCTACATGCCCGCTCCTCCTCCTGCTGCTGCTGCCACCTGGCCTCTTTTCTGCCCTCCGAATTATATATACCAGGATCATATAGATACATTGTTTACTTGCCAGGATCATATAGACACATTGTTTACCTGCCAGGCTATGTAGAGTATACTAACCGAGCGCGAGTGAGGTGAGGTGCGGTGTGCTTACTGCTCACTGCGCTCACTGCTTTCGTCTGATTTTGCCGCCGATACCTACTAAGTAGATAGTGAATGAGCTAGGTACTACCTGGTGGGCTATGTAGTAGCAACATGGCAACTATATATTCTTGTTGTGTACAAAAATTGCACACAACGACCTAGGCACCTCGTCAGCAGCTACTATGACGGTGTGTACCGTGGGTAGCCTTCTTATTATTCTCGAGGCAATCCGGGCTCCGGGAGTGGTGGAGTTGGGGTTGTGAACTTGAACTGGTTGGTGGTAGGTACTGCTGTTAACCAGTCTGTCATAGTACTCTAGAATAGTGGAGGAGAGTAGAGTAGAGTAGAGTGGTGAACTTTGGTGGTGAAGGCTGATGGTGAAGGCTGATGGTGAAGGCTGACATCCTGAGCATCCGGCGATGCACTGCTGATGCACTGGGTATGCACTGGGTATGCACTGACGTTATGCACCTACCTATGCACCTACCTTATAGGTAGATCGAAAAGTGGCTTCCTTCTCGAGTCTCGATGAACCCGAAGCTCGGATTCTCGGATTCTCGGAATCGAAGTTTGAAGTTTGAAGGTTGAACCGGGCGGAGTCGTGTGGAGGCCGTGCGGAGGCCGGGCTGCTGAGTGTGGCTGTTGTGGAGTGTGGCTGTTGTGGAGTGTGGCTGTTGTGGAGTGTGGCTGCTGTGGAGTGTGGCTGCTGTGGAGTGTGGCTGTTGTGGAGTGTGGCTGCTGTGGAGTGTGGCTGTTGAAACTTGATGGTTTACCCCAACCAAAGTCACCCCAACCTAAGAAAGAGTCGGCCGTGCATCATGTTGTACATGGCGGGTTTCGTGGGATGCTATGTAAATACGTCACAATTCATCTGGCCCTGGGGTTACTATTAAGGGGCGTGGGAGCAGAGGCGGGAGAGAGAGAGAGATCTTCCTGTTTTATTTCGCATGCAGCCTATCTAGACTATGGCGAACCCACGACCTCCGTTTCCTGTCCGCGCTGGCTAGTCCAGGTGAAAAAACCCCCCGGTACCGACCAGTCCGATGCGGCGCCCCACGGAGCAGAGGCGGCTTGGACGCGGGCTTTGCCCGGTATGCACAGATGATCGATCTAGCGGGACTTGGTCAGACCTGAGTGAGACCAGCTGCCGAAGGAGCGGGACCCTTGCGGGACCCTTGCGGGCCTGATTGGGACTTTTCCGGACTTGCGTGGGACTCGCTGATGGAGGAGCGGACTTAGCAGTTTGGTCTCCTTCGTCCTCTGCTCCATCATCTTCTCCATCATCTTCTCCATATCTAAGGCCAGTGCCTTCGGCTCATCCTTCTGAGCTTCTTCCACCTTCTTCTTCATCGCAAATCTCTCCACCATCTCCTACTTCCCCTTCAAGATCGATTCAGCCTCACCCTCCGAGATGTCGTACGCAGACTCGTCTCCGCTCACAATTGTGTCAGTATTGTAATCATAACCCGGGGGAACGTCTCGGTCATCTTTATCGATCTGCTTGACGTCCAAGACCACCTTATACACCACATCCTCTCCCTGCCCTGCAGAGTCCAGGCTACCGAGGTGCTCAAGAGTCTCCGAATAGGTACTGTGGTCCTCCAGTCCGCGAGCGAAGGTTCTGGCTAATGTATTCAGGTTGCCGGTACGACCGTTGCATATCTCAACGAGCTTGAGGGTCCGTCTCGTATACTGGCCGATGCTACTCTATGCCGGCAGAGTTGGATGTAGAATCCTTTCACAGCACCAAGCAAGGAAGAATTCGGTCTGGCATATAGGTAACCAACCTTGACCGACATCCGCGCTGTACGTACCACCTATCTAGACCTAAAACCCCTATCTAAAGTTCTAAACCACCTCTATCAGCTACCTCCATACCCCCCATCCCTCCTTCTCGTCCACCTTCTTTTCCCTCCGTCGCTTCGACTCCTCTAGCATCTCCTTCGTCGGCTTTTGCAACTCAGTATCTACGAGATACCCAAAGCGCTCCCACAACCACCACGAGAGGCCCGTGGAGCCGAGCGGACATATGCAGCCGCACGGGCGGATCCACTTATCGGACCCCTCGTAGCGCATCTTGAGCGCCCACTCCGCCAGACACTTCCCGTGGATCCAGTGGTTGCACGGCGACATCGTTTCTCCCGCTTCTGGATCTGTGGGGCAGCCCCGGCGACGTAGGAACTTGCACCGTGTGCTGACGTCGGAGCAGTTGCAGGGGATGGTTAGCATGGTGGTGTGAAGACTAGTGTGGTGAATGGTGTGCTGTGGTGCGGTGAATGGTGTGGTATTGTGAATGGTGTGGGATGTGGGAGGGGTGGTGGGGTGGTGGGGTGAGTGAGAGAGGCCGAGAGAAAATGAGCTTTGTAGTTTATACACATGCTTGGAAGGTCATGTTGGGCTGGTGGACGCTCGAAACGAGCGGTGGACGTTCCACTTGACTGGAATGGAGGCTACGGGGCTCCGTCTTGCACCGTTGCACGCTGGTGGTTCCCGGATGGCTAAGTGATGGGTGCTCATGCGCTGCAGTTGCAACTTGCAACGACAATCCTCGACTCCCGAGTCCCGACCGAGCTCAAATGGGGACCGAGTGAGTCACGATAATATGCTCTTGAGATGGTTCTGTATTGTGTGACAAAAGCGATTCATAATTCATGAGCCGTCTATAGTAGAAGAGTCTATACCTGAAGAAAAGAAGAAAAGAACATGTGAAAGAGATTCTAAGCGATCGTCCGTGTGTTCGTCTCCTATGGTTGCCCAGAGACAATGCTAACCAGATACCATCCGTCCATCCATGATCCATCCATTCACCGATCCCTCCACCGAACCCGTCAGTCCCCGGTCCCGACTCCCCCACCCCCAATTCCCCGAGCCAATCATGAACCGTTGCTCGTCAACCAATCCCACCAGCCCAGCCCCTACACCCAGTTCCTAGAGCCAATCCCACCAGCCCTTCCCCCCATTTCCCGCAGCCAGCCAGCCAATTGTAAGTCGTTAATCGCCAACCAATTGTAAGAAAGTCGTAAAAAAGTCGTAAGTCGTAAATCGTAAGTCGTAAGTCGCAAGTTGTAAATCGTCCGTCATCCCAGTCCGTCATCCCAGTCCGTCGTCTATCCAACCATCTATCCAGCCATCTATCCGTTTCCCCCTCCAAGTCTAACCGTCTATGCTTTTTCCCCCATCCTTCTATACCGTGTATCCCATCTAAACCGTCTAAAATTCTATAGAGTACGCCGAAAAAGAAAAGAAAAAACAGAATGCCGAACGAAAACGCCAAAAACAAAAAGCAAAAAACCCGCTCAACAGGAAATAGAAATCTAAGTGAGTATCCGTCTATGTCTATCGTGAAACGCAGGAAAAAGCCACCGGGAAAAACAAACAAACAAAAGAAAAAAAAGGTATGTACAAGAAAAGAAGTAGGAAGGGGAAGCGGCGAGCCGCTCATTTCCACGACTTCCAGGTCATGGCCGCAGCGGCGACGCCAACACCGAGGACGACGCCTCTGAACCCGACGATGCCATTCTGTCGCGGCGTCTGCGAGATGCGGAACGCCGACTGGATGAAGGTAGCGTAAGTGCGGAACGAGAGCTTTCGGGGCTGAATGAGCGCCTTCCTGTTCGCGTTGCGGAAGTCGCGGACAAGGCTCTTGACGTGCTGCTTGAAGTCGGTCATTGGGATGGCGCGGACGACGTCCTGGTCGAGGAGGGTGCGGATGAGCACCTCCGCTTCGCGGGAGGTGGGGCGCTCGGCCTCGTCCGGGCGCAGCAGCAGCTGCACCACGTTGAGCGCGCCCAGGAATACGGCGTCGGAGCGCTGCAGCTTCTGCAGAGAGCGGATCTTCTCCAAAACCTCCTTCTTCACCGCGCCGTCCTCGTGGAAGCTCGCCACGATCTTGTAGTCCTTCTTGGTCTTGCGCGCGTTGTGGAACTTGCGCACGCCGTCGCGCCCCTCGGCGATCCACACCAGCAGCTCGAGGAAGACAGCCCCCATCGCCCAGATGTCGAACGACCGGTGGATCCGCTTGCCCGTCAGCTCCGGCCCCGCGTACTCCTCGCTGCAGGGACGCATGCGCGTCTCCGAGAAGGAGCGGTCCTGCTGCACCTCCTGGTGCGTCTTGAAGTGGGCCATGCCGAGGTCGGTCAGCGCGAAGCTGTCGTCGGCGCGAACGAGGATGTTGGCCGGCTTGATGTCGAGGTGGTAGCCGCAGCCGTTCTCGTTGCCGGTGTGGATCTGGTTCAGCGCCGAGAAGAGGTCGGCGACTTGCTCGACGATCCGAACGGTGGTGTTGTTCGGGGGAGTGAGCGTCGGCTCGCTTATCAGTGCTTGGAGCGAGGTCCGCGCAATCGGGTAGAAGGACATGTTCTCGGGTCCGTGGCTGAGCGATGCAAGCATCGGCACGATGTTCGAGTGCTGGAAGCGCTTGTTGTTGCGGGTCTCGGCGGCGCAGTCTTGGTCGTCCCAGTCGCCGGCGCCGGTGTAGTAGTCATCCTCATCATCGTAGTCCCGGCTCTTCTCGCTGCCGCTGCTGGAGGAAACCCGGAAAATCTTGACGGCAACACAGCCGTCAATGGTCTCGAGGCTGTGGTAGCCGTCGAGAAGCTCGGCTTGGTAGACGTCACCGTAGCCTCCGCGGCCGAGCTGGCGCTTCAGGTTAATCGGCAAAGTCCGGCTGATGTTGACTGTGAAGATGTCGTCTGCGTCCGCCTTCTCGAGTGCTGGGATGTTGGGCAGAAGGAACTCGTACTGCTTGTGGTGGTGGAAAGTCTTCCAGAAGTGGTTGTCGCGGATCCCGTGCCTGATGTAAGCATCATCCATGACTTGCTCCAATTCACTCTGCTGGAGCGGATGAGCCAGCACGCTCTCGTCGGTAAACCCTAACTCAACAAAGCTGTGGATGAGGCAGAGACGCTCCATCTCCAGGAGAATGGCGAAGATCAACCGGTATTCGCTGAAGATTGTCGTGATTTTTTGCTCGGTGGCAGGAGACATTCTGCCGCGGCACCATTTGCCCTCGCAAGGGCACTGGAGGAGCGATCGAATGTTTTTGCATGTCAAGACCCTGTAGACGTCGTTCTTGGGGTAGACGCGTCTCATGAGTCCTGTGGGCGAGTTCGTGATGTGCTTCTCGAAACCATGGATCCGATCCCTAAGGCGCTCGCAGATGAAGCCGTTCTCCCAGGAGTCTCCGCTGGAACTACTCGCTGAAGCCCGGCGGGACTCTGTAACTGAGCTGGTCTTGTGGAATGTAGTATTGAACTGCTTGATGGCGTGCAAAGAACGCTCGACTCGTGTCGCCATTGTAGTGACTGGTTTCTGTCAGTTTTGGTCCGCAGAAGAAGATATGAGGAACGCTTACTTTTGATGTCTTCCGGAACGGCTGGCGAACGGACTGAGTATGAATGAGGGTGAATTGATGTCGGAAAGATTGTTTGGTCGAGTAGAGATCTAGTGATGAAGGAGCATGCAATGCTATCCTTTGCTGGTGATGATAGAATGAGCTGTGATGGTGATGATGGTGGTGGAGATACTGCTTCACTTCCTACTTCCATTTGGATTATATATATCTAAGCTATTTACCAGTGCTCATATTCAATCACGGGCGGGCGCGAGGCCGAACACTGAGGCCCGAGGCCGCCGATGAGCCTCCTCCTACGTAGAAACACATTCACTCGTCCCTACTGAATACTGAGCACACAAAATACGTGTGTGCAATATGTCCGAGGAGGCCGAACTGCGCCTACACGGCTCGAGTTGTGGTGAACTTGAGGTGGCCGCCTTCTGTCGTTGCGGGCGGTCATCGTTGGGGAGCCTGGTACCGTGCGGCCTGGGCCATTGTTGGGCCGTAGCCTTGTACGTTCTAGTCGAGTCCGTTTCTTTTCCGTACAGGTGGTCTTGTGTAACGTCGTTGCCACACCCACCGAAGTGCCCTGCCCCCGCTCCCACCCCACCACTTGCGGAGCCCGTTTCTCTGGCCAGCACTTCACTCACCACCGCCGCCACCACCACCTTCACAAATACCGAAATGCCAGGCACGTACCTACCGAAGCCTTGCCTTGCTCTCGATTGAAAATGTCTAACACTTTGGTACTAGGCTGTACGCACCCTTCTTTTCCCTTCTTCAAGCCTGAGTGAGGGGTGTGTACGTACTGACAGCAGCGTCCAGCGTCGCTGTGGCTCATTCCTCCCGCCGGCTCGGCTATCGACGCTACGCTATCGAAGCTGATCCACAAGACCATTCCACCCCACTTCGCGCCCGACGAGACCGTTCCCTCGTTCATTCCGCACGTGACGCTCACGAGCCGTCTGCCGAAAGAATTCGCCAACCCTCAATCGGTGCTCAATGACCTCGAAATCGAGGACATTCCTGAAGTCGTCTTCAAGGAGCTCAATGTTGGGTGTGCGCCCGGAGTGCTTCGCGATGTGAGGCAGGAACCCATTGACTGATCTTCTTTTCCGACCAGCGATACTTTCTTCACACGCATCACCCTCCACGCAGAGAAAACTCCAGCACTCGTCGGCCTCGCCAGACAATGCCGGCACAAGTTTGCAGAAGGCAATGTCAATGAAGCCGACGCCACGCTATGGGCTACTGTCGTGTTTACGCCACACTTGAGCCTGGTTTACTCGTCGATGCCGGCGGAGAAAGTGAAGGCGGAAGTACTACACAAAGTGACGGAGGATGTTGATGACGCGGGGGTGGTTGCGGGACCAGCCGCTGTACACTCTGCAATGGGAGGCTGGAAGGGTGGTCGAGTGGTCCTAGTTCAGACCTGGAAAGACCTCGACCAATGGAAAGTGATTGCGGAGAGGGTTTTGTGAGCAGGCTGAAAGCCTAGGATGGATTTCGTTGAGCGAGCGAGCACAATTCCTAGAATTGAAACATTGTGCGCGGTTCGGTTTTCCTCCGAGAAACATATCATGAGGCTCTATTTTGTTGTTTCCTCTCTTGGTCCGTACTGGTAATGGCCTAGGAAGCTCCCAAAGCCGTGCTTCAGCTCTGTGCACAGAGATGTGTCGTCCTATGGACCAATTAGAGCCTTGTTCAATCATCACCTCGACTGGACTCTCATTGTGCCCATTTCCAGGGGTGGGCACATAGCTAGAGTGTGCAAATGCGGCACCAGATCTACCCGCAGGAAGTGCTGGTAGATCGCTGGCTCAAGATTTTCGTCGCCTCTTCCAGCATGCCCAAGCCCGAATGGCTGCGTTTGTACCTTTCATCACTGAGGGTGTGCCCAGCTACAATGGCTGCAGGAGCCTTCGCAAATTTCGCGGATTTGAGCCTTCCTCTCCCGTCAGAACGGGCTGCGGTGGGATGTGCTCATTCGCATTACAACGTTTCCTGGAGCCACCAGTCAGACAGGCTCTGCATCAGGACATGTACATAGCTGGAGCCGCCTGCCGCCTTTTTCTACTCGTGTTCACCTTTGGCTGGACCGGTCCTTCGGGCCTCGAGCTCGACATCATGACCGAGAACAGTACATAGAATCGTTTTCGAAGTCGAAAACGATCAAGCCTTCTTTCGGTCCCAAAACATACGCAGCTACGCGGGAGGGAATAGCTTCTCATCAGTATAGCTCTCGCTGATGATTGGGGAATTCTCCAGCTCTATGGCGTAGCTATCCAGGGTGGTTCACTTGACTATTTCCCCTCTCGCCGATCGTTCGGTCGCGATAGAATAGTCAACTTCCATGATCCTTCCAGAAGATCTCTCGATTGGCAGGAACAATCTGACAGCGCAAGCGCGCTTTCCAGTTGCCATGACTGATTTGTCTCGCACATGCTGGGATCACGCCTGGTGTGGTGGTTCGGCGAATCAGAGATACCGTCGCCGCATCCTGACAACACAGATGCCTGATGCCACGATTTGGCTAGGACCAACGAGAGTGACGAACGTGTTGTTGGGCTCTTAGTTACATTTTTCTTCTTCGTTCCATCGGTGCCTGCTGCTCTCTCGCCCGTCCAATCTCAATCGCGCAAAAGAAAAAAAAACTGCGTCCAGACATCCGGCCTGATAGGCGCTCCAGGGCTCCCAGTTGTTTTCTCTTCGTCATTTCCTGTCAGGCAGTGGGTTATTGAGTTGAAGTAGTAAAAGCACAGTGTGCCCGATGTCGATGTGTTCAGGAACACGTTGCGAACAGGCGAAAGAAATTGCGCGCATCCCGCCGCATCAGTGAACAGTGAACTGATGGGATGGATTACCAAAGTAACCGTACTCTACCAATTCTAAAATCCTTCTTCTAGTGCTTCCAGAAGCTTTTCGGACGCAGGAACTGAATTGCTACCCGATAAGCGAATAATCCTTTTCTCCCACCCCTTCCGTTCCGTCATGTCATGGGCTACCGACTGAGCCCATCAAGCGCGGATAGATAAATACCACCCACCTGCCCCGAGGCCGCCGTGTGTAAGGCATTTCTGCTGGCTCACTCAGGTGCGATACCTCGAACCTCGAACGCGGAACCCATTCTCCCACGCAGCCGGGTATGCCAGCGCACCGTCGACGAGGTCGGAATATGCGACGTCATATGTATTACAGAAACAGTCGCCAAGCTATACAGAGGGAATCGGTGGCAGCCGCGCAAGGACCGTCGGGGGCCTAGATGAGACCATAACGGTAGTAAACAGGCCGACCGAACGGAGATGCGTGGCGATTTTTTTGCTGAAGCGGAAGTTTTCCGATGTGTACCTATGTGCATAAATGTGTTGCTTGAGAGGTCACGGCTCGATTAAACGAATGCACGATGCGTGGTTAATCAAGATGATGAGCAGACGACTACTCCGATGTCTTTCCCTTTCGTTCGAGGAACCTTCCGGTGGACTGCTGCGGGAGTCCTGACGGATTAAGGGTGGTTACGTCGAGGGAATTACTAAAGTGAGGGCGGTCTGGCTCCAGTGTCTTCACTTGGCAAAACATACAAAGATAAGTACTTGGCTGTTTTCCTTTATTACTTCCGGTCACTTTTGCTGGCTGGATGCCGTTTTGATTGCTGTCTATGTAGGATATTCTCGCTCATCCAACAAAGATGTGAATAGCCACACAAGCGCCACAGCCGTATCAGCCACACGCTGACTCGGCCAGCAATAACCACTATCGGTCACTCCAAACTTTCGCATACCCTGATTATAGATCTATGTTTTGTCCGATATATCTGTGGTGAGAACTGCACTCTAGGGGATATGCTCAAAGAGCTCTAAGATACTACCTACATAGAAAACAGTATTAACTACGTCGGAACAGAGTCTTTGATCCTGGATGGAGCAAGCATAGGGCCGAAACAGTAACTGATGGTTGTGGGGAGCTTCAAACGGTTCGACTTTTGAACTCCCTACGGTATCATATTGTGACGATCCCAACCCCGTTATGTACTCTACGTACATGCCTAGGCTAACTTCCTTCTCCGGGTCCAGATTCGATTCGACTCCGCGTCGATCGCCAAACCGCCCTTGGCGACAAGCCACACGGCCGTTAACGTCGACTAGGGCTGGGTATTTGACGTGCGGTTAATTCGTCTGGCAGTATCTACTGAGTGGAGTACGGTAACTGCTCAGCAGGAACCAACGGTCTCGGCTAAACTCCAGATACATAAATGATGATAGTATTCTGGTAGATATTCAAAACCACGTGGCCTAATCGAATATCCGACGCATGTGCTTATCCCCAATCACAATATGGAGAGAAGGAGCCGGAGGATCGTAGATAAATATCCAAGTACTTCTACCGTTATTGAAACCTTCAGAATCAATATCAAACATGAGGGATGCGGGACGACGCGAGCGATGGATCCCCCTCCGCTTATTTAGCACGATGTCGATTGAAGTGGGGAAGCCGGGGCTAACTAAGGTACGTAGTGGTAGAGAACTACCGTAGCGGAGACTTTGAAACCAAAGAGTCTTACCTTTAGCACTGGATATGCCCGCTTGAGCTTGGCGATCCATGGTCTGCTCGCAATCAAAGGAACTCCGTAGATGGAATTTTGTAGCAGCAACCTGTAAGAAGTTTATGTTGCCCCCCCACCACCTCCCGAATCTCGATGTTGGCCAGTGGGGAGGAGGAGGGGGGCCAACTACTGGAGTTTATGTAGTATGTAGGCCCTGGGTTTCATCGAGGTAAGTCGTAGCCTTGTTGTGGCAGGTGTATGGTACATAGGCTCTCGGCTGTTCTCGTGGGGGATAGTTAATAGTTAGTCCCGGTGTTCCCGGAGCAGCAGCACGAGGAAACTTGGAAGCGAGCCCCGTCGAGTCGTCAACTGCTGGCCCGACCCCTCAAAGCCGCTCCACGAGCGATCCGGAGGTGGAAGGTGCGTGCCGAGGCACGGCGATCTGTAAGCCCGGCAAATGGGAGTCGAGCGGCTTGCGTAAGCTGAGTGTGGGATTGTATTACTATGGATACTCGCATCTCGAGCAGATCTGTAGCCTCCGACGATCGAAAATTCAGCTAGATGATTCGAACTCGCTGATTCGGACCGTGTTTGTGGTATAGGAGGCTGGTATGCATAAGAGGAAACGCTACTCTGATCCGTAAACTTGAACAGCCGAATGAGCGTGGCGGATTTCGGCCCCACAATATGGCTACATGAGTACTATAGCTAATCGGCCTATACATTTTAACGGTACTTTACTCTACCGAGGGACGCCGAGTGCCTGCTGCAACTATATAAAACATGGTGAGGCCAACCGCTGTGGCTCCTTGTCCAAGCAATAATGTCGGCTAGTATCATCCATAGTACATGGATGATGTGGGGTAGGCATCCATACTTGAGTACTATAGTAGCAGCTAGTTTGACACACCCAAAGATGCAGTTGTTTGCCCGACGGTTTCTGGGCGATAACCTGTAGTACTTATACCAGGTACCTGGGGCCCATGCCCCGTCCCACATGTGTTGCCGACATTTACGGCTTACATGCAGCACATACATACATGACGACTTCAACTCTTCGGAAATCAACCTCGCCTACCAATGCTGCTACTTGTATAGTACTACCTCGATTACTCTACCGGCATCACACTCGATAACGTCGGGTTCGAACACACATGGGCGTCCTGCCTCGGGCGGGAGACGGAGGTAGTGGGGAGGACTGGAAGCCGGCGAATGCCCTCGCAGCGGCTATTGCGATAGCGAAAGGTCGGGCCGCCGGACTCAACGCGTATCCGAAGCAGGGCTTCATACCGCCCAATTTTGTCAAGGGCTATGTGGCAGAATCTCGAGGGGATCAGATCGTGGTGCTTTGTTTCGTCACCATGAGTTTGTGCTTTGTGGTGGCTTGCACGAGAGTCGTCACACGGAGGATCGTGACTGGACGGCTTCACATGGACGACTGGATGATTATTCCTGCTACGGTTCGTGCAGCCCCCGCCTCCGCCTCTGTTTGTTCCGAAAGTTCGAACCCGCTGATGCCGAGTCTTTTTTTTAGATTTTTGCGGGGATTCTCTCGGCACTGAGTATCTACTCCGTGTGGTATGGCGCTCTAGGACAGCACCGGTGGGATATCAAGTCGATCGACCAGGCTGCGATGAGTGTCAGGGTGCGCTATGGCAATGCATAAGCCCCCTCCAGTAAAAGATTCGAACTGACGATGGCATATGTACATAGTTAACGGTCCCACCTCTTCTTTGCTATATGATCTCGGTTTTCTTTACCAAACTCTCGGTGTTGTGCTTCGTCCGGCGACTAGCTGGCATCTCGTGTTCTGTCGGCCTCAAACGGGTGCTCAACGCCTTCATCGTTTTCCATATAGCTTTCACAATTGCCCTAAGCTTCGTCACAGTCTTCCAGTGTCTTCCCCTCAGGGTTAACTTTGACCTCATGTGGCGTTTTCACCCCGATGCTCGTTGTAAAAACTACTTTGTATGTACATATCCATCTCGAGAATAATGACTGCAATTACTGACGGTCCGTGTCAGAGTTACTACTACATAGCGGGATCGATTCATGCCGCCTCCGATTTAGCCGTCATGGCGTTGCCGATATACATGGTGATGGGACTACGGATGGGCTGGCAGCAAAAGGCGGCAACGATCTTCATGTTCATTATCGGGGGGCTGGCATGCATCTTCTCAATAATCCGGATGACATATGCACCCATATTTGCGTACTCATACGATCTCTCCTGTACCTCTCCCCGCCTCCCCTCGACGGTAGTAAATCCGAACTCACAATGCACGCAACCCAGGGGACTCCTTCTACGCCGTAATCTACGGCCAGCTTGAAGCCACCTTGGCGATCATTGCGTGCTCACTACCCGCACTACGCACCTTCTTTGGCCGCGTCCTCCCCGACCTCCTCCTGGCACCCCGAGACGACTCCGGCAATCACTCGCGACTAACTAAACTGCGGCGTTGGGCGCGACATCAACCTCCGCTGCCGGTGACGACGGCAACTACCAACTCCTACGCCTCGGATTGCAATTACAATAGTGCCGCGGAACTGGTTGAGATGGAGGAGCCGGAGAAGGGGCAGGCGACGGTGGAGATCGCGCGCGAGATGAGAGCAAAGGATTCGGTGCTTTGCGCGGTGCGTCCGGGTCAGTCCGTGCACTTGCGGATTGATCGGTGAAGACCTGGGGTGGACAGGTATGATACATGTGACATGTCTGGGTCCGCTTCTTTTTTGGGGGATTCTTCGGGCGGCGCGGCCGGCCCGGCCCAGTTTTATGTTTTCATGATTTTGGATAGGCGTTGTGGAGTACCGGTACGTATCGGACGAGACATTTCCGTCGGTTCATGGGTTCTTCAAGTTGTTTGGGCGTCTATTTCGCATGGCTTCGTCGGAGGAGTGCGAATTCGAAATACGATCATGAATAATGAAATGAAACCTGGTTCTTCTGCTCAAGGGCAGAGTGAGAGGCGCGCGTGCAGCAGCAACACACATTGCCGTAAGGCTTTCTTCAGAGGAGGTCCGCGAGGCATTCAGCATTGAGGGCGGAGCGGGGCTGGAAAGAGGGCGGGGCGAAATGGCAGGCGGAGACATATGTAGTTCCCGGAGGCGCACACTTTCCTACGTGTGCAAGAGATAGCAAGCACCGGGGAAGATACACAGCAAACGGGAAAGGAAAATAAAAGCTCGAATTAAGTGCAAATTCCGTAGCCGGCCGAGTCGGCCTACAGTGTCCTAGTCCCCTCGTGCAGGCCCCTTGTGGCCGGCCGGCAACCCCTCATATACATAGCCGATCCATGGTGGACTAGAAGGCGATAAGGCAAGCGCCCTGTCTGCGATCTCCGACTTGCTCTTGCCATCGCCCTACATACCCCCTTAAGTTTCTACTCGAATGCCAAGCACCGAGTGATAAGTTAGGTAGCAAATGGCATCAATGGCGCACGAGATTTCTGGCAGCGAGTGACTGGACATGATGTAAACTGCCCATTTCTCGGTTATAAACCCGTCTGTTACAACTTGCCAGCTCTCTCCATATAGAAAGATCAACTAACTTCCGCTCTCCTCGCAATAGAGTAGCGGGGGAGAGGGGTTCCCGGCGCCGCGTGCGCCACTCAGGTCGCAGTATCAGCCTGTCAGCCTGTCAGACCCATAACTATCGGGTGTGGCCAGTGCAGCCACATCAACGTTCATGCAATCTGCAGGTTGCTGTCCTGGCAATCAGAGCCGCTAGTTACATAACTCCTCGATAGTCTGCGTGTCAGCGTGGGTCTCCAACAGTGTCACTAAAAGTCTGTTTTGTTTCTTCATGTTGCGTGAGACCTAGTGAAGGGCGCAAAGGAAGAGGCGCCTTGGCGTCATCGGTGAGCACCGGAGAGAGGAGACCTCATTGAGACCTGGTGGGACCCGATGCAGACCCGATGCGGTCGTTGAACGTTGAATTGTTTCTGTTGTCACTATTTCTGTTCTTCCTGTCCGTTGTTCAGTCTCGGCTTTACATCGTTATCATCCACCGAGAATTCTAGTTCAATTGATCACGTTTTGTTCCTCACCCGTTTTTGGGTCTCTCAGAGGTAGGTATCGAAGCATCTTCTGAGGCAACTATCGATTGGAATTTGGAATCTTATTCCAAAATTACATTCCGAGTGATATCTACCTACATAAGCCATACCTATGCTAGTAGCCAGCGGACGAGAAACAAGGGTGAATCGCGATGGAACGATCGAGTGTTGACGTCACCACACCACACCATCGCGATTCGAGATGCCCAGTGCGCAACACGCTACAACACCAAGCCCATCGTAGAGAACGGCACTCCAGACAGCGCGCGAGTACCCACCCGAGAAAGAGTCCAGATCATTGCGAAGCGGGTTCGAGGGGATTCAATCTTCCAGATATGTAGGTAGGTGGCGATGAATGGGATGAAGCCCTGACTATCAACTTAGGCGAGCCTTTTGGGGACGCGCTGATTATCAGCTTAGGCGAGCTCGGAGGGCTCAGTGAGCCCTGATTATCACCTCAGGCGAGCTCAGGCGAGTCTTCGGAGGAAGCCGTGGGCTAGGGAGTATCTACGGCACCGGTGTCGGACGAAGCCAGTCGAGTGGTACGTAGAGGAAACGCGCACACACCGACGACGTCAAACTCCAGACTGTCAAACTCTAGACTGGCAGAGAATCTCAACACCCGACAGTCCAACAGAACTCCTCACGGCCTTCACAAATACAGTCTCGCTCCCACCTTTATCAAGAAGCCCATCACCATCCAGTTCTTTGCTAGATTCTCAGCCCACGGCCATACAAAGCTACTTGGTTCCCATACAACAGCGACGGGAAAGAAGAAGTTAGAACGAGAGTCCAGGAACAACAAGCTTGCCCTCAATCCAACACGGTACACGAATGAAATCCTCACCTCACGTGTTCTACCTTTCTGTGAGATGATGGGAGGTGCCTGCAGTGAGGGGAAGTGATTCGGGTTGCGTGGTAGTAGGGCAGCCATGGAGGCGGATATCCGATAGAGTATACAAGTGGATCGATGCGATGCCGAACCGAGTACCTAGCGACATTGCATCGTAGGAACGTGGGCGCAATCGCTGGTATTATATCTGAAGCATGTAGTCTCCCACTCTGTAACATATCTTGTCTCTCCACCTACTCCGTGTCAAGTCTCGACTTATCGGCCAGGGAGTGCTGCGGGGCGGGCGCCAAGACTCGGGCGTTCCGCCATCCATGCTAACTAAGCATCTTGTCACGGTTGCCAAGACGGCACCGATGGAATTGGGCCAGGAAGGCAGCTAGCGCCGTCACGTGCACCGAGCCGAAGGGCTTGGCGCCACGAGCGTCTAGAAGAAGGAACCTCTTAGCGTAAATAGAACATCACCATCGATTTACCCATCAACGTCATAACTGATTTCTCTCAACCGCGTACCGCGCCCCTCAAAACCTCCTATTCTGTGCAGTAAGCCAGTCCTCTCTCAATATTCTCCCAGTCTACGAGCTAAACCGAAGCCCTGGCCGTCAATGGTTCACCTCGGCCGGGGATGTCGAACGGTTTCCCATTCCTCACCGGAGCCCCACGCGGCAACCCCTGACAGCGCTGGCCGTAGGGTTCTTCAAACTTCTGCTTCTGCTCCCCCCGTCGACTGGTACCGGTATGTGTGATAGGAACGGTAGGGTTCCATCTCTGACTGCGGGGGCCGGGGATCCTGGGAGTTCTGTGCGTACATGGACTACCTACACCGATCTACCTAACTACTTGAGCTCGGGCTTGCCGACCGTCGAGCGCGGGCCCCAGCTACGAATAGGATCGATGCCGAGTCCCGGAGCGCCTTGGGCTGCCTACCTGGGTGCAGCTTCCATGGTTCCACCTGTCAGGGGAATAATCTACATATCACAGCTGGACAGCTGCGTGGGGAAAGGATGTGGGACCAGTGATGGCCGATGATCCGTTGACTTGAAACGGTCCTGTTCCCGCCTTTCCCCCGCCCGTTTCGTGTTCAGGGCGCGATAGGGACTCAGGAGAGACCGAGCCCAAAGCGTGCGGATTATTATGCAATAAATTATTATCGACCGTAAACGATTTGACGTGTGAAGCGCCAGCACTGATATGATGTATGTACAATTCCCCTCCGGATTCTACCCCCCCTAGTTCGGAGTTCCCTCGTTACCACCGGTTATCGGCACCAGCAGCGTGCGAGCCCGCGACGGCCGCGCCATTGGTGACGATGCGCTCCTGACTATTGCTGACGGTCTTGTCCTCCATGACTGTGAGGTCCAGATCGCCGTAGGGGCTCTTCGGCATTCGTCCGAGCTTCATGTCGTTGGCGCGAGAGCCGGCGCCGTTGCGCATGGCGCTGCCGTCGCCGTTGCCGCTGATCCGACCTGAGTATCCCTTGGTCGAGTGGTCGCCGGTCCACGACGCGAAGAGGACGCGGAAGCCCGGGAGAAGCCGCAGCGACGGCAGCGAGCCGGTTATGAGCCCCACGTGGAACTCGACGTTCATCATCAGCAGTGCCCGCGCTGAAGTGTACGTGAAGTCGCTGGTGTCTTTGGTGCTGGCTACGGCGGTTGAGAGTCGGATGATTGAGACGATCGTGGCGAGCATTCCTATGTAGGTTCGTCATTAGATTTGTGCACTCGTGGAGAGGTTGTGGAGAGGGGTGAGATATACCCAAACCGAACATTATCATCAGCTGCAACCGCTTCCTCGTCGGCAGTTTCAATTTCCACAGGTCCCACATGGGCAAGAGCAATATGACCACATCGCTTAGACTCATGACGATCCCCTGAAACACGACGATGTTGTAGAGCACATCGATGCTCCAGCAATTTGCGTCGACGATACTTTTGTCCCAGCCGGCCTGCACGGGGTTGCAGGAGAAAGTCGTGGCGAATTCGGTGCCGACGGTGAACACGCACAAGAATATAATGATGCACTTGGCGCACTTGTGCAGCATCGCGCCGGGGAACACGCGCATCAGGAACACTAGAAGACTGGTCTTCACGGCGAGCGCCACGTACACGTACGAGCAGATGGCGGCGTAGTAGATCTGTACATGGGACTGGCGTTGAGCGAATTCTCAAGTATAGCGGGGGAGGGGGGATTTCCACGGGCACTTACCTTGAAATACACTACGAGGTCCTCCGGTGGTACGTTCCACAGGTGCACACCGACGCCAACGTGAGAGATGCAGAGTCCAAGCACGGCGAAGCCTACACAGAGAATCTTTTACCTATCAGTCAGCTTACGTTCTTTCGCTGGGCAGAGTGATCCGGAGGGCACTTACGAGAGCGACGATCACCATAACATCATCGATTCCGAAGCTTTTGACGATAAAGTACCGGACATATAGCTTAAGGGTGTCAGCACCGCCATCCACTCGCTCGCAGCCGAAAAACCGACTGCACAACATGGGAACATACCCGCGCGCCGCAGACAGTCGTGGACAAGACCAACAGAACAGCGAGCACCGAACGGGTGAGCACAATCATATCATCTTTCGGGAGGCCATCAGTATCCGTGATGTTGCTTGCCGTCTGCTGCTGCCGTGCCTCCAACCGGTATCCTGAATAGTCTGGCGATATGTACATTTCGACGGCTTCTCTTCGTTATTGCATGCGCTGTGGCAGGAACAGGTCCAGAAAGAACCGGTGGTTGTCGGAAGCTGAAAGACCCCCGTGGGATGTGATGGATGGCCCTAATTCGTTGGCTGTCGGTCGGATGTCTCCGCGGGTTGAGTGAGTGTGTTTGGGTTATGTATGTACTGGTGGATGGGTGGGTGGATTGGATGTAGGAGAACACTTTGCTTGAATAATGTCTATTACATACGTCGGGGGGGGGGGGGGGGTGGGGGGCAGGCTTGGGGAATGCGCAGTATTAAGGTAGATGAGGTCAATTAACCGGTAAACGAGCCGTCGACAATATGTACTTCATCCTGAAGACTAACCCTCGATAGGTCTGGGGACTCGTAGGAGGACCCCCAGGAAGGTGCAAATGCTGCAGATTCCTCAACTCGGCGCGACAGCTTTCGGTGAGCTAAAGGGCGGCAGGGAATTATTGCATTTACGAACGTAACCCCACGGCACTAAGCAGGGAGGTACGACTCAGTGAGCGGAATCTTGCAAGCGTAAGGCGAGCGGCCCAACTTACATATGGCAGCAAATATCCGACACCACCCTAGGATTTTAAGGAGGTGCAGGCCTAGTAGGGAGGATGTGAATTCATCAGGGATGAAGGCGGAGAAGAAGAAGAAGATTCATCTATGCGAATGCACTATCAGAACCACGCGATACGCAAAAGAGCCTCGTCGCCGTTTAGTTGCTTTTGGCGTCGTGAATCTGTGGATTTGGCGGGAGCCCAGTAAACGAGGGACGTCGCGAGCCAGTTGACGAACGCCAGATCGGAGCCTGTCAACTGGCATCCACCGATCTCCGGACGGTAGTATTATGACCTCGAACAGTATAGGGTTTTGCGTCGGAAGACTTTTGCACTTACCAGCCTACCGGGCTGTCATAGATCGCTGCATTCATGAGGCGGTGTCGCATGAGATTAAACAATGATGGGGAGATGTCAGCTTGGGAGTTGGGACCGAAGGGAGTTATCTGAATAAGGGTGACCTTACCTGGTCGGGCCGCCCCGGCGCTGTGGCTCCTCACGCGTGGCCAGCGCTAGTACTAGGCACACAAGCTTTTTCTTCCAGGTGGAGTAGAGTAACTGGATATCTTCCGTATGTATTTGCCATAGAAGTCGTGTAAGAAGTGACTCTAAACAGGCAAGACATAAGACAGCCGATGTATGCACCTCGCACACTTCAAGTCATGGAAGCGGACACGGTGACGCCTCCCCTAGTTACCCCCGCCGTCAATTCTCGGTGTCGCCGGTTGAGGTTGTGTATTCTCCACCTGAAGAATACCGCATGTGATTCAATGTGGAGGAGAGGCAGCAGGGCACTGTTTAGAGTCCACACAACAGCAGCAGAAGCAGCAGCGTCAACAGCGGCAGCTCGCTCTCGTATCGACTACCTAGCAACCTGGTAAGAACAGTATCGGTTGCGTGGTTCATCACCTCGTATGGCAACTCCGGTACACCGGCAACTGTTGTCTCTGGCGTGGTTGTGAGGTTCCCATCTGCCGGAGCTAGGATACTGCTTGGGTGTTTATCTGGGAGTCCCGCTATTCTAGACGACCCATCGGAAAATACTCTAGTGAAGGTATGATACCCTTGGTGACTTGGTCGGTCGGTCATGGCGTCCGCGCATATAGCCTAGGTCTAGAACAGAAGTCCAACAAGGAGACCGCTGGAGGGCCAGCCGTTACATCGTCCCTTTCTGCAACATATGCTAGAGACTGTTCGAGAGTCTCGGAATTGCGAGATTCCGACACGTATCCCCAAGTGTAGTTATCCACCTATATCTGACAGTCGGTAAGGTGACTTAAAGCTGCGAGCATCCCGCATTCAAACATCTCCGTATTACCACATGGCGCCCATGACTTCCGAAAACCAACAACCATTCACGGTGCTAATCGCCGGCGGCTCGATCACCGGCCTCACCCTCGCCCTCCTTTTATCCCGAGCAGGAATCAACTACGTTGTGCTGGAGCGCGGTAGTTCTCTCGCTCCTCAGCTCGGTGCCTCACTCGGTCTTCATCCACCAGCCCTAAGCATCCTTGATCAATTGGGCTTGTGGGAGAATGATTTAGAGCCTATTGTCGCAGCGCTACATTCTGGTCAGCATTTCACCAAAGACGGAAAGTTGTTTGGATCCGCTAGGAATCATGAGGTTGTGCATAAGCAGTGAGTGCCGTTTCACCTTCCGCGTATACTCTTTCCCGGGCATGGGGGCCAAAAGGGTCCGCTAGCGGCGATACCGAATAGAGCTTTCGCATCAATACGCTGCGACCCCCGCTGCAACGGTCCATGAGAGCTGCCAGTGACTGCATTTACTGACGCGGCAGTGTTCTCAAGACTGGGATATCCAATCGTTTTCATCGAACGCCAGCTCTACCTCGAGACACTATTGAAATACATCCCCGAGGAGCACAAGCAGACGTGTATTCACACCAATGCCGGTGTTGCCGACGTCAAACAGGACGACAACTCTGTAACGGTAACGACCACCGATGGCCGCACCTTCCATGGCGATGTCTTGATCGGTGGCGATGGCGTGCACAGCATGGTGCGCGAACTGATGAATCCCGCACTCAAGGAGGGTGTGTTCTTCCTCCCCAATCGAACCCCCTCGATTTACGGGCCTAACGGGAAGCAGAATATATTTCCGAGTTCAACTGCATTTTCGGCATTTCGAACGTCACTGAGAAGACGCCGATGCAAGCGGGAATGGTGTACAACGTGTACGACTCCGGAATCTCCAACGTATGTGCGAGCGGCGTCCCGGGCAAGATCTTCTGGTTCCTGTTCAAGAAGAATTCCCTGACGCATCCGCCGAACGTACCGCGATTCACGGACGCCGACACCGAGAAGATGGTGGAGGAGCACGGCGACATGCCCATGTGCGCCGACTTCACGATAAAGGATCTGTGGGAGACGCGGGATAAGGCCGTTCTCGTTGCACTGGAGGAGGGAGTGATTAGCCAGTGGATCGACGGACGAGTTCTGCTCATGGGCGATTCTGCGCATAAGGTAAGCTGATGCTCATGCTCCTACTCAGAAAGCGTGGAGATACTGATGAATCCCCAGGTAACGATCAATGCCGGCTTCGGCGGCAACACCGCCATCGAATCCACGGTTCTTTTCAGCAACAGCCTCCACAAGCTCCTGCAATCCAGCCCTCACCCCAGTTCTGCAGAGCTCAAGGCGCTATTCAAGGACTTCGAGTCGGTCCAGCGCCCTCGCGCAAACCAGATCTTGAAGCTTTCAGCCACGGTCACTCGCCTCGAGGCTCAGAACGGATTGATGTACAAGCTCCTGTCGCGGTATGTCATGCCACGGCTGAGTGATAAGCTCAAAGCCGGTGTGTTCGTGGATGTCGCCGTTTCGTATCCGGATGTTGAGTTTCTCCCCAAGAAGGCCAGTCCGATGCAGGATCTGAGGGCTGCGATAAGGGAGAAGAAGGAGAAGGCGGTGAGAGGAAGTAGACTGGCGATGCTTGTTAAGACTGCTGTTGCCGTGGGAACCCTGGCGTGGCTGGTCCAGTCTAAGCACGGAATCAAGGGGCTGCAGATGGTTCGGACGCTCCTTGCAGAGAAATAGAGTGGCGCATGTACGTATTCGGAGCCAGAATAGATTGTATTGAGAATGCAGGGCAATATGTAATAAATTGGGAGGTGTACTACTATATCGGAGGTTCCAGGAAACTGGATGGCGGGCGAGGGCGCCGAGTGATTACACATGAAAGAGTCTAGAACATATCCGCGATTGCTGTCTCGTACCACATTACATTCTCCTGGTGACTAGAGCTGAAACTCATAGGGTAATCTTTGTAACCACCCGACACCTGATACGCAGCCCGAAATGGCAGTGTGATGAGAAATACAGCGCATAGAGGAACGAATCCGACCGGTACGTATGAACCTTAACCGTCCGAGGATGGCTACGCGGGAGTCTCGGCGGTGCGAGTAGCGGGAGCACAAAGCTTTTCTCAGACTCGTACCGGTATGCAATTCGAATTCATCTTTCCTTACTTACAGAGCTAGCTTTCGATGGCTGAGAATCGCTATATTTCGCCCACACCGAACGAGAGACCCGCTAAGCCATCCACATGAGTAGGATATATAGAGAGGATTTTTTTTGCATCTAGGTACAATACAGTAGGCTATTTCATCCTCGATTACAGCTGCACGTGTAGGATCGCACCTGAGCACCGCCGGGGGTGTCCGCTCGGTTGCAATTCCTCGTCGGGTACGGTGTATCCAAATGGTCGGCAGGAATCGCCGTGCCGAAAACCGGCAGTCTATATAAGAACAATGCAGCCTTCGGAAACGGATTCCTACTAGGTACATACACCATCAACGCGATACACACTTCGTGTGAATCTGTCCCACCGAGTCACGTTCAAGGCTGATCGATTCTTTTTCAGTAGAGGGGGTTTGCAGCCGGTTGGGGATCGAGTTGGGGATGCGTTTTGGGGTGTAACAGTGACAACCGGTTAAATTCAGTAACCTTAATAGGTCCCCAACTCCAAAGGTTGGGGATATATACAGCACCAGTATTGGGGGATCGCTAGCGAGTTAAGGATGTCTTTGTTTGGAATTATGTATATAGGTAGTAAACATGCTCTTCTAGGGTATGTACATGAGGAATATATATCTGAGTAATAGCACGGACATGGTGAGGTCTGAGATTTCGTGCTGGTGAATTTTTGGATTCTGTTCACCAACTCCAGAAGTTAGAACTGACGATAAGCAACACCAACGGCGGTACGGGTCCTTTGCAGAGGAGCAACCTGATGGCCCTTCTACTTACCGATAATGAAGACCCCCACAGCACCAACTCGATAGCAGCCTCATCCAGGGCGGGAATCGTCCGTCCAGTCCGTCTTTGAGGTTGCCCGAGACGGGACGGAATTAGTCGGGCTGAGGAGAACAAGGACTACATACAGTCTTCCGGGCTGGCGAATTGAGGACGGATACCGTGCAGGGCCCGGAATTGACTAGGACACTAGCGAGTACAGCGGCGATCATCATCCAGTATCTCCACCTAGTGAGTCCCCATTATCCAGTTCCGCTCTTCGCTTCACAGAAAATGTGGAAACCAGATTCAGTCTACGGTTTCAGAAGCCTTTTTCTCCTGCGCTACCTACCTAGGTCCATTTTGCGCATACTCAACTCTCAGCCGTTCCAGATCCAAATGTTCGATCCATGGATCGAACATCTCGACCTAGAGCAGCGGAAGATCGGAGATGCGCACAAGGGACCCAAGCAGGTAGTATGGGAGAAAAAGGCCGCTGAAACCATGAGGCTGCACTTGGTTTTAACATTGTCTATGAAGCGAAGAACGGAACTGGATAATGGGGACTCACTAGGTGGAGATACTGGATGATGATCGCCGCTGTACTCGCTAGTGTCCTGTCGCCGCCGCTGTAATCTGCCACTCTCCGCGCCGCCATCATACTCTACAATTGGAAATTTCCCCTCCGCCGCCACCTCGAATAGAAGCGTTCTGTCCGGCGTGACCGCTGCAATTTGCTGGAAAATGTTGCCGCTCATGAGTCGTGACTCGTTGCATGGAATACTGTTGGAATATTTCGTTGGGAAGGCAGAGATAGTTGATACGATAACACAACAATATCACCGGCGATAAGTTCGTCCCTTTATACAGACTGAGGTGCCGCAAAAGATTCCTCTCGACCGCCCGCCGCGCACTCATATCTACGTCAACACTCGGTCTCAACCACCCACAGCAACGCTCTCACCCGAACAACCCGGCCGAGGAATGGAGGGGAAAGTTCAACTGACAGTGGTTGGGCCGGGAGAGAATTCGCAATGCAATCCGCGGCCCATGACTCGTCCCACCCGGGTACTGCTCGCGATACTTGTCCCACCACAACATGGACTATATTTGTGATACATACCCGACGCATTCGACCGCGTCTGCTCCTATGCCCTGCCGAATCGCCATATATCACTCGGAGGAATGTTCTCAAAAAATCTCTTCAGATTATTAGCAGCTAACGCCCGTCGGAGGTCGTTCTCGCACCTGGCAATGTTCGGACCCACACTAGGACAATCGGTAAATTTCAAAGGAGTATGGATGATGGCTACCGAACACTTTATGCCCGGCCGTGGGCTCTCCGGAGGATTCTCCAGCCGCAGAGGTTGAAGTTAAACATGATGGCGACGATGATAGGAAGCAGGGTGTTTCTACTGTCACCTTAATATACCCACGTGCAAGGTGAGACGAGACTATGAAAAGGCGGTACTTCGTGGCTCGCTAGGCTTCGCGTAGAAATAAGTGACAGTGATTCGGTTGGGGTCCGAGACTCATGAATCGTCACTGAGGATAAGATTTGATGCATACCGGATTCTTCTCTGAAACTTCTGACGATTGGATGGAGAGAAAGAATGTGAAATTTTCTTTTGTTGGGTATGGTGAACAGTTCATCTACTGTAATCAGTGATACCAGAGCAAGTGTGAGTCCAGGTTAAGAAACTATATATATTGAGCGTCCGACTCGCCAACCGATGTCTTCTCCAGTAATGGAGTCCACTATCCTGATGAGGGCGGGAAGGCTGTACAGGCTACAGATTCCCCAACACCTTTGTTCCAATGATGAGGCCAGCTCGGCACCGGCAGGATTATGCTTGCCCACAGAGAGGGCTTTCGCACTGCGGGCGACTCGCAGATTGGTGGACGTGTGGCGGAGCCTGATGCCACGTCGAGGCTGCACAGCCTATGCTAGTAGCTTCAGGTTGGCTCGAGCTTCTCACCTGCAATTAACCGGGATGTGAAGTCTACAATAACCCACCTGGCCCCGTCACCCCAACTTCCAGGTGCCGAGTATGCGTCGCCGCTCAGCCTTCGTCCTCACCGAAAACCCTTATCCTTTCTTTACGCTGACATGAATTGATGCCTTCGATTTCACCCGCCTGCCGAATACAGTTGGTTGACTGCCGTCTCTCGGCTCCGGGAAACCAGACGGGAACCCACAGTTCACAGCCTCGGTTGGGCTGGGGCATCTAGGAATACCCCGCTGATTGGACGAGTCGTTTACCGCACGATGTAATCCGATGGCCGACCACCGGTGGTCGTTGCGATATTTGTTTTAAAGATTCCACGATGGGGGTTCCCACCTCCCGATTGGGACGCTTGATTTGCTGTACAGAAGTACATAATTATGTTGTGTACCGGCCACCGGGTCCAGCGCAGCAAATCTACCACACGTTGATTATTACCTTGGGATAGGAGCCCAAGTCGCAGCAGATACCAATATTCTTTCTGCCACTCGAATCTGGGCACTTGCTGGAAATCGAAGGCGCAGGGCAATGCCTTTCCGTGTCCTTTTCCGAATGGCTGATCGTTCCAAGACTTTCGATACCAGCGCATTGAACAGATCTTTGCGGGGCAAAGCAGGCTGGCACTCGACAGTTCTAAGCGATTCCGGCGATGCTTCGGTTCAGCTTGATATTTACATTCGGCAAAACGATCAATCGCCCTCATGATGTCCGCCTTGCTCTCGCTTGCCGAGCCCATTAACTCATCTTTGCAATCATACATAGTGGCTTAACAGTGATTGGGGATAACTCTAATCGCTGGCCGCGCTCCATCATCCCAAGCCGGTGTCGACCTGAGAGTCTTATGTACAGATAGACAGTTGCATTCCAGAGGAATCTGCGGACTGGGTTTCCAGAGTACTCATAGGCACACGTACATCACTATTGCTTTGAAGGAATATGCGGAACAGCTTCATCGACCGTCGGTGACACCCATTCGCAGGATTCCCTCCCTTGACGGTTAAGAACATGAGTTTGCAATATGGCGATCGGAGCCCCCTACGTCAACTTACAGTAAATACGACTACTGATACACTGCACTTGATTGTCGACCAAGCATGCTGTCGCGAAGGATGTACTCGATTGGTTTTCTTCGGCAGAGCTAGAAGCACAAATCTAACTGATATGTATATCGCCGTACTATGGACAGCAGCAAACGGTGGTGCTGTTTGTCTACCTACTACAATGCCGTAAGCGCGTCTGTCGTGCATCTACGGCAAATCTATCCTGCCCTGGTCCTTAGAGTATTGGGGCTAGCTGACCCCACACTTGGTCTTTTTCGAGGCTCTACATACAGAGAAGCTGTCCAGTGGCTCCAACCTACTCCGCATATGTGTTATCGTACACCACCTCGAAGTTGCGTGGGATTGTGCATTTTGATTCTCTCTACCAGTGGTGTCTTCTGTTTCCTTCCGATATCGACCATCCTGCTAACTAGATACTTAGTCAAGAGAGTCTCGTTGGAGACATATTCGTTCGATAGGTGCGGTGTACCGTATTCCGCCGCACCCGGCGATGTTTCGTGTGGATAATCCAGAACGCTCTCGAATCTTGACGTAGAAGCCAAAGCCAGCGTCGGCATCCTGACATGCGATCATGACCTAATAATCCCCCCAGCGGTGAGGAATTGGGTCCACATCTCTTTCATTTTGCCGTCAGTATCCAAGCCAATTGATTACTGGTTCAACATGGATTACCAGATTCATTCGTCGCGCTGTGGTTTTGGGTGGAACGATGCGAAGGGACGTGGCCATCTGCTGACTGGCTTTTAATATCTCGGAATGTGTGGGGTGAAAAGTTGCTTGCGGAAATGCTGCAGCCGGAATCCCCCCATC